TTGTTCAGTCGTCTCGTTCGGGCGGGCGGGGGGCTCAATTTGCTCCCGAATTTTCGAATCGAGAGAATACCCAAAAGTTTTTTTTCTGCCGATTTTTTAGCGTGAAATGGATAGGGCACTTGAGAAGTGACATTGAATTCGTTCTAATTTTGGACTTTTGTCGGATCCTAGGCCACGGTCATCGAACAAAGATCGCCCGCGGACCCGTGTGATCTCATTTCTCTCATCTCGAGTCCCCCGACGGCCCAAGAGCACTTTTCTCTCAGTACAAACACATTTTATCCCCCGTTTACCCCCCATTTTATGAGCCCAAAGCACTGAAAGGGCATTTTATCGAGAAAATTGCAAGATTTTCGGTGTGTCGCACATTCTCCTGACTTTTTGCCTAGAACGCTATTGTTTTATGCTTTGTTTCACTAAAAATTAGGAGTTTTGTCGAAAAATGCCAAGGAAACGGTGGAAAATCGAGAAATTTCGAGGAAAATGTTCGTGCTGCGCCTTTAAATTTCCACCGTACCCCGGATGCATTTTTTCGATTAAACTTCTTTTTCACACTGAAACTTCTCGTTTTTCATCAAACAATTTAGTTTTTTACTTTATTCCAACGAAAATTCAGAATTTTCCCAACAAAATTCCGTGCTGCGCCTTTAAACTGCTACCGTACTCCTCCACGCATCGATTTCCCTCATTTTTTCTCCACTTCCGCCCGAAAAACGCCACTTTTTTGCCCGGATTGCACATGTGATTAGTCTTGCTGCGTCTCCGTCGCTCATTTGTTTATTTTTGCGCACACAAATGAGTAATTTGGCCAATTTCTCATCAAAATCCAATGTTTTCAGTTGAACTTTCAGAGTTTACAACAAAAATGACTCATTTTCAAGCGACGCCCACGCCGGACGCGAAAATATCGAAAATATTGTGATCGGAGGAAAAAAAAACAGAGAAAAAAGTGATTTTTGAGTTTTGTGACTGGAAATCAATTTTTCGCAAATCGCAAAAGTAGAAATATAAATCACAAAGGACGGGAGAGAGAGAGAGAGAGAGATAAGACATGTGTCCCACTTCTTCTTCTTCTTCTTCTTCTTCTTCTTCTTTCTTCTTACCTATCTGTCTTGTCCCCGATTCCGCCCGGATTTTGACCGATTTACGTATTCATATCGTTTTCTCTCCTTTTTTCTAGGTACGAGTGTCTAATACACTCAAACATCGAAATTCGCATAATTTCCCTAAGCATGTTCACTTCCGATTAATTGCATCAGGTTAAAACACATTTTTTGAGCCGAAGCCCAATATTTCCCGGAAATTCAATCGGAAGTGCGAATTTGTTAGTTTTTTTGCGTTTTGCCCGACAATTTCAGTTGAATTATGCGGAAATTGATGTTTGTACAACTGTAGCTCAGAATTTCGCATAATCTAGTCGAAGCTGTGCAAAAATCACTGTTTTGGAAGAATTTGCTGTTCGAACGTCGAAATTCGCATAATTTCCAAAAAATTTAGGCTTTTCGAACGGCCTGTTTCAATAATCCGATCGGGCCCGAACTTTACAGACTTCTTGGACTTGGATTGAAGTATGATGGGCCAAGTTTCCGCAAAATAATCAGATCGGTCATCGAAACTTGGTCCCAATGTACTTCAACCCAAGTCCAAGAAGCCTGCAAAGTTCGGGCCCGATCGGATCATTGCAAAGGCCTGGGCCTTCCCTTTTTCGGCCTTTTCTCCCTCTTCTGGTCTCGGTTCCCCCCTCACATCTCCAATCCCTTTTTCGTCATCGTTTCGATTGAATCTAACAGGTTCTTCTTCTCCTTCTTTTCCCTCTCAATTTCTTGTTCGTCAACTGCAGTTGTGTGTGTGTGTGTTCACTTTTGGCTTTTCCATCTTCAGTATTTGCATTTATATATTCGTATGTTTTGTATATTGTCCCCCCTTCCTTCTTTCGCTTCTTCTTCTTCACTTTACAGCCCTTTTTGTGCGTGATAGACAAGAAAATGATAAGAAAAAGAGCGCGAAAAAGTGTGGCGCATTCACTTTCCTGCTTTTTCTTTCCATGTTTCTGCAAAATTGATTCATTAGCGTTCTGAAATTCGAAAACGATCGCAAGTGCCCTGATCTCTGCGAGAATTTTGTGAAAAGAAAGAAAAAGTGTTGTAACACACACACACCCGCAAAATTGTAATCGGACAATATCCGTTTCGCTTCTGCTGTCTGATCGACTGATCGGATTAAATCAATCTCGTGACACAGATTTGATCAGATCTGCAATTTCTAAAATATATGTTTTTAACCAAAAACCCCGCTCCGACAATTGAGTATTTAGCGAGTAGCGAGTACCGAAAATCCAATTTCGAATGATGGACCGAGACAAAACCGGTCGGCTTAGTCATAGTGAAAATAGGTACATCTCGGCCAATCTCGACTGTTTTCCCATTTAGACGCACTTCTACTTTTTAATTGTGAGTTTTACCGTTTTTAGCTTCATTTTCTCTACAGTTTCAGCACTAGAATATCTATTTTTAAAAAAGTTGTAATTTTAGCAGATTTCTCGTGTCCTCCTCCCCCCATTCCTCCGAGTAGTAGTGGTTGTTGTAGTAATGATGTTGGTGATCAAGTTGACCTCGAACTGTGTGTACCGAAACAGAAAGAGAGAGAGAGAGAGAGAGAACTCTCTCTCTCTCTCTCTTTCCCTTTCACAAGTACCCGTTCTCTGTCTCTGCGCCTCTTCTCCGCAGACAGTGCGTACTCTCGAAACGATATTATAAGTGGCCTTCACTTCCTCTCTCTCTCTCTCTCTCTCTCTCTCTCTCTCTCTCTCTCTCTCCTTCTCTTCCGAACCGTTCGTTCGCCTTCTTTCACCTACCGGACGATTCGAAGACCAGTGAACTTTTTTGGACGTTTTGAAACCACCCCCTGCCCTTTTTTTTGTTGTAGCTGACTAAAACTAGACTGTAAATTTGATACACCGTAATTTTTGAAGATATACAGTTTCAAAGTGTCCTTATTTATTGTCTATCAGCTCGATTTCCATTGAGAACTCAAATGTATCGTTTTGAACACAAAAAACCCCCAAAAATGCCAAGTTGAGTCAGTTTTTCCCTTCGAATTATGACGTAGGCCTAAAAGTGAACAAAAAACGAAATCAGACCATTCACTTACCGGTTTTAGTGACTTTTGACCGAATCAGTGAGTACAAAAGGTCAACTTTCAATGAGAAACCTTCTAAATTTTTGTCGCCATTCGACACACTTTTGAACGGAACTTTTCTCGAATATTTTTTGAGAAACTGTAAAAAACTGTAACAACGAACACATTTTCCGTTTCCTTGTTCGACAATAGTCGGCTTCTTCTTTAGCCAAGCCCCGCCCCTTTTTGTGTTGGCTGTTCATGTGCAGACACAATAGAAAAAGGAAAAGAAGTTTGTAAAAGGAGTGTGATTGGCTTTCGGGCGGAACAGCCTTCTCGAGAAAGAGAGAGAGAGAGAGGGAGAAGAAGAAGAAGAAGAAGTCATTCTTGAGGAGAAGAAGCCGTCGGCGACACTCTCGATTTCACTTTTCATTGTTCCGCCCACGCACCATCATCATTCTCTTTCTCCTTCTTCTTCTTCTTCTTCTTCTTGACTTTCCCCCCGTGTTCTTTGTTGAAGATTGATAGAACGTGAACCCGAATAACCTTTTGCGATGAGCCTAAAAACCTTGGGGAACCAAGCTTATTTCTACTCTTTGAGTTGTTACATCCTCTCGAACACACGCACATTCATTCCAATTGGTAAATCTTTCTTTTTCGGAAAAAAAAACGCTGGGCAACGCTTGTATGGTCCTCACCAGAGTTGAGCGGAATTCCGTCTTCCGCCTTCCGCTTTCCGCCGCTTTTTTCATTCTGACTTCCGCTTTCCGCCGCTCTTTTCATTCCGACTTCCGCTTTCCGCCGTTTTTTTCATTCCGCCTTCCGCCTTTTCAAAAAAATCGATTCCGCTCAACTCGGGTTGGACCGTTTTGTTGTCTAAAATGATCTTTGCACGAAAAAAGTTGCAAAATAGTATTTTGACCCGTGTGTTGTCGAAAAAGAGTTGTAAATAGTACTATTACACCCCCGCTCCGTCTCGAATTGCATCTCCAATTTCCCAGCCAGATTCCATCGCACAATATATCATTTTTTCGAACAAAACTCTTTAACTAACTTTTTTCTTGAAACTTTACACAATTTCGGGTGTAATAAAATCCAAAAATATTCGCCTTCGCAAAAACCGGTTTCTCGTCGTCGTCGTCGCTTTTTTGTGTAAAAAAAAGGCGATGAAACACGAGGTTAAACGAGAAAAATCGAGGTCATTTACGGCGATTTAGCAGCGGAGCGCACTTGCATTACTTCCGCTTCGACCCCACCAAAAAATGGACGGAAAAATTGGTTGAAATAGGAAAAATGTACTTTATCGTTGCTCTCTTCGTACTCTTATTATTGACTTTTCTTTCATTCTTTCAAAATTACCAATTTTCAGACGTTCGCTGAGGTCGATGCCCGAATAAAATCGACGAGAATTCCATTCAGCACTCAGCGAATCGTCGAATATCAGCCACGGATTTCTTGTACTCACTACTCATATCACAAAAACGACTAGCACATGTTCGTTTTTGTTTCAATTGAAAAAAACCGATTCTTCGTACATTTTTTTGTGGAACTGCAGGGCTGGGCAGTAAATTGGCCCAGGCCTTTTGAAGGCTTTTCGAGGCTTCGACTTTTCAACCATTTGCAATGATCCGATTGGGGCCAAGCTTTTTGCGGCCTTTTCGGCCTCTGATCCACATATCTCGGGACCAGATGATCCGATCGGTCTGAAACTTGGACCCAATATACTTCAATCCAAGTCCAAGAAGTTTGGCGCCGATCGGAATATTGAAAGTCGTTCAAAAGTCTTAAAAATTACAAGAATCGAAACGATTGAAAATCCAAAATCCTTAAAATACCGAGACAATTACAGATCAATTGGCTGCACATATTCGGATAATCGTGAGATGCGGATATCGTCAAATCGGTTAAAATGGCACATTCTCGCAGCGACCGCACTTCTTCTCCTCGTCACGTTCACTTCAGCCATTGAGCACGATTCGGTACGTTGCTTTTTTTTCCGAAAAATTTGCGTCTAAACTTGCTGAAATGGCACAAAAAGCCGAAATAGAAGTATTGTGAAAAAATGGTATTTTTCAAAGAAAAGATTCATTTGAAACCGAAATTTTTTATAAGAGACGAACGATTCTGTCGTTTTAAAAGTGTTATTTTCTGAAACTCTAAAAAATTTGTTTGCAGATTTGCGACGAGAGCACGGGAGCACAATGCGCGGAGCCGTCGCACACGGTGATTCGGCTGGCGAAACGGGACGACGAACTGGCGCGACGAATAGCCGAGGAGCACGATATGCACGTGAAGGGCGAGCCGTTTCTCGACAATCACTACTTTCTGTACCACTCGGACGAGAAGCGCACGCGACGCCACAAGCGGGCGATCGTCGAGCGACTGGACACGCATCCCGCCGTCGAGTGGGTCGAGGAGCAGCGGCCCAAGAAGCGCGTCAAGAGGGACTACTTGTTGCTCGATGACGTACGTTGATTTTTTTTTTCCGCCGAAAATCAATATTTTCCTCGGGTTTCTTTGATTTTCGTTGTCGGGCGACTAAGGGCTAGAAAGTGAGACATTTGAGGCCGCAAACCGTCAAAAAAACAATAATTGTTTATGAAAGCAATCATGTCTTAAAAACAATGCAGTACGCAAATAGCGTATTTATTCACAAGATGGCAACACGATCGTCCATTGTTGGCGCCCGGCAGCCGCCGCTCTCTCCAACACTTGGCGATCCGTCTCTACGTAACGGTTCTTCCGCGTTGGCGCCCAGCACGCCTCCACTGACGATTTTCTCTTCCGCGACGCCGTCGGGGTCTTTTGCAGCTGCTCCTCGCTGCTCTTTCTCGCTTTTTCCGCCTTTTTTGGCTCAACGTCTGGCACACACTTGACCGGCGTCGTCGACGACATTTTCAACTGAAAAACGGACAAATTGTGGAAAAGAGAAAGAAAATGGGGTGGGAGAGTAGGGAAGGGAGGATGGAATGAGAATGGAAGGTCCGACGTCATGGCCACGTTCATTGATTTTCTGTGGAGGGGCGGAGTATGATCGAGCACGAAAGGTTACGTGGCGAGACAAGATGGGATGGAAAATCAAAGAGTACAGAAGACGCTGTGAATGTTCTCAAGAAGAACGGAAATTTGAGTGCGAAATGGAAAATGAGATTGTTGGAAATTTCAATTTTTCATTGAAAAGTCTTTGAAAAAGATTGGATTCGGTCAAGAACGTGAATGCCAACAAGCGACTCTTAAAAAATGTTTGTTGCAACAACAAAATTGGGAAATTTGAGAAGAAGTCATATTTCTCGTCATAAGAGCAAATTCGAGTCTTGAAGTGTTTTTTTTGTTGTTTTGTTTGAAACTGTAATCTTGCAGGACGTGCGTCACTCGGCGCCCGCCCGCCGTTCGGTTCTTAGTCGGGACAGCGGCGCGCGACGAACGCAGAGACAGATGCAGCCGACGTCGCCGCGCGAGATTCCCTCGTTGCCGTTTCAGGACCCGCTCTACAAGGATCAGTGGTATTTGGTGCGTTTCGCTTATTTTTTTTTCTTTGCGATTCTCTCATGAATTTTGCAAGCAAAATAGTATGAATCTCACCGAAATTCGTATTGCAGCACAGCGGAGCCGTCGGCGGATACGACATGAACGTGCGTCAGGCATGGCTGCAGGGCTACGCGGGCCGCAATGTTTCCGTTTCGATTCTCGATGACGGCATCCAGAGGGACCATCCGGACCTGGCGGCCAATTACGATCCGCTGGCCTCCACGGACATCAACGACCACGACGACGATCCGACGCCGCAGAACAACGGAGACAACAAGTACGCGTACAAAAAGCCGATGAGAAGATTGTTATAACGGGCCCGAAACTGATTATCAAATATTTAGAATCAATTGAAATTCTTATACCGTCTATAAGTTATACGTTCCACGGTCTCCAGAGCTGACAATATGGGCGTAGCCTCGGCCAAATGGCGTTTTCAAGAATTCAGCACGTTTTCTCTGATTTTTGTGGTCAACGGCGATGAAAAATGATTGTTCGACATGAAAACACACTAATTCTCACAGAATTAATGACGTTTTGGCGCTCATTTTTCGCGGACTTTGCTTTTTCGCCTTCGCCGCCCAAAAACTTCTCATTTTGCGCTTTCTTGACCGTTTTCAGATAGAATTGGTTTTGAGAATGATAAATCACGTAAATACGAGCATTTTGAGCGCTCGAACCGCAAAAACTACCGAAAAGCAACTGAAATTCACGCAGTTTTAGCCCAAAACCTTCAAACGGATAAATGTGATTTGCGACTTGACCAAATTTAACGCTCTTGCGCTTAAAAAATTCGTAATAGCCTATATAATCGGTCTATCGAGAGACAAATAAGAAATTATCGGTTTTTCGCGGCTAATCTGGCAAAAAACACAAATTTCGCGCCAATGTATCGCTCTATTAGCGGAGCGCACTTGCGCCCATTGTCAGCTCTGAGGACCGTGCGTTCTTTTAGTGAAACATTAACATTGAAATTCGGAGAAATTCTTTTCAAAAAATGCAAAGATATGTTTGAAATTCATTTCTTTCTTGCAGACACGGAACCCGTTGCGCGGGAGAAGTGGCCGCTCTGGCCGGAAACAACCAGTGCGGCGTGGGCGTGGCCTACAAAGCCAAAATCGGCGGGGTTCGGATGCTCGACGGAGCAGTGTCCGACTCGGTCGAAGCGGCCTCTCTCTCCCTCAACCAGGACCACATTGACATTTATTCGGCCTCGTGGGGACCCGAGGACGACGGAAAAACGTTCGACGGACCGGGACCGCTCGCCCGGGAAGCCTTCTATCGGGGCATAAAGAACGGACGCGGCGGAAAGGGGAACATCTTTGTGTGGGCCAGCGGCAACGGCGGTTCCAGGTGGGTCCACGCATTTTTTTTTTCACAGAAAAGTACCGTTTTGTTTGTGAAATGTCAAGAAAGAATGGTCTCATGGAAAACACGTCTTGCGAATTTTTTAACGAAAAAATTAACGTTTCAAGGATTTCCTTTTCCTATTTCTGTAATCTACCGTTTCATTACTTATGCTTGAAAAAAATGGTTTGTTTCGAAAACAGTGTGCTTACGTTCGATAACTGTTCTTTTCTTCTGTTTACCCGGATTTTTTAATCCAAAAAATTAACGTTTCAGTGACTTTTATCAACTAAAAAAAAATTACCAAACATGTTAAAAGAACAGTTTTTGACTCGCCTATCGAGGTTTTCCAATTTTACCCAATTTTCCTGGTATTTTTGAAATTTACATCATCAATTTGGTAGTTGCACTTCGAAAAAAAAAACATTGATTTTCCAGACAAGATTCGTGTTCTGCCGACGGCTACACCACCTCTGTCTACACGCTCTCCATCTCGTCGGCCACCTTTGACAATCATCGGTACGCGTCTGTCAACAAATTTTTGTCAACACAATTTGTCATTTGTCGTCTTGTCATCTTGTCATTTGTCGTCTGTCAATTTGTCACAATTTGTCAACAAATTTTTAATTTAATTTTAATAAAAGCAGACGCGAGAGATTTCGCGTCTCCGTCTCGCTTTTTCGCACACTAATCGCCTCTCTCTCTCTGCCTCAGTATTGTATAAATTCACATTTTAGGCCGTGGTACCTGGAAGAGTGTCCCTCGTCGATCGCGACGACGTACTCGTCGGCGGACTACCGTCAGCCGGCCATTGTTACTGTGGATGTGCCCGGCGGATGCACCGATAAACACACGGGAACGTCCGCCTCCGCCCCACTCGCCGCCGGAATTATCGCTCTCGCACTCGAGGCCAAGTGAGTCGTTTTTCTCGTTTTTCTTGTATTGCCTCTGATTGATTTGCAATTTTTTGTTGGAAAAAAAAGCGAAATTGCAGTCCGGAACTGACGTGGCGAGACATGCAACACATTGTGCTGCGGACCGCCAACTGGAAGCCGCTGGAAAACAATCCGGGATGGTCGCGGAACGGAGTCGGCCGGATGGTGAGCAACAAGTTCGGCTACGGGCTCATGGACGGCGGCGCACTCGTCAGCATGGCCAAGACGTGGAAGACGGTGCCCGAGCAGCACATTTGCACCTACGAATACCGACTCGCCAGCCCGAAGTGAGCAACTTTAATGCGTTTTTTTTTTTTAACGAATCGATTGTTTTTGCAGTCCCCGCCCGATAATCGGTCGATTCCAACTCAATTTCACACTGGAAGTCAACGGATGCGAATCGGGAACGCCGGTGCTCTATTTGGAGCACGTGCAAGTCCACGCTACCGGTTTGTCTTTGATTTTTTGATAAAGATTTCCCCACTACTGGCTAGGTCGAATTCATTTGAAAAAAAACATAACTGTTTGAGCACTTTTTGAAACTGTAAACTTTTTTCCGCTCATAAAACAGTTGTTTGAAATCTCTGAAATGGTTGCAGTGCGATACTTGAAACGAGGCGACCTCAAACTGACGCTGTTCTCGCCGTCCGGCACCCGATCGGTCCTTCTCCCGCCGCGGCCCCAAGATTTCAACGCCAACGGATTCCACAAATGGCCGTTCCTTTCGGTGCAACAATGGGGAGAGGACCCGCGCGGAACGTGGCTGCTCATGGTTGAATCGGTCACCAACAATCCCGCCGCTACTGGTACGCTCTTTTTTTTTTTAAATTTTATTGCATAACTCGCCCCCACTCTGACCTCCACATGTTAATTTTTTGAGAAAAAGTTTCAATGGAAAACAATTTCAGGATCGTTCCACGACTGGACCCTCTTGCTGTACGGAACGGCTGAGCCGGCGCAAGCGGGCGACGCACAGTTCGCCGCCACTCCGGCCACTTCGCAGGGCGTGCTCTCGCGTGTGCAGCAGCTCACTTCACAGGTACGCACATTTTTCGGCATCGGATAATTTTTTTTTTGCTGATTTTTCTGGGCCCTTTTTGGTGTGTGTTTCTCTCTCTCTTTCTCTCGTTTTCTTCCCCCCTAATTTTGAAAATTGTACGGGTTTTTTCAACGATTTTGCACAGAGTGTGTGTGTGTGTGTGCGTGTGTGTGCAAGTTTTTTTTTCTAATTTAAAAAATGTCAAAAAAATCAGCTAAAATGGCCCGCCCCCTCCAGTTGTCCGTCAAAGTCTCTCAATTCAGTTTCTCAGTGTTTTCTCTCTTTCTCTCTTATTGTCTGCGTCTCTTCCACGTGCCATACACTGTCTATTGTCCGTCTGTTTCTGTTTTTGTTTCTCGTGTAAATGTCCTCCGATGCTCTAGAAATACTAGAAGAGAATTGATTTACAGTGCATTTTTCTATAATGATTTTTTTTTTCGCTCAAAAATTTGCAGTGTTCTAATTTGATAAAACAACACATTTCTCTATTTCTCTGTTTTGTTTTTCCCTCCCCAGATTTTCAACCCATTTTCCCCCACCGAATGGCTCATTTCTCACTAATTCTCAACAAGCACCACTAGCATTTTTCTTCCGTTTTTTTCCGTGTCTTTTTTTCTGCTAATCGTACACCGCCCTATGGAGAGAGCGTCGGGAAAGTGTTGCGATTGTGTCTTGAAAAACAACTTCACGATCTTCTTCCGACTTCGACGACTCTATCACTTTCAACCAATCGATAACCGACCCATTCACACTTTAATCCACTTACCACTGCCACCGCTGTTCCGTAAAAATGGAAAAAGCGAGGCCGCGCCGCGCCGAGAGCCACAACTGTCCCGAATCGGAGAACCCACCTGCAGAGGTGGTTCAATTGTTACAAAAAGTCAGTGTTGTGACGGGCTCTGATTCGGGACAGTTGTGGCTCGGCGCGGCCTCGAAAATGCAATTGTCTCTACGTGTCGCACGGTCTCCAGAGCTCATGTGGCGGCGAACACTTTTTCTCTGATTTTTGTGGTCAAAAGCGATTTAAAATTGTAGTTTTACATGAAAAGACAATCGTTTTCGAAATTTCTGACGATTTGATCGCTTCTTGACCGTTTTCAGACAACATTGACTTTGAAAAGGCATTTTGAGCGTTCGAAAAACGAAAATTACGCGATTTCGCTTAAAAAATTCGTTTTGACCTACTCAATTGTTTTGTCGCGGCGCCAATGAGAAATTATCGGTTTTTTTTCGAGGCAACAGGCCTGGGCGAGCGATTCGGTTCGCGAGAGAGAAGCGATTAGCGTGTGAGAGGGTAGAGACGCAGGCGCGAAACAACAAACAACAACAACAGCGAAACAGTTTCGCGCCGCCTGCGTCTCTGCCTCTTCGCACGCCTAATCGCTTCTCTCTCGCCCACCTCTGCGAGGCAATTTTTGCAAAAAAAAAAACTGGAAATTTGAATTGAGCTCCAGTCACAGTCAAGCTCTGGAGACAGTGCGCTCCAAGAAGCGAAGTGCATGTGTGCCCACTCCCCGCCCCCAATCCGTGTCCTCAGCTCGCATTGTGTTGTGATTGCAGAAGCGTCCGTTGAAGCGGCCGCAGGCGTTCTCGCGAGTCCGTCAAATGCCGATTCCGTCGGGAAGCGCCCAACGACCGTGGGTGCCACAACGACCGCCGCCGCAGCAGATGTTCGCACAGCAGATTGAGCAGCAGCAGCAGAACTCGTTTGGCCAATGGGTCTGGGACCCGGTCTCGCAGCGATGGGTCTGGTCGCGGCGGATCCGAAAACACAATAACAATATGGTGCATCGGCGGAGATTTAAGCATTCTTTGGTTTAACGACTCTTTCTTCTCTCTCTCTCTCTCTCTCTCTTCTTTTTTTAATCGGGAAAATTGTGAATGTTTGTTGGCGGGTCGGCACCGTTTTTCTTTTTCTTTTTTTTTGCACACCCCTCTCCTTCTCCCTTCTTGGACACTTTTACACGTTTCTGGCCTATGAAAGCTTTAAAAAATGCTCAAACACGTGTCAAGTGTTCACAATTTTCCCCCCGTCGAAAAAACGTCTCTTTCCGATTTCATCTCATTTTTCCCGCTCCCGGTGCTTCTTCTCCCTTTGCTCTTGGATAATTTTCAAAAAAAAAAACCGCTCGGTGATTGCCTTTTTGCCCCCGTTCAAACGATGATGTGTGTCTGTAATAATTTGCAAACGATATTTAATTCTTCCTCGCCGTCCGATGTTTTCTAGAGAAAACTAAGTTTTTAGTCTTTCCACACCCTGTTTTTTTCCATTCCCCCCCACCCGGTCCACACAAAACAATGAATGCGGGCTTCTTCTCTCCTCCTCCTCCTCCTTTTTTTTCCGTTTTTTTGTTGTTGTGAAATTTTGAAAAAATGTCTGTAAATTGATTCTCTTTTATGGCTCTGTGCGTATCGTGTTTCACAAATGTTTGCATGTGTTTTACGGGTGGTTACGGTATTTTTGTGGGTGGAAAAAGGATTACGGTAGAGTTTTTCACGCTGGCTTTCAGAACAATTTAAGGCTTTTTGAAGGCCCGTCGAGGCCTGGACTTTTGACGGACTTGCAGTGATGCGATCGGACCCAAACTCTGCAGGCTTCGGGTCCAAGTTTCAGCCCGATCGGATCATCTGGTCCCGAGAAATGTGGATCATTCCGGGCTTTTAGGCCTTCAAGCACTATCTCGAGAGTAATTGATCCGATCAGGCTGAAACTTGGACCCAGTATACTTCAATTCAAGTACAAGAGGCCTGCAAAGTTTGGGTCCGATCGAATCATGGCAAGTGGGTGTAAAAGTCCAGGACAAGTTGCCCAGCCCTGAACAAAACATTTTGTCTCTATCTAGAGTCTAGAATCTTATCCCTCCGTTGGCCTTATTCTTTGAAATTCTAGGATTTTGATAGAAAATTGCTACACCAATTTCTCAATATTATAGATATTGTTGCAAATAATCGCACTTATCTTCGTTCTCAAAAATTGAACTAGATTTTCGATAAAACCTACCGTAATCCCCGCTTCCAATTTCTGCTTTTTTTTTTTCTTCATCGTCGTCTTTCATTGTGGGCCTAGAGGTGTGTCTTGACGTCACTGTATATATATATTCATACATAGTAATGCATATTATCCTCGAAAGTGCCCACGCATTCGGTAGTGTGCAGATTGGCATACCGACTGCGCTCGTCGCCCTCCAAATCGCCGTCGTCGTCGTCGTTTTGGCCGTCGGCGTGTACGCGTGCCGTCGTCAACGACGAATCGCCGATTCGTCGTCGGCCCCGCCCGTTTCCGATGACGTGGCAATGACACGGATGGACAACACGTCTTCTGGCGGAGAATCGGAAGAGGAGCTGATGCGTCGAGCGATTTCCGCGTCGCTCGAGGCGGAAAACGAGCGGAAAATGATTGAGAAGGCGCTCGCGGAGGCGGACAATCGATAGGAATCTCTCTTTTTTGCTCGTCAAATATAGGTTTTTATATTCTGCCATTACGGCGGCATTTCTCTGCAATCGATTGCAGTGAAACGCTCTCATAATGGCTGCTAAAATGCAAATCGTTTTCTTTTACGGGATCTTGTAGTTGTTGTTGTTGTTGTTGTGCTCAATTCCTCGCCTTTTCTGTGATTTTCTCTCCCGCCGATTTACGGGTTCATCTCTCTCTCTCTCTCTCTTTCTCGCCAATGTCAAACATTGCCTCCTCTTCTTTTTTTTATTCGTCTTGCCTCCCGGTCGTTGTCGAAAAATCCAGAAAATTGCTGAAATTTTGGTTTGATTGGCATGGTTTTTAAGACTAAATTCAAACCCCGGCAAAGACTTGAAATTGAATAATCGCACGCACTTTTTGTTCGAACATTTTCCCACTTCTCCGCGCAAAACTAACTGTTCACAATGTTCTCCCGCAAAGCAAAAAAAACACACTGTTTCCGATTTTTCGCATCAATTGCCCAATTTCTAGTCGACGGAAAACGGCGGAACCGAAACGCTTTTGGTGGACTTCTCGCGCGGAGAACGGCCCGAACCGGCGACACAATCGCGATTCTCGTCGTATCAAACGGGCGTCGCCTATCTGAAAAACTATTTCGATCACTTTTTCCTCAAAATGTTTGGCGGACAGGCCGGTCAGCGGCCGTGGCGTTGAACTGCTATTTGGGGAGTTTTGCAGTTGGATAATATCTTGCCGTGTACCTTTTATTTGTTCATTTTTCGAAACGCTCAATTTTCCGTCCCTATCTCTCTCTCTCTCTTCGTTTTCGGGTATTTTTTCCTCTAATTTATGGCATCTTTTTCATTTTATATTGCAAATTTCAGAATATTGACAAGACATCGGCAAGATTTATCCAACGTGCTTATCCTTGAAACAAACTTCTTTTTTTTGTCTTTCTTTTGAAAGCTAAATTCCATGTCAATTTATCCAAAAAAATGTTTATCGAGTACAGGGTATCCGCATCCGCATCATTTTCTATGCATTATCGATTGATTTAAGTTATTGTCTAGGCCCCATGATTCCATTGTTTTTTTTCTAGTCGACACGCTTTTCCATGTATTTTGGGGTCTCGCAACGAAACAACAATGAAAATGTTCGCTGCGAGACCCATTTTGCGAGCCCCCCTCACCCCCCAACGTTCATGTACGATTTTAGGGTGAAAATGCCACGGAGGTGATTGAGCGAAATCGTGACAGCGCCGAAGTGTCGGACGAGGAGAACTCGTACTGGCGATGGGTTCGCGAGCTGAAAAAGCAAAAGCTCCAAGAGCTGCACGAGCGAAAATTTGGCGGCAAGCAAAAAGAAGGCGAGACGACGAAATCGAACTCGCTCCGTGGCATTCTCCTCATTGTCTGTATTTTTATCGTCCTCATCATCATTCTGGTCGTATGAAGAACATTAATCGCGTGAAATTATCGATTTTTGAGGTGTGCGCAGAGATGGAGATGATTTCCACGAAATGCACCGAAAAATGCGCATTTGCCCCCCATCTCTGCACACTATTTTCAGATTTTTTAGGCGTACCGTAATCTTTTGCCCCCCCCCCCACAATTTTTCTGATTTTTGGTCGTATCCGTCGTGGTGTGTGTGTGTGTGTGTGTGTGTCCTTTGTCATTTGAAATATCTTAGTTTATTTTATGCCGCGTCCAATGTCTCGAAAAAACCGTAAAAACCGCAGATTTTTCTGTCCAAAGTCGGCCGAAATTTGCGTGAAAAACGGGGGTGTGCACAGCTCAATGAGTGTAACCGTACCCCTAAAACTACGGTATTTTTTGAAAATTTGTTAATTTCTTGAGGTTATTTGAAAATATTCAAATTTCTTGCGCAAATTTTCAAAAAATACCGTAGTTTTAGGGGTACGGTTACACTCATTGAGCTGTGCGCACCTCCGTTTTTCACGCAAATTTCGGCCGACTTTGGACAGAAAAATCTGCGGTTTTTACGGTTTTTCCGAGACATTGGACGCGGCATTACGCCTACGCTTTTTTGCTGATACCTCGCAATTTGCATGCTTTCCAACAAAAACGTTTTAATTTGTTGGGCCCCCTCCCCCTTTTTTTTTCTTTTTGAAAATGATTGTGAGAGACCGCAAACACATAAACACACACACACCACTGGACCGGGCGTTATAATATCGGAAAAATGGCAGATTTAGAACGAAAGATTACGGTATCGCCAATCGTTTCAGATCGAAGAGACGGCGCCGATCTCGTTTCCAGACTTGACATCGGCCGGAAATTGTCACGTCGAGTGCAACGGAGGTATTATTGATTGTCTCATGCTTCTCCAAGTTATTGAATCGATTTGAGGATGCACGGAATCCAACTCGGCGACGTCGTGCTTCGCGTGCAAACACCTGACTCAAACGCTGCGCAACAAGGGCGGAAGCGGCTTCAAATGTGTGCAAAAGTGCGATGACACGTACTATTTGGACGGCGACAAGTGCAAAATGTGCTCGTCGCACTGCCACACGTGCACAAAAGCAGAGGTTAGTCGATTACGAGAGGGCACATTTTGACCGCCAAACTTTGCACGCTTTTTGAATTTTGAAGAAAGGCCGAAAGCCCTGTTTTTGCGAACTATTCAATGTTCCATCACATCTCCAGACGCGGAGATCGATCCGTCTAAAACTTGGTCCCAAGCAGGGCTGGGCAATTGGCCGGCCCTTGACCTGGACTTTTGAACCACTTGCAATATTCCGATCAGACCCAAACTTTGCAGGCTTTGTTGACTTGGATTGAGGGCCATTGTGTCCAAGTTTCAGCCCGATCGGATCGTCGGGCACCGAGATATGTGGATCAGAGGCCGATTTTTTCCAAAAAGCCCGGGCTTCCGGCCAATCTCGGCCAATGATCCACATTTCTCGGGACCAAATAATCTGATCGGGCTGAAACTTGGTCCCAATATGCTTCAACCCATGTCCAAGAAGCCTGCAAAGTTTCGGTCCGATCGGAATATTGCAAGTGGTTCAAAAGGTCGGCTAACGAAAAGCTCGGGCCGGCCAATTGCCCAGCCCTGGTCCCAAATTACTTATTGGGCCTCAAAAAATCCATTGAAATAAGGTGGCACGAGGAAGTTAAACTATACTGATTGTTCTTATTGCGTGCACCGCCCGAAATGATTGTTGGCGAATGTTGTAGGTGTGCGAAACGTGTCCGGGAAGTCTTCTGCTCATCGAAGTCGACAATATGCCCCACTACGACCACGGAAAGTGTGTGGAATCGTGTCCGCCCGGCCTGGTCGCCGATTGTGAGTTTACCTCGATTCGGGTTTTCGAATTTCAAACGTTTACAGCACAAAAGTCTACAAACGGTGAGAGAGAGAGAGTACATTTAATCGAGTGTTTAACCAATAAACCAAAGCCCCCCTCCACTTCTAAATTCCTGTTTCGCATATAACTTTTGACTCCCGTTTAATCATTCGCAGCTCACCACCATGCATTTTCAAACCGAATCCTCATTTGCAGACGAGACGAACCTGGTGCAGGCGCGGTGCATCTGGCGAAAGGATCTCTGCGGCAACGGCTACTACATCAACGCCGTCGGCAAGTGCGATTTGTGCGATTCGGCGTGCGAAACGTGCATCGCGCCCGGACCGATGAGCTGCGAGAAGTGCGCGAACGGCTACGGAAAGGGCTCGATCGGATACTGTCGGCCGTGCTGTGCGCCCGGATCCGGAAAGGACTGGCACTGTGGTGGGTGTCGCTTTGTACTCATTTCTCCTAAAAAAGAGTGTGTCCGAAATGAGGGATTGGTGGTCCAAAAGTCTCAAATTCTGTATAAATTTGCCCGAAGGCGACCACGAGAAGTACACGGCGGGTGGAGTTTTCTAGTCCCACCGGCGAAAATGTTCATCTGTAGCAGAGTTGAGCGGAAATGGAATTTTGAAATCCGGAAGACGGCAGACGGCAGACGGAAGAAAAAATTTTTTACGGAACACGGAAAACGGAAGACGGAAGAAAACTTTTTTCCCGGAAGACGGCAGACGGAAGACGGAACAAAAAAATCCACGGAAGACGGAAGACGGAAGACGGCAGACGGAATTCCGCTCAACTCTGATCTGTAGCAAATCTTCTTGCAACTCGACTTTGTAGTGTACCCTTGCTCGGGAAACTACTTCCAAAACTCACCCGACAAAGCGTTTGTCGAGAAAAAATGGTTTCAGACAGCGTTATTCGAGTGCCGTACAAAAAATGGATAACCGCGTGAAATTTCATTAAAACTGGGGACTTGGGAACACGAAGAATGCCCCCCACTTTAAAAATATGTATATTTTTGTTTGCAGAAGACTGTTCGACGCAACCGCCGGAGCCGTCCGAATCCTCGGATTCCGGCTACGGATGGTTCTTCTGGATAACCGTCGTCGCCCTCTTCGGCCTCGGATTCTGGTCGTGCTGGAAGTGCGTCGCGGCCAACAGTTCGGCCGCGAATATCGAGTACGTCACGTTTGTGTGTCTGTCCGAATTTCCTCTTATTGCCACATTCGCTGTCCGAGTCCCAACTCTCAGAAATCCATATAAACGGAACAGTGCGCAGTTCGAGTTGTGGCTCTGTGGCTGAGAAAACTCCTAGGCCATGAGATCTTTCTTGCCACGTATTCACACAAATTAACAGCAATCGAGATTTGAGCCAACAGACGGTTGGCGTGAAACTTGATTTGAGCACTTATTAATCTAGCTAGAAGATTTATTAATCTAGCTAGACAATTTATTAATCTAATTAGGTGTCATATCAATCTTATTAAGCCGTAATAACGAAATGCCAGAGTTTTCTAGGCCGCAGTATATAAATCGAAAAAAAAACAGCCGAAAAAGTTGCAGATACGCTCCGCTGCCACACTACAACGCGACGAACGGAGAAGTGAATTTGGGCGTGAATTCAGATGAGGACGACGACGAAGACGAAGACGAACTCTTCACACATTTACCCGCTTCTCAGAATGTCTAGAAGCTCCCGTTTTTTCATTCAAAAATGATGCCAACTTTGTTCCGGGTATTCTAATTCTCTCTGTTAATGTTTCTGTTCTTTTTTTTTGTTGTTCATCACCAAAATTGCCTTCCCCTTCCCGAAATACGTGCAAAACCGCCTTCGTTTCGCTATGTGATTATTGATTTATTCCGGGTTTGTCTTTCTGTTGTATTCAACGAAATATATAAAATTTTAGCAAACTGATTTTAGCAAACTGAACAAACACCGATTTTTTTTTAGCGAGAAACGCCCGTTGTGAACAGATTATGCCCAGAAATGGTGACTTTGTTTTCAAAAAAACCGTGCTTGGATCGTGAAATGCCCTGATTATCGATTTCCAGCCCTTCTATTATACTGACGTTGTGGAGAATTGGGAGAAGAGTTTCAGTGTCGTCAAGTACAAAAAAGACACTGTTTTCAAGAACAACGATTGGTGGAATTCGTCAATTCTCAAATAATATTCTTTCTCGTTTTTAATTACTTTTCGGCTTTCCGTCATACATTTTGCAACTAGGAAACGTTCGATTCGCTATATGTCTGGAAGAAAATACATTCGTTTTTATGTAATTATTGATCAATTTGAAGATATAATAAATAATTTACTGCGATTACGCTAATTTACGCTAATTTACTGCGATTAGATTGCAAATTCTTCTAACTGGACTGATAAATTTTCTAATTAGATTGGCGAAGCTAATTAGATTGCAAAAACACTGATATTTGATTAAAAATTTATCTAATTAGATTAAAATTTCGGGCAAACCTAGCTAGATTATGTTTATATTGCAAAATCAGCTATTATAGGGGCACCGGACAGAAAGGGCGCGCTATTGAGAAGAGCCCGCGAAAACCTGGGGGACTCTAAATTTGAATGGTGTGAGAAGAGAAAGTTAGTCCGCGGCCACGTAGGCTGCTGCAGAAATTTTTGTTTTCCTTCTGTTTTTTCGTTTTTTTTTTTAAATAAATCGATTGTGTTCTCACCTTTTTCGTAGTGAATTTAATTAATTGTTTCTTTTTCATGTTCGAAATATGCGTTTCTAAACAGATTCAATCAACAGTTTGCACTATTTTTCGACTGCGATAGCTTTTTATAGAAATTCTATACATGAAAAAGAAAAAATTAATTAAATTCACTACGAAAAAGGTGAGAACACAATCGATTTATTTAAAAAAAAAACGAAAAAACAGAAGGAAAACAAAAATTTCTGCAGCAGCCTACGTGGCCGCGGACTAACTTTCTCTTCTCACACCATTCAAATTTAGAGTCCGCCAGGTTTTCGCGGGCTCTTCTCAATAACGCGCCCTTTCTATCCGGTGCCCCTATAATAGCTAGATTCAGAAATCGGTAGCAATCTAACTAGGTCCGGTTAGAAACAACGAGAATTAGCTAGTTAGATTAGAAACGATTTGCCTGAGTGCTCACATCAAGATCAGATCCGATTCCTGACCGGACTATTTTTTGTTGAACTCTAGGGGCCTTCCATCTGAAGTCTTCGGGTAGTCATCGTCAAGAAAGGAGGCCGGATGAATGACTGTTAGCTTATAAATGTTGTTAATCATCTTAATAATCGTTTTGTCAAGTTTCGTGTCTTTCTGACTTCTAGTTTTGCAATTAGAACAGATTATGCGCACAAATGTCGGCCTTGTTTTCCGAAAACGGTGCTTGGATCGTGGCTTGCCACCAATAATTGTGTGTAATTATGCGGAAGAGCCCCTAGTGACCCCGCACACGGAAGAGATATTGGACAAACGTGGAGGCGCAGAGAAGCCGGAGAAAAGGGTCTTATCGGCATGGTCAACCAGAAGAACGGCCCTCGCTCGCTCATTCTCGACCGCAATGCCCGTCGCTCGCACGCAGTCTCTATCCTATCCTAGTTTCGTGGCAATTATTTCTCACATGGGATTTTCCGACCGGTATACTCTTTTGTTTTCGTGTACATACAAATAAAGAAAATGCTCAAATTTAGAGTGAGCCTGGCGTCGCGCTCGATTGGATTTCGTGAACTTCACTTGAGAACCAAGTGTGTGATTCATCGCCTCGAGTTCAATCAACGGGAACTGAATTACTGCGGACATCTCAAAGTGGACGATGTCCGTTTTGAGTTCGAGCACGATGAACGCACGAATCAGGTTGAAGTGAGATGCGGAAACGGGAGTTGCATGTCACTCACGGGTATGTACACGGCAAAGTCCTACTTTCGGTACTATCTGACACCCGCCAAGTACGCGGTGAAACACATCGAGATACTGGTGAGCAAATATGTTATTACTCGCGGTGTTTTGCCGATTTTTGTGGACACCGTCGAATAAAATATAATTTTGTTTCGTTTGCAGCACTGTTACCAGCCATTCCACGGCCTATCCAACTTGAGAGTCCCGTCGATTAAGTGGACTTTTGGTCGCTACACTTGTTGTCATATGTTCTCTGCGTTTGCCGGAGGTCACATTTTTGACAAGCTGGAGTTGGTCGGGTGGAGTTTGGAGAACCTTCGGGAATGGCCCATTGAAATGTGCAAACATTTGGTCTACATTCGGCCTACAAATCGTTCGGAAGGTCCGATTTATGGACCGGACATAAAAAGATGTTTATGGCGTTCTGACACAAAACGGATAATACAGGCAACCATTCAGTGCTACCAACATCACATGGATTATTTATGTGAGGTACTTTGCGGGGACTGTATTTTGAGCACATCAACAAAAAAAAATCGTTTTAGATTGTTTTAGCAAGCTCAATTGGATCCTATTTAGCTGGCGAGTTTTCCGACAGCGAATGCTCCTTCTGGGAACAGCTAATTGATAAATATCCGAATGCGGTACAGTCAGAAACTTGTGGACTGTAAGTCTGTTTTCTAAATTTCACATCACATTTTCATTGAGAAAATTCAGAAAATATTTTATCATCGGTTCGGAGCCCGATTCGCTCACAATTGCTCAGATGAATGGGTATCGAGTGTTCCTGCCGGAAACCAATACGTTCACGCTGCTCAAAATTCCGGCCGATCGTCAAGAATACGCCCGAATTTGTGATCAGTTTGAGCATTTGGTAGATAAAGTGAAGTGGGCGCAAGTTGTGGAAGGTTTATTACAAACTTAAATTTGGGCATGCTGTCGTTTTGGTGAATTACAACGTGGCAAAATTGAGAAGAGTTTCAGTGCTGTCAAGTTCCAAAGAGACTCTGTATACTCAACTAGGTCCTTCGATTTTTGCATATCCGCGAGAAAATGCCTTTGTTGCTATGTAATTATTGATCAATTCCGCGCGTTTCTGTTGAATTTGACAAAATAAATATTAAAATGTACACACATTTTCGCGGATCTTCAAAATTCCTCAGCACTGCTGTAGTCCGAAGAGTTTTCGGTGGTCGCTCGTGGAGGAGCCAATGAATTTTCGGAATTTCCGACGTCTTCTGCAGATTTGAAATCCTCTTCTTCTTCTTCTTCTTCTTCTTCTTCTTCTTCTTCTTCTCCCTCTTCGCGTGTTTCCTGTCGTTGTTGATCAGGCTTCTCATCTTTGTCTGAAAAACAACATAATTTTTGAATTTTTTGGGGAAAATGCCTACCAGCCGCCTGCATGTAAAGAATATCGTCGAGTGACGGAAAACTGAAGTCGTCCTCGATTTCCGCCGATGCACCTTTTGGCGGAATGAACAGATTCGTGGTCTCTCTGCAAAAATGGAATCTTTCGGATCAAAAACCAGGGCTGGGCAAATTTCGACCCAAGGACTTTTGACCCACTTGCAATTATCCGATCGGACCCGAACTTTGTACGCTTCTTGGACTTGGACTGAAGTATATTGGGTCCGAGTTTGAGACCGGTCGGATCATCTGGTCCCGAAATGTGTGGGTTAGAGGCTTCTGGAGCAGATGATCCGACCGGTCTCAAACTCTGACCCAACATACTTCAATCCAAGTACAATCCAAGTAAGCCTGCAATGTTTGGGTCCGATCGGATAATTGCAAGTGGATCAAAAAGTCGTAGGGTCTAAATTTGCCAAGTTGTGTGTCAAAAAAGTGTCGAATACTCCAAAAAACCGACTTGAAAACGATCTTGATGGGGCCGAGCGAGTCGACGGTCCTTCCCGGATTGTGCTCGTCGAACGGATCCTCAATGTACACCGCTTTGCGCCACGTGAACTGCTGCTGTTGCTGAGACAAATCGACTCTGAAAAAATGAAACACTTTTTGCATTTTCTTGCTTCAAACTAACCGATTCATGACTCTGGCGCGTTTGATGGAAATGAATTTTTTGTCAAAATCAAATTTCGAGTAATAGAAGCAGAATTGCACGAAGAGCTCCGCCACATTTGCACTGTTTTTTGTGATTTCTGGAAAAGGATAAGTTTCAGGGAAGAATAGAAAACATTTCTAAAATACCAGGAAGAGGCCTGGGAAGTGGGGCGCCGAAATCCACGCGAGCCGGGAAATTTCTCTCGTCCACAGCCATGAAATTGTCGGCTGAAAAATGATTTTTTCTAGGCAAAATAATGAAATGGGTTGCTGTACCTGCATAAACTTCTCGAAGATTCGGAAGAATCGGCGGAGACGTTCCACATTGAAGAAAGTGAACTACGAGAAGGACGAGGGCGTAACTGAAGCACTTTTTGCATTTTAGCAGTTTCAAAAAATGTGTATTTTTCTTCAAATTCACCTGTTGAAACCGCCTTCCTTCGGCTTTTTCACTTCTGTACTCGCCGCCCACTGCTTCACAACTGCACACAACGGGGCGAAACGCGAATCCAGACTGAAAGGAATTTTTTAATTCAAAAAATCATCATTCCTATTAATATAGCTCTTGGGGGGTTTGTCCCCTTGTTAGTTTGCTTATTTCTCCGTTTGTCCCTCTCCACGGCCGCTTTCGAGCGTTAGCTCGGACTGCGCATTAAAAGTCTTGTAAATGAATAAAAACGTACTGTACAAAATAGCGAATCATGAGCGAATTGTGCATCGAAGACAGGAATTTATCGAGAACGACACTCACATCGCACTCGATCTCATCAGTTGTCTCTATTTTTAGGATTTGGATCTGAAAGCATTCTATATGTTTAAATGATACCGTGTAATATGAGTACGAGGGCTTTCTCGTAGGCTCTATTCCCGCTTAGCAAACCTGTGCCATGACCAACTGAACGCCCTTTTCCAAATTGATTCTCGAACGGATTTGCTCGTCATTCAGCAAAATTCGTCGGATAATTTGAAGGATTTCCAGTTGAGTTCTGGAAACAATTGAAATTTTCTTTAGTTACATCACTGTCTCCCCTTCGGCGAAAAAAAAAATTTTCGCGCGCTTTTTTGCGTGCGGCTCTCAGTGTCGATTTACGGGAGACGGTTTTTCAACTGAAAACACTGTTTTCCCGAGTTTTTGGGTTTATGCACACTTTTCCTTCAAAACTTTTGTCTCACGTTTGTTCATATGACCGATAGCTACAAATTGATCACAGAGTGCTCGTGTAAAAGTGAAAATTCGAAAGGTAATTTCGTTTTTTAAATTTGGCTTGAGAAAACGCGAACTTTCGGAAGTTTTGAGAAAACAGTTGACAGAATCGAAAAACAGTTGCCTCACGATTGTTCAGCAGACAAAGGCGGTCATTTTGAGCACAGAGACGGCCCATAAAATGCAAAAATGACTGAGAAATTTCAGTTTTTGAGGATCCGGACTGAAATTCACAGAAAAGCGTAATAATGCGCGCTTTCTTGTCGGCAAAACGCTAATTTAAGGTCACAGCTGTCATTAACAATTCGAAAATTCTCTGTTTTACTTTATTTCTCTCATTGTCGGGTGAAATTTCGGGATTTCGGAAAAAATACAGAAATTTCAGTTGTTGCGTTTGTTTTCAACGACACTATGTTTTAACGCGGCGCTCTGGGGGAGACAGTGCACATTAAAAAAAGTGAAACCTACAATCGTTTCTCGGAATCAGTCAAACTCTGTATGAGAAGGGCCTGCGGAATATGAATGGCCACATCCAGATCGCTGGATTTCGTGGCGAGTCCCGAGACGGACGATCCTGTTGGCACGACGTCGAAAATCCACGTGGGGCAGTGTTTCTGGATGACCGCCTTCAGTTGAGCACAAAAATCCATTTTCCGATAAAACTCTTCTTTTGGCTGGAAAATTCCCATGTTTTGCTAAAAAAAATCTCAAATTTTCACGGGAAACCTGCTTCTGACGCTCAAAATATTGATCCATATCGATTGCCAAATTGACAAAATCGTCGGGAAACGCGTCCAACAAGCGCGACTTGTAGCTTTTGTGAAATGAGCGAATCGGAGCACTGTTCGAATGCACACACCACGCATTTTGGTCGTAATCGCGGTCAGAGGAGTTCGATGGTGCATTCAAATTCACTGCCGGAAATATACTCATTTTCTGCAATTTTCAGCGATTTTTAAAGCACTTCTTCGTTGAAAACTTCTCACTGGGCGCCGGTGGCGACTCGACGGCGACCTTTGGAGTGTCGTAATGTCGCCCGGTTTAGCAGAAGCGGCATTTTCACAGTTCGCCAAAGAATTCGTTGAAGATCAGAAGAGAACAAAAGTAAAAAAGAGAGAAGTAAAAGTGAATATTTTACAAATTCGAAAACACATTATCGAAATCCATTTCACATTTTTTTTTCTTCCATACAGCAAAATCCCTTTAGTTTTAGAAAATGTAGTGAAATTGATGCTGGAGATGCTGCCCTTCCAGCATCCGGGGGAGACGTCGTGAGATTCTGATGGGCGAGGTTTCTGAGAAGGTTTTTCTGAATCGTTGCCCATCATAATTCCACTTTGACAGCTTGCGCTCTTCCACTGCTTGCAGCAGACTTCTGATGCATTCTCCAGGCTTCTCAGAAACCTCGCCCATCAGAATCTCACGACGTCCGCCCCGGATGCTGGAAGAGCAGCATCTCCAGCATCAATTTCACTACATTTTCTAAAACTAATGGGATTTTGCTGTAAGGAAGCAAAATAAATGTGATATGGATTCCGAAAATGTATTCTAATTTTTTCTCGTGTTCTTAAGCTGTTTTACTTTTATTCTCTCCTGATCTTCAACGAATTCTTTGGCGAACTCTGAAAATACCGCTTCTGCTAAACCGGGCGACATTACGACACTCCAAAAGTCGGCGACAAGTAGCCGCCGGCGGCCAGTGAGGCAAAAGACTCAGTTTTCGGCGAAATTTCCATCGATCTTCGTCATTTCTCGAGCTGAAAATGACCGACGAAGAGGCCGTTTATGTTGGCGAAGAAACGGCGGCCACAAAACCAGCGCCGAAATGGTAAATTGTTGCTATACACATTTTTCTGATAAATTTCAACTTTTCAAAAGTTTCAGGACGGACAACGCCACGTCGCAGAGGGTTATCAACAATTTGGAGAAGTTTGTGCTCAATCAGAACCTCGATAAAAGCTACAAGAAAATTGTGAGTATTTTTCTAAGTTTTTTTGAAAAAAAAAGTTTAAAAAATTTAAGGCGAACGAAGGCATTTCGAGCAGTAAACGGACGCTCGAATCGTTGTTGGCTCGAAACGGCGGACATCAGAACCGGTGCGGCGGCGAGATGACGTCGGACCGGCTTAACAACAAAAATTACACGTTGGACGCGAACGGACGGGTCTGTCTGGTTCGGAATTCGTCGAATGAGATCAGCAGACATCAGGAGGTGAGCAGAACTTATTCTGAAATGCACAAGTTCAATTATTCAGCTACTTTGCCTCCAAAAAGACACGCACGAACTGCGGTGTCTGCGCGAATATCTTATGCTCGCCCTGGAGGCAATTATGCACAATCACCGCCAGATGATGGTCAAATATGTGAAAAATGTGAACGAACAGCCCGTCAAAATCTCGCAAGACGCCATCGACACTGCGCTGGTGAGTTGATCGGTTTCGGTGTTCGACCCACAAAACAATTCCGACAATTTCCAGGCGAAAGCAAACACGCAAATAGTTCGAAACTTTGCCGAAATGGCCGTCGCCGTCGACGAATCGATCGCCCGCGAAGAGGTTCGGTCGGAAAATCGGCGGAAATTGCGAAACGACATTGAAATGGAGACGTTTATCATGCGGATGATGCTCGAGATGGAGGACATCCGCGAGGTGAACGTCGACGAACTTGTCAGCCTTTGGAAGTACGATTTTTACTCGAAATTGTGCGAAAATTCAGAAATCCTCCCGTTTTCCAGAAGCCACGAACGTCCTCCGCCGACCACAAAACTGCCGCCTTCCGAAGTGAATAAAGCGGCCGGTGATGCTCCAAAATAAGCAAAAGTCATTTAAAAATTGCCCATCTTTCTTTCCGCCCTGTTTCATATCAAAAACCCACAAAATTTGCACTTTTTCCCCATCAATCTCCTCATTTCCTGTACCCAATTTACTCGCATCTTTTCGTCGAAAACAACTGAAGAAATTACCGCTAAGACCGCTAATTTTTCTGTATTATTTCTCTTTTTTTTTCTATCCGGGCCCTTCTTTTTCCTCTGTCCTTTCCAGTTCTACTTGTAATTCCCTAAAATGCCCACGCTTTTACTCCAAAATGACACTGTAAACTGTACTTTTATCGCCAAAAATTTCGCCTTTTCAGCTTTTCATTCACTTCGACAATTACCGAATGTTATCTGGCAGGAACTCAATTCAATGCGAAACTCTCAAAACAAAAGAGCTATCATAACAACCATTTATTTTATTATTAAAATCATCACAACTATTTCACTTTGCGAAGCGGCTTTCCCTCGTGGTCGTGTCCGATCTCGTGCGTGGCCGACGTCTCGACGATGTGCACGCGACGGCCCCCCGACGGCTGGCCCGAAGAAATGGCACTTTTCGTCGGCGGTCTCAGGCTCGGAAGCGCCTCGCGGTACGCCGCCGCAATCAAACGAACGTCGTCGTTCATTTGCACGGACGGCGGTTGCAGCAGCTGAAAATTCAAGTTTTTTTTCCAGATTTTGCTCTTTTCTCGCCAATTTTGAAAAGTCTGCTCTCTTTTTCTTGCCACGGTCTCCCACGGCGCGAATGATTTCAATGGGGCGCACTTGCAACAGGCGGGCTGTGTCGATTTACGCGGCGGCCGACTAATTAATTTTCAACGGGAGTTCGCGTTCTTTCCATGTTTTCTGTACAATACACCTATTTTTTTGTACGCTTGGAACGTGGATTCGAATAATTAGAGCACTAGCTACGTCTTAGTAACAGAAATCTCACATATCGTTGAGAATTAGCCGAGTTATTTCGATTTGAAGGTTTTGGCCTGGATTTTGATGTTTTTCGAATCGTTTTCGAAAACTGCTCAAGAAAACTAACCGCCGGAACCTGAATTTTGTGAAGAAAGATTCAGCAAACATTTTTATCGTTCGTTGGGCTCATGAAATGCAAAATGAGCTGAAATATAAAGGTTTGAAGTTTTGGCGAAATGCGAAAAAGAAGCTAAAAACATGAAAAACTCGAAATTCTGTAAAGAACGGTTTCCAATCAGTAAAATATTGTTTTCTAGACGTTTTTCAAGTCAAAAAGAAAGAAACTCGAATTGAACTGCATTTTTAGACCTGCAAATTTTCAAAAAAGTTACAACGACACTCCGCAATTTACGAGCGCACTGTGTTTAGCATTCGCGCCCTGGGAGACCGTGGCGATTGAAAAATTGAAAAATCGATAAAAATTGCAGATTTTCAAATGAAAACTTTCAGATGGCGTCTTACATTGGCGGCCAGCGCGTGTCTCGCCCACTGTTTCGCGTCGATCGAATCGGGGCGCTCGACGACGAACGTCACCCTGCCCTTCTCCTGAATGTTCTTGACGAGCAAGTCGCGCGCCACGTCCTTGTCGGTCACCGGCACTCCGTCCACGTCGCACAAGTGATCGCCGAGCACCAGACACTTTTCGGCGAGCGAGCCCGGATCGACACGCGACACGAGCACACGGTTCTGCAAGAGAGCGGTCGAAATCGAAAATGAGCAAACGGACCTGAAAGTGTTTGATGCCGAGCCCGAGTTTCGGACCGTTCTGCGCCCAGACGAGGGTGGCCAACTCGTAGACGTAGCCGTCGCGACGCTGAATAATTCTCGCCCGATCTTCGGGAATGTTCACCCGCGCCTCGAGCTCCTCCGCCTTCTTCTCGTCGCGAATCAACGTGATGCGGGCGAGCGGCGCGGCGTAACGCAACGCGCGGAAAAAGTCGTTCGTGTCTTTGCACTCGACTCCGTTCACCTTCTTCACCTGGTCGCCGATCTGCGAAAAACGCGCGTGAAGAAGACGCCGAACTTTGTGACCCACTCTGAGTTTGCCCTCGGAAATCGTGCCCGCCTGGATCTTGGTGATGACGAGTTTGTCGTTGGGCGTGGCGCCGAGCGGCTCGCCCTCCTCCATCTCGATTCCGATTTCGATTTGCTTCTCGCACCAACTCATCCTTCTTTTGTTCGCTTCTTCGCACTCGAAGGCTTCTTTCTGTACGAAAGGCCCAAGGTCATGAGGATAGTGGAGTAGGGAAGCGAGTTAGGGTTTCAGGACGGACACGTGGATATTCTCTGCACGACCATGGCTCATACACTTTTGATTGTTTCAAGTGTTACCTTAAACTGCACTAGAACGGCACCCCGATTCATTCAAGAAGCTATTCAAGAAGCTACTGAGCTGCCGATAGCGATATCGAAAAAGTGTAAACTGACAAAATGTTCAGCATAAAATAATGTACATTTTACTCGTACGCACGGTCTCCAGAGCTGACAATATGAGCGTCGCCTCGGCGGCCAAATGGCGTTTTCCTGAATTGAGCTGGTTTTCTCTGATTTTTGTCGTCAACAGCGATGAAAAATGATTGTTCGACATGAAAACACACGAATTCTCACAGAATTAATGACGTTTTGGCGCTCATTTTTCGCGGACTTTGCTTTTTCGCCTTCGCCGCCTAAAAACCGCACTTCTCATATTTTCTTGACCGTTTTCCGACAGAATTGGTTTTGAGAATGATAAATAACGTAAATACAAGCATTTTGAGCGCTCGAACCGCGAAAATTACCGAAAAGCAACTGAAATGCACGCAGTTTTAGCCAAAAACCTTCAAACTGATAAATGTGATTTGCGACTTGATCAAATTTAACGCTCTTGCGCTTAAAAAATTCGTAATAGCCTATGCAATCGGTGAATCGAGAGAAAAATCAGAAATTATCGATTTTTCGTGGCTGATCTGGCAAAAAACACAAATTTCGCTGTTAAAAAAAAATTGCGCTCTGTTCGCAATCTGGCCGAATTTCTAGGCCGCGAAGTAATTTTCCACTGAAAACGTGGCCCGAATTTTTAAAACTCGGCCCCGAGGTCGCTCAATTTGCACTGCAAAACGAGTTTCTCAACAGAGCGCCATTTCTGTGCGGTGGTGCCCCTATAATAAATTACGCGTTTCTAGTGTAAGCGTGAGCTTGACCTTTTCCGCGTTCCAACTACGTGTCATCATGTTTGATATCTGTTGAAAGTGTGTGTGTGTTTATTCCTACTCTCTGTGCCCAATGGAAAAATGATAAAAATCACATTCTTCTTCGCGATTTCCATTCTCCTTGTGCTCCAAAGTGTGACGGTTCACTGCTACCTGTAAGCAATGTTTCAACAAAAAAAGGAAAGTTAAAGTTAATTTTGTTTGAAGGGTACCGCGCACAACTTCAACTACAACTGAACGCTCATCATCGACATCACTCCCTATGCGCACTTCTTCTTCTTCTTCTTCTTCTTCTTCTTCTTCTTCTCCCTCTCCTTCTTCGTCTTCGGAAATTCCGTCGACACTCGGTCCGTGGGTCTCATTCCAAGAACCCGAACGGCTCAATCCGTACGTGTACAGTGTCTCAGACACCCCCACATTCTTCTCTTGTCCACTTTTTCTTCTCGTCTTTTGGTTTCTATGAGATAAAAATTGTTTTATAAAAGAGTGCAACGCTTTTTCTGGTCTCTTTTTCTTGCAACTTTTTCAGAGACCACAATTCAAGTGCAGTTCTCTGTAGCTTGGCTTTCTTTCATTCGATACCAGTGTTGAGCGGAATTCCGTCTTCCGTCTTCCGTGGATTTTTTCTTCTTACCGTAAAACAGTAATAGCTTTTCAAAAGCCATTTACTAGCCCCAAAGAACGCGAATTTTCACGGGCAGTGAGTGACCCAGATCCAAAAATTGTGTTGCTTTCGTTATTTTTTTCAAAAAAAAACCCGGAGAAAAAGGTTCTGCATTGACGATTTTTTGTTCCGTCTTCCGTCTTCCGTCTTCCGGGAAAAAAGTTTTCTTCCGTCTTCCGTTTTCCGTGTTCCGTAAAAAAATGTTCTTCCGTCTTCCGTAAAAAATTTTCTTCCGTCTTCCGTTTTCCGTGTTCCGTAAAAAAATTTTCTTCCGTCTTCCGTTTTCCGTGTTCCGTAAAAAAATGTTCTTCCGTCTTGCGTAAAAAATTTTCTTCCGTCTTCCGTTTTCCGTGTTTCGTAAAAAATTTTTATTCCGTCTTCCGTTTTCCGTGTTCCGTAAAAAAATGTTCTTCCGTCTGCCGTCTTCCGGATTTCAAAATTCTATTTCCGCTCAACTCTGTTCCCCATTCCTTCCATTTCCATTTTCTATGACCCAACCTCGACAGGTTCTTCTCTCGCCAGAAGTGCTCTGCATCCGAGAGAGAAAGAGAAAAAGTGTCCGGTTACCATTTCTCTGCGCTCTCTCGCTCTCCCCACACTCTCTCGTTTCGAATGTTTTGGAACAGTTACAATCCGAGTGTGAAGGGTCAATCGGGAGAGAGTGGCCGATGCACCATGGGCATGCGCGCACACGTGTTCGCGTGAATGATGGATACGGTATGCGGGCGGACACTTTGCAAATGATCACTGGACGTTTCGCAACCATCGCTCACTTTGCAACTTTTGATGTTTTTGGCGGACATTTCGCAACCAGTTTGATTGTTGCAAAACGTCTGGTTGCAAAGTGTTTCTGGACTAAAGCAGGAAAGACGTTTTGCAACCGCTCAACGACAATTTCACTTTACAAGAGTATGTTTTTCAACATTGCAACCAGATTTCGAAAAAGCGTGGTTGCAAAGTGTCCAGTTGCAAAAAGGTCGCGCCCAGAGCGAAGCATCCCATCGATTTGGCGGATAATAACCGGAAGTGAGTGCCCTAGATATTGTATAACTATTCATACAGAATCGAGAATCGTCAAGTGCCAAAAACATGCAATTCCTTGATCCTTGAGGGACCATGTCAGCAAATAATCGTTCTGCTGCCAAGTGGAACGGGACCAACTGTGCACGGAAGCGCGTGGTATTCGATATTGCTGTTACGCAATTCGTAATCATCACTCGTCTCAGTTGCCCGTGTGGGTGTCGAATGGCTGCTGCCAACTTGGAGTTTGGCTCCCCCCGCTTTCAGAGCACATTAATATTCTTCTAGACCCCCCACGTTGAGTGATTGTTGCAAAATGAGACTTCATTCACATTTCGCAACTGGAGACAGACGTTTTGCGTCCAAAAACGTAAAAAAAGGGGCGGTTTTAGCGCGAAATTCGAAATTTAACCCGATTTTTCATGTTTTTCGTAAAAAATTACCCAAATTTTGTACGATTTCGACGATATAATTGCATAACTTTGTCGAATTAATCATCGCGCACTTTTTGAGCTTAAAACGAGCAGGTTTCATTCGGAAATGAATCAATTGACGCGATTTTCAAGTTTTGTGCTGAAAATGAGCGAATTTCAGTCATTCGCCGATACTTTTTGCCGTTTCAGCGCTTAAAATACTTGTATTAACGTGCTTAATCACTTCCGACACTAATTTCGTCTCAAAACTATCCAGATCGGCCGGTGCGAAAATTCCGAATTGCGAATGATGCCAAAAACGTCTCAAACGCGGCGTTTTCACGAAAATTTCAATGTTTTCTCTCTTTAATGTCTCTTCTTTCATCGATATAAAACACGCAAAAATATCAAAAAAGTGTGCTGGAATTGCGCGGCAATTTTCAGAAAACGTGGCGTCTCAGATTAGGCCACGCCCCCCTTTTATACACTTTTGGCTTTATTTCACTTTCGACAGACTTCTCGTCTGCACTAATCATCCATTAATATAGTCGAGAAGTCGTCCATTAACCCCTGCACCACCACCACCAGATGCTGTTTCTGTTGCTCCTATTGCCAACTTTTTCCATTCCTTTCCTTCTTCCCAAAAATTTGTTTATATTCGTCTAAGCTCCCTCTCTCTCGCTCTCTCTCTCTCTCTGCTACCGTATTCCTCCGAATCAGAAAGAGAGAGAGAGAGAGAGGAAGGAAGAAAAAGTGGGCGGAGCTTGGAGCGATGGGGAGATGGCTCTCACTTATGCAATGAGGAGATATCTGAGGGCGGAGAGGTCATTAGGTCATTGCGTGTGGGTCACCGACAAGTTTATGACCTCTCTTCCCGAATCGGCGACATGTTTTTCATTGTTAAACTTTCTGAAACGTTTTGAAAAGTCTGTTAAGAAAAATTGTTTTTTTTTTCAGGTTTTTCCCCCTACTCTCTCTTATCGACACGCCTTCTCGATTGTTGAAATGACGTCAATGGACTGGTAAGTGTATAGGCTACCGTAATCGTGACTCCCACTTTAAACGAGTATTGTAGAGTTGATAGACATTTTTTGGAAACTCTTCAAGTCGAGTACATCAATTTTTCAGTTGATCACTTTTTTGTACGAGCACTCCTAAGCGAACTATGGTCCTTGGAAGTTGGGATACGTTCAATGGGTATCTTGACTTCCAATCACTACAGTACACTTCAGAGGGGTCGTATCAAAAAGTGGTCAACTGAAAAAATGACGTACTAGACTTGAAGATGCTCCAAAAAAATTTTGAAAAGTATACGACTCTTACAAAGTCTACAATACTCGTTTCAAACTTGTCATTTTCTTCTTTGTCCCTACCGCATTTCTAGCGTCTGTTTGTGGTTTCGTGTGCTCTATCTTGAAAAATTTATAGAGCACTTGAACCTCAACCACAAAGTGTCAAGTTTTCAGGCACTGTAGTCCCTAATAATTTCAATTCCAACTTCCAGAGACTACAGTAATCCGGGGAGTGATTGTACCAAAAAGTTGTCAACTACAAAAGTAAAGTCCATACCTAGGACAGTATTTTTGCAATTGACAACTTTTCGGTACAATCAGTCCCTGGATTACTGTAGCGCTTGGAAGTTGGGATGGCTTCAAGTACTCGTAAAGCTATCCCAACTTTCAAGGACCACAGTACCCTTAGGAATGATCGTATCGAAAAGTTGTCAACTATGAAAATGAAGCTCATTTGCAGCTCGCCAACAACGACGTTCTCGTTGGCCGACGCGCTCGTCCCTCTGAATGTAAACGGTCCCGTTCAGTCGGCCGCTCCGCCCACGCATTCCGCTCTCGACTCTTCGTCGCCCGATTACGAGGACGACGACGAGGAATTGGAGGAGGAAATCGAAGAGGAAGAGGGAAAAGAGAGCGACGGATCGTCGGCGAGAGGATCTCGGAAGCGGAAGGAGAAACCGCCCTACTCTTACATTGCACTTATTGCGATGGCCATCGGGGTTCGTACTTTCACTTCTTTTTTCTTTTCTTTTTTTCAAACTAATTCTCTTGAATTCCCAATTGTTCCAGAAACGACCGGACAAAAAGGCGACGTTGGCCGAGATTTACACCTATTTGCAGGAGAATTTCGAGTTTTTCCGCGGCGAATACGCCGGTTGGCGCAACTCGATTCGCCACAATCTGAGCCTCAACGAGTGCTTCGTCAAGTTGCCCAAAGACACCGGCGAGAGGTAGGTAGGCACCCATTTCTTCGAAGTACGCCATTTGTCTAGGTTGACGATCACTTCTAAACGCACTGTAGCTCTTGGAAGCTGGCACTCAAAAGCATAACTTTCAAGAGCTACAGTAATCCGGGCAGTGATTGTACGAAAAAGTTGTGAATTGCAAAAATACAGTCCATACCTAGGACCGCATTTTTGCAATTGACAACTTTCCGCTACAATCACTCCCTGGACTACTGTAGCTCTTGGAAGTTGGGATGGCTTCGAGTTCTCGTAAAGCTATCCCAACTTTCAAGGACCACAATACCCTTAGGAATGATCGTATCAAAAAGTTGTCAACTACAAAAGTAAAGACCATACCTAGGACATTGTTTTTGCAATTGACAACTTTTCGGTACAATCACTCCCTGGACTACTGTAGGTCTCTTCTGAAAGTCCAGACAGAGTCTAGATGTCAAAAACGAGTAAAAAAAATGAATTGCACGCATAATTTGTAGCTATCGCGGTCGAAAAGGTCACAAATGGACGATCAGTCCGTCGAGCGAGTACATGTTGGAGGAGAACGGATTCAGAAGACGTCCACGTGGCTACAAGGCACGCAAACGCACTCATTTCGCGGCCGGCGACGTGGCAAACGAGGTGAGAGTGAGAGACACACTTCTTTTTTTGTTGTTTCGCACAAAATTTCGTCGATCGAGTGTCGAGTTGTGCGCGCCAGTCACGTGGCGGCGCTAACGACGACAATTGGCGTGATTGATGAGGGGGGCGGTGTGAACACGTGTCAATGCAAAACCAACACGAAACACACACACGATTTATTCGAGTGTTGCACAAAGAATTGAGCCGACGGACGAGACGACAAATGAGGAGGAGGATGGCAATTTTAGGGATTTTTTATCGCGTAAATTCGAGCTAGAAAATTTGACGACATTTTTTCAAGGTGGCCTTTGCGATTTTTCCCACCGATCAGTCTGAAATTCAATCGGGCGGTGTGCACAAAGAATGGGAAAGCGACAGTAATCGTCAATTGAAATGGGAGACACTTTCGCGGACTCTTATAAACAAATTTATGAGCACACACACATGTGTGTGTGTGTGTGTGCTCCGAAATTTGGAGGGGAACCTTTTTCTGATAATTTTGCGAAAAACGAACAGAATTTGAATGCGATTGCAGCAATCGTACGATTTTCCGTGCTCGACGACCGATTATTCCGATTCGACGACTCCGATCGGAACGACTATTCCGAAGATGGAAGTGGAGGAGGACACGCCCACTTCCGATCCGCTCGTCTCGTCCAGTAAGCACTTTTTGAGCTGAAAATAGGAAAAATTGCTTGTTTTGCAGCGAGCACAATCGCGTTGCCTCCGCTGCTTCCGCACGATCAATCGCCAATCTATCCGAATGCGGCGGCGTCGTATTTCGGATACGGTTCCGCCGAAATTCCCATGCAATGGGCCTCCCCCTCGTAAGTTTGTTTTTTTTGGGAATTTTTTCTAGATTTTCAAGTCATGTTTTGCTTAAAACCCAGTCAATTTGAATTTAAAAAAAAACGCAAAACTTTGCAGGTACGACTGGTACTACACTTCGACACAAATGGGCTCTCTGTGCTCGCCGGACTTCCCGGGAATGTGCCCGTCCCCGTCGATCACTCCTCAAGTCTCGCCCTATTTCTATCCGCCCGTCGCCGCCGTCGCTCCGCCGACTTTCAACACCGACGACTGGCGCTTCTCGTCCTCCGCCTTCCACGGATCCGCGTTCCTCTCGCCGAATCCGTCTTCCTCGGCCTCTGCCGTCGGCGCCGCCCAAATTGATCATCTCGATTGTTGAGAATGTGTGTGTGTGAATCTGAATACCAATAAATTAATAAAGCATACAACCTATCTAGCGGCATTTTTGGGATACAGTTGAGCCGGGGAGATAAATTATATCAACTTTATCTCTCTGAAACAAATACATCCGTGGGAGGAACGAAGGGGCGACATGTGCGTGGTGGAAAAGGGAGATAAAAGTATGAAAAAGAAGGGTGTTTGGGGAAAGAAGGAGCAAAGTGCCTAACAATCTACACGCGCTTTCAAATTTTGGAGGAAGGGAGGCTTTACAGAACGATTTTAGAGAAAAATTACAATAATCTACTATAATTTTTTGTTAGAGAAACAGAATTTTGGAGACATTTGTGGAAATGAGATCAATGCCCAGATCGTTGCATGAAAAGGGACTGATAACAATGGGTGATCAAGGGGATTCCACGTTTCGACACGAAATAGAGGAAAGGGGGGATGAACAAGAAGAAAAACGGGCAACAGAGGTATTTAATAGAAGTGGTACATCTAGAGGGCTCCGAATCGTTCACGTCCTTGGGTCGAGTTACGGACACTGAAAATACGAGAAATTCTTCTAAATCATTCAAAAACTGAGCACTCACCACTGCTGCAGAAGGTACTGCGCGCTGTGGATTTGCTGCTCGGTTCCCTTGATGGTTATGATGCGTTCAGGCTGTCCGTTGCTCTGTTCGAGCGTGATCTGCGCGCCCGAATCCTGACGAATGCGCGCGATGCGCTCACCACCACGTCCAATGATTGTGCCGCCTAGATCCGACGGAATCGTCACCTGCAAAAGCTTTAGTTCGTTGTCGTCGACGAGCCCTCTACGATGACCAAGTACCTGAGCGGTCTGCACTGGTCCTCCTCCGCCCGGTCCGTATCCGTAGCCGGCGGCGGTTGGCGCTCCGAACTGTCCTTGCGGCGGGTATCCCGGGGCAGCGATCGCGTATCCTGGCACCGGTCCTGGTCCCCCACGGAATTGTTGTTGGAAGTCGCCGGCGTCGAATGATCGTGGGCCGGCTCCTCCTCCGCCTCCTCCCTGATTCAGCCCGCCTCCGTAGCCTCCTCTCGGTCCACCCTGTGGTCCTGGTGGTCCACGTGGTGGTGGCGGTCCTGATCGGTTGTTCGGAGGTCCTCCACCACCTCCTCCGGACGGCAAGTTGCCTGGGAAGCCGCCGTACTCGGAGATGCTCGATGGATCGTAGTTGAACGAGGGCAAGTACGGCGTGGCGGCTCCTTTGATCGGAATCTCCTTGAGCTCCTTCATAACCTCCTCAATGATCGAGAGCACGTTTTTGGCCTCTCCGGATGTAATGAGCACACGGTCCGTCGAGCCGGGAGCGCATCCGGTAAAGATCTTGAGACGGGCACTGCATTTGTCCCGCAGCTCCTTGATTTTCGAGCCGCTTCGCCCGATGAGCGCTCCGGCGTGCGACTGATGGATGAGCATTCGGAGCTCGCAGGGATCCCGTTCGGAGAAGTTCTGAAAGAATGGATTTCTCAAGTTTGCGAGAAATTTTCTACAAAAAGCCACTATTTTCGAGAATTTTTGCGGAAATTCTAGTAAAAAGCGAACGTTCTTAGAAGACTTACATCCTCGAGGCGCGGCAGAATATCCTTCAGTAGCCCCAGAATCGTCTTTTCGTCGGCGGTGAGCGTGCAGACGCTGAAAAAAATTGAATTATGAAAAAAAACCAGAATATGAGAAATTAGGAACTGTGAAAGGAGTTCTTGGGAATACAATCGAGTTGGGCAACAATTATGCAGATTCTCAGTGTTTTTCATGGATGGATGGGCGGGGCCTGGTGTATTGGTAGAAGAATCATTACCGTTCGGGGGTGTTGGAGTCGGGGACTTGGACATGGGCGTTGAACTGCAAAAAGAGAAGGGGTGAGGAGCAAATCGGGACGCTAAATGGGTCAGAAAGGCGGAAAACGGCCGGAGAGTGGGGCTAGAAAGCTGGAAAACATCATTTACCTCGGAGCGGAGACGCTTGATGTTCTCGCCACCTTTTCCGATTATCGCTCCCGCCGACTTGCTGCTCACGAGCAGACGACACTCAAATTTGCCCTGCTGGATGGCCTCGGTGAACCTGAAAATTCGATTTTAGGCATTTGACCGCGAAATCCCAAAAACGACAACTTACCCGTCAGTTTTCGGACGCTTGTGACGACCGCTGCGATCCCCTTCGTCGGCATCATGTTCTCGTTTCATAGCCTGCAAGATTTCCAGAATTTTAAACAAGTTTTAGCGAAAATTGAACAATTTTTAGGGGAGAACGGCCTAATGGCAGCGAAAATTGAGCGCGACGAACGCGAGAGACGCAGACGCGCAAAATGCAGTGCGAGCGTGCGAGCGACGCGTTTCTCCCGACAAATTACGTGCCAGCAACGAGCCATGACCCGTTTCTCGCCCATTTTTGCGAGAAATTCAAATTCACACACCTTTGGACTGTTCGCGCTCATCGCATCCATTTTAATCATCATTGTGACGATTTTGAGAGACAAGTTTGGAATCTGCAAAAAACATCGATTTGGGAGGATTTCGGCGGGTAAAACGAGAAAATCAGTGGGAAGTTAGCACAATGTCTAGTGTTCTGGAGTACAGATAAGTTTTGCGATGACAATTGACGAAAAACCTGCAAAAAAGAGCGAAAATCCGTTGAGAAATGAGGCGAAATCGGGAAAAAAATTCGCGCGCGAAGTTTAAAGGCGCATGGCGACCGTGGCGGGTCTCGACACGAAAAGCAATAATGGCGGTGATTTGAATTCGCATTTTCAGAACATCCAATAAAAATCGAAATTTTCGGATCAAAAAGAGGTTGTAGAAAGGGAAAATGTATAGAAAAAGCAATCTCGACAAAAAATGTTTACTACTTCTTGGAAAACAAATGCAATAGTCTTTAGATAAATATCAGACACTAGAATAAGGAAAAATTAGAGGGGATAAACGAAAAAAAAATTAGAGGGGATAAACGAAAAAAAAATTAGAGGGGATAAAAAAAATTAGAGGGGTTAAACGAAAACGCTTTCCGCAACTCGTTCGTGTGGTATTTATAAAATGCCGAGTTCTCCGCAATAATCAGCTGCCGTATCGATTTTTCGGAAACTATTTCGAAAAAGTTTGCTTCCTTGTGTCCCGTGTTCGCTAAAACTGCTCACGTTTCACCGTTTAAATTTTTAAGACGAAAAGTGTGTGTAGGCAAACACTCTTTCAGCAGAAGACGCCATTAATCGTCCGACCCCTTTTTGATCTTCTTTCTCGCTCGACAAAGTATGGTACTTTCAGGCGACAGGCAAACGGAAAACACTAATTGTCGACAGATACGGTGATGTGAGTTGGCGTCAAGATATAAAGCGAAAACAAAAGTTTTAGAGAGAACAGTCCCGAATCGCTTCTCGATAACTGCCCGGTAATCAATTGAACGACCAGATTCGAGCACGTCTCCTTCTCCCTCATTCTCAGCCAATCCTAAAAGTTCTTGTCTTACTTTGCCTAGGCTGAAATCTTTTAATACCTGGAATTCCATTTCAGATTTGAATGAAACTTTTTCAATTTCAGAATCCGGAGAGTGTTCACTACAGTAGTGGGTCGCCAGATGCTCTCGAGATGGGAATTTCTGCTCACAGGAGGCTACCGGACAGTCGACAGTACTACCCGCTGTGGCCGGACGATCCGATACATTGGAAAGCTTTCAAATTTTGGGTAAGGGAAGCTTTACAGAACGTAGAGGAAACATAGGTATTCAATAAAATTGAACATCTAGAGGGCTCCGTGAGCCGGCTCTAAAGCATTCGCCGTCACGATCATGGACAAAACTATGAGCGAATCGGCTCCAATATGGAAGATCTGCAAGCTGGTTGGATTTGCACGACAGTGTATCCTTCTGCTGGCTTCTCTCAGTACTTGTCCAGAGTACCCAAGTTCTGAAAGAATCTCCACGATCGGGCACGTCTTCTGAAAAGTTAAAAAGTTTAAATTCTAATGGAAAACCATTCATTTAGAGTATTTCTCGAGTTTTTTTGTCGAAATACGTTGAAAAAAGGCAGAAGTTCAGAACTTTCGCACTTTAGGACAATTTTAAAGTAATTCTCTCGATATACATTCCAAGCAAAACTTGTGTCCCATCATTATCGGATAATGCATAATTTGCCGAACAATTTCGAGTGAATCACCTTAAATTGGGACTGAAGTTTGTCTTTTTTTAAAGCTCTGCACAAATGTCACAATAGGACCGTTATTAGCCCCGCAAAAAGGTGACAATTCCGCTCCATTAGACTCAGGCCTCGGCCGCTGTGTAAGACTTCGGCCAGGTCATAATTTTTGTGTTGTTTTTCAATTGTCCGAGAAGTAGAACCTCGGCCGCTGGAAGAGTCTAGCGGAGCTGGATTGCCACCTTTTCGCGAGGCTAATGTAAGTACAGATAATTGTAATTGTGAAGTTTAGAAAATAGCAGAATTTGTTAAAACTCACCACTAATAGCAGGCCTTGACCGGAGTTGCTTTTGGCCTGAAGAATCTCTAAAATATCAGCCGAGCTGCTCATGTGTAGCATAGTGAAGGTATCTGCAAATAAGAGAATAATTTCAAAATATCAGAAAATATGAACTTACCGTCTGCATGGTCCTTCGAAACGGCACGGAACACGATTGTGACGTTCATTCTGTAAGGAAGTAAATTATTGTTTTCCGGGAAACGGAAGGACAGCCGGAATAGAAAAAACGGAGGTAAATGAAAAACGGAACTCCCTACAGTAGGCTGGTCGAACAGGCGATTTAAGGCGCCTGTTTTTTCAGGCGCTTGTTCGATCAGCCTACCCTACAGATAAGGGGAATACCAAGACAGAAAAGCAAGATATTAGTATGGTATGTGCTCGTTTTAATGTCTGCAAAATTTCCAAAAATTCACCATACTTTTTTATTTGAAAAATAACGGGAAAAGTCTAAAATTCGCAGAAAAGGGCAAACAATCGAGCTGGAAGCAACTCTTGTCGTACGGTTTTTCAAGAGTGGCGAGACCTGCCGCTGCACCTGAGACATGTGCCTTTAATTCTACAGTAATCATTTTTAATTTAAAAACTGATAAAAATTGATTAATCAATATTGAATTTATTAGAACGAACAATTAATAAAAACATTGCAAAAAGTAAGTTTGAGCATGCAAATTCCTTCATAAACGGGAACTGATACAGTTTTTTCAGAACGTCGACCAGAGTTGAGCGGAAATGGAATTTTTAAATCCGGAAGACGGAAGACGGCAGACGGAATTCCGCTCAACACTGTCGTCGACCGACGTTGAGAAAAGAGTTTGAAATCGATAGTAAAGAAGAGGTCCGAGCTTTTATATTTCCTTTTTACGGCTGCATCCGAGTTTATAATACATCAAAAGTCAGAATCAGGAAAAATGAGAGGGGATGAACGAAAATGAACACGGAACATAATCTAGTGCCTTGGCAGTTTGATGACAGTGAACGTCTCCTCTTGTTCCGACTCGAAGTCGTGGAATACGGCGACCAGAGTTGAGCGGAATTCCGTCTGCCGTCTGCTGTCTTCCGTAAAAAAACTTTTTTTCCGTCTGCCGTCTGCCGTCTTCCGGAATTCCGTCTGCCGTCTGCCGTCTTCCGGATTTTTTAATAAGCGAATTTACTCTCAATTTTCGAAGAAAATTGGCCAAGGATTACGGTAGAATTAAAGACGCATACATTGAAAAGCACTTTGGGTCTCGCCACGCGCGTGTTTCAACGCCCCGCCAAACGCACACAGCTCGCTTTTCCGGCCTTTACCGTCGGTTTTTTTGCGGATTCGAAGCGTCTGCGACGACGTCAGAATGATGACAGCGCAGCAGCACAAGAATATCGACCAGACAGGTGCGTTCCGATGCAAAATCACGAATTTTACGAGAAAAATTGAGATATTTCGTTTTTTGCCTGTAAAACTGCAAAATTCGCTTTAGATTTTACTGAAAACTGATTTTCTGCAAAAATTAGACGAAAAACGCACGTTTTGATCTGAAAATCTCATAAAAATGAGTAAACTTGGCGGAAATTCATTTTTCCACGTTTTGATGTATTTCTGTTCGATTTGCGATCAAAAGTGTGTCAATTTTCTCTTTTTTCCGCTGAGAAAAACGAGAAACAACTTTCAGGGGAGGAAATTCGCGCGCGGACGAACCGATCGCCGTCGATGGACTCCGTGAGCCGCCTAAATCAGCAAAATGGGGGTTTTGCGCAGCGGCGAGGCAGTTTCACGAAAGACACCTCCTACTATCAGCAGCCGGGGCAAGTCGGCGGATTCAGAAGAAGTTTGTGGCCACAAAACCTTGAAAAAAGATCGAAAATTGCAGACGGATACAATCACCGCGGAAGAAATTATCAGAGAAATTCGCACTATCACCAGAATCAGCAACAACTGTCGGAGTACGGCGCACCTGGCGGATTCCCGCCGAAAAACGCTCAAAATCGGAGTTTTCAGAGGTTTTCCCGGCTATCTGTCTGGAATTTTCGCGTATTTTCCAATTTCAGCTACTCCAAATATCAATATGTCCATCCGAATGCGCAGAGACCGATTTTCAACTCGGCCAACGGTAGGATATTGATTTACAGATTTTGCAGCAATTTTTAGAGCGGAAAATGAATATGAAACATTTGAAAAACCTTCAATTTCTATCAGAAAAATCAGTATTCTTCCAGAATTCGGCTCTTTCTCAGTCCGCCGCCAATCGGCCTCCTCTCCGACGTCGTCGCCCGCAAAAAGCACCGCCTCCTCGGTTGTACCGCCCATTTTGGTGCGAAGAACGGACAATATCCACGAGAAAATGGTCTACGAGGCGGGAAACGGAGGAAATGAGCACGAGAGCAGCAAGATTCACATGTATCGGGCCGCCGGAACCGCGCCAACCGGGTACACTGATTTCTAAGCATTTTCAGTCTTTTTAATTGAATTTCTTCAGTTCCTCGCCGTTCAAACCGCATCAGACGAGTTCTCAGACGCCGTTGACGCCGTCTGCGGACAAACGAACCGACGACGAGTGGGCGGCGCGCTTCTCGCATCCACCGCCGGGTCTCGCACCGAATTTCCGAAGAGGTTGTCCGATTTTCGTGGAAAAATTCGAGAAAAATGAGTTTTCAGGCCAAGGAGGACCGGAAATTGAGCAGCAGCCGAGCGAATTTCTGGACAATAGACTTCCGCCGATGACGCCGTCGCCGACCGAAAAAATGGCACATTTTAGAGGTGCTCGAGGAAAACTGGAATTTATCTAATTTTATGTGCATTTTCTCATTCTTCTCGTTATTTTACGTGTTTTCAGACATTTTTGCGCCAAAATACGCAAAATCCCTCCATTTTTGTGAATTTTGTTGCAATTTTTGTGCCCCCAGTAGCATTGCCAAACATTTAATTTCAGCGACGATGAAAGATGCGCCGGTTTCGGCTCGTTCGGTCGACTGTGTCGACGCGAAACATCTCTGTTGGGACGAGCGTATGGCCAGTGCGTTGAATGGGTAGGTCTTTTCATTAATTCCAAAAAAAAAACAGGTAAGTCACCGTGCGCATTCTCAATGTGTGTGAGATATTTATACCATCGGATAGAGAGTAGAAGTTACGCATGAGTCCAGTAAATCTTTTTCCCAAAAAATCACTTTCAGGGCCACATTTTTACTTCATTTGAAAGGTTGTTCTAAATTTGTTGTGAAGCGCTCCCTCGCACCATTTATGGGGCGCCTCGTTGCCAACCCTACATGTGGGCAGTTGAGGATTGCTTCGAGCAGGAACTCATAGTCCTCGCTGTTCCGTTCCCTGCTCATTCCTGCTCGCAGCAATCTCGAAGTGCCCACATGTAGGGTTGACAACGAGGCGCCCCATAAATGGTGCGAGCGGGTGCTTCACAACAACCCTTTTAGTTTGTTAATCTCTCTGTTATAACCTATAACGTGCCATCCATCAGAAAAGGGGTCCTAAGACAAGCTCTACACCTTCGAAAACTCTTTAATTGACCGCATTTAAAAAAAAACGGTTTCTGAGATGCGGGTCACAAAAGTTTTAGTGTGAACAGCGAAAAAAGCAAAGCGAAATACGTTGAGGCCTCAAAGCCTGTGTACTGGACTCATGTGTAACTTTTTACGCTCTATCCGATGGTATTAATATCTCACATACTAATTTCTCAGTGACAGGCCGCCTTTAATTTCACAAAGCCCTTGATCAGTTGTGAGAGAAGGCGAAAAGTGTGTATAATAGTAGTTTATGTACACATTTTTCGTTTTTCGCCTCCCACCGAACGAATCAGCTAACTGTGTCCTCTGCCCCTCGTTACTGTACATTCCAAGAAGAAGGAGGAGAAGAAGAAGAAGAAGATCTTCTTATTCTCCGCACACAACCAGTTCATCTCGTCGTCGCCCTCCTCGTTTCGCCTAAACAACAGCCATTGCCATCAGCAACAGGCAGCGCTGAGAGGAGATTGGAGATATTCGGCTGCCAATCGACACCCCTCTCCCATTTGGCCGCCTTTTTATCTGCAAAATGCGCTGAAAATTTGATTCGTGTTCACACCATTTCTAACGAAAATTGATCGAAGATCAGCTGAAATGCTCGAGACATCGCCGAATCTCACTCGTTTTTATTGTTCCAGTAGCTATCTTCATAGGAACTTTGGCCCGTTTTTGAGGTATCTGGCATTTTAGTCAAATTCCATCAGCGAACAGGTGGAACGAGGAGAGGGGAAACGATAATAATATAATAATAATAATAATGACGATGAGAGAGGGAAAGTGAAGAGACGGATGTTCACTTTACACCCCTCCTTCGCCTCGATCTTTTCTTGTCTCTGCGAAAAGTGAAAAGTAGCCTCAGTATCGTTCTCACGTTATTCCATGTACATTTATACTGTAAACCCCTTTTTTGACCTTTTTGATGTGTGTACACACTTCAAACTAGGGTTTCTTTGAATTTGTAGCATTTATGATTCGTCTGGGCTGAAAGTTTGTTCCTCGTTGCCGAAAATGCCTTCACCGAGACAAAATGTGTGATTTGTCAATTTCCGTTCGAAATTCGTTCCCAATCAATCTCTCTTTGCATTTTTTGATTGAAGAGCGGCAGCTGCTCAAGCGAATTTTTGTGTGTGTGTGTGCGTGTGACGATTGCGGACCGAACGGCGGTTTTTAGCGCCCCGATTTGTGTGGATACAATAGAGGACATTGCGAAAAAAAAGAGGATGAGCGACTATAGTCGGAAACGAAAAGGACACCTCATTTTGGACTAAAAATGGGCATTTCATTTTGTTTCGCCCGGATTTTGGATTTCGAAACTCGGAACTGATAGAAATGTGAAAAAGAGAATCAGAATGGCGCAATAGCTGATGAGAAAATTGCTGGCGTCGTCAGAATCGGCTGAATAGCTCTACCTGATTCTTTTTGTAGAACAACAATAATAGAAAGCGTTCAATTATTACTGTTCTACATAAAACGTTAAACATCTATACAAAATCAGATGCGCCGACGATTTTCTCATTAGCCATTGTACCATCCTGACTTTTTTGAGTGCATACTCCTAGGATTAGGATTACTGTAGCTGTGGAGGGAAATTCCAGCAAAAATCGTAGAAAAGCTTCTCCTCATTTCTCTCTCCGGGAAAAGGCGGGGACAAAAGTTCTTGTGACGTAAGTGAGCGGAAAGTGTGTGTATATTTCTCGCCGGCGTCCCCGACTGAGACTGCCTGCCCTATAGCCCCTCTTGTTTCGTTTCGTACGTGCAGTTTCTTCGGCTTCTTTCCGCTTCCCGCCGCCCTATCTCTCAACTTTGTGTTATCCTTTTCGACCTAGAGAACGCACACATGGTTGTGAAGTTTGTTTGTGTTTTTTTTCCTCACTTTTTTCCCTCAATTTCACTCGATTTTTGGTTAGAGTTTGAGGGTAAACGCTCTGAAAAAGTGTTCTAACTGGAAGTTTGAAAATTTCAAGCTTATTCGCTTCAGCCGAACGCTTGCGTGCTCATTTCTTGCTCTCGCCGAGATTTGCTCGTTCGGTGTGAGCAAACAGGTGGTAACTGGAAGAGAAATGCTCTTTTCCTCGGCTTTATCTCTCTTCCGCCTCGAAAATTGGTTTTTCTCTATAAGTTTCCAGCACATCCCAGCCTAGAACGTTCTAGTTTCTAATATCAAAACGTCAATCTCGCCGCTTCCTTTCATCTTTTTTTGATGTCGTGTGACACTTGAAATTTTCAATTTTTTCTCAAGCTTATCAGTTGTGAATACTGGTCAGACGGAAGTATTATTCTACCAAAAAAAAACGGGCAGGAAATGGCCTTGATGTTGTGGTTTTTCTCTAAATTTTTCAAATGTTCCCTCAAACTTCCGCTTCTTCTCGGATTAATCCCCTCAAAACACGTGCAAACAAATTTTCACGGAAAAAAAAGACAATGAAACCCACGTTGGGTCAATTTTGGCATTTGTGTCAACACACGCAATAGATGGATTTCATGCCACCACCACACTTTTTTTTGTTTTGTGGGCGATAGATGGATGGCACACACACACACACACAAACAGTTTCACATTCCTTTGTTGCATACATCATAATGGATCGGAGCCCGCCCATGTCCCCACGTGGCTCGAGTTTGCTCACCTGAATCCGCGGGCGGCTCTCTTCGTGCCAGCTGTTGGGGTTCGAGCCATTCGGAGCCGTGTTTCTTGAAGCGGAGCGAGCACTCGTTGTCGTAGGACCCATCGGCGCTTTTCCAAAAAATCCCAAGAATCTAACTAGAAATAGTCGAGTAAACGGAGAAGTTTGAAAATTGTTGGCGTTCACAGAATCTGTCAAAGAGCACCGTCTAATTTTATGCAATGTTTTTTGAAAATCTTTTTTGTAGTACACAAAGAGCCAGCCCATTTTTGAAAACTTTATCGACTTCCTAAAGATTTTCGAGTGTTTTCGCGCTGGCTGACTGCCGATCACCTCCGAAAGCAGTCATTTCGCTCTACTCGTTCTTTGCTTCAATTCGAGCGCCCATGTGCTGACCATGCACATTTTCCGTTCGCTTTTGCGAGAATTGGCGACAATTGACGATGGTTATGCAAATGTTTCCGAATATTTTTGCCTAATTTTCTATTTCGCACACGCAGGCGCACACACAAACGGGGAGAAACTGGTCTGAGCACAGTGCTCTTCGCTCCTCGGCGCCTATTTCTCGGGCGTCTCTGCGACCTGAGCACTTTCTCGTCGAGACCGGCCGCCCGTGCCTATCGATGACGATGATGGCCGGAGAACAGAGAAAAAAAGAGGAGAAGGAGGAGGAGGAGGAGCTTGTGAAATTGGGAATTTAGATTTTTTTCTCTACAGTAGGACGTTTTGAGGTTGTTCAGTGTTTTTTGCGCCAAAAAACACAATTCAGCGATAAAGGGATTCATGATTCTCTGTTTCTTTCTCTCCGCCTGCCTACGCTTCTCTTTTCAATTCATTTCGTTAATATTTCAACGCTTTATCACCAATTTCGGAATCGGCACGACCGCCGCCTCCGCCGTACGCTCGTTTTCTCGTTTCCTCCTCCTCCTCCTCCTCCTCACTGATTTTTCGTCCTTTTGGCAACCTTTTTTGGTTCTTCCTACAGTACTCCTTCCCCAAACGTTGCTCCAAAACGCTCCAAATGTCCGTTCTGGCTGGCGTCGGTCAGTCGGCGATTCGCTTTCACTTTTCTATGAGAATTGACACCGACTGGTCCGAGCCGTCAATTTCCTCTATCTTTTTTCTCTCTCTCTCTCTCTCGCTCGACAATTTCCCACTTTTGCCCCCACCATTTTTCGTTGTCTACAGAACCCATCCGCCAAGTATGCCGCTCTCGACGGGTTCCATCGATTCCGGTTTTTTTGGCGGGTCTTCCAGCTCGACCGACGGTGATTCGCTGAAAAAAGAGGAGACGACGCCGACGTCTTCTTCGTCGCCGCTCTCGATGACCGACGAAGAGGGAGCGCGTGCGACGTCGCCGGGCGGCGGCGTCTTCCTGAATTCTGGATTCGCGCCCAGAAAACCACGAACACGTGTGCGACGATCGAACCGAAAACTGAAACAACGATTCGGGAACAATATCAACACCTTCTTCGCCTTCTCGTCAACTCCAACCACGTCTTCTTCCTCTTCTTGCTGTCTCTCCGTGGCCGGAAGTTCGAGAAGTTGCAGCTCGACCGACTCGGCGGCCAACTCGACATTACTCATCGACGAGCTCGTCGTCCGCCTCTATTTCTACTTCAAATCGCTTCTGTGCGCCGTCAATCGACAGAAGCAGATTTGCGAGAGCATCGCCGTGCTCGTCAAGGACATTGACGCGCGGTGGGGCAATTCTGGAGTGCGGCGGAAGGCGTGCGATCCGAAGGGATGTCTGGCGCCGGTCTACGCGTCGCAACGTGGCGCCGCCGCGGATCGGAATAATAAATTGGTGCAACCCGCGCGATTTCCGTTGTGTTGGGCGGTGCCGCAACCGGCAATCTTCTATCAGTTGATGGCGATCGACGTGCTCGAATATATTCGATTTTTGGAACGGTTAGACGAACTAGACGATTTTTGTAGTGAAAAATTTGGCGCAAATTAAAAAGTTTGGGCAAATTTTCGCAAAATTGCTTTTTGCAGAGTGTCACCACAAGTGAAGACACAACAACATCCACCGGGACCGCCGATTATCAACGAACGAGAGGTTTCTATTCTGCTAATTTCTATTTTGGCTAAAATATTGATAATTCAAGGCCGCCGCTTCGATCGATACTCTTCACAAGTTGCAAGTTCAGCAAATGCCGCAAATGCAACAGCAGCAACAGCAGCAGCCACGTGGCAATTTTGTGCAGTGTTTGTCGCATTTTCTATCGGAAAATGCGGAAATTTTGCGTGTTTTCAGTCGTCAACATGCCGCAAGGAGTTTGGGAGCAGCAGCAGCAGGCGAACAGAGGGATGAAAGGGCAACAGACGATTCAGAAGTTGACGACGTCTTCTGGAGGAGGAGGAGGAGAGATGTCCATTGAGAAGGTGTGAAAAGATAGAGTTTTGGCTGAACTTTTCAAGACAATAGGTTTACCTATTCTGGAGATTTGTTGGTTTTAGACGGAAAAAGTCCGGTGTCTGAATTCGACCAAAATCTCCAGAATAGTTAATCCTATAGCAAAACTGACAGAATTGCAAAGTTCGAGTTTGATCAAGCAGTTCTTCATGCCCGAAATTTGAAATTTCTTCAGCTGCTCGCACCTGTGCGTGACTCGTCGGCAAACTCGCGATGCAGCAGTCGTGCCGAGATCGAGGCTACACAAAAGTACGTGATGGACAAGTTGGACGACGAGGTGACCGCCGCCGATTTGGACAAGACGCCCGTCTCCGCCTGCTCCTTCACCTCCTCGTCGAAACAGGAGCAGAGGAAGAAGCAGCAGCAGAACGGTTGGTTTGGAGCAAAATGAGAGGGAAAATTGAGCACTTAAAATGTGTTTTAAATAGTTCAATCGAAAAATTTGGTTAGGAAAGTGTGAAACTGATTGTAGAGAGTTTAGAGCCCCCCTCCCCTTTTATGGCTTGCAATACTACCGTATTCCGTGTGCTGTGAGATCTCTGGATAAGTGATGATGCGGTCACTCTGCTTGCACTTGCACTGACTGCCCGTTTTTGCCGAGTGATTGTCACAGAGAGAGAGAGAGAGAGAGAGCGCTCGTATTTGATCAGCTCTCCGCTCCTCTGTTATGTTCTTTTCTTGGTTCGTTCGTCCTCAGTGTCTCTGGGTTTACGGTGCTCTAGAGAGCCTACGCGCTTTTTGACGGTTCGAGTGTAAAACCGCGTTTTTCTACAAAAATGAGATCACCGCAACGTTCTGCGACTGTGACAACAAATGAAACTCGTTTCGCGGCTGAAAACTTCGGCCCCCGGATTACGATCACTCTACAGTAACCTACTGTAATCTGGAAAGTGTCCGAGAGTCGCGTGACATGTCAATCGGTAGTTTTCTATTCGTCGGCGCCCTCCGCGGCCCTTATCATTCGCGGCCGCACTTCCTCGTCGCTCCGTCTCTCTCCGATCGCCGTCGATCAGAAGTCCCTCTCTCCTTCTCTTCCCTTCGCTTCTCTGCCGTCTCGCGTATCGGCACACGCTCTCGTCTGCCGTGTCACTCTCTTCTTTGCCCGTGGCCCCCCACCCGACAGACGACCGTTTTGTTTCGCACTTTTTGTTGCGATTTCGAACGCTTTTTGGCGGTTTGGCGAGTTGGCCGTGTGCCAATTTCGATGAATTTGCATTTTTTGAAATCCTCGTCTCCGTGGCTTTGATATCATTCGTCTTTAGTGCGACAAATCGGCGTGGCGAGTTGAGGAAAATTGGTTTTAGGCCAAGTTTGTCCTACTTTTCTGTTTTCTCTGTCGGTTCTCAATTCGAATTTCGCGCTTGTTTCTCAGTTCAAGGACTCGAATAGTTCAATATTTCGGAATTTTTTGAACTGACAAACTTTTCCAGAACCACATAGAGATTGACCTTCTTTTCCAAGTTGTTTTGATTTTTTCATAATCTCGAAGCGATTCCACCCGAATTGTGGCTTAAAGTTCAAAAATTCCCACTTTTGTCCGATGAACTTTGCATCACGTGGCTCTAGGCGAACTTCTTCCCTTTTCCCGCTCATTTATATATCTTCTTCTTCTCCGTTTCCGTTTCCTTTCACTTTGCTTCTTCTACACTGCTTCTTCATTCGGCTACTTTGACTTTTTCCGGCGCTTCTGCCACCTATACACACACACACTTTTTGTCGCCTTCATCATATCTCTTATACGATTTTTTTCGATCCTACACACTTCTTTTCCACTGTTGCCGTTAGTTTGAACTCAGGATTCCGAAATTTCGTGTCCCTCGTCATCCTGAAAGATTTATGCGCCTCCCGGTACCTGGCCATGCTGAATTTTTGAATTTCGAACCGAAAAGTTGGCGAACTCTTCGAGATATCTTATGATTGACGCTTGTTGTCGCAATGTCTCGATTATCAGTGCATGATAGTACTGATAATCAAACTATACGCTTTCTCACCAGGTCAGGTGCTCTTTTTCCGTCACACACTCCGAATTTTTCGTAAACTCCACGTCGTAATGGACAATTGTTCGGGTTGTCGATCCGTTTTCCTGCTCTTTCTCCGAAGAAACTGCGGTCAGATTTGAGTTGTTGAGCTTTTTTGAATATAACATCTTGGAATAGTCTTCCACTCGATCGAAGCACAAAACCTCGAGCCATACCAAGATTTCATGAAGTTTCCGATAGTTGGCGCGATGCCAGGGAACACCTCGGGCGGCTACGGTCATTCCCATTCGGCCCTTCTTTTTCTCTTTTTCTCTCTTCCCTGCCGCTGATGTGGGCAACAAAAAAGAGCGGAATGGCCTCCGTCCGCGCGCACACACACACACACACACACTTTTTGTCCGTTCTTTCCCCTCTGCATTCGTTTCTGGTGTGACCTGCCCGCGCAGCCCGGAATGGTCCATTCCGACGCTTTCCGCCGCTTTCTTTCTAAATTTTCCGGAAATTTCATGAAATTTGACTTCGAACGGGTAGTTTTGGTGAAATTTCTTTTGCTTTTGCACCATTCTAGATTTTTCTGAATTTCGGGTAAGCCAGGGCTGAGCAAAGGCCAGCTCGGACTTTTTGAGGTCCTGGATTTTTGGGCCACTCGCAATGATCTGATCGGATCCAAACTTTACTGGCTTTTGTCGAGTCCACAGTCCAAAAGGCCTGTAAAGTTTGGGGTCCGATCGGATTATTGCAAGTGGTCCTAAAATCCCGGCCATTCGCCCAGCGCTAGTGTAAAAGAAGCTCTTATAACCATTAGGATCCTCGTTTTCACATGAATTTTGCTTTTCCCGATGTTTCGAACACTCTTTTCGCTCTTTTTCGCCGCCTCTATCACATGTTCTTCCTCTTTTTCCTCTTCTTCTCGTTCTCAACCTCCGTCCCCCCATATTTATGGGCGCAGATTTACGAGTTGTGAGCGGCAAAGTGAAAATGGCGATGATTCTCTGGTGTGCACGTGATTTTTCGGCAATGATGATGATGATCTGCTAGATCACACTCGTCTCTCTTTTCTTCCGATTCTCGCCGCCGCCGTCTGACCCCCAGATGACATTCGTTGGCCCAGGTGGTCGATTAGCGGGCGATTGATCGACAATTTTTTTCCGAGTTCATACGGTTTTTATTTGATTTTGTCGAAATTGGAACATTCTCGAACATTGTCGGTAAAAATGCACCATACAGAAGTCTGACTACACAATGTTTGCCGGTCAAATATGTTTTGAAAGATCTCTGCACAATGAACGTTTCCGAAAACTCTAGAAAAGTCTGGAGGCGAATTTGTACCGCTAATCGATTACTGTCTTCTCATCCACCTACTCTTTTTTTCTGATCTACAATCTCGGTTTGAATTTCTCCGTGATCTTGTCGTTCCGCTTCGTATTCTTACACTATTCTTTACTTTTTTGCTAGGTTGTAATTGAGACCTGTCGAATGAACTAACTCGGTTTTCCCTGTGGAAATGCTCATGATGTGCGACGTTACGGATGAAGCCCCGTGCTCTTCCACCTCCACCTCATCGTCGGAAGATTCGATCACCTCGAACGGATTCGATTGCCACGTGACGCCACGCCCACCTAGGAAATACCGAAATTCCACGTCGTCCTCCTCCGCATTCACCTTGGATCGGACGACGTCCGCATCCACGTCGTCTTCGGGATCAGAAGCGTGTCTGTCGAGTGCCGAGAAGGCTATTTCATCGGGAGTTATCAGTGGAGACGAGGAGGAAGAAGAAGAAGAAGAAGAAGAAGATGAGGAAGAAACATCCGAACCCGCAATAGAGCCATTCATCTCGTCATGGAGTTTTGCGATGGGCACACAACGATCGATGATATCGTCGGTCGGCGAGAAGGCGCCCAAATCGAACGTGGAGCCGATGGAGGACTGGGAGCTGGAGCACGTGGAACGGGCGCATCGGGAGAGCCGTCTCGCCGAGTCGTACGTCGATCCGGCATGGCGATTCTACACGCACCCGCCCACCTCGTTCTGTTTGGCGCGCGTCTTCATGCGACACGGGCTGACGGGCGACGAGGGAAACGGACAGTGGAGTGAGCACTTCTTGCTCGATTTTTTGAGAAAAAATGTCGATTTGTTGACAATCTTTTCGGAAGTCTTGAAAACTTTCGTATTTTTGGGACAACTAGTAAATGTTTAACTTCTCAATGGAAAAGAGGAGATTCTGATAAGTTTTACATATTAAAATCCCGTCAAAACTCGCATTTTTCGTTTTGCTCTAGCGCCCACAATGCTCGCAGTGTAGAGACATTTTCAATCATTATATCACAAAAACTAATACCGAAATGTTTTGCAGAGCTTCCCCGCAAACTGGTGCATCGTCGCGACTCGTCGGACTCCTCATCAACGGCCTCGCTCTCCGGCTCGTTCTCGTCCGGCTCGGCGTCCTCGTCGGTGCTCGATGAGTCGACGCTGACGAAGATCCTGCCGACGGAGGAGTTCCGTGGCGGACGGGCGGTCGCGTCGCCCTCGCCGCCGGCCGCACTTCTCTCCGAGCCGCTCTCCCGCATGGACGTGGTCGGTATTTGAGGGTAATCGGGGCGGTAGAAGCGGGATGGAGGTGGTGGCGCAGTCGGGAGGGCGGACGGACACGGGCGGACAGGCCTCGGGTTCGGATGCCCCATACAGAGAACGACGATTGAGAAGGTGGTGCTGCCCTTTGAATGGCGAAACCGCTGGTTATTACGTCGAAAATAGATTACGGTCCCGTTGAATCAGTAGCTGTTCGCTTCAGAATAGTGACTTTGCAAAGCGGATTCACAATTTTCCAACTTTTACAATAACTTAAAGCGGCCACCCCACCGCCTTTCGCCTCCTGCCCCTTACGAAATGTACATAACTCGATGTTCCAGACGATTCCAATGTTTTTCTTAAATTTCCAAATATTTCCATTTCAGCTCAGCGAAAAGATTTGGGACTATCACAACAAAGTGGCGCAGACGGACGAGATGCTGCAGAGAAAACTGCACCTTCGCGACATGCTCTACACGGCCATCAGCCCCGTTTTTCCGAGTCAGTGCTGGACAATTAGGGATTTTTACAATTATTACACAATTCTACGATTTTCCCTCCTAAAATTGCTATTTTCAGTGTCGGGACTATACGTGGTCGGCTCGTCGCTCAACGGCTTCGGCAACAACTCGTCGGACATGGACCTGTGTCTGATGATCACCAACAAGGACCTTGACCAGAAGAACGACGCGGTCGTCGTGCTCAACCTCATTCTCTCCACGCTTCAATACGAGAAATTCGTGGCCAGCCAGAAGCTGATTCTCGCAAAAGTGCCCATTTTGCGGATAAAGTTCGCTGCGCCGTTCGACGACATCACTGTCGATTTGAACGCGAACAATTCGGTGGCGATCCGCAACACGCACTTGTTGTGCTACTATTCCTCTTGTCAGTTTTCATCTGAAAATTCGTAGAAATTTTCGCATTTACTCTTCTTCTTGCAGACGATTGGCGCGTGCGTCCGCTGGTGTCGGTGGTGAAAGAGTGGGCGAAACGGAAGGGAATAAACGATGCGAACAAGTCGAGTTTCACCAGCTACTCGCTCGTTCTCATGGTCATCCACTATTTGCAATGTTTGTTCTCCTTTTTTTTACAGAAAAATTGGATTGTTTGTCTAATTGATAGGGAAAAGCCAATTGTCAGAGCGATTTAGGTGTTTTTTGAACCGGAAAGTCTACAATTGAAAGACTTCCGTCAATTTTGGATCAAAATGTTCAAAAAACAATGAAAATTTCAATGGAAAAGTGTAATTCTTGCAGGCGGAACAACGCCGAAAGTGCTGCCGAACCTGCAGCAGACCTACCCGACTCGTTTCTCGAACAAAGTCGACGTGCGCACTCTGAACGTGACGATGCCGTTGGAGGCGGTGCTCGACGCGCTCGATGAGACGTCCCCGTCAGAGAAGACGACGCTCGGCGAGCTGCTGATCGGCTTCCTCGACTACTACGCCAATCAGTTCGACTACGATCACGACGCCATATCGATCCGACAGGGACAACGCGTCGAACGGGCCGCACTGGCCGCCCGTCCGAAGATCCACCTCAACTCGGTCGGCTCTTCGGGCGGCGGCGAAAAAGACACGCCGCCGCCCTCCTCGTCGGCCTCCTCCTCGTCGTTGCACAACGGAGCCGGAGGAATGGCCCACATGATGGTGCATCCGCAGATGAGCGCGCACTTTTGGCGCTCGCAATGGCGCTGTGTGTGCATAGAGGAGCCGTTCACCAACTCGAACACGGCCCACTCGATATACGACGAGATGGTGTTCGGCGCGATCAAGGAGGCGTTCCGCGAGGCGCACGGCGAACTCCGCCACAACCACGACCTCGATCGGCTGCTCGAGTGCGAACCGATCAAGGCATCTACCACCAACGCCGGGTTCGTGCAGTATTTTCGGCGGGAATTGGTCTAGCTCAAGCTCAAAAAATGTGTTGGCTCGAAAAAGCGAGCATATCCAGTTTTTTAAAGAAAGAAATGTTGAATACCGTATACTTTAAATTACATCTTGACACTTCGAATATCGACCTGATTGCAGAGCGGCCGTATTCGCAGCCACGTACGAGGGAGAACGTCCGCAGGCGCAGCAGCCGAACTCGATCGCGTCGGCCAGTCTTCGCGCGATGAACGTGCTGGCGCCGGCGAACGGAACGGGCGGCCCTTTGGGTGGAGGACACTTCCATTTCCAGCAGACGGGCGTCATGCAGCAGCCGAAACAGCAGAGACCGCCGACGAACGGATCCGCACCACCACCCGCCAACCAGCCGTATCATCATCACATGGTACTGCCTTTTTGCGAAACTCTGACGCCTGGCTTTACATTTTGAGCATTTCTGCGAAAAGATACTTTCATTTTGCTCCGTTTCATAAGACCTTTGTGCCAGGATTTTGCTGATCGTTTTTTTCAGAACTCCCATCGCAACGCAAACCATCACCACCAAAATCAGCAGCAAACGCAGCATCAGTCAAACAACTCGTCGAACGGCAATCGCCGAACCTACGGACAGCCGAACGGAGGAGGCGGAGGAGGAGCGAAGGCGTCGAGATCGAACGAGAGTTTCAAGGAGCAGCAGCCGCGTCATTACAACAGAACACAGAACGGAGTAGGAGTCAAAGATCCGAACGCTCCGGCGCAGACGACGCATGCGCAGACGAAACGGAAGGATCAGGAAAGGTTCGTGTGGGGAAAAAAAAACGAAAAAGGGGACATTTTTAGTGGATGTAGAGCTGAAAAAAACTTTTGCGAAATGTTCTCTTAGAAATTACGCAAAATTACGCAATTCTTCAGGAACATCTCGAAGCCCAACAGTCGCAATCTAAAACATTGTAATTTTTCCATTTTTGCAGCTCCTCGAAACCGAAGCGCTCGTCGGCCGTGCAGTCGCCGGAGCCGAAAGTGATTGTGTGATATCCTCAAGCTCCGCCCACTTTTCTCAAACCCCCTCTAATGTGATGCCGTTTTCCCTACTCTTTTCCCCCGTGTTTAGTCATGTGCTATAGCCCCCTCCCCCTGGCCCCTTTCTCTCTGTACACAAACATATAATTATTATGATGATCCCCATGACTTTTCCCCTCTTTTTTTTCCTGAAAATTTCCCCTCCCCCCACTACACTTGTTTTTTGTTTAATTGCCGCCAATTACGCTCGGTTTGGAAAGCTAAAAAAAATCTAAAATTCCCGCCCCGCCCCGCCCACGCACACAAAAATGCGCCGTTTGTGAGCCCGATCTCTCTTCTCTTTTTGTATTTTTGAGACGGATACGTTCAAAAACGAAGCCAGTCCCGCCCCGCTCTAATTATATGTACAAATTTCCAACCAAAAAAACCCAAAAAAATTGCAAAACTTTGAAAACCCCCACGATTCTTCGTCGTCAAACAATTTTGCGTGTCGCCCGCTCAAAAACCCCCATTTTTGAGGGCGCCGCGAATTTTTAGGCGCGAAAAATTGTACAGCCAAAAAAATTTAAATGTTTTCCCCGTCCCCGACCCTCCGAAATGCATGTCTTTTATGAATGTACCATAAGAAACAGGCTCCGCCCCCCCCCATATTTTTCACGTACACGCAAAAATATTCAATTTTTTGTATTTATCCCCTCCCGCAAAATTTGATGATTTTCCCCTACACACACACACACACACTTTTTTTGCCCTTTCCTCTTCTCCAAAATGGGTCATTTTTCTCTCTCGCTCGTTGCTTTTTGTGTCTCTCTAGGCTCGCCGCCCCTTTTTTCTGTAATTCTATGCTCCTCTCTCTCTCTCTCGCTCGCTCGTTCTCTCGGTTCGAATTTCACTTTAAGTTATGCCCCCCACAGACACGCCTACGCATTTTTCGTGGGCGTGTATATTGTATGCACACACACACACACACACGTACACGTACACACAAAAAGGTTTAATGAATAGACGAATTGTGAAAAAACTGTGTATTTTTTGGGGAATTTTAGGGGAAAATTGGATCTAAAGTTCCAAAATATGCCAAAACGATTGAATGGAACGATTGATTGAATGGGTCAAAACGATTGATTGAATGGGTCGAAAAGAACGGAGTGAATGTGGATTGGTAAAGACTGGACACGGCGACCAAAAGTGTAGAAAGGGGCGTGGCTTAATCTGAGACGCGTTTTCTGAAAATTGCCGCAATTCCAGCACTTTCGATATTTTTGTGTTTGATATCGACGAAAGAAGAGACATCAAAGAGAGAAAATATCGAAATTTTCGTGAAAACGCCGCGGTTGAGACGTTTTTGGCATATTTCGCAAGACGCCCTCCGCGGCCAATCACCGCCGCAATTTCGGAATTTTCATACCGGCCGAACTGGTTAGTTTTGAGACGAAGTGAGTGTCGGAAGTGATTAAGCACGTTAATACAAGTATTTTAGGCGTTCAAACGGCAAAAAGTATCGGCGAATGATTGAAATTCGCGCATTTTCAGCACAAAACTTGAACATCGATTCAATTGATTCATTTCTGAATGAAACCTGCTCGTTTTAAGCTCAAAAAATGCGCGATGATTAACGTTTAACAAAGTTATTATGCAATTACATCGTCGAAACCCGTACAAAATTTGGTTAATTTTTTACGAAAAACATGAAAAATCGGGTTAAATTTCGAATTTCGCGCCAAGATGGTGATAAACCGTGCACGCTAGGCCCCACGCCCCTTTCTACGTTTTTGGTCGCCGTGGCGCTGGAATTAATTGAAGAAAACCTTCAGACTTTTTAAAATCGTCATTCTAGACCTGAATGAGTCATTTTAAAGGAGCATCGCGCATTTTTATGTGAAGGTCCCGCAGCGAACTGTTCGTTTGGCGGGAAAAATTGTTCACCAAAATCAAGGCTGTCGGGCGGTCTGCCGCCACATTTTTTTCAGTCTGGACACCGAGCTCACTCGAGTACACGGCGTCCCGGCATTTCCGATTCTGAAAAGATTTTGTCACGGCGGCCATGTTTTTGGCAGCCTTGCTTCGAATCGTTGTTATTTGTCATTTCATAATGTTTGCAAAAAATTACCTTTTTTTTGCTTTTTTTCTCAATTTCAGGCATAACTAACTAACTATGTATCCTGCGGACAAGATCTTCAAGAATATGGAAACGCCTCCCAGTGCCTCGAGTTCTTCGTCGTCGTCGTCCGCCCCTCGAACCGCATCTGGAGCCGGAGCACCGACTGGCAGACATCAAGGATCTGGAGAAGGGTCTTCTGGAAGCCAGAGCAACCCGAGCGGAAGCACTTCAGGCCGCTTTCCGAAACGGACGAACGTGGCAGACTCGGAAGGACCGGACTCGAAGAAACGACTTCAGGACACCGTCGCCGACTCGTTCCAGCCTTTCAATCGAATCAAAGTGCAGCTGAACATGTTCAAACTCGACATCTCCGGAATGGACGCTGTGATCCACAAGATTCGTTTCGATGTCGCGATCATGTTCCGGGACGGTAAGAAGCACCATCTCAAGGACAAAAATCCAGCCCTTTTGGGAGAGTACGTTTCCGAAGAATTGTGATTTCAGTTATTTAATGCCTTTTTCAGCGGGAACCGACAGATTCGGCGACGTGCTCAATGGATGCTGTTCAAGACGTGGTTCAAAAAGAACCCGCGGATTTTCAAAGGAAAAACGGATCCGTCGGTGGCGGCGTACGACTGCGCCGAGACGATCTACGTCGGCACGTCAAATTACGCGGGCATTGTGCCGAAGCACGAATGCATGTTCACGGAGAGCGATTTCAGTCCGGAGGAGTGGGCGGTCGTGGTTCGTATCTCTCGAAGCAAGAGCCCGAGGTTCGCCATCGAGATCGAGTCGCGACCCGATAAAGTTGGTGTTTTTAACAATTTAATAGGGGGAAAAGTAATTTGAAATACCGCCGTCAGATAAGTAACGACTCGAAAGCGTTGTGGTGTCACACAGTATGAATACCTCGTGTTTCGCAATGCAGCGACGTCGTGAAGGTTCGAAAAAATGATAGAATTGAAGCGGAAACTTTATTTTTGCCATGTTCCGAATTTATTTTCAGCAAAATGCAACTTTTTCGCATCAGTTTCCGGACAAAATTAGTGTAGGAAAGGAAAAAGCACATGATTTCAAGCATTATGAGCGTTCGAACAGCGCAAATGACTCAAATTCAAGCGTTCTCAGCACAGAACTCGAATGCCAGCAAAGCGTCTCTTTTGCAGGTGTACACTCGTGGACCGCAGGCGCTCACCGAAGCTAACCGATCCGAGCTCACCCGTTGCATCGAGACGGTCACCAATCAAATTTTGCACGACGGAAACTTCCTCCTCTACTCGACGGCAATCTTTCCGGAATCCCATCCGGCATCGAGCGGCCGTCCTGAGGACCACGATATCGTTTCGGAAATCAGAATCGGCTTCAACAAGGTGACGAGAGTGGTGCCGAGCGACAACGAAGTGCCGGACGTCTTCATGACCATCGAGATTGGCAGATCCGTGTTTTACAAGCCGATTTCCCTACTGCAATTTGTTTGCGACAAACGAGACGACATCGTCGCGATTAACAAAAGTCATTATGGTACTGGTAGAGGTGGCGGTGGAGGTCACGGTGGAGGAGCTGGTCGAGGAAGTGGAGAAGATCGGAGAAGCGGAGAAAGTTGGCGCGGTAGTGATGGCAGACGAAGTGGAGAAGATCGAAGAAGAAGCGGAGAAAGTTTGCCCAGTGCTGAAGGCGGACGCAGTGGAGAAGGTCGAAGAAGCGGAGAAAGTATTCGCAGGGCTGAAGGCGGACGCAGTGGAGAAGGTCGAAGAAGCGGAGAAAGTTTGCCCAGGGCTGAAGGCGGACGCAGTGGAGAAGGTCGAAGAAGCGGAGAAAGTTTGCCCAGGGCTGAAGGCGGACGCAGTGGAGAAGGTCGAAGAAGCGGAGAAAGTTTGCCCAGGGCTGAAGGCGGACGCAGTGGAGAAGGTCGAAGAAGCGGAGAAAGTTTGCCCAGGGCTGAAGGCGGACGCAGTGGAGAAGGTCGAAGAAGAGGAGACGGTGGAGAGGCTGCCGGAACCTTGGAGAATTCTGAAGAATTCCGTGAGTTGGATAGAACGTTCCAAAATGACACACACGATTGGTTTGTCGAGAAGCTGAGCAACGTGATGCAATGGATAGAAGTGGTGCCGAAGCATTTGAATCAAACAGTCAACAGAAACCAAAAGATTAGCGGTCTTTCTAAAACAAATGCGCTTACGTAAGTGGTCTCGGTTGTTGACGGGATGCAGCGAAATTCCTTTGTAGCCGATTTTGTTATTTTAGCCGAATGGCGGTATCCAGTCGCCGTGTAACCCAGAAGAAAACTAACAGATGTTACTCATCAGCTTGTCTGTAAAGGCTGAAATCAAAACGCAACTGTTTTTGATTATCACGATCATTTCCTTGTTTTTGTCACTAAGCTTACTATGCATTAGCTACGGGTTTTTTTGCTTCGATATAGTCCCCGGCTAGAAACACATTTTTTAATCTGGGGCGCATCCTGTATTGCACACAATATTGTTTATGTACATAATAGTGATTGTTTTCTTACAGGACGTTATTCGAACTAAAGAAAAACCCAGACGACAAAAACGGTGAGCCTATCAGCGTGAACGACTACTTCCAAGAAAAGCATACGTTACCCATCAAATATCCGAACCTTCCACTTGTGACCACGAAAAGCCTCAAGCACATTGAATTCTTCCCGATCGAAGTGCTCCACATCGCACCGCACCAACGAATCAAGAACGAGCATATGCCGGCAGAAGTTCGGTCGCACATGACGGGAAAGAATTCCACTCTTCCCTCGGAGCACGTGCGACAGATTCAACAAATCCTTAGAAATTCGCTCAAAATGGCGAATAATGGTCATCTGGCGGCGTTCCGAATCAAGATGCCGTCATTCCATCCGATAAAGCCGGTGGCAAATATTCTGGCGCCTCCGCTGATCAAGTTTGCCAATCATGGAACGCACATTCCCATTCCGAACTTTGGTTGCGCGTTCAATAAGACCTATGAAAAATTTGTTGCTCCCGCTAACATCAAAACAATTGCATTCCTCATTACGAACGCCAATTTCAGATCTGTTGAGTGAGTTTTTATTTCAGAATCGGTCTAACAAGACTTGAACCTATTTTCTTATAGGGAGTTGATGAAAAATATCGAGCAATATTGTAAGGAACAGAGAATTAAGGTCGAACGCCGGCGGCAAGACTGGAGAGTTTTTCACTGTACGGAGAACGACACACTTCGCCTAAGGGAAATTATTGACGAATGCATCAAGGACAAAGCTGACATTTTGTTCGTCATCGCTAAGGATAAGCATCCTTTTTCGCACGGTATGTTATTCAAAAAACTGCAGACACGGAGCATCAGTTTTCAGTAATTCTTGATAATTTCCGCTGTTCGAACGCTCAAAATGCTTGCATTTAAATACGTGCTTTTTTTAAAAATAATTTCCGACAATGATTCAGTCTGAAAACTGCTCAGTTCGGCCGCAATGACAATTTCGATACAAAAATAGCGAGAAAGTCGTGAAATCGTGAATGTTTTGCGAAAAGCGCGTCTCAGTACATGTTACGCTCTTTTTTATTAACTATCACTCGAGTACTCCTCTTTTGACAAAATCAAAACGTGAATTTACAGATTATCTGAAATATTACGAGGAAAAGCTCGGACAACAGACTATCCAAGTGTGTACGAATACGGCCAACAATATGATAGGGGATAGAGCTCTGTCAGGTCAGAGCTTCAAAAATGTGATGAGGAAATTCAATTGCAAAACGGGCGGCACAAATTTCCACATTGACGTGACGCAATCGGTAGACGGAAAGGTTATTTGCCCGCATACGCAAAGGTGAGTCAATTGAGTGCGCCACGAGTAACCAACTGGTTTTTTCGACTTTCAGTATGCACATGAAACTTTACGCCAACACACAATTCATTGGTTTCGAGCTGAGTCACAGTGGCGCGAGAACTCAATTCCAGATCCAGCAAGAAATTCACCGTCCCGAGCCGACTGTGGTCGGAGTCGCGTATTCGTTAAAAAACTCCACACAGCTGGGCGGTTTCTCTTACTATCAAAAGCCTAGAGTGGCGAATCTGACGTGAGTGCTCACAGGTGACTCTACGAAAAACGAGAACTCTTTTCCAGGGAGTTGAGCGAGAATTTCCCCACTTGTCTGGAAGCGTATCGGGAAAGTACTACATGCCTTCCGAAAACCATTGTCATTTATCGATCCGGACTGGGTGAGGGTGATTTCAAGGAGATCATTAGCGAACTGAACGACATGAAGAAGGCGGCGGCGAAAAAGAAGTCCGGATACGAACCGAAATTCGTTTTGATTGTCGCCCAACGACGTTCGCACGTTCGAATGTTTCCGGAAAAGATTGACGGATCCTCGGCAAAGGAGCAGAACGTCGTATCGGGAACATGCGTTGACTACTCATCAGGACACGGACTCGACGAGTTCATTATGAGTTCGCAAATTCCGCTGATCGTGAGTTTACAATGGACACATTTCAAAATGCTCTTTCTGCTGTTTGCACATTCCACGTTGTTCCAAAGACTACGCGGCCGAACTCTGAAATCATTCAAATTTTCCCGCCGTTTTTGCAATTGACTGCGTAGCGACCTAGTCGCCTTTTTTCAATTGAAATTCAAAACTTGGCATGGCGCCAACCGCGTCTGATTTCTATGGAGTGCGCCTGCTAACGTACCGCTGTGAATTCTCAATTTTTCGACGACAATTTAGCTCTCATGCATACATACATTTCATTGGTTTTCAGGGTACAATCCGTCCGACACGCTACACAGTGCTTGTAAACGAGTCGAAGTGGTCGAAAAACGAAATAATGAATGCGACGTATCAACTCGCGTTCGGACACCAGGTTTCCTACCAGCCGCCCGCCATCCCCAATGTGTTGTACGCGGCGAAGAATCTTGCGAAACGAGGAAAAAACAATTTGCGCACACACGTGTGAGTAATAGCAAATGAAGTCGCGCGAGATGGCGAAAATCATTTTTTCAGAGATCTGCAAGAATTTCAAGAAGGTGTCAAAGAGATCTGCGCAAGGTATGCAGATTCGATTGGCGAGATCACGAAGGAGGAGTTTGAAAAGATGCTCGTCAATGAGATTTCGGCGTCGGTCAACGAGAAGACGAAAAAATCTCGCAACTTTTGGGCATGACTCAATTCGTGTTTTCTGTAATTTTTTCGATTAACTGTACTAATTTTGAACTAATTTATTTTATTATAGAGGCACCGAATAGAAAGGGCGCTCTGTTCGCAATCTCGCCGAATTTCTAGGCCGCGAAGTAATTTTCCACTGAAAATGTGGCCTAACTTTTCAAACTCGGCCCCGAGGTCGCTCAATTTGCACTGCAAAAAGAGTTTCTCAACAGAGCGCCCTTTCTGTTCGGTGCCCCTATAATAATTTGACACTCGACTTTGTCATATCAATGTTTTCCTAAATAGCTGCTATTTGTACTCGCTCATTTGTATATTTTATGATGATTTTTAAAATTCAGTAAATCAGCAGACTGAAGGAATTTTGATGAAAAAATTGGTTCGCCCCAATTTTTCACCTGAATAAATGAGTTTAACGAATTCAAAAAAAAGTGTATTTGAAAAATGCGAGAAACCATTGTGAAGTTGTTTTGTTGTTGTTGTGTGTGCTTGTTTGGGTTTGCAAAGAAAATGGACAGAGAATGAAAGTAAAGTGGGAGCAAAATAAGGTGGAATTGGTGTGTAAATACAGAGGTAATGAGAATTAGATGGGGGAAGACGGGACCCGGGCCAATTAAATAATTTTCACAGGTATTTACAGTGGGATTACACAAAAATGAATAGGAAAAAAGATCAAATATCATCGACTATAACATCGTCCTCAATGTCCTCCATCGGCGGAATTTCCACGTCTTCGCGTGTCGCCTGATGCCGTTGACGCAACTCCTGAGCGGCCATTTTGTGGTAGTCGCCGTCGGAGAGACAACTGCAAAAATTGAGGTGGTAATGACTGAATATTTTTTGCATTTTTCTATTTTTTCCGATAAAACTTGATTACGGCGGAGAAGTAGTGTAGCAACTTACCGTCTAACATTCCGATGAGTGCCCATGGAAGAGGGCGGAGCTGCCGCTTGATGTCGCGTCGACATGTGACGCGTCAGCACGTCTCTTCTTCGCTGAAAACGCAACGTTTGAGGCTTGATGAAAGAGCGACTATTTTGGTCGGAAACGTGGCAGTACTGGTGGTGCCGAACTAACCGCGGAATAGTTACAAACGCAACAATGGTAGGGTTTCTCGTCGGTGTGCGTGCGCCGATGGGTCCGAAGATGATCGGAGCGGGAAAAGAAACGGCCGCAGTCCTCGCATTTGAACGGTTTTTCGCCCGTGTGACGACGTGTGTGACGGGACAAAATGTCGGGCCGACGGAAGTCTTTTTCGCAGATGAAACAGTAGTACCTGCAGAGAAAGCGGCGGCTTTGAACGAGTATTGTAGGCTTAGGAGACGTTTCATGGATTTCTAGAAGTGTTCGTCGAATTCGACACTTCTAGTACGCTAATTTTTCCAGTTGATCACTTTTTGAACGCTTGGAAGTTGGCGCCTTGTAAAAGCTAAAAGCGTATGGAAACTTCAAAGCGCTACGGTACTCCTGACAGTGGTCGGATCGAAAAGTTGCCAACTAGAAAAATAAAGTTCACACCTTGAACTTTATTTCTCTAGTTGACAACATTTCGATCCCATCACTCCCTGGATTACTGCAGCGCTTTGAAGGTATCGTATGTTTCTTCAACTCGCAACTTTTAAGCGTTACGGAGTAGTCGTAGAAAAACGGGATCAACTGGAAGAATGAAGAATGAGACTTACTGTCCGGGTACTTCGGCATTCGACGTCGACACCGACGCCGCCGCATCCTGACTCGTTTCGCTCGTTCTCGTGGTATTCGTGGATGAGGATCCGGAGGTGCCGAGCCGAACTCTCTGCAGAATCTCCTCCGGACTCTGATGCGTCGACACTATTTCGAACGCCGACTTTTCGTGCTCAATCGAGCCGGAAGGAGGACCTGAAAGTGTTTGCGTACTAACAACTGAATTTTACGAGCAAAGATGAGTACAGTACCTCCTGGCGACAATCCGGGCGGTCCCGTGGATGCAGTGGCCGGTGTCGAGTTGGTAGAAGATCCGATGAACGGAATGTGATCGAAAGTGAAGCGGTTTTGATTTCTAGAATATTGTTTGTCAGTTTATATTCTATAGAAACTCTCGATAGATACCTGACTAGCGAAGAAGTGGAGGAGGGTGTGGAGGAGAGCGAGAACGGCGATCCGTCGTTGAAGTTGAGCGGAGAGAGTCCGGGCGGCGAGAGGGCGAGACTGCTGACGGATCCGCCGGGCATCGGAGAGGGGAATCCGCCCGGCGACGTGGAGAGGAACAGCGTCGACTCGACCGCCACGTCCTCGTCGTCCGTGCCCTCTTCTCGCGGCGCCTGGTACGCTACCCTGAAAAATTGGGATTGATGGTCTCATTATTTGAAAACTGTTCGGTCTAGAGCTTCAACTATCAAACAAGACTTTTTGGACTTGAATCCAATCCTAAAAGCCCGAGCTCATTGCTTATAAATCAGTGAATCTCAGTCCGATCGGTCTCAAATTTTGAAATCTTTTGACACGATTGTAGTGGACAAGCTTTCGAGAAAAGTAGGGGTAACTTTGCGACTGACTGACCAGGGCAACGAGGCCATCGCGGAGACGGGCCTTCGTCGGAGCGGCGGGTGCTGCAGCTGACCGATGAAGATGGACGACGGCGCGGCGATCGCTCTGTTCTGGAAATCACTCACTTTATTTCAAATTTCTTCGAGCGGAATGACTTTTGCTTAACAATATTTGACAAATTCACGGTCTCCAGAGCTGACAATGGGCGCGCAAGTGCGCCCCGCCCAATAGAGCGATACACTGGCGCGAAATTCAAATTTTAACAGCAAAATTTGTGTTTTTTGCCAGACTAGCCACGAAAAACCGATAATTTCTCATTTGTCTCTCGATACACCGATTGTATAGGCTATTACGAATTTTTAAAGCGAAAGAGCGTCAAGTCTGGTCAAGTCGCAAATCACATTTATCCGTTTGAAGGCTTTTGGAAACTGCGTGAAACTGCGTTTATTTCAGTTGCTTTTCGGTAATTTTCGCGGTTCGAGCGCTTAAAATGCTTGTATTTACGTGATTTATCATTCTCAAAACCAATTCTGTCTGAAAACGGTCAAGAAAGCGCAAAATGAATCAAGTGCGGTTTTTAGGCGGCGATCGGCGGCGAAAACGAAAACGCAGTCTGCGAAAAATGCGCCAAAACTTCATTAATTCTGTGAGAATTAGCGTGTTTTCATGTCGAACAATCATTTTTCATCGCCGTTGACCACAAAAATCAGAGAAAACCTGCTCAATTTATGAAAGCGAAAGCGCCCCATATTGTCAGCTCTGGAGACCGTGGCAAAGAATACATTTCTTCCGGAAAAGGGAATTTTTTTTCTGAAACACGCAAAAAATGGTGACTTTTTGAGTGTCCCAAAAAAGGCGAAAAAGAGAGAATTTCCGCGAAAAAAGAGCTCACAAGTTTGTGAGAGCTCTGAAGAGCCCTGGGGCTGAATACAAATCGAGTCACGGTCACTTTTACAAGCATGACGTCGTGGCAATCAGGCGCCTAAAAACTAATAAACAATCACGTCATTGTGAACACCGAACACCGGCCTTTACGACAAATTGCAGAGCTACAGTAATGCCCCGGGGCCTAGGGTTACTGTATCAAACTGTGACGTCATACTAAAAAAAAAATAGACTGAAAATGTTGCAAAATTGTCGAGAAAATGTTGCGGAGAAAATCGAAAGTGAAAGTTTGGCTCAAAAATGGGTGGGTGGCTCTTTGTCTGTCGAAATATTGTGGCATTCGGGGAGAGAGAGAGAGAGAGCAGGGTGCTTATCAGTTGAGCGAGCAGAGGTTATCAAAGGTTTCGGAGCAAGAGCACATTCGTCAGTTATCAAAAGATTTTTCGTGCTCTGATTCACTCCGTTAGAGGACCGTTTTCTGGGAAAACCTCTCTGGAAAAGGTCCCTAGAAACTTGGAGAAATCATCATGACGACTCGAATTTGTGGTTAATCTCGAAAGGAAGGATGCGTGACATCAGCCACAGATTAGATGGATTATAAAATGAGTCAATGGGGGAAAAAAAAGGGATTCGAGAAAATATCACAATGTATGCGGATTACTGTAAGGATTTTTATTCGGATATATCGATAAATTGTCGATATATTCTCTTGAAAACGTACCTCGTTGTCGTTGGAAGCCGAGGAAGAAGAGGAGGGCGTCGCCGTGTCGATGGCCGTCGAAATTTCGACCGTCGGCGGCACAATTAGACCCGTTCGTTTGCTCATTTTTTATCTGAAAACGCGAAAGCATAATGCTTTCAATTTCATAATCATCATCATCAGCATCTCAACAAACTACCGTAATCCTTCTTCTTCTTCTCCCTATCCCTCTTTTAATCACTGATTTTCTCGCTCTTCTTCTCCGCCGAAAGCTCGCGTGGGCGCGGATGTCTACGCCCACCCAGAGAGAGAGACAGTTGTTTGGAAAACGAGAGCACAACAATCAACAAGGGGCCGAGCAAGGATTACGGTAGTTTGGAACGTTTAGTATTGTTTCCAATAAGCAAAAACATTTGAAAAAAAGCTCACCTAGAAAACGTTTGTTTGTTTTTTTTTGCGAAAAAGGAAAGACGGCTCCGGGAAAGGGGTCCAAAAATTGTTCGACTAGAAAAAGTGCGTGGGCGTGTCTTCGTCCTCTTCTTCAAAATTGGAAAAAAGAAGCAGAGGTGGCGAGAACTCGAGTGGAAATGCACGGATTAACAGCCCGAGAGCCCGACATTTTTGCGGTTTTTGGTTGAAAAAAGTGCTTTTCCTGATGCTTGCGTGGGCGGGTTTTGGGACCTGAAAAAAGTGTGACATTGTGAAGACCAACATGTTCTTTTTAGGGGCAAAACAAAAAGAGGAAGGGTAAGTACAGCGTGCTGAAGCGTATTTAAGGAACGCTTCAACTCGGCAGGGTTTCTTGAAGATTTAAAAGGCGAAAGAGCAAAAGGATTACTGTAGGTACGCAAGCACCGAGACTCACGACAAATTGCCGACTTTCAAGATACAGTTTTGTTGTTTCGTGAGAAGAAATGTAAATACTTTGCAGTATCTCAAGAACCAATGATTATTCCGAAAAGTTGTCAACTGAAAAATTGTTGCACATTTTATGCTCAACAATTTTGTAGTTGAACGTTTCACCTGAAAACGCTTCATTTTCAAGTTACACTCATTTTTCTAAACAGTGCTCATAGAACGACAAACTCGTGTAATTTTTTGACCTCTGTCGAGGTGAGGTAGGCAAAAAAGGCGGAAAAAAATGGACAAAAAGTTGCTCTCTCTCTCTCTCTTTTTGGCGTGAAAGAGAGAAAGGGAGGGAGAGTACATTCTGATTTTTCGTGCCTCACTGCCCCCCTCCCTTTTCCAACCTCATCACTTATTCGCACGCCGATTAGTCTCTTTCACTCCTTCTTCTTCTTCTTCTTTTCCCTTTTTTGCTCCCGTGTGTGCATGTCAACTGACATGTGCTCAAAATGAGCAGAAAAGGGGGAAGAAGGAGATGAGGGAGCTAAAGGGTCCGGGATCTGAAGGCTAACGACCAGTGCATCTCAAGATAAATTGATACCATATTCAAAGCAGTGTATTTCGGTCGTTTGTCGAGATATCAAAAAGCAGTGAACTGGAAAAATGTGCAAAATTTCTTGAGGAACAATTCATTAGTTGACAACTTTTTGATATCTCAACCGGCAAATGAGATATAGCGCTTTGAATGAACGGTAATCCGAAATGATATCATCGGACTGCCACTTCGTGCGCACTTGCGTGCTGGAAACCACTTATATGTCCGTGTGCATTAAATGGAAAAAAAGTGGGGGGGGGGAGGGGGTACTTGCATATTTGAGAAGATCGCACAACTCAACGGCAAGGGAATGTGCGAATAAAAATTGCAGACCCGTTGAGCGTTTTGGTCTGGAAATTGTGATAAAAGTGCACTGTAAAAGTAACATATTTTGAAAATGAAGTTCAAAATGAGCGATTCATGTTCTCAAAGTACCAAATGTTGGTGAATTTTCAAAAAAGTACATGCGGATATCGATTTTTCTTGCGGCACTCGAATAATTCTGTCTGAAAGTCAATTCTGATCCTCAGATTCGACTTTTTCCTCGAGGGAATCAACTTTTTTTTTCAAATTTCACACCTGTAAGTTACAGTTTCGCAAAACATGGAAAAGCTTTAAAAAAAAACATAAATTTGAACTTTTGTCCTCTCAAACACCAGGCCCACCCATCCCTCTTATACTCATTTTCCAGACCATCCAACAAAAAAACATTTTTGCTCATTCCGGAAATTAAAAAGGATTCGACAATGGAAGAGAGGACATTGTGGTGAAATTCGACGCCCTTTCGTTTTTTTTTGTCGAAAAAATGCGGAAATTTGGGATATTGGAGGGAGAAAAAAAAAGGGCAAAATGAGGATGAAATGGAATGGAAAAAGTTCGGAGCATATTCAAAAAGCGATTTTCGGAAATGCGATCAAAGAAAAAATGAGGAAAAAAACCCGGAAGAGCTCTTTTTTCCGCTACTCAATGGGTTTTAAGAACACGAAAAAGTACAAGAGAGTCACACACACACAAAGCATAGTACCTATTTTTAGGCCCTCTCACTCACTTTGATCTTTTTTCCGTCCTCTCGCCCTCTCGTGGTCTCGAAACGAATAGAGTGAGCAAACATTTGAGCGGAAAGAAAAGAAAACAGTTTGGATCGGCGACGAAAAGAGCAAAAAACCCCCCCATGTGTTGTCTGAGTCTCGCGGAAAATCGAGGCCGGTCATGAGGAAGCAACTAGAAAATTTGTTCGGAAAAGGTGCGTGGCCTGGCATAATTTAAGCGGGAAATTCAAAACTTTCAGGGTTTTTCGTCGAAAATTAGCTAAACTCCGCACGATTTCCGTGAAACTGCAAGGTTTCGGCTCAAAACGAAAAACGTCTCGAACGTTGCGTTTTCACGAAAATTGCACTGTTTTCCGCTTCAAATCTCTTTTTTCAATCGATACGCATTACAAAAATAGCGAAAATTGCGGAAATTGCAAAAGTTTTACGAAAAACGCGTTTCAGCGCAAACCACACGGAAGAGCGCGCAGTCAAACGTTTTGCGGTGGCCTAGAAAACTCTGGTGTGAAAACTCGTCCCGGTTAGGAGTCGGATGCAAGCGGACATTTTTTCCTTCAAGTTTTGAGCTTGAAAATTGTGTGTTTTGTCCCAAAAATTCATCTAAAATGCGAGAAAAAAGAAAGAAGACACTTCTGATTGACATCATTATTTTTCTTTTTCGTCTTCGCCGTCAGAAACCTTCAAAAAAGATCAAAGATGAGCGTGAGCGTACAAAAACACACGAGATGAAGCCATAAAAAAGCGCTCACGAGTTGTGACGTGGAAAATGGAAAGCCGATTATGAAATGGGGTGTGTGAGTGTGAGTTGTTTGAATAATTTGAAAATGTATCTTGTTTTGACATGAAACAGTAAAGTTTTTGGTGGAAAATGAGCAAAAAAAAGTGTCTACAAAATTCTGAAGCTAATAGACAGCGCATGTCAGGTCGCATGCTCTAAACCACTCAGAAAAACGAGGAAAATTTTTTCGAAAAAAAAAAAAAGTAGAAAAACGAGTGTAAGAAGAGAGAAAAAGGAAGAGAAAGAAGAAGATGGCGAAGAAGAAGAAGAAGAAGAAGAAAAAGGTGTTGCTCTTTTTTTTTTTGCTCAGCCGCCCCCCGATGGAGCTCTTCGAGCCCACGGGGGACTCGCCCGGAGCACACAAAAACGGAGAGAGAGACGGAGAGAAAAAGGGAGCGAAAAAGAGGAAATGATGTGGAGGTGGCCACTGAAAACGACTGAAAAAAAGAAGGAGAAGCAAACGAAGAGCAAATGAGCAAAATTTGATGAGTTTTTCCGCACGTTTTACCGGCAATATCGTTGAAAAGCGTGTTGGAAAAGTTTTCGGAAGACGGAAGACGGAAGACGGAAAGCGTGCTCAATCGCTCAACACAATTTCTCAGAAAACGTGTCTCCAAATGTTATTCGATTTTCCGGAAAACGCGTCTCCTTTTTTCCATTCAAATTCCATCTAAATTATTTGGAAAAATTAGAGCAAAACGGGGCGAATCGAGGAGGGAAACGGAGATGGATGTTTGTTTTTGAGAAGGCCGGAAGCTGCTGCTGGCCCCCCTCCACGAAAAAATGATGTCATTTTCAGAGAAAAGGGGTCCGGACACAACATGTGTCCGCCGGTGCACCTTTTTTGGGCTCTTTTTCGACGACGCGTCTCCCAGAAATCGCGTTCTCGGTAAAACTTTTATTGTATTGTGCTCTTCGAAATGAGCCACGCAGTTACACATTCACAATTTTCAGTGGATTTTGAAGAAAAGTTAGGATGTTTAATGGAAAGGATGTCCATCAGAGTTGAGCGGAAATGGAATTTTGAAATCCGGAAGACGGAAGACGGAAAAAAATTTTTTTTACGGAACACGGAAAACGGAAGACGGAAGAACAATTTTTTTTTACGGAACACGGAAAACGGAAGACGGAAGAACAATTTTTTTACGGAACACGGAAAACGGAAGACAAGAAAATTTTTTTTTACGGAACACGGAAAACGGAAAACGGAAGAACATTTTTTTACGGAACACGAAAAACGGAAGACGGAAGAAAATTTTTCTCACGGAACACGAAAAACAGAAGACAGAAGAACATTTTTTCTTACGGAAGACGGAAAACGGAAGACGGAAGAAAAATTTTTTACGGAACTCGGAAAACGGAAGACGGAAGAAAATTGTTTTTTACGGAACACGGAAAACGGAAGACGGAAGAAAATTGTTTTTTACGGAACACGGAAAACGGAAGACGGAAGAAAATTTTTTACGAAACACGGAAGACGGAAGATGGAAGAAAAAAATCGTCAATGCAGAACCTTTTTCTCCGGTTTTTTTTTGAAAAAAAAACTAATTAACAAAACATTTGGATCTGGGTCACTGTCCGTGAAAATTCGCGTTCTTCGGGGCTAGTAAATGGCTTCTGAAAAGCTATTACTCTTTTACGCTAAGAATAAAAAATCCCGGAAGACGGAAGACGGAAGACGGAACAAAAAAATCCACGGAAGACGGAAGACGGAATTCCGCTCAGCACTGATGTCCATGTTTGTACGTAGATCAACGCAGACCTCCAGCAATATCTGAAAATCCTCTTTCAGCACGGTATTCGACTCTTAACCCGAAAGATAGTTTGTCTAGGGAACAATCATCGACTAGAAAACAGGGCTGGGCAATTTTGCCTGAATTGAGACCCACTTTGTACGGTTTCTTGTAAGTTTGCTGGTTTTGTGAGGCGATGCGATCTTGAGGTCGTTTCTAGCTTCTAACGACCTTAAAAGTGATTCTGAACCTGGGCTCTAAGAGGATTTTCCGATCGTGCTGAGTTCCTCCCTTCAAAATCCAAAATTTGCCCTAAAAACCACCGACTCGAGCCAAGAAGCATTTCCCAACTATTTCTCTTCTCATTATTTATCGTCAATATTTCAGCTGCCGTTGCCGTTGCAAACAGCTGAAAATCGTGTCAATGAGCTGCTGCAATTCCGAGTAAAATCACGGGAAAGATTTGGGGGAAGATTAAACCGAATCAAAGAATACCAGTGGACTTTGACGTTTTCGACCGGATGAGGTCAGCGAAAAATTTGTCCACATTCGATTCGATTTGCATTACTCTAGCCAATTGGCCACATTTCCCCCCAACCCCGGATTTTCTCTAGTGTTTTCGGGAAAAAGTGGCTGAAAAAGTCGCGAAAGTGTGTGTGTCTTGTGTCGCCCGAGAGAGAGAGAGAGAGAGAGAGAGAGAGAGAGTACAATGTTTGAGTGCTGCACTTTTTCCCCCCCGTCCCCAATCGGTTCAAAAACCGAATTTGAACAGCTTTCGCGCGCGCTGCCACGTCTTAAAAAAGTGTGCGCGCGCGCGCCGGGCGAGCCCGCCCGGACAAATAACGCCGCCCGTTCTTTTTGCTGGTAAAACGTGTAGAGTAATCGTAATCCGTCGTCGGGCGAGAAAAGGACAATATCGGAAAGGGAAGGGGGGAGAAAGATCATGTTCAAAACGTTTTTGGGAGCCGAAATTTGAAAAGAAAGGAGGGAGAGGAAGAGAGAGAGAGAGAGAGAGAGAGAAAGAGAGCAAACAGGCGGCTCTGGAGGGGGGGGGCACAATCTCGAGAGCTTTCAGCTGATCGCTTGGGAAACATCGATATTCTACAGTTTTTAGTGCATTTTTTTAAAGCCCGGGCCAGGTTGAACGATTTTTGAGAGCACTGTTCAGAAATCGAACTATAACTCGAAAACTAGGCGTTTTCAAGTAAAATCGTCAACTACAAAGTTGTTGAGCATAAAATTTGCGACATTTTTGCTGTTGACAAAATTCAAATACAATCGTCCGTTCTCGAGATAATTGCCTTCAAACTCTTTTCAAATTTTTCACTGTTCGTCCGGAAAGTCAACAAAAGAAAACAGAGTTCGAGCAAGAGTGGGCTCGTTCGAAACGGCGACTACACTCTCTTTTATTGGCCCCACTGTGTGCGTTTTCTGCAAAAATTGTTGGGGGCAAATATAGACACGAACAGGAAACGAGAAAAGTGTTCAGCTCAACAATACCGTAACCCCCCTGTACGCCTCCTTTCCAAGCCTACAATAGCGCTTTGCCACGTCGTTCCACACCTACCGTAATCCATTTCATCTCACTTTGAAAGCGTTAATGAAAGCGTTTTTGCAACGAAAAAGTCTTGAATTTAATGAAAAAACAAAGAGAAAAAGAGGGAGAATAGCATCTTTATCTTCTTCTTCTTCTTCTTCTTCTTCTTCCTCCCTCGCAAACTTTTCCGAACACTCTCTCTTCCTCTCTCTTTCTCCCGATATTGTGCTCTTTTTCAAAGATTTCCGGTGCCCCCGTGGGTGATGAAAACAAGAGAGAAGAAGAAGAGAGAGAGAGTGGTTTGTGATCGGCTGGGAAGAAAGAGAGAGAGAGAGAGAGAGAGAGAGAGAGAGGGAAATAACAAGTTGAGGGGGAGAATGATGGGTTGGTTCGACAGCCGATCATTGGAATTTTGAAAAGACAGGGGGGGGGGGTCAACATGATATCTTCACAAAAAAAAAAGTGATTATCGTTGCTTGCCGGACTCTCTCAGCTCCACATTCTGTTTGTTGGCAAAGTAGGACTTGTCGAGGAGGTAGTCGCAGGCGCCTTGCACAATAATTCGGGTCCTGAAACGAACGCGTCGGGGTTACGGTAGGTCGGAAAGCGTGCAAACACCGCAAACGCACCAAATCGCGACGGCGGCGGTGAAGAACGAGACGACGGAGACGTTGAACGGCCAAATCGGACCGTAATCGCGCTCGATCATCCAGACTTGGCCGAAATGGCCGAACGCGGTGCGAGTGAACTCGATGCCGATCGACATGGACAGAATCGAAATGCCCGCCCAGAAGAGGAGGAATCCGATTTCGAGCTGCAAACGAGGCATTCGGCGCTTTTTTGCTGACAATATGGGCGTGGCCCCTCGGCGGCCAAATGGCGTTTTTATGAATTGAGCAGGTTTTCTCTGATTTTTGTGGTCAACGGCAATCAAAAATGATTGTTCGACATGAAAACACACTAATTCTCACAGAATTAATGACGTTTTGGCGCATTTTTCGCGGACTTTGCTTTTTCGCCTTCGCCGCCAAAAAACTTCTCATTTTGCGCTTTCTTGACCGTTTTCAGACAGAATTGGTTTTAATAATAACAATAAACATAAATACAAGCATTTTGAGCGCTCAAACCGCGAAAATTACTGAAAAGCAACTGAAATTCACGCAGTTTTAGCCAAAAACCTTCAAACGGATAAATGTGATTTGCGATTTGACCAAATTTAACCCTCTTGCGCTTAAAAAATTCGTAATAGCCTATACAATCGGTGTATCGAGAGAAAAATCAGAAATTATCGATTTTTTGTGGCTAATCTGGCAAAAAACACAAATTTTGCTGTTACACTGTCTCCCCCTCGGCGAAAAAAATTTTCGCGCGCTTTTTTGCGTGCGGCTCTCAGTGTCGATTTACGGGAGACAATTTTTCAACTGAAAACACTGTTTTCCCGAGTTTTTGGGATTATGCAGAGTTTTCGATTCAAAACGTTTGCCTCACGTCTGTTCATATGACCGATAGCTACAAAATGATCACACAGAGTGCTCGTGTAAAAGTGAAAATTCGAAGAGTAATTTCGTTTTTTAAATTTGGCTTGAAAAAACGCGAATTTTTGGAAGTTTTGAGAAAACAGTTGACAGAATAAAAAAACAGTTGCCTCACGATTGTTCAGCAGACAAAGGCGGTCATTTTGAGCACAGAGACGTTCCATGAAATGCAAAAATGACTGAGAAATTTCAGTTTTTGAGGCGCCGGACTGAAATTCACAGAAAAGTGTAATAATGCGCGCTTTCTTGTGAGCAAAACGCTAATTTAAGGTCACAGCTGTCATTAACAATTCGGAAATTCTCTGTTTTACTTCATTTTTCTCATTTTCGGCAAAAAATCCAGAAATTTCAACGACACTCCGTTTTAACGCGGCGCTCAATTTAGCATTAGCTATTGCGGAGACAGTGTGTTAACATTTGAACTTGCGCTCATTGTCAGCTCTGGAGACCGTGTGCCGGGCATAAAAGTTACCGTGATAAAAGTGAGTTTAGGAGTGAAGAAGCCGGGCTTTTCCTTGTAAATTCCGATGGCCATGAGGAGCGACGAGAAGACGGAGAGAATGGTGATGATGGCCTGAAGATAGGAGAGCCATCCGTCGATGGTGCCCGTCGTGTGACTCATTCCTGCAAATTTTCGCCTCGCGCACACACGTTGCATCACAAAAACCGACTGTAAAAGCACAAGAATCCGGTGCCCATGAGGATGAACTCGATGAACGCGGAGAGGTAGGCGGCGGTCGTGTAATGCATGGTATTACACGTGGCAGGCGCATAGTAGAACTTGTCATTTGGCGAAAAAACAAAGTTCGGAGGCAGCGGACTCAATTTGTCGTGTCCCATCTCGTGAGCTGGAATGAAACGAGATTTACGCAATGTTTGGAAGGGTTAAAAGTTGCGATATCAGATTGAAAAGTGCTTTTTGTGAACCCCTCATACCAAGTATGTACGTCATTTTTGTAGTTGACCACTTTTTCGTACGACCTCGTGGAAGTTGGGATAGCTTCAAGTGTGCTCCAAACTTTAAAGACTTGCAGTAGGCTTGGGAGTGGTCGGACGAAAAAGTTGACAACTACAAAAAGATAGTGCACACCTTGCACTTTACTTTTGTAGTTGAACATTTTTTGATCCGGCCACTCCGAAGAGTACGGTAGCCTCACAAAGTTGAGCCGAGAGAGCTACAGTACAAGAAAAAATAATTTTTAAAAAAAGTCCGGCGAAACAAGAAGGAAACCTTCTCGGTCTCAATCTCAAGTCGGTATGCGAGAAGACAGGGGGCGCGCGCGTAAAACGCGTTCTCTTTCTTTTTCTCTCGTTTGACCAATTGTCCGTGTTGGCCTACTTATTTCCATCGGGAAAGATATTCGGAGAGAGAGAGAGAGAGATCCGTTGGAAAGGAAGGATTGATCGGATGAAATGAAATGGAATGACAAGATTGCGGAGAAAAGTGACGGAACAAGTGCAGAGAAGACGAAGAAGAAGAAGGTGACTGTCAGAATTGAGCGGAAGAACACGGAAGAATTTTTTTTATCTTTTTTTAGAAAATTTTTTCATAGAATGTGACGAACAGATCGGCTTCGCATCTTCTTTCATTTCGTTCTCCACCGAGCGCTGAATAAATAGTCAATTTAGCTTCTCTAAATCTCCCTTTATTTATGTTTTTCCCTTCTCTTTCACTTTAATTCCATAATTTTATCTCCAATTATCACTTTCCTCGGCGAATCCGCCCTCCCAAATAATCGATACAGCTGGTAGTGCGTGTTGTGCGTGTTCTCTACGCTCCTGAACGCGCCGCGCCCGGCGACATTCGTCCGCGCGCGCGCGGCGATCGTGGCGAGACCCGCCACCCAAAATCCTACTGGTTTTTCGATAATTAATTCGCTAACAACGATTTTTTTTTAGCTAATTGCTGCCTTTTTTCCGTCAAAACTTGACGTTTTTTTACCTCACATTTTTTCCGGTTCTGTTCCGCTAAACCTTCCGCCTTTGTGACTCCTTTTGCCGCGTTTTGGGCCAGTTTACGGCTCAAAACTCTCTCTCTCTGTACCCAGGCCCACGATCTCCACGGTCGTGACGCCACGGGTCGTCACTTCTGGCGACGTCAGCCGCGAACAAACCGTCTCCGCATTTTTCCGTTAAGGTTTTTCCCCTGTTACCAACAAGTTTCGTTCATTTTTGCCCTACGGGGCCTTTTGCCTCTTACACTTTCGACTTAAATAAATTTGAATTCTTTATCAACCTGTGTTATGTCTCGCCACGCTCATCTTATACACGTTCTACTCGTTTTTCTTTCCCTCTTCCGCAAGCAGTCCATCAGACCCAAGACTATCGGAGTCTTTCGGGGTCGTCGTTCCGACCTGTCAAACCGAGTTCACTTTGCTATACATTTTGTCAGTTGATCACATTTCATGAAAAATTTTCTAAAAAAGATAAAAATTATTCCGTGTTCTTCCGTTGAGCTCTTCCGCTCAACTCTGCTGTCTTGGTTTCAAAACGACTGGTTACGAGACGTCCTATGCGACCTTTCGCCTCCGAAAATCTTCGTCACTTCCTCTTCCGATGTCTCTGTTCCCATCGCGAACTGCCTGTATAGCATGCGAATGCGTGCTCGAATATAAAATGAGAAAAGTGTTTGCCCGCGGGGCGGTGACATGCATTTTTGTTTCCCTCTTCTTCTTCCTCTTCTTCTCGCCGTCGGCGCCTTTGTTGGTGAGGTTAGTTTTGACAAAAATTGAAACTACACAACTAAAAGTCCTAGGCGGCTTCACCGTGTCGCGTATTCCGTCGGACCAGCACCGAAGAGCCGACGACGACTACGGTCACCAGCACAACCACTCCAACTCCAACTCCAACTCCAACTCCAACAACCACTACCGTAACAACGAGTACCGTAACCACAACTACAGTAACCACCCCCACACCTACTACCACCGGCACTCCGGACCCTAAGGCGCCTTGTATGGCCGTCGGGGACAAGTGGCAACCGGACGATTCGGACTATGCCGATTACTCGAGCGCCACACCTACCGTAACCTCTTCGGACCAGTGCGGAAGCGCTTGTAACACGGATTCGACGTGTGCGTACGCGTATTTCACCTCTGGAAAGTGCTGGACATTCGCCAAGTTCACTCCGCTCGCCTTCACGACCGGCGGCACCGGAAGCATGTTTTTTAAGGTATCTCTTTTTGCCGCATTCAACCCAACCTCGAAAATATCGAAAATATTGTAGCTCTACCTGAACGGCACCGGCACCTGCGCGACCGTCTCTTTGACGAATCTGGCGAGCACGAAACGAAAGATGAGCTATCCGGACGGTGGCACGTACTGGTTGGCCAACACTGTCATGAACACCATCAGCTACGGCAGCAACAATCCGGCGCTCGGATACAAGCGACGGAAGAGGAGTCTGCTCGCGTGGCTCTTCAACATGTAACTATTTTCAAACAGTTTATGAACTATTTGAAACCTCTTCTCCCATCTTCTTTATTGTTCTCAGGACCAACATTGAATGAATATGACCTAGAGAAGCCATTCAGAAAGTTCGAACAGTCGCGGTGAAGTCAGAAATTACCAAATTACTGCACCCTGGCTTATGGACCTCTCTAGTCTCTAGTGCTCATACCAGGTATTGTAGTGGGTCCAATTGAGTGAAAAGCTCCGGTATACAAAAAGACGCAGACGCCTCTTGCACTGTCTCCTCTTCGGCGAAAAAAAATTTTCGCGCGCTTTTTTGCGTGCGGCTCTCAGTGTCGATTTACGGGAGACGGTTTTTCAACTGAAAACGATGTTTTCCCGAGTTTTTGGAATTATGCACACTTTTCCTTCAAAACGTTTGCCTCACGTTTGTTCATATGACCGATAGCTACAAAATGATCACACAGAGTGCTCGTGTAAAAGTGAAAATTCGAAGAGTTATTTCGTGTTTTAAATTTGGCTTGAAAAAACGCGAACTTTCAGAAGTTTTGAGAAAACAGTTGACAGAATCAAAAAACAGTTGCCTCACGCTTGTTCAGCAGACAAAGGCGGTCATTTTGAGCACAGAGACGGCCCATAAAATGCAAAAATGACTGAGAAATTTCAGTTTTTGAGGCGCCGGACTGAAATTCACAGAAAAGTGCAATAATGCGCGCTTTCTTGTGGGCAAAACGCTAATTTAAGGTCACAGCTGTTCGGAAATTCTCTGTTTTATGGGGTTATTCAGCGTATGTTTGTTTTCCGTTTTTTTCGTTTTTTTACATCGCTGAATTGGATTTTTTGACGTAGAAAAACGGAAAACAATCTTTTTTTTCACAGTCTGAATAGCCCCATTACATCATTTTTCTCATTTTCGGCAAAAAATCCAGAAATTTCAGTTGTTGCTTTTGTTTTCAACGACACTCCGTTTTAACGCGGCGCTCAATTTAGCATTAGCTATTGGGGAGACAGTGAAAGATGGTTTATTGATGGAAAACGGCGCTTATGCAATAGGTTAGTAGTAGATAATACTCATTTCTTTTGAAGTAAGTCTGCCAAAAGATATAATCACACTGTCAGCTTTGTGGTATAAGTTATTTGAGACGTGATGCCTGACGTCTCGAGCGTAAATGAAGAGTAGGCGGCGGAAGTGGAGATTGTCTGAAAAGTTTGTAATAAAATCAATAAAACATCCAAACTTACATATGTCTGTGAGGTCAACGCCGAATCCTTGTCCAACGCGCACGTGTTGCTGTCGAACTCGACCTTCATCGCCACAAAGTTCACCGTCATTCCCAGGGCTCCGTAAGCGTCGCCGGTGCGCTCGAACGACGTCGCCGCTCCGTACATTATTTTATAGCACGCACCGATGCTGTGTATGGCGACCATGAAACATTCGTCGAGCTGCCAACAATAGTCCAGACAGGCTCTCCACGAGGAGATGTAGATGAAATCGTCGGAAGAGTGCGTCACTTGTCCGTAGAACGACAACATTGTTTTCGAGCATGCCTGTCAGAGGACGGCCGTCGATTTGAGAAGATGAAAATGTCTGATTTACCGCATCGCATTCGGGCTTTCCTTCTAGCCAATAGTTGCAATTGTCGGTCGAGTCGCCGACAGCTGTGAAAAATGACGTTTTCATGAATTGAGCAGGTTTTCTCTGATTTTTGTCGTCAAAGGCGATGAAAAATGATTGTTCGACATGAAAACACACTAATTCTCACAGAATTAATGACGTTTTGGCGCTCATTTTTCGCCGACTTTGCTTTTTCGCCGATCGCCGCCCAAAAACTTCTCATTTTGCGCTTTCTTGACCGTTTTCAGACAGAATTGATTTTGAGAATGATAAATCACGTAAATACATGCATTTTGAGCGCTCGAACCGCGAAAATTACCGAAAAGCAACTGCAATTCACGCAGTTTTAGCCAAAAACCTTCAAACGAATAAATGTGATTTGCGACTTGACCAAATTTAACGCTCTTGCGCTTAAAAAATTCGTAATAGCCTATACAATCGGTGTATCGAGAGACAAATGAGAAATTATCGATTTCTCGTGGCTAATCTGGCAAAAAACACAAATTTTGCTGTTAAAATTTTAAAAACCCTCAAATTTTTTGATTTTTTTGTGAAATTTTTTGTGTCTGTTTCAATTGTCTCTTATTGCCTCAGAAATGCCAATGAACGAAACGGCGTGCAGTTGAAGTTGTGGCTGTGGTGGCCTAGGAAACTCCGGTGTGAAAACTCTTCCCTGTGAGCAATTTGATGCTCTTGCACTCTGTATGGATGCTGATTTGTGTGAATGTTTTGCAACGTATGAGGATTGTGCCGAACGCCAAAAAAAAATCCATCCGGAAGAGATCACAAGGCCTAGAAGTTTTCTGGGCCACGGCCACAACTTTGACTAAGCGCCGCTGTTCCATTCACAGCTATTTCTGAAAGTTGGGGCTCGGACGGTGAACGTGGCAATAAGAAGCAAAAGTGTTTCATCCGACTCACCATATTTCATAGTGTAATATTGTGGTGTCACCTGCACCGAATACGTTCTAGACGGCTCCGTCGGAAACACATTCTCGTCGCCGAACATTTGTTTGGACGCGGACGAGCACTCGGTCGGCGCGCGATCCAATTTGAACATGACGCGGTCCTTGTCGGCCGAAGGAGCCGATTCCTGGTTGACGACAGTGATAAAGTCGCCGGCGGTGAACAGCCGACACATCGTCTGGCTGCTGTTACCGTACGCCATCACACACGCCGAACTCGCTTCGCACTTCTCGAGGCACACCTGCCAATCGTACGTGAGCACATTCATCGGGTAGCTCGTCGACATGTCCGGAATTCCCCACACAATTACCGTCTTTTGCGGGCTAGTCACTTGGAGAAGTTCGCAAATCGGCAGGAGCCAGAGGAGGAAGCACATTTTTGGGCGGGCGGGCGAAAAGTGAAAAGTGCAAAGGAGAACACGGAAAAGTCGTTTGTTCAAGTGGATTCGAAAGTTCATTCATTCATTCATTCATTTTTTTTTTGAAACAAAACACATTGCAGCAGCAGCAGAATTCGCAGGGAATACAATCAATAAAAATCGTTGAAAAAAGGGAGGGAAAGCGGGGGGGGGGCAATGTACGGCTAAGCGAGTGGTTCGAAAGACGTTGAGAAACATTTCAAATATAAATAAATATGTATGTAATACTAATAAATATGAGATGTGTCATCACGGAGTCAATATTACGGTACCGACCGTAATCCCTAAGTCGCCGTCGTCTTTGCCGTCGTCTTATTCTTCTTCTTCTTCTTCTCGTCACCGCACACGTACTCGACCAATTGCGGAATTTGACCGTTCGAGTGGTAGTTTTCAATGTGTGAGTCGCCTGAAAACGTGTGCATGGTTCGCGCGGGGTACTGTAGACGATTACGTACTTCCGATGAATGTTCCACAAATGAACAGGTACGGCATTCCTTTGTGGGCGGTCAGTTGGTGCAGTTGTCGTTCGATCGCCGCCGGCTTTTCAATCTGAACATTTGAATGATGAACCTTGCTTGAGACAGACAAATGCACGAGGTGGTGGCCTAACTTTTCCCAAGACGGCCTAGATTCCCAAATCGCCATGCGGCCTAGAAATGCTTGAAACAGATAAATGCACGAGGTGGTGGCCTAACTTTTCCCATGGTGGCCTAACTTGTCCCAAGATGGCCTAGAAATACAGTTGGTGGCCTAACTTTTCCCAAGACGGCCTAGATTCCCAAATCGCCATGCGGCCTAGAAATGCTTGAAACAGATAAATGCACGAGGTGGTGGCCTAACTTTTCCCATGGTGGCCTAACTTGTCCCAAGATGGCCTAGAAATACAGTTGGTGGCCTAACTTTTCCCAAGATGGCCTAGAAATACAGTTGGTGGCCTAACGTTTCCCAAGATGGCCTAACTTTTCCCAAGATGGCCTAGAAATACAGTTGGTGGCCTAACTTTTCCCAAGATGGCCTAACTTTTCCCAAGATGGCCTAGAAATACAGTTGGTGGCCTAACTTTTCCCAAGACGGCCTAGATTCCCAAATCGCCATGCGGCCTAGAAATGCTTGAAACAGATAAATGCACGAGGTGGTGGCCTAACTTTTCCCATGGTGGCCTAACTTGTCCCAAGATGGCCTAGAAATACAGTTGGTGGCCTAACTTTTCCCAAGATGGCCTAGAAATACAGTTGGTGGCCTAACGTTTCCCAAGATGGCCTAACTTTTCCCAAGATGGCCTAGAAATACAGTTGGTGGCCTAACTTTTCCCAAGATGGCCTAGAAATACAGTTGGTGGCCTAACTTTTCCCAAGATGGCCTAGAAATACAGTTGGTGGCCTAACTTTTCCCAAGATGGCCTAGAAATACAGTTGGTGAGCTAACTTTTCCCAAGATGGCCTAGAAATACAGTTGGTGACCTAACGTTTCCCAAGATGGCCTAGAAACACAGTTGGTGGCCTAACTTGTCCCAAGATGGCCTAGAAATACAGTTGGTGACCTAATTCTTCCAAAGATGGCCTAGAGATACAGTTGGTGGCCTAACTCTTCCCAAGATGGCCTAGAAATACAGTTGGTGGCCTAACTTTCTGCTTTTGGTGTCCTAGAATCCCTAATTTATCCTTGAAACCAGGTGGCCCCTCTACTTCTCCCATAATGGCCTAGAAACCCAACGCGCGGCCTCGGATTCTCTAGAAATTCCCAACTTCAAACTGATAGACATTGGAAGCGAAGATGGCCTAGAATCCGACGAACCTTGTCGACGTAGAAAGTGACGAGGGGCAGTCCGTAAGTGTCTCGCAACAGCGTCTCCGTCTCTTTTGTTTTTTCGTTACGCGAATCGATGTAGAGCACGGCGGGCAACTTGCGGATCTGAAAGTTGGTTAGTGGACAAAAAAGGGTATGTTTCAGACAGAAATGGAGTGTTCAGAAATCATACAAAAGACCAAGAATATAAACCTGTTGAGTGAGTGACTGGCTCGGCGACGCGGTGACCGCCGACGTGGCCGTCGGACGGCTGGTGACGGCTTTTGTGGTCGGAGGTGGTGGCGGACGGCTCGATGGACGGGTCGGCGGGGTTGGCGGCTGAAATAATGGTACAATAGCACGGTTTCAATGCTCGATTTGTTAGTTGACAACTTTTGGATATCTCTGCGGGCAGCCGAGATATTCGCGTTTTAAATATCCTAGCCCCTTACCCTAGTAGTTGGTGGTGGTCTCGGCTGAGACTTTGGCACCACCACCGGCGAAGTCGGCGCAACCATTGGGACCACCGGCGCCCGTGTCACAGTTGCAACAACCATCGGTTGCGGTGGCTGTACAGGTCGTGGCGGGACCACTTGCTGCTGTGAAATTACGGATCCATGGTCCTCCTCGATCACACTGTTCTCATGACCGTACAAAGTCGAGTGCGTCGGCTTCTGCACTTGCACTTGCGGCTGACTCTGCGGTGGTCCCGGGTACGTGTACACTTGCGGTTTCGCTTGTCCCGCATAGGTCGTCTGTCCCAGCGCCGCCGTCTGATAGTTGTTATTGTAGGATGGGGATTGTGTGGCCGGAGGTGGTGGTGGCGGGTAGTACGGTTGTTGGGTCGGCGCTGGTTGTTGCACAAATGGAGGGGCCTGGGGCTGAGGCGCCGGCAGGAAGTTCATCGGCGGTCCTTGGTTTGAGTGAGGTTGCGGCTGAGCGTACGCATTCGGTTGCACTCCTCCGTACTGATTTTGCTGTTGCTGTTGTTGTTGCTGTTGAGCCAATTGCTGACGAGCCAGCTCGGCGGCCTGTTGGGCCTGAGCGGCCTGTTGGGCCTGTTGCTGACGCTGCTGCTCTTGGGCTTGAGCAGCAGCTTGAGCTTGCTGTTGGGATTGTTGCTGGGCGAGCTGTAAATCACCGACTTTGTTGTGGAACAAACGTTGCGCACGGCGACCAAAAACGTAGAAAGGGGCGTGGGGCCTAGCGTACACGATTTATCACCATTTTGGCGCGAAATTCGAAATTTAATCCCATTTTTCATGTTTTTCGTCAAAAATTACCAAATTTTTGTACGGGTTTCGACGATGTAATTGCATAATAACTTTTTTTAAACTAATCATCGCGCACTTTGAGCTTAAAACGAGCAGGTTTCATTCAGAAATAAATGAATTGAATCGATTTTCAAGTTTTGTGCTGAAAATGCGCGAATTTCACTCATTCGCCGATACTTTTTGCCGTTTGAACGCTTAAAATACTTGTATTAACGTGCTTAATCACTTCCGACACTCACTTCGTCTCAAAACTAACCAGTTCGGCCGGTTTGAAAATTCCGAATTGCGAAATATGCCAAAAACGTCTCAAACGCGACGTTTTCACGAAAATTTCAATGTTTTCTCTCTTTAATGTCTCTTCTTTCGTCGATATTAAACACAAAAATATCGGAAAAGTGCTGGAATTTTCAGAAAACACGTCTCAGATTAGGCCACGCCCCTTTTTACACTTTTGGTCGCCGTGCGTTGTGGAATATTATAAATTAAAGGGGGTGGTAGCCCTGAAAAAAGCTCAAAATGTCTCCGCCCACCTGTTGTTGTTGTTGTTGCTGAGCGGCCAATTGTTGCTGTTGTTGCTGTTGAGCAATTTGCTAAAATAAGTCATTTAGTGGTCTTTTGGATGCATAGACTATCCAAGGTGATGAAAAAAAAACAATAAAAAGTGCAGACCTGTTGCTGTTGCTGATAGGCGGCGAGCTGTTGTTGATAAGTGATTTCAGCCTGAGCCTGTGGCGGTTGTGGTTGAACCACTTGCTGTTGAGGGTATCCCGAGTACGTCTGCGTCTGTGGTTGCTGCGGCGGTTGACCGTACGTTTGAGGCGCCGGTTGTTGGACCACCTGAGGACGAATATCTTTATGGGGCTATTCAGGGGAGGAAAAAATGATTGTTTTCCGTTTTTTTCCCTATTCAGCAATGTCAAAAAATGGAAAAAAAACGGAAACAAAGCGTTTCCGGGTCTCGCAGCGATTTCATGCGGCTACTGTGAGAGACGTTTTATGAGTGGATTTACGAGAAGGGGAAATTTTTTTCAAATTTTTCAGCGAAATTGCCACGTTTTCCCGCTATTTTCGACCGATTTTCAACGGAATTTCAGTTCTTATTTATCTGTTATGGTAACTGATGCGAAATTGCCACGCTTGCCGCTATTTCCGACCGATTTCGCTTGAATTCTTTTTGTTTTTTGGATAGCTTCGAGTGCCTCGTCATATCGTTCAAAACATTGAGCTTTTCGGTGAAAATCGGTTCAAAATAGCGGAAAAACGTGGCAATTTCGGTGAAAAATTAGAAAAATTTTCGTAAATCCACTCATACAGCGTCTCTCACAGTAGCCGCATGCTTCGCGTCAGGGAAATCGCTGCGAGACCCGCCGGAAAAAAACGTCATTTTTTGACATTGCTGAATAGGGAAAAAAAACGGAAAACAATCATTTTTTCCTCCCCTGAATAGCCCCATTAGGCTACGAATTATAATCGATAAAGTTATTTTGAAAAACTCGTGTATCTCAGCGATCGGTTGAGATATCAAAAAGTTGTCAACTGACAAAATGTACACCGTGTCTTGACGAACAATTTATCAGTTGACAACGTTTCGATACATCGATGATTTGAATGTACCTGTTGCTGTGGTTGCTGCTGTCCGCCGGCCGCTTGTACTCCACTATTCGGCTGCATCGTCAACTCGCCGGGCAGTTGAATTCCATAGGCTTTTTGCAAAATGTCGAGATACTGTGAGTACTTGGCCAAATTGGCCTGATCGATTTGCGCGGGCATTTGCTGCTGTTGTTGCGCGAACGTCTGTGCGTACTGCTGTGCAGCACTCGTCGCGAACGACGTGGCGGCTGCGGTCAGCGCCGCCTGATTCGGGTAGAACGCGTCGGCGGACGACGATTGGCCGCCGTATTGGACGCCCGGTTGCGAGTTGTAGCTGTGGAATTGAACCGCCGATGGTTGTTGTTGCGGCATCGGTTGTTGCTGCTGATACGTCTGTTCCGGTTGTTGCGAATAGGTGAACGAGGATTGGAACGTTTGTGCGTCGCCTGGAATTTGAATTCATCAAATGGCTATGTTGATGTTTCGAGAAAACCTTCCTCTGGCGCATTTCGTTATTCATTTAATCGTAGTCTACGCGGATTTTAACAGAAAAATTTCAAAATTCAAATTTTAACAGCAAAATTAGTGTTTTTTGCCAGATTAATCACGAAAAATCGATAATTTCTCATTTGTCTCTCGATAGACCGATGGTATAGGCGTTAAATTTGGTCAAGTCGAAAATCACATTTATCCGTTTGAAGGTTTTTGGCTAAAACTCCGCGAATTTCAGTTGCTTTTCGGTAATTTTCGCGGTTCGAGCGCTCAAAATGTTTGTATTTACGTGATTTATCATTCTCAAAACCAATTCTGTCTGAAAACGGTCAAGAAAGCGCAAAATGAGAAGTTTTTGGGCGGCGATCGGCGAAAAAGCAAAGTCCGCGAAAAATGAGCGCCAAAACGTCATTAATTCTGTGAGAATTAGTGTGTTTTCATGTCGAACAATCATTTTTCATCGCCTTTGACCAGAAAAATCAGAGAAAACCTGCTCAATTCACGAAAAAGCCATTTGGCCGAGGGGCCACGCCCATATTGTCAGCTCTGGAGACCGTGTATGACTCCTAATTAGATTAATAAATTGTCTAGCTAGATTAATAAGTGCTCAAATCAAGTTTCACGCCAACCGTTTGTTGGCGCTCAAATCTCGATTGCGCCAAGAAAAAACAGTCGAATCTAATTGGGTCTCGTTTAGATTAGTAACTTTCTAACTAGATTAATATCGAATTGCCAGACCCCCATTGATCATTAATCGCTTCATGATAAGTACAATCCGAGCCGCCGCCTTCAGTTCGCCCAACACTTTTTGATTGCGCTCCCCTCCCCCCAATTGTTGTCGCCCTTCTCGTTGTGCTGCTGGCTGGCCTGCTCCTGCTCACAAACAGTGTGCATTATGAGCGAATGAATGACATGTCGACAAACAATCGTGCTCCCCCACCCGAAGAAAGAGAGAGATAGAGAGAGAGAGGGAGAGAGAAGAAAGCGTCTTCGAGGAGGAAAAGCCAAAATAAGAGAGGGAAGTTTCAAGTATCGGGAACGATAATATGCAGTAAAGTAACCGAAATGACAAGGGATTAGCGATTAATGAGCGTTGAGGACATGTTGAAACTTTTGATCATAGGACCTAGCCTAACCATACATTCCATGAAACTATATAAGTTACAGAAGAGCCTAGACTCAACGGAAGAATTTTTATCTTTTTTAGAAAATTTTTGCAAGGAATGTGATCAACTGACGAAATGTATAGCAAAGTGAACTCTGTTCATAGAAAAATAAGTGTAAATTTAACTTTTCATACAAAAAAGTTATTCCTTCCGTCTTCCGTTAGCCCTCCTTTTTTCACGGAACAACTCGAATAACTTTTTTGTATGAATAGCTAAATTTACAAATATTTTTCTATGAGCACAGTTCACTTTGCTATACATTTCGTCAGTTGATCACATTTCATGAAAACATTTTCTAAAAAAGATTAAAAAAATTCTTCCGTGAGTTCTTCCGCTCGACTCTGCTAGATACCCTACCGAACTTTTTTTTAGCAGTAGGGCCACAATAAGTTACATTCCCTAATCCACAAAAATAAAGTTTCTTACTCGCCAGTACAACACAAGCTCTCTACAGTACCCCGATCGAACTTACCGTAACCCGGTGGAGCGTACTGTTGTTGTGGCTGTTGTTGCTGTGCTTGCACTTGAGCCTGTCCGTAGATGTTACCTGCACAAAAAAACATTTGAACGTCTTGAGTCGATATTGTCTGTTTGCCCCCCCCCCAAAATTCGCTTTTTCTCGCGTCGAACGGTCAGCGAGACGTACTTGAGAAACGAGTGATAACGAACAAAATTGGCCAGGGGGGGGGGGGTATTTTGGGATTCGCTTTTTTAAAAGCCAGCCTACCAGAAGTGGACGCCACGTGGATCACGAACGACGTGACGAGGAGAAGGCGTCGTTGACGGGCCGCCATTCTGGAAACATCGTACTGCGAATCGGGAAGAGAGCAAAAAAGTTGAACGAAAAAAAAGTAAAAGAGAAGAGAAGAGCCGCTGTTTCTAAATAACGACTTTTCACCGCTAACCAAAAGAAAACGCTGAAAAATTGATGAAAGAAGAGGGAGAGCTAGCGAGAGCGGGGGTCTGTTTCGTCCAGGAAGGATTCCCTGGAGCAGTGGGCTGGGAGCGGCCGGCTCCCGTGCCGATAACAAACAAAAAGACATGTCAAACACACACACACACACACACACATAGCCAAAAAGGGGCGGAGCCTATTCGCTCCGCGCGCCGAACCGCCGTCCGGCCACTTTTGACGGGTTGCGTTGTGAGGAGCCACACAAGAAAGCGCAATCGCAATCGGACAGAAAATGGGGAGGGAAATGATAGTAATTTCTTTGCAAAACATCGAAAAATGGTACGTTACTTTTGTAGAAATACGAAAAATGAGAATTGTACGGTTTCAAATTTTCTATCAAAACTTTTGACGAGTCACTAAGCGCGCTATCCAAATCAAGCAACTTACAGACTATTTTCCATCTTTTACACTTTAAGAGGCAATGTCTGAGAAGTTCAAATACTGCAGGTCACTAAAAATTCAGAATGCTTCAATTTGTCCCATATTATACCAAATGGGTACTTACATAACAATCATACATCAGACAAGTTTTGGTCCGGCTCCGTGGTCCCTTGTCCGATCACGGTCACAAAATAGGTCAAACCTGTAACTAATTTCAAAAAAATGCTAGCGTCTCAGACTCAACGCCATTGGATTCTTCGCATCTTTTTGAGTATATTTCATGTTGGCACCAAAAATTTGGCACCTCTCCTTTATGGAGAACAAAATTGGTTTGTGACATTTTTCAGAAAATGTTTCAGTTTTCTGCTCGTCATGAAAAATTTTAGCACTACATAGCCATGATTTTATTGCTGATTCTGAATCTAGACATTATTGTGCTTCTGCAAAAAAAAAGTTCACCCCGATCCCAATTGACATCAAGGGGTTTTTTGGCCGAAATTCACAAAATTTAGAGTACTTTTGCATGGAAAAATGTTCGCGAACTTGAGAAAAGTGCGTTTTCTCAATTTTCAAAGGGGCCTGATCGCGATATTTGTTGTTTTCGTATACTTTTAGGCATTCTTGATTTTTTTGAAGCATTTCGAAAATTAATTTTTTTTCTCGAAAAATTTTGTCATGACCCCCCGGGTCGACGACTTGGTCTAATTTTTTTATTAATTTTCAAAAATGCTTCCAAAAAAATCGAGAATGCCTAAAAAGTATACGAAAACAACAAAAATCGCAATCAGACCCCTTAGAAAAATTGAGAAAACGCACTTTTCTCAAGTTCGCGAACATTTTTTTTCCATGCAAAAAGTACTACGAATTTTGTGAATTTCGGCCTAAAAACCCCTTTGATGTCAATCAGGATCGGGGTGCACTTTTTGCCGACGCACAATAACGTCTAGATTCAGAATCAGCAATAAAATCATGGCTATGTAGTGTTAAAATTTTTTTCAGGACGAGCAGAAAAACTGAAAAAAATGTTCTGAAAAAAATGTCATAAAACAATATTTTTTTCTCCATGAAGGAGAGGTGCTAAATTTTTGGTGCCAACATGAAAAGTGCTTAAAAAGATGCGAGAAATCGAATGGTGTTGAGTCTGAGACGCTAGAATTTTTTTGAAATTAGTTACAGTTTTTACCTTTTTTGGGATCGTGATCGGACTAGGGACCACGGAGCCGGATCAAAGCTTGTCTGATGTATGACTGTTATGTAAGTACCCATTGGGTATAATATGGGACAAATTGAAGCATTCTGAATTTTTAGTGACCTGGTGTAATTAGCGAATTTCGAGGTTCTCAGACATTGCCTTTTAATTTGTGCTCTCAAAGTTTCTGTGTGAACAATCTGTGTGACTGCACCTTGGAAAATTCTCAAAAAAATTCTCAAAAATCAGAAAAATTGTGAATAACACGCTTCGCAGACTTTTTGCAGAATAAGGCCGAATTTTTTGGCTTTTTCACTTTTTCAGCAAGTGAAACCCCTGAAACAGTAAGCAGAAGAAAATTGAAATATGGTCACGTGGCAGTTCAAATAAGCAGTTCAAAAGCACTTTGGAACGTTCTAGAAAATCCAAAAAATTCGGCCTAATTCTCAGAAAAATTTGAGCGTGCGGTTCAGCATTTTTCTGATTTTTTAAAAAAATTTTTCAGAATTTTCCAAAAAATTCGGCCTAATTCTCAGAAAAAAATTTGAGCGTGCGGTTCAGCATTTTTTTCTGATTTTTTTTAGAATTTTTCTCAGAATTATCCAAAAAAATTCGGCCTAATTCTCAGAAAAAAATTTGAGCATGCGGTTCAGCATTTTTTTCTGATTTTTTTGGATTTTTTTCGGAATTTTTTTCAAAATATTCGGCCTAATTCTCATGAAAAAATTGAGCGTGCGGTTCAGCATTTTTTTCTGATTTTTTTAGAATTTTTTTCAGAATTTTTTTCAAAAAAATTCGGCCTCATTTTCAAGAAAAAAATTTGAGCGTGCGGTTCAGCATTTTTTTCTGATTTTTTTAAAGAATTTTTTTCAGAATTTTCCAAAAAAATTCGGTCTAATTCTCAGAAAAAAATTTGAGCGTGCGGTTCAGCATTTTTTTCTGATTTTTTTAGAATTTTTTTCAGAATTTTCCAAAAAAATTCGGCCTAATTCTCAGAAAAAATTTGAGCGTGCGGTTCAGTATTTTTCTCTTTTTTTTAGAATTTTTTTCAGAATTTTCCAAAAAAATTCGGCCTAATTCTCAGAAAAAAATGTGAGCGTGCGGTTCAGTATTTTTCTGATTTTTTTTTAGAATTTTTCAGAATTTTCCAAAAAATTCGGCCTAATTCTCAGAAAAATGTGAGCGTGCGGTTCAGCATTTTTCTGATTATTAATAATTTTTTCTGTTGGAATTATCATCACACTCACTGCAAATCTTCACATTCCTCCCCTGAAACAGTACAAAAGCGCATCATCGCGACTATTTTCGTTCATTTCTCCCACACTCTGTTTACTTTGGTTTTTCTCTCGGATGCCGGTCAATCGGGGTAAGTAAACAAAGAGTTTCAACAGTTTTTCTGTGGGTGTACTGCAACTTCTGAAAATGGTATTAACAGTATCGTATTAACAGATGTGCTCCTTACTATTTCATCGGTTTCTAGCAGAGTTGAGCGGAAGAACTCACGCAAGAATTTTTATCTTTTTTAGAAAATTTTTTCATGGAATGTGATCAACTGACGAAATGCATAGCAAAGTGAACTGTGCTCATAGAAAAATATTTGTAAATTTAGCTTTTCATACAAAAAAGTTATTCCTTCCGTCTTTCGTTAGCCCTCCTTTTTTCACGGAACAACTCGAATAACTTTTTTGTATGAAAAGCTAAATTTACAATTATTTTTCTATGAGCACAGTTCACTTTGCTATACATTTCGTCAGTTGATCACATTCCATGAAAAAATTTTCTAAAAAAGATAAAAATTCTTCCGTGAGTTCTTCCGTTGAGTCTCTTCAATTGAACTGTTCCTAGGACCACTTGATTAATGATCCGACGGGCCCAAATTTTGCAGACTTTTAGGGCTTGGATTGAAGTATTTTGGGGCCAATCTGGTGCCGAGATATGTGTGATCGGATCGGGCTGAAACTTGGTCCCAAAATACTTCTGCAAAGTATGAAGGATAGAACTTTCGAATTTGAGTGCTGTGCACATTATCAAAGGTTCATGGAGACTAGACTTCAACATCATGAATTCGCATTCTTGAAAGCATTTCATTTCGCTCATTCCGGAAGGCAAAAAAAAATCGCACAAAAACAAAAGACGGTCTTGTTTCATGCGCGCTTCCCCTCTCTCCTTTTGTCCTCCTCGCTTCCTTTTCTTCGTTCTTCGACGGACGGACGGACGGACGCACAATAGACTTAATAATATCGAAAACATTGGGCACAGCAATGCGATTAGGTTGCGAGCCGCGACGAGGATTACTGTAGGTGGTGGTGGTGGGTGTCCTACAGTAATCCTCTTGTCGGCGGATGGAATGCGGATTCAAGTTTGCGAACAATCGAGGTGAATTTATTATTGATACACTGTTGGTGACTGGCAAAAAAATTGTGACAAGAGTTTGAGGAGGAACTACAGAGAAAGAGACACATGGAAAGAATCCGGGAGGAATCATTTGATTTCAAAGACGACAATAATAATAACACAGGAATCTCGATGGGACTAGGACGGATGAAAAACTGGCGGATTATGGTCACTTTTCGGGGAGGAGCGGGCTCTAAAACTATACACCAGAGTTGAGCGGAAGAGCTCACGGAAGAATTTTTATCTTTTTTAGAAAATTTTTTCATGGAATGTGATCAACTGACGAAATGTATAGCAAAGTGAACTGTGCACATAGAAAAATAATTGTAAATTTAGCTTTTCATACAAAAAAGTTATTCGAGTTGTTCCGTGAAAAAAGGAGGGCTGACGGAAGACGGAACGAATAACTTTTTTGTATGAAAAGTTAAATTTACAAATATTTTTCTATGAGCACAGTTCATTTTGCTCTACATTTTGTCAGTTGATCACATTTCCTGAAAAAATTTTCTAAAAAAGATAAAAAAATTCTTGCGTGAGTTCTTCCGCTCAACTCTGCTATACATACACATTCAATTCACACATATTTACAAATAGATGAGCATGTCGACAAACTGTCGCGGAGTGACTCGGACCGAGGGCGCGGCGGACTCCTCGCGGACGCACGGATGTCCGAGACTCTTCCAGAAGAGCGCTTTGCAGTGGCAGCAAATGTGGATGAGGTCGGCGTAGAGCTCGCGGCACCCGTGATACTTTTTCAGGTCGAAGAACGCCTGGCGCCACGATTTGCGCGGCGTCTTCTGTTTCGCAATCTGATAGTCCTGGAAGTGGAAGGTGCACAGGCCCGCCCACAGTTTGTCCTCGCCGTCGATCATTTCCTGGAGACATTCGTGCACTTGGGCAGTCTCCTGCAGCGATTTGTGGTCCGGAAGACGTCGGAGAATCAGAAGCACCACCTGCAAACTTTCGCGATGATTTTTCGCGATTTTTCGTGTGTCTCCTACCTCTCGGGGCAAATCGAAGAAGGTGAGCGCGGTCTCGTCGTCGGCGTCCGCCGCCGTCCGCACATTATTGTCGGAGATCAAATCGAGGAGGTACGAGGCGGTCTGATGATGTTTTGAGATCAATTGCGGCGATCCGCACACGTGAACTCCGTCCAGCCCGTTTCCAAACTGCAATAAGGTTACCGTAACCTCTAAAAATGGGGTCTATCATGTACAGTGTGCCTTACCGAAATTTTTTTTACCGAAAGAAGTGAATTTCGGTAAATTTTCGGTTAATTTTCGGTAAATTGTTTCGAAAATTTACCGGTAAATCGTTCCTTTCGACAATTACCGAAAGAACAATTTTGATTTTTTTTCAATTTTTTTTTAAAAATTTTTTATAATTTTTTTTTTCAAATTTTTTCAATTTTTTCAATCAAATTTTTTATAATGCTATGCAACGAGTTTCGCATTTAATGTGTCCCCACAGTTCCTCATTCGAAAATAAACTGTTCGTTAAAAGAAAACAGAAAAATTGAGGCGCCGAGCGGTGCCGTCGATACCGAAAAGGCGCGGCACCGGCGTTCTTTTTTTTGACAAGGGAAGTGACTGATGTGACCAATTTAGAACAGTCTGAACAACATCCCAAACAGGGGTGTGCGGAAAATATTTCGATTTTCCGAAATTTTCCGATTTTCCGAAAATTTTCGGCAAAATTTTCGGAAAATTAGTGTGGATTCAAGGTCAATTTGTCCGAAACCACCGTATGCTTTTTAAAGGCGCATCACAAAATTTTTGGAAGGGTCTAGCAGCGACTGCAGAAACGGAGCGACTCTTTTCAACCGCGCGTCTCATTCTCACTGACAATCGGAAAACACTGGACCCGGAGAGCTTCTCTCGGCTAATTTTTTTGCAAAAAAATATTCCATTGCTTGGCTTCCGCCCACTCAAGTGATTTCAAATCATAATAAGCATTTTTTTGTATTAGAACGTTGTTTAAACACTTTATTGAACCAATGAACAAGTGAGTTTTCCGATTTTTCCGATTTTTCCGAAATTTTCCGAAAAAAAAAATTCGGAAAACCCGATTTTCCGAAATTTTCCGAAAAAAAAAATTCGGAAAAACCGATTTTCCGCAATTTTCCGAAAAAAATTTTCCGCACACCCCTGATCCCAAACATCAGGAACACGCTGAACAGTCGCCTCTATGTTCCGTTCTCAAAATTGAAAATTGTTTCGAAAAAGTACCCATTTACCGATAAAATTTACCGAAACTTTTACCGAAATAGTTTCGGTAAATTTACCGGTAAATTTATCGGTAAATTTTCGGTAAATTTTCGGTAATTTGTTTCGAAAATTTATCGGTAAATTTATCGGTAAATTTTCGGTAAATTTTCGGTAAATTTTCGGTAAATTTTCGGTAAATTTTCGGTAAATTTTTGGTAAATTTTCGGTAATTTTTCGGTAAATTTTTGGTAAATTTTCGGTAAATTTTCGGTAAATTTTCGGTAAATTTTCGGTAAATTTTCGGTAAATTTTCGGTAAATTTTCGGTAAATTTTCGGTAAATTGTTTCGAAAATTTACCGAAACTCTTTCGGTAAAAAAAGTTTTACCGAAAATTTACCGACAATTTACCGAAATTTTTACCGGTAAATTTACCGAAACCCTTTCGGTAACGCACACTGATCATGTACCTGTTTGACGAGGTCCTTAGCGGTGGACACGTGCACGTCCTCATTCGAAGAGCGAAAGCAAATCGCACTGAGAATGCCCAAAAGTGATTTGCGGGCGGTCGCCGACAAGTTTGGCAGCTTCTCTTCCACCAAAATTTGGACTACCTTAACCAATGTTCGCATGATTATTGGTACAACAACAACAGAACAGAACAGTGTACCTTGCAGATGAAGTTGAAGCGGCGGACGTCGTTGACCGCTCGAGCCAGGTCCAAACGATGGAACGCTTCGGACATGCTTGTGCAGCCGATGAACTCCTTCGACGTGCTCTTGACGAAGCAATGTGGAATCCAGGCGGTCTCATTGGAATCTGTGCAAAATTATGCGTTTTCCAGAAATTACTAGAACCTCACACGGAAGAATTTTTTTTATCTTTTTTAGAAAATTTTTTCATGGAATGTGATCAACTGACGAAATGTGTAGCAAAGTAAACTGGGCTCATAGAAAAATATTTGTGAATTTAACTTTTCATACAAAAAAGTTATATTCGAGTTGTTGCGTGAAAATGTCCTTCCATCTTCCCCGTTAGCTCAATAACTTTTTTGTATGAAAAGCTAAAATTACAATTATTTTTCCATGAGCAGAGTTCATTTTGCTATACATTTCGTCAGTTGATCAAATGTCATGAAAAAAATTTCTAAAAAAGATAAAAATTCGTCCGTGAGTTTTTGCGCTCAACTCTGCCGGGCACCCACAAAAACGATTTATCGCTGCAGCGGGTAGAGATACAGAAAAGTGGTCAACTGACAAAATGTGCATAATGTTTTAATGAACAATACGCTAGTTGATCGCTTTTCGATATCTCCACCGACAACCGAGATATGATGTCCTGAATGCACGTTGCCCGTTGGTCCCTTTCAAAAATGTTCCATTGAATGTCTGATTTCTCCCTCCAAATCCTCTCCATTTCTAGGCCAATCCTTGTCTCTCAGTTCATTTCCGAAGAGACGTAGACGACAAAACAAATGCGCGCATTCATAATAACATTACTAAATAGCCGTCTCGCGCAAATCCGTTCAAAGGTAGGCAGGTGCAAATGAGAATGTCTCTCTGATTCTCCTCGCTTCTCATTCTATTTCGCTTCCTCTCTCGTAATCGTCGGAAATGAGAGTGCGAGCGGAAGCGTCCTGTTAATGAATGTTTCATGAATCCGCACACGGAAGCACTCAATTATAATCATCAGAGCGGCTTGAAGGACAGGATTTGGACGGATCAGGATTAGGAAGGAGGTGTGGAGCATTCAAATCGATATATTTCTGCTGTCGGTTCAGATATCAAAAAGTTGTCAACTGATAAAATGTACACCATGTTCTGATAAGCAATTTGTTAGTTGACAACTTTTTGATGTCTCCAAAGACCGCTGAGATATATCGGTTTGAACGTACGGAAGGCCATTGCATCAACTTTACACGGGTATTGTAGACTTTCCAGTTGTGGTATCGTTTTCAGAAATGTTTTGCAAACACTTGACGTCTAGTCCATCATTTTTCTCTACGATCACTCCAAAAGATACTGTAGTTTTTGAAAGTTAGGGCTCCTCAAACGCATGTAAATCAATCCAAACTTTGAAGAGCCACAGTACTCTTAGGAGTGGTCGGATTAAAAAGAAAAACTTGGTACCTCTTCCACAAAATCTACAGTACTCGTTCAAAGTTTGAACGTCTTTTTTCAATTCTCGCGCTATTGTATGGCTGCTAAAAGGTCCCCAAAAAGTGTTCTCACAATCTTCACATGACGTATCTCAGCGGGTCGTGATTGCTCCGCGGAGCACTATGTTTGTGCTCTTTTCACTCATCAGCTGATGTTTTTTGTGCTCTCTCTCTCTCGCCAGTCAGTCACACTTTTTTGTAAAGTGGACTGACCGATGGTCTTTTCAGAAAATAAAACGTACCGGAATCGTCGCTGGACGAAGAGGTGCATCGGTCGGTCGCCGAGCCGGGAAGCGACCCGCACGAACTGTTCTGCTCCGAATCGTACAGGCCGAACTTGGGAACCGACGAAACCGGGTCCAGCGTGAATTTGGGCGACGAGGTGCTCAAAAGTGTGGGACTCGACGAGGTCTGCGGGATGAGAATCGGTTCCGACGAGATCTGAATGCAATTTCAGTGGCTTTTTCGGTTTCAGCGTTAAAAATCGAGAGCGGAATCGAATTTTCCGGGGGCCAAACCGTGTTTTGTCGTCGGATTCGGTGTCCGGTACGCAATTCTAGTGTTTTTCAGTTACAAAACGAGAATTGAGCGCTTTACACCAGATTCGACGGCATTTTGCAGAAAAACTAGAAAATTTTTCTCACAATCTCAGAAATTTGCGAATTTGCGATCAAATTTGACGACTTTTTGCGTGCGGCGACAAGTTTTTCCGCATTTTCCCTCCAAAATTTTACGAAAAGTTGTCGCCTTTCCCGCCAAACTCGCATCACATTTTGCAGTGCGCCGAGCAGATGCGCATGTATATGTGTGTAATATGAGCCGGCGAAGCCCGTGCACGGAGCACACAAACAAAGAAGCGCCCCGAATTTCACTAGTTTCGCCTCGTCTCTCGGTCGGCCGGCCGGCCGGCAGCCTGCGTTCGCGCTATTCTCACTGCCCTCCGCCGCCCGCAGCAAATGTGTCCGTTGTGGTCTAGTGGTTAGGATTTATGGCTCTCACCCATAAGGCCGGGGTTCGATTCCCCGCAACGGAATTATCCTTTTGCATCCGGTTCGACTCACCTGTACCGGTCGCAGTTTCGTCCGTTCCCAGCCGTTTGTGTGCGGTGTGCGCACCCATTTCTCGCCGGGCGCACGCCAATCACGACCCATAAATGGCATTTGAGAGAAGTTTGAGATGTTTGGGGAAGGGTTAAAGTGGAAACGTCTGAAAAATGGGACATTTTTATACATGAAAGCAGGAGGCGGAAGGTAAATAAAATAAGGAAGAGTGATGGTGATAACGAGGAGACTGTACAGGTACGTACTTATGAATAAAGGTGGAGAAAGGTACGGAATGACGGTCACCGTGATAAGGCTTGTTTTCGCGAAAAATTTGCACGTTTTCACATGCGATTCGAGAGCGCGTAATACTTTTTTGAATAGATTTCGACATGCGATTCTTGCAAATTTTCTGGTGGCGCGGATAAAGAGTCAAGTGTTTTGGATGTCTGAAAACAAAAACAAAAAATATTTGGGGCGAAAGAGAGAGAGAGAGAGAGAGAGAAATAAACAAATAAACATGTTGATGGGGGGCTCAAACTGGACGTATTCGCAGAGAAAACGACGGCCGACAAATTTATGTGATCATGCAATAGTCTCAGCCGATAAAACTGGAATTTTCAGCTATTTTTTTGCGATTTTTTCAGAACCGCCCCTTGTCCTGGACTTTTGACCCATTTGCAATGATGCGATCATGCTCAAAGTTTGCAGGATTGTTTGACTTGGATTAAAGTATATTGGGACCAAATTTCAGCCCGATCGGATTGTTTACTGTCGAGTTATAGTGTTTGAGGCCCGAAAAGCCCGGGCTTTCGGGACCGGATGATCCGATCCGGCTGAAACTTGGACCCAACATACTTTAATCCAAGTCCAAGAAGCCTGCAAAGTTTGAGTTCGATTGGATCATTGCAAGTGGGTCAAAAGTTGAGGACAAGGGCCGGCCAGCATTTAGAAAAACGTATTGTGTAAGAACATTTAAAAAACCAAGAAAGAGAGAGAGAGAGAGAGTGACCTCCTTGAAAAAGAAGAAGAGAGAGGTAGGAAAGGTGTGTTGACCTTGAAAAAGTTGACAGACAATATAATATCAGCTGTGCTTTCTCCTTCCTCTTCTTCTTCTTTCACTTTCATCTCTAGAGACTCTTTCTCTCTCTTTCTTTCTTCCTTTTTCTTATTTGGAAGGAAAGAGAGAGAGAGAGAGAGAGAGAGAGAGAAAGAAAGCAGACGGAAAAAGGAAAAATAGTCATGTGAGGGGAGACGGAGAGAAAAAGAAAGAGGGAGGTCTGCGGGGGGGCGGACAAGCTTTTGCCTTTTTGGGGACAAGAACAGAGACAGAGACAGAGAGAGAGAGAGAGAAGAAAGGTTTTCGAAAAAAAAACGTTACGAAACATTTTTTTTTGCTTGAAATTACGTTTATTGCCAAATATTCAGGTATTTTTCCCAAACACCCAAACCCGAAATCGCAACGAGACAGCTCCAAAAAAAGTTTTCTCTCTTTTTCTCTCTTTTTTCGAGTGCGCGAGTGAGAGTGAGACTGAAAGCGAAAGCGCGGGACAAAGAAAACGAAGAAAAAAAAAGAAGAAGAGGAGATGCGAAATTTTGATTAGACGGCCCTTCTTGTGGTGTGTAATGTAGCAAAAAATGGAGAAAGAGACGAAGAGGAGGAGGAGAAGACGTCAAGAATCGATGAATGAATGCAATTTACTGGTTTTCAGGTTCTCTCGTTTTGCAGAGTTTCGTTCGGGGGCGCGTTTTATCGATTTTTCCAAAGAAAGCAACGTTCGCTTTTCGAAAATCGTGCAAAAATTGGAAACGACGCGTTTTTAGCACTTTGTGTACGAAATATCGATTAAAACACTAAAATGTCCGTGTAAATGCAACGAGCGCGACGTTTTTTCGACAAAACGAATGTCGGAAATGAAAAAACGCAAAAATACGAGCATTTTGAGCGTTCAAACAGCAAAAATGGGGAATTTTAAGCAGCAAACTCGAAAATCGATTAAACTGTTTTGGGGCTATTCGGCGTATGTTTGTTTTCGGTTTTTTTACATCGCTGAATTGGATTTTTTGACGTAAAAAAACGAAAAAAAAACCGAAAACAATCATTTTTTCACAGCCTGAAATTTGCTCGCTCTATGCCGAAAATGCTCGAGTTTATCTTTTTCGACTTCTGATCGTCGTGTCCACACAAATAGTCCGACAAAGCAAAGAGACAAGACGAGAAAATTTCGCATTCGATTCATTTTGATTGAACTAGAATAGGCAGAGCCTCACGGCAGCTATTTTTTCAGCTTTTGATGATCATTCGCCGACAAGTACTTGTCTCACAGCTGACTGACTTCCCGACTGACCGACCTTCCGTCAATCGGTCCATCATCTCAGCTGGTCGGCGGGTCATTTGAGCAAGAGGAACTGGATTGTCTTGAGACTCGACTTGACGAAAGATCACATGAGTGTGCACGTGAACACTGGGCGCAAAAGCAGCTGGGGCAATGGGAAAATGATGATAGGACGCATTTTTACCGTTTCCCTTGGTCCGATAAAAGTTTCAACTATTTTCAGTTAATGTGTTGTGAAATTTCGAAAATAAACGCAGGGATACTCTTCCGGATGATTCAAAATATTGTGAAAGACAAAGATTCATGAAAAAAGTGACGAATTGTGAGGTCGATTTATCGATGTGGAGACTTGCAAGGAACCATCATCGCTTTAATTAACGAGCGAAAAGACAAAAGAAGCTTTTTTTTCGAAATAAATTCAGACAAATCACAAGGTTCGACGAAAGAGTCATATGGCTGGGGGGACTCGCTCGGTTTGTCACTCGAGTTCTCGGAATTTAAGAGCTTTTCGGCGGCTGCTCGAGGCTCCGCCCCTTTTCGTTCGTCCCGACCTCCTGACAACCTTTGTGTGACCGGCCCGGCTGATTGGAGACGGAATCAAATGACAACTGACTGACTTTTTTTTGTGAACTCGAGGACAAACGACCTTCAGTGACAATTGCTCGGGTGCAGAGTACGGAAAATTACGATTTTTCACGGCTTTTCTACGCAAAAATGCTATTCATCTGCAAATTCGACGCGTTTTCGGGTTTTTTCAGCTCTCGGACTACTGTAATTCATAAATTGTGTGATTAATTGCGCGTCAATTATGATGCACACACCATCGTTTAAACGCGTTTTCTTTTCGCATTTTTATTCAATTTTCAGCAAACTTCTCTCTAAAAACGCGTAAACTCGTCGAAAAAGAGTTGCGAAATGATCGAAAAAGTGAAATTCTGGAGGCGCCGCCCGTAAAAATGCCATAAATTCGTTGGCTCCCGTTTATTTATTTTTTTTCGTCACAAAAACATGGAAAAAAGAAACGGAGACGTTGACGAGATGATTGGCACGGAAAAACGGCTAGAAATATGAAATGTTTTGCAGAAAATGTTGAAATTGTGTCGATGTGTGGAAAAACGAGGGAATGCACCTCAACAGCTCAACAATGTCGAAACTGGACCGAAGACCATTGAAAAATGAGTCAGCAATGAAGAAAGATCGTCGCGATCTTTGAATTTTTGCTTACTTCCAAAATTTATAGAAAAAATCCACCGAATTTCCTCATTGTTCTCCCAAAAAAAAACCCCCCCATTTCCTTGTCGAAATCCATTGAACACGGAAGAGGAAAAGAGAGAATGAATATGAAGAGGAGAAAGGAATAAATTAACGTTCACTCTCAAGAGGTACATTCGGCACTCGAACGCACGAAGAGACCGCCCCGCCCGTTCACGTGCGTCTTATTTTCTGAAAACTTTTATTGATTTTTTATTTTTTATTTTTTATGTTTGCCTCAGGAACGAAATTAACAGAAGCTAAAACATTCAATAGTTTTACTGAAACTGCAATTTTGTCTTTAAAAAAAACCAGGACTGAGCAATTGGCCGGCCCTGAAAAAAAACGAGATTTTCTTCTAATGCACTCACAGATCACGTAAGAATGGGACAGATCTTTGAAACTACGTCTATTCTTCAAAAAAAGAAAGAATAAGCGTTTGGCGTGGAGGTTTCTAGTCGCATAGAACAAAAACCGATTGTTTCGCAATGTGCGCGGCGCTGTAGGCCAAACGGGTCTATCGTGAGTCTATTGACGGACCCTCAATGAGCCGTGGGTGTTCGCATCGACCAACAGAACAGCCGAATATCAATAGTTTCGCGGTAGGTCAAACGAGTGACAAAATATGGGCATGCGCCTTTAAAGTGACCGTTCGGCCTTTGGGAAGACAGGCAGGGCAAGGAGAAAAAAAAGAGAATGGTTGTGGCCGAATGGATGGTCCGTCGGGGAGCATAGACCGCAACGCGTCCACCTATTTTTATGATCGGACAGGGACCGTTCAAGATTTTCGCACCTGCCACCGAAATCAGAGGAGTTTACGAGTGTTTTGATGGACAGATGATCACGTAGACAGATCATCGGAACTAGGGTTGGCAACGAGGCGCCCCGCTTCGGCGGGGCGCCCCACAAATGGGGCGAGGGGGCGCCCCTTCGCCCCGCGGGTGAGGCGCGGGGGCGCCCCCTCGCCCCGGGGGAGAGGCGAGGGGGCGCCCCCTCGCCCCGGGGGAGAGGCGCGGGGGCGCCCCCTCGCCCCGGGGGAGAGGCGCGGGGGCGCCCCCTCGCCCCATTTGTGGGGCGCCCCCACGCTGTGGATAAAGCTAAATTTTTCAAAAAACGGGTATTTTTCAGCAGTATTCTGGGATTTCCAACATTTGATAAATAAATACGTCTGTTCTATACAAGGAAAAACACAGTACATATAATTTTGTTTTGTTTTTATTCCAATAGTTAGGGGGCGCAAAGGAGGGGGCGTGTCCTGACGAATTTTCTCCCGATTTCCGCTTGTTTGGTCAAAATTTTTTTCAGCATAAAATTTCCGACCGATCCATGCTGAATATTTTTATTTAGCTGTTGTCCGAAAAAAGTTACAGTCAGTTATGTTTTGGATTTCAGCCCGCAAAAGCACTAATTTCACCATTAGAAGGGGCCGCGCACACCGAACTTTTCGACGCCATTGGCGGTCGGCGCGCCTTCGCCCGATTAGCGCAGTGGCAGAGTGCTCACTCGGCAGTCTGGAGGTGTCGGGTTCGAAACTTTTGACATTGAAAGATGATTTGCTTTTTTAGAACATCATTTTTCTTCAATATATATGTTGCCTCTTTGGTTTCAGCCACCAAACAGAAGCGAAAAACGCGTGCGGCGGACTTGCAGGCGAGACTCCGCCCCCTCCTCTGCCTCCGACCGGGGAGAAAACAGGCCAACTTTGAAGGGGTGTAACTCGGGATGTACCGAAAATTTTGGAAAAAAAAATTGGGTGTACACGCACAAACGTCACAACTTTCCCACTTTCAGTTACTACAGTTATTACGTTGCTGCTCTTTTCACAATACGTTCGAAAAAAAATCAGACACACATTTAATAGCGGGGCGAGGGGGCGCCCCCTCGCCTCACCCGCGGGGCGAGGAGGCGCCCCCTCGCCTCACCCCCGGGGCGAGGAGGCGCCCCCTCGCCTCACCCGCGGGGCGAGGGGGCGCCCCTCGCCTCACCAGCGAGGCGAGGGGGTCGCCTCTTCTCGCCCCATTGCCAACCCTAATCGGAACACGGGTTCGTAGTTTGAACCCTCCTGAGGACCATCTTCGCCGAGAACCTTTCTCTTTTCTTCTCCTTGCCCAGAGTGTCTTCCCAACGGCCAAAAGACGCAACGCAACGAACGGAGTGTCGTTGGGAAGACACTTTTTTGGCCAATAACTCGCAGACTCATAGTCAGCCTGTTTTTCGCTTTTCATCGTTGCTTTTATTGACAATATTTGTAATTTCTGCGTAAGTATGCTTCACTAAATCCGTTCAGACCAATTTTACACAAAAAAAGCACTGATCGCTACCACCCGAGTCAAATGACGGCCAACATTTTTTTCTGAAACAGCATTTTGTTTGTAAAAATGTGGAGAATTCACTGAAAAACCTCGTGTCTCCCACTTTCGCATCGAAAACGACTATTGTCCGTCGCCTTCCGTTTTCCCACCGCTAATTCGCTCAATGACACGAAAAAGCGGCGGAAAAAAGGACGAGAATGTTTGATGAGAAGAAGTCACTCTTTTGTTTTTCGCACTCTTCTCCTCCGTCCTTTTTTCCACCTTTTTTCCACCGAAAACACGAAAAATTTCGCGGTAGAATTCGAGAAAAACACGTGTTTTCTCAATTTTCTGTAAAACTCTGTAAAATTGACCGTCGCGATGAGTCATTTATGCGTCGGTCGCACCGACTGGTTGGTCAGCGAGTGAAAAAGAGGAAAAAATGACGCGAGGAACGGACAAAACAAACAGAAAATGGAAAAGAAACGAGCCTTTTCATCCTTCGATTCACCGTTATTTCACTTTTGGCCATTTTTTTCTCGGTTTTTTTAGTGGACCCATTTTTATTGGAATACATTCGGTTGGCCATTTAAAAATGGATTTCCACGGGAAACTTTTGTGAAACGGTAAAAATTGGTTAGACATTCCACGATCACTAATGCGAAACCCCGTAATTGCAAGTGCGCCCCATCGAGATCTCAAAATTAATCGATCGATTATTTCCTCGCCTTCCCCTTTTGAAAATATGTTATTTGTTCCACTGAATTCTCTAGACAAAAAAAAAGAGTCCCTGGAGATGTTTGAAGCACATTTATCAGTTGTTTCGGTCTAGAAAAAGACGAGTTCCTCTTTTTTTTTTGCAACTTCTTTTCCCATTTTGTCTCTATTCGAGAATTTCCGCGCATAATTACTCATCGGATGTTCTTTTTAGGCGCCCGGCGACGACCTTGTAATTTCGGTCGGATCACAGACAAAGAAAGACCTCGAGGAGAAAATGACACCTGTACACGCGCGCCGCGACAAGACTTTCTTGAAAAAATAAAAACTGTTTCTCAAATGTTCTAAAGATAAATTATGCACTGTTCTAGACAGTGCTCTCTGTCGGAAACTGAAAGTTTTTTGTTCTGTAAATGTGTGATTTGACCAACTTTTTCGGAGGAAAAAACCAAGCAACAAGGTTCTTTCACTTTCGCTGTTCCGAAGTCTAGTTTCTTTTTAAAGTTTCCAAGTTTGCGAGCGAAAGCAAACGTGGCCTAGAAAACTCCATCGGAACCTAGGCCAAGTTTATCAATTTTTGACTTTCAGCGCTTTTTTCGCGCCAAACAAGGAAAGTTCGAATTTTTAAAGAAGCACGCCACGTAATTACTGATCTTTAATTGCTCACAAAGCAAAATCGCAAATTTTCGTGTCGCGCCCATCCGTCGGATCCACTTTTCCTCAATAGTTCCCTCCGGGAGTGGACCTCCCCGTCCGACTTTTTCTTCGTTTCGCCCCTCTCTTTCTCTGTCTCTCCGTCTGCGTCTCGCCCTCCCGCACACTCTCTCCTCTCGTCCATCTGTCGGTCCGTCTCGTGCCTGGCGCCCTCCTTGTTCCGCGTGCTCTCTCACTCGGCCATTATGGTGGTCAGAAGGCCCCCCGGGCGAATGGGCGAAAAGAAGAAGAAGAAGAAGACGCCTCCCGCTTAACCTGTACCCGACCACACCGCTTTTATCGATTTTTTTTTGAGAATTCTAGGGGAAATTCTCGTTTTTTGAGCGGCATTCTATGCACATTTTCGCATATTTTTCCCGGGGTTCACCTCAACTTTCATAAGTTTCTGTAAGAATTTCGTAATCGCACTCTTGGCTAATTGTTCTCCCTTTTTTCGTAATTTTTTCCCAATTTTTACAGAAAACGACGGGGGGCGACTGCGGGAAGCGAGACGAGACGAAAACGAGCTGAAAATTGCAGTCGAAACACTTTTTTTCGCCTTTTTTGTGATAGGTATTTTTTTTTTAAATTATATTTGTTTTTGAAACTGACTGATCAAACGCCACGTGATTCACACAGCATCACGTTTTTCAGATTAGCGGTCCGAAAATGAGGTCGAGTCGGCGGTCCGTCGTCCTGCTCCTCCTCTATTCGCTTTTTTACGATAATCGTGCGGTGAATGCGCTGAACAATTTCATCGACAACTTTGAGACGCTCAACTATCGCGCCACGCACGTCGCCAATCAGGTAACATTTTTTTTTTCAAATAAAATATTGCTTTTTCAAAATTATCGCATGAAAAAATACTGCGTACCAATTTTCAGTTTCATTGGATTAAAAAAGATTCTTTGCAGGTCTCGCGACGAAAACGATCGATCGAGTCGCTGGCGGCCCACTATCAAGAGCCCATCGGATTCCGATTCAACGCCTACAATCGGTAAGTTTCTATAAATATACTATTTTTCTAATTGTGAGATAAAGCCAGGCAATAGACAAAACAATATTTTTATTATTATGATAAAAGTTTTAAACGGAACATTTTTCCATAGAAAATGCATCATTTAGCTCGCAAACATTCTAAATTTTGCAGAACATTTCACGTGCAACTGCACCCAATCGACGATTCGCTCTTCCACGAGGACCACGTTTCGGATGTGGACGGCGGATTTGCGGACATTAAGCCGAGTCATTTTCTGTACGAGGGATACCTAAAAGGTTCCTATCCTTAAACCATTTTTCTACACAAATTTAGATGAAAGTTGAAGACTTTTGCACAAAAACTGAATTTCAGACGACCCCAGCTCTCACGTGCACGGAAGTGTGTTCGATGGAGTGTTCGAGGGACATATTCAGGTAACTTGCACTTGTTTTGGACTTGGTCTATTAAAACCGCATTTTTTCCCGTCAAACACAATTTTTTACGGCTATTTTTATCGATTTCTACCTTGAAAATGTTGTGTTTACATAATTTGAATTCTACCGTTTCAATACTTTTTATTAAAAATGTTCGATTGAAAAAGATTAGTGCCTTGATATCGCGTATCCACACACCTTTTTCAAAAACTTTTTTAAAAACGCATTTTTAGACCGGCGATGGACGACGTTTTTCGATTGACAAGGCGGCGAAATATTTCGAACGTGAAGAACGACCGTCCCAGTATCACTCGATCATCTACAGAGACGACGAGATTAATCACCGAAAGTGGAGAGTCAAAAGGTATCCTTTTTTTGAATGAATGCAAAATTTGAGTAGTTTTCCGCTTTCCGCCTTCCGCCTCCCGCTTTCTCGAAAATCTTCCTAAAGCTCCACAATGTCGAGAATCGGTCTAGATTCGGTGTTTTTGCAGAGACGCCGAGCAAATGGCCGAGCAGACGCAAGGATGCGGACTATCGGCGCGCGTGCGCCGAGAAATGTCTGAAATTCAAGACGCGGGCGAGAAGACGGACTTTTTCACGAACTACATGACGATGGCGGGCAGATCGAAGCGGGCGAGTTCGATTCGAGACGAAGACGGCATCTACTCGGTGCGCACGTGCTCACTTTACATGCAGGCCGACCACAAACTGTACGAGCACATCCGCACCAAAGAGGGCAACAACGATCCGATCCGGACGAGAGAGGAGATTGTCAGTCTGTTCTACAACCACATCAAGGCGGTCAACGAGATTTACGAGGGCACCAACTTCAACGGCATCAAGGGACTGCACTTTGTCATTCAGAGAACCTCCGTAAGAGCTTATTTCCAGGCTTGAAAACCATAAGGACCGCAGAGTGGGTCAAAAAAACTCAGTCTTCCCAAAAACAATATGTCTGTTTCAAAACTAACCAAAAAAATTACTTGTTTTTTTTTGCTTATAAATAAATGGGCGACCATCTTCTTTTTTTTGCAGATTTACACGCCGGACAGTTGTGATCGTGGCCGTGCGAAAGCGGATTCGGACAATCCGTTCTGCGAAGAGGTACACATTGTTTTTTTGGCGATTTTAAAAATGGTATTTCAGAACGTGGACGTCTCGAACTTTCTGAATCTGAACTCGCAACGGAATCACTCGGCGTTCTGCCTCGCCTACGCACTCACTTTCCGCGATTTCGTCGGCGGAACGCTCGGATTGGCCTGGGTTGCCAGTCCTCAATTTAGTACGTTTTTTTTGTTTCTCGGTTTCACCGAAACTTCAATATTCGTTCGCATTTCGAGACTGCAATACCTAATATGTATGTCTTTAAAACGTCTTTGCAATGTTAATCATTTCATTCATTCACAACGAGCACCTCGAAAAATTACAAACAAGATGAGGAGAGGAACATGAAAAGAATGACGGGCGGGAGAATGAATAATGAGCAAAATTCGAGAAAAACGGTCAAATTTAATCGATTTCCAGACACGGCCGGAGGCATCTGCCAAGTGCACCAACGGTACAACGAGGGCTCGCGCGGATGGGTGTTCCGGTCGCTGAACACGGGAATAGTGACGCTCGTGAACTACGGGAACCGAGTGCCCGCCCGAGTTTCTCAACTGACACTCGCACACGAGATTGGACACAACTTTGGCTCTCCGCACGATTTTCCCGCTGGTTTGTTGGTTGAAATTGGGGGGAAATTGATGGAAAGAAAATTGAGTGTAGTTTGAAAATGTTTACCGTTTCCTAAAGTTTTATCAATTTTTTCTTCATTTTGATTCTATTTTTATTGACGCTCACTATCAGAATACGAACAATATTTAATGGAGCAAAGTTTCCAGAACTTTTTTTTTACAGTTTTTAAAAGCGTCCAATAGTAACATGCAAATTATTTACGGAATTGACTTAACATATTAAACGGGTAAATGGTTTTTCCGAAACGTCATTGTTCTTGAGTAAAACAGCGCTTCCCCAGTGAATATGATCATTTGCAGAGTGTCAACCGGGACTGCCCGACGGAAACTTCATAATGTTCGCGTCGGCGACGTCGGGCGACAAGCCGAACAACGGAAAGTTCTCGCCGTGCTCGATCAAGAACATCTCGGCCGTGCTCGCCGTCGTCCTCAAATCGATGCCGGTGGATCCGACGCGAAACGCGTCTCCGGTGGGCATCGGAAAACGCAACTGCTTCCAAGAGAGGACGTCCGCGTTCTGCGGCAACCAGATCTTCGAGCCGGGCGAGGAGTGCGACTGCGGCTTCTCGCAGGCCGACTGCGATCAGATGGGCGACAAGTGCTGTGTTCCGCACGAGGCTCGCAGCACCGGCGGTCCCGGACCGTGCAAGAGAAAGCCGGGCGCACAGTGCTCGCCGTCGCAGGGATACTGCTGCAATCCCGACAATTGCTCGTTGCACGCAGCCAGCGAGGACAAGATTTGTCGGCAGGTACGGTTTTTCGGACAAGAACGACATTGAGCATATTTTCTGAAAACGCGTCTCTGTCAGCTCGCAGATAAAAATGATACGTTTTGTTGTCTTTTACAATGGTGTATTGCAGGAATCCGAGTGCTCGCATCATCAAACGTGCGACGGCCGCAGCGCGCAATGTCCGATTTCGCCGCCGAAACACGACGGAATTCCGTGCCAGGACAGCACGAAAGTGTGCTCGAACGGCAACTGCAACGGATCCGTGTGCGGAATGTTCGGCCTCGAGGACTGCTTCCTCACCGAGGGGAAACCCGATGAGCTCTGCTTTTTGGCATGTATCAAGGACGGAAGTGAGGCTCTTTTCTGTGAACATTTTTGGGAAAAATATTTGCCATTTCTCTGGTAATGTTTGATTTTTCAAGCAACCGGAATAACGTTTTTTAACACAAAACATTTAGCAGTAATAATAGAGACAATGTTAATAATAATAATTTTTTATTTGCGCGACTGAGAAGTGCAAAGTAGTGAGAGCGATAAGATTTCAAAAAAACAGGCAAAACAACAATAAAATAATCGATTGGACCGGCAATAGTTCGGTTACTCATTTTACACAGAATTGGTGGTTTTTCAAAAATTGAATTGTCTTCTGCAGAGTGCACATCATCGGTGAATTTGCCCGAATTCGCGTCGAACCGCACGAATTTCTTGCAAATGATGCGAAAAGGAAAGCCGGGACTCATTCTGCATCCGGGATCGCCGTGCAACAACTACAAAGGTACCCCCCGTTTTTTTGTGAACAAACATGTTCTTCAGGCTACTGTGACATTTTCCGTAAATGTCGTAGTGTGGACGCGAACGGACCACTCGCCCGACTCAAAAACTTGCTCTTCGACAAACGGACCATCGAAACGTTGACGCAGTGGGCGCAGGTGAGTCGAGAATCCGAACATTTTCCAAAAAAATTAGACAATCACTTTCAAGGGGGACATTTATTTAAAAGTAACCCGACAAACGTTAAGACAAAACAATATACCAACGTACAAATTAGAACAGAATTTGAGTGAGAAAAGTTTGAAACACCCTTCTTTTTGCTTCTGAAAATGCGGTTTTTGCAGGACAACTGGTGGGCGGTCGGCGTCGGCGGCCTCGTCTTCCTCGTCATGATGGCGCTTTTCGTGAAGTGTTGCGCGGTGCACACGCCGAGCACGAATCCGAACAAACCGCCGGCGCTCAACATTTATCAGACATTGACACGTCCCGGAACTCTTATTGTGAGTCGTTTTGTTCAATGTTTCAAAAAATTGTATGATATAATAGAGTTCAAAAAAGCCCAATCTCACTAACTTGTTTCTAAAAAATTCAGGCAATTTTATCGGGCTGTTCGGGACGGACGAGTTGAACCCACCTGATACGAGCCCGAGAATCAGAAATGTCCAGATTGCCTGGAGTGCCTTTATGGCGCCGCAATCTAGACATTTCCGACTTTACCCGGACTGTACATAACCGGTTGTCAAGTTGCTTCAACAGTCTAAAATAATTCCATGGGCCCGAAAAATGTGCCTATTTTTGCAGCGCCAACACCGTCAACGACACCGCGCGGCCGCCGGACGCGACGCTTCCTCGTCTCGACCGCCGGGACCGCCCGGAATCGCGGCGCCCACTCCGTCCCGCACGACGCCGTCTGCCCGCCCGTCGGCGCCGCCGCTCGTGGCCCCGCAAGTGCCGATCCAGGCGCCGCCGGTCCTTCCGCTCGCCCCGCCGCCGCCACCTTCGGGATCGTCGCCGCAAGTGATTGTGCTCGAACCGCCGCCGCCGTACACGGCCGCCGATCCGGGAAATGCGATGGGCGGCCCAAGGAGGGGACATCGCAAGAACAAGAGACAGACGGCGGCGGATGCGGCTGTTCCGAACTCATCGGGAGCCAATAAGAAGAAGGGGAAATAGAGGGACCCCTTTGCTGATTATATTGGTTGATTGTGTTCTGCGAAATTCCCCAATTTTGTCAAATGTTGTGCTCATTTTACGGTTTCGCTCCGGGCTTTAGTCTTTATATAATGTTCTACGATTATTTCGAATCCTCTTGCCTCTTTCCATCCATTTTTCCATCTTTTTCTAGACAATTCCCCCTCTTTTCTTTCATGATTCTTTGTCACTTTGACCCCGATTTCTCACGGTGCTTTTCAAAAATGTTTTGTGTAATTATTATGGTACATACGATAATTTATTGGCCCCAATCACTATTTTCTCGATTATTCTACGGTTGTTGCGCATTATTTACTCATTTTTTTTGTATTTTCCCCCCTCCCGAAATTCGAGGTTTTCCCCGCCGCTTTCGACTTGTTTTATGTCTTTGTCCCACCAGAAACATTTCACTTTGTTACCCACAATTTTGCTATTTATCCACTATGATATGAATATAAAAGCCTGCTCCCCGGCTCACGCCGGGTTTCAGGCGCTCCGCTCGTATATCTCTCGCTGGGCCACAGGCCTCGCATGGTACGCTGGTGGCCGAGTGGTAAACCTTTTATAAAAGACGCGCACGCGGTGCGGGTTCGGTTTTTTCCGGTCTGTCGTTTTTTCTGCTGTCCTCACCGGGCGGCGTACAAAAGACAGACAGACAGACGCCACTTGCCGTTTATATAAAAGAAAGATTCTGACCCAAAAATGAACAAATTTTCATCAGAAACAACACAAAAAACTGGATTTTTGGCACTTTTCAGGCGCCTCATCTGCTTGTTTTTTGGGTTGTTTCCAGGGCGGGGCAAATTTCGGACCAGGCATTTCGAAGGCTTTTTGAGTGATGTACTTTTGATTCACTTTTAATATTCCCATTGGACCTAAACTCTGCAGACACCAATATTGCGAGTGGTTCAAAAGTCAAGGACAATGGGCGGCCAATTGTCCAGCCCGGAATAAATGCGATAAAATCGATAATTATTTCTGATATTCAATTTTTTTTTTTGGGTCTAACAGTAGTACGCCCAAAAAATGACCATAAAACTAGTCAAGACAAACACACACAATGATTATAGACTACAAGATAAAAAGTACACAAAAAAGTGATTGATGGCATTCTTTCGTTCGATCGGTTGACGAATATTATCAATTCGATGATATCTTATCTCTTTTTTCCATTCTTTGGCGATAGACAAAATTACCACTTTACAGCCACTAATTACAGTCCACTTTTCTGCAGATTTCTTCAGAAATTTTTTTAAAGATCCTTTGAACTTTTTTCACCCGTTTCAATGAAATCTGTTATAATTCTCGACATTAAAGGCCTCGACTTTTGGCCCACTTGCTAATATATTATCCGAGCGGGTCCTCAAAACCCCCAAACTTCCGTCCTTGGCGTTCAATTGAAATTGCTTGTGAATCGAATCACGCCATTTTCTCTCTTCGGATCACTGACTCTTTTCGTTCGATTTGAATGCCTTTTTTTGGAATTCAAGGTTAGGTTTCAATTTGGTCCAAAATAATCGGCATTTTTTAGAAACACCAGTTCACGGCGACCAAAAGTGTAGAAAGGGGGGCGTGGCCTAATCTGAGACGCGTTTTCTGAAAATTGCCGCAATTCCAGCACACTTTTCCGATATTTTTGTGTTTGATATCGACGAAAGAAGACATTAAAGAGAGAAAACATTGAAATTTTCGTGAAAACGCCGCGTTTGAGACGTTTTTGGCATATTTCGGAATTTCGGAATTTTCATACCGGCCGATCTGGATAGTTTTGAGACGAAGTGAGTGTCGGAAGTGATTAAGCACGTTAATACAAGTATTTTAAGCGTTCAAACGGCAAAAAGTATCGGCGAATGACTGAAATTCGCGCATTTTCAGCACAAAACTTGAAAATCGATTCAATTGATTCATTTCTTAATGAAACCTGCTCGTTTTACGCTCAAAAAGTGCGCGATGATTATTAGCTTAGCAAAGTTATGCAATAATATCGTTGAAACCCGTACAAAATTTGGTAATTTTTGACGAAAAACATGCGAAAAATGGGGTTAAATTTCGAATTTCGCTCCAAAATGATGATAAACCGTGTAACGTTTTTGTTGTATTTTCAGTGACGACGAAACAGTAATTTTAGGATTTGAACACTGAACATTTCCGGCTGTGTCCGGGTAAAACGTAGAAAAGGTGGCAATACAGTATTGCTCGGGAAGTTCGGGAAGTGCAAAACTTGTCCAGTTCGACTCTTATTTCTATGATATGTTGTCATCTCTACTTTCATTGTTTCAAACCATAATGGATCCTGATTTCTTGAAAAATATTCAACAGATACCATAGAAAAGGACTACTCAATGCTTCTGAAATTAAAAAGACTTTTCTACCAGAGTTGTCAGGACCAGAGTTGAGCGGAAGAACTCAACGGAAGAACACGGAAGATTTTGTTTATCTTTTTTAGAAAATTTTTTCATGCAATGTGATCAACTGACGAAATGTATAGCAAAGTGAACTCTGCTCATAGAAAAATAATTGTAAATTTAACTTTTCATACAAAAAAGTTATTCCTTCCGTCTTCCGTTAGCCCTCCTTTTTTCACGGAACAACTCGAATAACTTTTTTGTATGAAAAGCTAAATTTACAATTATTTTTCTATGAACAGAGTTCACTTTGCTATACATTTCGTCAGTTGATCACATTCCATGAAAAAATTTTCTAAAAAAGATAAAAATTCTTCCGTGAGTTCTTCCGCGCAACTCTGGTCAGGACTCGTTATGATTTGAAACTGTAGAGAAGATGTGTGTCAAACGTGTATAACGCAAAGATCTATCACTATCATCATTGTCATCATCATCATCTAATCACCTTTTTCCGCTCCTTCTCCTATTTATATTGTGTCCTTTGAAAATGTGGCCGGTCTGATCTCATTTCATCATCCCATTCTTTGCCTGCGAGAAACGATCAATGGTTGATCGGATATCACCCTTTTATTCATGTTTATAAATGAATTTTCGATAACCATTTCATTTTTCCCTTGTTCTCCAGACGATTTCTTTTAATTTAAGCCCTTCTGTAGCATTATTCAATTTTAGGAAGTTTCTGGACGTTTGTCACTGAAAAACCTGAAAAATGACCATCAAGGAGAAGAGAGCATTCAACGAGACGGACGAAATTGTGATCAGCAAGCAGAAGGTACGCGAAAAAAACAGGCGAAACATTTATTATAGGGGCACCGGACAGAAAGGGCGCGCTGTTCGCAATCTTTCCGAACTTCTAGACCGCGAAGTAATTTTCCACTGAAAACGTGGCCTAACTTTTCAAACTCGGCCCCGAGGTCGCTCAATTTGCACTGCAAAAAGAATTTCTCAACAGAGCGCCATTTCTGTGCGGTGCCCCTATAATAAATACAAAAATCGCGCACGGTCTCCAGAGCTGACAATGGGCGCAAGTGCGCTCCGCCCAATAGAGCGATAGATTGGCGCGAAATTTAAATTTTAACAGCAAAATTTGTGTTTTTTCCCAGATTAGCCACGAAAAATCGATAATTTCTCATTTTTCTCTCGATACACCGATTGCATAGGCTATTACGAATTTTTTAAGCGCAAGAGCGTTAAATTTGGTCAAGTCGCAAACCACATTTATCCGTTTGAAGGTTTTTGGCTAAAACTGCGTGAATTTCAGTTGCTTTTCGGTAATTTTCGCGTTTCGAGCGCTCAAAATGCTTGTATTTACGTGATTCATCATTCTCAAAACCAATTCTGTCTGAAAACGGTCAAGAAAGCGCAAAATGAGAAGTTTTTGGGCGGCGAAGGCGAAAAAACAAAGTCCGCGAAAAATGAGCGCCAAAACGCCATTAATTCTGTGAGAATTAGTGTGTCTTCATGTCGAACAATCATTTTTCATCGCCTTTGACGACAAAAATCAGAGAAAACCTGCTCAACTTATGAAAGCGAAAGCGCCCCATCTTGTCAGCTCCGGAGACCGTGTACCGTTTTTGAAACCGTTTTCTTTTTTCAATTCCGCTTGTTCTGCATGCCTAGAGTAGTCGTTAACAAAATTGACGGAACAAACGTTTCTAAGAAAAATGTTTTTATTGAAATAATGCGTTCAGTTGGACAGTTTCGTACTGGAATGTCTGGCAAAGGCCGGCTGCACTGGCGACCACGCACAACAACTCGCGGAGACTCTTCTGTGCTCCGACTACAGGTACCGTACCCTACAGTAACCGCCGCCCCCGAGACTATTGTAACCGCGTTTTTCGAAAACAGAGGCCACTATTCGCACGGAATCAACCGTCTTCACATCTACGTGCACGATCTTATGATGAAGTCGACGGCCGTCTCAGGTTTCGCGGCGTTTTGATGATTTTTTGAGACGTATTTGAAATGCAGGAGCTCCACAAGTGATCAAATCGAAAGGAAGTACCGCTTGGGTGGACGGAAACAACCTGCTCGGTCCCGTTGTCGGCAATTTCTGCATGCAACTGGCAGTGGAGAAGGTATTTTTCTCTCTCTCTCTCTCTCAACGTTTTTTTTGCGTTCCCAAAACGACAATTTAAGGCCAAAGAATTCGGAATCGGATGGGTCGTGTGCCGCAATTCGAATCATTTCGGCATCGCCGGATGGTACGCCGATTTTGCGTGTCGCAATGGATTGGTGGTAATGCTGAGAAGCCCAGAAATGTGCAGTGCACAAGAATTATCGCTTGCCAAAATTGCAGGGAATGGCGTTCACGAACACGTCGCCGTGTGTGTTCCCCACCGGATCGTCCGAGAAATCGCTGGGATCGAATCCGATTTGTATGGCGGCGCCCGGAATGGACGGAGATTCCTTCTTTTTGGACATGGCCTCCACTACTGTCGCCTACGGAAAAGTGAGTCCACAATGTCCTTCTCTTGTACTCCTAACCTCTGAGTTACCCTCAAAAGAGGCCCGATTTGGGGCCTGAGAGCACCCTGAAAACACCTTATATTTGGTATTTTCCTTTCTAAACAGCATAAACCCGGAGGCCTTTCAAAGTGACACAGGCACGGAAGCCCAGCCTTCCAATAAAAAATTCCCTTGGCGCAATTCACGTGTGCTAAACAAGGCGCGTAACGCGTAATTCCGGAGCGTCGTTGTAGAGTTTCTCATTTCAATTTTCCCTTTTTTTTGCATTATCCCCATCTTTTCAGAACCAATCAGTGTCAAAACTTATGATAATGATTAGAAATGAATAAAAAATGAAATTTTAACTGCTTCGTCATCAATTTCGAATCGTTTTATGTGAAAATTACAGAATTTTTTTCCTTTTGCAATCGAAAATTTGCCTCAATTATCTCAATTCTGTATATTTTTCGACGGTTGAGCGCTTAAAAGATGCGCAATAAATTCCTTGTTGACTGGACGGTTCGAATGCCAGTGTCCGAACTCGATTCGGCGCAAATAATCGTTAAAACTCCGCTTTTTTTCAGTAGTTTTCGACAAAATCCCTCAATTTGGTCAATTCTGAACGAATCTGCTCAGTTTCGCGCTTAAATCGATGCTTTTAACTCAGACAATCGCTCTACGGTTCGCAAAGAACAAAATTTGAGTGTTTATTAAGAGAAAAACGAAAGATTTCGGGTTTTCAATTGAAAAAAGAAACTCCGAGTCGACGGTGAATGCAAGCGCGCCCCATTGACAACTCGCTTGCGCATTGGAATGCTGGGGTTCCGTGACAGGTACATCATTTCTACCTAATAAGTGATAAAAATGCCAAAGATTACGATCGTCACAAGTAAAGCGACAAGAAATAAGGTAAAAGTAATGTGGAGCGATTCATTGAAATTCTGGATGGCCCAGAATCTCGACTATGTTTTTTGCAGATTGAAGTGGCGGATCGTAAGGGTGAAACGTGGATTCCGAGTAGTTGGGGAGCCGACAAAAACGGATCGGAGACGCACAATCCGAAGGAGGTACTCGAGGGAGGCGGACTGCAACCACTCGGAGGAGCCGAGATCACCGGCGGCTACAAGGGTGAGCAATTCAAACCAATATATCTCAGTAGCGGATGGAGGTATAAAAAAGTTGTCAACTGATAAAATGTTCGGTATAAAATTGTGTACATTCTCGCAGTTGACAACTTTTCGATAACTCCACAGACAGCTGAGATACATGCCTCGATTTTTGAGGCACCGGACTGTGCATGATGGTCGAGGTTTTGTGCGGAATAATGGGCGGTTCGGCGTTCGGCAAAAATATTCGACAGTGGCAGACGACGAGCAAAACCGCCGATTTGGTGAGTAAAAATGAGTGTGAGCGGACGGGAATTGCAAGAAAACGCGCCGATTTGGTGAGTGCCATCGAACTGGTAGGTCAGGCGTTTGTTTGCATGTTTCGCATGATTTTCGGTCGCAAATCAACGAAAAATTGCAAGTTTTGAGCGAAAAACGACGAAATTTTAGGTTTCTCTGCATGTTTTCGAATGGAAAATCGCAAATTTTCAATCAATAACCCGGTTTTCAGGGTCAATGCTTCGTGGCCATCGATCCGGAGTGTTTTGCGCCCGGATTCCCGCTCCGTCTCCAGGAATTTTGCGACGAAACTCGCAATTTGACGCCGATGAACCCGTCGAGACCGCCGCAAGTGCCGGGCGATCCGGAACGGGCTCACATGAACATGTGCGACGATTTGGGAGGCATTGTCTACAAAAAGAAGCAGCTGGATCACTTGGTAACTTTTGAAAGCAGTTAAAATGTTGTTGACGTGGCTTAGAAAACTTAGAGCTTAGAAGGCCATGGAATCTTTTTTTTGCATTCGGCACATTCCTCAGACACAAACCAAAAATTACCGTTAGCTCTTCGACCATGATAACATTGTATTATGCAGAAAAGTCTCGCCGACCGTCTGGGAGTGATAATGCGACTGGTGGACGAGAAGACTCAGTGACCAACTTCGGAAATGAGTTTCTGTTAATAAAAAACGTTTCAAAACCAACAACAACTGATTTGCAAGTGTAAAATGAACAGAGAAATCAACAAAGAGGGTAGTCGTTAAAAAGAATTGGAACATTTTAGCTGTCCGCCGTGATCGGTTGACTTGTCGCCGAGAAGAGGTAGCGATGCGCTGAAAATTAAAGAAAAGTTTTAATTAATTAAAGAAAAAAGAAGGCGTACGTTTGCAGTCCGATTGTTCGTGTTTGCTCTGAAATCTGCAACACTTTTTGCATTTCTGGTTGGCGCAGGCCTGTCCGGCCGGCTGTCCGCACCGCGTGCACGGCGGGAATTTCAGCTTTTTGGCCTCCAGAATGCGCGCGCCCGACAGCTGACGACGTTCTCGTTTCCGCGCTTGTCTGCAATTATTTTTAGGTATTTTACAGAAAAGCGATGATTCGCGTACTTCATAGAAACGCCCATCTCTTTGGCGGTTTGTGCCAATTTCTCCTTCTGCTTCTCGCGGAACGTCTTCTCGCCCTCTCCGACTATCGACTCTTTCGCTACCTGCAAGTAAGGAATGTCTTAAAATAGTTGTCAAAGAGGTAAAACCCGTCTTATATTTAAAACGCAAAAAACTTCTGCCTGTCTGTCTTTTTCCAGAAAAAAAGACCTGATTTTTTTCAAGAAAGTTTCGGTTTCAACGAATTTCCAAGTAATTTATCGTTTTTTCAAGTATTCCCCATTTACTCACTTCTTTTAGCCGGAAATAGGGTTTCGATATCCAATGCGGCTGTTTCGACACTTCCAGCGCGTCCATCGGCTCTCCTTCTCTGCAAATTTCGCACTTTTCCGGCCTGAAACTCTGGCCAAAAGTACCGTATTCTCTGGAAAAGCCGTCTCGCCGCCTCTTCCCGTTCTATTCCGTTTTCCGCGTCCGCTCGGGCTCTTTTTCCGAGCTCCTCCACAATATTCTCGAAATCCTCGATTCGGTGCTCCAGAGACACTCGCATTCGAAGATCCTCGTATTCCAGAAGACTAAAAATTGTGGCTCTTCTTCTACACGTTTCGAAATTTGTTTCTAACCAACCTATGATGGCAAATTCTGAAGACGTGAGCCCTTATCGCACTGGTTCCCGCATGGAATTTCCGAGCGTACTCCAGATATTCGGCCGCTATTTTCCACGTTTCCACGTGCGCGTTCGCGTCCTAAAAATGAACAAAAAACAATAAACAAATTATGGGGAAAATTACATGGAAGATGAGTGGATTATAAAGGAGTCCTTCGGCGGACATGACCGCCACCGCGCCAGTTCCGGTCATGCATCGTTCGACGTCTCCCGGAAACTGAAAAATTCACGTTTTTTAGGCGATTTTGTACTTTTCCAAAGGTATCCAAACGGCGGCTCCCGGTCGTTCGTTTCGCAACTTCTTAGCGATAAATTGTACTATGATGGTTCACGTGGGTATCGAAACGTCGAGTTGCGAAACGACCGAACGGCTTGTTACGGGGGTGGTACCAAAAAAAGTGTTGCGTGGACCGGGGACCATCTATGTTTCCTGGCTCATGGTACCCAGTGCCCCGTGGAGACTTCCGAGAGATTATGCGAAAAAACGAAGAGCTGAAAGAAAACATGAAATGAAACCTGAATATTTCCGTTGGCGAGCACGGGAACCAGTCCTCCGACCGCCTCGACGACGTCTCGGATCCTCGACCAATCGGCCAATCCCGTCTCCGCCCCTTTCATGTCTCGCGTCCTTCCGTGCACTGTCAGCCTGCAATACCAAATACAAAGAACATTTAGTTGTTCCATACTTTGCAAAAACCAGGCCAAAAAAACTTTTTTTTTTTTTTCATTAGCAAGATTTTGGAAAAATTATTTTTCACAGAATTGTTGAGACAGTAAATTTAGTGAAAAACGATGCAATTCTCAAATGTTTTCTTCCGCTTACATGCTCGCTCCCGCCTGCACCAATCGTTTCGCGTACTCGACAGTCTGCTCGCGGCTCTCCCGAACCCGTATTTTGCACGAAACGGGCAGGCGACAGTAGTCCCTGACCGCGCGGATCATTTCGCAGATCAAATCGAGCTCGTCCTGCAGCCAACTACCGTATCGGCCCCGTTTGGCGACCATTTGCGGGCAGCCCAGGTTGAGGTCGACTCCGTCGCACACGGATTCCACGAGACGGCACGCCGACAGGAACGTGTCCACTTTGTTCGCGCAGAACTGCAATACGCGTCGGTTTTTTTGGGAAAATGTTTTGAGAATCCCAAAATCACCTGGACAATGAGCGGCCGGTCCGCCTTGACCATCGCCAGCGAATTCCGTCGATAGGTGCCGTCGTTGACGAATAAATGCGCGTGGATCATCGGGGTGAATGTCAGTTGGGCACCGTATTTGCGGCCGAACATTCGGAAGGCCAATTCACTGCAAAAACATTGAAACTTGGAAATAATTCCGGAATACGGGTGGCCCATAAGTATGGAGACTTGAATCTGAGGAAAGCTTTTCGGAAGGCGTGACTACCAGAGTTGAGCGGAAATGGAATTTTGAAATACGGAAGACGGCAGACGGCAGACGGAAGAAAATTTTTCTTACGGAACACGGAAAACGGAAGACGGAAGAAAATTTTTCTCACGGAAGACGGCAGACGGAAGACGGAAGAAAACTTTTTTCCCGGAAGACGGCAGACGGAATACGGAACAAAAAAATCGTCAATTCAGAGCCTTTTTTTCCGGTTTTTGAAAAAAATAACTAAAAGCAACAAAACTTTTTGGATCTGGGTACTGCCCGTGGAAATTCGCGTTCTTCGGGACTAGTAAATGGCTTTTGAAAAGCTATTACTCTTTTACGGTAAGAAAAAAAAATCCCGGAAGACGGCAGACGGCAGACGGAAGAAACATTCTTTTACGGAAGACGGCAGACGGAAGGCGGAAGAAAAGTTTTCTTACGGAAGACGGCAGACGGAAGACGGAACAAAAAAAACCACGGAAGACGGAAGACGGAAGACGGCAGACGGAATTCCGCTCAACACTGGTGACTACCTTCTCTAACAAATGTTGTATGGGTTCTACATACTTTATGAAAAAATTAAGTCGGTTTGAATGTTACACCTTTGATTTTTGAGAACTGTTCTACAACAAAAGTCTCCATACTAATGGGCCTCAAAAATTTCACCAAAATCACCTCTGATCGACCATCGGCGCGAGAACCTTGGTAATTCGGTCCTTTTCGAGTGTTTCCCTCCAAAATTTCCGATTCTTCTCGATGACCTCCTCCGAATTTTTCACTTTTTCGCCCAAATTCATTCGTTTCGGCATTCGGAAGATTTGCAAAGGATCGTCGCATTCTGACGATGTCTAGAATTTAAAAAATAACGATAAACTTGACAATCGGAAAGTTTATAACTGCATTAAATATTCATGATTCTTTTTAATTTATGAAACAGTAAAATTAGAGCTTTTTAATTGAGCTTAAAAAAGCTGATTTTCTCTAACCGTCTGCTCCTCCTCATTCGCTTCGCTTTCTCCGCATTTCTCGATTTCATGGCCTTCGGGCGCCGTCTCTCCGTCCATTTTTCTGGAAAAAAACCTGAGAACACTGTAAGAAATACAGAAAAATACAAAAATGGCCGTATTTGAACCAAATCAATTATTGACCAATTCCCAGTCAAAAAGTACGTATTCTTATTGCTCTACGGACAAAAATGGTACTAAAAATTAAAATTATGAGGTAGACGACGGATATTCGGGTGAAAAATAGGGGGAGAACATGAGGATCACGAGAAATTAGCAGAGGGGGAAAACAGCGATTTTAAGAGATGCTCAACGTGAAAATGGAATTGTTTCGAAAAGGGTGAAGTGGTTTTTAGAAAATTGCAAACTTTCAGGCTCAAAATCAGATCGTTTTGTTAAAGAACAGATGGGAACAGGAGAGGAAAAAACATTGTTTTATGAATCAAAATTAATATCGATTATATCCGCCTCGTCCGCCTCTCCAGTTATCGCGTCCTCCACGGCTGTTTCTGCAAAAAACAATCAATTTTTTTCAGGAAAATGGTAAATGCGAAGCAATTGACGCGTGCGAGAATTTCAAAGTCGTGTCGGCTCTTTTGGAAAATTTCCGAAATCAAATCATTTTCTCTCCCGATTCACAAGGTTTTCCGTCCGGGCACACTACTTATTCTACCAAAGGGTCCCTTTCATCGGTCACTGGATATGCTTCAATTCAAAAACAGATTCCAGTAGAAACGGAGATGGTCACGGATATAAACTGAATAGACTCGACAAGAGTACAAAGGTGTGCGACGACGAAATGAAGAGGAGAGTCATGAAAGTGGACCAACGTAAACACCTCTATCTCTGAACCTGGGCGAATAAATGAAATGAAATGAAACTGTAGAAATTTGGTTCATTTCCAGTGACCGGGCGTAAAGGACCCTTAGAATATATATCGAGCGTGCGAATCTGGAGAAAACATGATTTGTTTCGGACAATTGGAAAAAAAACAATAAAGTTTCATCGACGAACAACAATTTGTTGCTGAAAAAATCGAGAAAACTCTGCGCTTTTGTGGTTGATACGGAACAACGTCGATGCACATTTTTACTCCGTACCTATCATTGTATCCGCCGCCATTTCTCCACCGGTCGGTTCCGCCGGGAGTACGTGGATTACTGTAGGGAGTACGGTCATTCTGGTATCCTCTTTGCGGCTGATGGTATCCACCGCTGGTTCGCTCGTATCGGTGGTCCACGTCTTTTCGGTCTGCAAAAAGTTCATTTTTTGAGAAATACAGTTTCAGCGACTCTCTTCTAATTAGCTACCAAGAACTCAACAATATAAATAGAAACAAACGTGCGTTATATATATATATATATATATATATATATATATATAACGACAATAGTAATGAAAACAATACCTCCGCCATGATACTCGTTGTAATTCTGCTGCGGTGGCCGATAGACGCCCGCTCCCTGTTGTTGATGATATTGATTGATTTGCGGCGGCGGAGCGACCGGAGGCATCACTGCAATGAAAAATGATTCAATTTCCTCTCAAAATTGCAATCAAAACCGTACTTTTCTGCTCAAATCTGGCCTGATATCCTCCAGTCGGTGGCTGTGGTTGGGGCGATACGAGCGGCGGTTTTACTGCAAAATTTCGACGTCATTTCGAGCAACAAACAAATGAATGTGAAGAACTCTAGAGAAGAATCGGAAGAAACATCACTTTTGTGGCAAAGTTACGCAAAAAGCACCAAAAATCGCACCGTCAAAAGTGGCCTGATAGGCATTGAGCGGTACGGGCGGCGGAGGCGGTTGTTGGTGGACGAGCCGTGGATCGCGTGTTGTTTCGAATTGGGCACGATACACCGAAGTGGAGTGTTGTTGGTGGGTCAGCACTGCAAACAATTCAAATTTGTTGAGGAAGCCGTGGTGCTCACTATTCTAGACAATTTTTGAATAAAAGATGAAAATGCAGGGCCGGCCCTTGTCCTGTACTTTTGACCCACTTGGAATATTCCGATCGGACCCAGACTTTTCAGGCTTCTTGGACTTGGATTGAAGTATACTGGGACCAAGTTTTAGCCCTCAAAATCGGCCCTCAAGCTCTAAATGATCCGATTGGGATGAAATTTGGACCCAGCATAAAAGACTGCAAAGTTTGGGTCCGATCGGAACTACTAATAACTTTTAGACCTAATTTTTCTGATTTTTGAGAATTTTATAACCTACATCTGGGATCGCGAGTCTCGAAATGCCCCTGATAAACCGATTGTGGAGCTGTCGGAGCTACTGCAAACATAAACCATTAAAAAGAAAGTTATCCGACAGCTAGAAGGAAAACCATTTTTTCTCAATCTAGAACAGCTCAGCACTTTTGCAAAACGCTCCCTTACCGTTGATTTGTGCGGGAGGCGGTGCGGGCGGGGCACTCATTCCGTGCTGCTGCACAATCTGAGAGTATTGCGAGATTCCCTGGAAGATCGAAATTGAAATTAACAAACATCTTTTTAAAAAACGGTGAAATACCTCATTTTCGGATCTCTTCCGTGGATCCGTTGGAGCGATGGGAGGTTGATTCTGAAAAAAGACCGAAATGATGCTAAACTTTTGTCGATAACTATAAACTTTTGTGAACGGCTTGAAACGGATGGTTTTTCCAAAAAGCAACAAAATTTATAGAAAATTATCTATGCAAGCCTCCAAATATTGTTTTTCTCTAGCCGTTCACGGTAAGTTTGAGAAACACTCTAAACCCCGTACAATATTCAATCCGAAAGTGTTCAATTCTCCAGAATTGTTGGCAAACAGCGGCGGCGGTCTCGTGAAGTCGTTTCCGGTGGTGGCGGGGGCCGTCGTCTGCAGCATTTCCTCGTCGCCGTCCGCTATTTTCTTGAGTCCCAACTGCATAATTCTGGATTGGAGGCTCGGTTGCGAGGCGATTCCGACGAGTGCCGCCAGCGAGGGCTTCATCATCGGCGCCGTCGGACGGTCCTCTTCGTCCATTTCCATGTCTATTTGGGTACGGTTGTCGCCCCACGAGGTTACGTTTTGCACGCGGTATGCTGCAAAAAAAAAACGGGGATTTGGAGGAGAACCCTTCCTGATTTGTTTTTAGAGATCATCCTAAAAAGACTTTTCTTGTTACATTCTTTCCGTTTCATAATTTCATGGAAACTATGTACAATACAAAGTCTTTTTCAATGCTATATGCCATGAAAATATCGCAAACTCTTCCACATCTTAACGAGAAAAGACGTACAATCGTCTCCGGAAGCGGCCGATGACGTGGCAAAGTGATCGTCGTCTCCGGCGGGCGACACAATGCCCGGATACACGCCCTTCTTCTCCATTTCCAGCAAATCCGTGTGCACCGCCTTGATTCCGTCGCGAAAATTCACGTAGGCCTAGAGAAGCAATTTTAAAAAATCTGGTCTTCTGCGGACAAAATGAATTTATCAGCGGAACTTTCAAAGTCTACGGGGGACTGGAAGTTGTGAACGTGTAACTTTTCACAGAAATTCTACATTGAAGAGCACGAGGTCGCTATGTCCGATTTCTCGAGATCAATTGAAAAAGCCACATGCCAATTTTAGGAGGAAAAATAGGTTAATTCGTGAAAACGTGAAACAAACCTCCTCGACAACCAAAACTTCTCGTTTTTGGTGCAAAAATACGCGTTTCGCGAGTTCCAGCGTTTCCGAAAGTGCCATCATCTTCTTTTTTTGGTTTTCCATCGAGTGACGCACCTTAAATTGAGATGTAAGTCAACGATTTATAAATCGAACGCAAAGCTAAAAAAATAAATGAATACTCTAGAACCTCAAAAACTCAGAAAACAATTATTGTCGCTCACCTGAACCATAGTATCGATTGCGTCGTGCACTTCCTGCAAAATATGCGCCCCGGACTCTCGATCCCGCATTCCGCTCCGACATTTTTCTTTGTAATCGAAATCTCCCTCGTTTACACACTTCATCATGTCCGAAATCACATTTCGAGCCTGAAAATTGATCATTATTCTCCGAAATTCGATGAATTTCACCTACCGACACGAAATTCGTAATTTTTTTGAAAAGATCGTCGGTATCCACTTCCAGCGCCTGATCTTCACCGTCGTACGCTTCGTCCGCGTCTGAAAACTCATTTGTGAGCATTTTCTGGCCGAGATTCGAATTTTCGCCTACCCAGAAGGTTCTCCATGGCCGTAATGCTGGCCGGCGAGAAGACGTTGCGCGATTTGAAAATTTCGATGCATCGCTTCATCGCCGTCTTCACTTTTTCTTGTTTTCTGCAATTTTAGAGCATTTTTAGTAAACAAAATTTCGATAAAAAACCAAACCTGCCAATTCCGACGGCGGTGAGCACGGCGGGCTGAAAAGCCGGAATGAGCATGTCCGTGTGCTTCATTTTCGCCTTTTGCACCACATCGTTCATCACGTAGAACAGAGCTATTCGTTTTCCGTCGGTTCCGGCTGAAAACAGATTGTCAAAAATGTTCTACATCAAAAGATGATATTTTAACGAAAAATTACCAGTTTTGAAGCAATTCAGCCATCCTTCCACAATCAAATCGATTGAGGCTTTGTCTTTATAGTGCATAATCCACAATGACATTGTCTCGATCGCCTCTTGAGTCGGATTTTTAATCTAAACATTATTATTATCATTTTTTTATGTTCCGTCAAAACTCACGTCCTGAAGGCGATTATGTACGACGTCGGCGGTGAGCACAACCATTTTTATAGCGAAAAAATCGAAAAATCGATATTTTACATGTGACGTAGCCTTTGAAGCTCGGCGATATTGCTCTGGCAACACACTAAATAATTGGTGAATCTCACCTAGCGTTTGTGGAGGCCCCGCAGACACCCGCCGGTTTTTGAAGCATCGTACTGCGCCTTGTTTAGCAGAAAGTGGCATTTGTTGGATTTTGACGGAGATTTCAATAAAAATGAAGGGAGGATTAATGGGAAACAGCGAAAAAGCATAAAAATGAATAAAAGAAATACAAGATTACTTTTAAAGAATCGCTAAAAAATAAATTCAGCTTCTTCACAATCTCTTTCTAACCAATCTTCCTCCCCTCAAGATCAAAAGGGACATTTTACAACAAAAAAAAACAAAAAACTCGTAAAAATGCTCAAAAGAGGAACAAATAAATAGGGGGGCAAAGCTGATTGTAACTAAAAGAGATAACATTTACAAAAAAAAATAGGAGGTGAAACATCAAATTTTATAGGCACATAGAGTACAAATACACACTTTTTTGGGCGCGATGAGGGACTCTTCAGTTGTAGAACTTCTTTCCGCCCTTCGCGTGGTCCTTGAGCAGCTGGCACGGCGTGAACTGCGCCGCTTCGTAGGCGCTTTTCGGCGACGTACAGGTCGACTAATGGGAACCGACGGCCGCCACCTCTGAAACCCTGCCAGATTGCACAAAGAAGTGACATTCTGTCAGGTTTTTGCTTCTATTGCCTTCTCCGGGCTTTTCTCAAGCGTCGCCCATCATAATTCCACTATGACAGCTTCGGATGCTCGGAGAGCAGCATCTCCAGCATCAATTTCACTACATTTTCGAAAACTAACTCTGGGAACTCGATCGCAATCTAATTAGAACACTTTGCAATCTAATACGAACTCGTTTGAAATAGAATTTGCTTCAATTAGATTGCAAAATCTTCTAATTAGATTACAATCACTGCAATTTTTCTAATTAGATTGCAATGTTTTCTAATTAGATTGCAATTTTTTCTTATTAGATTGCAATTCAGAAAAAATATATTGTAATCTAATACGATTTTACTGGAACTTCAATTAAATCTGATTAGATTGCGAAATATAGCTTTTTCTTATTAGATTGCAAACTCTTCTAATTAGATTGCAATCGAGTTTCCAGAGAAAGGGATTTTGCTGTAAGGAAGCAAAATAAATGTGATACGGATTCCGAAAATGTATTCTCGAATTTTTAAAATAGTCACTTTTACTTCTCTCTTTTTTACGTTTGTTCTCTTCTGATCTTCAACGAATTCTTTGGCGAACTCTGAAATTGCCGCTTCTGCTAAACCGGGCGACATTACGACACTCCAAAGGTCGGCGACAAGTCAAAACAACCGGATTCTAGTAATAGAAATTCTGGAAATAAAGATTTATAACGAGTTGTGCCATTTTATCGTTAAGAAGTGTGTGAGTTTTTCTAGTTTTTCGTCAAATTGATAACCATAAATGTTGTGCTGCTTCCTTAAATCTACAAAAAAGAATTTGATCAAATTTTGGCTGTAATTCAGATGCTCTTATTAGCAAAATTTTTTTTAAAAAACATCATCTTCTCCCAGTTTTTCCCTCAAAAATCACTCAACCGGATATCCGTTTTCAATTTTTTCAGCTCCAAAAATTCTCGCCCGTCGCCTTCTCAATTTTCGCGTATGTCTAAATTTTTTCTTGCACTCAAATAGGGAACAATCGATTTTGCTCATTTTTTAGGTCGTTTCGCAACCATGCCGCTTGCCGACATTGCCGACGTGGACATTGATCCGAAAGGCGTCTTCAAGTACATTTTGATCCAAGTAGGCCCGATTTATTTCAAAACTATAGAGTTTATTGGAAAAAATGCAAAAATAGTGAAAATTAAACTGCAAAAGAGACATAATCCCTTTTGAGCAGAGCGGTCGTCTCGTTTTCCTCTTTTTCACAAATCGAGTCCATAATATCAATAGTTTTCGAGTGTCCGACGCCTGAAAATGTTCAAAAATTCGACATTTTCAAAAAACAAAACTTACAATGCTTGTGAAATTCAATTTTATCGGTTTTAATAAACAGCGCCCTGGACAATGGCGAACGTTGACCGTCTTTGAACACTGCGGTCGCACTGAAAATTACACTTTTTTTTTAAACAATTAAAGCAGTTTCATTACCTAAACATGTAGAACCAATCGAAGCGTAAATCTGGGAAAACTACCTGCAAATGCAATCATTTTTTTTTGACAAAAAAATGTACGTTTAACTCACTCTCCGCCCGTTCACGGGTATTTTCTCCCATTCCGACAGCGAGGCGTTGGGATTTTCCGTGAAATAAACCACGTAATTTTTGACTTCGTGCGATTTTTTGTACGGCGGCTCCCACGTCAATTCGATCGTGTTCGCGTTGAGCCGAGTCGCCAGAATGTGCTGTGGGCTCAATTGGGGCTCTGGAACATTTCTTGCCTTGAATTGTTCTTTTATCGTAAATTGCATCATTTTCATCAAAAATCACTTTTAGGGCCACATTTGAGGCCTTTTTGAAAACATTTTCCAAAAAAAAACGAAACCCTCACCTGTGTACTGTACCAAATAGACGGCTTTGCTCTCTCCGAATTTATTGTGGGCGGTAATTCGGAATTCGTAAAGCGAACACGAGTCGACGCTCATTATCTCCACCGTATTTCCTTTGATTCCACGCAGTTCGCGCGTTTTCGCGTCTTCATTATGTCTAGAATGAAACTGTATTTGAGGCGAGAACTCGTTGAAACTAGTACTCACTTCAATCGATACCGAATATTGTAGGTCAAATCGGCGTCGGGCGAGAAGGGCGCCGCCCAGGCAAGACGGACCGAGTAGGCGGAAGTGCTGACGACCTGGCAGTCGCTCGGCGGGTCTGGCGGCAAGCGCGCGAACATAAACTTCTCGTTCGGCACTGCAAAAGTTTTAAAAAATGAATGTTTCATGCGAAACATTTGAGAAACGTTGTGATTTTTCAAAACTTAATAAATATAGTGTAAAAAGTCAATCTCAGAAAAGATTAAAACGAACAAACGTGGCTTCCTCTCCGCTTGTCCTTCTTCCTTTTCGACTTTTTGCGCGCCAGCTCATTGTAATCCTTGTGCGCAAAAATCATTCCCTTGGCCAATTGAGCCAATAACGAAGCCATTGCGGCTCGACGTCTTCTGCAAAAACCATTTTTACCTGTTTTTCTCAAATTTGCTGTGCTCACCTCGCTTTGGCCTCTCTGAGCAAATAGAACGGATTGCTGCTCTTCAATTTGCGGCCCAAATAGTGAATTTCCTTCAAGTACATCCGACCGACGACGTCCATGCACATTGTGGTCAGAATAACACCGACTGAAACGGCCGAGTACGGTGTTTGGGCGGAAAAGTAGCGTAACTTACCGATGACGAACGCCAAAGTGACCCAAATGTTGCCCGGAGATGGGCGGATATCGCCGAAGCCTGAAAATGTTGTTTTTTCTTCAAAATATCTCTAGAAACACGGTCTCCAGAGCTGACAATATGGGCGTGGCCTCGGCCAAATGGCGTTTTCATGAATTGAGCAGGTTTTCTCTGATTTTTGTGGTCAACGGCGAAGAAAAATGATTGTTCGACATGAAAAAACACTAATTCTCAGAATTAATGACGTTTTGGCGCTCATTTATCGCGGACTGCTTTTTCGCCTTCGCCGCCCAAAAACCGCACTTCTCATTTTGCGCTTTCTTGACCGTTTTCAGACAGAATTGGTTTTGAGAATGATAAATCACGTAAATACAAGCATTTTGAGCGCTCGAACCGCGAAAATTACCGAAAAACAACTGAAATTCACGCAGTTTTAGCCAAAAACCTTCAAACGGATAATGTGATTTTCGACTTGACCAAATTTAACTGTCTTGCGCTTAAAAAATTCGTAATAGCCTATACAATCGGTCTATCGAGAGACAAATGAGAAATTATCGATTTTTCGTGGCTAATCTGGCAAAAAACACAAATTTTGCTGTCAAAATTTGAATTTCGCGCCAATGTATCGCTCTATTGGGCGGGGCGCACTTGCGTCCATTGTCAGCTCTGGAGACCGTGAGAAATGACTCACCAACAGTCAAAATGCTGATAAAAATAAAGTAGAGACTCTCGACATATGTCCATGTTTCCCAATAGCGAACAATCCACGCGGCGACGCATCCGTACACGAAGACGAACAAAAAGACGGTCAACGGAGGGAAGCGCACGAGCCGCACCCTGTCCAGAATCTCCTCTTCGTTCTCGTCGTCGCCGAACATTGGCTGTGCCGGATCGGCGTCCACTTCGCCCTTCCGCTTCCGTTTCCACTCCATCCACTTGTTCCACAGTTCGTAGTGCAAGAAGAAGATGGTCTCGGACAGGAACTTGGCCACGTTGGCGACGGTTACCAGTGTTAGAGGGATTCCTGCAAGATTATCGATTTTTCGGATTTTTTTTTCTAACTCTCTCTCTTAGTATTCGTTTTGAGATGGAATAAGTTGAACAAGTTTGAAAGCTTTTAGCACGACCCGGATTTAAATTTTGACTAAAAAAAGTACTCGGAACCCACCGATCAAACAGTAGATAACACCGAAAAGGCGTCCGCCGAACGTGCTCGGCGCCACGTATCCGTATCCGATCGACGTGAGCATTGTGGTCGTGAAAAACACGGAATTGGCGAAATCCCAACTCGGCGAATCCTACGAATAGCAGTTTTTAGACACTAGAAAAGCGTAGAAAGTATTTAGAATGTGTGAAACTGAGGAAAATATGTGAATATAGATACCTCATCATAGCCGTGTCGGACTGCTCGATGAGCAAAGAACACCGTGTCCACGTAGTCGTTGAAATCCTCGCTCGTCTCGCTTTTTATCGATTCGATGAGAGCGTCGACGTTCTGCAAGTGATTTTTGGGAAAATTATCGAAAGTTTGTCTCAATTTTTATACCTCAAACTTGTCGCGGTCCCGTTTCGCCAACTCCCACAATCGATTCACGTAATCCTTGGCGTTCTGGTCAATTCGATCCATGTGATCCTTTTTCAGGGCCTACAAAATGTTTATGATTAAAACGAAAGCATTTTTACGGAGCACTCACATCCAAATGCTCGCCTTCTAACATTTGAAAAACGATGGCGCCGAGAATAATGTACAAAATGACGGAGCCGATGAGCAGAACGTGAAGGCTCAAAAATTTCGCCATTTTCTCGTCTTCCACCTGCAAACAACCCATTTTTGAATGGCCCAAAAACGCGAAAAGTCGTCGGGGATTAGGGTGTTGTGTGTTGTGCAAAAACAGCACCAAACTCATCATTTTTTTGACATGTTTTCCGGTGAAAGTAGTGGAAGACCACCGCAAAAATGGGCGAAAAGTGGAGAAGAAGAGAAAAGAAGGATTTTGGCCAGGTGAAATATGAGATGGGCCCCCGGAAATGTGTACATACGTACACATTTTTTTCATTTTTCAAGCGCACTTTTTTTGAGCAAAAAATTCCAGAGTTGCCACGGGCCGGGCCAAAATTTTCAAAACTCCGGCCCGGCCCGGCCCGGTCGGCCCGGTTCAAAAAGCGGGAATCCAAATTTTGAACTAATGATTAAATAAAATGTTTGTTTTTCGTAGAACTAACGAATTTTGCAAGTATCGAGCATAAAAAAGAAATGTAGTTCTCAAAAATAGTTTTTATTGGCATCAAAGCAAAAGTTTTAATTTTGATCCCCGCAAAAAAAACGAAAAAATAGATTTCCCCCAAAAATTTGAATTCGCGCCTTTTTAGCCGGGCCGGCCCGTAATCTGGCAAGTCTGAAAAATTCTGTTTGAAAGTCTTGAATTTCGCCATCTCTTTTTCCATCATTTCGTGAGATTTAGAGTGATGATGTTCCTTTTGGACCCGTTCATAAGTGTTTGACACATTTTAGCGGTTCATTTTTTATCTGTGACAGGCCAGGAGACGAATCTTCCGATTGGAACCACCCGTCTGTCGTTCTGTCGGCAATTGAGAAGACAGACGCATAAACTCGGAGGGTTCCCTGGTTTTTTTTAAAGTAAAATGAATGATTTATTGATTTTTCCTATTGAAACGCTCCAAGTTTGTGGAGAAATTTGTGAAAAGGCGGAAAATGGGCTCAGTTTTGGAGAAGAGCACATATCACACACACGGAATGGCTCCCTCGGGACACATTTTCACGAGAACAGAACCGAGAAGGACCTCTTTTCAAAAGGGTGGTCCCCAAGAGACCGGGCATACTTTTTCACCCCCCGCTTACTCGGAAATTTGGGGATTTTTATGAAGTGGATTGAAAAATGAACTAAAAATTGATAAATTTTGGATGAGGCTACGCCGAACCAGAACTGTGGCTAACTCGGTATTAATTTTTTTTTTTTAATTTGAGCATTTTATGAAGCCGCAAAAAAGTTTCGTTGCATTTTCAACTGAAAAATGTATTTTTGCAGGTGACTGACACGTCGACGAAAGAGCAAAAGTTCGTGGTGCGCGGCTACTATCGATGCACGTTCCATGACGATATTCTGACGGAGACCAAGGTTTGATGCACATTTTATAATCGAAACGTCTGGAAAACAAATCTTTAGGAATCGGCGCCGGCCGGATTGAAGCTGAAATGCGTGGGCGGCGGTCGAATCAAGCACGACGCGGCGGGAAAAGATCTGCTCGTGTACGGATACTCGCAAGGATACGGACAGGCGGACCACAAGATCGCCGTCGGAATTATTGAGAAACAGTATCCGCAGTACCATGTTCACTTTTCCAATGACGGATATTAGTGATCCGCCCGTTTTTTGAGTAGAAATTGCATAAACTTGGATTTTCATTGATAACACTTTACAACCGTCGTCAAAAACGCTCATTCAAACTGGTTACAAAGCGTCAGAGCGTTTCACAAACACTAAAAACTTCATGCCAAATAAGAAGGTTGCGAAACGTCTAACTAATAGGACGTTTTGCAACCAGACAGAAACGCATCCCGAAAAAACAACCAAGACTAGGTTGATGAGAAAAAGAACCGGTTTGACGGAACATAAAAAACTAGAAATTATAGCTCAAGTACGGAAATGACTGGCTCGTCGCCACTCATCCTCGTCACTGTCGTCACTGTCATCATCTGAACAGTTTTTCGCCGCCGCGGCCGCCTCTTCCTCCTTCTCCGTCTCCTTTTCCATGTCCACAATCCGTCGAACCAACTTCTGCTTTTCCGCATGTCGTATAATACGAGCGATGAGCGACGAGAACAACAGACGGTCCCTGTCGATCGCGGCGAACTTCAATTGGATCGAGTGGTCGGGACGGGGCAGAGTGCCCAACAGCAAATCGCCCTCGAATGCGCGGTACGTGCGCACGTACATCTTGTACTTTTGGGGCCAGTTGGGCGCGCACATGGATTTCGTGATTAGCTGCAAGAATTGAAATGCACTTGGATTTTAGTAGCATTTTCACAAAACCCGTATAATTGGTCTGCAACTCGGACCCAAAATACTTTATTTTGGGCCCGATCGGATTTTTGCAAGTGGGTCAAAGACTTTGACTCAAAGTTCAGGCCTCAGAATCTCCCTCTATTTTCTCAGAACATTCTCTAGGAAGCCTAGGAAACAATCTACACTGCTCACCATTCTCCTCGAAAGGAAATGTTTCCACGATGGATTTGCGCTCACTCTGTCATTCGTCGGCATCGGAAACTCTTTTCGCATGACGATCGGTTCGACTGAAATCGAAGACGGATTCATCGACAACTCGCTCACTCGTCCCTGCAAACCAATGTTTAAAAAGGCTGGCACGTAATGGGGCTATGTTTGTTTTCCGTTTTTTTTTCGTTTTTTTACATCGCTGAATTGGATTTTTTGACGTAAAAAAACAAAAAAACCCACGGTCTCCCACGGCGCGAATGATTTCAATGGGGCGCACTTGGTTGTGTCGATTTACGCGGCGGCCGATTAATTAATTTTCAACGGGAGTTCGCGTTCTTTCCATGTTTTCTATACAATACAGCTATTTTTTTGTGCGCCTGGAACCTGGATCCGAATAATTAGAGCACTAGCTACGTTTTCGTAACAGAAATCTCACATATCGTTGAGAATTAGCCGAGTTATTTCGATTTGAAGGTTTTGGCCTGGATTTTGATGTTTTTAGAATAGTTTTCGAAAACTGCTCAAGAAAACTAACCGCCGGAACCTAAATTTTGTGAAGAAAGATTCAGCGAACATTTTTATCGTTCGTTGGGCTCATGAAATGCAAAATGAGCTGAAATATAAAGGTTTGAAGTTTTGACGAAATGCGAAAAAGACGCTAAAAACATGAAAAACTCTAAATTCTGTAAAGGACGGTTTCCAATCGGTAAAATATTGTTTTCTAGACGTTTTTCAAGTCAAAAAGAAAGAAATAAAGGTCGTAAACTCGAATTGAACTGCATTTTCAGACCTGCAAATTTTCAAAAGTTACAACGACACTCCGCAACTTACGAGCGCACTGTGTTTAGCATTAGCGCCCTGGGAGACCGTGAAACCGAAAACAATCATTTTTTCACAGTTAACCCCATAACTGTTTTCAAAAACACACAGAAATTCATTGTTTCAACGGTTTTTCCTGTTTGGCTAGAAGAAAGATGGAGTTTTGGCGAATTTGGTCTAGAAAAGTCCAGCTGTTTCTTGGCGCCAAGCAGCAAAATTCAAAATATGTTTGAGCCAATACTCAGATCAAATTGAGTAAAACCCCTAAAAATCGAATTGCGGTTACGCACTCTGTGCTGCATGTATCCGGTGCGGATCATTTGCATCAGTCGCTCGACGACCCGACTCTCATCCTGTTTGTGCTGGAAATACGTGTCTGCATTCAAGAAAAGAACGGGAAGAATGAGGGAAAGATGGGCGGTGCCTGCCGGTTTCAGACGGAGAGTTGCCGTGGCAAAGTCTGAAGAAAAAATAATAATAATTATCTCGAAGCAACGGCAAAAGTTAGGTGCACAACGTTTTGCAATGTTCAATTTTCTTACCGTACTCAAAACAATCGGGAATTTTCGAGCTCATCGAGTTGGGCACTCCACAATCGATTCGATGCTCGTATTTGAGAAAATCGTTGTTAGTTTTCCATTTCGATTGCATTGAATTTAGACTGAAACACGACTTTTTTGAAAGCAATCTTATGCATCTCATAAATCGCACACTTTCCGGAAATCCTTTCGATCCGCCGTTCCATTTTTGAGAAGAAACTGACGCATTTCGACGACCAAAATTCGAAAGGCCGCCGATGAATTTTTGTATTTTCGCGTGAATTTGTCTTTCAAAAAAATCGGAGACATTTGGTCGCAAAACTCGGCAATTTCGGCCGGGCATGAGAACGGATTCGGCTGAAACAAAAAAAACGCGTTTTTTTGCGAGCATTTTGAAAAACAAACCGCTTTTCCGTCTTCACACTTTTCCTGCAGAGTCGTCATCAATTCTTCGGCCGTCTGGGCTCCATTTTCGCATAAATTTCGCTCGATAAATGTCATTTTTACGATGATATCCGCCAATAGCTCGTAGGCCTCTGTGTCGCTCTGAAAATTTGAATTGTTCGAAAAGCATTTGAAACAACTGGAGTTTTACCAAATTCTGGACAATTTTCAGAATTTCAGTGGATTCTCTGAATGATTCTCGAACATCTCCGGACAAATAGGGCTCCCTGAATCAAATTGCATTTAAAATTTGATTATAAAATTGCAGACTAACAAAAAGTGATCCGGATCGAATGAGGCGTTCAATTTCTCAAAAATCGATTTTGGAGTATCACCAGGCTTGTACATTTCTGAATTTTAATTCTATTAGACTAGGCCTATTAGACTCCAGTTAGGCCAGGGCGCTGAGCTATTTTTAGGAACCTCAAATGCGTAATGCCGGAGAAATACTGATTTATCCTACTATTTCAATGATGAAACAGCATTCTTCCAACAGTGCGCATTTCAAGTTTTAGCGCACAGAAGAGGCTTGGAGAGTGCGCTCCTTGCCTGCTCCGAGACTTTAGATGCGTGCCGTCGGAAGACTACTGATTCAGTTCTCTTGATTTTTTGAGAATGAATTCATTGTGATCTAAACTAACAAGAAGACACAAAAATCACGCACTAGGAGTCATATTTCGAAAAAAAGGCTGTTTTGACAGTGACCCCTCGGCATTTTCAGCGAGTTTCAATCACAATCAACTCATTTCCAAAAAATTAGGAAAAACGAATCAGTATTCTGCGAACAGAACGCATCAGAAGTTTTTGGCGCACGGAAAAAGGCTTGGGGAGCGTGCAGCCGGCTGGCGAAATAAGCAGCCGACAGTTCACGGGACGGGAGCCGAACTCTCTTTATATCCACTGCGCCCCCCATTTTTCTCTGGCTTTTCAATCCAATTTTCGCCATACCCAACCAGAAATCTCTAACCGAAGAGACGCAGACACATCGGCGTTTAGGAGCGTCTCGTGCGTCGCCGAGTGTATGCGGAGTGTACAAACACGCTCCAGCCCGAGCCGTCCATTGAAATTCCGCTTTTTCAGCGATTTTATCGACTTACAGACAGAATTTCACGGATTTCAAGGTAGAAATGAAAAATTTGGCCGTTTTTGAGTGTGTTGGTGTTAAATTCATCGCCAATTTTCGGTGTTTTCAATGGGAAAATCTGTCTTGAAAAAATATCGATTTTTTGTGATTTTTCCAGGTTTTCCGGTGAAGATTCTTTGTTTTCACGCTGTTCCCGTGTTTTTACCCTATAAATACGTTCGGAAGTCGTACAATCGTTGTAGTTTTACTCGTTTTTCGCTTGTTGCTCCAGATTTTCTAACATTTTCCTTGCAGAATGTCTCTCTCACTCTTGACGCCTCGTCTGGTCACCAAAAATGCGGTCTGCCGCATTCTTGTCGTCAGAAACTCTTCTTCCCGCCTGACCCTCAATGTAAGACACGTTTTTTGCAGAAATTATTTGAAAAAATTGAAATTTCTGCAGCACGAGCAATCGATCAAGATCAACGCGCCAGGATTCTTCAAGTACCAGCGTGATGTGTCTCGCGACAAGCGCTACGTCAACCCAGCCAAGCCAGGAGACACTCCGGCCAGGTAAAATCTAAAAATTCCGGAAAAAATTAAACAAAATCGTTTTTGTCGCCTGTCTTCTATAAACATTGGAATTTCAGATTCATGTTCCGCAAGATCGGACACGCCTACGAGATCTACCCGCTTTTCATTCTTCTCGGAGTTTGGGCCGTCTTGTTCGGATATACCGTGTGGTATTCGTTCGAGAAGGGAGAGGTGTGGCTCGATAGAAGTAAGTTTCTTCCCTGAATTCCTAGAAAAATCTGAAAATTGCAGGCCACACGGTCGCTCCATGGGACTGGGAGAGAATCCGCAACAACTACTGGAAGAAGCCGACTCTCGTGTTCGACCCGACCGGAAGAACCCACCAGAGACTTGAGATCCTCGAGACCCTCCAGGACGAGATGGTCGCCGCCGCCAAGGAGAGAGGAACCCGATAAATTGTGTACCACCAACTAAAAATTAGCTCTTCTTCCCCCTCAACAAAATGTCCGTTTTTGTGCGTTGTAGCCAGGTCCCTCTTCCGATTTTCGAGAATGCGAATAAAATACACTGTGAACGGTTTCTTCTGAAGATTTTCAGTCAAAAACAATTTCCGGACAGAAGACGACGACAAAAGTCAACAGTTCGACGACCACCAAGAAAAACAAAGGAATCTGAGAGAAAGACAAAGCGCTCCTAGCTCGATTTCATTTTCTTTTTGTTGTTGTTGTAAAACAAGTGATTTTTGTAACAAGTTTATTGTCCAACAAATAACTTTACTTGAGTGGGATGAATCGGGAAGAGTGGGTAGCTCCAATTCCTGGTCTTCCGTGCTTGACTGGCTTGTAGGAGATAGCGAACTCTCCGAGGTAGAATCCGATCATCTCTGGCTTGATCTCAGTCTGAAACGCATTTATATAAGACACCGCGAATCAAAAAAAAAAACGAAAGTGATTACCTGGTTGAACACCTTTCCGTTGTAGATTCCGATGACTCCACCGACAAGTTCCGGAAGGATGATCATGTCACGAAGGTGAGTCTTGACGACGGCTGGCTTCTCGAGAACTCCAGCGGCCTTCTTGGCCTTCTGGACCTTGGCGATAAGCGCCAAGTGCTTTCTCTTGAGTCCACGGTCGAGACGTCTGCGCATGCGGGACGGGAGGAGCTTCGAGAACTGCTCGCTGAAAAAAAATCAGTTTTAGAAAAATTGGTAACAAACATGAAGCTTTGATAAATCAAAAATTGTTCATAAATACTTACCGGGACATGTCCAGGAGCTGGTCGAGGTCGACTCCTCTGTAGGTGAACTTGCGGAAAGTTCTCTTCTTTTTCAGCTCAGCGAGATGGGCATCATCTTGAGTAGCCATGTTTAACCCTGCAAAACAGTTGATAAAATAACAGGACGGACAAGAATTGGCTTAAAAACAACGAAGAAAATGAAACTGTAGCTGTTTTAGACCAGAAATCAATTGACCCGAAAAACTGACAAAAAATCAAGAATTTCATGTGGAATTAAAGATTTTCCGGTGAAAAAACGTGAGAACATCGTTTTTTCAACTGAAAATTTTGTAAAATCAGCCGAAAATCGCAAAAAATCGGTGAAAAACGTCCAAAAAAGCGCGAAAAATTAAAAAATCTTCACTGTGGTTCAAACTCCGTATCGCCCATTGCCTGTTGAGTCGCTACTCAGCGAATACTGGCAGCTGGCCAAGTGCGGTGGAGCGCACTTGCATTATAGCCGCTAGACTTTTTCGGCGGATTTGTTCCTTTCAAAATTTCAAAAAATCGCAAAAAATTCAATTAAGCTTTCAACAATTTGCTAAAAATTCCAAATAATCTATAAAAATCGCTTACATTTTTGTCAATAAAAACAAAACGATTTCCGATCCCCTCCCGCCTCTTATCACCGATATGTGTCCGTCTTATCACACCTTTCCACATTTGCTCAATTTTTTGCTTCAGAAATGCGGTTAAACCTTCTCCTATGTCTCCTCTTCTACCTGACGAATCAATCGATAATTCCGACGGTCGACGATAAGCTTTTGCGCGGCGAATTCCACGATGAGACGGGCGTGCTCGTGGATTACGAGGACTCGTCGACCAATTTGACGGATTACGCGAGTCGACGGAGCAGTGACGACGACAAAATGACGCCGGATGAGCCGAAAACGTTAAGAGAGCCGGGCAGAAGCCACGAAGACGAGGAGGAGGACGATTCCAGCGACATCAGCGAGGAGAGGTGAGTTTTTGGTTGACAAATTTGGAAATTTGTGTTTATTTTAGACGAAGAGTGAACTTTTGTTGAGAACACTTGAAACGTCTTTAATTTATCAGAAGAACAGTGAAAAATTGCCCAATTCAGCATGTATAAAATGTGGGGAAAGTCGGTGGACTATGACACATTTTTCGACACGGCCACATCGTCGATTGAGCAGGAAGAAGACGGGTTTCTTTGCGAATTTTCACTTTTTTCAGTTTTTTGGCTCTAAAAGCATGGATTTCTTCTTGTACACTTTTCCCCTATTTTCACAGTAACCCGCTTCTTCCTTTTTCTGGAATTTCTCAAAAAATTCCGGAAAAAAACTCACTTCACGCTTCTTCTTGGAATGACTTTTCTGTTGTAAAATCACTTTAAGTTAGGGAAACTTTTTGAAGAAAAGGAAAAATTGCAGAGAACGAGACAGTGTGGATCATGCTCATCTGAAGTCGTTGACGGCCATCAAAACGGAAAAACATCAGCTTCCGGTGGCCGGGGTCATCAATTCGGCGTTTAATGACAAGTTAGTTTAATCTAAAACATTACGGTTTCAAATTTTTTCGAACAAAAAATACTGCTGGCTATAGATACTCGAACTGATACAATCAAAATATTGAAAAATTGCAGAAAAACGTTCTCGTGTCCACGAATCAAGGACGAATTGGTGACGGGCGAATCGGTGGCCGACATTTCTCCGGAAGACATTAAGATAATCGCGGCGATGGGCGACGCACTGGCCACCGGAATCGGACTCTGGCCCAATGCCGACATTGAATTCCGCGGCGCCAGCTTCCCGATCGGAGGAGACTCCACCATCGACGGACTTATCACTATCCCTAGTACGCTTTGCAACTTTCCAATAACCTTTTCCTAGAAATTGTACACTTTATACGCAGAAAAATAGTGCAAACACAATTACAGACATTCTGCGAGAGTTCAGTCCGAAGCTGGTGGGCGTGTCGCACGGAATGGGCCGCGATCTGCCCGATCACCAACTAAACGTGGCCCAGACGGGAGCGACGACGAGCGATTTGTACGCGCAGGCCAAGGAACTGACGAGAAAGTTGAGGAAATTGACGGAAGTCGACTATTTGACCGAATGGATCATGATCATCGTCACCATTGGCACCGAGGAGGTACGTGTTCTCTATTTGAATGTTTAAGACATTTGCTGTATTAATTTTTGATCAAAACTTTTTTCTGTTACACGTTCTCACGGCCCGGCTTTTCAAACATAGGACTTTCGGTTTTCTCAAAATGTCTCCAGAAATCGAACATAGGGACCTCTGATTTTTCGATAAGAGTTCAATTTTACTGGGTTCTTCAAAATGAGCCAGGTCAGAGGTAAATGTAAGGTTTCTGAGAGAAGTTACAGCTTCATAATTTTCACTCCTCCGTAATACGGAGTCCGTATGCTTTGCCGGCCCGTGCGTTCTAATTCAACAAAAAGAGGCCAAAAAAGCTTATCCGTTGAATAATGTCCAATTTCACTGCAATCGCGCTCTGTTGAGAAACTCCTTTTCCAGCGCAAATTGCAATCGGTGGCCGAATTTGAAAAGTTAGGCCAGATTAGGAACAGAGCGCGATTGCAGACAAATGGCCAAGCGTGAAACTCGGCTACCGCCCAGGCTTGTAAAAATTATAGTTTTGCAGCTGTGTGCCCGCTGCGAAGGACCCTCGTACGATCACATCGAAAAAGCGATCACCCATTTGCAATTGTACATTCCGAAGGCGTTGGTCGTACTTTTGGGACCCGTACACGTCGCCTCGTTCCACGAACAAAAATCCAATTTGCTAAAGTTTGTCTTCATTTTGTACAGACTTCTTGGCGATGTTTTGAACTTTTGACCCACTTGCAATTATCCGATGCGATCCAAACTTTGCAGGCTTTTTGGACTTGGATTGAAGTACTTTGGGTCCGAGTTTCAGACTGATCGGATCATCTGGTCCCGAGATATACTTGTTTGAGGCCGCATATCTCTCGGGACCGGATGGCCCGATCGATCTGAAACTTGGGCCCAACATACTTCAATCCAAATCCAATAAGCCTGCGAAGTTTGGGCCCGATCGGATCACTGCAAGTGGATTAAAAGTCCAAGCCCCAAAAAGGATGGGCCGTTGTTTGCTCAGCCCCGCAAAAATGTAAAACATTTATGTTCTTTAGAAACCGCTGTAAATGCTCTCGCGATCAGACGGAAGGTTTCATGTACGACGTCTCCAGAAAATGGGCAAAAGTGTGGAAAGAAGTGCAGAAATTCGTGGAGACTGGTACCACCTCGGTGCGCTTTTTCTTCAATCAAAAAAAAAAATGAAATAACAATGTTTGCAGAGAGAAACATTCGGAATGATCAGTTTTCCGATGGTCACCATAACCTCCAGATACCCGAATGGCCTTTTTATTCGAGATCGGCCACTTTTGAATAGGAGAGGTAATTTTTTGATATTTTTTGTCAGAAAAAAAAAACTGATTCTTCATTTTAGGCCACAATTACGCGACGAAATGGCTGTGGAACCGTCTGATCGGCGGCGACGCCTACAATCTCTCATCGGCCACACTTTCGCAGGATAACTACTTTTGTCCGTCTGTCGTGAGTTGGAACACATTGTTTTCTCAACTTTTGATGCATCTTAATAAAGTTGCGATGGAAAATTTGAAAAAAATATTCTCAGTTACAGTGAACGTAGAAATTGCTTTGGTTTTCGATTTTGTATTGATTGGTTGCTTCTTGCTTGCAGGGTTGTCCTTACTTCCGAACGTACGCGAATCACAAGAAATGCGTGACGACGAGCCACGCGGAGGCGAAGGAATTGTACGAAAAATACGAGATCAAAGAGGGAGTCGTCTTCAAAAAATTGGTAATAATTACAGTTTCAGTAGAAATTTTTGAAAGAAATTTGAAATTAAAAGTATTGTTATCCTTTGTCACCTATGATTCTAGTCAGGGCTGGGCAAATTACGGCCGAGGCTTTTTGAGTCCTGGACTTTTGACTTACTTGCAATATTTTTGATATTCAAACTGTGCAGGTTTATTCTACTTGGATTGAAGTATGTTGGGTCCAAGTTTCAGACCGATCGGATCATCCGGTGCCAAGATATGGTGAGCATCCGAAAAAGCCGGGTTTTTGCGAAAACGGCTGACCTTTCGTCCTCTGATCCATTTTTCTCGGCACCAGATGATCTAATCGGAAACTAGGACCCAATATAGTTCAAATCAAGTCCAATAAGCCTGTAAAGTCTGGACCCGATCGGATAATTGCAAGGTGGTCAAAAGTCCAGGCCTCATAAAGCCTTCGAAAAGCTTGGGCCGAAATTAGTGCAGCCCTGATTTTAATTCAAATTTGGTTAAAAACGCATTTCTTGCATGAACAATTTGTTTCCCCTCGGCCAATCGATATTGTGTGGTTTTGTAGCGTCGTCGCTCGATTGAGTTCTTGTACACTCTGGCTATTGTGGTTGTCGGCGCCGCATTCTGTATAGCTTGCCTGCTCGGAACGATCTTCTATCAAAAATCCAAAATGGTAGGCTTTTTTTTGCATGATTTGTTACAGTTTTTCACCGTTCTTTTTATATAGAAAAAATTCAAATAAATACTATTTATCAGGGCGATCACGGACGCTTCGAAATAGTGGAAGAACCGCAGAAGAAGCTGGAAGACGCACAAAAAGAGGAGCAGAAGGCACTGCTCACACGCCAAAATACGAGAGCACAGTCCGAACAGGTAGGCGAGCACTGAAAAAATAACATGTTTTAAAGTGAGGTTCAAAGTAAGAAATTCATGTCCGAAAGTCCCAAATTGTAAGGAGACGACGAGAAGTGCACGGCGGGTGGAGTTTTCTAGTCCCCCGGCCGCCATTTCGTTTCGGTATCCTCGAGGCAAAAGACACAAAAATGTCGAATCTCAGGATCAGACCGAATAATCCGAGTGCCGCACGAAAAATCGATATCCGTTGCTTTTTTTGAGAAAGTCAGCCAAATTCGGAACTTCGGGACATAAATCACTCACTTTGAACTCGACTTTAGAAATATAGTGCTTTTGTAGTACACGACACTTTTAAAAACAATTATTTTCTAACTTTACAGGCGATTCCCACAAACAACGTGCAATTGGCGCCAATGTCCGTCGGAAGGCACAAATCATTTCTGGGAACGATCAACGAAGTGACCCCGGATGTATAAAATGACGCCCACGCCAAAAATTCCAGATTTTTCCCTATGAATAGCCTGTGTTTGAATAATTTTCTAAGTAGATCTTGTAATTTTTTAGTTTCACTTCACTTTTTCCCCCCATTCCAAATTCCTTGCTTTACCACCTTTTTCCATGTACATACCATTTGTTTGAATGTTTCCGCTTCCCAAGACATTTCCAGAATCTAAGTCACTTTTTCTCCCCGCATTTATCATCGATTTCCCAACGGTTTTCATCTCAATTGTGGCCTTTCTCGTCTACTTATCAATTTCTCAGTTTTGTGATGAATTAAAAAGTGATAACGTCGAGACTGTAGAATGTTTTTAAAAACTGGCATTATTGCTTCTGAAAATCGCGATGAATTTGCGGATTGTCTCAATTTTAACACTGACCATTTCAACATTTTCGGCGCAAAAATTGAGCGAAGAGGAGAATCGGATCCGATTGGAAACGTGCGGCAGAACCATTTTGCGTGAGTGTTTTTTATATTCGATCGATTAAAAATTGTTGAGCACAAAATTTGGCCTTCAAATTCACTGCAAAATTTTTTAGGATTTAACCTCTTTTGAGCTCACAATATCCGTCTAAAAATGATAATAAACGCGATTTGACATTTTTTCCACATTCTCCAAATGATTTCGGTTATTTTGAGCGTTCGTAGGGGTCTGTAGGCATTTTTTAGAAAAAAAAGTTATGATTTTTCAGCGAAAATCTACAAAGGCTCGTCGACGATTCGCGAGGACAGTCCGTGGACGGTTTTTCAAGGAACCGGGGCGCCGAACGGAGGAATGGTCCAGTGTACGGCTACAATAATCTCGCCACGTCACATAATAACCGCCTCGCATTGTGTGGCCGTCATGAAGCCAAACGGCACCGGATTCGAGAAGATTCTAATGGACGGAACGGATATCGAGCAGAAGGACTGTGATGGAGAGTCAGTTTGCACATAAAACCAGACTTGCAACGGGCCGGGCGGGGCCAAAATTGGAAATTTTCCGGCCCGGCCCGGGAGGATGCACCTAAAAATTCAAAGCGAACTAGTTTTGCTTCAATTTCGAAGATTCATTGTAAAAACCAGCAGAAATAGAAAAAAAGACGAAAAAGGCAATGTTATAGCATAAAAACCTGTTAAAAAATAGAAATTGCTGTTTAAAGTCGCAAAATTTTCACAAAAATTACGAAAATTTTCTCAAGAGTGGGCGGAGCGATTGATTGCAACTCTGGCACGCCATTTTAGCAATTTTGCCGCACGCGTTTTCCTCTTCCTTCATATTTTTTTTGCATATTTTTTTTGAGGTCTAACTTCCGGGCCGACCGGGCCGGGCCGGGCCGACGATTTGCTGGCCCGGCCCGGGATTTGGCAAGTCTGCATAAAACTAACGGCACGTTGAAACTGTGTAAAAAAAATTGCAGTGACTACTACATAAATGACACGTCAATCGCTGAGAAAATCGTCTTTTATGGTGGAATCAATGTGACCGTGGGACAGGATAAACCGATTGGAAAAGCGAAAAGTGTTGGTCAATTAGCAACTATTTTTCGTGAAACCTAGACGATTTCCAAGAGTGCTCCGTAAAACTCGGCAACTTTTGCGCAAAAGAAGGATTTGCGCTGCTGCTAACCTTACGCAAACTTTGCGCAACTTTGATAGAGAAGTTGCGTAAAGTTTGCGCTAAAGTTGCGGAGACTGATGAGCTCCAGTCATCGCCCATTTTTCCTAAAAAACTTTTCAATTACGAGTTTTGAAACAGTAAACAATTCCCTACAAAAATCCTCTTTATTTTGACAGCTCCGACTGTTGGGAGCATGCAAAACTTACGAAAGTAACCGAAAAATCGTCGATCTGACGTTGATCGAACTGGCGGAAGCGTTGACGTTCGGACCCGACATCAACATGGCCTGTGTCTCGAGTTTGTACCCTTTTTGAATGTGTAAATTTTTTTTTCTTTTTTTTTACAGACTCAATGTCCGATGTGGCCCCGTTTTTGAGCCTCAATTTCTATGGATACGGCTCTAATCGTGAGTTTTTTTCGGGATTTTTTTCGAAAATGAAATAAATTTTTCAGCCAGGGAAGATTCGAATCAAAATTCGCTTCGCATTGCCACTTTTCTGTATGAGGAATCGCAAGTGAGCAACAACAAAAAAAGCGGTGGCCTAGAAACCCAAATCCCATTGTTTTTCCAGGTCCTTCAGCCACAATTCGTGTTTCGTCGACCGCAGGAAACGCTGAAATTCGACAAGGAAACATTTCTGGCCAGATCGGTTTTGAACAAAACTGTCGCGTGTGAGGTTGGTGGGGCCGAACTTTTGCAATCGGCTGGAAAACTAGGCCACCTACGAAAAGCGATCAATAAACTTTGTTGCGTTTAGGGTGATAGCGGCGGCGGAGCGATTCGACGAATTCGCGATCAGAATACGGTGGTCGCGGTGATAAGTCACAGTGAGTTGGATTACTGTGGCCACAGTAATCCGGCGGAAAACATTTTGCAGCCACGTGTTCGGTATTGTCGTTGCGAACAAAGTACGCGGGTGAGATCTACGTGCCGGTTTCGCTGTACAACGATCAGATTTGCAACCACACGGGCATCTGCTCTCCGCCGCCGACGACCATCATGATTTGGGGACACGCCAACGCAATCTCACACTTTTTCGTCTTTTTTGCGATTTTTGTCGGTTTTCTTTGTGATTTTTGAGTGAAATGAACGTGGAAAGGCGTTTTTTGGGTTGTAGAGCACGAATTTGACATTGAAACAACTTAACCGAGCTCGGCACAAAACGAATACTTGAGAAGTCAACATTTCTCGAAAAAAATCAATAAAGGTGAATAAAGCGAGTAGCACCAGTCGATTCCCCGCAAAAAGTTAGTGCCTGGTGCCAAGTTTCAGAAAAATCAATAAAGGGAATCTTCGACTTTTTTCGCTTGAAGGTGGGTGAGTCGTACAACTTTTTGTGGAGTTTCCAATGGATTTTTTTGTGTTTTATATCTAATTCCAGTTTTTTCCATGCATCTTCATCCAAATCCGTCGCTTTTCCGGTTTGAAATTCGAATTGCCGCGCGACTGCTACCGTAACCCTTGCAGTTCTCTTCGTGGGTGGTCCTGGACCTCCCACGAAGCCGGCCCCCCGCCAGAATCGCTCATTCCGATCCGTTTTTCACCGTTTTTGCGGCACGAAAATTGTGCACACGTGGATTTTTAGATGTTTAATGTCTGAAATTAAAGATTAGTCGAGAAATGTACACCGAAGTGAAGGAACTCGTCAACTTTCTGTGCCGCTACATTCACGGACGCATTCCGAGAAGACCCGTGAGTGTTTTGGGCCTAAATTTGGTGTTTCAGGCTTTTTTTCAGGAACAGTATCTGAAAATTCGAATTTTGTCTTTAGATTGGAATATTCGGAGCCGAACTCGGCAACTACCTCGTTTCGCGGTACGCCTCCTGCCACTGGGACCCTGTTCATCCCAAAAATGGTAATTTTAAATGATTTTGGTGCGGTAAAACCTAATCGAACTGTTTTTCGGCGGTGCGCGTTTGATTTTTGTTTTTGAAAGTGGACAATTGCCTATGTTTCGATCGCAAGCTTCAAAAATGAAGATCTTACTTTAGAAAACGACTATTCTACAGAAAAGTTTGAAAGCCAGTTCTATTAGGTTGCACCGCCGATTTTGGAAGCCGATTTCCAAATTTGCGAGAAAAAAGGCAAGAGATTATTATTTTTAGGGGAAGAAACGCGAGTGGTGTGCATCAACGCTCCGAATGGCTCTTCTCCGTGCTTTGAGAGCAGCGCCAACGAGTCGGGACTCGACATTCACGAGATTCTTTCTCTTTTCCCACGTAAGCACTTTTACCGGCAAAATTTGAGTGGTTTTGCGGAAAAATTCGAAAATTCTCAATGGGGCGCATTTGCATCATTTTTTGAAAATCTCTTGTTTCCCCTGCTTTTGAGGTTTTCACAGCAATTTCCCATGAATTTTATGTCAAAAATTAACAAAAAAAACGACTATTTTAGCTGAAACACCAAAAATGCCTTTGGATCATCGTTTTTTGCAGAGAACATGTACTTGTACTGCAATCCGGGAGAAGTGTTCGCTCGTCTCAACGGAAGCGGTATTGCGATGCCAATATGGAGTGGAAGTGTGAACGCCGATGAGAAGTTGGTGCAGATTTTTCGAAAAATCGATCCATTTCCTAATAATTGCATTTTTGCAGTTATCAAGCGATGCCGGAGCACATTGTGAGCACCGCGTCGACCGTGGCTGCTCACAGCCTCAACTCGAATCTCGGAGCCGCCGGGCAGTCCGTCTATATTGGAAAAAAACCGTTGCCCACCGAAAATCTAGGTAAAATTCTCGATTTTTCCAGAAATTTCGTCTTTAAAATCAATATTTTCAGCGGTTCTCGAGCTGGTGAGCATGATTTTTGTTCCGTTGGGACGCGAGCTCATCGAGCACGCAAACTGCGCGATTCCGCACTTTCAGATGGTAAGTCTTTGAATTTATTTATCTTGACCAATCGATAATTTTTGCAGAAATACCCGTTCCGTTTTGTGTTCAAACCGACCTCGGCACAAACGTACACTGGCGCCGAGTTCTCCGTCACTCGTTTCGGATCTTCCAAGTACGTTTTTGTTCAATTTTTTTTTTTGCAAGTCTAGAAAATATATAAATCTTCAAAAAAATCCCAAGACCCTAAAAAGTTCAAATCATTTGCAGACCGCGCCCGGATCTGACCACAATGCTGAGCATCAAACAGCAGTCTTCCGGCTCGCAGGCCATCTCGTCGGCGAGCTCGTCCACTCCGAGCCTCGAGCACGCTCAGTACACCTTTTATTGAGATTTTAACCCTGAAAATGATCTGTCCCATTGAAATCCTTGTTTAATTGAATTCTAAGAATTTTAAATATCATTCAAAATGAGTTTTACCCCCAATTTTCATCGGTTTTATCGATGTATCAGCTTTAATGGCCTTCTTAATTTATGAATTGCCTTTTTTTGTTTGAAAATGCTTGTCTTACTTTTTTTAAAAACATTTTTCGTCGGTTTACGTGTGGTCTCTCCCCGTTTTTTCCGCCGCCGTCGCACCTTTATCATCATCCTCGGCGGCAACTGGCGAACGTCGCCTCGATAGCTCAGTTGGGAGAGCGTTAGACTGAAGATCTAAAGGTCACCAGTTCGATCCTGGTTCGGGGCAACCACGTTCACAGGTGAAACGCGGTTGATCAATTATACAATTGAGCCAATTGTAGACAAATTATCAACAAATCGCGAACGGGATGAGAAGCAGATTGGCGCACAACACAGTGTATAATAAAGAAATCGCGCTTGTTCGCGATTGATGTATAATTAGTGAATTATTGACAAGTTCGCGAACGAGGGTGCACAATCGACAAATCGGCGAACGGGCTGGCCACTCTGAGTTTCACTTTTGAATTCAAATATTTGTGATTTTTTCATATTTTCGTTGGTTTTTATTGCAATTTCGCATGCTTTTATGTAATTAAACCAAAGTAGAGCATACAGGTTTCGCATTTCAATTCGTTATGGTTCATTGCCACGACTAATACTTCCAGAAACAGACAGCCGCAGGTGAGAAAATGGTTTTTTGATTCAATTGCATCAGAAAAAAGATTTCAGATAATGCGAACGAATTTAGAAAAAGAGAATAACTGGAAGTTATTAATGCCGACCAAGATTTAAAAAAGTGATTCGAGTGTGCCGGGCGCAGAGCTCGAACAGTGTCAGACGGCCTATTCCTCGCAAAAACGAACAACGTGGTCGTTGGACGGTGAGATTCAGAAGGATACAAAGAAAATCAATCATTCAATTTCAGTCAATGTTCGACTTCGAATAGTGTGTGGGAAGAAAAACGATGACGTTTCGAAAAGGAAAGAAAAAGATGAACGCATTCAGCATGAGGACGGAGTCGCAGAAGTAATCGCCGACTGTTACGTGATTTTCTACTTAATTCTTTTTTTTTCGATTTTTTCTTTCACTTCTTCTTTTGTCTCTAACATTGCATTCTGTTATTTTGTTACTTTTTTCGTTTAATAAAATTATCTCGTCTCAAGTGCGATTTGTGAAAAATTGGCTTGTTATACAATGGGCGATTTGCGCAGGATTTGTCAATTATACAATGCCCGTTCGCGATTTGTCAGTTATTAATCAACAATTCGCTTCATCGCGTGTACCTGGAGAAAAAATCTGGGATAAATCGCGAACTAATTCCACACTTTTCGCGATTCACCTGTGTTTTGCAGTTGAAAAAGGGTTTTCAGTTAACAACTCTCTCAAAACATACATACTTTGTCCCTATTGACACGCAAAGAGATCAATTTCAAATGTTTGTTTGTGCCCTCCGATCATTTCCTTATCAAAATTAGCATCAAAAAGCGACCAATCCTTTTGTTTTCTTCCGAAATTTGTCTTCCTTGTCATTGGTGACGTTTCAGACCAACCGGCGTCCAGCGGGAGATTAGGGAATTGGTTAGAATTGGGAAATTTCGGTGATAATCAGAAGAAATTAATTTGAAACTGCAATAATCTAAAATCGCGTAAAAATCATATGTAATCCTCAAATATTCAATTTTTGTATCGTATCCCACTTCCAGTTGACCGATCGGACCCAAAAAAATGTTTGGACATTACCCGCAAAAAACGCGCAGCTCTAACAAAGCCCAAACATCTATTATCAACTTCTCAGTGTTCGCACATGACTGCGCCGCTCGAGTCGATGACGTCATCACGTGATGTCGTAATTTCGTAGTGAAAATGATGAAAACGTGAGAAAAAATGGCCACGTGAGAGTGACACAGAAATAGATGTAAACGGGAGGACAATAAAATCACGGTGTTCTTCTTTTCGCGTTTTACACTCAAATTGACGTCATTCTCTCGCAATTCTCGATCTTTTTCCGTCGTCCGAATCTCGTGGTCTGCCACGTCATCAATATGACGTCACTCCTGGGCATAAAAAGCCTGTCAGTGGGTTTTAAAGAGTTTACAGTTTCAAAAAACTAAACAATTCGTCGAGTAAACCTCTTTTCCTTTTCATTCGTATATTTTCTATAGCAGTAGAAGCCCTAAATAACGGGGGGAGGTGTACTCGAAATGAGGGGTGTTAGTGGTTGTTTATGCTCTGCCGCTCCGCCAAAATAATTATTATTTACGCTCTCTCTCTCTCTTTCTCTCTTTGTGGCTTTCTTTTTCAGTTGAATATCAGTCGGTGCTAACACATTTTGCGCGGAAACTTGGCCTAGGATCCGACAGCGGTTTTCTAGGCCAAGTTTTTCAAAAAAAAATCTCATTGACCGAGAAACAGAGAGTTTTCTCAATTTTTGTGCGTTCTCTGACCTTTCTCTCTCTCTCTCCCCCCTGCAACAGGTCATTTTAAACTAGAAAACGTACCCAACATCAAACTCGTGTTCTTCTTCTTCTTCTTCTTCTCTCTCTCTCTCTCTCTCTTTCGCGACCATCTGATTTCCGAAAAATGACGAAATCTCCATTCGTCTATCACATTTCTTATCAATTGACAGAGAGAGAGAGAGAAGAAGGCGGGTGGGTCGGAAGGGAAGGGAAAATGATATAAAAATGGAACGAGACAATAAATGTACATATATATCCATTTCTTTTTTTTCTCGCTTTTAAAGCTTTTCTGTTTCACTTTCCCTCATTAATGCCTCATTGTTTCAGCTAAAATGTCTGGAAAGCTGGAAATAATCTCGCTGGAAGAGTTCGACGAGCCGTTCGAAGAGATTCTCAAGTCGGAGGCCGAGGAGGCCGAGAGAAACGCCGAAAAGTACTTTTCGATGGACTCGTGGGAGACGGTCAGTTCGATCGGAGTCAACGTCTCCTACTCGAACGCCTTCTGAAGACATCCGGCTTTATTCTGCCACGTCATCATCATCACTTTCAACGGTTTACTACGGGATCCATTTTTGTCAATATGATTCTCATGATTCTTTCCTTTTTATGTGTATAAATTGATTATTCTTCAAAGGTGTCGTGTACTGAAAAAGTAACGTTCAAATTCCCAAATTCTAAAGAGAGTTTTCTCGTCCCTGGGCCGCCATTTCGTTTCGGAATCCTTGAATCAGAAGTGCCGCACGAAAAATCGATATTCGCGTGGGGAATTCAGCCAAATTCGGGGATTTGAGACTTTGGAACCATGAATCTATGAAAAAATGAAAACTAAATAAACGAATACAAAAAAAAATCCACGACTTTGATGCCGCGTCCAAAGTTTCGGAAAAACCCGGAAAACCGCAGGTTTTTCTGTCCAAAGTCGGCCGAAATTTGCGTGAAAAACGGGGGTGCGCACAGCTCAATGAGCGTAACCGTACCCCCTAAAACTACGGTATTTTTTGAAAATTTGCGCAAGAAATTTGAATATTTTCAAATATCCTCAAGAAATTAACAAATTTTCAAAAAATACCGTAGTTTTAGGGGTACGGTTACATTCGTTGAGCTGTGCGCACCTGCCGTTTTTCACGCAAATTTCAGCCGACTTTGGACAGAAAAACCTGCGGTTTTTCCGGTTTTTCCGAGACTTTGGACGCGGCATGAACAAATTTGAGCCTTGGTTCAAATGTATCGCCTAAAAAAGTTCTGTAAGCTTCACAAAAGCTTCACATAGCTATTATAAAACCACTTTTTGTCGGTTACCAATCACCTTGACCGACCGAATTTCCCTTTTTTTCCCCTTATCACTTCACGTGGATTTCACATGAAGAACCGATGGTATCAGGTGACTTTTTGACACTCAAAAACTCAACTTTTGGCGGGACAAAGAAAGCCTTTTTTGAAGACGCTTTTTGGTACTCATCTCATCAATTTTCGCCCCATTTTTGCAACGGATTCACGCAATTTTGTGGCTTTTTGGGGTGATGTAGGACTTGTTGAAACTGTTTTTAAAAAAAGGCGAAAAAGTTATGTGAATACAATGCAATTTCACTTTTTTTTTCTGATCAATTCGTATCTTATCAACCATCACTTTCACTTTGCACGAAAAAAAAAACGCGGAGAAAAGCGAATGGCGAACAAAAATCGGCGGAAATCTCGTGACTTTTCATGGTTCTTGTGGAAATGGGTGTGGCGAATGACGAATGACGAACAAATGGGTTTTACAAGGGAAGGTTGTGAAAAAAATTCTCAAAAATCAGAAAAATTCTGAATAGCACGCTCAAATTTTTTTTGAGAATTATACCGAATTTTTTTGAAAATTCTGAAAAAAATTCTTAAAAAAATCAGAAAAAAATTCCGAATAGCACGTTCAATTTTTTCAGAATTAGGCCGAATTTTTTGGAAAATTCTGAAAAAATGCTCAAAAATCAGAAAAATTCTGAATAGCACGCTCAAATTTTTTTTGAGAATTATACCGAATTTTTTTGAAAATTCTGAAAAAATTCTTAAAAATCAGAAAAATTCCGAATAGCACGTTCAATTTTTTCAGAATTAGGCCGAATTTTTTTGGAAAAATTCTGAAAAAATGCTCAAAAATCAGAAAAATTCTGAATAGCACGCTCAATTTTTATTTTAAGAATTAAGCCGAATTTTTTGGAAATTCTGAAAAATGCTCAAAAATCAGAAAAATTCCGAATAGCACGCTCAATTTTTTTCAGAATCAGGCCGAATTTTTTGGCTTTTTCACTTTTTCAACAAGTTTAGGATAAGCAGAAGAAAATTCAAATATAGACACGTGGCAGGTCAAATGAGCACTTCAAAAGCAACACTTTGGAACGTTCTAGAAAAGCCAAAAAATTCGCTTAAAAAAATTAGACCAAGTCGTCGACCCGGCGGGGGGTCATGACAAAATTTTCGAGAAAAAATTAATTTTCGAAATGCATCCAAAAAATCGAGAATGCCTAAAAGTATACGAAAACAACAAATATCGCGATCAGAACCCTTAGAAAACGCACTTTTCTCAAGTTCGCGAACATTTTTCCATGCAAAAGTACTCTGAATTTTGTGAATTTAGGCCTAAAAACCCCTTGATATCAATCGGGGTGAACTTTTTTTTGCCGAAGCACAATAATGTCTAGATTCAGAATCAGCAATAAAATCATGGCTATGTAGTGTTAACATTTTTCAGGACGAGGAGGAAACTGAAAAATTTTCTGAACAATGTCACAAAACAATTTTTTTCTCCATGAAGGAGGGGTGCTAATTTTTTAGTCTCAACGTGAAATATACTCAAAAAGATGCGAGGAATGCAATGGCGTTGAGTCTGAGACGCTAGCATTTTTTTGGAATTAGTTACAGGTTTGACCCATTTGGAGCCCATGCTCAGGCCAGGGCTCGCTGAGCCGGACCTAATATTCTTCTTGCCTATCAGTGCCATGGGCTATTAGGTATAATATGGGACAAAAAAGATCAATCTGAATTTTAAGTGACCTGGAGACATTGCGTTTTAAATAACGTATTCAGTTCTAGTTAAAACAGTGTTATCACCATTCCCTCTCTCTCTCTCTCTCTCTCTCTTTCTCTCTCTTTCTCTCTCTTTCTCTTTCCGTGCTCCCCTTGAGTCATGTCCATTTATACACATATTCTCGAGTGCTCCGTCCGTTTGCCCGCCGAGCGCCGAAACGAAGAGAGTGCTAGAGGTAGAGAGAGAGAGAACCATGTAAAGTGATGATAAGCACCTGTTCTTCTTCCCTCTAACCCACCCATCCATCTATTTCTCTCCTACTCGACAAAATCACCGGTTTTAATTGCTGCTGCTGCTGTGTACAAGTCTAATGGAAACGATAATAATAATAATAATAATAATAGTATTATGACGATCGAGAGATGGAAAATAATTTTTGTACAGTTTGAATTGATTTTATTGTCCACTAACTTATTCACGGGCACCCACTGCTCGCAACCCAAATACTACGACTCTAACACTTATCAGGATTGCTTTCAAGGAGCGCCCGGTAAGTTTTCGACCAAAAAATGTTGTAAAATAGACAAAATCATACTTTTCCGTGCAGGATGGTATCATCTGAGTGCCACGTGTGTCTTCCCGTTGACACAATTCGAACGAAACTACACGACGGCCATTCAGATGTGTGGAGCGTGAGTTCGCGTCTCAAAATGCGTTGTGAAGAGCGGGAAGACGTGCCAATTTCCAGCGTGAACCACAGTATCGGATACCGAGAGACGAACTGGCTCATCGCCACTCAACTATTCGAGTTATTCCGAAATGAGACGAGCCGACAACTGAATAGACTCTACTGGACGGGTCTGCGAATGAGAAGTGCGACGATGATCGGCGTCGAGTCCGAGGATGCCACTTCCGAAGTTGCCGATGCCATCGTGGCAGACTTCACCTCGGTCTACAACCCACTTTGGGCCCGGGGACAGCCTCCCGAGGTTATTTTTTCCGTTTCAAAATTGTCTTTTGGCCGTTTGGAAGGCATCAAAACACTCGTAAACACGCTCTGATCTCTGTGACAGATGCGAAATTCTCGAACGGTCCCTGTCCGGTCTATCCTCCCCGACGGACCGTCCATTCTGCCACAACCATTCTCTTTTCTTTTTTTCTCCCTGCCCTGCCTGTCTTCCAGTGTTGAGCACATTTTTGTTGTTTAGCTATTTTTTTCAAAAAAAAAGCCGCAGAAAAAGGTTCTGCATTGACGATTTTTTTGTTCCGTTTTCCGTCTGCCGTCTTCCGGGAGAAAAATTTTTTTCCGTCTTCCATGTTCCGTAAAAAAATTGTCGCGCGAACCCCTCGGGTACGGTCGCTTTAAAGGCGCATGCCTACATTTTGTCGCGTCCCGTTTGACCTACCGCTAAACTATATCGGTCGATGCGAACACACTCGGATCATTGAGGGTCCGTCAATATGAGAGGCCGATCATGTAGACAACCTTTTGTTTTTTGCCTACTCTCATTTGTCTGAAACAAGGCATTAGCGTACTATCAAATTAATAATCATGCGTCCGGTTCCCCGCCGCCGCAACGCGACCGCTTCGCAGCTGAAAAGACCACGCCCCTCAATTAATTATTTTTTTTGGAAAATACACAAATTAAAGCTACTCCTGACGAAAATTAATTGTTTTCGAGTGTTTTTAGAGAATTATCTTTGCAAACAGATCGATTTAGACGAGATTCTGAACTTTAATTTGTGTATTTTCCAAGAAAAATAATTAACTGAGGGGCGTGGACTTTTCAGCTGCGAAGCTGTCGAGTTGCGGCGGGGAACCAGAGGCAACATTATTAATTTGATAGTAGGAAACATAAAAGGAGCGAAATGTCAGAAAAATCGATAATGTGCAAAGATCCATCGACAAATGAACACACTTTGCAGACGCTCCCCACCGCGGACTTTACGCACTCCTGTCTGGCGCTGGACCTTCGGAACTCATCGAATTTCGGCTGGCGCGTGCTCCCATGCTCGCTCCAACTGCCGATCCTCTGCCAGAACTACGCGTGTCTGCTCGGAACGTTCCGATGCGCGGACAACTCAAAGTGCATTCCGATGACGTTCCAGAACGACGGATTCGACGACTGTCTCGACGGATCCGACGAGAAGAGCGGTTCCGCGCGAACGACGACGTCTTCCGCGTCGTTCGAGAGAGAGAATCGCGTCTACGAGTGGCCAATGTTGGTCTCGTCCGGAGGCGTTTTGGCGCCGAGCACGGTCAGATACGGACGGGGCGAATGCACGCATCGGTGGATGGTCATGTCGCCGGAGGATAGACACTTTGTCATTTGGGTACGTCTTTTTGAAAAGCACGTTTGCACAATTCCCGGTCTCCAGAGCTGACAATGGCTCATGGCGACATTGGCTCGAAATTCAAATTTTACTAGCAAAATTTGTGTTTTTTGCCAGATTAGCCACGAAAAATCGATAATTTCTCATTTGTCTCGCGATACACTGATTGTATAGGCTATTACAAATTTTTTAAGCGCAAGAGCGTTAAATTTGGTCAAGTCGCACTCACATTTATCCGTTTGAAGGTTTTTGGCTAAAACTGCGTGAAATTCAGTTGCTTTTCGGTAATTTTCGCGGTTCGAGCGCTCAAAATGCTTGTATTTACGTGATTTATCATTCTCAAAACCAATTTTAAAAAAGCGCAAAATGAGAAGTTTTTGGGCGGCGAAAACGAAAAAGCAAAGTCCGCGAAAAATGAGCGCCAAAACGCCATTAATTCAGCGAGAATTAGTGTGTTTTCATGTCGAACAATCATTTTTCATCGCCTTTGGTCACAAAAATCAGAGAAAACCTGCTCAATTCATGAAAACGCCATTTGGCCGCCGAGGCCACGCTCATATTGTCAGCTCTGGAGACCGTGGCGCGCAATTTACATGCTTTCCAGATAAAATGGCTCACTCCGTCGACGTCCACAACAATTTTGGTGGAGGGAAAAGAGGAGAATGGCCGGATTTTTGTGAACTCGCGAAACGCCACGTCACGCGTCTCGCTCCGATCCTCCTCGTTCGTGCTGACCGCCTCCGAGACGGACACTCGAAAAGTGGAATTTCAGATTTTTTATCAGGAAATTGGTGAGTGAAAAGTTACGCTCGAAAATCATTTTTAGCGCCACATTTGAGGCCCTAAACTTCTGCGGCCCGCATCTCGAAAACCGTTTGTTTTTGTGAAATGTGGTCAACTGAAAAGTTGTTGCAAATCATCTGATGAACAACTTTTCAGTTGACCACTTTCTTCCGAAACGTGCCATTTTCGAGTTATTGAACAATAACTACAAAGCACAACGAGACAGCGAAAAAAGAGAAGAAAAGCACGTTGAGGCCCCGAAATCTGGTCCTCAAAGTGATTGCCTTCGTCTTCTTCCAGACACATCTGTGTGCCGGCTCTCCGCGTCCAACCACTTGCTTTTCTCCTCCTCCACCATCCCCTCGTCCTGCAACTTTCACTTTTCCACCTCCGCCGCCTCCTCCTACGTGGCGATTCTCGTTCAAAAGTGCCTCGGCGTCACTCCTACCGTTGCGTCGCTCGAATTCAACAATTCGACAGTCGCGCTCGGCCCGTCGGCCACCAAAAAACTGCTAATTCTGCCCACAAACCGTGTGGAAGTCGGCGTGAATTCCACGTGGCCGCGGCGCGACTACGACGACGACGACGACGAAACCCGTCTGGAGATGCAGTTTTTCGAGCTGAAATTGGCGGCCGGCAACGAGCTGAATTTGTTCATGATCGACGCGAACTTCGAGATTGAATGGTTGCCGAAATCCGAGCAAATTTGGATGGACGGACAATATCGAGAAGTGGCGGTCAACATGATTTTGACGGGAAACTCGGAAACGTCGTCCGATGAAAATGTGAGCGAAAGTCGATGGGAAGTGACAGAGTGCAGGAAGACGTGTGAAGAGGACAATATTCAGGTGGCGTTGAAAAAACCCGTGTTTTTTTGGTAATTCATACCTTTTTACTGCAGTTGATATCGAAGAACACCTCGAAATCGATTTGGGCGCCCGCCAATTTGACCGGACACGGACCCACTTCGATTATTATCCGTCAATCCGCCGAGCCGTTCCATTTTCACGCCTTCTACAGCCGAAAAGATGACGTGGCACGGCGGATTACGGTAGAAAATGGACAGTTTTTGGATGGAGAAGAAGAAGAAGAAAAAGACGTCACGGAGACGACGACAATGATCACGAGCACTATGAGCACCGAGAGAAGTCGGTTATTGTCTATTCAGAACAGCGTATCTCAGGTGTCGGTAGAGATACCAAAAAGTTGTCAACTGATAAAATGTACACAAGATTTCGATCAACAATTTATCAGTTGACAACTTTTTGATACGACCACCGAGCGCCGAGATACACCGATTCTCAGAGCATTTCAGAAAACCGAACAATCTGCCGGCTGCCGTCGGTTCGCAACGGATACATTCGTTCCGTGTCCGACTACTCGTACGCCGACGGAACAGTGCTCGAATTTGCGTGCTCCGAAGGCTTCGTCCCCGAAAGACCGTTCGAGAATCACTTCCTACTCCTCTGCGAGTCGGGAGTCTGGCTGTCGGCCTCCGGCGTCTACTCGCTCGACCAACAGGAGCCTACAATAGCCTGCGAGTCCGCCGAATGCCCCGAAGTGAGCCCGGTCGAACGGTCGCTGCAGTTGACGCCCGACACGACGGCACGACTCTACGGCACCGTTCGAAAGTACGCGAATTGGAGCGATCAACCGTTCGGACCGTTTTGTGTTTGCGGCGACTCGGACCAGGACCCGCTTGACTGGCGCTGCTACAATTCGGGCAGTGGGACGGCGCAACAATTGCCCGCCGCCTGCATTCTGCCACAAGTCCACGATGCCACGTTTCTGAGGCAGGACGCCGACGAGTTTGATGTGTTCCCCACTGGATACAGGGTAACGAATGCCGGAAAAGTCGGCTCTACTCTGGAAACTCGATTGCAATCTAATTAGAAGAGTTTGCAATCTAATAAGAAAAAACTCTATTTTGCAATCTAATCAGATTTAATTGAAGTTCCAGTAAAATCGTATTAGATTACAATATATTTTTCCTGAATTGCAATCTAATAAGAAAAAATTGCAATCTAATTAGAAAACATTGCAATCTAATTAGAAAAATTGCAGTGATTGTAATCTAATTAGACGATTTTGCAAAATTGAAGCAAATCTCTGATGACCTTAACTAATTGAAGCAAATTCTATTTCAAACGAGTTCGTGTTAGATTGCAAAGTTTTCTAATTAGATTGCGATCGAGTTCCCAGAGTACACGGCGACCGACCAAAAACGTAGAAAGGGGCGTGGGGCCAGGCGTGCGCGGTTTATTTTGGCGCGAAATTCGAAATTTAACCCCATTTTTCATGTTTTTCGTCAAAAATTATCATATTTCGTACGATTTCGACGATGTAATTGCATAAATTTTGTTAAACAAATCATCGCGCACTTTTTGAGCCTAAAACAAGCAGGTTTCATTCAGAAATGAATCAATTTAATCGATTTTCAAGTTTTGTGCTGAAAATGCGCGAATTTCAGTCATTCGCCGATACTTTTTGCCGTTTGAACGCTTAAAATACTTGTATTAACGTGCTTAATCACTTCCGACACTCACTTCGTCTCAAAACTATCCAGATCGGCCGGTATGAAAATTCCGAAATTGCGGCGGCGATTGGCCGCGGAGGGCGTATTGCGAAATATGCCAAACGCGGCGTTTTCACGAAATTTTCGATTTTTTCTCTCTTTAATGTCTTCTTTCGTCGATATCAAACACAAAAATATCGGAAAAGTGCTGGAATTGCGGCAATTTCCACAAAATCAGCCACGAAAAATCGATAATTTCTCATTTGTCTCTCGATACACCGATTGTATAGTCTATTATGAATTTTTTAAGCGCAAGAGCGTTAAATTTGGTCAAGTCGCAAATCACATTTATCCGTTTGAAGGTTTTTGGCTAAAACTGCGTGAATTTCAGTTGTTTTTCGGTAATTTTCGCGGTTCGAGCGCTCAAAATGCTTGTATTTACGTGATTTATCATTCTTAAAACCAATTCGTCTCAGATTAGGCCACGCCCCCCCCCCCCTTTCTACACTTTTGGTCACCCGCCGTGAGCGCTCTACAAATTCACGTACTCTCAGATCCGCATGGACTGTCTAATCTGTCCGTCGATGCAAAAATACTACACGTGTCGAGACGGAGTGTGGCAAAACTCGGACGGTTCGATTCAGGCGTACGACACGTTCGAGTGCAAGTGCTCCGACGATCCCGGTTGGTTCGACTTGTTTTTTGCTGAAATTTGAGGAAAAGCAAACACGTTTTCAGAGTTTGTCGACCCGTGCGAACCGCATGGAAAATATGTCGAACTTTCCGGAAACTATAGTTGCGCATGCGATGCGGGCTACAAATTTCAAAAGGGCACATGCCTCGGTTCGTACTGTTTTTTTTTTGGTGTTGAGTTGCACTTAAAAATTGAAATGTAGACATTGACGAGTGCTCGGAAGCCGTCAGCTATTGTGACTCGTTTGCCACGTGTCTCAACACGGACGGCTCGTTCCGCTGCGTCTGCCCGTCCAATTTTCACCTCTACGAAGCGTCCGACTACCCGAGCTGGGCGCCCGTCAGCCAGTGGCTCATTCCCGGATTCAGTTGTGTCGGTGAGTCGGAGTTAACGACAAATTGCAGCGAGAAAAACGGTTTCAGAATCCACGTGCAACACGACGACCGATTTGAGTGACTACGGAGTGCGAGTGATTTGGCCGCCGGATTTCGGTGGCACATTTCCAGCGCTCAGGTACGAAACATTATGGGGATCAAAAAATGATTGTTTTCCGTTTTTTTTCCCCTATTCAGCAATGTCAAAAAATGGAAAAAAAAACGGAAAGAAATGGATCATCGCTCGCAGCGTTTTTTTCCGGCGGGTCTCGCAGCGATTTCCCGGGCGCGATGCATGCGGCTACTGGATTTACGCGAAATTTTCCTAATTTTTCTGCGAAATTGCCACGTTTTTCCTCTATTTTGAACCGATTTTTTCACCTGATTCAGTTCGAACGTGGCAAACTCGAACGAGTTACAATCACGGCCTAAAAACGATAAAATTCAAGCGAAATCGGTCGGAAATAGCGGGAAAACGTGGCAATTTCGCTGAAAAATTCGAAAAAAATTCCCCCTTCTCGTAAATCCACTCATAAAACGTCCGGGAAATCGCTGCGAGACCCGCCGGAAAAAAATGCTGCGAGCGATGCATTTCTCTCCGTTTTTTTTCCCATTTTTTGACATTGCTGAATAGGGGAAAAAAACGGAAAACAATCATTTTTTCATCCCCTCAATAGCCCCGTAACGAGACTCGCTGACGATTGGATAATTGCTATGTGAAACAGTAAAGAGCCACTTTTGTCGAGTGTAGCACGGTCTCCCACGACGCGAATGATTTCAATGGGGCGCACTTGCAACAGGCGGGCTGTGTCGATTTACGCGGCGGCCGATTAATTAATTTTCAACGGGAGTTTGCGTTCTTTCTATGTTTTCTGTACAATACACCTATTTTTCGTACGCCTGGAACCTGGATTCGAATAATTAGAGCACTAGTTACGTTTTGGTAACAGAAATCTCGCATATCGTTGAGAATTAGCCGAGTTATTTCGATTTGAAAGTTTTGGCCTGGATTTTGATGTTTTTCTAATAGTTTTCGAAAACTGCTCAAGAAAACTAACCGCCGGAACCTGAATTTTGTGAAGAAAATTCAGCGAACATTTTTATCGTTCGTTGGGCTCATGAAATGCAAAATGAGCTGAAATATAAAGGTTTGAAGTTTTGACGAAATGCGAAAAAGACGCTAAAAACATGAAAAACTCTAAATTCTGTAAAGAACGGTTTCCAATCAGTAAAATATTGTTTTCTAGACGTTTTTCAAGTCAAAAAGATAAAAATAAAGGTCGTAAACTCGAATTGAACTGCATTTTTAGACCTGCAAATTTTCAAAAGTTACAACGACACTTCGCAATTCACGAGCGCACTGTGTTTAGCATTTGCGCCCTGGGAGACCGTGTGTGGGCGTCCAGCATGCGCACCAGAGTTGAACCGCCAACAAGAAAGAACCCAAATACAAATGGGGTTATTCAGGCTGTGAAAAAAATTATTGTTTTCCGTTTTTTTTCGTTTTTTTTGTACGGCAAAAAATCCAATTCAGCGATGTAAAAAAACGAAAAAAAAACGGAAAACAAACATACGCTGAATAACCCCATAACAAAACTTGCTGTTCAACCGTATATAGATGCGGCTAGAAACGGGAATAATCTAGCTAGATGGTTACAGATCAGGCCTCAGTTCGGACTACGCGTACGCCACAAACGTGTGCAGCGGCGAGTTTGCGTGCGTGTTGCCGTTCCGCTACACGTGTCTGCAGTCGCTGCTGATGCCCGACCGCAACGTGCTCGCCGCGTGTCCCTCGCCCGACACGTCCGTCTTCTCGTTCGATCCGGAGGACGTCGCCTCGCCCGAATTCCACGTATTCCAGACGATAGACGTCAGGTGCAAAGCGTCCGCAATGACGATGATCGGTAGGGCTCGCGAATGAAAAAAAAAACGTGGAGAAAAGTGTGGGTTCAGGTCGCCCGACACTATTCTGCAACGCTTCGTATCACTGGGAACAGACGCCGGTTTGCATTTGTGAGTTGGAATTGAAGAAAATAAAATCACAATATGTTTTGCTTGTAGACGAAAGTTGTTCGGACCCGACCCAATTCGTGCAGTCGCCCCTGAGAATCAGTCGATTCGTGCGTCCGCTGGGAAGCCATTTCGAGTACCAGACTGTCATTTATTTCGAGTGCGAACCGGCATTCCTCCTGCACGGCGTCGGATCCATCACTTGCATCCGCTACGGCACTGGTAAGACAAAATAGAACGCATCGAGATCGGGATCCTATTTTTAATAGACCTGCAATGGAGTGACGACCTTCCGACGTGCATTCCGATCACCTCGACGACTCCTCCTACGAGCACAGCCACTCCGAATCCAGTTACCGTCTGGAATCTCTTGACTACATCCCGCACCACTCCAATTTTTCGAAACGACAATAGTCCAAATGAGTTTGTCATTGAGGACAGTGTCGTTTACGAGGAGACCAACTATCTGGAGCAGCAGGAAAAATGGATGAAATCTGCCGATGTAAGTTGTACGAAATCATTACTCAAGATTCGATGATTATTTCAAAAAGTCGATGTACCTGTTGAGCTCTACACTTTTGTAGTTGATAACTTTATCGCAAAACGTGTCACTCTTGAGTTAAGGTCTTGAGAGCTGACAATGGGCGGAAGTGCGCCCATACATTGGCGCGAAATTTAAATTTTGACAGCAAAATTTGTGTTTTTTGCCAGATTAGCCACGAAAAATCGATAATTTCTCATTTTTCTCTCGATACACTGATTGTATAGGCTATTACGAATTTTTTAAGCGCAAGACCGTTAAATTTGGTCAAGTCGCAAATCACATTTATCCGTTTGAAGGTTTTTGGCTAAAACTGCGTGAATTTCAGTTGCGTTTCGGTAATTTTCGCGGTTCGAGCGCTCAAAATGCTTGTATTTACGTGATTTATCATTCTTAAAACCAATTCTGTCTGAAAACAGTCAAGAAAGCGCAAAATGAGAAGTTTTTAGGCGACGAGCGGCGAAAAAGCAAAGTCCGCAAAAAAAGAGCGCCAAAACGTCATTAATTCTGTGAGAATTAGTGTGTTTTCATGTCGAACAATCATGTTTCTTTGCCGTTGACCACAAAAATCAGAGAAAACCTGCTCAATTCATGAAAACGCCATTAGGCCGCCGAAGCCACGCCCATATTGTCAGCTCTGGAGACCGTGGCGCACAAGGGTTTTCCAATAGTTTTGTGTTTCAAAAGTTGTTTCAAAGCAACAAATATATTGTCGACTCTATTACTAGACCTATTGGCATACCCGCGAACGAAGAAAAACTTTTGTGTTTCAAAATTGTTTGGCGTGCTTCCCATTTTGCCTATTTGCAGTGGTCGTGGACGTCTTCCGGATGCATCGTGCACCAGTGGAACTTTCCCACCTCGTACCTCGTCACTTCGACACCGATCCACCTGAATGCCGCCGAAATCGAACTGATAGTGTCGGTGGAACAATGCCGAGCGGGCCTCCAACTCGCCATTTTCACCTCCTCCTCCGCCACGTTCGTCGCGCCGCTTTCCGACTTTCGAACGGTGCTCAACTCGACCGCGAGCGGCAGTTTCGTCCTCAAATTGAGCAATTTGAACGACGAGTACTTGGCGATTTCGGTGACCGCGCCCGCCTACGCGCTCGTTTGCGGCGTTGCTGTTCGCGAGAAGAAGTGCGCGGCCGTCGAATTCGATGGTATCCAACTCGGGCCGTCCGGTCCTTTTGCGATGAGAAGGTACCTGCCGGCCACATGTGGAAATCGGTGGGTTTGTGGCGAGAGAGTCGGCGAGAGATCTTTGATCCCTGACGAATAAACGAGATGAAATGAAGTGTATATGTATTTTTGCAGAATAACGACAGTGAACGGAAGATGTGAGCCCACGAGAGGATGGGTCATTCAGAAGAGTCCGTGTCTGTGCAACCCCCAACCACCGTGTCAGTTCTAGTGTTTTATATGTATATATAATGGGGCTATTCAGCGTATGTTTGTTTTCCGCTATTTTTTTCGTTTTTTTACATCGCTGAATTCGATTTTTTGACGTAAAAAAACGAAAAAAAAACGGAAAGTTCCACTGGTGCACGATGCATTCGAATGACGTTCACGACCACTGCAAATAGGCACAATGGGAAGCACGCCAAACAATTTTGAAACACAAAAGTTTTTCTTCGTTCGCGGGAATGCGAATAGGCACGGAACCCCAGCATTCCAATGCGCAAGCGAGTTGTCAATGGGGCGCGCTTGCATCCACCGTCGGCTCGGAGTTTCTTTTTTCAGTTGAAACCCAGAATTCTTTCGTTTTTCTCTTAATAAAAACTCAAATTTTGTTCTTTGCGAACCGTGGGGCGATTGTGTGAGTTAAAAGCATCGATTTAAGCGCGAAACGGAGCAGATTCGTTCAGAATTGACCAAATTGAGGGATTTTGTCGAAAACTACTGAAAAAACGGAGTTTTAACAATCATTTGCCGAATCGAGTTCGGACACTGGCATTCGAACCGTCCAGTCAACAAAAAGTTTAATGCGCGTCTTTTAAGCGCTCAACCGTCAAAAAATATACAGAATTGAGATAATTGAGGCAAATTTTCGATTCCAACAGGAAAAAAATTCTGTAATTTTTGCATAAAACGTTTCGAAATTGATGACAAAGCAGTTAAAATTTTATTTTTTATTCATTTCTAATAATTATCATAAGTTTTGACACTGATTGGTTCTGAAAAGATGGGAATAATGCAAAAAAAGGGAAAACTGAAATGAGAAACTCTACAACGACGCTCCGAAATTACGCGTTACGCGCCTTGTTTAGCGCACCTGAATTGCGCCAAGGGAATTTTTTATTGGAAGGCTGGGGTTCCGTGATAGGTCTAGTAATAGAGTCGACAATATATTTGTTGCTTTGAAACAACTTTTGAAACACAAAAATATTGGAAAACCCTTGCGCGCTACGGTCTCCAGAGCTGACAATATGGGCGTGGCCTCGGCCAAATGGCGTTTTCATGAATTCAGCAGGTTTTCTCTGATTTTTGTGGTCAACGGCGATGAAAAATGATTGTTCGACATGAAAACACACTAATTCTCACAGAATTAATGGCGTTTTGGCGCATTTTTCGCGGATTTCGCATTTTCGCCTTCGCCGCCGATCGCCGCCTAAAAACCGCACTTCTCATTTTGCGCGTTCTTGACCGTCTTCAGACAGAATTGGTTTTGAGAATGATAAATCACGTAAATACAAGCATTTTGAGCGCTCGAACCGCAAAAACTACCGAAAAGCAACTGAAATTCACGCAGTTTTAGCCAAAAACCTTCAAACGGATAAATGTGATTTGCGACTTGACCAAATTTAACGCTCTTGCGCTTAAAAAATTCGTAATAACCTATACAATCGGTCTATCGAGAGACAAATGAGAAATTATCGATTTTTCGTGGCTAATCTGGCAAAAAACACAAATTTCGGTGTTAAAATTTGAATTTCGCGCCAATGTACCGCTCTATTGGGCGGGACGCACTTGCGCCCATTGTCAGCTCTGGAGACCGTGGAATTGGGTTTTTTGACGTAAAAAAAACGAAAAAAAAACGGAAAAAAAATATTTTTTTTCCCAGCCTGAATAAGCGCATAACAAATTTGTTTTGAAACACTAATTTTCAGGCCCAACAGAGGCGCCGATTCCGCAAAGAGACCAAACCGGGAATTGTACGATGAACGCGTGTACGAACGGAGTCTGTCGGCAGTTTGACGGATATTATGACTGTATTTGCAATGATTGTGAGCTATTTTACTGCAGGATTTGAAACAAATTCCAAAGCTTTGCAGTGTTCATCCGCGACGTGACCCAATACGGAGACCCGTACTGCAAACCGAATCACTGTTTGTTCACGAGCCCAATCAGAAATTCCGAGTATAATTGCTCGAGCGGCGAGACCGATTCCGCTGTGAAATGTCCCAATTCCAGTGAGTTTTGTTCGCCATTAACCGCTATCGACGACTTTTATAAAAAGTGTTGCAAAAATTCGAAAGTTCACATATTCTTTCTCTGTTTCATCGTTTCTTTCTAGTCTCCAATCCTTCAGAATGTATTTGTCCCACTTGATCTCCGCTGCTTCTTTCTTTGTGACACTTTCCAGCCTTCTTTTCGCCTTTATGAGACCCATGTAATGTCTAGTATCTTCGTCCCTCGCTCTAGCAGACACAGCTGGAAGGATAATTCGTCCGACACCCGATCGATCCGCATAGTGCCTCCTTCAGAGCTTCGATGAGATGCTTTTGCAACAAATTTTACCTTCGTAGAGTTAGACTTCTACTTCAAATCGTTGTAAGACCCCAAAGAGGATGCGCCTTTAAACGTCTTCTTTGTTCTTCAACGAAAAACACGTTTTCCGCGAGACAGCAAAATCAGCATTTCCAGACCAAAAAGGAGCGTTTTGTCAGTACGAAGGCCAAATCTACAACAGCTCCTACATTTACATGCTTCCAATTCAGTCGGAGGTAATTTTTTAAATGAAAATTTTGTTTTTAAAGTCAGTTTCAACCGCCTAAAATGCGATTTATATGTGCGCGCAAGTGTTGAAAAAATGATGCTTTCCAGAAATACTCGAGAAAAACGAAACTTTTCTGCAGGTAGCACTGGCCACGAACGTGTGCGAAAGTGCGGATACGGAGTACGCAATCCCCGGGGTCATGTGCCAGAATTCGCCGACGACGACGGAGGGCTACGACGGATGCACCATGTGCAAGTTCTCGAAGAACTGCGTCCAGGCGGCGCCGCCGTTCATCGGCGGCGCCTGGTGTCTCTGCGAAGACGGTACGGCCTACTTTTAATGGTTTTTGTGGAAAATGATAAAGACCACCGATCGACTCGTAGATTAAAAAGTGATAAACAGATTTTGAAACAGTAAAAATGATTTTCTGTTTTCAATTTAAAATAGCCGAATTGTCTCTTATTGCCACATTCAGTGTCAGAAATGCAGTTGTGGCCGTGGCCTAGAAAACTCCTAGGCCATGTGATCTCTGCGTTCGACACAATCTTCAAACGTTGTCAAGCATTCACACAAATTAAAAGATTGTCAAATTGCAAGAGTGTCTTATTATCAGCAGGGAAGAGTTTTCACACGAGAGTTTTCTAGGCCACGCGCTGTTCAGTTTATAGACATTTCTAACTAGGGAATGATCAATAGGTAAGTTGGCCTTATGGGCCGTGACTGACATAGTTCGATAGCTTATACCAAGAGGATCAAATGTTCTGTTGACCATTTTTGCTGCCGACACCTGGATTTCGAGAAAATGGCGCCGGAAAATTTCCACTGAAGTACTGTATTTTAGGCAATTTTCCTCCCTCGTAACAGTCGCGTGAACTCCCTTGATATCAAAGTATTCGGAAACAACTGAAATCGTCGGTTGGATGGTGCAGTGGGTATTGGTTTCGACTAGTAGGCAAGAGGTCTGTCCCCACTCTCCGTAAATGTTTTTTTGTTTTTTTTTGTCGACTGAATATCTGGGTCAAACGAGGTTTCATGATGATTTTTACACATTTGATGACTCTCCACAACCGAAGCAACTCAAAAATCGAATAAATCGAGTTTTGAAGAAATATGCATTTTCCATTAAAATCTCCATACAAAGTATGGACTTCGTCAAAAACTCCCTCATCTTTGGAGATCTATATCTTCAGAACCCACCATCAATTAAATAAAAGATCAACTGGAAAGTTGTTGCAAATTTTGTGTTGAACAACTTTGTAGTTGATCATTTTATACCAAAACACTTCATTCTCATTTTATACTGTTTCTAATTCACAAAGGAGACAAGTTTTTGAAAAATGAAATAGATAAAATAGAGGTTACAAACAAGAGTATATAGATCTCCAAAGATGAGGGAGTTTTTGACGATAGAAACTTTGAGGCCTCAAATCAGGCCCTAATTGTGATTTTTGAGAAAAATGATGTACTGCAATCGTGTACAACTTTTTATGCTCTATCTAGTGACATAATAATCTGACCAACTAAAAAATTTTTTCGAAGTCCATACTTTGTATGGAGATTTTAATGCAAAATGCATATTTCTTCAAAACTCGATTTATTCGATTTTTGAGTTGCTTCGGTTGTGGAGAGTCATCAAATGTGTAAAAATCATCATGAAACCTCGTTTGACCCAGATATTCAGTCGACAAAAAAAAACAAAAAAACATTTACGGAGAGTGGGGACAGACCTCTTGCCTACTAGTCGAAACCAATACCCACTGCACCATCCAACCGACGATTTCAGTTGTTTCCGAATACTTTGATATCAAGGGAGTTCACGCGACTGTTACGAGGGAGGAAAATTGCCTAAAATACAGTATTTCAGTGGAAATTTTCCGGCGCCATTTTCTCGAAATCCAGGTGTCGGCAGCAAAAATGGTCAACAGAACATTTGATCCTCTTGGTATAAGCTATCGAACTATGTCAGTCACGGCCCATAAGGCCAACTTACCTATTGATCATTCCCTAGTAAGAGTTGCGACTCGGACTTTTTCCCCTCAACTTTGCTCGATTCCAGAAGACTGGTACGGTCGTTCGTGTGCCGTCAGTAAATTCTGTTTCAACAACGACGGCTCGTATCGATGTGCGAACGGCGGAACGTGCGATTTGACGGCCCAAAAGTGCCGATGCCCGCCGAACTTCCGAGGAGACACGTGCGAAACGTACACCGGCGACGACAAGTACGCTTTTTTTCACTGCGCTTATCGATTACTTGTGCGGCACTCGCTGAGATCGAAATTCGGCGGCCGCGGCCGCAGACTAGAAAACTCCACCAGCCGTGCGCTTATTTTGCACTTTTTCACCAATTTTTCACAAAATTTCAGCTGCTTGGCTGGCGAAAAAGAGTGCGTGAATGGATTGTGCCGGAAGGAAATTGAGCAAATTTATTGCAATTGTTACGACGGATGGCTCAAAGATGCGATCGGGAATTGTACGGTCAGTGGACATTTTTCAATAAACCCTTTTAAAAAATCACATTTAACGCAAAAATCGATTTTCAGATTCCGTGGAACATGTGCTCACTGAACAATCCGTGCCAACAAGACAGTGCGTGTCTTTTCAATGCAACTTCCGGAATTACCAGCTGTAATTGTTCGGTGTCCGGATGGAAAGGTACCGTTTCTTTTTTTTCGAGCATTACTGCCGCTACACGTAAATTCAGGAGCCTATTGTGAAACTCAACCGAAACTGGACGATTGTTCGGTTTGCGAGAATGGCGCCGAGTGTCTGGACACTTTTACGAACAATGTCAGGTGCAAATGCGATTCGGGATTCAGGTATTGGGTGTTTGAAATGTTTTAAAGACGGAAATTTTCCGGAAAAATCGATAAAAACGTTTGAAAATGTGCCTAATGGGGCTATTCAGCGTATGTTTGTTTTCAGTTTTTTTCCGTTTTTTACATCGCTGAATTGGATTTTTTGACGTAAAAAAACGAAAAAAAAATGATTTTTTTTCCGTTTTTTTTCGTTTTTTTGCGTCAAAAAACCCAATTCAGCGGTGTAAAAAACGGAAAAAACGGAAAACAAACATACGGTGAATAGCCCCATAAAAGTCTTTCCATTTGTTTTGTCCCATCACAATCTGTAAACGTTTTCAGCGGCTCTCACTGCTCCGATCCCATCGACGACTGTCAATTCTACCCGTGCGTGAACGGCGGAACGTGCAATAAGGATAACTATGAGGAGGCGGACTCGAATATTGAGGCCTACAATTGCACGTGTCCCACTGGTTAGTGAGCGTCTTATTTTAACTTTTTATCCGACACGCCTTTTCCCGAATTTAGGCTTCTCCGGCTCGAATTGTGAGCTGGCAATTCTGCGAAATTGCTCCGAGCTCATAAAATGCGAGAATGGAGGAAGGTGCGAGTTCGACGCGAAAGGAACGGCGATTTGTCGCTGCCCGCAACAGTTTTACGGCACGTTTTGCGAGAAAAAAGTTGGTTTTTTTTTTTTGCATTAGAGCGCACTTGCACACCCTCCTCCTTCTCCTCTCACGAGTGAACATTTGCGGAATGCGGAATGCGGAATCTAACAACTTTCAGTGCGCCGACCAGTGTGCTCATTCTTTCGGTTGTGCTCAGGCAACGAATGGATCCGTCTTCTGTGAATGTCTCGACGGATTTTCGGCACAATATTGTGATGTTGTCGATGTGAGCATGACACTCTTTTTTTTGGTGAAGAAGAAGAAGAAGAATCATATCGACAAATTGCAGAACGTTTGCGAGGCTAACCTTCTCGTGTGCCAAAACTCGGGCACATGCAATCGCACAACTCAATCGTGCGACTGTTCGGACACTTTTAACGGCACCTATTGTGAAATTAATCTGGTACTTCTTGCCTCGCTAACCACTTTTTTCCAGTGCTTTCATTTGTGTTCTGACAAAAATTGATCTGTTTGACGTTTGAAATGCCGGGAAATTGGCTGTGTAGACTTTTTGGCCCAGGCTTTTTGAAGCCCTTGTTGAGGCCTGGACTTTTGGGCCCATAACTTTGTAGGCTTTGGACCCGATGGGATCATTGCAAGTGGTCCAAAAGTCCAGGGGTCAGCTTTTGCACAAACTAACACATTTTTCCAGAATGCTTGCACCCGTAACTCGATCAACTGTGAGAATGGAGGCACTTGCGACGCGAAAAACGGCGAATGCTATTGTCCGGCCGGATTTACGGGAGATTTGTGTGAAAATCAACTTGTAATGCAGTTTTTGATACTGACGGGCGGGTATCGCAGTTTCAGAACGTCTTCTAGACGCTTTTTCTTTCGAAAACCTTTCAAACTCCCGCCCGTTCTGCTACCGTAACACCCCCGGCACTCGCTAATAATGTTTTGCAGCACTCTTGCCGTGACATTACATGTTTTAACGGCGGCACGTGCATCTCCTTCAACGGCACGTGCGCATGTCTGCCCGGTTCCACCGGCGATCGATGTCAGGACCTCGGGGTTCGCATCGATTTTGTCGAAGAACTCGCCGTCGAGAAGTTTTTTTTATTTCAGCAACCGTGTCAAATGCTCCTGCCCAACGGGACCTACACGGACTACTGTCAGAACGGCGGAAAGTGTGTGGAGCTGCCGAACGGCGCCGCGTGCGACTGCAACAATACGACGTATACGGGACGGAGATGCGAAACGAGTGAGTACTACTGTCCAGGAGCACTTTGACGAATCCGATGTTGCAGAAGCGACGGCCAACTTCAATCTGGTGTTCAACGGCCTCGCCTACGCGCCCGACCTCGTCTCGAACAGCTTTTCCAATCCGACAATAACGCAATTCACGCTCTGCTCGTTCGTCCAGTACGACCATTCGACGGCCGCCGACGCCACGTCATCAGGCATCACGGACGTCTCGGTGCCGTCGTTGCCGCCGTACCTCTCGATGCGCGGCTACGGTAACTCGCAGCAGATTGTGTTCGACAACAACGGATTCTACATTTGCGACGTGAGCAGACGGTGCTCGCGCGCCGAGAACAACAACTACAAAGCGATTCCGATCACGGCGAACACGTGGCATCATGTGAGTACTGGTCGTACTGTAGGATGCGCTTCAGTGTCGAGCGGAATTCCGTCTTCCGTCTTCCGTGGTTTTTTGTTCCGTCTTCCGTCTGCCGTCTTCCGGTAAAAAAGTTTTCTTCCGTCTTCCGTCTTCCGTCTTCCGTGGTTTTTTGTTCCGTCTTCCGGAAAAAAAGTTTTCTTCCGTCTTCCGTGGTTTTTTCTTCCGTCTTCCGTCTGCCGTCTTCCGGGAGAAAAATGTTCTTCCGTCTTCCGTTTTCCGTGTTCCGTAAAAAAAAAATTTCTGCCGTCTGCCGTCTTCCGGATTTCAAAATTCCATTTCCGCTCAACTCTGACGCGCTTGTGTATTTTTGCATTTTTCAGTTCTGCCTGGTCAGCCCCGACAACCGGACGAGTCCCAGCTATACCGTATACCTGGACGGCGTCAAAGTTTGGGACCAATACGCGGAAAATTTCGATGTAAGCTTCCTTTTCTTTCCGGAAAATTTACGATTGTCCAACTTTGAAAAATCGAAACTTTTTTCAAAAAAATGCTACAGACCCCCACGAGAGCTTAAAATAATCGCAATCATCTGGGGAATGTGGGAAAAATATCAAACATTTTCCGAAAAAATCTTGCAGCCCGGAGATTACGGTTACATCTACCTGGCGCCATCGAATCTGTCGGAAAGCCGATTCCAGGGAATGATTTCCATGACGCAGGTACCTAAAAACTATCGATTTTTTTGCGTCAAAACCTTTTTCAGCTCTACATTGTCCGTCTGACCGAGGCTCAAATCGGCAAATTGGCCTTCGATTGTTATGACGTTCGCTTTTCGAGCAGAAATTGTTTTTAATTTTAAATTTCAAATTTCAGACAATCAACGACGTGACGTCCGAAATGGCGCGCAATCGATTGATTAATTGGGACAAAAATTTCACGAGAGTCTCCTCGTCGAATCCAGGCGTCTTTATCGATCCGGCAGGTACAGTACGCCTACAGTACGCCCGAGGAGAGCAGTTTTGCAGGAATTTGTAGCAGTGTAAAGTGTATGTTTGGCCGGCAGGTCAACGGAAACAACTACAATTCGACGGGATCTTGTGGTAACAATTTTTTAGGAGAATTAGGGGTACGGTAGGTCGAAATGTGTGCAAACACTGAAAATGTGAATACACCGCACTTGACGACAGTAGCAGTGCGCATTTCGACCTACCGTAATCAAAGCGAACACCACACAAACCTTGCAGACAAGGACCGTATCTCGCCGACCGTACTCCGATGTCCGGCGACGATCCGTCGAAGCACGACAGAAGATTTCACAAAAGTCACGTGGTCCGACGACGAAATCGCGTTTTTCGACAATATCGGAGTGGTGCGCATCGAAGTGAACTTCCAGAATGGACAACAGTTTGGAATGTGAGAAGTCTATCGAAAAACTAGCGATAAATGATTGAATTGCAGTGGAATCACCGCCGTCCGTCACGTGGCATTCGACGCGGCCGGCAATTCGGCCGAATGCACGTTCGACGTGCAAGTCACCCAGAAGACGTGTCCTACCGTATCCCAGATTACGGTAGACGGAGGCACAGTAACCCGTGTCGCGTCGGTCGGACCGTTTGCCGCCGACGCAGTCACCGTCACGTGCGAGGACGCGTTGTATCCGTGCGAGACCCGACCGAAATGGTACATTTGTGATATTATGGTGAGTTTGAACGGGTACGGTAGGTACAGTAACCCAACTGGACTGTTTTAGGGAGACTATAAGTACGGTGCGTGGGCGGATGACGAGAAAAAGCGATATTATCTGCCGGCGTGCGGAAAAACTGTGCCCGCTTCACAGGCGATCAATGGAACGGTAGTGGGCAGTGGCACGTGTCAGCAGGTACGGTAGTTTTGCTGAAAATGTTGATTACTGTATGCACGTTATTTTTATAGTTGATCACTTTTTGATCCGACTATTCTACGGCCTACTGTAGCGCTTTTAAGCTTCGAACCGTGTAGATACTTTGAAACCCCGAACTTTGAAGAGCTACAGTACTTTTAGGAGGGGTCGCATGAAAACGTTGTCAACTACAAAAGTAGAGTACTAGTCTTGAACTTTATTTTTGTAGTTGACAACTTTTAGATGCAACCACTTCCAGGGTTACTGTAGCGCCTGGAAGCTTTCCACCGCCTACGCACTATAAGGCCCCGAAATTTGAGGCTACAGTAACCTTGAGAGTGGCCCGATTTAAAAGCTGACAATTACAAAAATAAAGTGCTAGTCTGGAACTTTATTTTTGTAGTTGACGTCTTTTTGATCCGGCCACTCTCAGAGTTACTGTAGCTCTTGCAAGCCTCCCTACTATACGCTTTTTGAGAGCTCCGACTTTTCAGGTCTACCAAAAGCTCCGTGACATCATCTGGAGCTCGGCGATGTGCGACGAAATCTCCTCGTGCCGCCTGATTATTCTTCCGCCGTGCGACGGGATTACTATAGGTTCCCGGGCGGATGAAGACGACGCCAAAAATGTGGCTCTACAATATACGTTTGAGACAAAGTGAGTGGAAAGTTGACGTTTCTTTTCTGCAAAAATCCTACTGTATGCCTTCAGAAACGCGACGGAAACCATCGGATCTACAGTACTCTCCTCGCTAAAATCCACTTTCACAGTGGTCCGTCAGGATTCCACCGTCGAATGTGATCCGTCCTACCCGATCCATGAGACCAACGGAAATTCAACAATTTGTGGTCAGTTCTGACAGGCTTTGCCCCCCCCCTTTTTGCCTAAAAACTACAGTAACCCGAATTACAGTAAGCTGTCCCGAAGGAACTTTCGCCAATTTGGACTCCAATCAATGCGACGACTGCCCCGTCGATACCTACCGTAATCGGAGCAGTCCGGACCAGTTGGCGTGTACCCGCTGCCCGGGGACTACTGTAACTGGTACAGTAACCGGAGCCGTCGATGAATCACAATGCTACAGTAAGAATTTGTCGTCGACTTTTGAAAAGGCATAACTATTTTCGAAAAAATCGCACAGACCCCCACGAGCGCTCAAAATAACCGTAATCATCTAAAGAATGTAGGAAAAATAATGCGATTTTCTGGAAAAATTTGAAAACCAATCACAGCTCGAATGTTTGCAGCCAACTGTAAAACGGGCGAAATGGAGTCGAACGGACTGTGCATTCCGTGTCCAGAAGGGACTTTTGGACCCGCCGCGGGACTCAGAAAGTGCACTTGTTGTGGATTCGATTTGTCCACTTATGGAGGTAGGGCCGCATTTTTACGGAAATTTCTGCTGAATTTTCAAATGTTTTCTTGACATTCTAGACACTTTCTTTTCAGACGGCAAAACGAGCGTGTCCGAGTGCACAAAAACGTGCGAAGCCGGTCAAGAAATGCGCCGAACCGAAGAGGACGCGGTGCCGATTTGTGCGGACTGTGATCGAGGATTCTACAAAGAGGTCTCGAAACGCTTTGGAAAAATTATTTTTTTTTTTTTCTAAAAAATGCTACAGACCCGGAATCATCAGGGGAATGTGGGAAAAATATAGAGATTTTTCGGAAAATTCTCAAAACCGAGCCTCTCCGTCGTTTAGGGAACGCGCGGCCCGTGCACCCAATGTCCACGTGGATTGACGACGTCATCGACGGCTTCGAAATCAATCGACGAGTGCAATTTGCTCAATTGTATCGATGCGAACACTATGGTACTTGATGGATTACTGTAGATTTTCAAGAAAACACATTTTTAGAGAAATACAAATGTGACCGCGGGGCCTGCGATTCCGTACAGCGAACTATGCATCACGTGTGAGCAGGGCACTTTTCAGGTGGGTTTTTGAATTTTCTCTATTTTTTTGAACCGAAAAAAGGACTTCAGGACCGTTAAAACTAAAGAAAATCATCCTGAGAACATTTTTCAGAACGCATCGAACCAAGCGTCGTGCATGCCGTGCGCGGACCTCTCCGATGACGTCACCGATATTCCGGTCACTTGCCAATCGACGTGCTCCGCCGAATATCCGACGGAAGGGTGTAATTGTCAGTTGCAGGAGGGCAAAAACTCGCTGGTGACGAGAAATTGTCTTCCCGAAGTGGTGAGTTTGAAAGCGGACAGCTTTTCAACGGGTATTGTAGTTTATTCCATAATCTTGACGTCTAGTACGATATTTTTGCGTGTTGATCACATTTTCCAACGACCACTTCCTGGCTTACTGTGTGCGCTTGGAAGTTGGAGTGCGGTAAAAGCGTACGGTAACTTTAAAGCGCTACAGTAACCGTAGAACTGGTGGTAGAGAAAAGTGATCAACTGCAAATATAAAGCTCAAGACTAGCACTTTACTTTTGTAGTTGACAACTTTTTGATTCAATCACTTTCAAGAGTACTGTAGCTCTTCAAAGTTCGGGATCTTGTGCGTAGACGTTAACAACTGTACAAGTCTACAGTAGGCCCGGGAATGGTTGTAGAAAAAAGTGATCAACTGCAAATATAAAGTTCCAAACTAGAACTTTTGTTTTGTAGTTGACAACTTTTTGATCCGACTACCCTCGAGAGTACTGTAGCGCTTTACAGTAAACATTTCAGAAACCCTACCACCAAAGCCTGAATCCTCTGAAAATCGTTCTTCCTGTCGTCTTCGGAGTCCTTCTCCTGATTCTCGTCGTCGTCGTCATTTGCTTCCGAAAACAGTAAGCGCCCCGGAAGGACTACGGTAGCTCCGCCCCCCTTTTTCAGAATCATCGCCTGGTTCCGTAAATCGCCAACGAACGGCAATCAACACGTGGCACCGTCGCACTGGAACCAACATCCGAACACTTCTTCGGACGAATCGACGCGCGGATCCCAAAGATCGATCGTGGTCCGCGCGACGACGACGACGGCGCCGCCGCTCATCTCCATACTGCCACGTGTCAACCCGAACCTCCGGATAGTGACGTCACGCGAGGAACTCGACCAACTACCCCCGCTTCCCTCCTCCTCCACACCTTCATTCCACGCGGATTCGGCGCTGAAGACGAACGGCTTCGGAGGCCATTTATCGTCGGGAATGCGACATTTGGGCACGGCCGGAATATTCTACGAGGCGAACGGATCGCCGAAGATTGTCAGACGGAAGCCGTCGACTGACGATGATAGTAGTTTGGTGAGAACTTTTGGATTTGTTCGATTAGTCACACGATACGATTTTGCAGGACTCATTCTTCTAATTCAACTGTTCTCTTCAAGATTTACGGGATAATTGAGACATTTACATTTATTTCAAATAAATCGATTTGCGCTCCTCAAATCAGTACTGACCTTTGAGGCCACAAGAGCAGAAATCGGACGGAGGTCCTGAGGAAGTGTCTGTCCAAAGTCGGCCGAGATTTGCGTGAAAAATGCGGGTGCGCACAGCTTAACGAATGTAACCGTACCCCTAAAACTACGGTATTTTTTGAAAATTTGCGCAAGAAATTTGAATATTTTCAAATATCCTCAGGAAATTAACAAATTTTCAAAAAATATCGTAGTTTTAGGGGTACGGTTACATTCGTTAAGCTGTGCGCACCCCCCGTTTTTCACGCAAATTTCGGCCGATTTTGGACAGAAAAACCTTTTCCGGTTTTTCCGAGACTTTGGACGCGCCGCATTAAAATGGAGTAGAAAATTCATTGCTTCTTTTCCGGTGAAAATTCAACTTTTAAGCATGCCCAGACGTCAACAAGATCGAAATCAACGATCTGAAAATCTTGAAACGGAAATCGTTGAAATCACCACACTTTGTTGATGATACTGTTTAGGCAATGAGTTGCTATTGTCTCCTTTCCTACAAAGAGTCAATTTCATTTTGTGCTCCCCCATATCATTGTTCGCATTGTTATTGCGTTCTTATTCAACAAAAAGTACATTGCCCCTTCGTGTCGTCGTTTGGAACGTCGAAAAAATCGTTTACAATTCATTTTCATTCATTAGACTGTTCAACTCGTGTTCTTCACCGTCTTAATGTCGTTCTTCACGGTGACCATCTCCGGATAACGGCCACAAACAAAATTCATTTTTGCGTAGTCATTGTGATGGCTGTAATACAATACACGTTGCGTGAACACAAGTATAGGGGGGTTAGAAATTTGCAGAGCCTTCTAGATTTGCAACCAACTCACTGAGAATGGAACGCATTCACGTCTTTACGGAACGAAATCGTATCGAAATTCTTTTGGTCTGTCCATTCATAGCCGAGATGATTATAGTTGTTGAGGAACGAAGTGTTTCTCGACACTCCAAACGTCCAACTGGCCACGTATCCTTGCCGACAGTCCACTTTGCACGGAATATCGCCTCCCAGCCAATAGTGCTGGTCAAATTGATTCGTCTTCGGCGCAATTCGCTTCGCAACCGCGCTAAACTCTGCCGGACTTTCGAAACCGCTCAAACCCGACTTGATCTCGCTGCACTTCACCTTTGCCTCTTCATACCGCACCGGATGATCGTTTTCAATCTGAAACACACTTGCCAACTTGTTTGGGTGTTGAGCGGAAGAACTCAACGAAAGAATTTTTTAATCTTTTTTAGAAATTTTTTTAATGGAATGTGATCAACTGACGAAATGTATAGCAAAGTGAGCTGTGCTCATAGAAAAATAATTGTAAATTTAACTTTTCATACAAAAAAGTTATTCGTTCCGTCTTCCGTTAGCCCTCCTTTTTTCACGGAACAACTCGAATAACTTTTTTGTATCAAAAGCTAAATTCACAATTATTTTTCTATGAGCACAGTTCACTTTGCTATACATTTCGTCAGTTGATCACATTTCATGAAACAATTTTCTAAAAAAGATAAAAAAATTTTCCGTGAGTTCTTCCGCTCAACTCTGGTCGGCGACTCACGTAATGACAAAACTTTGTGCCGTTTCCTCGGTCAAATTCGACCAGCTCGAAGCCGGCATTCACCGGACACGGCGCGTATCCAAAGGAGAACGAATCTGAATTTGAACGAATGATGCGAAAAGTGAACTAAACACTGACGAAGTGTGCAAAGAGCCGGAGCACGCATCGCGGCCATCGTCGGCAATCGGGCCTCTCTGAAAAGAGAGAAATGCAAAGCTCAAACTCCACCTCAAACTCGCGACTCACACGTGGAAACTGAAACTGTGCGCGTTGCAGTGATCCTTGTCGTGCAAGTCCGCCTGGCTCTTCATCTGATACACCGGCACCTGTGTCTCGGTGATCGAGTCCCAGTCCTTGTACTCCAAATGATTGCATCCGCTGAATGAGGCACAACATTGCGTGCGTGCCCAAAAGCGCCGCTCGCTTACTCATTCTTGAAGGCGCTCGTCAGGTGGAATCGATGATTTCGAAGGCCGTTCACTCGTTCTTGCTCCCACTCCTCCTCGATCGAAACCAACGGGTAGCTCTTGACGTTGATCACGTTTCCGATCGACATGCAAACGTCGCGAATCGCCTGCGTGTTAAACTTCGGCACAAACGCCCCCTGATTCGTCTCGTTGAGACCTTCCTGTGTGATACTGAAAAGATCAATCGATAAAAAGAGCACAGCACAGTCTCCCCTTCGGCGAAAAAAAAATTTCGCGCGCGCTTTTTTGCGTGCGGCTCTCAGTGTGGATTTACGGAAGACGGTTTTTCAACTGAAAACACTGTTTTCCCGAGTTTTTGGGATTATGCACAGTTTTCCTTCAACACTTTTGCCTCACGTTTGTTCATATGACCGATAGCTACAAAATGATCACACAGAGTGCTCGTGTAAAAGTGAAAATTCGAAGAGTAATTTCGTTTTTTAAATTTGTCATGAAAAAACGCAAACTTTCGGAAGTTTTGAGAAAACAGTTGGCAGAATCAAAAAACAGTTGCCTCAAGATTGTTCAGCAGACAAATGCGGTCATTTTGAGCCAAGAAGCGGCGCATAAAATGCAAAAATGACAGAGAAATTTCAGTTTTTGAGGCGCCGGACTGAAATTCACAGAAAAGTGCAATAATGCGCGCTTTCTTGTGGGCAAAACGCTAATTTAAGGTCACATCTGTCATTAACAATTCGGAAATCGTCTGTTTTACTTCAGTTTTCTCATTTTCAGACAAAATTTCGGGTTTTCGGAAAAAAAATCCAGAAATTTCAGTTGTTGCTTTTGTTTTCAACGACACTCCGTTTTGACGCGGCGCTCAATTTAGCATTTTGGCTGTTGGCGACTCACGTCATGTAGCTCGACGTGGCAAAGCTGGCGCCCGTCTCGGTGACGTGGATCGGATAAATCTCGTTGTAGCGCTCGGCCAACAAGTACATCTCGGCCATCGTCATGGGCGGCGTGTGCTCGCACAACGCGTCATGATTGCTGCGCTCGTCGTCCATCATTATCGTGCCGGGCTTCAAATCGTACTGAAACGCCGTGTCGAGCACGTACACCGCCGCCGTCTTCCCTTTTCCGTTCGCGTAGAGCGTGTCGAGGTGCGGCACGTTCACCCAAACACTGTCGAGACTCAGCTGGCTCAGGTCGACACGCAAATTGTCGGAATAGTACTCGGCGAGCCGCGCGTTTGAGCCCTTTTTCACGCTCAAATCTTCGCAATACTTTTTCGCCGACGCGTACGAGAACCGTCCCGGATAGACTTTATAGCATCGGCCGAGAATTTGATAGTAGCTCGGCGGGCACATGACGTTCACTTCTGCAATTGCACAAAGACGTCCGAGTAGTGAATGGCTCAAACTCACGAAAAGTGCATTTGGTGATCAGTTGTCCGCCGACGTTCTCGCTCTTCGCCTCGATGATGTGATGCGGAATGCGACTGTAGCAGTACTCCATCGCGTGCTTGTCGTCCTTTGTCCAAATGTTCGATTTGATCGTGCACTTGTGTCCTTTGTTATCGTTGCCCGGCACCACTTCCTGAATCTCTCCGTCGAGCAGAAAACAGATTTTGATGGCGCTGTGGTCGAGTTGGAACGGATACTGTTTGTAGTAGTCGGCGAATGAGCGTTGAGCGGTCAAGTGTGGCACGAAGAGGAGGAGGGCGAATAGCTGTGAGAAGAAGGTTACATTTCGAGACAGACCCGATCTTTTCATCACGGTCTCCAGAGCTGACAATATGGGCGTGGCTTCGGCCAAATGGCCGTTTCATGAATTGAGCAGGTTTTCTCTAATTTTTGTCGTCAAAGGCGATGAAAAATGATTGTTCGACATGAAAACACACTAATTCTCACAGAATTAATGACGTTTTGGCGCATTTTTCGCGGACTTCACCGCCTAAAAACCGCACTTCTCATTTTGCGCTTTCTTGACCGTTTTCAGACGGAATTGGTTTTGAGAATGATAAATCACGTAAATACGAGCATTTTGAGCGCTCGAACCGCGAAAATTACCGAAAAGCAACTGAAATTCACGCAGTTTTAGCCAAAAACCTTCAAACGGATAAATGTGATTTGCGACTTGACCAAATTTAACGCTCTTGCGCTTAAAAAATTCGTAATAGCCTATACAATCGGTCTAGCGAGAGACAAATCAGAAATTATCGGTTTTTCGTGGCTAATCTGGCAAAAAACACTAATTTTGCTGTTAAAATTTGAATTTCGCGCCAATGTATCGCTCTATTGGACGGGGCGCACTTGCGCTCATTGTCAGCTCTGGAGACCGTGTCATCTTTTTGCAAAACGGGCTCTAATAGCTTTCTAGATTTTGTAGACAATGTAATTGAATGGCATGCGAATACAGTCCCGCATTAAAACCGATATATCTCAACTGTCTGTATAGATATAAAAAAGTGATCAACTGATGAAATGTTCAGTAAGACATTCTGTACATTTTGCCAGTTGACAAATTTTTGAAATCTCCAACGGCTGCTGAGATATAGCGTCTTGAATGAATAATTATGGGGCTATTCAGCGTATGTTTGTTTTCCGTTTTTTTTCGTTTTTTTACATCGCTGAGTTGGATTTTTTGACGTAAAAAAACGAAAAAAAACGGAAAACAATCATTTTTTTCACAGCCTGAATAACCCAATTAAAGTGATTTTTCTGGAATACCGGTCCGTGGCTTTGGAGTTTTCAAAAATTCCAAATTTCCAGCAAAACGTTTCCAACAAGAGAGACTCCAGAATTACCATTAAATGCGCTCCGAATCGTTTCATCTCTCTGTTTGCGTTCGACGTCTTTTCTTGCAGCCGATGAAAACCGATTGTTTGACGACAAAATGAGCACTTGGCGTACTTGGCAGAAACTAATTGAGAATCTGAAGAAAAGGGGTTCAATGGGGCAGGGGTGTCACGTCAAATTTCCATTTTTCAGGAAATTCATTGAACAAAAAAACAACAACAACAACAGTAACAAGTGGAACAACGAGAAAAAAACAGAGAACGATGATAATACAAGAGAGCCGAGTTATTGGGATGAGCAGAATTGCACAGTGTGGAACATTTTCAGGGGAAAGAAAAACGTCCACAAAAACGAATAGAACAGTCGATTCGATAAAATGTCGAAAAGAAAATAGAATTAATCAAATTTCGCAAAGAAATCGTCGTCTTCATCGATATTCGCAAATTCCTGGGCGCTCGGCACAAACATTGCGTGGGCGGGGCCTAAATGACGATGACGACGGGGTTCCAGCTCGTACGGCGTGTTCATCGTCTCCAGAATTTCCAGAATTTTTTTGCCCGACGAGAATCTGTAAAATGTTCTTTTAAAGGAAAACAATTTTTTTTAAACCTGCTCAACCGGAGCTTCTCTTTTCTGGCTCTTGCCGACAATTTCCGGAGCCACTCGTTGAACTTCAGATCGCACTCGACGCCGTCAATTAGTGTCTCTTTGCAGAAAAGTCTGGAAGAAAAGTTTTATTTAGGAAATTGTCAAGATTTCAACACCAAAACTGACCTATTATCGAGAACGGAAGAGCAGCAAATGTGAAGAATTCTCTGAATGACATAGTTGCCAAACTGGTGAAACATCAATATGTCCAGAGCGTCTTTTCCGGTTTCGCTGAAACATTTTCCAGACAATTCCCAGAGAAAATCGTCAAAAAAGGTGCGTACGGATGGGGTAGATATCCGTCGAAAATCTCGTCCATCATTTCGGCCAGATAGGGCAACGGGGCGAAGGTGAAGGCTCTTTCGACGACGTGCGACGCGTACTTCTCCTGAGACATCGACAGAAGGTTCGTGAGCAGACACTTTTCGATGATCGCATTTCGGTACTCGCTGAGTATTCCCGGCGTTTCGATGATGTGTTGGATGATGTAGTTGGCGAATTCGTTTGACGTCAGCGCTTTGCACCTTTAAGAGACAAATTACAGTTGTTCTACATTCCGCAAGTACTGTAATTGACGGGCACTCTAACATTGTTCATTCAAAACGATATAGCCGCCGGTGTAGGTATCAAAAAGTTGTCAACTGATGAAATGTTCAGTAAGACAGACATTCTGTACATTTTACCAGCCGACAACTTTTCGATACCTCCATAGGCGGGATACATAGTCTCGTCTATTACAGTATTTACGGTAGAACACAAATTCGATCAATTCTGACCTGCATATAATGCTTTGCATAATTCTGTGGAGAGGGCGAAGCTTGTCGAACTCGCCCGTCTCGGCACCGCCTAGCACCTCGATGATCGTCTGAACGACGCGGCAACCGTACTTGTCCGTGCAAATGTCCATCAGATTGTTCGGCACCGCATCCAGTTCTGCTAACATTTTTAATTTTTAAAAGGTATTCAAGCAATCGTCGAATTCACCGGCAATGACGTCCTTTTCCTCGGTGATAAAGTCGACGATGAATTCCCATTTCTTGGGCGGTATCTTCCGGACGACCTTCTGAATGACATGGTTCGCGTTCTGATCGGTGCAGATGGCTCGGAGGTTCTCGTCGCGCGGAATGGCCTCCACGAGCAGGTCCGCGTGCTTCGGCTTCATCCGTTCGAGGGCCGTCTGCACCACCCGACACGCGCTTTTATCCAGACAATACTCGGAAATGTCGGCCGTCAGGTACTTCCGGATGCAGTCCTGCTCGGCCGCGCGCGCGTGCTCGATCAGCTTTTGCAGGAAGAAATTGCCGAACATGTTGGTGGCGACCGCGTGGAAATGGTCCGCACTCGCCAGAATTTCCGCGTAGATGCGCGCGCGGTCCAGCTCGTCCACGTGCGGAGCCTCTAGGCTCGGTAGCTCTTGTTGCAGAAAACTGCGAGATTTGGACATTTGTTAGATGAGTACATTTGAACATTTCAATAAAACTCACTGGCAGCCGGTCTTATCCATAACGAAAATCATTAAAAGGCCCTCGTCGATGACGGTTTTCACTGTCCAATCACTGCGAATTTCGCCGTTTTCGTCGAGAGCCGCCTGTGGCAAAAAGGTGAATTTAGACGCATTTTCCTGCGATTTTCCGCTTTTTCCCGACATTTTTCTGATTTTTGCGGTGAAGAACGGCGGGCGGGGAGGGCGATCTTGCTGAAATAATCCTTGGGAACAACTATATTTTCACATAACCTTAAAATTTGGAAAATACCATTTTTACCTGATTTGAATTTATCGAAAGCGATGCGAGTAGACATGGATTCACTGTGAATGGATTTGAGAAATCTGAAAAATAACTATTTTTCGGGAAAATGCATTTTTTCTGTTTTTCAAGTACCATTGTGATTTTCGTCCATATAACTCTCCAACAACGTCGGAGCGCAGTTATTGGCGACATTGTACTGAAAGAAATCAACTCTCCAAAAATTTTTTGAAGTTTTTAGCGTACCAGATTGGAGCGCTTGAAGTGCCGATATCTTCCATTGTTCGTGAACTCATCCCGATTCATTTTGGAACCCAAAATGACAAAAAGCCTTTGAAAATGCGATGAAAATCCAGAAAAACGCGCAGCACATTCAAATAAATGGGAAAAAACCGATTTTCGTTACGAGACCCGAAAACAGAAAACGGTCTGCGCCTTTAAATCTACAGTAATCTTTGCTTCAATTATTTGAGGCCGTACCGTTTGGGGAGAAACGAGAGAAACGAAAAGGAGAAATTCGAAAAGGGAAAAAGCAAAAATATTTTCAATTTGTTTCTCAACGATTTGCTGAGATTCTTACAAACAAACAGTTTTCCATTGAAAAATCTACAAAAAATCGCAGTTTCACTTTCTGCCTTTAAAAAATATTTTATTTTCCGATTGTTCCTTTCCCTCCGTTTTATTATCACTTTTCTTTCCTATAAAATCTTCAATTCTCCCAAATTCTCCCGATATAAAATCCGCCATTTTCGGCGCAAAGATGCAAGTGCGCTCCATCGCACAAACGTTCTGTTGGCATTTTGTCGATGCAAAATTCGCCGTAGCTTCTTGTTTTTCTCCAGACGTTCGTAAAGTTCAACAATGTTCTGTATTTTCAGCCGAAAAATGCTCAAATTTGTGATTATTTCGTCCATTTTGATCGCCTTTTCAGCTGCGATTGAGCTCACGTTCGAGCTGCCCGACAATGCGAATCAGTGCTTTTTTGAGGATTTGAAAAAGGACGTGGACACGGTTTTCGAGTTCCAGGTAATCAAATTGTGCGGCAATTCTTCTCAATTATTAAAAACGTTTCAGGTCGTCACCGGTGGACATTATGACGTGGATTTAATCATCGAGGATCCGAACGGAAAAGTCTTGTACAAGGACACCAAAAAACAGTACGACAGTATCAATTTCAAGGCTGAGGTGCGATTTCTGCATTTAAAACATTATTTTTTAGCGAAAAGCCCGAACTCTTCCAATTTTTTAAGCCAGACATCGCGGAACTTTTTTCCAGGTGGAAGGAACGTACAAAGCGTGCTTCTCGAACGAGTTCTCCACATTTTCGCACAAAATCGTCTACATGGACTGGCAGTTCGGCGATCAAAACGCCCTCCACGCGGCCGTCACTCAGGGCGCCCACGCGATGACTCAATTGGAGAACTACGCGGTCGCCATCGGAGACAAATTGAGAACGGTTCGCAATTTTACAGATAATGGGATAATTTGTAGAATTTTGGCCGAGAAAAATGCAAATATTGTAGATCGACGACTACCAAACGCATCACCGTCTGCGCGAGGCGACGGGACGGAAACGCGCGGAAGAACTGAACGAACGAGTGATGATTTGGTCCCTGGGCCAGTCGGCCATCGTCGTTTTCATCGGAATCGGCCAGGTCTTCCTCCTCAAATCGTTTTTCAGCGACAAAAGAACTCGTTATTAATTTATTTAAGAAATTCCTATTATTCTCTAGTTTTTGTCCAAAAATTCCTCTTTTTCTGTATAATTTATCGCTTCTCCTGGGTCGTAATCAGTTGTTCTTGTCCCTAGCATATTTTATCCCTGATCTTTCCCTTTCCCTTCAAAAATATAATTTATTTGACACTGAAATCCGGAAGAACAGGGAAAAAGTGACCCGGGAAACAATTTAGGGAAAATGGGCAGAATTATTCGATGACGTCGCCGTTCAAAACGGCCTGATACTGCTGAAGACGCCGGAGGAGCGCGTCGTTTTGATTGAGCAGCTGCTGGATTCCGTTGATGAGCGTCTTGCGCTTCTCGCGATTCCGACGAGCCTACAATAGTTATTTTTGCTAGATTCGCTAGATTTTCAGTTGAAAAATGATTTTAAATTCTGATTTCTTGAAAAAAAGCATACAAACCTGATTCTCGGAAGTGCCGTCATGGACAATATTCATTCCGTCGAGCGTCTCGAGATGTCGCTCCGATTCCTCGTTGAACCACTTCACCTTCTTCTCCATTTTCTTCGCCATTTCCACTTGCTTCGGCTTTTCGAGAAATCCGCGCTCCAAATCGGCCACGTCCTTCAAATTGACGTCGTACGTCTTCTGCAGATTGCTCAGATTGTGTTTTTCGTATTGCGAAAGCATTCTGAAGCCCTGATCGTCGACCATCGCGTTTTTACCGCCCATCACGATGATTTTGTCGTTCTCCTTGAAGTTTAGCGTCGCCAGGGACACATCGTCGGCTCCTTGCAGGAATTTTCCTGGAAAATAGCGATTTTTATGAATGTTCCGATATTTTCAATGGAATTAATACCGCTACGGCTTACAAATCGTACCTCTATGCAAAAGTTTCATAGTATCCACATCCACATCGTTAACGGCGGAAATACGCTCGCGGAGCTGCCCCAAAGTCGAAATTGAGGCTTCTTCGGCGGCTTCGTCCAAAATATCGAAGCTGGTTTGCACCGACGCACACGAAACGGTCACTTTCATCGCTGGAAATTGGTTTTTATGCGAAGAAACTAAAGAATTTGAGATGTCGGCGAAAAAGTAGGGGAAACTGAAGATTTTACAGTGCAATTGGAGGTTTATTGGGCAAAAATTGTTTCTTGCCAATTTTGAATGGTCCAAATCATATATTCCACCGCGAAAAAAAGAAACATCGTGAAGAAAGCACTTGAAGAGTTGGAGTTTCTCTCGAAAAAAATAAGGAAATTGTCCGAGAGAAGTACACGGCTTCTCGTTTGAGCGCACTTGAATTGCTGCTTTTTCTAGTCCGCGAAAAGCAGTACTCTTTCTCGCAAAATTTCCTATCTATTTTGTGGTGTTTGTCGAGCGAGAGCGGGAATTTTCGGTTTTCAAGGTCACAAAGAACATGTTTGTTTGGTTTTGACGCGCATTTTTGGGCGGTTCAATTGTGAAACCCGAAAACTCGACTGGTACTTTATTTTTGGATTTCTGCTGGAAAAAGAATTGTTCTGCATGATTGTTTGCAGTTTTTAAAGCGTTCGGAGTTACGTATTAACCTGTAGTTTGTCTAAACAAATTGCTGAACTGTTCCAAAATTTTTTATAACATTTTTTCCTAATTTCTACAATTTCCTCCATTTCGTTTACATCATTCCCACCCCTTCCACCCTGCGTCTCCACAATTTTTTTCCATTTTCCCCCAAAAAAAAAACACTTTTTCTCTCTTTTTCTCTCCAACTTTTGCGCAAATCGATAGACGCCTGCTGTGGCTCTGCCTTCGAGAAAAAGCAGAGAGAAATCTAGAAGATAATCCGTCGAGAGCGCAGAGAAAAAAGAGAAAAAGTACGTGATATTCTGCTTGTTTACGTGCCAACTCTCTCCCGTTTTTTCTCAATTCTCAACGAAAAAACGGAGAAATTTCCGTCGAAATTGCCCGCGAAATAGTGTGCGTGACGTGGAGACGCAGACGAAGAGAGAGAAGATGTTCGCCGCGTTTGGCGCCAGAATTTATCAACGATATTTCGGACGAGGCGGTGAGCGGGGCCTATTTTTTGAAATGTTCACAAAAAATTGGTCAATCTTATCATTCACACTCAAAAAATCGGTTTTCTCTTTGATTTTCTCCATATTTTTCATAGCCGTTCAATAAAAGCGCGTCATTTTCATTCAAAAAAACGGTTTCATATATTTAAAAAAAATAAGTTTATATTGCTAAATTTTAATTTACGATTGTTCCTTCTTCTGCTAGTTACATCAAATTTTTCTAACAAAAATTGGCAAAAAATTACAGGATTGGCAATGGCGAACAACGGCAAAGTGGCCAACAAGGTGTGCCTGATCGTCATTGACGGATGGGGCATTTCCGAGGATCCGTACGGAAATGCCATCCTCAACGCCCAAACGCCCGTCATGGACAAACTGTGCTCCGGTTCGTCGAGGGCAATTTGTTTTTCTTTGTTGAATGTTGTTGGGCAAAAATGATCTTGACGGCAGTAATTTTTGACATTTTTTATCGACTTTTACAGTTAGGTAGAAAATGGCCTATAGTTTGATTTCACTCGATAAATTATTTGCTCTTCAGGGAACTGGGCACAAATCGAGGCGCACGGACTGCACGTCGGTCTTCCGGAGGGCCTGATGGGCAATTCGGAGGTCGGACACTTGAACATCGGAGCCGGACGGGTCATCTATCAGGACATTGTGCGCATCAATTTGGCTGTCAAAAATAACCAATTGGTACGCTTTTTTTGCAATTTTTTTAAAATAGAAAATAGAAAATTTCTCCTGCTATATGGTACATTATTCAGGTGAACAACGAGAGCCTCGTGGATGCGTGCAACCGCGCGAAAAACGGAAACGGACGCCTCCATCTGGCCGGATTGGTCTCCGACGGAGGAGTTCATTCGCATATCGGTAAGAGCACACAACCATTTTTTTTCGCACTTTTTTATTTAAAAATTTCTCACGCAAATTTACCAGCTCAGAAACAGTAAAATGATATTCAGAATTTATGTGAACTTTTAGTGAAACTGTTTTTACAACAAAGGATACAAAGAAGTCGATGCGTTCTTCAAGTGCAAACTGAATTGATGATGAAAACGGCTTGCAGACCACATGTTCGCGCTGATCAAGGCGATCAAAGAGCTCGGAGTGCCGGAACTCTACCTGCATTTCTACGGAGACGGCCGTGACACCTCCCCCAACAGCGGATTGGGATTCCTCCAGCAGACGCTCGATTTCTTGTCCCAAACTGTCGGGTTCGTGCTGTTTTTCTTCTTCAATTCAGCGAAACAACGCGTTTTCGGTCAGCCTACTGTCGACTTTCTTTTGAAAATTTTTCTACATTCAGGAAGGCTAGCCTAAAATTGTCATTTTTGTAGATATGGAAAGCTGGCGACGGTGGTCGGCCGTTACTACGCGATGGACCGCGACAAGCGATGGGAACGCATCAACGTGGCCTACGAGGCGATGATCGGAGGAGTCGGCGAGGCGTCCGACGAGGCTGGAGTCGGTTTTTCCTAATGTTTGAAAAAATTAATTTTGTTCTAATGTTTTCCTGCGAAAAGTAATCCCAAATGTTCAAAAATTTATGGCCTTTTTAAGAGTTTGAATGAAAAACGCAAATTTTCAGGTGGTGGAGGTGGTGCGCAAGCGGTACGCGGCGGACGAGACGGACGAGTTTCTGAAGCCGATCATTCTGCAGGGCGAGAAGGGGCGTGTCCAGAACGACGATACGCTCGTCTTCTTCGACTACCGTGCCGATCGGATGAGAGAAATTTCTGAGGTGCAAATTGTCAAAATGTTGAAAAACCCCCCTTCTTTTCTTTCAGGTGCTCGGAATGGAGCGCTACAAGGACTGTGGCTCGTCGCTGCCGCACCCGTCAAACGTGAAAGTGTACGGAATGACCCAATACAAGGCAGAATTCCCGTTCAAATCGCTCTTCCCGCCGGCGTCGAACAAGAACGTGCTGGCCGAGTGGCTCGCCGAGCAAAAAGTATCGCAGTTTCACTGCGCGGAGACGGAAAAGTACGCGCACGTCACGTTCTTCTTCAACGGAGGACTCGAGAAGCAGTTTGAGGGCGAGGAACGGTGTCTCGTCCCCAGTCCCAAGGTTCGTCGCCGCCCGCTTTTTTTGAATGGATTTCATTTGCAAAGCTTCTAACTCTGGATTTTTCGAAAAACTTGAAAACACTTTGCATTTTCAGGTTGCCACGTATGATCTTCAGCCGGAGATGTCGGCGGCGGGCGTGGCGGATAAGATGGTGGAGCAGTTGGCGGCGGGCACGCACCCCTTCATTATGTGCAACTTTGCGCCGCCCGACATGGTCGGTCACACGGGCGTCTACGAGGCGGCGGTGAAGGCGTGCGAAGCGACAGACGTGGCGATCGGACGCATCTACGAGGCGGCGCAGAAGCACGGATACGCGCTGATGGTCACCGCGGATCACGGCAATGCGGAGAAGATGAAGGCGCCGGACGGAGGGAAACACACGGCGCACACGTGCTACCGCGTGCCCCTCACCCTCTCGCACCCCGGTTTCAAGTTTGTCGATGTAAGGCGATGACGACTCTCAATAAAAAAATAATTTTTTTTGCATTTTCAGCCGGCGGATCGTGCTCCGGCTCTGTGCGACGTGGCGCCGACAGTTTTGGCGGTGATGGGATTGTCGCAGCCGGCCGAAATGACTGGAGTTTCGATTGTGAAGAAGATTTAAGAGATTCCCATTTTTCGCAGTATTTTCCCCCTATTTTCCTACTATTTAGACGTCTATCCTGGAGCTTTCCCCCGAGAAATTTCCATGTACCATAGTAATTTTAGAGCACTTTTCTCACATGATAAATGTATTTCTTTCTAGATTTGTATGTTTTTTTCTATTGTGTTTTTGTGTACTGATGAGTCATGTTTATATTTATTTTAGTGAGCACGCGGAGCACTTGGGACAACAGTTGCTCCGAGGTCATTTGGCGGATGCGACGGGCTCGCGGAGCACCGAAACGATTGATTGGACTTTTTCCGCCTCGATTCTCTTTGTGAAAAATGTGCCGTTTCTCTGCGTCTCTGCCAAATTTTTCCCATTTTTTATCATTTTCCAATATTTCGCCGACCGGCCGCTTTCCGATGGGATTGTTGCGAAAAAGTGATAAAAAAAGCGGTGACCTTGTGCTCCAGAAACCTCCAGAAACACACTTGCGTCGGCCGAAAGAAAGACGGAAGTTGCCATTCGTTTTGTGGCCGAATTAATTTTAATGTAATTTGCAATGAGAAAAAGAGAATTCATGCGGTTTTTTAAATAAGGATTTTTCCTTTAAAAAGTGGAATCTTTATGCCAATTTTTGATGTAAATGTTGTTTATCTTTGTGTTTATTCTTCGAATTTTATGCCTATTTCCAGATTTTTAACTCGGTTTGTTGATTGTGGGCGTGGCCTCGGCCAAATGGCGTTTTCATAAATTGAGCAGGTTTTCTCTGATTTTTGTCGTCAACGGCGGTGAAAAATGATTGTTCGACATGAAAACACACTAATTCTCGCAGAATTAATGACGTTTTGGCGCTCATTTTTCGCGGACTTTGCTTTTTCGCCGATCGCCGCCCAAAAACTTCTCATTTTGCGCTTTCTTGACCGTTTTCAGACAGAATTGGTTTTGAGAATGATAAATCACGTAAATACAAGCATTTTAAGCGCTCGAACCGCGAAAATTACCGAAAAGCAACTGAAATTCACGCAGTTTTAGCCAAGAACCTTCAAACGGATAAATGTGATTTGCGACTTGACCAAATTTGACGCTCTTGCGCTTAAAAAATTTGTAATAGCCTATACAATAGGTCTATCGAGCGAAAAATGAGTAATTATCGATTTTTCGTGGCTAATCTGGCAAAAAAACACCAATTTTGCTGTTAAAATTTGAATTTCGCGCCAATGTATCGCTCTATTGGGTGAGGCGCAGCTCTGGAGACCGTGTATCTAGGAATTTATCTAGGAATTTGTTACTTTGTTACTTTCTTAGTGCACAACACCTGCAACGCTTCATGTTTCACTCGAACTTTTTCTCATTTCCATGTCTCACGTTTTTCGTTACCTGCGATACAAGCCCTCTTCTAAATGAATTTTTCAGACCGCATTAGTTGGCCGGTGAATTTTTATCCGGATCGCCGACGACAAAAAGCCACGTGGAACCTTCTGCGACCATCTGAAGGTTTGTTTTTTTGGCTTTTTCATTCCATTTCGCGCCTAAAAATGACGTGCCCCGTATTGACGTCATCTCATCCGAATCCACGCCGTCGTGCCTCTTCTCCCTCTCTCGGTCACACAAAAAAGAGCCGTTTTCTGTGCGTCTCCGGGCTCCTCTTTTTTTGCCCGTTTTCGTCTGCGTTCCCGCCGAGCCGCACAATATTTCCGTTTTCCTTTCAGCTTTTCTCTCTTTTTGTCACTGAAATGTTTCCGATTCGTACACGTACTCTGCCCACGCGCGCATTCCGATGAGAGAGAGAGAGAGACAGCTCCCAGAGCTCTTTTTAGTCATTTTCAAGTGGTTTTGAGGACTAACATTTTTGTGGAACTTTTTTTAAGCAAAGGCCCGAGAGCTTTTCTCTCGTTAAATTTGGTTGCCGAGAAACTAAAAATAAGCTTTGTTTTCCGTTTCATGCATTCGTAAAATCGCTGATAAATTAAAGTTTGCTCAGAATTTTCCCTATTTTCTCCACTGTTCATAACGGGTTCAAAATTGCCCGTGAATTATTGAAAACCGGTTCTTTTCGGTTGTTGACCACTTTCGAGAAAGTTTTCGTCTTCTTCTTCTTCTTCCGCCTTTCTCCTATCTTCTAAATGACGATGATGTCGGCGTAGAATATGCATCTCTCGCGAACCAGATGAAGATGCGGAAGTGAACCGACACTATCGCAATCGCACAAACACTTTCTCCCCTCACTTTTCCTCATTTCTACTCCTATGCAACTTTTAACAGAATTCTGCTCAAAAGCGACGCGCAAACGTTGAAAGCTGCTATCGCCCCACACGGTCTCCCAGGGCGCTAATGCTAAACACAGCGCGCTCATAAATTACGGAGTGTCGTTGCAACTTTTGAAAATTTGCAGGTCTGAAAATGCAGTTCAATTCGAGTTTACGACCTTTATTTATTTCTTTTTGACTTGAAAAACGTATAGAAAACAATATTTTACTGATTGGAAACCGTTCTTTACAGAATTTCGAGTTTTTCATGTTTTTAGCGTCTTTTTCGCATTTCGTCAAAACTTCAAACCTTTATATTTCAGCTCATTTTGCATTTCATGAGCCCAACGAACAATGAAAATGTTCGCTAAATCTTTCTTCAAAAAATTCAGGTTCCGGCGGTTAGTTTTTTTGAGCAGTTTTCGAAAACTATTCGAAAAACATCAAAATCCAGGCCAAAACCTTCAAATCAAAATAACTCGGCTAATTCTCAACGATATGTGAGATTTCTATTACCAAAACGTAACTAGTGCTCTAATTATTCGAATCCAGGTTCCAGGCGTACGAAAAATAGGTGTATTGTACAGAAAACATAGAAAGACCGCAAACTCCCGTTGAAAATTAATTAATCGGCCGCCGCGTAAATCGACACAGCCCGCCTGTTGCAAGTGCGCCCCATTGAAATCATTCGCGCTGTGGGAGACCGTGCCCCAAGAGGTTTACCGAGTTGCTGTCGAGATACAGAGCTTGAGGGCGAAATTTAAAAAAACTCTTTGCTCATTATTTTTCCAATTTCTCGCATGCTTCACATTCGTCCTCATTTTCATGTCAATCCCAAAAACTAAGCTAATTTGTGTGTGCGGACACAGAAATCCGATTCGATGTCAACAAGAGCCCATTAGCCGAGCAAAAATCTACATTTTGCAGGCTATTTTTAGAGAACAAATTTCTATTACATTTTGCTCGGAAATGTGAAATATGTATATATATATATTTCAGGCCCAAAGCTATCGGATTTTGAAGAATGACTAGAATTTTTTGTTGTTTTTCCGCCAAAAGCCACTAATTTGCATATAATTACACTCGGCTTTTCCAACTGACAATTTGCATGCGGAGGCACGCAAAACAAGCCGTTCACAAGTGGGAGAGAGTGATTTCGAAGGCTTGAACCAGTCGCAAAGTGGCCACAAACTGGACTGTCCCGGCGAATGACCGATTCTCGCTTTCTTCGTTCGTTTTCTCGACAAGATCCGCTCGCTTTGTGCCGTATTTCACTTGTTTTTTTTTTTTTTGGCGTTTCTGTATGGAATTTAGTCCAAGAAGCCTGCAAAGTTTGGGCCCGAAAGTCCAGACCTCAAAAAGCCTGGGCCGAATGTTGCGCAGCCCTGAAAATTACCGAAAATTTTGCGATTTTTGTGAGTCCATTTAATTGTCTCCATTCAAACGGATTTTTCGGTCAACTTTCGAAACAGAAAGTGTTCTGAAAAATTCTACATTTTCCCAGAATTTAGTGTGCGGGGGCGACGATTTTGTCCGTTTTTGCGATTCCGTTCACATCCTTTCCCGTTTCATCGACCACGAATAATAAAAGCCATAAAAAATACGACCCGTTTAACACTATTTGGCTTTCTTCTCCTGCAAATTTTGTAGAATTTCTTTCAAGGAAACGTTTATTTGATTGTGCTTCTCGCAAGAAAAACATATTTCTATAAATACACGTATTTATCAACTTTTAATTATAAAAATGAATCTCCCCACACACCGCCGAAACACTGAATGATTCATTTGTGTATGGGTGTGTGTAGATGAATAGATAATATGAATATTGTACCATCTAGACGGTACTCTTTAGAAAAAGTATTTTAGAGTCATAGTTTTTCAACATTTTTGCCTTGATTCTGTGTCGGACATCGACAAAAAGTAACACTGGACGATATAATTGAAGAACTGGCGAATATATCAGGTTTTGTATCGTCGCGGCAAAAAAAAGACTGTTCACTCTTTCTCGAGTTCCGTTCCGTGCGTTCCCAGAAAATCAGATGGACATTGCCGCCGACGCAATTGCATTTCCCCGCCTTAGATAACTCATTTAGTCGGTCCGATCGCATCGGAAAGGTTATTGCGCCATCCCGCCCGTTTGATCTGCCATTCAACCGCTTTTTTGTCGAGACGCCTAATCCGTCAGTTATAACGCAAACATTGTGTAATTAACGGAATTTTTTGAACATCCGCTCGGAACTTTGATTCCTTATTCCTCTCCGATCGAACACATTATTCCGACTTGTGAGATATTCGGACGCTTGACAAGAAGGACCGGATTCGAAGAAAATGTCCTTGGAACGATGACGAGTCCTTGATTCGTTTGTTTCATGCCGAATTCTTGATGAGTCTCTGTCTATAGGTCCCTTATGACAGTTGAGAACAATTCGAATGGTTCTGATGAGAGTTTGTAGAAATTCTTAAATTTTGGCTAAAGTTTAGGTTTTCTAGATATCCGATTTTCTAAAGCTCAAAAGCCGTACATTTTTCTCCAAACTTTGTTGACGGTTTTGGTGGCGCAAAATAGTTGTATTCCTCAAGACCCTACCCCCTTTGATGACTTTCACAATACCGGTGTTACGCCACCACCGTTCACACTTGAGAAGGTCCTTCGTGCGCAGTACTGGTGGTATTCAATGGTAATACCATTGTAAATAAAATACCAATGCCTCTCGCTCTCCTCGTCTCCGTCTCTCTCTCTCTCTTTCTTTCTCGTCTATCCGCACGCATGGTTGACCTACTGGTGTCCTCGACGAAACGAAAGGGGGGCGCATCCGTCGGAGGGTCATTCGTCCGAGGGTCTCGCAGAGATTTCCCGTTTCTCGCGGACACTTTGCAACTGTTTTGGTCGTTTGGAAACTAGCGATCCTTTAGCGACGCTTTTTAGAAAAGTCTAGGTTTTTAGACGCTTTGCAACTGTTGGCCATTTGGCAACTGACGACTGTTTGCCTGGCTTTGCTCTGCCTTCACGGACCTCGAACGTTTAGTTACAAGTTGCAAAGTGTACAGGACATTTCGCAACCATAAAGTTTTCCGATAATGAAAGAAAACTGGGAGGCGGGCACATGGTTAGTAGGACGATCGGCGGCTGAGACTATGTTTGTCCATCTCTCTCTCTCTCTCTTTCGCTCATTTTCTCTCCTTTACGTCTGGTCTTGACCTGGCCACCGCCCCCCCATCGGAACGACGGATCTGACGGGATCGCACCTACCCAACCATCCTTTTACACGTTTCCTTTTTTTCTTAGAGAATATTGGATTTGCTAGGACAATTTTGAGCTCGTGTAGGTTTTAGAATGCTAACGGACTGTATTAGAAATGTTCTAGCTGTGCCAGATTTGCCAGCAATTTAAAAACATAAACCATTTGTGTGTCAGAAACTTTACAACAAATTTAGTAAAAAATATCCTAAACTTTTTCAGTTTTTGGAAAAATTATAATAAGAGCCATTCTCGTTATTGCGTTGGTTTCCTTATTTGTAAAATATTTAACATTTTGGAGCTGAAAACGGTGTGAAATAGTGATGAATGGTCAATGAAACACTTCCTCTTCTCCTCTTCTTCGGAACTTCCTTGATGTCCGAACAAGAAGAAGAAGACGACGATAATCTAGAAGCTTCGCCCGAATTTCATCGAAATCTCCAGCTGAATCCGGTTCTGGGCGGACTTTTTTCGTCGTCGGACACACACACACACACACTATTCATCTCTTCGGCAGTTCTGCAATTTTGCATAAATTCACGTTTCATCGTTTGATCAGTAACGCCTTCTTTTGGGAACTGTTCGAATTTTAGGCCCCTAATTACACTTTTCCTCAATTTTTATCGAGCAAACGTTTTTTTTTGTTGTAAATGCTCTCCGGAGTACACACAAATTTGTTTCGGGTCTTGTTCTCTTATCAGGGAAATTTTTTTAGAAAACTAAAGAAAAGTGATAGACATCTGTATGGCAGGCCTCTTGAAGAAATTGAGAAAAACGATTGGCGTTGTAGAGTTTTAGGCCAGAAAATTGGAGAATTAGGCTAGAACTTGAACGAAATAGAACCCGATTTTCCTGATTTTTTGTTTGCGGTTTAAACTTGTCAATTGAGTTTTACTTTGTCGCAATCGTATTCCGTCCTAGTCTCACTTGAGGTCTCATACACGATTATCGATTTTTCGGCACGCGACAGTTGTAGATCAAATAGTCGGTCTCACAGCGATCTTATAACATCTGATGTCTCTCAAAATGTTCTCAACCCGTGATTTTTCCATTCGCTTTTCCCATTCGCTCTCTTGTTTCAACACTTGTGTACAGAGTGTCGCCAACATTTCAATTATAATATCATTTTCTCTCTTCCTTTCTTCCCTTATCACCCAATTTTATCAATGTGCCTGGAGGAGGAGGAGAAGGAGGCTCGTCGGTTTAACAGCTAAAAAGAGTACTATTTGGAGCATTCTTATGGTCTGAACACGAGTTCTGTGCCCTTAAAATGATAAGGAAATGTACTCCATATGCGCCGCCTAACTCTTGGTCCAATTTTCTTTCTATCACAGCTGTTGAGTACCACTTTTTTGCCGACTAATGCCAGATGTTTCTCTCCGTTTTTTTTTAATGCTGAACTCTAGTACTCGATGTGTACTAGACACCTGTACAGAAACTGTCTCTCTGTTGGTCGATTGGCTAGTTTGACGGACATTTAATATTCAATACATACATGAATTGACTTTTAAAAATTCGTATCGAGTCGGACAGGCTCCGTTAGAAGATTTTGCTCCATTTCGCCCACTTTTTGCTCCTTCCATTCGATCCGAATCAAGTGACCTCCTCCTCCTTCTCCGATCCGACATATCTGATCGGTAAACTCTGTCGCTCCGAACGGGTACTGGTATACGGGGGATACGGTCAGAAAGTGTGCAAATAATACAGTCCTCCGCACTCTCTCTCTCTCTCTTTCTCTTTCTCCTTCTTTCTTTCGTTCCGCTCTCGCAACACTATTGGGTTAAATGGTGCTCCTTGTTTGACAGTTTTTTTTCGGATTTTTAGAGATTTTCAGTGTTTAGCCCAAAATTCTAGGGAAATGAGATGTTCTTACTCGTCTCGTGCTCTAATTCTGTGCTGTCGGTCACATGTCAAACAAGAGGCCTTTGAGATCTTTGAAACCTTTTCGGCAATTCCAATTCTCGTGAAACTCTCCAGGTCTAGTATAATTCCATGATTTTTGTGTAAAACCAAACTTTGCTTCTTGTTTCTTGTCAAAAATGACGACGTGCGCAAAGATTTGCCATTGGAAGAATTGAGGTCAGGCAGATAAGATCCCCTGCAAACTGTACATACTTTTATGGGGGTTCCTTGAGGTTTTTTACTGAGAATTCACGTTTTTCTAACTTTGGAAGGTTCTCGAAAGAATAGAGTTGTACAGTGAGCTTTGTCAGTACATTCAAATTCAACATGGCTTACAGTGTAACATTTTCTAGAACCTTCCAAAGTTAGAACAAAGTGTGAAAGCTCACTGAGCACTTTTGCCTTTTTTTTTAAAACAATTTACCTAAACCAGTGCCTGCCTACTTTAATTTTTTAAATAAAAATAGCTGTAATAGCACTCGATTATATGAATGTACACTAAGATTTACGATCCGATCGATCTGTCTTCTTCTCCCATCCATCCATCCATTATTCATCCACATCTTTCGTTCTCAGGCCAAATCCGAGAAAAAAAGAGAGAGAGAACGATAATAATTTGTTCTGTTCGGTTGATTATATTGTCGGCACACAAATGAGACTCGCTATTCGTTTTCTGAGTAATTTAGTTGATTTTAGGCCGTACTTTTATTTTAAAAAAATGTCTGTTACAAGTTTTTGTTATAAACTTTTGTATTACCCATCCATATTTATGTGCCTGTTTCTCTCTCTCTCTCTCTCTTCCTCTTTTTCGCCATCATCGGAAGCTCCTCCTCCTCCTCCTCCTCTTCGTTCCATTCTGCGCAGCGAAAAAGAGGTGCCCGACAGTTAGACGCGCGTACGAAATAGTGCGCAAAAGTGAGAGAATCGGAGAAGAAGCGGCGTTGTCGACGTGTCCTAACGTCCAGTTGGACGTGGCGCGCGCTTGCGAAATTGTACCCCCCGTTTGGCCAATTTTGGCGAAACTCGTCTACTTGCCGAAATATTATCTATTTTTTACCCTCTGATCTCACTCTTCAGAGGGTACACACGCACACGAAGCGCAACATGTCGTCGCTGGACTTTGAGCTCGACAACGAGGTGCTCGACGGACTGACTCTGGCCGGCGGCCAACCGTCCGAGGACGACTCCGAATGGCCGACGTTCGATCAGATGGACGACGACGCGCTTTTTCGAGGGCTCAACCTCGCCAATCGTACGTTTTTTTTGTTCGAAATGCGGTGATTTTACGCACCTTCTGCGGCAGACAAATGCGGCCATATCTAATTCCCTCAATTTTCAGTCAACCCGGACACGTTCACCGACTGTTTCGCCGACGAGCTGACCAATCAACTGGACACGATGGACCAGGACCTCGAGTTGGAGCCGCTGGACCCGTTGGACAGTCTGCAGACGGAGGACCACTGCTACGCGGCGTCGCTCTCCCCGCCGGACGCCCATTCGCTGCCGATCTCGCCCGCCTCGACGTCTCCGTCGTCGTACCACTCGAGCGGCGGCGACGAGGACATTTCGGACAATTACGCGAATTTCGGAGTCGACATTCTGCAGGTCGCCACTGATACGCTTTTCCGCGCGCCGAAACAAGAGGACTTTGAGATTTGCAGAGTTGGTTTCACCTTCTTTTTTTTTTGCTGATTTTCTGGACTAAAAACGTATTTTCAAAGGCATCATTATTTTCAATTGTTTTCTGAAGCCACGTAAAAAATTATGGCGAAAAACTGAAACAATAGTATTCAGTTGTTGTCGTGTTATTTTCCGCGAAAAGCGCTCATTTTTCTCAAACGTTCCGCCTCCCTCTCACTATCGAATTTCTCGAGAAATTTGAGAAAAAGGTCAGAAAGTGAGCAGAAAAAGTGTTTAAAAGAGCACAAAACAGAGGGAAATAATGTTTATTTTTGGGATGTATAAACAAATGAGCACACACACACACAATGGAACATAGTTTACGGGATAAGAAGAGCGGTGGGAAAATGTAGTGAAATGCTAAGAAATTGTGGGGGAAATTGGAGAAAAACAGCGAATTTATTGATTTTCTTCATTTGCAGAGCGGACCCCTGATTGCGTACACAAATGCCACCGCAGCAGCAGCAGCAGCAGCCAATAACAATGCTCAGAAACGACTGAATCAGACCGGATTTCCGCATCACAACACGAACGGACTCGTCAGATTTAGTACGTTTTTTTTTGGAAATTTTTCTTAAAATAATCCGTATCGGCGCAAAGTTTCAAAGCTCGCTTTTTTTGTTGTTGGTGTGAAACCGGAGCTTGCAGACCGTTCCACTCGGCGAAAATGTTTTATTGAATAGTTTGCCTGAGCGTTGAAGTCAAACAGTTTCTCGTCGTTTTGCGGGGTTCAGAATGCCTCTTTCTCTGTCCGTATTTGTACAATATTCATTGGATCGCCCAAAACGGACGGACGGCCGGACAATCAAAAAGAGCGAGAATTGATTCGTGTTTGCACAGGAATCGATTCATTTCGACAGCTTTCTCTTCGCCCTTTTCTCTGCCGACCACGCTCTCGTAGCGGGACTGTCAAACGGACGAGATTGTGTTTCGATGAGATTCATGACAAGATCAGGGGATCAAGAAGCGCCGAAGCGATCGGAAATCGGATTTCGAGCGGGGATTTTCTTGGAATTTTTGAGGTTTTTCGGTAAAAGTTTGGTATAGAAGCGCCCGATTCAACGAGGAATAGCTCTGGAAGCTGCGACAGTTGAGGAGTTCAGGAATTCACTACTTTTGAGTTTTCTTGGAATTTATCGATTTTTTGACGGAATATGAATACCTGAAGTTAGCTATGCAATTGTAGAGTTTTCCTGACTGCATTTTCATATGGGATTATTCAGCGATGTCAAAAAATGGAATGGAATATAAAAACAGTGCGTTTTTCGGTTTCTGACAAATTTTTTTTTCTGCTGAATAAGCCCATAAAAATTCTCTGGCATTTTTTCGAAATGCTTATTAACGAGTTTTCTAGCCTTTTCAGATTTTGAACTCTGAGCCGATTCTTCATAGATCCTCTCCCTCTCTCTCTCTCTGAAATGCCACTAACTCTCTCCGCTATTATATTTCTCCCTTTTCCCATTCGGCCACTTCATCGTCTCATTTTATTCATCGTCACTGAATACGCACGTAATCGGCGCGAGCGAAAGTGAAGGGATCCTCCTTCGTTGGCGCGGCGGCGGCGGCGGCGGCGGGGATGAGAAGATGATGATTGTGTCTGGTACCAACTTGTACAAACATCACACACACACACACACGGATCGGATCGGAGGGAGGGGACAAGACAAAACATGTGAATATGCGATGAAATGGGACTGAGATGTAATGGGTGAATAATAAAAATAACCGCCAAACAATCCGAAAATCCTCCTAAATTTCACAATTTTTTTTTGCAGAAAACGCTGGAAACGGACGAGTGCTGAATCCGGCGAGCATCTCGCTGAACGCCTCTTCGTCTTCGGGATACTCGCTCCAATCGACGGCATCGTCTTCTTCGTCGTCTTCCTCCTCCTCCTCCACTACCTCGTCTTCATCTTCCACTTCTGGCGCATTTCCAAAGACGTCGTCGACGGGCGAACGACGCAAGTATCCGCAATTGCAGTTGACGGAAGAGGAGAAGCGGCTCTGCAAGAAGGAGGGAATATTCCTGCCCGAGTGCTATCCGCTCACCAAGGCCGAAGAGCGCGATCTCAAGAAGATTCGACGAAAAATTCGCAACAAGAGAAGCGCGCAGACGAGCCGAAAGAGGAAACAGGTGGGAGAGTTGCGGCGGATTTTTGAGAAGACTGCGTTTTTGTTTCACAAAAGCAGTTTCACAAAAAGTTTATTTCAAGTTTCTTTCTCTTTCCAAATTAAAAAATGCGTCCAGAAGAGATGTGCTCAAAAAATTGCACTTTTTCCACCTGATTTCCCGTCCGATTCGACCTTTTCCGAGTGCCGCGACGGCAAAACAGTGTTGACCCAGTGCCAGGTGGTGGCTCGGCTCTTTTTTCGAGCCGAGATCACGTTTTATTTGTCTGACCGCTGAGAAAATAGTTGGCTGGCACTGATGGCACAAGACAAGAAAAGTACACACACACAACTGGTTGGAAATTTGGGGGATTTTGTGAGAAAATCCCAATTTTCGATCAACAGCTCACTTGTCAATTCCAAAAATTTGCCTCAACTTTTTGATAAAAGTCTCCTCGACGTGTCCATCCGCGTCGTGTCATTAGTATCGTCATGCGACGATCTTCACACGGAATTGGCCTAAATTCGGCCGAAAACACATGTTCATACCTTGTTTTCCAAGGTTGTCAGCTGACTGACTTTTTCGACAAAAGTGGGACAGAAGGAGCGTGACGACGAGAAACGGCATTGAGAACATTTTTGGGGTTCTTTTGGAGTCGGGGACAATATTAACCTAGAAAAAGATTAGTGCTTCAAAAACGGTAGTTGCTCTTTTGGCGTCTTGTAATGTAATGCGTTGTTCATAGGCGCATTGAGGAAAGAAAGTCAAATCAAATCAGGATAAAACACAATTTGTTACGCTTTCGAATCGGGTAATTTTATGTGCACGGCGTGCTGAAATCACGAGCGTTCGAACTGTTACGCGCATGCAAGCGCGCCCTACCGAACATCGTCGGCGTCTCTTCAATCTCGCACTCTCTAATTTGAATAAATAAACAGCTGGCCTAAAATTTGCGTAGTATCTGGTGCCAAGTACGCAAAATATCTAGAACGGTGTTTGCACAGGGGCGACACGCAGCCAATGGGCGTACGCCGGCGTAAAGGCGGCAAACGAAAATTTTGAATCGGTGCGTAGCGCCCACGAGCGTTCGAACTGTTACGCGCATGCAAGCGCGCCCTACCGAACATCGTCGGCGTCTCTTCAATCTCGCACTCTCTAATTTGAATAAATAAACAGCTGGCCTAAAATTTGCGTAGTATCTGGTGCCAAGTACGCAAAATATCTAGAACGGTGTTTGCACAGGGGCGACACGCAGCCAATGGGCGTACGCCGGCGTAAAGGCGGCAAACGAAAATTTTGAATCGGTGCGTAGCGCCCACGAGCGTTCGAACTGTTACGCGCATGCAAGCGCGCCCTACCGAACATCGTCGGCGTCTCTTCAATCTCGCACTCTCTAATTTGAATAAATAAACAGCTGGCCTAAAATTTGCGTAGTATCTGGTGCCAAGTACGCAAAATATCTAGAACGGTGTTTGCACAGGGGCGACACGCAGCCAATGGGCGTACGCCGGTGTAAAGGCGGCAAACGAAAATTTTGAATCGGTGCGTAGCGCCCTTCGAAAATAAATTCAAATTTTTATGGCGGGAGTTCTGAATGAACACACGTGAGCGCCCTTCGAAAATAAATTCAAATTTTTATGGCGGGAGTTCTGAATGAACACACGTGTGAAATGTATGTTGAATTCGCTGGCACAGTGACAGTGTACATTGGAGCGCACTTGCAGCACAAACGCTTCAGCTCGCCGTGTTGTCGAAAACCCGATCTTTTTACCGACTGAATGAGCCAATCACAACAAACGATTGCAAAAAAAATAGTGACTTTTACAAACAAATGAATTTTGCAGGATTACATTGAGCAACTGGAGGACCGTGTGAACAAATCGACGAAGGAGAACAATGCGCTGAAGCAGCAAATCGAGCGGCTCACGAGCGAGAATCAGTCGGTGCTGTCGCAGCTGAAAAAGTTGCAGACGCAGTTGTACCAGTCGGCGAAGAGAAGTTCGCAAGCGGGCACCTGCCTCGCCGTCATCATGCTCTCCGCGTGCCTACTCGTCGCGCCCCACCTCAATCCCCTGGTTTGTGCTTTTTTGGTTTTTTTTTAAATCGAAGAAAAAAAAGTTAAAGTGATTTTATTGTGAAACTGAAAATTTCTCGATGAACGTCGTTAAGTTCCCCTCTCAAAATCCACATTTTCAGACGCACCCGGACGCGCAGAACGCTCTGGAATGCGTGGAGGAAGCGTGCCAACAGACGGCGCCCACTTCCGGAGCATCTTCCGCGGCGGCCACGTCGGCGCCGCCCACGCAAAGAGTGCCGGCTGTGATTGCATCGGCCGCCGCCGGACGCCACGTCATCAACGGCCACCAGCAGCAGCAGCAGCAGCAGCAGAACCACAACAATAATAATGTGGTGAAATATCAGAACCACAGTAGCAGTCCGAATCAGTTGAACCACATGGAAAATCCGCCGCCGCCCACTCTCCAACCGCAGCAGCAACAGCCGAACACGATGGCGATGGCGATGGCCAAGATTGCGGTGACGTCGACGACGCGCAAGACGTCCGGAGCATCCGCGCACACTGTCGGATCCGGAAGGTACGCATTTTTTTTTGGGGACGGGAACTTTTTTCCGCATATTTATAGTTTCTATGGAAATAGGGGTTAGGCAAAAGGCCGGTCCAGGCTTTTTGAGGCCTGGACTATTGGCCTTTGCAGGCTTCTTGAACTTGAAGTGTATTGGGTTCAAGTTACAGACCGATCCGATTATCCGATCATCGGAGGCCGAAAAGGCCACAATATTCGCAAAACCCCGGCCTTTTCGGTCTCAGATCCACATATTTGGGGACCAGATGATGCGATCTGTCTGAAAGAAAAATTTCGAAACAGATATTGATTTTTACAGTTTCAGCCTCAAAACTTGAAACCAGATTCTATTAGTGAATCTCAGTTCTGTGTTTTCGCACCTTTCCCGAAAAGTTTCCCACATGTGACTTTGGGACGAAAATGGAAATACTTTAAGAAAAACAAGAGAATATCTCAATTTTGCAGTACGTCCGCCTCGTCGAGATCCTCCTCGTCCTCGTCGTCGCCAATCTACCGTACCTCGCGCACTCTGGCCTACGAGGAGCAGTGCGACGCGCACTCGGACGACCTGAACTGCGCGAACATCATGCCGCCGTTGGTGCCGATGAAGATGGTGTCGGCGCCGAAACGAAAGATGACGGTGATGCAGCCACGTGTCACTTACAGAGCTGTGGTACCGACGAACGGAGGAGGCGCCGCCCATCACTATTATAAGATGCAACAGCAGCAGCAGCAGCAACAGCAAATGCAGCCGAAAGTACAGTATGTGGCCGTGGAGAGACCCATCAAGTATGAAGTGGTATGTAGCATTTTTATGAGCGAAAATATACTGACAAGGCTTCTTTTCAGTTTCAATTGAGCGATTACCTAAAAATGGAGGACTCTGACTCGTCGTCCCCGTCTTCGCTCCGTCTTCCGACTTCGTGGACCCCGTCAACGGCGCCGCCACGTCTTCAGGCCCAAGTGAATCGGACGGGCCGCCCGATCACCGCTACGGTAACCCATTTCGGTGGAAATGGAGGCGGAGTGCCGGCTAAAAAAGTCAAGACCCAAATGTTCTAGAAAAAACTGTTTTTTCTCTTGTGCGCCCCCTAATTTTTTCGATGTCTTCCGGTCGCTTCGAGACCCGGTAAACCCAAAAAAAAATGTTTTTTTTTTCTTTCTCTCTATCCCATTGAGTTGACCTCTTTTTATGTATTTATCCCAAAAATCTATTGCCTGCCACTAGTCGCCGCCCGTCTGAGATACCCCCCACACAACAATTCTAATCATTCTTCAAGTGCAAAAAAATATCCGGGTTTTTCTTCTTTTCCTTCTCTTTCCAATTAAACAAATCTGTCTATATATCCGTCCGCCCCTACCTGTTTTGTTGAGTTTCATCTTGTTTTCGTCCCCCAAAAAAATTATTATTATTAATCACGCCGTCCCCGCAAAAGAATCACTTGTCTGCGTATCCCCTCTCTCCCCCCTAATATCTCCATTTCTCTCTTCTCTCTCGCTGATTTTTCCCATTGAAAAAGTATTGGTTTGCTCTTTTTTTTTTAAATTACTGTTCAAATTGTATTCATCGTTTTTTTTTGTATTGACCCACTTTTGAACACGTAAAGTCTTGCTTTGGTGAATTTTCGGTTTTTTATAATCAGATACTCCTCACAGCATTCTTCAGCCATTCTGAGTACGAATTGCCGCGCGTAAAAACTTTGGATATCTTTTACTTTTCGAAAAAAAAACTCGTTTCTCTTCTCTTTCTCGCAGATTTAAGTCAGTTTCATGCCGATTTTCAGAAGCAGCGTTGTCGAATCATTCGGGCGTTTCGTGTTTCCAGAAGGTTCGAGGCCACCGTGCAAAGTTTTGAAATCCCGACGATGCTGATCACTAATTTTGCCCTTATTTTGTGCCAAAATATCGTGGAAATTATTTTCCAGCTCAAAATGACTCAAAAATAGCGAGTCGTGCATTTGAATTTGTGAAAAGTGTCCTCTCCCTCTTCGCTTTCATCTTTTTTGTTTGAATAGGCGACTGATGAGAACATTTCTTATGCGGCCCAGCGAAAGAAGAAAAAAAACGCATTTTATCCAATTTCGAAGTCACGCAATTTGATACGCACAAATGTTGAGCACATTTTTCATATTTTTCGCCATTTGCCACACTGTTTTTGCACAAATCTGCGAGCCGATTCATGCGCAGACCCATGGAATCAATTTGGTAATTGAAAAGCACACTTTTTTCTCAAAAATTAAAACAATTTTTTCAGGTCTGTTGTTCTCTAAATCAAACTTTGATGCCGAGCTGCGAATTCTCGTCACTTTGCCAAGAACATTGCTCGTGTTTTCTGACGATTACTCGCGATTTGACGTGTGATTCGGGGACGTCGGCTGGAAATGAGGTTTCTAGACGATTTGGTGTGGTTTTTCGAAATCGGCAAGATCGAATTAGGCGGAAATTGTGGAAATTTGGGTCAATGTTTTATGGTTGCCGGCAGAGTTGAGCGGAAGAACTCAACGGAAGAACACGGAAGAATTTTTTATATTTTTTAGAAAATTTTTTCATGGAATGTGATCAACTGACGAAAAATAATTGTAAATTTAGCTTTTCATACAAAAAAGTTATTCCTTCCGTCTTCCGTTAGCCCTCCTTTTTTCACGGAACAACTCGAATAACTTTTTTGTATGAAAAGCTAAATTTACAAATATTTTTCTATGAGCACAGTTCACTTTGCTATACATTTCGTCAGTTGATCACATTTCATGAAAAAATTTTCTAAAAAAGATAAAAAAAATTCTTCCGTGTTCTTCCGTTGAGTTCTTCCGCTCAACTCTGGTTGCCGGCGTTCCGATTTTCCATATAAAAACTGCGAATCTCAACTATTTTCAGACGTATCACTGGCTCGACCACAAACCGAACCACTCCCCACTTCCATGTTCGCAACCTAATTTACCGAATGCAAACTCGCCCTACACTATTGTGGTCGAGAATTCGAACGAAACGTAGGGGAGAGGGTCTCGAGGCGAAAGGGTTACTGTAGCGAAACTTTTGCAGTTCGACGTATGAATTTCTGCTCGGCGCCTGCTCCCTGAATGTCACTTCGATCACTTTTCAACACTATCACCCCCAATATGATGCGATCGACTTTGGAGAATGTTTTCCCAATTTGGCATCGTTTCAAGTCGTCTTACTGTGAGCACATTTTGGGATTAATTTGGGATTCAGTAGCGATCATTTGCAGTCAACGAACGCGTGCGAGTTTCACAATATCTCTAAAAAATCTGAAAAATCTGAAAATCCTCTCCCTCGTCAACGTGGATTTCGAGTTTTGGCTGCAGCCGTCGCCGTTTCTCAATTCGATCACCTACATTCACATTGAGAACTCTTCGATGACCGAACTACCGAAATGGTTGGCTCAGAGCCAATCTCTCGCCACGCTCTACTTGAAAGGTAAACAAAAAACGCGAAAAAGTTTGACCGTCAAGGGGTCCATGCCAATTTTTAAAAATTGCCGCGTACCCGTAACCGTCAAGGGTCCATGCCAATTTTTAAAAATTGCCGCGTACCCGTAACCGTCAAGGGGTCCATGCCAATTTTTAAAAATTGCTGCGTACCCGTGACCGGTCCCTCCATGCAAACCCCACGGTCCGTCGCCGACCGCCCTTGTCCTTATAGGCACGCTCGTCGCGTCGCTCGCGCCCATCGCCCAGCTGCCCGCCGTTCGCAGTCTGAAGCTGTCGCACAACGCCGTCGAGCACCTCCACCGCCTGCTTTTCGTCTCTCCCCTCCTCATTCACGTCGACCTCAGCTACAATCGGGTTGGTTTTTATTGGAATAGAAAAAAAGTGCAAAAAATCCGGGTGTTTTCTTAGAAATTTTAAAATTTTAAGCTTTGCGGCCAACATTTCAATTTTCAGATAACTTCGTTCGCTTCGCACACCTTCAGCAAATGCCACGACTTGCGAGTGCTCGATTTGTCCGGAAATCCCATAAAAATGCTGCCCTACAAGCCGTTTGCGAAGAATATTCGCCTAAAATGGCTCAAGTTGAGCAGGACCAATATTTCGGTGGGTTACTCTGTGTCTGTAGACGCTAAATACGACTTTTTTTTGCAGACCCTCTCGCCGGACCACTTTTTCGGCCTCTCCTCACTGAAAACGCTGTCCCTGTCGCGGATGCCGATCCAATCGATATCCGCGCACGCATTCGTGCCACTGAAAGCCCTTCGCTACCTGGAAATGGACTCGTGCAACCTGACGCGGATCCCGCTGGCGGTCACTTCCAACTGCCACCTCGCCCGCCTTAATCTGGCCAACAACCTGCTCCATCGCGCCAGTTCGATGCCTCCCGAAGTGATGGCCATGTTGAGTGGGCTCAGCCAATTACGGATCGACGGAAACCCGCTGAGTGTGAGTTTTGTTTGTTTTTTTGGAAAAAAAAATACCGAAATTGTCGAGAACCCCACGGTCTCCAGAGCAGACAATGGGCGCAAGTGCGCCCCGCCCAATCAAGCGATACATTGGCGCGAAATTTAAATTTTAACAGTAAAATTTGTATTTTTGCCAGATTAGCCACGAAAAACCGATAATTTCTCATTTGTCTCTCGATACACCGATTTTATAGCCGATTACGAATTTTTTAAGCGCAAGAGCGTTAAATTTGGTCAAGTCGCAAATCACATTTATCCGTTTCAAGGTTTTTGGCTAAAACTGCGTGAATTTCAGTTGCTTTTTGGTAATTTTCGCGGTTCGAGCGCTTAAAATGCTTGTATTTACGTGATTTATCATTCTCAAAACCAGTTCTGTCGGAAAACGGTCAAGAAAGCGCAAAATGAGAAGTGCGGTTTTTAGGCGGCGAAGGCAATAAAGCAAAGTCCGCGAAAGATGCGCCAAAACGTCATTAATTCTGAAAATTAGTGTGTTTTCATGTCGAACAATCATTTTTCATCGCTTTTGACCACACAAATCAGAGAAAACCTGCTCAATTCATGAAAACGCCATTTGGCCGAGGGGCCACGCCCATATTGTAGGCTCTGGAGACCGTAAACCCGCAAAGAAAAAAGTGCGTTTGTGCAGGAATTCCCCTCCTCGCTTTTGCTGATCTCGCGCGAGAACGTCCGTCTGCTCCGACACCTCCTTCACTCCACAATGACGCTTCCCGTGTGGCTCCGCGAGCCCTGTGCCCCTTATTATTGGGCCATGCACTTGGCTAACAGGTACTCTATCTTTTCTTTTTTTTCATTTTCACAATTCTTTTATATACTTTTCTGAAATTTTCTTTCTAATCCGGCGGGTCCCTCTCGGCATCTCCACTAGTTTCTTCGAAATTCTAGACGGCAATTCCAAACATTTCCAGAACATCGAACCTAAAAACATTTGTCAATCAATATTCGGACGTGAAAATGGAGAAAAACGGACTGGGTTACTGTAGGGAACAGTACGAATGGATGATGGAACAAATGGAGGTTTACCGCGAGTTGGAGAAGAATTCCGGTCGGTTACTGTTTCAGGAAAAGAATGAGAGCATCCCGTACATTCGAAGTAATCATTCAATTTCTATTTTGCAGGATGTTACTCTCTCCGCCGTCTCCGCTCTTCCATTTCCGCTTCCAAACCGTCTCCCCCCTCCAAAATCGCTCAAAATTCGTCTCAGTTGCCACTGGACCCGTCGGAAACGTTCCAGATTCCAATTCTTCTTCTCATTTCGTTATGCGCCAATTTTCTGCTGCTCTTTTCTGTGCTCATGTGCTCCGTAATGGCGTGTCGATGGGAAAAGCCAGACGACGTTTAACTTCAATTCGATTCGCAACAGATAAATATTAATTAAAGAAAAATGGGAACAAGCATTGAATATTTGAGAGAAAAACCCGAACATGACATTCGAGATTTCTGGAAAAGGTTAAAACATTTGGGGGAATCAGATGCGAAGAGCCTGGAATTGAGTGAAGCACTCGACGACGTTCGGATCGATTCCTTCTACCGAAAACACCTCATCCGCCAGTGTGGCCGTGTGTTTCAGCAGCGTTTCCGAGTGCTGAAAAATATATTTGCAATAATGCATTCTTCATTCTATACAAAAAAAACTCACATAAAGGAGGACGTGGCAGAATCGTCCGCGGAGCCACGTGAATTTGGCCGACGGAGCCGTCGAATCGCCAATGGATCCGTCCATTTCCGAGTTGTTCGCTGCCGACGCGGCCGTCTTCATTTCTTCGATGAAAAACTGCAAAAAGTGGGTAGATTTATAATAATTTTTTGAAACTGTGCTCAATCATTTCAATGCATTTCTATAATTTTGCCGGTTTTTTTAAAGCAATTGTTTAAGAGTGCACTCACCGAAAGGACGTCGACGAAAAGACCCTTCTGGAATCCGGACATGGCCTCCAGTTTCTTTCTGTGATTTTCCAGCTCATCGAGATCCCGTTGACGCTTATCGTCTTCCGTCTGACAATGAAAATTTTTTAAAAAAAAAGAAGCCGGGTTTCAGGCTTGTCTACGGGGATTGAAACAATTTATAAAAAATACCTCAACTCCTCCCTCCTCCGATTTCACTTCGCTCTCCAATTTTTCCGCCAATTCTTTGATGTCCTTCTCGACTACTGTAATCTGACGGGTCAGCTTCTCCAGGGCCTGATTGAGCACTTCGAACAGCCATTGTCTGAAGAAATGGTCATTTTTCACTTTGAAGAAACGTCCAAAAAACGTTTTCCTTCGTTTCAATTATTTCGCTACAATTGCATGCTGTTTTTTCGACCGTTTCGGCGGAAAAATGATAATAAATTGCAAAAACGAACCGATCGTGTTCGTGCCACATACGCTCCTCGAAGAGCCATGTGATGACCGAGGAGCAGTCGAGCACCTGCATCTTGAGCAGTTTGTCGATGAGGATCATCAGCATTTGCTGGTTGGACTTCCAGCACGAGTACAGCGTGTCCAGCAGCTTCTCGTGGTACTGGTCCGACGCGTCGCACACCGTTTTCAGCGTCGCCTGGTATCTGGAAAAATGATTTGAAGATAGCATTTTTAGGAGGAGTAAAGGGAGTAGGGAAAACAATAAAACAGATGGCGTATATCGACACTTTTAGCTCAAAATGACTTCTTTTAAAATCATTTTTCTTTTTACCTAAAATTTATCAAAAACGTTCAAATAGGTACCTGGCGAGTGCGGCAAAATTGTGGCTGTACGTTTTGGACGCCATCCGCAGCATGACCATCACAAAAATGCCGAAATCGTTGATATTGTAGGGCAAATCGCCGTCGTCGCCCGTTTTGAGCTCATTTATGAACGCCTCCGCCGGCGCGCGCTCCTCGAACATTTTCGTGTACGTCGACGCCTTTTCCTCCATCTCTTTGTCGTCTGCAAACATTGACTTTTTCGTTCCGTCCGATAAAAAGTTATCGACGAGATGAGCAGTGATATCGAAAAATACAAAAAAAAACGTCTGGAATCCGAAAAACGAACCCTCATCGATAAGGTATCTGACTTCCGGCGAACACGGATGAATTTTGACGAAATCCGTCGGCAAAGAGGCCAAAATCTTCTCGTAACTGCCCAGGCGACGGCATTTTTCAATCACTTCACGCACAAATATTTGGCTCCCCGAGAAGGTGTCTTTCTGAATAAAACATACGAATATTTGAATGAAAAATGATGAGAAAAAGTATTTCAATAAAAACAACCGCACCTCAATGCAGTCCTTCCAATCGGACCAAGTGTACTTGTACTGGAAGTTGGACAAATGGAAACTGAACCAGTCAACCATTCTGTAAATTGAACGAGTTCTGAAATGTTTCCGAAACTGCCACGTACCTGTCGACACAAATCGGCTGCATCGCATCGGCGCGACGGTAGATGAGTTCGACCGTTTGGACGAGAATCGCCGGATATTCGTTCGGTTTCAGACGCAGTAATTCCAGAAGCAGCGAGCCTGACACAATTGGAAAATTTGCATTGTTAGTTTCCCATTGAAAAGATAGATCGTAACTTTTTGTTTAGATACAAACTCACAATGGAAAAGAGACGGATAGGGCGGGTGCGGGAGACGGAGCATTTGTCCGAAAATGGTCTCGAAAATGAGAAATCCGATGGGCACCGAAGGATTTTCGTCGGCGAACGCGAGTAATTCGCGCGCGCACGCCTTTCGATTCGTTTGATTCTTTTCGATGATCCACGCGATTTCGGCCTCGAAGAGGAGACGTTCGATCGAGTGACCGCCCGGCAGTTGCACGCTCTGCAACACACTTTTCAGCATTTTTAAAAATAATTTTTTTTATAAAAAAAAAGGCAACTATCTGTACGAAAAATTGAATTTTGAAAATTTCAACAACAACCAATGCTAACTTACATCGGCTCCGCAATCCGATTGCTCGAAAAGACGGAAAACGACGAGCGGGTACGGATAGATCATTTCTTCAGTGTGCGCGGGGGCGGAGAATCTGCAAAAAGTACGGTTATTTCGATGAGAACCGTGGGGCAATTGTCCTAGTTAAAAGCTTGGATTTAAGCGCTCAACCGTCGAAAAAATATGCAAAATTGAGAATGTTGAGGCATTTTGAAGGTCGGATCAGAAAAATCGCCGAAAAACGTACCCGGGCAGATTGTGCTGGAGAGCGTCGCGAAGGGTGGCCTCGAAGCCGACGTAGTGTCTCTGAATGTGCCGTTCTTGCCAATTCGCCTGTCGGAGCACTTCGATTTGCGCCGAAAGACTGTCCAGATAGTCCTCTTGTGCCAGATCGCCGTGGCGCCACACTTGCAGCAGCTGCAAAATTAAAGGTAATGTCCAAATTTTAGGGTTGTGATTATCAGGAGAACGTCATGCAAGATTTTCCGAATATTTTAAATTGTGATTATAAAATTGCGTGCTCACCGGCACGTGGTCCTTGTTTCTCTGCTCGAGATATCCGGCAATCGCCTGCACAATATTCTCCATCAGTTCGTTCGCCTTTTCGGTCATTTCACGCCCGATCCACGGAAGACAGCGGAGCACCGTTTGGATGTAGTAGTCGGTGCGCACCTGCAAAATATTGAAAATTCATTTTTCATAATATCAAGCGCCAGAAATCCGGAGCTTGACGGTTAATAGAAAAATGCCAACCTGCGGGGTGTCATCCTGACAGGCGGCCGTCACGAGACTCTCCAGATATTCTCCGATCGACTGGAGTGTCAGCACACCACAATTTCCGAGATCGCACAGAAAAATGGCCAGATTCTGTGCCTCCTGATACTTTTGCTTTTCGAGGAGCTCTTGCTGCTCGGCCATCAGTTTTTCGACGACGTCTCCGCCGAAATTGAAGTTTTTCGAGTTGAGCAGGCCGACGAGCGTCGTGTAGACGGTCACGCGGTGCGGGAGGTAGATGGCGCACCCGGCCACGATGTCGATGATGGTCGAACGGTACTTGTCGAGGTCGTCCTGCAGGAACTTGGTCAGCTGCTCCAGGTTGCACTCGATCGACGAGCCCGCGTTCTGCAAAACTGTTTTTTTCTCAATTTTTTTCAAAAAAAAATTCTCTGACCTTATCTCCGACTCTGCCAATCACTTCCTGCAGCTTCTTCTCCACTTCATTGAGAAGCGGAGCTCCGCGACGTCGCTTATTTTGAATTTCATCGTCGTCTGCAACAATTGTTTGTACTCCACTGTAAATTCCGGACAAAACCGATAACATACCGTCATTATAGGCTCTTCGACGCATTCCCGACATTTTTCCACGAATAAATCAATGGGATTTGGTGGTTTTCTGCAAAAAATCGGTGAGGAATGGAGGGATATTCGAAAAAACGCAAAGCGCTAAACACGGAGCGATTGCGGAATTTTCGGAGTGTCGTTGACATTTCTCCTTTTTCTTTCTACGTCTCTCAAGGCGAGAGAGCACTGAACCCCCAAATCTCCGCTCAAAAATCAATAATTTCCGCTAAAATGAGCTCGTCGAGCAAGCAAATCGAAGAACCGATGCAGGAAGACTCTGCCAACGCTCAGTAAGCTCCTAACAATCAAAAAAAAACGAAAAATCTATTATAGAAAGCAAAAATCGGCGAATCCGACCGAAAACCGTCCATTTGCGCTCAAAAAGTGGAATGCGTTGGCGATCTGGGCGTGGGACGTCGAATGTGACACCTGTGCCATCTGCAGAGTCCACTTAATGGGTTTGTTTGCGATTTTACAGACATCAATATGATCGAGTTTTGGAGAGACATTAAAAAAACCACTTATCGCAGATTTGAGATGAGGCTACGCCGAGAGCCAGAACTGTCCCGAATTAGAACCTACCTGCAGGTAATTCTTGTTACAAAAAGTCATGTTCTGACGGGTTCTGGACAGTTCTGGCTTGGCGTAGACTCCCTGAGATTGTCGGGAGTTAACGTTAAAAAGTTTTTTAGAAACAGAAATAGTTTGACTGAGGTTATACTGTTGAAAACGAAAAGGTTCGACATTCGAATCAGAGTTGGCAGCGAGCCAAGGACACGCCCCCCAAACAGCGTGCGCAGTTGCAGTGAAAACTGTTTTTGGGGGGGGGGGGGGCGTGTCCTTGGCTCGCGGCCAACTCCGATTCGAATGTCGAACCATTTTTTCAACAGTAATTAGATTCAGAAAACTCGGAGAATCTATAGAAAAACAAAATAAGAACCACTGAAAATTTGGATAAAAATATCATCAAAATTCGATCTATTATCCATATATCAATCAATATATATCGATCGTGAAGATAAACATGGACTTTTTGAGAAACAGAAAAATATATTCAATTCAAAAGTTTTCCCAAAAGTGGAACAAAACATCGACTAAAACGTATTTCTTTTTTCAGAAGAGTGTCTGCGATGCCAATCGGAGCCGTCGGCCGAGTGCTACGTGGTGTGGGGCGACTGCAATCACTCGTTCCACCACTGCTGCATGACGCAGTGGGTCCGACAGAACAACCGATGTCCGCTCTGCCAGAAGGACTGGGTCGTCAGCCGCACCAGCAAGTGATCGCTCTTTCTCTTGCACACAAATTCTCTGATTTTTATCCTCCTACTAACCCTTTTCCCCTCGAATTTTATCTGTAAATTTCCCACACATCATCATGTTCATTGTTCTCTGTAAAAACGCCGATACTTCATCGAATGAATGAGCGTCTCGAAGAAAAAATAAACAGAAAAGCACGCACAAAAGATTGTTTTTCGGCCGCCGCCATCATAATTTTTGCGTTGGCATCACGGACCATTACTATCACAACACGGACTGTACGATCGGAGCCGCTTTTCGCGAGATGCTCACTTTTATACATCTGATATGACGAATATTTGAAATGACCACAGGTACGCTCAGAATTTTTTTATTTGAAAATAACTGGAAAACTTGAATCTTAACGGGTTTTGATTCGAAAATCGGCAAAATAACCTTTTTTTTAAGCAGCGCAAAGAAATTAGACAAAAACCGATCGAAGAATTGAAAATTGTGAGCAGCGCGCAAGATTGCTGACTTTTCGTCTCTTTTTAAATATATTCTTTACTCAAAATGTGTTTGCATCGAGTTTGACAAAAAGTTACGCAAGTAACGAGAAAAACAACTGAAAATCAGTTGTCGCGGCGCAAATTTACGTTTTGTTCGCACGTTTTCATTGTAACAACGACACTCCGTAAGCTTCGCGCTCTAACCATTTTTCGACTACCTTTGAACAAATTTATCTATTCTTTTAAAAAAGTGAACCCTTTTTTACAGACTTGCCAGATTTTGGGCCGGCCATGCGGGCCGGTAAAGTGCCGGCCCGGTCGGCCCGGTTCAAAAGGCGGGAATTCAAATTTTCGCGGAAATTTTTTTTTCGTTATTACAAAAAAAATTTTCGAACTAAAGTTTTAGTGTTTCTTCTTTGTTTTTTGCTATTATGAATTTTTATGAGAAATACATTTGTTTTTCAATGTTCGATGCTTGCAAAAAACCCCTAATTCTACAAAAAATGGCTTCATGCGATCAATAATTCAAATTTTAAATTCCCGCTTTTTGAACCGGGCCGACCGGGCCGGGCCGGGCCGGAGTTTTGGAAATTTCGGCCCGGCCCGTGGCAACTATGCTTTTTTATGTGTCTGTCTGAAAATTGTGTCTAACGCAAACAATTTCCGACGGTTTTTCTAGGCCACAGAGCGTTTGACTGCGCGCTGCTGTTCCGGGTTTTTCTTTAAAAACATACATATCTTTTCCAGAATTCTTCTCCCGTCATCCGGAACGCGGCGTGTTCAAGCGTGTACGATCGGTGATACTCCGTCCGAGCCAGACTCCGGCCACTTGTGTGCCACGTGGCAGTTTGACGAGAAGTCACAGCGCGCGCGGAGATGCGGACAACAAACGGAAACGGGCGGTGCTCCGGAGACAGAATGCGATCGACGATCACGAGTGAGTTGACAAATAAATTACTGCTTCAAAATAATGATTGAAAAAAATTTGAACACTTTATTTTTTTAAAACACCGATCGATTTTTAAGAAACCCTGTAAATAAAAGGTAAAAAAATGAATGAAACCCCGTGATTTGTTAGTTTTTTTGCAAGGGTTCATTGTCTGACTCATTCTCGATAAAATCTCGTTCCGCATCGTTCTTGCCAATCTTTTTGTTCCACATTCTTCGCTTCATCATAACTTTATAATTACATCAAATGAGTATTTGTACGAATATTTTCTGTTTCAATCAACTTACTACAAACGCTTTTTTTCCAGTTTTGAGGATAGTAAAACAAAACCCCGTTCTTGTGTTTTCAATATTTCCAAAATTTTGACATGCTCATATTTCGAATCATTTCTTTCTGTGATCGTTGAATTAATTAGATTAACTGTTTCAAATACTATTCTCAAAGTACAAAATATCAAATCGCTGCTCTGACATCTCTTGCTATCATATATTTTTTTAATATCTCAACTCTCCTTCGTGATAACGTTTTTTTGGTAGTGGCTTCTAAAAATGAGAAGAAAACCAAACTACACTGCTCTTTTTCCGCCCTTATCATACACTTTTTCGTTCGGTTAACTATGCGTTGATGAAATCACATAAAACTTTTCCGTTTTCCGACACGAGACACGGAAAATTAGAGCAATTTTGTCTATGCTATCTATGCGTGTCCGTGCACATTTCGGCAATGATAACGGACAGAAAATGGGGAGAGCAAGGCACGATTTGGGCCGGAAAACCGGGATTTGTGCAACGGGAAATTGCTTTTTGTTTTTGCCACTGGCATCGGCCCGGCCCATGCTTTCTGGACTTTTAATCCGCTTACAATCATCCGATCGGACCCAAACTTTGCAGGTTCCGTGCACTTGGATTGGAGTGTTTCGGGTCCAAGTTTCGGATCGATCGGATCATCCGGTCCCGAGATATACCAGTTTTCATCGGGAAAAGTCTAGATTTTTGCGAAAATTGCATATATCTCATCAGGGCCAAATGGTCCAAAAGTCCAAGCCTGGCCCTATCCTCTATTTTTCGTGCTCCACACTCGGTATTTGCTCACACACACACACACACATTTTTCGGGTACAAAAGGTCACTACAAACCCATTTTCTCTCTCTCTATTTCTCGTTGTTTGCGTGTCTGTTTTCTCAGTCTCACGAGGAGCAAAAGTGTGTCTGTTTGTGATTTTTCGGTGGAAAAAAGGAAAAATGTTGGTTTTGACCGTTCCGTGTGTGTACTTTGTGCACTACGATAATCAGGAACTCGCGGGATGTTTGGAAAAACGGAAAAGTGAACTTTGTAGGCTCTTTTTTGGTCATTTTCACAGAAATGCATCTCAATCTCAATTCGGCCCTCTCAATTTGATAAAGAATTATGGGCGCCGAATCGTCAAAACACTTTCAGAATTGGGCGAGTGTTTGGTGCAATAAAATCGGCATTTTCTAGTCTCGTGCTCCTTCCGGAGCACTTTTCCGTTCCGTGACTCGCTTGTGCTCCCTTTCTCGGTCCAATTTTGATAAGCGGGCGGGCAGAGAGTTTATCAGTTGAAAATGAAGAAGAAGAAGAAGGAGAAGAAGAGGGAGGAGAGTGTCAACATATATATGTATATATATATAGGCACACTCACACAATATCAGATTGTGTGCTAGATTGTCCACTTATCGATTTTTGAATTTTTGTTTTGAATTTTACCGTTGAAAATCGCCTTCTCCTTAAAGAAATTCTATTAAACAAAAAGGAAAAAGAGTTGGCCGAATCGACAATATTCGCCGATTGGTTGACGATGACCGCCCGTCCGACGTCCCTTTCGGACGCCGGCATTCAGTTGGCTCCGGACGAGAATCACAGCGAATCCACGGAGAGTCTGGCCACTGAGACCCCTCTCAACACTAGTTCTTCGCTTGCCGAGTAAGCACCACACGCATTTTTGCAGAGTTTTTAGTGATCATTTTTAATATAATTTAAAACGAATTCCGTGGCACTGAAATTTTTTGAATTTAATAAACTGCCACGTGGCCCAAATCTCATAAAAGATAAGATGAGGAACCGCCCGGAAATGGTGAGAACTGACAAAAAATGAACATTCACCCGTTTGTTCACAACATTTCCGAGATGGTCTTCCGACGAAATCGCTCTTCGCAAGCAGAAATCGAGTAAATTAATTCATTTTCACAAATTTTCAATATTTCCTAAAAATTCAAAAATATCACTTTTTCAGATGCGACGACGCTACTCGTGCCAGGACCCGAATGGAGAAATATTTTGCGGAAAAACCGGATAAAAATATTTTTATGGTTTGTTTCTTTCTCGATTGTTTCTGTTATGGGGCTGTTCAGCGTATGTTTGTTTTCCGTTTTCTTTTTTCGTTTTTTTACACCGCTGAATTGGGTTTTTTTGACGTAAAAAAACGAAAAAAAAATCGTTTTTTTTTTACAGCCTGAATAACCCTATTATTTCAACGGCAATTCGTGACCTGAAAGTTTTAAATTCCAGAAACTCATCCATCCCAGCTACCACGAGCGAAATTTGCAATTCAAAAAAATCTTCGTCGACAAAGGACTCATCGACGAGACGGACCAGTTTTTGGCTTGTAAGTCGTACACTTTTCTGCTCAAAGTGCGGTTGTTCGGTGTCGATCGATATCCGCGCAAAATGCACCGAATCGTCAGAAGTTTCGAGAATAATTGTGTTTTCAAAAGTGTCATTGAAAGAAAATGCGCTCAATTCCCCTTTTGTAAGCTCTGAAGACCGTTCTTTTGCTAAATGTTTCGATACATTCATAAAAGTTGCATCATTTTCAGCGTATTCATGTGCGTACCAACGCGAAATCCTCGCCCAAGGCCGCATGTTCATCTCGCAGTTCAACGTGTGCTTCTACGCGAACATCATCGGCTGGGAGACCACTTTGGTCATTCCGATGCGAGAAATCAAAGTGATCAAGAAGATGAAGGCGGCGTTCATTTTCCCCAATTCCATTCAGGTTGGAAGATTTCGCCAAAAAAATTACAGTTTCACAATTTTGCAAAAGACAATTTCACGGCGACCAAAAGTGTAGAAAGGGGCGTGGCCTAATCTGAGACGCGTTTTCTGAAAATTGCCGCAATTCCAGCACTTTTCCGATATTTTTGTTTTTGATATCGACGAAAAAAGACATTAAAGAGAGAAAATATCGAAATTTTCGTGAAAACGCCGCGTTTGAGACGTTTTTGGCATATTTCGCAATACGCTCTCCGCGGCCAATCGCCGCCGCAATTTCGGAATTTTCATACCGGCCGATCTGGATAGTTTTGAGACGAAGTGAGTGTCGGAAGTGATTAAGCACGTTAACACAAGTATTTTAAGCGTTAAAACGGCAAAAAGTATCGGCGAATGACTGAAATTCGCGCATTTTCAGCACAAAACTTGAAAATCGATTCAATTGATTCATTTCTGAGTCAAACCTGCTCGTCTTAAACTCAAAAAGTGCGCGATGATTAGTTTATCCAAGTTATGCAATTACATCGTCGAAATCGTACAAAATTTGGGTAATTTTTGACGAAAAACATGAGAAATGGGGTTAAATTTCGAATTTCGCGCAAAAATGGTTATAAACCGTGCACGCTAGGCCCCACGCCCTTTTCTACCTTTTTGGTCGCCGTGAATTTCATGAAAACGTTTCCTAATAACAGCACAATTGGTTCGACCACCTCAAAAAAAAAACGAAAATGAAAGCGTATACTCAATTTTGCAGTTCGAACAAGAGGGCCGCAGCGAAAAGTACTTTTTCGCGTCGTTCATCAACCGCGACAAGTCGTTCCAAGTGCTCACGACCGCCCATCAGAAGGTGCTCGGCGCGACGGACGGAAAGGCGGCGATGACGCGCGAGGAGGTCTGGGACATGGTCTACAATAGCGAGGAGAAGGTACGTCTGCTTTTTTGAGTTTTCTCTCATTATTTTAATCGTACCAATTCCCCCCAAAATTGTACTTTGTCTTGCCGTCGGTTTCCAATTTCAGACTTCTCCCCAATCCGCACTTCCACCAGAAATAGGCCCAATTTGGTTAATGACGGGCTGTTGTGCACCTAGTTCACTGCATGTAAGATCACTATTTCCTACAGTAACCCCAAAATTTACCCTCTTCGCTTCGAGACCCGTCGCCCCGCCCCGTTGTTATTGTAGACACAGACAGGACTGTCTATGCTGGAAATTGAATAATAGCCGGAAGAGTCGCGCCAAATGTGCTCTTTTTCTGTTCTTTTTTGCATTTCACTAATATTTTCCGACCACCAACTATACAAATGGTGATCGCTGCAATTTTTCGCAAGACGAAACTAAAACCGAAATCGAAACAGCGTGTGTTCAAGAAAAGTTCAATCAGGAATTGGTTGGTTTTGAACAAGATTTTATTAAAGGTAACGGGATTTTTTTTTTTTTTGAAAAAACGTTGTGATTTTTCAAATTTTTTGACTCGAAACGTGGATTTCGTTTGAAAATGTACATCAGCGTATGTACGGCTAATCTTGCCACTCAATTTCTTGTTCAAAAGTTCGCGTCAAGCCCTAAGAACACTTTTTTTCTCCCCCCGTTGCACCAGTGTTGCTATGTGTAGAAAATTCTGCTCTCACAGAATATTCGATGAAAAGTGTTTTTACACGAAAATGTTTTGTTGAAAGAGATGTTTGCTTCTTTGGTTATGGAAATGTTAACATTCCAAGCTAAACGGATACAAAAACATTACTAAAATGGTCCTAGTTGGGTACTGATAATAGCTTGGTGTGAACACATTTTACTAAAAAAAAGTTTGGACCTTGCTTATTACACTGTTGTATTGAAACTGTAAAAATATATACACTAGTTCAACATTAAAGAAGCTTCCAATGTTTCATGAAAATGATCTGAGATTCTCTAGACAGCCACGCTCAGTTTTTCAAGATTTTTTGGTCTCAGGATGTCCTGCTAGCAGAGTCGACATGTTCTGTCATTCAGTTTTATTGTCATGGCGCATCCTTCACTTCCCCGCTCAGTATCAATCTAGGTCTTCATTGCTCAATGACTCATGCGCTCTATGAGCACACTAAACCGGTATCAAATCACGGTTAGAGCATGGCGAATAAATGTGAAGAGAACCGAGGAACAACTCACGCAAAGAACACGTTTTGCCAGCGGAAAAAAAAACTTTTTTTTTTTTGTCTTCCCCATGCTCTCCATCCACACATTCTCTATTTGTCCTCTCACTCATACCTCCCTTCTCGGCGTCTCGCAAATGTTCGTACTATTTTTGCGAAAACTCACACACCACCATCATCATCATCAGGTTCTTTTTTACAACACTTTTTATCATATTATTATCATTGAAAAGAGATGTTTATGGTAATGCAAAAATGGTCTAGTTGAGGCATTTTTTTTAGTCGCGCCACACAAAATTCTTGTGCAGATTGTAGTGTTTTGTGTATTCGTAGCCAAATGTTGACCCTTCTCTCTCTCTCTCTCTCAAGGCCACGCCCACTTTCTCTCTCTCTCTCTCTCTCCGCGCCCCTGCGCCATTTTTCTCGTTAAACCTCGCTGACCCTTCGAGAACTGCTCCAGAACTCTAAATTCTATATCGAAATCCTGGACGCTATAACCGATTTTTTGGAGACTATGAAAATATTGGCGAAACTGGCAAAACACGTCACTATGACGTTTGTCAAAGGCGCCGGAAATCATGGTAAAAAGCGGCGAATTCGGGAGGTGCGTTTTTTTCTGGACTAGGACTGTAAATTCTACTTTTTTCCCCTTGTCCTGGACATTTGGCCCACTTGCAATAGTCCGATCGAATCCAAACCTTTCAGACTTCTTGGTCTTGGATTGAAGTATGTTGAGTCCAAGTTTCAGACCGATCGGCCTATTTACTGTGGAGATATTGTGCTTGCGGGCCGATTTCGGCCAATGATCCACATATCTCGGGACCGGATGATCGGATCGGGCTGAAACTTGGACCCAACATACTTTAACCCATGTACAAGAAGCCTGCAAAGTTTGGGTCCGATCGGATCACTCAAAGTGGGCCAAAAGTCCCGGACAAGTGCCGATCAATTGCCGAATGTTTCAAAGAAAATGCTCGTAGCGGTAAAAAGAAATCACTGCGAACAAGACAATTTGAAACAGATAAAATTAGCATGTTTCTCTGATAAATGTCCGGTTTCTAGAACCCGCAAACGCACACTCCGCCCGAGACAGGCACTCCGCCGAGCGGTTCGGCCACAAATAATTCCATCGAGAATATTACTGTGAGTTTTGTATATTTTTCTGACAGTCTCAAGCAAATTTGCGCGTTTTTGAGCGTAAAACCTTGTGATCTTCTAAACATTTTTGAGCCGCTCTCTGGTAATTTTCGGCAGATTGCTGCAAAAATCGGTAATTTGCCGTTTAAAAATACGCGCCGAATCGAGCGGCAAAAGCAAAATGCTATGCATGCGCTTAAGAGTCATCGTCGGCGCCCAACTCTTGCTCCATCCTTGCCGCACCGCTGCCACGCAGACGCCTGCTCCGTGCCGCCCTCTTGCCGATTTGATGCGTAACTGCTTTCCTGCCAAATCTTTGCCGAAAATTACCTGACAAGTAATTGAGTCATCAAAACAAACGTTTGATTCCGATTTTCACGATTAAAAAAATCAATCGATATCTGATTTTTGTTTGTCTTTTTCCCCGTTTCTCTCACAGATCACATTGAGAAATTGTCAGTGTTTGCAGCAAAGCATAGAAGAGTAAATAATCGGAGAAACGGGAGAACTTGTTGTGAAATAACTTGGTTTTCGTTAATTCGAAAGATTAGAAGGCATTTTATCGATTTTTCATTTCGTGGAAATAATATGTTGTTTTTTTTTTCCAGGCGCCCATCTCAAGTCCATCTACAATGCAAAAGAGCTCGGACAAGGACACGAGCTCCCTCCAGAGCTCCGCCTCTTCGTCGGACGATTCGGAGCACCAGCAGGACGAGCAGTTCGAGGAGGTTCCGTGCCCGTGCACCGACCACGTCGGCCGTCTCCTTCTCGACCTGGAACTGCCGATTTCCGTCGAGAAGTTCTACGAGCTGCTCTTCGTCGAGGGCGATTTCCAGACGGAGTTCAACGCCCGAATGCGCGTCGGCGAGTACGTGGCGGCCACGTGGGTTCGTGATCACCGCGGCGAGAACACACGTACCTGCCACTATACCGTATCGCTCTCCCATGCGATGGCGCCGCGCGCGATCGTCGTCAACGAGAAACAGGTGCTGCACGCGTTTCCGAACCCCCGGCACGGAATAATGCTGAGCAAGGAGACGCAAAACTCGGGCGTTCCGTACGCCGACTACTTCACCGTCAACTGCCGATATTGCATTTCGAGGAGAGGCGCGAACGCGTGTCGCGTCAAAGTGCACGGTGGACTCGTGTACTGCAAAGCACTCTGGTCGGTCATTCGGACTTTTGTCGAGAAGGGAACCTACGGAGGACTCGAGGACCATTTCAGCTGTCTCAGTACGATGCTCGAGGAGTATGTGCAGAAGCATCCGAACATCGAGGACAGGTGCGTTGAGTGAATTTCGTGTTGAGACCCAAATAAGTATGGTTTGTCGAATTACCAAATTATGGCTGACTTCGCATTGAGCATCCTAAGGGAAACCTGTGAACTTATGAATAATGGGGCTATTCAGACTGAAAAAAATGATTGTTTTCCGTTTTTTTTTCGTTTTTTACGTCAAAAAATCCAATTCAGCGATGTAAAAAAACGAAAAAAACGGAAAACAAACATACGCTGAATAGCCCCATAAGAGATAGCCTACGATGGATTTCGTGTTGCAAATCATGTTTTTGCAAACATTTTTAAAACTCTATGAACCCGGGTACGGTTGTTTTCGTGGCGAGACCATATGTCATCAAGTTTTTAGGTAACCTCGAATTTGCACAAATTATGCTGTTTCAGAATTTGTATGAGATTTTAATGGGGCTATTCAGCGTATGTTTGTTTTCCGTTTTTTTCTTTTTTTTACATCGCTGAATTGGATTTTTTGACGTAAAAAAACGAAAAAAAAACGGAAAACAATCATTTTTTTCACAGACTGAATAGCCCCATAACAAATGTTGAAACTTTTGTTTGAATGTCTCTTGTAATAAATGAGCCTTATTAAAATACATTTTTATCGAAAAGGCACACTGATAAGCGAAAGAAATGACTGAAGAATAAGTGTTGCGGTTTTTTTTTACCTAAAGAGTATTAGCAAAATTCGAACAATTGCTCTAAAACGTGTTTTCTTGCAGAACGACCACAACGTGCTCGATTCCAGTTCTCCAGGAGATTCCGAAGACGGAGGAGAACGAAATTCGCCTCAGAAATGTGCAGAAATCTTCTCCGGAAAGGCTTTTGGCCGGCGGAGGTGAGCACGTTTTCTTTGAGAATTTAGCAACAAAGTGCTTTCTCTAGAAGCCAATAGCAAGATGACTTGTCTGGAAAACGTCAACGACGAGAATATCATCGCCCGCCGCGTGGCCGAACTTTCCTCGTCGACGGCCGCCGATCTGACCGCCGGATATCGTCCGTATCTGCTTTGCATTATTGTCCTTCTCGCCATCTTTTTGCTCGCCAATTTGTGGATTCTCAGCGGATTCAAAGGAGAAACCAACACTGCTGTGGCCAGGTAATAATTGTTACTGTTTTCAAATTTGCACAAATAATAGTTTAAAATTTTTCGTTCAACAAAAACGATTTTCTTCAGCAAACGAGAGGAAAATCTCGGAGAAATGATGTCGGTGCTGTTGGAGCAAGTTCGCGAGCTCAAGGACAAAGTCGAGCAGTTGCAGAAGGACCGTTGAGGTGATTATTTGACAAAACGGGACGATTTTGTGCAAACGCCCGCCGCCCGCGCGCTCCTGGCCTGTTCCGAGACTTTGGACCAGACTTGCCAAATCCCGGGCCGGGCCGGGCCAGCAAATCGTCGGCCCGTCCCGGCCCGGTCGGCCCGGAAGTTAGACCTCAAAAAAAATATGCAAAAAAAAATATGAAGGAAGAGGAAAACGCGTGCGGCAAAATTGCTAAAATGGCGTGCCAGAGTTGCAATCAATCGCACCGCCCACTCTTGAGAAAATTTTCGTAATTTTTGTGAAAATTTTGCGACTTTAAACAGCAATTTTTTTAGGTGCATCCTCCCGGGCCGACCGGGCCGGGCCGGAAAATTTCCAATTTTGGCCCGGCCCGGCCCGGCCCGGCCCGTTGCAAGTCTGCTTTAGACGCGTGCCGTTTCACTAGGTTTTTTTGGGAATGAGTTGATTATGATCTAAACTAACAAAAAGCAGCCATACTTTGAAAAAAGGCTGTATTCACAGTGACCCCTAGACATTTCTGCGAATTTCTCGTTGCCGCTTGCGAGTTTCAATCATAATGAGTTTATTCACAAAAAATTTGGAAAAATTAATCAGTATTCTTCGAACAGCACGTGCATCAGAAGTTTTGGCGCACGGAAAGTCTTGAAAAGCGTGCGGCCGGCTGGCGAAATAAGCAGCCGACAGTTCACGGGCCAGGGGCCAAACTTTCCTCCTGTCTCCACTAAAAAAAAATCACCGTGTTCCAGGGTTTCATTAATCTTTTTGTGTTTCAGACCTTCTCCACACCACCTACACTCTAAAACGAATGTGTTTTGTAAATACCAGAATGTTCCGCGCAGCTTTAATTTTAGACTGAAATTCCAATAGTTTCCATGTCAAATTGTTCCCCTTTTTTTTTGTATGTAGAACATAATAATTATAACTAACCCGAAAAGGAGGACATTTTCTTCCCAATTGATAAAAAAAAGTGTAGATTTCCCAGTGATCATTCTCGATTTCATTGATTTTCCTTGTCAATTCCTGTGTGTGTGTTGTGTCAATAAAAAAAAATGAAAAATACTTTTTTTGAAATCGATCAAGGGGACTGTTCGAGAACATTATTTTTTTTTAGCCAGAACCGACGAAAAACTGTCAAAACATTTCGTACCCCATTTGAAATTTGTCAATTTCTGTGAACTTCTGTGTGAGTGTGCTATTCAATAAATGCCAAAGTTAGTGACAAATTCTGCTGAAAAGTAGTACAAAATACAGGGATAATACAATATTTGCCAAAATTAAAACTTCAGAGAGTTTCATCAAAGTCCAACTTCTTAACAGCTGTTCTCAGCATTGACGGGTGATTTGGAAGGAGCGACGCCGCGTATTCCTGGAAATTTTGATGTTTCATCGTAAAAGATTCGCAAAAAATGCTTCACAAACCTCAAAGGACATTTCCTTGAAAATGCGCTTAATCGCCATCCGCGCTTTCGGTTTTTTCGGGTCCGATCCCTCGACGGTCCACACTTCGAATTCGGGCTCCGCCACCGGATAGATCTGCAATTTGTTCCACAAATTATACGGAATTTACGAAAAACGACCAACCGTAGTGGATCCTTGGGCAGAAGTTCCAGCTCCTCCGATTCGCTGATTTCCAGCCGATTCCTTGATTGCATATCGCTCAATGTGCGCGTTCAGTTCGTGAACATTCTTCAGGTATTCCACGTCATCCGCATCCGCGTACGAGAGCACCTGAAGTGAGCATTTAATGACAAATAACGGACATCTCTTTATTTTAGCCAATTGTTCAACAACAATAGAACATTGCATACCTCGAACGGCTGCATGATATTATCCGTGCACACCGCCTCGATTTTCTCCTCGTTTTTCGTGTCGTACTGCATTTTTTTCTTCGTCGTATCCGAGCACATTGACGGCAAACGGACAATCGGAACCGTGTGCTTCGCGCCGATCACTGCAAATTTTAGGGATTTTCAACAAAAATTCCGCAAACGTAAATTTTCACTTCCGAGGATCTCTGGAAGATAGTACGGGACACATAGCTTCTAATTTTACTTCGAATTCTGAGGCTAAAAAACCTGGTAAATTGGTGAAAGCCCTGCGGGTCTCCTCCTCCTCCTCCTCCTCGTCCGAATCCTTCTCCTGCAAATGTCTGCGCATCTCTCGCATTTCCAGTTCGTCCTCGGCGTCGTTTATGATTTTCAGAGGAACGGCGCAGTTGGATCGGGCCAGAATGAGCACGCGACGGGCTTCCACGTGGGCTCCCGCCAGCTCCACCGACTGGGACCATCGGGCGTACAGCGACGCGCATCTGAACAATTAGTTGCGGGTTTTTTCGCTATGTTCTTTTTTTACTGACCGAATCAACGAATTGCGGCTGATCGCAAACTGATAAATGTCGTGGGCGTGTCCGGCGCTGTTATCCGCCAACTTCTCCCAAATTTTCAGCATTTTCTCCTCCTCTTTGTACTTTTCCAAGAATCCGGGCCTAAAATGAAACATTTTATCGATTGTCCTACTTATTTCATTCAGAACCTGCTAATCACTTTCCACAAGAGTTCATAGTACAATTTATGCGATCCGATTGGGAGTTTCTGCTCGAACCACGAGCAAAAATCGAGAACTTTCTGAATTTCATCAATATTTTCCGTATCGAGCTCCGCGAGCAGTTCATCCAGCTTTTCACGAGCCGTCGCCTCTGTGACCACTTCCTCTGGTTTCTGAAACATCGAATAAACAAGATCTTTATGGAAAAAATGAGTTTACCCGCTTCAGAGCGTCAATTTTCCGTCCCCGCCGCGTCGGACGCACATTTTCCGAGTATCGATCCCAATCGTCATCGGAATCCTCTGTATTTCGCTTTTTCAACGTGAAAACGTACGGTTCTTGCGACATTTCTGCAGAAAAACGGCAGAAATACGCTGGAAATTGAAAATTGTTGACTGCCGCCGCGGAAAGTACGCAAACACCGTGCTCCAAACTCTGCGTACCCGGAATCTGAATTGACGACAAGAAAAGCAAATGGACGGATTTTGGCGTCTATATTGTGTACGAAAATTTGTAAAATTTATTTTATGATGCAAACAAATTCTGCAGACGGTGGCGGTTATTTTAATACTCCAACCTGGTTATTGCGCTGCAGAATTAGCACAGAATTATACAATTAAACATTTTATTTAAACGCGTATCGAAAAACGCATGGAAAATAGCACAATCAACGAAGGTTGAGAACTTTGAGACCGACGGTCGCCCACGCGAACTCCAGTGTCCAGTTTAACGCCGGCTATTTCCGGGGTGACAACGAGCGAGGCGCCTTTCTGACCGATTCCGGCGTCGACTCCGACTCCAACCGCAGACTTTTCATCGTCTCTCTTGAAGAAACACTGTCTCTCCAATAGCTAATGCTAAATTGAGCGCCGCGTTAAAACGAAGTGTCGTTGAAAACAAAAGCAACAACTGAAATTTCTGGATTTTTTTCCGAAAATGAGAAAAATGAAGTAAAAAAGAAAATTTCAGAATTGTTGATGACAACTGTGACCTTAAACTAGCGTTTTGCCCACAAGAAAGCGCGCATTATTACACTTTTCTGTGAATTTCAGTCCGGATCCTCAAAAACTGAAATTTCTCAGTCATTTTTGCATTTTATGGGCCGTCTCTGTGCTCAAAATGACCGCATTTGTCTGCTGAACAATCGTGATGCAACTATTTTTTGATTGTGTCAAGTGTTTTCTCGAAACTTCCAAAAGTTCGCGTTTTTTCAAGCCAAATTTAAAAAACGAAATTACTCTTCGAATTTTTCACTTTTTCAAAAGTCTTATATGTCTGACTTTTCCAATAAACGTTTTGCAAACAAAAAGTATTCGAAAATAGACCAGTTCCACGTGTCGCCAAGCAACTTGACAAGTTTACGAGGTGGCGAGGAGTCCCCTCAAAATGTCACCGCTTCCCGGACACATTCTTTCGCGCTGTTTTCCGCGAATCCAACATGAAACTCTTCGTGTGCTTGTGCTCTGTAATTCTCACCTCGGCGCAGTACACTGCAAAAATGGTGATAACGTACGGAACGCCGACATCCTCGACCACAAGCACAGGCGAGACGTCGGTCGACTGGTCGACGTGCATTCAGAATTGTCTGTCACTTGACACGTGTGCGATGGTTTATCGCAGTGGCGACGGAACGAAATTGTGTGTTTCCTATCCGTACGGAGATATTCAATCGGTTCCCTATAGTGATGAGAGTGTCAACGATCGAGTCGGTTTGAAGGCAGGCTGTTACGTTTCGAGATTCTTTTTTCTAGTTGATATTCACAGGTGTGGCTAGACTCCGATGGGGTGTGTCAGGAGGATGTGGCCACAATGTTCGCCGCTAAGTTTAACCTTTATGTAAGTTATTTTTCTCTATTTCACGGCGGGACCAAAAGTGTAGAAAGGGGGCGCCCGGCCCGCTCGGGCCGGAAGTTAGACCTCAAAAAAAATATGCAAAAAAAATATGAAGGAAGAGGAAAACGCGTGCGGCAAAATTGCTAAAATGGCGTGCCAGAGTTGCAATTTCTATTTTTTAACAGGTTTTTATGCTATAACATTGCCTTTTTAAGTCTATAAAATTATGTTCGTTTCGAAGTTCTAGTTCGCTTTGAATTTTTAGGTGCATCCTCCCGGGCCGACCGGGCCGGGCCGGAAAATTTCCAATTTTGGCCCGGCCCGGCCCGTTGCAAGTCTGGTTTTGAGACGAAGTGAGTGTCGGAAGTGATTAAGCACGTTAATACAAGTATTTTAAGCGTTGAAACGGCAAAAAGTATCGGCGAATGACTGAAATTCGCGCATTTTCAGCACAAAACTTGAAAATCCGATTCAATTGATTCATTTCTGAATGAAACCTGCTCGTTTTAAGCTCAAAAAGTGCGCGATGATTAACGTTTAACAAAGTTATTATGCAATTACATCGTCGAAACCCGCACAAAATTTGGGTAATTTTTGACGAAAAACATGTGAAAAATGGGGTTAAACTTCGAATTTCGCGCCAAAATAAACCGTGCACGCGCTAGGCCCCACGCCCCTTTCTACGTTTTTGGTCGCCGTGATTTATTGATTTCCAATTTCCAATCTTACAGCAAGACAATTCCTCGCACACGTACCGCATTGCCGCCAATAACGACACTTCGAGCTTTACGTATACATACTTATAGTATTCCTACTTTCCGACCGTGTTTTTTAGAGTTAAGATGAATAAATTTGAGTTTTTGAAACTGCTCGCTTGGCTCACAATAGATCTTGAGTTTGAAAATGTGTTCGAAGCTCGCAATATCCACTACAAGTGTCCTCTTGTTCACAAGCGCCTTAAGAAGAGCGTTAAGAGTCAGTGGGATGCAACCACCTGACAGCGGGCGGGTTAATCCCATAATAGTGTGTATTGTTGTGTTTCGACAAGAACAACAACGAACGGCCACCACGAATCTTGTTATGGGCCACGCCCACACTTGTCTGAGACCGATGAATGGAACGGTCGTTAGAGGCCACGCCCCTTTTGACGGGCGGTTGGTCGGGTGACCAGAGTTGACCGAAAAGACAATACTAATTGGTGTGGTGTGAGTCTATACAATTCCTGAATCAATTTTTCAATGAAAATGTTTGCAGGACAATGTTCAAAATGCCGTCGACGTCGCCGCCAACATCGTCGGCATCGCCGCCCGGCGCCGAAGAGGAATTCGAGCCGTACGTTCGGCGAAAAAGATCGGAAGGCGGAAATCGGAAGAAGATGCAGGGGCTCAACGAGCAGGTGAGCGCAGCCAGTTTCTCAGTGACCATCTCAAAAATCCGAAAGCCCGTTCAGGAGCAAAACCTGCTGCGCAACTCGATAAACAGTCGCGAACGTCGTCGGATGCACGAGTTGAACGACGAGTTCGAGGCGTTGCGCGAGTGTCTACCCTACCCGAACGAGGCGAATTCGCGACGGATGAGCAAGGCGAACACGCTGTTGCTGGCCTCGAATTGGATAAAACATTTGACGAACGACAAGCACAAACTGACGAATGAGCTCAAGGCGGCCTACGCTCAGGTAAGGGCTGTTCGCCGCAATCTGGCCGAATTTCTAGACCGCTAAATAATTTTCCACTGAAAATGTGGCCCGAACTTTTCAAACTCGGCCCCCTAGGTCGCTCAATTTGCACTGCAAAACGAGTTTTTCAACAGAGCGCCATTTCTGTGCGGTGCCCAGCGCTGGGCAATTAGCCGGCCCTTGACCTGGACTTTTGAACCACTTGCAATATTCCGATCGGCGTCAAACTTTGCAGGATTGTTGGACTTGGATTGAGGGCCATTGGGTCCAAATTTCAGCTCGATCGGATTGTCGGCTCCCGAGATATGTGGATCATTGGCCGACTTTTTCCAAAAAGCCCGGGCTTCCGGACAATGATCCACATTTCTCGGGACCAAATAATCGGATCGGGCTGAAACTTGGTCCCAATATGCTTCAACCCATGTCCAAGAAGCCTGCAAAGTTTCGGTCCGATCGGAATATCGCAAGTGCTTCAAAAGTCCAGGTAAAGGCCCCTATAATACATGGCGCCTGACTTCCACCTAAACACTTTTTTCCCAGATCGAAATGCTTTCGGCCCAACTTCAACAAAACCGTGCGTCTCTTCCGTCGGTGCCTGCCACGTCATCATCAGTTTCCGGCTCGAAATGCTCGAAATGTCAGCAGAATGCGTGTTTTTCAGTCGATTGTATCACTTCTTCGTGATTTTTGTCATTTTTAAACTCATTATTATTATATTAGTAAGTGATGAATATTGTCAAACTCCTACATGTGTCCTTTTCTTCATTTCCCCCCAATTTTCCATCTGTCTTATCAAAATTGTAAAGGCAAAAACAGTACGCGACTACCGTATGCTCAAAAGAGTGTTGCGTGGCAGTTCGTGTCATCCGACACTCTTGCCAATTATCCGTACACGATTTGCGCAATCGGCCTAATTGATGACGTCATCCCGACACCTTTCTGAGTTTTTTTTTGGTTTTTGGAGACGTGCGCGAACTCGTATTCTAGGCGCTTCTGGTCTGTTAGTGTAACTTTTTTAATTTAAAATTATTTCGGTTTCATAAGAGTATAGAAACTTCTAGACAATTCTTCAAACTTTGCTGCACAGGGAACATTTGTTGTTTCATTGAAATCAGCTAGTACAAGCGGAATCACGGTCCCCAGAGCTGACAATATGGGCGTGGCCACTCGGCCAAATGGCGTTTTCATGAATTGAGCAGCTTTTCTCTGATTTTTGTGGTCAAAGGCGATGAAAAATGATTGTTCGACATGAAAACGCACGAATTCTCACAGAATTAATGACGTTTTGGCGCTAATTTTTCGCCGACTTTGCTTTTTTTCCTTCTCAGGTAAAATTTCAAACTTTTCCAGGCGCCACCTGAGAAATTCTTGGAAAAGTTTAAGAATTTCTAAAAAAAGTTCGAGAATTTCTGGAAAAAGTTTAAGAAAGTCTTAGAAAAGTTTTTAGTGCTTCAGAAAGTTTGAGAATGTCTTCAGAAGAGAAGAAAAGAAAAGTTTGAAATTTTAATTGAGCTTCGCCGCCCAAAAACTTCTCATTTTGCGCTTTCTTGACCGTTTTCCGACAGAATTGGCTTTGAGAATGATAAATCACGTAAATACAAGCATTTTGAGCGCTCGAACCGCGAAAACTACCGAAAAGCAACTGAAATTCGCGGAGTTTTAGCCAAAAACCTTCAAACGGATAAATGTGATTTGCGACTTGACCAAATTTAACGCTCTTGCGCTTAAAAAATTCGTAATAGCCTATACAATCGGTTTATCGAGAGACAAATGAGAAATTATCGATTTTTCGTGGCTAATCTGGCAAAAAACACAAATTTTGCTGTTAAAATGTGAATTTCGCGCCAATGGCGGGGCGCACTTGCACCCATTGTAAGCTCTGGAGACCGTGGCGAATGTTTACAATGTTTTAGCTGAACATGTTTTCCGTTTCATCAAAAGTGGAAAATAACGACTGAAATCCAATAGGCGCTATTCTTGAAGCGTTCGCCTTTTCATTCAAATCACACAAAATTGCTACACACCTTCTTCCTTCACAACTGTGCCCGTGACTCCGCGTGCTCATAAGGGTATCATTTCATTGCGCGTACACGTGCTATTGCGTAACGGTCATAAACGAATTAGCCAATGAATATTCGAAGATCCGCAGGTGGTCGGGGCGAGGACCACCCGCAGAGAGCCCGACGGTTCATTCACACCGGGGGGATGAATGCCGTCGCAAAGGGTTGTGAATAAAAACAACGATTTATGAATGGAGGCTAGAGCTGTATTAATAATTAAGCGCCAGAAAGACGAAAAAAAATGCAATGCGGGAAATAGTGGGATTCTTTGAAATTGACTAGGGAATAATCCCTCGAAAATTGCATGCTTAATAGACTTATCGCGGTCTATGCTCAACTGAACAATTGATCCTCTTGTTATAAGCTATCGACCAGAGTTGTGCGGAAGAACTCAACGAAAGAACACGGAAGAATTTTTATCTTTTTTTAGAAAATTTTTTTATGAAATGTGATCAACTGACGAAATGTGTAGCAAAGTGAACTGTGCTCATAGAAAAATAATTGTAAATTTGGCTTTTCATACAAAAAAATTATTCGAGTTGTTCCGTGAAAAAAAGAGGGCTAACGGAAGACGGAAGGCATTACTTTTTTGCATGAAAAGTTAAATTTACAATTATTTTTCTATGAGCACAGTTCACTTTGTTATACATTTCGTCAGTTGATCACATTTCATGAAAAAATTTTCTAATAAAGATAAAAATTCTTTGTTCTTCCGCTCAGCTCTACTATCAAGGTTGTTGCGATTTTCATGTAAACCTGAAAAAAAAGATTATTCTAATAATATTATCACAATTGTTGCAATTTTTTCCGTCTTAAATTACCGCGGTTCTATGTAACAGACTATGTTTGGTACGTTATGGAGAAATTTTGAAACATTAAAAAAAAATTTTCAACGGCATGTTCGAAAAACTGGCATTTAGCTAGACTTGGCCTAGAAAACTTCATCGGATCCTAGGCCAAGACTTTCAGCGCTTTTTCCGCGCCACACTGGAAAAATTACTGAGCCGTTTGAAAACAATCATTTTCAAAAGTGAGTCTTCTTACCAAACAATAACCGAACAAACACAATATTGAATTTTACTTTCAATACAAAAATATCGCTTTCCGGTGATACACAACATTTTTCGTGCTCAAAAAACCAATTTCGCAAATCACTTTCGCTTTTCGTCACCACTACAGTAATCCGCGTTTCCCATAAAAGTGGCAATAAAATTAACGCGAAACTAATTCTCCAAATGTTTGATTTTCGGCGGAGAAGAAACGAAAACGGCGCATAAATTCAGTGATTTGATGAGTATTTCGGTCGCAAAACAACGGGATACTTTCGGATTGACGCCCACGCAAAATGAAAACCCTGGGGGACTACTGTAGAGGAGAAACCGAAAATAATCACAATGATAATCGTTGATTTGTGCTGTTAAACCAATTTTTTTGAAACCCGCGTCCATACGACCCAATTATACGCATTACATAACCGCCACTTAACCGAACTGTCCCCCCTTCTGTGCTCTTTTTTGTGTTTCTGACCATACAATAGAGCGAAAAAGTGCACAGAAAAGAGCAGTTGGTTTAATCGGCACTTGTATCCCCTAATTACACAACAAAAACGGGTTAATGCGACAGAAAAATTGGTACAAAAATAGGAATACAAGTTGTGACGGGGAGAAAGATGGCCTAAATCAGCATAAATTTATTTTTGAAATACACACACACACTTCTTTCAAGAAATAAAAAATATATAGGATGAGGAGGAGGAGGAGCGACACCGATCAAAAGGAATTTAAAGGGAGACAGGAAAGCGGGGGAGAGGAGAGATTGATGCTTTGAATTTTCGGGTTAGGTCCAATTTTTTCGAAATAAATGTTCTTGTGATAAAAATTGGGTAGAGAGGGACAGGGGCAGTGAAATTTCGAGAGAATCAGGATTTTCAGCAAAATTTTCTTAGGGGGAAGAAGGTGTGATTCTAGTATATTAACAACAAGAACATGGTTAAAAAACTTTTTAAAAGGGAGGGGATAGTGCAAAAGATCGGTGTACAACTCGGCTCGAAAGTTCTTGTTTCTTTTTTCTCTTTTTTATAGCAAGTGGGAGATAACAAGTGGAATATTAGCGGGTGGGCGTGGATGGAGATTCAAATCGAATTTTCGATTTACATGATCGAGCAACGGTCGGCCGGGTCCGACGGATCCGACGATTCGCTTAGTTCGACGGTGATCGACGAGACCGTGTCGCCTTCGGAATCTTCGAGCCGAGCCGACGGGTTCTCACCAATTGGCCACTGCAAAATGAGACATTTTTTTATGATGATGAACAGAAATCGCTGGATTTTGATCGAAAAACATTGATCGATCGAAGTTCAAATTTTCACAATTCTCTTAACTTTCCCGTGCTCACCTGTTGCTTCTTCATCACGTAGACGTGCGGCGGGTTGTGAACGGCGCCCGAGTCGGCCGACCAGACGGTCGCGTTCTCGTGCGGCGCGAGCTTCATGCGCGACGAGAACTGGAACGAGGCTTCCTTATTTCCCGCCTTCACGACCAATTTGTAGCCGCCCATCTGCTGCTCCTCGTCCGAGCTGTTCGCCACACGGACCCACTTGCCCTCCTCGTCGACCTCGTCGATGCCGACCGGTCCGAACGTCTCCTTGTTGAGGCGTGAACGACGGTTCAGGTAGTCGACCTCCTGATCCTCCCCGTTCACCTCCACAACACGACGGCGCTTGACTCCGCGCTGAGCACTGGCGGCTCCTCCTCCCGAAGTGTACGAGACGTGATGGACGGATGTGTTGCGCGAGGCGTCCTGAGTCAGATTCAAGCGTTCTTCCTCGCCTTCGAGCAGTGCCTGGTAGGTCTTCAGCTCGGCGTCCAGCTGAATTTTCACGTCGAGCAGGTCGTGGAACTCGCTCATCATGCGCTCAATCTCCTGGTTGAGCTCCGAGATGCGCGCGTCCTTGTCGTCCAGTTTCTCCTGGAACGAACGCTTCAGCTGCTCGAGTTCCGCGCGAAGACGGTCGATGAGAGCAGCGCTTCCGCTGGAAGAGGTCTCCAGATCACGGACGCGAGCACGCAGGTGCAGGGCCTCCGAAAGGGCGGACTCCTGACGCTCGCGTGCGTCGTTCAGCTTGTTCTTGTAGGCCTCCTCGAACGCGGCCTTGTTCTGCGCCAGATTGCTCTGGAACTGCGCACGCATCTCGGCAATCTGGTCTTGCAGCTTCGATTGGTACTCGTCGGTAATTTGCTTCGCGTAGGTGGTCATGTCGACCTGACGCTTGTGGCGCACCTCCTCGAGCTCTCCCTTGTGCTGCTGCAGGGCGAACGCGAGATCCTCCTCGAGCGCCTTGATCTTATTATTGGCGGCCGCACGAAGTAGGGTCTCGTCCTCGACGGCCTTCTTCAGACCTTCCACGTTATCGCGGAGCAGAGCGTTTTGCTTTCTCAAGTCCTAAAATTCTTCATTTAATACCGTTTTCCCTCAAATTTTTCGATTCTTACATCATTTTCGAGAGTCAACTTGTCGTTGCGCGCCTGCAGAGTCTTCTGCTTCGCCTGCGATTGATCGGCGATCGATTGAGCGTGCATGGCCTGTTCCTCGGCACCGGCACGCTCCCGCTCGAGCTTCTCGACCTGCGGCCGCAGCTTCTTCACTTCCACCTTCGCCGCATCGTACTCGATCTTGTTCTTCGCGAGCTCGTCTTGAGCCGCATCGAGCGCACGACGGAGGCGAGCCTAAAAACAGAGATTATTCGCGTACTTATCACTCGTCCGTGTCTATTTGTCATGTTACTACTGCCCGCAAAAGGAGGTCAGTTTCCCATAGGTACTAAGTAAATATTACCTTTTCGGCCTCGAATCGATCCGCCAAATTCGACTTTTCCTTCTTCTCGACGACTTCAATGTCGCGGATTTGGACCTGGAGACGGTTGTTCTCCTGCTCCAGTTGACGGACTTTCTGGAAAATTAAAGGGTTTCTCAATTGAGTAGTCACTAGAGCTCGCGACGGAAAATGATGCTAATAATAGATTTTCTAGTGTTGTGACACGCATGCGCATACAATTCGAGCTAAGGATGAAGACTATACGATTCCTAGCTTAGTATTGAGCCCTCAATGAACCTGCTTGCTTTGAAATACACCTAGAAAAATCGTCAGATTGCAGCGCCAAACTTACGTCAATGTAGGTGGCGAGACGAGTGTTGAGCGACGTCAAATGGTCCTTCTCCTGAATACGGGAAGTCTCGAGGATGGTCGATCCGCTGAAAGGCATTATTGCAGAAAATGGAAGAAGTGGATGACGGCGGCGAGCACACAAATACTAGTGGGCGCTCCAGGCAAGGCAAGCAAGAGAGAGCCCAGAGAGCTTAGAGACGGGCGGCCCAACTCACAACGACTCGTCGCCTCCTCCTCCGTTGCTCAGCGACGAGTTCGCCGAGCGCTCCAAAACGATCCGTGAGCTGCGGGTGGCTTTGCGCGATGCCATTTTCCTTGCTTTTCTGAAAAAAAACCAAAAAATCGATATTTTTAGGGCAAAAAGAAACAAAAGAAGGGCGCCGGGAAGGGGAAAAGTGTCTCCAAAAGACAATGAGTCATGCGATAAAATGAATGTGACGGAAATGAAATGCATTTTATACAACAAAATACGCCTTTTCTTCCTCTATTCTCCAAACTTTTCTGGCCACAAATACCAAAAAACGGCAAACACTCGCTCTGCGTCCTTCAACAACACATAGCCCATGTTTGTCGAAAAATGCGCCAAGCGTCGGCCCCCTCGATCAAAATGACCTCAAAATCTACCAGATGGCAGCGAAATGTGCGTGTTTTCAAATTTTTTCAAGTTTCGCGGCGAAAATTGGTGGATTTTGGGTGAAGAATGGCGAAAAACAGAGGGAAAAATTTGAATTCAAATTTTGGCGCCGTGGAACGCACATTCGTGGCGGGACCATCGGCACAAATCGGAGTATGCGCCTTTAAAACAGAGGACGCGAAAAGTTAGTCTTCAGGCCTTTCAGGTCGAAAAATGCCGGGAACTTGCAATTTCAAATGCACAGAATAGGGAAAATTCGTGTTATTCGCAAAAATACTTGCTAAAATAGTAAGTTAATGCATCTTCGCCCTAAAATCCTCCAAAAAAGCAAGGAAGAACTACGGCAACACTCTCGTCCTTTCAAAAACTGCGTGTTTGCGCATGTGCGTCGGCGCCTTTACACACGCGCACATTTGGAAAAAAGATAAGAATTTTTGGAGAGTACAGACGAAAAATCGAGAAAATCGGCGCAGAATTTTTCGCATACTTGTAAAAGGCCATGCGATTCGGTCTCAATTAGGCCTGGGAATGTTTCGGAGTTTTTCTCACTTTCCTTTGGAAAGCTCTTCATCTCTCACGAATTTATGCCGAAAATTCATCGAAAAATAGAAAGAAGAAATGCTGCTCATCAAAAAATTACGAAATTTCTCAAATCGATCAATCACCGCTTCGATATCGTTTCGATTTCGATATCGCTATCAAATTACACGTCAAAAGTGTACGCTTCCGAAGCGCGGTGCTCATTCGAAAGGAGAGGGGGTCAGATGTGAGTCCCCAGCGGTCGGGCGCCTCGTTTCTCGGCGCTCTCCACACTATTTCGCGCCTCTTTTTCTTGCTTTTCACGCTGTGAAACGCAGAGAAAAATGTGTGTATGGCAAACAAGTTGGCAACATGCCAACACGGGGAAATATTGCGGGACAGGGGGAGAAGTGGGGAATGGTCAAACATCGAAAGACGAGAAAAAGAAGAAGAAGAAGAAGAAAGAGTGAGAAGAGAGGGGCAGGGGGTATAAAGGGCTGTAAATCGATACGAAATGGACGAGGCGAGCGACGCGCGCACAGATGTTTTTGTTGGCAGAGTGCCAAACGGGTCTCGCAGCGAAAATGCGCATTTTCTAGAAGAGTATTGAAAAAACGGGAATTTTGAGTGAAAATTTAGAAAAATCAACGGAAACGCGTACGAGATACGCCTTACGAACTAAAAAATTACCAAACAATTTTTTAATTACTATTCCTTGAAACAGAAAAAAATTGAGAACAGTTACTGAAAAAGAGGCCGGTAGAAAGAGAGGAAAAAGTGAAAAACAAGGCAGTTTTTCATCTTTTCGTCTCTCAAATTACCCTAATCCTTTCATTGATTTCTCGTTTTTTCGGCGCGAAAGCAACAAAAACAAGCAAATGAAATGGCGGAAAATTGGGTTTTTTCTGGCTTAAAAATAACCAAAAAATACGGAGAAGTATCGAAACTAAATAAAAAGCGCTCAAAAGGAAATGGGATATGCATAAATTATATGAAGAGGAGCAGATGTACGCATTATACATTCAATTCAAATTCATTCGCCCTTGAAGAAATTGCGGTGGGAATTGGAAGATTGGATTACCAAAACTGACGATTTATTCGAATTCTAGGCAAAAATCCAGTCGGGAAACCGTGAAAATCGCGTGAAAATTGTTATAGGATTAGGGTAGGCCCGAAAGTCTGCAACTTTTAGTGACGGTGTTTGCACAAATCGCTCGAGCCGGGAAAAGCTTTTGGGCGTGAAGAAACGTGGTGAAATTAGTGTTTTAACGCCTAGAATAGACCGGAATGAAGAGGCATCGGTAGAGTGATCGAAAATCGGCGGAAATTCGAATTTTCAATGACAAAGACCGGCGCAATTAGTCGGAGTGGCCTTGAAATGAACAACACGCAGAATTACATGTACTTTCGCTCCGATTTTGATGTTTGCTTCGAAAATTGACAAAATTTGAATCGGAAAATGAGAAGGAAAGAAGAGTTTTGACGAAATTTTAAATTTTAAATAGTACCACGGAAAAACGGGAATTCACTCGTAAAAAGACAATAAAATGGCAGAAAAAACGGGAAAATAGGCGGAGAGATAGATTTTCGAAAATATTTCGACATCGTTTTTTTCCATCACTCTCACACTCAAAAACGCAAGAGAAAACGAGAGCAAACACGCCCCCACCGCCCAGTTTCCTGCTCTTTTGAACTCGAAATTGGCGCCCAATGCGTGGCCGCGGACTAGAAAACCCCACTTGCCGTTTTCTAGTCCCTCGCCAATTTTTCACGTCTTGCACCCTAAAAACCGTCAAAATACACCAATTTCCGCCGTTTTTTCATCGAAAAAATTATCGAGTTTTGCAGCCGTTCAAATGGATCAATTGCTCGACGTGGAAACGCTGAAGAAGCTGTCGCCGGAGCAGCAGGAGCAAGTGATTAGCGGCGTCAAACAGCAGGCTGCCCTTGCCAACGCTCAAAACCTCGTCACGGTACGGTCCGGTGATGGATTTGGGGCCGAAAATGATGGAGAAGGCGTCAAAATGATGGAAAATGATGGATTGGCGTAGGGAATCGGGTCCGAATTCGTATTTTCCCCGGAGAAAATTGAGAATGATGAAATTTCGGTGAAAATTGGAAAAACTGCGTTCCCGAAATTTCAGCTCTAGAAATAACAATTTTCGGCGATAAAAGCTCTAATATGTGCCTACAATTTTGGAAATCTGAAATGATCGCATTTTCTGCAGGACATATCGGAAAAGTGCACGAACAAGTGCATCACGGCGCCGGGAAGCTCGTTGGCGAACGGCGAGAAGCAGTGTCTGCAGAGATGCATGGACCGCTTCATGGAATCGTGGAATCTCGTCTCGCAGACCCTCCAAAAGCGCCTTCAGGAAGAGATGGCCTCTTCTGGAGCCTTCGGACAGGGCCCCTCGTTCTCATAATTTTTTGTCCGAATTTTTCTGATGTCTCCGCTCATTTCTGTTATCACTGTTACCATTTTCCTCTATAGTTAAAATAGAATTCAATTTTTTTTTCGATTTTTCAAAGAATTTTTCTTGCTCATCAAAGCGGAACATTGATCCACCGAATGGTCCTTGAAGTTGTTTTTCTTTCAATTGTAAAAAAGTTGTGTTTTTTGACAGGTCAATTTCGGCGCCTCCCGGTGATTTTTGATCTACGAGGTAAAGCGCCGATTTGGGTGGAAAAATCGAGAAAAAAACAAACGTTTTCTAGAGATTTGTCAAAAAAAAAAAATCATTTTGCCTATTTTTTCTTCAATTTCTCTGAATGTTCAACAAGAACCGAATAGATCGCCCAGTCGTGATTTTCGCATAAAAACGGCAAAAATGTTTCGGCTTCACAAATGTTTGGAAAAAACCAGAATTCGCTCGTGCAGGATTTTAGTACAAAAATTGCTTGATTTTTGAAGAATGGCGTCGACGGGCTACGTGAACATCATAGGGAGCATGTTCAGTCTCTACTTTTACACGTGGCTCCACCCGGACCTGAATCGGTGCGTTCGAATCGGATTCAACCAGTACAAAGTGGACCAGGCCGTCTATTTCGGCACCGTCGTCTGGCTCATCCTCTCCACGAGCTGCATTGCGCCAAGAATGACGCATCGGACGAACGCGCTCGTCGGAAATATCGGAATGGCCGTCTGTTCGATCCTCGTCATTGTCAATCATTGGCTTCTTGAGAACAAATGGGTGGTTAGTGCTTTTTTCGATGTTTCACCTCGAAATCGCTATTTTCATTGCAGTGGGCCGGAATTCTGTACGTGGTGAACATTCTGTTCTACGTCTGCTGCATGGGACTTGTTCTGATGGGCCAGAACTCGAAATACCACTACGACCGCAGCCGTTTCTACAAATTGTGCGTTCCGATCGCCTCCACCGTCTTTATGACTCTTCTCTGCTATCAATTCATCGCCAATACTGTGAGTTTCTTCTACATCAACTAACTCGGGGATTGAAGATTCTATTCAGAAATTCTACGATTAGAATATTTACCTGAACGCAATGAAAATATCTTTTCTGCAAACACATCCTACATTTGATTTTCAGGACTACGCCGACGAGATGCCGTGGATCTCGTTCAACTTCCACACGATCATGGCGATTCTTGCGCAAGTGGCGGCGCCCCGAACCGAAACTTTCGACTTTTTCGACTTCCTCAACACGAGAAAGCGGCAGCAAGTGCCGTTGCCGCGCAAATCAGCGAGAGGACAATGAGAAAGTGGATCGACAATAATAATCTATTAATTCCCTCCAATTTTACCCATTTTTACTATTTCTCTCTATTTTTCTGCCCGAAAATCGATCTCGTCGCCCAAATTGATCTCAAAATTGCGAAATTATTTTGTGAAACCCTCAAATTGTGATCTCTAAATGTTTATGAAAAAGAAATGCATACAAATCAGGGCTGGGCAATTGGTCGGCCCTTGACCCGAACTTTTGAGTCGCTTGCATTTTTCCGATCGAGCCTTAACTTTGCAGGCTTTCTGGGCTTGCAAAGTTTAGGCCCAATCGGAATATTGAAAAAGCGGGTCAAAAGTCCAGGTCAATGGCCGGCTAACAAAAAGGCCTGGTACAAATCGAGTCGTTCGAGAAAAAAGTACAAAAAAGCTAGAAAAAGACAGTGGAAATCGGGGGGAATTACTCGTATTCGAAAAGAGAAAAAATTATGAACGAAATTTGGTGGGGGATTTTCTAGTTGGGGTTAAAAAAGAAAACACACGTTGATATGTACAGAAAAAGGGCAAAAATATCGACTTTTCGTCTAAAAATCTGATTTTTACATGATAAGCGCATCGAAAGATAGCGAATTTTTTGGAAAAATTCTGGAAAACATGGTTTCAATTAGACGTTAGCGGGGCCATTAGTGGTTGAATGGGAAAACGGATTTTGCGGCGTCTCGTCTCCTTCCTGCGAAGAGGTGGGGCTCTCGGAGCTTATCTGAAAAATGTTGATGAAAAATGTTCAAATTTCGTCGAATTGTCACCTTTCTCAGCATTTCCTTCCGGCTTCGCTCGTGCTCCGTTTCCATGACTTCTCCGTCCCAAATCTTCCGGAATTCTCCCCGACAAATCGAGAGGAGAATAATGGGCAGCAGGGTGCAGGGGACGAGATAAATGAGTGCCGGTTGGGCGATTCCCATCAGAGAAAGGGCGATGAAGGTGACGATGAGGCCGATTCCGTAGCCGCCGATCGAGATGGTTCCGTACAGGATTCGGGCGCCCTCCGAGAAGCCGTGCATTGTGAAACAGTGCGCCACCAGGTAGCCTGAGAGTATATCGTTATAAAAGTGCATTTTTTTCGTAAACCTTACCCGGCATCACAATATCGCCCAAGCCGAGAATTGTTGTCTGAAATCCCAAATCCACGTCAAAGTCCAAACACTCGTTCATCGGATCCCAATGCGGCACTTGGAACAGCATCGGAAACTGCAAACTTTTGTTTTGAAAATCGATAATCCAATCAGAGACCCCTGTTCCGTACCTTTTCGGGAGAGGGAAACTCGACGGGCGGCACCGGATACCCATTCTCGCCGACCGCTTTCTGACCGTTCCGATCCGTTTTGCAGTTGCTCGTTCCGGTGGCCACTTCCAGCATGACCGAGCATCCGTTCGACGTGAATTGGGCGGTTCCGAAGACCATGAAGGCGTCGTAGAGGAACATGCACAGCATTAGAATGGAAATCCATTTGAGCGACGGCAGACGGAGACATTTGAGCACGTGCACGCAGAGCGCCATGTTGATGAGGTCGAGGAGCACGAATGCGTACGGATTTCGGCGGAGGAAGAACCACGTTGTGCAGACGGACAGGGAGAAGAGGACGGTCGCGGCAGAGGTGTACGTGTACTCGTGTTTGCCTGCAAATCATCTCTTTTCGAACCGAGCATAGCTTTTCGCCCAAAAATCTATGCGCCTTTAACTGTCTACCGTCTGCGCCTTTCTCTTCTACCGCGCAAATGGAATTTCCTTCGGCCCCAAATTTTTTCTGTTTCAATCGGTATTCCTGGCTGAATTTGTTCGTAGTGTTGCGTCAAAAATTTCAAATCGTATAGGCATAGTTTCTCCAAATTGTTTCGAATGAAATTTTCCAAAAAACAAACCTCCAAAAGTGGGAAGCCACTCGATTTTCGCATTGTACCATCTGTGCTCCGAAAATGAAAAATTCGAGAGGAATCCGCGAATGCAGCCGTTAATACTGGCGGCGCCGAAGAAAACGAGCAGAATGTTGAAAATGAAGACTGCAAACAAAAAAAACCGTTTTTTAAACAATGCCTCTCGAAGATCGGCCTAATTCGGGCTCGTCATTTTGCTTTTAGAGAAAACGGTTTCCTAAATTACACATTTTTTTGACACTTCTGATGTGTTTTTAGTTTTAAGAAACTGTTAAAGAATTGTTCAATTCAAGTGGGATAGTTGTGCATGTTCCATGCATTTCTTCGCCAATTCACTCAATTTCTGATAATTTCTCCAAGAAACCTACCCAACACGGGCCGGAAAAAATAGCCGAGCATGAGAACGGCACAGAGCGCCACCATCATCATGACAATGCTGATCGCATTCGCGTGTTTTGTGGCAAACGACGGGGAAGCGTCTTCTCCTTCTCGTTCCGTTTCCGATTGGTCACGATTCAGAGCCAGAAGGGCGTGCAGGTCCTTTCCGTTTCTAAAAAAACGGTTAAAATAGCGAAAGTTTGTCAGGGCTCGGCAGAAGGCTGGACTTTTGGCTCACTTGCAAGAATCCGATCGGGCCCAAACTTTGCAGGCTTCTTGGACTTGGATTGAAGTGTGCTGGCTCCGAGTTTCAGGCCGATACGGTCCCGAGATATGTGGATCAGACGCCGAAAAGGCCCGGCCTTATCGGCCTCAAACCAGATAGTCCGATCGGTCTGAGACCAAGCCTGCAAAGTGTGGGCCCGATCGGAGCGGCCTCAAAAAGCATTCGAAAAGTCTTTTACAGTTTCATACATTGTATGATTTTATTGTACGTTGTATGTTTTGCAAAGTCAATTTTCGTTTATTGATTGCCCATGGCATGTCGTTGAATTTATAGATTAATTTCACACGAAGAACATTTGAAAAACTCTTTTAAAAAAACGTACCTCATTCGATGGTTTGCCCAGAATCCTCCGACGGTGACGCACGTCATCGCAATCAGCCAGATCGCGACGATCGAATAGTCGAACGGCGGTCCGCGTGGGCGGAAAAAACGAATTTCGAGTCCGTCTCGGTTCATCTCGTCCAGGGTGGCCAATTGCTGCAAAAAATCGCCATTTTTCTCATTAATTTCATTACAAACTTATACCGAAATCTTGTCGAATTCTGTGCGATACATGTAAAAAGTGGGTATCGAGTTGATGTTATCCATGTTCGGATCGTAGAAATCCGCAAAAAGGTAGTCGCTCCATCCCTGCACAAATCGCCGCTTTTTGTCCATTATCAGAAGGGCCGTCGAGGCGTTCAGGTACTTTTTCACTGCGTTCACCTGCAAAATATGATGGATAATTTAAAAATGAGACAACAACAAAAAAAAGAGTACCGTAGCCTGTGCGGCTTTTCGGAAGGCCGTGTCGTTGTGCGTGAACTGATGGGAACATAAATCGCCGCCGTCAATTCGGTAATCCATCGGAACCACGTCATTGGAGCGGTCCGAATCGAGCAATGAATGCGTCGAATCGGGCAACGGGCACAGCCGTGTCGAGCGAGACAGTTCTGCAAAAAGATCGAGATGTTTCGGTGGAAAAGTCAGAAAATGACTGACCACTCCAGTATTTGAGATGACGTGGCTCGGCAGTCTCATAACTCTCCGCAACAATCGACTTTGGAGTGTTCGCCAGGTGGAATTGCTGATAATTCACACAAGTTTGCACTTTTTCGTTCGTTTTCCGATTCTCCGCCGTCATGAACACGTAACTGGTACGGAACGGAGCACGTCCGTCGGCTGATGTCTACAAGGAGATTGAGTAGAAAAACGTTTGAGGCCTGGACTTTTGACGCACTTTGCAGGCTTCTTGGACTCGGTTGGAAGTATGTTGGGTCCAAGTTTCAGACCGATCCGTGGATCATAGGCCGAGAAGGCCGGGTTTTTGCAAAATCGGTCTGAAACTTGGTCCGTGTCCGAGAAGCCTGCAAAGTTTGGGCCCGATCGGATAATTGCAAGTGGGTCAAAAGTCCAGGCCGAGCCCTGCAATTTTTTATAAAATAAGAAAGAAACTCACAAAGCTGGAAATGCATGATACTAATAAAACAATAAATAGAAGATTATGTGTGGATATTGTCATTGAGATCGGTCTGAAAAACGAGGAAAAATACATTTTTTGAACGTTAAAGTTAAGGCTTTTTCTCAAAAAACTTGGAAGAAAATCAATTTGGGCCGGAAAAACGGGAGATTTTTTGGTGTGGGGGAACCCGAGACGGAAGACGACGAGAGAGTACGGAGAGGGCGAGAGACGCAGACGGCGAGACGCAGCAGACAAAAAGCAGAGAAATGAGCACGGAAACGGAGGGGAAACTGAGTTTTTTCAATTCAAGTTATTAGTTTGCTCGAAAAGCTGGTAAACTAACCGGTAGAACACGATTTTTTACAGGTTTTTTCAGTGAAAAATCGATTTTTGAGCAAGGGAGAATAAAAAAGGGAAAATGAAGAGAATTATTATAGGGGCACCGCACAGAAATGGCGCTCTGCTGGGAAACTCTTTTTGCAGTGCAAATTGAGCGACCTCGGGACCGAGTTTGAAAAGTTAGGCCACATTTTCAGTGGAAAATTACTGCGCGGCCTAGAAATTCGGCCAGATTGCTAACAGCGCGCCCTTTCTGTCCGGTGCCCCTATAATACGTAAGCAGACGAATATGATAGGCTATTTTAGGGCTTCTTGCTACGTAAAAATGACGAAAATGCTGGAAAAGATTAGAAAATCGGAAAACTAAGATTATTTCTGAGCCCACACCACGGCGGTCCAAATACGACGACTGAGCCGCTGCGCAGCCACTTGCAAAAACGACGCCCGAAATTCGAGCGTTTTCAGCACAAAACTTGAAAATCGATTCAACTCTTTTAGTTCTCTATGAAGAAATCTTTTTTGAGCCTAAATGTTTTGAGCCCAAATGTGCGCAGTGATAAATTTCACCAATTTATGCTAGCATATCCCAAAATCGGTCCTCAAGCATTATATCTCGAGAGTAAATAATCTGATTGGGCTGAAACTTGGTCCCAATGGCTTTCAATCCAAGTTAGAGAAGTCTGCAAAGCTGGGGTCCGATCGGAATATTGCAAGTGAGGCAAAAGTAGGGGACAAGGGCCGGCCAATTGCTCAGCCCTCGTTTTCTGGGCGTTTTTAGACAAAAATAAACGCTAAAAATGTACTCAAAAAGCCTACAAAGCATGTGTTTCGTAAGAAAAAAGAATTTTCCGGACAAACAAGACAATCCTGTCCGAAACGGGTACAAAACTCACTCTTGAGACGAAACCGACGGAATGGGAGGGAGAATTGTATGGAAGAAAACGAGGCCAAGGCGACCTCATCCACGTTATTATTATTATTTCTCGCGCGCGCGCGCGCCAACACTTTGAGAACCTTTTTCGGGGCCACAAACTTGAGAAAACGGTTGGGAATCGCGAGAAGTATGGGAAAATTCCGAATTATGCAAGTGCGCTCTATTGATAAAAAGCGCTGGACATTTTTTCGGTCAAATTTCGCGGCGAAAAAGAGAAATGCAAATTCCGAACGGTTTGCAAGCATTTTTATATTGAAACTTGCAAAAATTGCAAAACAAAATAGGTAGCAAACAGGATTATTCAAATGTTTCTTCCAAATCCCCCTCGCGTACCCGGAAAAAAAAGGTGTTAGAACACCAAAAACCGAACGGTTTTGTAAACAAAACCGTTTGATCAGCGAATGACTAATGCGTGTTTCACACACACACACACACATGTTTTGTTCGAAAAAAAAAGAGGCGGAGCCGAAAATGGATATCTGGTTGTTCGAATTATGTGCGGATTTTGCAGAGATGGCGAAATATTAGTCGAAATGGAAAAAAAAAACGCAAAAACCAAATATCATTCAGAGACGTTTTTTGATATTTTTAAGGTGAAGCTTGCGCTCGGATTTAGAATTTACAACAGAATGAGAGCGGCGTCTGATCAGGACGGCGGTTTTTTACTTTTTTTTTGTGATAAAAGTAATTTTTCTCGAATCTATTACTTTTGTACTATTTTTCTAAAATCCGAAATGCCTGATTTGATCAGTAAAAACAAGATTAGGCATCAAAAGACACCAAAACGTTCAAAAATCGATAGGGACTCTAGAAAAAAAATAAATATAGCGCCGAATTCAAAACGGCATAAAAAGTTCAAATCGCAAGCTTATTTTCCGAAACTCTACCAAGATGTTTATTAAACAATAACAAAAAGTATTGCATTAACAATTTTCGAACCGTCCTCCTTTCGCTTTGATAACAGCCATCAGTCTCTTCGGATACGAGGCTCGGAGGTAGTTGACGTCAAGATCATCCCACGCCTTCTTCAGAGCAACCTTCAGGGATCCCAAACTTGAACAGTTTTTTGTGGAACCCAGTTGTGTCAAATATCCGCACACTGCGAAGTCAATCGGGTTCAAATCCGGGCTGGAACAGAGTTGAGCGGAAATGGAATTTTGAAATCCGGAAGACGGAAGACGGAAGAAATTTTTTTTACGGAACACGGAAAACGGAAGACGGAAGAAATTTTTTTTACGGAACACGGAAAACGGAAGACGGAACAAAAAAATCGTCAATGCAGAACCTTTTCTCCGGTTTTTTTTTTTGAAAAAAATAACTAAACAAAAAAAATTTTGGGTCTGGGTCATTGCCCGTGGAAATTCGCGTTCTTCGGGGCTAGTAAATGGCTTCTGAAAAGCTTTCACTCTTTTACGGTAAGAAGAAAAAATCCCGGAAGACGGAAGACGGAAGACGGAATTCCGCTCAACACTGCTGTGCATCATCATGTAACTAATAGTAAGTAAGTGAGTAATATTTTGAGCAAGGAACGAAAAGTCTGTCCGTTTCTTTCATTCTTTCTTTATTTCCTTTTCTACACGTTTGTCCGCACACTTTTTCATTTTTAAAACGGAAAAAGTGGTGACGGAGTGAGTCAGTTCCAAATATTGTTACTTTCTCCTTGTCTCTCTCTCTCTCTCCCTGTCTCTCTCGCTTCCACATGGTGCATCGGCGGTCCGCAATTTCGCGTCGAATCCGTCGCCGACACTGTGTTCGGAAAAAAAACCTTCTCACGTATTGTTTTTTGGGTCTCGCCACGCCGCTCTTCTCTCATTTTCCAGCGCCGGCGTCCGCACGCACCTCAGCCACGTGTGATATTATCGATTTTCCGTTCGATTTTTGCACTTGCCACGTGGATAATGATTGTTTGTGGCCGTCGGACAAGTGTTCATTGATTTTGAACCGATAATATTCGATTTGCTCATCTTTACTCATTTCTTATAGGAAAAACCTGGAAAAAACATGTTTTTCATGAACTGACATTGTCGATTATTGATTTTTGGGCATTTGACGCTAGAATTTGTCGCTTTTCACAGTTTCACACACAATTTTCGAAAAACTGACCGATTTTGACGGAAATTTGAGTCCTGTACTTGTTTTCCCGCACTAATTGCGTACTAATATGACACGACATGTAGAAACATCATTTCGGTATTAAAACTACGATAAAACCTGTTGTGTGTGTGTGTACTATTCTTTCAAAAACAAAGAACGAAATGCTTTTTGAATTTTTCCAAGGGACTCACCCCAACATTATATGTTCAGTTATTAATTAACTTATCAAATTTTGTGTTCTCTCCGCTCTTATCAGCCGATTCTCATCCAATTTTTCGTGATTTTCGGTCAAAAATTGCGCAAAGCCACCGAAAACGCGTCAACGACACACATTTCACTGATAAATGATGATAAAACCGGTGGAAATCAGGCAAAAATTTACAGTTTCACAAATGCTCCAAATAATCTAATCTTTCAAATAATACAATCTTACCGATCAAAAGAAAACATTTTCCAGCTAATTCCATCAGCAGCTTCAAACTTTGCCCCCATCTTCAACTAAACCATCAAAAATGTCCGAATACTCGTCGGTCGTGGACGGCATTTCAAATGCCGACGCCTCGTACGGAACCGACACCGAAACGATTCCGGACTCGATTCCGGAGGCGCCGGTGCGTGAGCCGCCCGTGCCTGCCGGCGATCGTGTGCAACACTTTATGCCATATCCTCTGCGCGCGCCACATCATCACCTTCAATTGAACCCCCCGAACAACGCGGCGGAGAACGGGGAAGAGGAAGAGGAAGAGGACGAGGAGGAGAAGCAGAGAAAACGGCTCGAGGCGGAGGCGAACCGAACTCCGGAAGTGCTGGCGGCGCTGGAAGCACTCGCGCGGCCAGGCGAGGGTCCGGCACCCGCGCCGAAGAAGGAGATCTCGACGGAGAACAAGTCGGCGGAGGAGATTGTGCGCGAGGTGGCCGACAATGTGCACGCGTGTCGCGTCTGCTGGGAGGACTTTCACTTTCCGAAGAACCAGGCACGATTGCTCGGCTGCGGACACTCGTTCTGCACGAGATGCGTCGTCAACTGCTCGAGACCGTCACTCCACTCCGCGCGCGATCATGTCAACGGGATCAGGTGTCCAGAGTGTCGGAAGGTGTGCAAACAGGCGCCCGCCAGTCTACCCATCAACTTTCAGCTCATGCGTTCGTTTTTTTTCTTCCATGACACTGCTTCCTAGTAGGATTTTTTGAACCTATTATAGGGGCACCGCGCAAAAATGGCGCTCTGTTGAGAAACTCCTTTTGCAGTGCAAATTGAGTGAGCTCGGGGCCGAGTTTGAAAAGTTAGGCCACGTTTTCAGTGGAAAATTACTTCGCGGCCTAGAAATTCGGCCAGATTGCGAACAGCGCGCCCTTTCTGTCCGGTGCCCCTATAATAGTGTCGTTTGATTATTATTGGGGCACCGGACAGAATCTGGCCGAATTTCTAGGCCGCAAAGTAATTTTCCACTGAAAACGTGGCCCCGCGGTCGCTCAATTTGCAAAACGAGTTTCTCAACGGAGCGCCATTTCTGTGCGGTTCCCCCTATATTAAAATGAGTGTTTTGTTTTATGGGGCTATTCAGGCTGTGAAAAAAATGATTGTTTACCGTTTTTTTTTTTCGTTTTTTTACGTCAAAAAATCCAATTCAGCGATGTAAAAAAACGAAAAAAAACGGGGAAAAAAAACATACGCTGAATAGCCCCATTAGCTTTACAATTACAGATTTGTTACCATTTTTAATTTCAGAACTGCTGACCGCGCTGAGCCTCGTCAAACCGGCAAATGCAGAACAAGACGCCGAGATGCCGAATTACGAAAATTTTGAAAGATTGGGAAATTTGCTGCCGAGCGATCAACTTTCGGAGCTTTCGCTCGACGAGTTGTATGGTAAGCGCCGGTTTTGCGAAATTGGTTTAGTTCAAAAACATTGCAGAGTATTCAAAAGTGCTGTTCAACGCGATCCGACTGAAAAGTATGCACGAACACTCGAAAATGGCCGAAGGAGACATTTGTCAGCATGGAGGTAACCGTCTAGAAACGTCTTGATTACCATCCATTCGCGTTTCAGTGGAAAACGAAGTGATGAAGCTGGACGATATGGAACGAACACTCGAGCGATTCATCAAGAACATGAGAAGTCTGTGTCTGGGCACCGCGCCGCGCGAGTCGTTCCCCTTTTTTCCGTTCAGAAATCTGTGGGAACGCGATCAACATTTTACGGACGCCGATTGGATGAGAGTAAGTTTTTTTCGTACCAGGCCTTTGCTAGTCTGGTTAGGGCACGCGACCAAAAACGTAGAAAGGGGCGTGGGGCCTAGCGGGCACGATTTATCACCATTTTGGCGCGAAATTCGAAATTTAACCCCATTTTTCATGTTTTTCGTCGAAAATTACCCAAATTTTGTATGGGTTTCGACGATGTAATTGCATAACTTTGTTAAACGTTAATCATCGCGCACTTTTTGAGCTTAAAACGAGCAGGTTTCATTCAGAAATGAATCAATTGAATCGATTTTCAAGTTTTGTGCTGAAAATGCGCGAATTTCAGTCATTCGCCGATACTTTTTGCCGTTTGAACGCTTAAAATACTTGTATTAACGTGCTTAATCACTTCCAACACTCATTTCGTCTCAAAACTATCCAGATCGGCCGGTATGAAAATTCCGAAATTGCGGCGGCGATTGGCCGCACGTGTGTTCATTCAGAACTCCCGCCATAAAAATTTGAATTTATTTTCGAAGGGCGCTACGCACCGATTCAAAATTTTCGTTTGCCGCCTTTACGCCGGCGTACGCCCATTGGCTGCGTGTCGCCCCTGTGCAAACACCGTTCTAGATATTTTGCGTACTTGGCACCAGATACTACGCAAATTTTAGGCCAGCTGTTTATTTATTCAAATTAGAGAGTGCGAGATTGAAGAGACGCCGACGATGTTCGGTAGGGCGCGCTTGCATGCGCGTAACAGTTCGAACGCTCGTGTGGCCGCAGAGGGCGTATTGCGAAATATGCCAAAAACGTCTCAAACACGACGTTTTCAGGAAAATTTCGATTTTTTCTCTCTTTAATGTCTCTTCTTTCGTCGATATCAGACACAAAAATATCGAAAAAGTGCTGGAATTGCGGCAATTTTCAGAAAACGCGTCTCAAATTAGGCCACGCCCCCCTTTCTACACTTTTGGTCCCGCCGTGACTCTTCCTTTTCGACACTGTTCAAATTATGCAGTCACGGGGGAACATGTTACACGAGAGCGGGTTCCAACTTTTTGGATAATTTGTAAAACCTACAAACATCTATATTTCAGGAGATGGTCGTGTTCCGTCAGCACCAACCGCCGCGCGCCGACCCTCGCTCCGAAGTGTACAGTATGCTGAACGCCCAAGCGCTACGAGAAGCGGCGGCGGGCCAACAAGCGGATCCGCTGCGAAACCTGAACACTTTCCGCGAGGCGCACCTCCGCAGGGAACGCCTGATGGCGTTTCAGCGAGAGACCGCCCGTCGCAACGAGACGCTCATCGGACACCTTCTGCAGGGCAGCGAGTCGGAGCGACTTCGGACCCGATACCAGGAACTCGTGCGGATGGAACGGGTCGGCGTGCGGTTGCGGCCGCAGGAGGTGGCCGATCTGGCCGCGTTGCGCGAGTTCCACGAGGGAATCGAGTCGGAGCAGAGAAGAGTTCGCGAGGAGTTGACGATGGCACACTTGCACTTGTACGATCGGCCCGTCATTCCGAGAATTCAGGACGACGACGAGCTGAGCACCGATTCGGGTACGTGTTTTTAATTGAAGTCATCAACTGTGCCTCGTTCCAGACGACTCCTCATTCACCGAAGAGGTCGAAGTGCGTCCGCAGGAGGCGCCCGTCCAAATGACGCTCGGCGAAGCGGCGACAATGGTCAAAATGGTCGGACTCGTCACTTCGGGCGCCCGCCGCACCGAATCGCGCGCCTGGATCCTGCCGAACAACCGTCAGGACGTGGAGCAAGTGATCGGGGACCTTCTGCCAGAGCACCAAGACCCGACGGCGCCGACCGACTACCGGCAGAACTCGGAGGTGCGTCGTTTCGCGCACGCCAACCGCGTCGACTCTGATCAGTTCCTCGAGATCCTTCGCGATCACTGCACCAAGTACGCGGCGTCGTTGGTCGAAGCGCCGCGGCTCGTGAGAAGTCGTCGGCAACGGCCGGTGCCGTCGGATCCCTTCCAGGCGCTCTTGTCGGTCATTCGAAAGCGCGCGAAACAGGCGTTGCGTGGACACACTCTGCCGGCGCCGATCGACTTGGAGGAGAACAATCTGACGATGCGGCTCGTGATCAACGTGGCGACGTCGTTGGGCGTCCGCGATTGTCTCAAAGACTTTTTGAATCCTCCCGCCGACACTCCGGCCGTCGGGGCGGCTCCAGAAGCGGCCGGTCCATCGGGCGCGGTGGTTGAAAGAGAAGGAGGAGGAGGAGGAGAAGAAGAAGAAGAAGAAGACGACGACGAAGAATCGCTTGACGATGAGGAAGAGTTCGAGCCATCCGGCACCGAGTCCGACGAAAACGAGGACGATGAGAATTCGGTGTGGTACCGTTTGAACGACGACGGTCGGACCATGTTCTGCACGTTGTGTCGATGCCAGTTCCCGAGGTACGCACGACAAGACCATTCGAGCGATTTGCGACATGTGTACGTTGATTTTTTACTTTTTTTTTACTGTTTCACGAAACTATTGATTTTTTGTGTATCGAAGAAGAAGCACTACAAAAGTTCTGTATGATAATTGAATTTTCTCTCGAATTTTTACCTCATTTTTTTCAGCGCCCGTGCGCTCAGTGCGTCAGTCGGATTGGTCGAATGAATCGCCCCAAAAAAAACAATGTTTTGTCGCCGAAATCGGTCATTTTTCGTTCCCAGTTTCACAAAAAAATGTACATTTGATTATTATTGATTCGTTTCGTTTTGTCTCTGTTTTTCAAAAAAAAATCCCCAAAAAATGTCCTCTTTATTGTTTTCATCGCATTCTGTGTTAATCCTTTTCCAATTGTTCTTCCCCCCAAAAAATTGTCATGCTCCACTCATTTTTTTGTGTAAAAACCGGAAAAATCAACGTTTCCATCGCTGTTTCCGCCCAAAAATGTTCCCCGAATTACCGTAATTTGTACGGTAGAGCGCACTTGCATTGTTCTCCTCCCCCCAAAAAAAAACGTCCGTTTGTCTGTATTTTCCGCACTTTGAAGTTCGCCCAATTATTCTCAGGCTTTGCCCGTCATTTCCTGCCGCCATTCGCCCCTGAAATTCCCCGCTTTCGTGCACACACACACACACCATAAATGACGACAATTTGCGTATCGCCCGCATTCCTACCCGTAATAATTCGTGTTTCACCCCTCAGAAAGTAGTGATATTCATCAATTTTCGGTTGTTGCTCCCTCAATATTTTTCGGCTCAATAAATTTCCACCGTTCATTTTACACCTACAAAACACACACACACATTTCCAGGGAGACGGGATGCGGGGGAAGAATTGTTTACAGAAAAAACCAATAAAAGGGGGGGCGTGGTCATCTATATCTATTACTACTATACAATAGATTTTTTTGAACGACATGAAGATAAATGACCGGCATTTCTGATAGAATTTTTGAATTTTTTTCGAGGGACGGCGCTGACACGGGGAGAGGGGGATAAGTTACACAAAAAAGTGAAATTAAATAAAGAAGGCACAATGTAGAATTACAAGAATTTCGCGGACGGAAAGCAATTAGTAAAACACAAAAGAATTCGAAAAGAAGCAATCATAAATGGCATGATGGAGCAGAGAAAATCAATGATACACGTGTTGTTTTTAGCATTTTTTTGGGGGGCGGGGGCGACTTAAAAAATTTTTTAATTGTCTTTTCTAAAGATCACAAGCGAACAAGGGGGGAAGGGAGGCGGCATTGTTTTCCTCAAAAATTCGAATTCCCTCCATTTTGGGAGGTGCCGGAAGCGACAGAAGTGGGCGGATGAGCAATGTGCGGGTAGCCGAAAAGGATCGGCTGGCCCGTGACCGCTTCGTAGCCGTTCGGAGCACGCATGTGACCTGGAAATTTGCTTTTTTAAACGTTATACAATTTCTTCCAGAAGCCTTCCGTACCGGCGGCGGTGTGGAAGAGGTTGTTCTGCATCATTTGCTGATGTTGGTGGTGTCCAAAGTGGCTCGGCGCGCACGTCATTGGCATCGACGTGTTCTCCACGTGGAATTGCGGCGGTTGCGGAATGGTCAGTGGCGGAACGGGCGACGACGACGAAATCAGTGTGGTGTCCGTCTCCGCCGCCGAACGCATTTTTTGCTCCACTGCAGCTTTTTTAGGGGTAATAATGGTTGAAAGAGTAGATTAAATTTAAAAAAAAAACGTACCTTTTTTGTCGAGCAACGTCTGTTTTTCGCAATTCTTGTACTCGTGCTGTCCAGCGCAGTTGCAACAGCTCGGATAGATAATCTGCGAAAATCGTTGTGAAAATTGCAGTAAAAAGTGGATACCTGTGCATGATTCTGTGGAATATTCGAGTAGCCGAACGGCTGAATGTGGAACGGAAGGGCCGTCCGTCCGTTCGTCTTCTCCGCTCCCTCCGTTTTTTTGGGCATTCGTGACGGTGATTGCGACCGCGGATTCTTCCATCGAGAGAATATGAGGCCGTCCGAAACGCTCTCCTGCAACAACTTCACACACAAGCTTTTTGCAAAATCGGCAAAACAATGTATTGAAATTCTTTTTCGGGGATCACGTGATTTATTTCACAAAATCCAATGTTCACCGTTTCAAATCTCTCCTAAATTGGCGTTTGTAACTTTTCTCTAATTTATTAAGATTGTTTCTTTAAAATTTGAAAAAATCGCTATTTTATCTGAAAACTTTGTAAAAGCGAGAGAGAGAGAGAGAAGAACGTACATCCTCGGTTCTGGCGCGTGTTCCATCGAATTCCTCGCAAATCACCGCCGAAATCATCATTCGGGCCGGCAAATCCGACAATTCGTTGATGTACTGCACGAGTTGCGCGGCGGTGGCGTCGTGCGGAAGACGCGGCACGATGCGGTCGCCGGACGGGTAAAACGCCGCTGCAAATTCCAAGTACGGATTCGGTGCAATTTCTACGGAATTTCAACCATGAACCGTTTGCTATTCAAGCTTCTAAATTGCCCAATTTTCCCTGAAAAATTTTTGAAACATTAAAATTATGCTCTCTTCCGATTCAGCCAAATACATGAATAGACCCCACGGGCGAACTCGACAAGGAGATTTCGAGACGGATTCAAGGAGGATGGACAGTCTACCACACAATCATGCAGGAAATCCATATGTTCAACATAATCGCCGCTCTCTTCTATTCCTGCGAGACGTACAACCCAACCGCACCGTCTAGGATCGGAGGACGGAAAAGAGAAGCGGTGGAGCGACGAGGTGACGGAAAAGCCGACCCTTCCTTAAAATTTTCTAGGTGATCACTAACTTTCCATGGTTGACGTGCTCGTCGACAGCTTCTTGTTCTCCTCGTTTAGCGATGAAATTGAAGAGGACATCTGCAAAAAAAAGCAAACGTCTAGAAGAATGATCGAAAAAGTTACCCCGGGAAGGTGGAATTTTTCGCTTCTCTGCTGTCCGAATTCGTCCAAAAGTCTGTGCTGGAACGCTTTCAGCTGCTCGCGAGTTCTCTGAGTGAATGTGCGATCGCCGTCGCTCCAGTGGATCTGAATCATTTGTTGTTGTGAAAATCCACGTCAAAAACTCACCTCCAAACAGAACAAATTCTCATTTTTCTCAATTTGCCGTCCGATAAATCTGGTGATGAAGGCGGTCCGATTGGTGCTCGTCGGCTGTGCATTCGAGAACGGATTCAGTCCAAATCGATAATCTATGTAAAGTTTTTTTTTACATTGTAAACGACATTTCCAGGAAACATGGATAGCGGTTGAAACGGGAAAAAACGTGGGGGGCGAGAGGAAGGCGAGTAGAGGCTACCCCGAATCAGAACCTATCTGCATGACGGGTTCCGGACCGGGACACTTCTGATTCGGGGAATCCTAGACGGGAAACAGACGCGAGAGATTTCGCGTCTGCGTCTCACCTTTTCGCACACTAACCGCCTTTCCCTCGCCCCCAGATCTTTTTGTCATCATTTCCTCAGACAGCGTGGAGCGAATCGCTCGCCCAGGCCTGTTCAGAAGAGTTCTAAAAGATTCTATCACAAAATCCTAAAGAATAGCCCTATAAATCGCAGCGCTTACCGTTTCTAGCAAATGAATCGTCGGCATCGTCGTCTTCCTCGTCGGATTCGTCCGTTTCTGTGGTTTCCCGCCCGATTCCCCCACTCATTTCCCTGCTTTTCTGCGCCATTTCCGCCATTTTTCTCTGTTCCGAATTCCAATATTCGGAGCGGAGTCCCTCGATTTGCGCACGTAAATTGTCGCGAATGTCGGCAAATTGGAATTTGAAATTGAGGGATATCGCCGGATGATGGACCACTGCCGAGACTGTACAAAGATATTTGAATTTTAGCGATTTTTAGTGACAAATTTGTCAAAATATTGAATGAACAAGCCTGCCCCAGGCCAAAAACTTACCACTTTTCCCTATGCCTTGGAGCACTTCCATTTTGTCCAAAATGTCCGGAATCCGCTCCAATATTTGTTCTTTTTCGCGTAGAATCACATTGGAAACGTATTCGGCGAGCTGCAAATAACTTCAATTTCAAAATTCTTTCAGTAAAAATTCGTTTTCTCGATCGGCTATACAGTAGACTCGACATTGAAGAATTTTTAAAGAAAAAAAAAGGTGCTCACCTTGATAGCGGATCTGCGATTATTCGAGTCGCAACAGGACATGAGATGGTAGAAATACTCGTTCAATTCCTTGACTTTTTTCAAAAATATAACCGGATCCTGGGGGATGAGGGGTCCGTTCGAGTGCTGAATCACATGTTGCGTCGTCGTCGGCGGCGGAATCGACGTGATCGGAATTCCGGGCGGCGGGAGCATCGACGGTCCATTTTCGGCCGGTGCGGCACTTGTTCCTGAAGGCGCCGGCGTCACTGAAGTATGCATTTAGGACAGACTGAATTTTGAACTTATTTCGAACAATTCGCCTTTTCAAACTTGGCCTAGAAAACTTCATCGGATCCTAGGCCAAGTCTGTCAAAATGCGAATTTTCAAAACTCCTTCTCACCAGCATTATTCTCATTGGAGATCTGGGCGGTTCCGTTTGTCGTGGGCGTTCCTCCGTTCACAATTGTATCTTTGATCGAATTCGATGAGGATTGCGATGAGGACGGCAGTTGATAGTCGGAAGTCGGCGGAGGATATGGTATTCCGGGAGGACTGAAGAAAAACGCGAAAATTAGAAAAGTGCTTTTCCAGTGCGATCATTTTCAGAGCTTTTTGAGATTAGTCAAATGAAATGTCTAAAATAGGCAGAAAAACTTCGGAAGATTCCAAAGAGATTCCAAAAGAAGCGCTTACACCGCCGTGTTGATTCGAGTGAGCGGAAATCCGGAGACATCGTTGCCGCAGAACGTCCTGATCACCGGCACCAGCTGATTCTTCATCGTCTCGTTCGACTGCAGCATTCCCAACGTGTGCGGCGTGTGCGTGGGCGGTGCGCAGATGAATCGGGGCAGTGCGGCGGTCGGATCGGCCGAGTTGGCCACTTGTTCGACGGGGCGCATCTGCAGCATGTACTGCCGCGTCTTTCCGTCGACACAGTTGCCGATCAGACGGAGGTCCGGTTGCGAGAGGAACGAGAGCATCTCGCACATCAATTCCACCTTGTTCCAGTCGTCGTGCTGAACAATAAAACGATTTTTTCAAAGGAACAATCCGGGCATCTATCGGGGGAATCTCAAAGTGAATGTCAGCCCGGCGCCAATCAAAAACGTGATCACAAATGGAGCGGTTTCTTAGCAGAGCGCATTCATATTTCAATACCCCGATAGTACGACGTCAAAGATTTCAACTGAAATATTAGCATTTCTTCGAAACTTTTTGGAGAAACACGTTCTTCTAACAGAGATGGGCAGAAACAACTTGTTTTTTTTATCATAGAAAAAAAAGGTAACCTCATTGTATGCGATGACCGTATCCATGAGTTTTGGGTCGTTGCTCATGAACGTGCTCGCCTTGGCGGGTCTCGTCCGTTCCTCCGGTCCCCTCGTCTCCTTCTTCTGCTTCTTCTCGCTCGTCTGCCGCTCCGTCTGCGCCGCTTTCGATTCGTGCGCCCTCGCGAGTTCCCATGCCAGTTGAGCCGAAATCGGCGGAAATCCTATCGGTTTGATCTCCATTTGCGACAGAGAAGAGGCGAGAACCGACGGCGGTCCCGGTGGGATCGGTATTAACGATTGGGGAGCGGAAGGGGTGGAAGTGGAAGTGGAAGTGGAAGTGGAAGTGGAAGAAGAAGAAGAAGTTGGCGGCACCGGCGGGGGCTGATGGTACGTGCCGCTACGGTGACTTTGCGACGAGTGATCACGGTTGTTCTGAAACTTTTTATCCGGAATTACGTGATCTTTAGCGTTCAAATGTTTTCATTTGTTTACAATAAAAATGTCCCACCTTGTTGTACTCTTTTTTCCGTTGATTATTCTGACTTGCATTATTATTTTGCTGCTGCTGCTGATTCTGTTGAGCCGTGTGATTTTGGCCTCCGCTCCGGAAACATCTGCAGAAAAAAAGTTTGCGATCTTCATTAGTTTAGACAAAAAAACAAGGATTTTTATGAATTTTAAGAGCTGTAAAATAGTTTTGCAGAAATGTACGTTGACGTTGCTTTTCCCGTTGATTCACCCGCTCAAAAATGTTTTCCCCTTGTGCGCACATTTTTTGTTCTAAGCGTCCTTTACACCGGTCACAGATTACGGTAGATTACTGTAGAAACAGCAATTTGCTGCTGAAAAATCGTAAAAATCTGCGCTTTTGAGGTTGATACGGAATAACGTCGAGGTACATTCCTGCAGTGTCAAATTATCGAAATTATCGCAAATCGATATTGTCCACTCACTTTTCCTTCTCCTTGTCCCTCGCTCGATGGTCTTTTGGACCGTTTCCTCTGAAAGTTCCCTGGTTGGGACCGCTCACGTTCTGCAATAGAGTCTTCACCAGAATGAGCACTTTCTCGTGCTTACAATGACACATTTTTCAATGCAAATCCTCTAAAAATAGCTGAACGTTCGACAAATTACCTTCTCCACCTCGACTTGCGGCTTTTTCAGCGACAATTTCGTCGTCGGCGGCTGGCTGTTCGTTGATGACGTCGAAAGACGATGTTGTTGTCCAGAAGACGTCGTCGACGGCGAATTCTGGGTTGCAGCGGTCACCGGGAGTGCTGCTGATGACGTGGCGTCTGAAGACAATTTTTTTACTGCTTCAGACAATGTTTGGTTAGATTCTAGTAATATTTCAATCGGCTTTCGTAAAATTTTTTGTCAATTTATCATATTTCTTACCAATTCCCTCAGAAATTCTTCCTCTTGAAAATCGCCGAAAAATGCGAAAATCCTTTGAAAAAACGTAGAAATAATAGGACATTTCAGCAGGCACTTTTCGAGTGGTGGAACCGTAAATTGAGACAAGATAATAGTGCGAAATTCAGTGAAAAATCGTTAGAAGATACATTTTCACTGGAAAAGTCGGGCGAAAGTCCACGTTCTGACACCGTTTTATTGTAGCCCCAAACAAAAAAGAGCGATGACGCGTCGTCGCCGATTTTCGGTTCGATTTTCATTTTTATTTATTTTCTCTCCGCTTTTGCATTCGAATCGAACGACCCCCCGCCCAGCGGTTCCCATCGATTATTTCATTGTTTGCTATGGAAATCGAGCCCTCTTTTGTTGCTAGAACCGATTTTTTTGGAAACGAAGCTATCAGAGCCTGAACCCATTGAAGTGGTATGTACAAAATTACGAAAATGTTGAAACTGGGAATTAGTGAAATTCGAGTCTTTATAATGGGGCTATTCAGCGTATGTTTGTTTCCCGTTTTTTTCGTTTTTTTACACCGCTGAATTGGGTTTTTTGACGTAAAAAAACGAAAAAAAAACGGAAAAAAATCATTTTTTTCACAGCCTGAATAACCCCATAAAGTCTGTCCGAGTCGCAACTCTCAGAAACGCAGGACTGGGCAAATTTCGGCCTAGGCTTTTTGTGACTTTTGACCCACTTACAAAGATCCGATCGGACCCAAACTTTGCAGGCTTCTTGAACTTGGATTGAAGTATGTTGGGTCCAAGTTTCAGGTCGATCGGATCATCTGGACCCGAGATATGTGGATCGTTGGCCGAAAGCCCGGGCCATCGGCCAAAATCGGGACCAGATGATCCGATCGAGCTAAAACTTGGTCCCAATGGCCTTCAATCTATGTCAAAGAAGTCTGGAAAGTTTCGGTCCGATCGGAATATTGCAAGTGCGTCAAAAATGCATTACAACGGTCGGCCAATTGCCCAGCCCTGCTTTCTTCTAAAAACGTCAAATGGTCCCCATTTTCCAGTGTCCAACTCACGGGGACAGTCCTTATTTGGCGCAATAGTCTGCGTACTCGTCACTGTTTGGCCTGCCGGAGTCATGTTTCCGTTTGGCGCCGCCGATTCCGTACTTTTCTTATTTTGATTGTTCTGAAGCTGATTTGAGCGATTTTTTGTCTGTAAAAAACTCGAAAAATTTGCTACCTTTTTATTAGCCATAATTCGCTTCGAAACTCCAGTTTTCCGAGACTTTTCGCGCTTTTCACAAGCTGAATTGCCTGAAAACATGGGTGAACATTGAACAATCGCAAAAGTCAATAAAAACATATACTTAATCGTGTAAACGATTTTGAGAGAAACTCACAAAGAGTGCAAAATTGAGCAACTTTATACAAGAATACAGAATACAGAATGTACACGCTTTTGACCCGAAAAACGAGGAACCAAATGAAAAATACATTTTCACAATTTTTCCACAATTCTCCACTTGAAAAACTCGAATTTCAGTCCGTTTTCATCGAAAATTCCCGCGTTTTCGAGTTTCTCCATTCGTGTGAAATCCAGTGATTTGAGGTGAACGTCGGCGTCGAAACTGCAAGAAGAGTAATTTTCTACGGATGCGAAAACAGCATACTTTTTGTAAATTTTGGTCACATGGACCTCGTCGACCAGATTTTTTCGAAGCGCCAAGTCATAAATTTCAGCTCCGCCAATGTTCCAGACCGTTTCGATTTGCTCACAAAACGGCGGCTCTGCGAGCATTTTTAGAGCACTATCCAGGGAATTTCTGCAAAAAACTTGAAAAATATCGTTGCCAAGCATTGCCAAAGTGCAAGGATGTCATATTATCAGCAGGAAAGAGTTTTTTCACATCTGAGTTTTCTAGGCCACGGCCACAACTTTAACTGCGAGCCGTTCCGTTTATAGGCATTTCTAAGAGTTGGGACTCGGAAAGTCAATGTGGCAATAAGAGGCAATTCAGAAGACAGACACATAAACATTTCAAAAGTCTTGAGGGTTCCCTGGTTTTTAGAATGAAAAACGAACACTATAATCAGGTTGTCAGTGATGTTCTCTGCCAATTGACGGCTCAACACGATATTCAGACGTCCTGACAGCGGGCGACGCGACTCTGGAATGCTTTCCCAGCATTTTCGACCCATTAGCACTGCGTTTCTCTGCAAACATTTTTTTGAAGGCTGTTAAGATAGTTTTTGTTGAAAATTGCTCGAAGACAACGAAAAAGTGTACTTTCTCTTTAGATTCGACGAATTTCAATGATTTTCCGTGCAAACCTTCGCCGGATCTTCGACTTTCTTGGTGACGGCCGCAAAATATTGCATATCCTTTTTGAGTCTCCACGGCAAAGTTCCTCCCTTTCCGATGCCGCCTTCCGAGTCCATCGCCACGATTATCTTCATTTTTTGCATTTTGCCTGCAAAAAGTACGATTTTACCGCGAAATGTCTGCAAAATTAGAAGGAAAACCTTTTAAAATCGACAATAAATCGTAGAGAACCCAGATTTTTCTGGTTTTTAGCACAATTTTCTTCTCCGAAAGCAACGTCAGACTATGCGTGACAATCGTGGGAAAATCGATGAGAAATGACCCGCAAAATTACAATAAAAGTGTGAGAAGAAGCGAGAAAATCGCCGTTTTCACAGCGATTCTCAATGGAGCGCACTTGCTGACCCCCCGCGAAAATCTCACATTTGTCGGTTTTTTGAAGCGTGTTTTGTTGTTCGAAAAATTTTTTTGAACGGTTTAGCGTATTTTTAAGATAAGTTTTGTGTTTTTTATTGTTTTAGTAACATTTAGCATTTTCTAAAGTCTGTTTTCAGTTCTTTTTGTGTATCGTTGCAAGAATTCACGGTAAATTGTATGGTATGCGCCTTTAAAATACGGTAGCCATTTATGTTGCAGTAATTCTAAATTTCAGGGTTATTCGCTGCAAATGTCAAGTTTTCAGAGCAATTTTCTCGACTTTTTGGCCTAAAATATCCTTCAGTAATGTGATTTAACATAAAAATCAACAGAAATACAAGCAACTAGGCGTTTCTCGTTGAAGCTGTGTAAAACCCCTTTCTTTTAACAAAATGTTGTCGATTTTCTATTTTTCCTAGTTTTTTTGCGTTTATAGTCAATTTTCAGATAATAATCAGTGTAAAAATGGGAGAAGGCGATAATTTTGCGGTGCCGGCGCCGCCCAAACAGTTTGGATCGCTTGCGAACGCAGAAAGTGTCAAATCGATTTTGGTGAGCTTTAAAAGATGACATTCTATAAAAATAACGGTCGAAAAACCATTGAATAATTAAATTTTAATCAAATTTGCCCCGAACCGACGACAAAATTGCAGAATGATACGCAAAAAAGTCACGGACCGACAGTTTCGCTCGAAAGAATGGAAGTGAGCAATTTGGCGGATTCACGACACGACGCCGAGATGTTCGCCGAGTTTGAGCGCCGGAAAAGAGCCAGAACGCTCACGCTGCCCACAGATGACGTCCAGGTTTCCTAAATCTTTCTTAACCCGAAAAGTGTGAATTAATTGCAGGTAAAACTCAAATTGCGTGCCCTGAATCAGCCGATTTGCCTGTTCGGAGAAGATGCGCTGGACAGAAGAGAACGGCTCCGCGCACTGCTCTCCACGATGTCCGAGGACGAAATCGCCGCCGTTTTGCACACTGATGAGGTTGGGTCTATTCAGAACTCGGGGCGCACTTCTCAGGGTGAATAGGTCTGTAATAGGACTATCATATGCGAATTCGAGAAGGTTCGCGATAGATCTGTTGTAGGCAATTGCTCCTCGCGATTGGTTTATGATCGACATATCAGAGGCCCGATCACCTGTGGACTGAAAAAATCATTGCAGGTAAATGCGGATAAAGCAGACGAGGAGACGGTGACGTGGTACCATCGGGGACCGGCCGAACTCCGAAACGCCCGAATCGCCATCGCGGATTTTTCGCTGAGAAAAGCCAAATTGAGGTACGCTTTTTCTATTGCATGTACCAGGCATCCTAGTGGGTTCAAATGAGCGGAAACTGAACGACTATGACCAAACGAAGTAATTTAGACACTTGGGGCAACTTGACAACCTATTACAGTCCGGGTAAATTAAGCAGCCTGATGGGTGCCAAATTTGTTTTTCAAACCAACTCAAAACACATATGAAGCCGAAAATTTGCAGATTAGAAGAAGCACGAGCGGAAGCGGCCCGTCCGTCTCACGAAAAAGCTCTGGCGCGGCAGGAAGTGCACAAACGCGTTCAACAATTCAATTTGGCCGGATCGCAGACCGCCGACACCCGTCCTGTCGCATTTTGCGAATTTTCCGCCGATTCTCAGCACATTGGTACGGTCTTGGGATTAAAAGAAAATATCTTTTTGAAAAACCATTTTGTGCCCTTTTCTTGAGCTATCAGGAAACTGTACAAATGATTTTTTTAATAGCGAGACTAGAACAAATACGATTTTCGAGCATTTGTACGTTGCTGCACGTTGAAAACTAAGGAAAGTCTGAAAAAGTGCCCAATAATTTGCAGTGACTGCCGGCTGGTCGGGTTCTGTGGCGGTGTGGAAGCGGGAGACGAGTGGACAGGAGCTGAAGTACACGGGACACTCTTCGCAGGCGGGATGCGCCCGATTCCACCCCGGCGCATTCACGAGCCAGGACAAAAACGCACTGAACGTCGTCTCCGGAGCATATGACGGTCGGTTTCATTTTTTTCGAACTGAATGATTTTCCATTTTGCAGGCACCGTCCTCCTGTGGTCGCTGTCCCAGGAGACGCCGATTGGCGAATTGGAGCAGCATCCGCAGAGAGTCTCCAAAGTGGCATTCCATCCGAACGGACTGCATCTCGCCACTGCTTGGTACGTCTTTTTGAGAGGACTTTTTGCCAGGAAAATTGAATGGTCCTTCGGAACCACCCCCACAATTGTTATAATATTGCAGTTTCGACTCGACGTGGCGCATGTACGACCTGACGACGCGGAAGGAGTTGCTCTTTCAGGAGGGGCACTCGAAAAGCGTCGCCGACGTGGCATTCCATCCGGACGGATCGGTGGCGCTCACGGCCGGACACGACTGTTACGGACGTGTCTGGGACATGCGCACCGGCCGATGCATCATGTTTTTGGACGGACACACCAAGGAAATCCACACGGTCGAGTGGATGCCCAACGGGTAAAAAATTGGCATTTGTTGGGACATTTTGCGAGAAAAAGAAACAAAACCTAACAGTGAGCACACTTCGAGCATTCGAAATTGTCAAATGGATAGAATGGAAGGAGACCAAATTTTTATGCAAAGTGTCGAAACACGTAATTCAAACAAAACAATTTTCAGATAGATTGACGATTTCTTTTTCGCAAACAAATCTGCCGTGATTTGCAGGTACGAGATGATGTCGGGCAGTTCGGACAATTCGATGAAAGTGTGGGACCTGCGAATGCGCCGCAACACGTACACAATGCCGGCGCACACGTCCGTCGTCACGCGCATCCGGGCGGCCTCCAACGGGCAGTACATGGTCTCCGCCAGCTTCGACTGCACTCTCAAAATGTGGTCGACCACCGGATGGCAGCCGCTCAGACAGCTTCAGGTTGGACAGATTTTCAAATTCTTTTTATTGAAAACGAGTTTTTGTTTGATATGTTCCAACTCTACAGAAACAGATTATGGTGGATTACTGTAAAAACCAATTTTTAAAATCTTCTCCGCCGTCTCCTCTAAAAAATGCCTTAATTTCAGGGCCACGACACACGAATTCTGTGTGTGGATATCAGTCCGGACGGCCAATGGATGTGCTCATCGGCCTTTGATCGCACTTTTAAATTGTGGACTCAATCTGAATATTAAGCAATTTGTTCATGATTTCTCGCGATTTCTTCTATTCATTTCTCCCCTCCATCGTTTTGTGTTGTTCGTCTCGAAAATGATCTGTAAATCTGAATTTTTATAATGATTGTTTCAATTGTTGCTAGTTTTTTCAATACTTTCAACTTCCCCCAAACATTTTTTTGACTTGTTGACACATCAATTTGAGAGTGCTCGCGGAGCCAACAGTTGGCGTCCTTGACATGAGCAAAAGGGGCCGAGCTTGCCGACGATGGATTTTTTGGAACCTTGAGAAGCTTCCTCATTCACCTTCAATGTTTCGACATGACTTCAAAATTTTTAGAAGAAAACGATTTTCTTCCTCCGTGACCTGAGGTAAAATTTGTCTCTTTGCAACTCCCACGTTTCGCAACCGAAAAAAAGTGCTATACACCGGTTGCGAATTGTACGAGTAGCGAAAATGGTGGGAGCCCCGTTTCTTGGCTCCGTTCTTCCCAAACATGGCCCTCTTATTCACTACAATACTTCCGCTGCTATCGAGCAAAATCATTTCTTATCACAAAAGTGGACGGATTATAAAAATGAGTCAGAAATGATTGTTTGCGGCACATAAAATGAACGGAAATGTTGGTGATAAACGCACGAAATGTTTCCCTGTTTGCCTTTTTTTAATTGAGTTATTGATTTTTCAGACGGAACAATGGAAATGTTGTCTTAGTGCTTTTAGTTCGTATTTATCCCTTGTTTCCTACTAAAATCACGTTTTTTTTTTCAGCAAAATGGCTGAAAATCTCTTGGCCACTTGTGCTGCTTGCTGTTGCGCAATGGGTTAGTTTAAAAAATGTTGTATTCGTTTTTTTAGGGACTGACTATTTATTTTCAAAATACAGAACAGCAAATGTTTAGGCGATCACGGTCTCTAGAGCTGACAATGGGCGCAAGTGCGCCTCGCTCAATAGTGCGATACATTGGCGCGAAATTCAAATTTTAACAGCAAAATTTGTGTTTTTTGCAAGATTAGCCACAAAAAACCGATAATTTCTCATTTGTATCTCGATACACCGATTTTATAGACTATTACGAATTTTTTAAGCAAAAGAGCGTTAAATTTGGTCAAGTCGCAAATCACATTTATCCGTTTGAAGGTTTTTGGCTAAAAATGCGTGAATTTCAGTTGCTTTTCGGTAGTTTTCGCGGTTCGAGCGCTCAAAATGCTTGTATTTACGTGATTTATCATTCTCAAAACCAATTCTGTCTGAAAACGGTCAAGAAAACGCAAAAGAAGTGCGGTTTTTAGGCGGCGATCGGCGGCGATCGGCGGCGAAAAATGCGCCAAAACGTCATTAATTCTGTGAGAATTAGTGTGTTTTCATGTCGAACAATCATTTTTCATCGCTTTTGACCACAAAAATCAGAGAAAACCTGCTCAATTCATGAAAACGCCATTTGGCCGAGGCCGCGCCCATATTGTCAGCTCTGGAGACCGTGTAGGCTGAAACAGGAAAATGCTTGAAATTCTCTTGCAGCGTGTCTGATGGTAGTGACCATAATCGACCTGTCCCTGGCGATCTACTTCCTGACGCTCGGGATCGTGAAGCTGGACGAGTGTCCGGTGTCGCCGAACATCCCGGTCTGGATGATCGTGATGGCCGCACTCATGTTCCTCGAACGCATTCTCAGTTGTGCGACCAGGACGTCGCGTGCGGACTTTGAAGACGAAGAAGTCGTCAGAAACAGGGCAAAGGTCGACTTTGGATCCGTTCTCAGTTCCATCGTTGGAATCGTCGTTCTTATTGGGTACGGTTTTTCTCGCTCAGAAAACTTTTGTATCGCTCAGGACATTTCCAGAGTGGAGGGGGGGATTTTTAATAGTTAGAGAACTAGATAATGACTATTAGCTAGGCTAGACATTGTGTTTCTTATAAAGACTCGAATTTCACTAATTCCCAGTTTCAACATTTTCGTAATTTTGTACATACCACTTCAAGGGGTTAAGGCTCTAATCGCTTCAATTCGGAAACAACAAAAAAACCAGAAACAGTTTTACTAGTAAAACCCTCACAGAACCGTAGTTTTTTCCTAAATCACTTCTGTGAACCCTTACACGGCGACCAAAAGTGTAGAAAGGGGGGCGTGGCCTAATCTGAGACGCGTTTTCTGAAAATTGCCGCAATTCCAGCACTTTTCCGATATTTTTGTGTTTGATATCGACGAAAGAAGACATTAAAGAGAGAAAACATTGAAATTTTCGTGAAAACGCCGCGTCTGAGACGTTTTTGGAAAGTTCGCAATACGCCCTCCGCGGCCAATCGCCGCCGCAATTTCGGAATTTTCATACCGGCCGATGTGGATAGTTTTGAGACGAAGTGAGTGTCGGAAGTGATTAAGCACGTTAATACAAGTATTTTAAGCGTTCAAACGGCAAAAAGCATCGGCGAATGACTGAAATTCGCGCATTTTCAGCACAAAACTTGAAAATCGATTCAATTCATTCATTTCTGAATGAAACCTGCTCGTTTTAAGCTCAAAAAATGCGCGATGATTAGTTTGACAGAGTTATGCGATTACATCGTCGAAATCGTACAAAATTTTGGTAATTTTTTACGAAAAACATGGAAAATGGGGTTAAATTTCGAATTTCGCGCCAAAATGGTGATAAATCGTGCACGCCCCTTTCTACGTTTTTGGTCACCGTGGGCCCTTGATTTTCAGATTCCTCGCCGGCTGCTACCTCGTCTTCTCGATCCACTCGCCCCAGCCGGATCAGTGCGACGCCCTCCTCTACTGGTCCTCCTTCGTCTACTGCATCATCGGAGTCGGCGTAACCGTCTTCATAGTCGTCAGCACTTGCTGTGCCGCCTGTGGCGCTTTTTTTTTTCTGAAATATCAGACAAACAGTTGAAACACGTTTTTTTTTGTATTGAAAAATGATTCGAATGTATATTATTATTTTACTAAGCTTTGAAAAAACGTATAAATATCTTTGATTTGCTGATAAAATGGGCATTTTTTGGTAAAAATGTACAAAAAAAAACAGAATTTGTGAGATCAAAAATGGAAAAAGGGGGCGTGTCCTTGTCGGTTACGTGGTGCTCTGTCGGAGTCCTTTCACTTTCAGAATCTTCTTTCCGCACATGGCACAGATGCCTTTCTGATAGGCACACGTCGAGCAGTAATGGCTTCCCGGCTGCAAGAAAGAATATGAATGTTTATGTTGATTCAAAATGGCTGGGCAACAGGCCGGCCCACGCTTTTGGACTTTTGACACACTTGCAACAATCCGATCGGATCCAAACTTTGCAGGCTTCTTGGACACGGATTAAAGTATGTTGGGTCCGAGTTTCTGACCCATCGGATCATCTGGTCCCGAGATATGTGGATCATTGGCCGAAAGCCCAAGCTTCTCGGTAAAAATCGGCCTTTTGGCCTCAAACCAGTATATCTCGGGACTAAATGATCAGATCGGTCTGAAACTCGGACCCAAAATACTTCAATCCAAGTCCAAGAAGGCTGCAAAGTTTGAGTCCGATCGGATAATTGCAAGTGGGTCAAAAGTCCAGGCTTCAAAAAAAAAATGCATTTTTACCTGATGAATGAGCATTTTGCACAATTTGCATTTGACTCCGACGATTGACGCTCTGCAAATATTTTCTATTAAATTGGCAACAATACCTTAATTATTCGAATCGAACATCGAAGGAAAGAAAGCCAAACGCACTTCTTCTGCACTCCAATCAATCGATTTTTGGTGGTCACCGTCTTCGGACCGCTTCCGTCCGCGTTCTTGTTCACTTTTTTGTGGCGGTACGGATCGACGCCCACGATTTTCGTCAATTTCTTCTCGCAATCGCCGCACACCATTTTTCGGGGGACGCTGAAAATGAAACATTTGAATTTAGCAGTGTGTGTGCGTACTCTACGCATGTCAATTTCAAGAGAATAGAATCTAAAGTAAGGAAATAACGGTACGAATAGTAAAAATCAGAATAGTCGAAAATTTTTCTGTTCAAAACGGTGGTGGAAATACAAGAATGATCGTGCGAAGACGACGACCTTATAGGAAAAGAATCGATGAGAAACGTGAAGATATCCAGGCGATATTGATTTTTTTCGAAAATAATTTCGAAATTGTGTGAATATAGAAGTTCAGATAAGTTAGTGTTTCACGAAAGCACGCAATATGTTTCCAATATTGAAAAAAAGTTGTAATTTATTCATATAGATAAAGATCAGGAAAAACGAGGAAGAAAAGAGAGAATCATAGCAAATGTTCGGGTGGAAAAATGGGAATAAGAAGAATAAATTAGAGATCACAAAAAATGAATTATTGTTGTTGTGCGTGCGCCTTGAGCTCCGTCGCCAGTGCCGTATTCAGCTCCTCGAGCTTTCTTTTCAGAATTCCAATGCCCATCGTCACGATTTTTTGCGCCGGAAGCGCTCCGGTGCCTTCGACTGAAGCATGTTGAATTTTAGAATAGAAATTCGCCATTTGACTCACTGGAGAACCAGAATTTGTTGGGTTTCCCGTTCGGATCGAACGGCGCCTCCTTTACGGTGCTATCCTCCGGCAGAGACGAATAATCGCTTCTGAAAAGTTTTAATTTTGATCGGATAAGTCAGTATAGTTTTACAACTGAATTTCATCTAAAATTAAAGAAAAATTAGCAGTAATGAAGGAAATGTCTAAAAAAAAACGGCTATGTAGTTGAAAAAATTAATTATAAATGTATATCCTCACCTGGGCCACTCCTCGGGATTCGGGTAGATGGTGTGGCGGAGCGCGTTGTCCGGATCGTACTCGAACGCGACGCCGCACGTCGGATTCCACTTAGCGTGCTCTTTTCCGAATCCCTTCTTCGCGTAGCACTTCAGATTAAGCTCCTGTCCCTTTCGCAGCTTCACAATCAGAATCTCCTCGCGATTGTGGATGTCGTCGCGGCCGGGGCCACGTTCGCGAAGGGCTTTTCCGCACGCCGGGCGCACTGTCGCGAGGGTCTGCAATAAATGATTTGGCATTTTCTACACGTTTCCATTAAAAAAAACCAACCCCGTCCTGGGCCAACTGTTGCAAATGCTCAGTGGTGACGGCCAACGTCGCCTCGTCTTTGCACTTCATTTGCAAAATAAACGGAAGAGAGCACTCGTCGCAGAATTCCGCGCAATCGCAGTCCTGGAATGTAAAATTTTTTTAAAAATTGCAAAAATTGCAAAAACTGACTCTGGTGTACTGCATTCGTTCGACATGGAAGTCGGAAATGAACGGAATGAGACCCATGCGGTGGGCGATGAATTCGTCGTGAAGTACCGAAGTGTTCGTCTCGATTTGGACCCAATCGATGGCGATTGTAGGAACCTAAAAAATTGAAAAAACAACATTTTTTCACGAAAAAAACACTCACTTCTGCAATAAAAACACGTCGCAACGAGTTGGCCACACTCAAATCCGTGTCCCAGAGCACAAATTTGATGACGTCGTTGTTGAGCTCTGTTACCTCGATGTTCGGCTGATTTGCGTACGGCATTTCTGTAATTCATTATTTGTTAATTTGGTTTTACACATTTTTATCAGTAAAAATGCAAAAATTCAGCCGTTCTTTCAACGGTAAATGGTTGAAAATCAATTTATTCGACAAATAAATTCAAAAAGGCGGCTAAACCGGGATCCTTCATCGTTTGCGCGGAGTGTCGTTCAAAGACGCAGGCGCGTACGGTAACACTCACTTCAGCTGTGTCCTTTTGTCACTCTGAATTTTTCAAATCACCACTTTTCAGGCGCTTTTCAAAATCTGCTGAAATTTCAGCGTTTTCCACATTTTTTCGATTTTTCGCGTTTCAGATGAACAGATACGATCGCGCCATCACTATTTTCTCGCCGGACGGCCATTTGTTCCAGGTGGAATACGCACAGGAGGCCGTCAAAAAGGGATCCACCGCGGTAAGCGGATAATTGAAACAAATTGTTGAAATTCAAGCGTTTTGCAATTGAAAAACGGGGATTCTATAGTCGAAAACAGTTTGAATGCGTGAAATTTGTAAATTTTCGAGGTTTTGCGAAGATTCTGCTATTTTTCGCTGGATCCACAAGAATTATAGTTTTTCAGTGCTCGAGCTGAATTTTAATGTGAAAAAGGGCAGAACCTTCGTGTTGGCCCGACTTGTCTGCTTTTTTCGGAAAAAAGTGGAAATTTTGCCCCTTTCTAGGTCGGAGTGCGCGGAAAGGACTGCATCGTGATTGGCGTGGAGAAGAAGTCGATTCCGGCCCTCCAGGATGACCGTACGATCCGTAAGATTCACATGATCGACGACCACGTGATGCTCGCCTTCGCGGGGCTCTCCGCCGACGCGCGCGTCCTCGTCGACCGTGCTCGCATCGAGTGCCAATCGTACAAACTGACCCTTGAGGACCCGGTCACCGTCGCCTACATCTCCAGATACATTGCCAACACGAAGCAGGTAAAAATCGTGTAATTTTCAAAATAAAACATCCCGTTTTAGCGCTTCACGCAGTCGCCGGGACGTCGTCCGTTCGGAATCTCGATGCTCATCGGCGGCTTCGACCACGACGGCACTCCGCGTCTGTTCAAGACGGAGCCGTCGGGCGCCTACTACGAGTACGTGGCGAACTCGACGGGAAGAGGCGAGAAGCCGGTGCGCGAGTACCTCGAGGAGCACTACAGCCCGGAGAACACGGCCGACGAGGCGACCACACTCAAATTGGTCGTCAAATCGCTGGCGCAGGTCGTGCCACCCGGATCCCAGAATATCGAGATTGCCGTCATGAAGAGAGTCAATGTGAGTGCAGTTTTCCACAATTCTCGACCAAACCATCATATTTTCTTTTAGGACGAAATCCAACAACGTGTGCTGTCGACCGACGAAATCGAGGCTCTTCTGAAGGTTGTGGAGGCGGAGCGGGCCGCCGCGGAGGCCGAAGAAGCCGCCGGAAAGAAGAAGTGAACAAATTTCATAAGTGGAGAGTGTATAATTTATATTCCGTTTTCCCCCACTGCTTTTCTCGCGTGTGTGTATTGATATCCCAGTTATTCGCCCCCCACCTAATTTATTTTATTCTTTTTCATCATTTGGCGGGAATGAAAAGTCCTGAATCCCCGACTTTTTCGAGGAAAAAATGCGGGAAAAAGAGAAGCGATATATTCGAAATGACACGATAATTGTGGGGCGGAGAGTTGAGAAAAAAATAAATAAAAAATAGAAAAAATATTTGGAGCCCAAGATTCGGTGTGCTCTTTTTCAGAGGGTTATTGTGTGTGGAGTAGGATTACGGTAGGTTACTGTATTTTTTGTGTAAGAAAAATTACAGCTTCAAAAAAAATACTTAAAATTTCCACTACGTATCTCAATTCGCTCTTGTCCCTTCCTTTTCCTCAAAATCTGAATAAGGTGCAAAATGATATGCAAATTGTTCTTCTTCTTTCTCTTCAGATTTAAATTTAAATTCCAAATCGAATAAATTCAAATTTAAATATAAAGAGGCGACAAATTACGAACGATCGGTCCGTAAAAAAAGTGGGCGTGGCCTCGGCAAATAATATACGAGCGGTACGTTTCGAAGGGCTCACACTTTTGGAAAAGATCGAGTTGAATTCAATTTCTTTTTTTTTCGTTTCAATTTTTGTTGCTCTCTACGCTTCCAGAATATATTCCGAGTTCTATCCGAAAAAAAAATCCAATTAAATATTTCCGGCCGTCGTTTCCCAATTTTTTTTGACACATTTAACACAAATCAGTGCAGAAAACGTACAAAATGGAACACGCTCTGATTGTGAACAAAATAAATTTTATTTGTCCGAAAAAAAAGACGTGTAAATCTTTTTGTCCCTTCTTTTTTAGTCACTGCTGAACGTTTACTAAACCGACCGTTGCATTTTGCTTGCTTTATTTCTAAAAATGTCAAAAATATATTTTCCCCCCTAGATTTTCGACCTTTTTCACACAATTTGAGCACACAAAAAAAGCCGCGAAACGGGAAAATTTTGCGTGTCGAAAAAGGTGTCTTCGTTTCCCGAATTCTGATTCGATTTACACGGACTTTACGGACAAATCTGCACTTCTTTTTCGGGCACGACATTGTGGAAACGTTGTCAAAACGTTTTTTTTTGTTGTTGCTACTTTATGAAAGCTTTGAAACATTGTTTTTTTGTTTTGCGCTTCTTGACCGTTTTCACACAAAATTGGTATTGAGATCGATATTTTGAGCGGCTCGAACTAAAATTTACAGTTTCAGCCGACAAACTTCAAACGGATAAATCTGAACTGCGACTTGTCCAAGTTTTTTGTTTTACGTTGCGCTGTATTGGCTTTTATAAATGTTAAGTTTCACGTAAAAACGTCGCTTTATTTGGCGGGGCGCAAGCTCATTTTTCAAAAATCGTCGTGCGTAGTCCAAGCCTGTCCGCTCTGAAAAATATTATATGATTTACAAATAGGGCACAATTTTCGAGTGCAAATATGCAAAGGTTTCTTTTCCTCACTATGTTGGTTTGTTCGTTCGTTTGTCCACATGACCGTGTGTGGTCTGTTTTCAAAAAAATATTTTTTTTAAAAATTTCCCGTTTTTCCAGAAATGTTTCTACATTTTGCCTTTCACTGAAAGTAATCTATTCTTTTAGATTTTATTTTAAAATTGATTGCACAAGTTTTGTTGGAAAATGGATTGAATTGTGGGCCGACACTAACGGACAATAAAATCGAGCAAAAAGGAGTGGAAAAATGCTGAAAATTTCGGCTTTTTTCAAACTTTTCATCTGTATCGGAGCGGTCATTCAACACGGTCAGTTTTTTGTTTTTACCAAACTAGAAAAAAACGTTTAGTGTTTCACGAAAATTCAAAATTCAAACATTGCAATTTGTTCCGCTGTTTCAGTAAAGTCTTTAAAGAAAATATTGCAAAATTGTATTTTACCGCAAATATTACGGCTTCATAACAATTCCAGTTTATCAAAGAATTTTCTCTGTTTCTCTGCGTCTCTCTCTCTCTCTCTCTGTCTCTCTCTCTCTCTCAGTGCCCTTGTACATAAATAATGCTCAAATACCGAAAATGGTTCACCGGAAATGTCGCCCACGCATTTCGAGTCGGTTTGGTAGCAGCGGCAGCAGTGGGGGGCTAATAGGTGTCAACGCGAGCGTATTCTAATCGTTTCCTTCTCTGCGTCTCTCGCCTCCACACACTCTCTCGCCGCTTTTTTGTTTTCGCTTTTCGGAAAGGGCACCGAGCAGAAGAATAGGGAACCGAACGGAACGGAACACGGCGAGAGGTTGTACTACAGGTGGTTGATGAGGGGTTCGAATTGGGATGCATGAAGTATGGAGAGCTATAAAGACGAGGGAATCAAAACGGAACGTCTCAGCCATGTATTATAGGGGCACCGGACAGAAAGGGCGCGCTGTTAGCAATCTGACCGAATTTCTAGGCCGCGAAGTAATTTTCCACTGAAAACGTGGCTTAACTTTTCAAACTCGGCCCCGAGGTCGCTCAAAAAAAAGTTTCTCAACAGAGCGCCATTTCTGTGCGGTGCCCCTATAATATCTCAGCTGTCACTAATGCTATCAAAAAATTGACAATTGATAAAATATATTTCTAAAACATTACATGTGTGTATATTATAATATTACAACTTATAGGCAGCTGAGAAACAGTAATATTCATAGAAAAAAACTACTGCTAAACTTTGGGATTTGTACTGAAAAAAAAAACGTGTCGCGTATATTCTGGAGCAAGTCACTTACTAACAAATTTGCACGGGGAGATATTAAAAGTACAAAATAAGATTGCAGAAGACCGAGTGCCGAACGCGCCGCAAAACGTTCGTGTCAAGACGCAATCGACGTCGGCGACGCTGTGGTGGGACGCTCCTCCGGATGCTTCCGTTCTCATCAGAGGATATACGGTCGAGTACGGAGAGGGAAGCATTTCGCAGAGAATCCTCATCGAGGGCTCCGACAGCACTTCTTTCACCGTCACCAGACTCGGTTAGTGTTAGATCTTCGGGGATGTGTTGGGGTTTTTCCACTAACTTCTACTTTTTCGCAAATTCATACACAAAATTCGGTCCCACCGCAATTATTTTGCTAAAACTATTCGAATTTGAGTTGTTTTTTCACCATCGCACGGTCTCCAGAGCTGACAATGCCCCGCCCAATAGAGCGATACATTTAAATTCAAATGTTAGCAGAAAAATTTTGTTTTTTTTTGCCAGATTAGCCATGAAAAACCGATAATTTCTCGTTTGTCTCTCGATAGACCGATTTTATAGGCTATTACGAATTTTTTAAGCGCAAGAGTGTCAAATTTGGTCAAGTCGCAAATCACATTTATCCGTTTGAAGGTTTTTGCCTAAAACTGCGCGAATTTCAGTAGCTTTTCGGTAGTTTTCGCGGTTCGAGCGCTCAAAATGCTTGTATTTACGTGATTTACCATTTTCAAAACCAATTCTGTCTGAAAACGGTCAAGAAAGCGCAAAATGAGAAGTGCGGTTTTTAGGCGGCGAAGGCGAAAACACAAAATCCGCGAAAAATGCGCCAAAACGTCATTAATTCTGCGAATTAGTGTATTTTCATGTCGAACAATCATTTTCCATCGCCTTTGACCACAAAAATCACAGAAAAGCTGCTGAATTCATGAAAACGCCAATGCACCAAAACTTCTGCATTTTCGATAATTTTCATGTTTTCTTGTCAAAGTATCGCTCTTGACCGTAAACTTCATGAAAACGCCCCGGCAGTCTCAATAAATGTTATGAAAACTTGTAAGGAAACATTATTTTGCAAAAAAAAACCACTTGCAGCGCCCAACACGAACTACGTCTTTGCGGTTTCGGCGTACAACGAGGCGGAAGGCGAGGACGGCACGAAAGTGATGTTGGCGGCGAAAACGCGACCGGCCGAAGGGAGTCAGACGGAGAAACTATGGCCGCCCACTTCGGTACGGGCGAAAATCGAAAAAGAATCGGCGGGGAGTGCGATCGTCTCGTGGGAGGATCCGAATCCGGAGAGCTCCGCCGAAAATTCGATCGATTCGATGCAACGGCAGTATGTTGTCAAGTAAGGCGTTTTTTTTTTAAATTTTGCGATGTGCCTCGACGGATAATTTTTCAGCTACGGAATCTACGAAAGCGACACGCAGCAGAAAGTGCGCTCGAATGCGAAATCGGTCCGTTTGACCGGACTGTTGCCCGGAAAAGAGTACGAAGTGGCGGTGAAGGTGGTGGCCGGAGACGGCAGTGAGAGTCCCTGGAGCATCAGAGACCTATTCCTGCTGCCCGAGGGTTCGTTTCTACTTTTTTGTTGTTGTTGTTGTTGAAAATGTAGACATTTATATAGGCCTGAAGTGTTCACCTCAATTTCTACAAAAGTTTAATGTAAAAGAAGTGAACAAAATGTTTTGAAAAAAAAGACCTACGCTATTTTTTTCCGTTCGTCTTGTTTTCGGAACTCTGCGGCTTTTGGTTGTTCTGGAAATTAGGCGAGTGTAAAAAACTTCTGGAAAAAAAGTATACGGGCAGTGTGAAATTAAAAATGGACAAGTGCAGAGTTCAGCGCGTGAGAGATATCAGTGTTGGACGGGAAAAGAATAGGAAAAGTCGGGAAACGGAAGACGGAATTCCGCTCCAACTGGCCGAATGGACCAAACAGCGTTGCGTTGCGTCTTTTGGCCGTTGGGAAGATACTCTGAGCAAGGAGAAGAAAAGAGAAAGGTTCTCGGCGAAGATGGTCCTCAGGAGGGTTCAAACTACGAACCCGTGTTCCGATGATCTGTCTACGTGATCATTTGTCCATCAAAACACTCGTAAACTCCTCTGATTTCTGTGACAGGTGCGAAAATCTTGAACGGTCCCTGTCCGGCCATCAAAATAGGTGCGATCCTTGGACGCGTTGCGGTCTATGCTCCCCGACGGACCGTCCATTCTGCCACAACCATTCCCCTTTTTTCTCCCTGCCCTGCCTGTCTTCCCAAACGCCAACCCCTCGAGTACGGTCGCTTTAAAGGCGCATGCCTACATTTTGTCGCATCCCGTTTGACCTACCGCGAAACTATTGATATTATGCTGTTGTGAACACGCTTGTAATTATCATAGTTGCCACGGGCCGGGCCGGGCCGAAATTTCCAAAACTCCGGCCCGGCCCGGCCCGGCCCGGTCGGCCCGGTTCAAAAAGCGAGAATTCAAAATTTGAATTATTGATCGCATGAAGCCATTTTTTGTAGAATTAGGGGGTACTCGTTTCGTTTCTTTCTCCAGTGAATAAAAACAAAAAAGTTCGAAAATCTTTTTTGTAATAACGAAAAAAAAATTTCCGCGAAAATTTGAATTCCCGCCTTTTGAACCGGGCCGACCGGGCCGGCCCGCATGGCCGGCCCGAAATCTGGCAAGTCTGGTAATTATTGAGAATCCGTCAATAGACTCGCGATAGACCCGTTTGATAGTACAGAGCGCGAAGCTTACGGAGTGTCGTTGTTACAATGAAAAAAGGCCAAAAAGAAAGCGGTTGGTGAGGGTCCAGTGAATAAATGCATGATAGACCGACCTTTCCTCTCATTTCATCGCTATTCTACATCGGTTGTTTACAGACTCAAGCCAACATTTTGGAAATTAGGCAGGAGTATGCAAACACCAAAGGGGCGGGATCTCCACGTCCTCAGTGTCCGTATTTTTTGAAAGAAAAGCTTAGAAATGCAATGTTTTCATATTGCGACACTTTTTCTAAACTCTGAGGTGTCACACCGTGTGCCTGTGGACTCTAATATACAGAACAATAGTGCGCTTTTTGAACTGTACGGCAGAGTTGAGCGGAAATGGAATTTTGAAATCCGGAAGACGGAAGAAAATTTTTTTACGGAACACGGAAAACGGAAGACGGAACAACAAAAATCGTCAATGCAGAACCTTTTTCTCCGGTTTTTTTTTTGAAAAAAATAACTAACAAAATAACTTGTAAAGCAACAAAAATTTTGGATCTGGGTCATTGCCCGTGGAAATTCGCGTTCTTCGGGGCTAGTAAATGGCTTCTGAAAAAAAAAAAAATTTCTGAGAGAAAGAAGAAAAAAATTCTGAGAAATGGATACGAGCATTGTTATGAAATTTAGCACTTTTATTAGAAACAATAGTAATATTGCGAATTTTTTAGAGTTGCTAAGCCATCCGACAAATGAATGCTTCGATTGTTCTCATTTTCAGCCGCGTCCATCTCGAAATTCGACTGGTTCTGCCGTCTGAACGACACAGAAATGTGTGCGATGGACAGTTCGTCGCACTGGAAACTGTGCACCTCGAAGCACGACACGTACACGCAGAGGGAGGCGGGCGCGTGTCCCCGCGTACAGTACCCCTCGTCGCCGGCCCATTTGACGACGCCGACTATCAACCTGCCCGATGCCCGTCGATTGTGCCTCTATTTCCGATTCGCTCTCCTCAATTTTCATCCGGGTAATTATATTGTCAGCAGTCTTTCCTTCTTATAAAAAATCAATAATTTCAGGTCAAATGAAAGTGGAAGTGTTGCGCGACGGCGACATTTCGAATCGTCAGATTTTGTGGAAAACGAGAATGGCCAACATTCGAACGCATGTCGTTCAGAACGTTTACATTCCGTTCTCGCAACAAATTCAGCCATTCAAAGTGAGTTTCAAATTCAAATTCAAAAAAAAAAGTGTTGCTTTTTTTTACCAATGCATGGAGCAGTTCGTTGAATAAAATATTTCAACTATTGTAGGTGTCAGCGTCTCTAAAATGGGACGGTCAACCGATGCCACGTGTCATTGTGCACGAGATGGACGTGCTCAGTGGAGGATGCTCCGAGAGATCCACGGGTTTGTTTTTTCTTTAAAAAATCTATGATGCCGCGTCCAATGTCTCGGAAAAACCCGGAAAAACCGCATGTTTTTCTGTCCAAAGTCGGCCGAAATTTGCGTGAAAAACGGGGGTGCGCACAGCTCAACGAATGTGACCGTACCCCCCTAAAACTACGGTATTTTTTGAAAATTTGCGCAAGAAATTTAAATATTTTCAAATATCCCCCGCGGTTTTTCCGGTTTTTCCGAGACTTTGGACGCGGCATAAAAAGGTGGACCTCTTTTTGGAAACCGGAAAAAATGTACATTTCATTGAATATTGTTATGATAGCAGCCTATTACCAATCTCAAGGTTTCGATAATAATAGAGTTACATAATTTTATTTTATTTTACAATGCGCCCATTTTAAATTTTTACTGTTACAAAAGTGGAAATTGTGGAGGTCGGACTTGTGATCCTTTTTGATACCAGATATGGCAAAAAAAAAATTTTTTCAAATAATAGTATTACAATAGTCGTTTATGTTCAAAAATGGCATTAAACATGAAAGTCGGAAGAGGAAATGTTCGGAACCCGGCCCAATTGAGAACCACTCGTTTATTAGTGCTCCAGACTCGCCATTGTCCATTCTTTTTTCAAAACAATGCGGCGATGCCACCGCCCGAAACTAGTATATATATTTTCGATAAAAACGAAGAAAAAGGGGAGCTTCTTCCTTCCTCTCTCTCTCTTTCTCTTTCTCTCTCTCTCTCCCTGACGAGACGTCCTTCTCGCTGACCCCCAAAATTAGGCCCCGCCCCTTTTTTTGTTTCACGCCCCCAAATCCCTTGGCGCACTGCCAAACACACTGACTTTGACCAGAATTTTTGGGAAGAAATATATTTTTCGCTTTTTTTTTCAGGGCCTAGAAAATGTAGGGCGAAACGTAAAGATTATAATCCTATGGAATTACTTCTTCTCTCTCTCTCTCTCTCTCTCTCTGACTTTTCTCTTCTTTTTACTTGTTTTACTCGTGATTCTATGAAAAGTTTTGAAGAAAATGGCGAAACGACTATTGTATGCCCACGTTTTTCTGGCCATTAACATTTTGTGCCGAATTTATAACACACAAGCCCAACCGCCGCCGTTCTTCGCTCTCAATCAGTTGCCCGGAGGTACGTCTTTTCAACAACAAAAAAACCGATTTTTTTTTTCGGATTTCAAAAAGTTTTAGGAACTTTTTTGCTTTGTGAAAGCAACATTTGTCGTCTAGCCTATTCTCGACGTTAAAGTCCCCTCAGCTTTTTCGTCGATTCCCAGTTGACCTTGAATTAGCAGGCAAAATTAGTGTCCTTGACTGACTAATCACTTTTTGTGTCTGCTCGAAAAGACCGTTCGAAGATTGTCTAAAACAAAGGGGAAATCATTTTGAAACATAAATTTTGGCGCGCCAGCCTGCGTGAATTTCGTGCTGCGCCTTTAAACGGCTACCGTAATCTTCGTTCAAAATTTGCGAATTCCTGAATGATTTTTGCGCTAATGTAGCCGATTCGACCTGTAATTTGTAAATTTCGCATATTTTTTGACGTTTGAGCGCTCAAAAGATGCGCAATGAAACGCTCTTTTTCGTGTTTAGCTCTTTTTGGATATTTCGAAGGCAAGTGTGCCTGTGCGCATCGAAACTGTTGTTCTTCAGTGCTGATTTTTGCGCTAAAATAGCCGATTCGACCTGTAATTTGTCAATTTCGCATATTTTTTTGACGATTTCTCGTGTCGGTTCTTCTGGATTACTCCGAAATGAAATCCGCCCGTGCGCATCGAAACTGTTGTTCTTCAGTGCTAATTTTGAAAGAATCTGCTCCGTTCAGCGCTCCAATCTCCCGACTCTCGACGAATCAAATGTCAAAGTTTAAAGAGAGGTGGATGATGCAAACGCGCTCTCTTGAGAACTTCAAATAAATTTTTTCATTTTTTAAACTTTCAAATTCACAATTCCCCCCCTCAAAATCGCTAGCAAATTGAATTCCTAACCCAGAATTTTCGGCTCAACTTTCGAGGCACCAAAAGCAAGAATCCAATTGCCAACTGCTAGTTCCGTTCCAAAAATAAAAGGAACAATGGAAATTGGCACCTGTCTGGTTGGAAAATGTTCGGGAGAGCTCCTCTAGGACCCCCTCTGCTCATTTGTCTCCTCCAGAAAGGGGGGTCACGGGGAGAAGTGAAGCATGAAACATTGCTTCTTCTCTTTCTCCCCACGCCAATATTGTCCATTCATTCACACTTGTCCCTCTCTCTCTCTCTTATATTATCCATCATTTCGGCACGACAAGAAGCACATGGGATTATGAGAAGGAGGACAATGTGATATTGTAGTATTATTATTAGTTGGACACTATAATGTTAGTGTGTGTCTAATTATTTAGTATAGGACAGGAACATTGGATAAAGTGGACTTTTTTTGCGGTTTCAAAAAAAAATGTTTGAAATTTTAGACGCATTGTTTTTCTGTTCGTGCTACAACCGCAATTATAGCAATTTTAAATTATTTTCTAACATTTCGAAATTATGATTTTCCAAAGAAAAAGCTCGTAAATCTTCTCAGTGTTTTCCCATAAACTACGTCAATAAAGGTCGTTCGCCAACACCACCAAGTGGCGCCCACGCAGAGAGAGAGAAAGAGAGAAAAAACGAAACGGACAGAGAATCTTCCCTGTTTTTGCCGTCAATTTCCATTCATTTCGCCGCCAGACGCCGAGGTTAATGGTCGGCCGAAAAACACGGAAATTAGTAGTGGATTTCGAGGATTCCAATCATTTGTTCGGGGGGGGGGGGAGGAGATCTGTATCCTCTTCGACGTGGCTCTAAAAATCGATCCGTGTACGGTTCTGTGGCCCCAACACCAATGTCATTCGGCGCAAATTGATTGACAAAAATAGTACTGTTTCACAAAAGGTGATAGTCATTTGTGTCTCGCGCCTCTACATCAAAACCAGTGTTGAGCGGAATTCCGTCTGCCGTCTTCCGTCTTCCGTCTGCCGTCTTCCGTGAGAAAAATTTTCTTCCATCTTCCGTTTTCCGTGTTCCGTAAAAAAAATTTTCTTCCGTCTGCCGTTTTCCGGATTTCAAAATTCCATTTCCGCTCAACTCTGATCAAAACTCACTATTCTAACACAGTGTGCTTGTGCTCGATCCGTCCATCCGCATCACATTTATCATTCGTTGTGCGCGCCTCTTTCCGAACGTATAATTGATTGTGCCTGTCGCTCTTCCTCCCGCCGGCCGGAAGAGCACCGAAACGATGAGCAAAAAAAGGGGGAAAGGTGAAAAATGAGGTGGAGAATAAATCACGGGAAAAAAAGAGTGGCGGGGAAGGGGCGAAAAAAATCCTCTAAAATCCTTCAAAAATTGTAGGGGGTACCTTGTCCGCCGGCGGTTCGTGAAACGGCTCCCCAAGGAGAGATTATCTCAAAATAACACACTTTTTTCGCGTTTGTTTTCCGCTCCCGAAATTATTGGAAAAAGTTCGTCGTTGTATTCGTGTATTCCCACGGGGAAAAATGAAATGTTTGGGCGATTTTTTGTTGTTGTTGAAAATGTTGCCGAAATGAACTGATTCTGGCCGGAACAAGGGCTTGAAACATTTCATTTTACAGATGACGAGTCGGAAGTGGACCTCCTGGAACCGGTAAAAGCCTCCCTGAATGCAGACTCTCGAGTATTCCGCGCCAAAGGGATCGAATCGCTGCCGGCCATCGGACTACAGGTTTGCTTGGTGCTATTTCGATATAGAAAATGTCTCGGAATAGAAGTGTTCCGAAACAGAAGTGTTTTGAAATAGAAGTAGCGATAGAGCGCGTTCGCAACTCGTTTTCATGAATTGAACAGGTTTTCTCTGATTTTTGTGGTCAAAGGCGATGAAAAATGATTGTTCGTCATCAAAACACACTAATTCTCACAGAATTAATGACGTTTTGGCGCTCATTTTTCGCAGACTTTGCTTTTTCGCCTTTGCCGCCTATCGCCGCCTAAAAACCGCACTTCTCATGTTGCGCTTTCTTGACCGTTTTCAGACAGAATTGGTTTTGAGAATGATAAATCACGTAAATACAAGCATTTTGAGCGCTCGAACCGCGAAAACTACCGAAAAGCAACTGAAATTCACGCAGTTTTAGCCAAAAACCCTCAAACGGGTAAATGTGATTTGCGACTTGACCAAATTTAACGCTCTTGCGCTTAAAAAATTCGTAATAGCCTATACAATCGGTCTATCGAGAGAAAAATGAGAAATTATCGATTTTTCGTGGCTAATCTGGCAAAAAACACAAATTTTGCAGTTAAAATTTGAATTTCGCGCCAATGTATCGCTCTCTACGCACTTGCGCCCATTGTCAGCTCTGGAGACCGCGTCCAAGCCTTTTTCCGCGCGCCAAACCTTCAGATGCGTGCTATTCGAAGAATACCGATTAATTTTTCCCAATTTTTGTGGGAATGAGTTTATTATGATTGAAACTAACAAAGAGCACCAAGTAACTCGCGAAAATTTCTTGGGTCACTGAAAAATAGCTTTTTTCGAAAAACGACGTGCTTTTTGTGTCTCTTTGTTAGTTTACATTATAACGAACACGTTGCCAAAAAAAGCAAGTAAACTGAATCAGTATTCATCCGTCGGCACGCATCTAAAGTCTCGGAACAGCAGAAAAAGGCTTGGAGAGCGCGCAGCCGTCTGCCGCGAAAGTTCGCGCGTTCTTTTTCGTTCTGACTGAGGGAAAGGAGCGTGAAAACGGACAAACCTGTGCAAGAATAATTTCGCACAACAATTCACAACAAAAATTATCTATTTTCAGAGAGGCGTCGAAATTGCAGTGCCGTATCGATTGTACCTGCCACGCAACTTTTTCAAGCAATTCTCTCTGCTCGCCACGATAAAGCCTATGGATAAGCGGTAAGACCAAAAAAAATAAAGTTCAGAAATAAACGTTTTTTTTCCAGAGGCGGATACCTGTTTGCAGCAGTGAATGCGTTCGATTCGGCTGTCGATATTGGATTGCTCTTGGAGCCGGCCGGTAAGAAGACTGCGTTTAAAGTTGACCAAATGACACCGGGCTTGGACACAACGGTGCTTGTACCGTCAAGATATTGAGAAAAAAATTTGGTGTTGCTAGGTGCAAGATGAAGGGTACTTTTATGGGTCAGCGTGAAGACTGTCCAGTTTAGTACTGAAAACGGCTTCACAAAACGAAGCCGCCTGAGGTCTCGGATAATCTTAGTGATTTCATGATACTTAGAGCAACCGTAGCCCTACAGTAATCCATTCAGGCACGAAACAGTCGAACATCTCTCTGATCGTGCGTTCCACTGCGGTCGCCTCGTTTCTCGTCGACGACTTCTCGCAACAATGGACGCAATTCGCACTGGAAGTCATCGAGCAGACCGTCACCTTCTACTTCAAGTGCCAGCGATTCGCCTCCAGACAGGCACGCCACTTTCAAACCGTTTCGATTATTGTTCCCATTCTTCAGGTCTCCTCTCTTCCCGATTTCTCGTTCGACGAAGCCGAAAAATTGTACATTGCGAGCGCGGGACCGATTATTGATAACGGATTCGAGGTACTCTTTTTCTCTCTCTCATTTCCACAGACTTTTTCCACAGACAACATGGCGAGGTAAACTTTATTCCGGAATTAAACAAACTAGAAAACAGTTGGTAATACTATATTCATTCATTACCTGAATTATTCATTCGTGAAAAAAAAAAACGCAAAAAGGGTCAAGATTTGTTATTGTTTGTTTAGTAAGCCAGGCGGCCCCGACCTTCCTCGTTTCGTCAATTCCTAATAACACGGCAAACTGGAAAATTTCAATATTTTTTCCCGTATTCTCCGGCTGATTTCCGTTAATTTTAGCGCTCGTGGGGGTCTGTAGCATTTTTTAGAATAAAGCTATGATTTTTCAAAGTTGAGCGGAAAAATTTTGCATCAACCTTTGAAACTGCTTATAAAATGACGTGTCAGAAATCTGAATACAGTACCCCGGAACGTTCCCAGGCGGTCGCCCAAAATGATCAAAAGACATTCCGCCAATGATTACTCCATTCGCAAATACATAAATGACTTTCCCCTTTTCTCTTTCAGGTCCCCGCCTTCTCTCTTTTTGAATTCATGTGTGCCCTCCCAATTCGTCATTCTCATTGAACTTCATTCTTCGACACTTTTTGTCTCATTCACAATCCAATTCAAAAGTGCACATTACACAGATGGGAAAAGGGGGTAAATAGAGGGAGAGAATGGGCGGTACGCACTTCTTTTTTTTTTCGTTCGATTCAGATGCTAATAGGAACGGTGGGAGCCGGGCACCAAGTGCCAGTGCACTCGTTTTTCTGTCCTCCGCCCACGCATTTCTCCTCTTCGTTGTGTCAATTGTTCTGAAAATTACATTTATGAAAGCCCTCTTTGCATCACGAAACCGCCGGCCTCTCCAATTTGCGTGCGACAATTTCGTGATGCGCCTTTAAACAGCTACCGTAATCTTCGTACGAAATTTGCGAATTCCTGAATGATTTTTGCGCTAAAATAGCCGATTCGACCTGTAATTTGTCAATTTCGCATATTTTTTCAAACGATTTCTTGTGTCGGTTCTTCTGGATTACTCCGAAATGAAATCCGCCCGTGCGCATCGAAACTGTTGTTCTTCAGTGCTAATTTTGAAAGAATCTGCTCCGTTCAGCGCTCGAATCGAAACTCTCGACGAACAAAATGTCAACATTTGAAGAATGAAAATGAACCGATTCCTAGTCGCTAGATGATGCAAACGCGCTCTATTGAGAACTCGCTCGCGCATTGCCATCCATTCTCCCGCCGCAAATTCTGAATCGTGCGCCCGATTTTAAGTCACGTCCGGGCTAGAGTCAAAACCAAAACAATTTGCAAAATTGGCTGAAATTTTAGAGAATTGTCGGCACAATTTCCTCTTGTTGTTGCTCATTCGATGAAGATGAAAATAAACTGGAGCACGGGGGGAAACTAGAGAAACGAGCGAATTGAATCCCATCCATAACAATTCAAAAAGCCCTCTGAATAGCATAGGGATATCCGAAAGACGTACTCTCGATTTTTTTCGCTCAAAGAAAACGAAAAACGTAAACTTTTTGGCTTCAAAAGTGCGCCCAAACTCTTCACAATCGTTTATTTATAGATTTTTCGACAAAATTTATCCAGATGATCAACACATTTTTCGCCCAATTCTCTCTGTGATTTTTAGTGATGAATTTAGTGACGTCACTGTTTACCAAACTACCGTAATCCTTGATGACAAATTCCACTGATTACTCATTTTTCTGACCAGAGTTGACCGTCGTTTTTACAATGGTTTTGTGGGACAAATCGAAACAGCTCCAACTTGAGAATTGCAGAAAATGTCAAGGTCCGCCCACTTGTTCCTCACATTTCCCTTATCGCCCCCACTTTGCTTTCCAATAAATATAAAAATGTTTTCGCGAAACCACAAACACCTCTCCCGATCCGATCATTCCTATCACGTTTATTTTTTTACACACAAACACTTTAATATAAAAAACCACGGAAATATCTCTTTCGCTTCTTCTTCTTCTTCTTCTTTTCGGTTCTTTCCGCTCAAGCGCCGAGAGCCTAGAGGACCTAAGATTAATTGGTTGGCCCTTCGGATCCACGCAAAAAGAGCACCGGCGGAGCATTTGTGTTCCCCGCCGCCGCAGCAAAGTCTGATTAGAGTGATACTACAAACTGATCAGTCTTTTCGTTCGGCGTAGTAGCATTCGGTTTAATTCAATTTTGGCAACTCTGACGTTTCTATTACGTTTCGAAACGTTTTCTTAACATTTTGGTGTATTCTTATGCCTAACACTGTTCCATTGTTCTAGAACGTCTCGCTTTCGCCACTCATTTCTCCCCTCAAAAATGCAAAATGTTATCAGAAATGCGTCTGCCCCTACTCGCATTAGTGCTCATTCTTCCGGTGCTCTTGGCCGACTCGTCGCAAGAGCTCTCCGACGACGTGGAATTGTTGTCGTCGGAGTTTGCGGACGAGTCCCACGTGGCGGGTACCGTATTCCAAGTACACGTGCCCAATACGGACGCGCATTTCCGAAAAACGCGCTCCTCTTCGGAGGAAAAGGAGCAGAACGCGGTCGCCATGTTGCCTGTGGAGACGGTCGAAGTGGAGGAAGGAATCGAGGACGACGGAAAGGTGGGACGATATTGTCGGTCTTATTTTGCAGGGAGCCATCCAAGAGCTCAAACTGATCGATGACGCCGGGCAGGGAGCACGCCAGTGTGACGAACTATGGGTAAACCAGGGGATTCATGGGTGGGGAACTTTTCTTGCAAATCTTACCTGCCGTTTCAATTAAACATTAGTAGGCAAACTAACTTTTTTGAAAAACGCCAAATTCAAAACAAAACCCCTCCATCTTCCTCTAGTGGCGCCGTCGAAAGATCGAAAAAGAGCGAGATTCGTTCAAAAAGGTAAGTTTACAATATCGATTTGTGGTCATTTTATGTCATCCGCTTTCTGTAACCTAGCGGCATTTCTCTGCAATCGCGCTCTGTTCCTAATCTGGCCGTCAGGTAATCTTTTAAAAACTCGGTTGCACAGTGTGCACTGCAAAACGAGTTTCTCAACAGAGCGCGGATGCAGTGAATCGCACCCATAATATACGTAGTTGTAGTCTACTTGTTTTGTAAACTAAAATGAGAAAAACGATGCGTTTTGTCCGATTTATTTTCAAATTTCCCAAAATTTATACCCAATTTGCAGATCGAAGGTTCCGGAACTCCGGATGAGCTGAAAAAGGCGCCAGAAATTGAGTACCAAAAAATCGAGCAGCAATTTCCGCCCACGCCCGCACCGCCGCCGCCGTTCCCGTCTCCCGATGTCGCTTCTCCGCACGGTAAGCCAATTAGCCGACTAGTTTCGGATTTCTAGACGACCAAACACAGAAAAACAATGTGGCTTTCAAAAATTGGCTTGAACAGAAGAACTCACGGCTGTTCAGCCGACAAATCCGGCCCATTACATGCAAAAATGACACAGAAATTTCAGTTGTTGTCGTTCAGGCCAGAAGTTCACAGAAAACTGCAAAAAATGTCAACGACACTCCGTTTTAACGCGGCGGCGCTGAACCTAACATTAGCCATTATTGGGGAGAAAATCCATAATGCTTGGCTCAAATTTTCAGATGTTTTCCTGTCCGACGACTCTCTGGTTGTCCCTTTTATGGGCAGTCAGCCGGCGGCTAGAGGTCACTCGAGTTTCGGTTTCAAAACTTTTCAAAATTGTCTCTCCCCTTAGAAACATGGCTGAAAATTTTGTGACTTTTGCGCTTTTTTTTTGCATGGTGTGTATGATGAACATTTGAGGATGTGCGATTTTTTAGGCCATCCGATGAAAAAAAGTGTCCATATAAGTTCAAGTTTTGAGCGTTTGAACAGTTTGAAGTTGCCGATTGTTCACCCCTTTAGCCTGATATTTCTCCGGTTCAGTGGTGCGACTTTGAAATCGATCTTGTCTCGAAATGGAGGAGCTTTTCAATTTTCAAAAATATCAAAAATGAACTCATTTTGACACCCCTGAACTAGAGTTGTACCAAACCTCTTTTCTCCTCAATTTCTTCCAGTGTTGCAGACCTCCGCTCGTACGACCAATCCGCCACGTCACCGTTCCAAGGATCACAGTCCCCAATCGGCCAATGCACTCAAGTGTGCCGCGGAGAACCCGGTCCCCAAGGCCCTGCGGGTCAAGATGGACTGCCCGGATCGCATGGAGCGCCGGGCCATCCGGGAGAACGAGGCGCCGACGGACTGCCGGGTCAGCACGGATCTCGCGGCGAGCAGGGACCCCCCGGACCCCCCGGAATGCCCGGATTAGCAGGACCGCCAGGGCCGCCGGGATCCGGCTCCGACTCCTCTGGCCACGGATCGGGCCCCGGGCCACAGGGACCGCCTGGACTTCCAGGGGCTCCGGGAAGAGATGGAGCCGTCGGGGCGGATGGGGAACGGGGACCGCAGGGACCGCCCGGACCGAAAGGAGACGACGGAGCGAGCATGGAGAATCTGACGGACGAGGACATCGAGCGCATCGCCAGAAGGGTCGCCGCCATTCAGAAAAAGGACCGACTGCTGCCCGAGTACGATAGAACGATGCATTCGGCGACGACGAAGGGGGAGAAGGGAGAGCGGGGGGCTCCTGGAGCGCCCGGATACGCACAGCCTGCAGGTTCGCCCTTTTTTTTTTACTACATTAGGAGCATTCTTTACTTCAAAAGTTATCCCGAAAACTACATTTGTTTATTTATAAATTTCCCGTTTTTCCCTAATCCCTGTTCTTCTGTCAGCCAACTTTACCAAACGAAATTGTTGCCCACTAAAAATGGCCAGAATATTGTTCCCATCTTTTATTATTCTCAGCCAATTGTTTCTAATCAACAATATCAGTCCGATTTATGTATTCCCAATTCCCGAGGTCTTTCTAAAAGGTAAGGAAACGTTCAAAACGAAAACTTGTAGAATGAGCACTGAAAAATGCGCGTGAAAATGTTGCAGCCGTCCAAACATCGAACGCCGTGAACGTGCACGCGACGACGGTGGAATTGTTCGCTTCGGCGCGTGCGACGTCAGTCGGCCAACTCGCATTTGCCACGTCATCGCAACAACTGTTCATTCGGGTGACGAACGGATGGAAAGAGGTCCAATTGACCCACTTCCATCCGTTTTTGGAGACGAGACAGTCTACGGTACGTGTGGGAGAAAGGGGCGAAACAGCCAATAATTCCCATCTTTTTTCTCCCCCTCCCCAATTTTCGAATGCATTTTTGTATTGTAGCCAATTGAACTAGATTCCCGCTATTCGCCGAATAGCATTGAGTTTTGGGTGAGTTTATTTCATTTTCTAAATGTTGTGATTGTATAGAATTTTGTTGTTTACTCAACAAACTTTAAAGGTCCAGGGAACCCTCAACTTTTTTGAATTTGTGTCTGTCTCAATTGCCACATACACTGTCCCAACTGTCCCGAAACAGCGCGCAGCTAAAGTTGTGGCCGTGACCTAGAAAACGCAGGTGTGGAATCTCTTCCCTGCACTTTGGCAATCTGTTAGTTTGTGCGAATGATTGGCAACATCTGAAGATTGTGTCGAATGGAAAAAAGACACACATTGCCTAGAATTTAGCTAGGCCACGACCACAACTTTGACTGCGCGCTGTTGCGTCTAGGACAGTGTACGTGGCAATACGAGACGATTCAAAAGACAGACACATTCACTCGCAGGGTTCCCTCGTCCTTTAATGTGTTTCTCATCTAAAAAATGTTGACAGAGCCGTCAAAATGGGCATAAATGTTCGTCGCGTCAGCCGCGAAATTCGAATGTAAATTGAACTGGAAATTAGTTATTTGTGGTGCAAAAAAAATCGGTTTTTTTTTTCAAGAAAAGTACAGTGTACCTAGGGCACTGTACCTTTTTTGCACACCTGCCCTTTAGTCAACTCACTCCCACTCCCACTTGTCACATCACAACATCTATATATGTTTAGACAGACTTTTGTGAAATCTTGTGAAGCAGTTTTGTGAAGCACACAACGTAGTTTTGTGGGAACCGTTCAGAAAATCGTTGTTGCTTTTTTTCAGCAAAATTCGCGACAAAACGACGCTGTCCAACCGTCGTGGCACCCGAGACAAAGTGTGGAACAACCGCAGAGAGACGCCGGAGCACACAATAGGGATCGAGTGGTGATTTTTTAAATTGTCATTGAAAAATTGAGTGCAAGTACGAAAATTGATAGAGCATTTGGACGTTCCACTCGGCAAATTGCACGCGTTGGGCTGGCCTTCCCTTCCGTCTTTTGTTTAGTATTTTTTGTTTAGTATTGACCCGAGAAGTTCTCCAATGTTCTTTCAAAGAAGTTATGTTCGCTGAACTGATCAAGTAGAAAAAAAGCAATGTTTTGTTGAAATTCTCAATTTTCAGATCCACATGATCGCGCTCTCGCATCCGTTCTCGGGCAACGTGCACGGCCTGCGCGGCGCCGATCTGCAGTGCTACCGGGAGGCACGGGCGGCCGGATTCTCGACGACTTTCCGAGCGATGCTCTCGAGCAACGTGCAGGACCTCGTCCGAATTGTGCATTCTGTCGACGCGGACACGCCCGTCGTCAACTCGGCCGGACATCATCTCTTCCCGTCGTGGCGCTCGTTCGTCAATGGGGCACAGATGAACGGACACGCGACTCTGCTTTCTTTCGACCGACACGATGTGCTCAACGACTCCCGATGGTGGGCTCTTTTTGAAATTGCGACAGGAAATCGTGAAACACTAGCGAAACGTTGTAGTACCTTTTATTGCAATTTTTAGGTTTGCATTGTTTGAACCTAATCATTTTGGCTATTCAAATATCAATGTAACAAATGTATAATAATAGGGCTGGTCTTTTGGTCCACTTGAAATAAACTAAAGCTTTACAGGCTTTTATACTTGGATTGAAGTATGTCGGGACCGAGTTTCAGACGAATCCGATTATCTGGTCTCGCGACATACTAGTTTGAGGCCGAGACGACTACATTCTTCGCAAAACGCGTATATCCCTGTACCAGATGATCCGATCGGTCTGAAACTTGGACCCAACATACTTCAATCCAAGTCCAAGAGGCTTGCGATGTTCGGACCCGACCGGATCCTTGCTAAAAGTCCAGGCCATCGGAAGCCTGGACCGTCCAATTATTTCACAATGAAAAAACCTTGGTTCAAGACATTTCAACCTGAAAATTGAAAACAATACCGGAATTTTGATACAACTGTTGAGAAATGTGTCATAAACGGTTCGGATTAATGATAATTTACAGGCCCGACAAGCGTGTCTGGCACGGATCGAAGGACGGCGGAATCCGCGCCGAACAGTATTGCGACGGATGGAGAAGAGCCGATGGTACGGAGTTTTCAAGTTTCTTTTTATATCCGCAGAAAATTTGAGTACAAACACATGTGGATATTCGGTAATTTTCAGGATCAATGACCTCGTTCGCCGGCCACATTTTCTCGAACACCAGCCTGTTCCAATCCACTCAAATCGCTCAGTGCGACACGAAATTGGTCGTTCTTTGTGTTGAGGTGATTTTTTTTTGCTGAAAAACGGTTTTTCACACAATTTGTTTTTATTTGCAGAACATGTCGAAATACCACGGCGACAAGATTCTCCGTCTACGCAGAATTCAATCGGACTTTCAAAAATGAATAACTCTAGCCACGCCCCCCTTTTTTTAAATAGATTATTATACCAGTCACAATTGAGAATTAGTCAACCTGTTTTTTAACGAACGACCAAAGATTTTTATGACGTCCCCCCCCCCAAACACAAAAACGGCTCATTTCACTCATTTTGCTTCATTCATTATTTCTCATTTTTTCCGAATTCTTTCCAACTATAATTACTGCCAATTATTTTGTAATACTTTGCATTTTTCTAATGATTATTGTTTATCTTCTTTGAAATTGTTCCTTTTGAGCATTTTGTCCCCATTTTTAAAGGGAAATTCGACATGACCTCTTCGCCACGTGACAACACCCTTCTCCACGGTCTTCCACGGCGCGAATAATTTCAATGGGGCACACTTGCAACAGGCGGGTTGTGTCGATTTACGCGGCGGCTGATTAATTAATTTTCAACGGGAGTTCGCGTTCATTCCATGTTTTCTGTACAATACACCTATTTTTTCGTACGCCTGGAACCTAGATTCAAATAACTAGAGCACTAGCTACGTTTTGTTAACAGAAATCTCGCATATCGTTGAAGTTTTGACGAAATGCGAAAAAGACGCTAAAAACATGAAAAACTCTAAATTCTGTAAAAAACGGTTTCCAATCAGTAAAATATTGTTTTCTAGACGTTTTTCAAGTCAAAAAGATAGAAATAAAGGTCGTAAACTCGAATTGAACTGCATTTTTAGACGTGCAAATTTTCAAAAGTTACAACGACACTCCGCAATTTACGAGCGCACTTTAGCATTAGCGCCCTGCAGAGGGTTATAACAGGTTATAACAGTATTTAAGCGTCGCTGTCGTAATAAATCTGCGAAACAATTCAAAATAACCTTAAACTTTTAAAATTATTTCGTATCGCTACACAGTTTTGCCCAAGAAAACACGAAAAATCGAAAAAATTAGGCAGTTCAATTTTTACACGGGGAATAACGCAATTTTCGTCGAAAAATTATTATTTTTGAACTCCCGCGCGCGCGCGCTGCAAGTGCGCTCCAATGATAAACGTCTCCACTTTCATTTCATCTTCCGTTCCCCGGAAAGTTTTCAAAGAATAAGTACAAGCCGAAACGGTTTTCGTTGTTATAACCAGACAACATCAGATTAAAAAAAAGTGAGTTCGCCGCGTTTTCGGGCCATTTCGCAACCGATTTTCTACCCTTCAGGACGTGATGGCATACGTGAGAAGAAATGTGGCGTCCCGCCCACGCGTTCGCCCTCCCGGTAAGCACTGTTTTTGCGTTTCTTTCAGTTGCAAAACGTCCAGTCGGTTTTCGAGATTTGATTTCTTCCGTTTTGCAGGCAATTATCCGACGTCTGTCGAGTTCCGAACTCCGGCCTCTTTAGAGAACGGCATCCCCTACGCAATGATCTTCGGACTTTACGCCCGTGATATCCCTGGTTCGTACTTATTTTTTTAATAAATATTAGCCGTTCCACGGTCTCCAGAGCTGACAATATGGGCGTGGCCTCGGCCAAATGGCGTTTTCATGAATTGAGCAGGTTTTCTCTGATTTTTGTGGTCAAAGGCGATGAAAAATGATTGTTCGTCATGAAAACACACTAATTCTCGGAATTAATGACGTTTTGGCGCTCATTTTTCGCTGACTTTGCTTTTTCGCCGCCGAACTTCTCATTTTGCGCTTTCTTGACCGTTCTCACACAGAATTGGTTTTGAGAATGATAATTCACAAACATTTTGTAAATACAAACATTTTGAGCGCTCGAACCGCGAAAACTACCGAAAAGCAACTGAAATTAACGCAGTTTTAGCCAAAAACCTTCATACGGATAAATGTGATTTGCGACTTGACCAAATTTAACGCTCTTTTGCCTTAAAAAATTCGTAATAGCCTATAAAATCGGTGTATCGCGAGACAAATGAGAAATTATCGGTTTTTCGTGGCTAATCTTGCAAAAAACACAAATGTTGCAGTTAAAATTTGAATTTCGCGCCAATGTATCGCTCTCTACGCACTTGCGCCCATTGTCAGCTCTGGAGACCGCGTCCAAGCCTTTTTCCGCGCGCCAAACCTTCAGATGCGCGCTGTTCGAAGAATACCGATTAATTTTCCCAATTTTTGTGGGAATGAGTTTATTATGATTGAAACTAACAAAGAGCAACAAGTAACTCGCAACAATTTCTTGGCTTTGAGAATGATAAATCACGTAAATACAAGCATTTTGAGCGCTCGAACCGCGAAAACTACCGAAAAGCAACTGAAATTCACGCAGTTTTAGCCAAAAACCTTTAAACGGATAAATGTTATTTGCGACTTGACCAAATTTAACGCTCTTGCGCTTAAAAAATTCGTAATAGCCTATACAATCGGTCTATCGAGAGACAAATGAGAAATTATCGGTTTTCCGTGACTAATCTGGCAAAAAACACAAACTTTGCTGTTAAAATTTGAATTTCGCGCCAATGTATCGCTCTATTGGGCAGGGCGCACTTGCGCCGTGCATTGTCAGCTCTGGAGACCGTGCGTTCATTGTCCCGCCGTGCCTAAATATTACTTTCCAGATGATCCGTTCTCCAACTTTGTCGACAACATCCGAGTGCTCGCCCGTCTCGCCAACGGAATCGCCCTCGAGATCGGACTGACCGACGGCTCCGTTCCCGCCGATGACGTCATCATCGAGCTGCTCCGTCTGGGAACTCTCAAGCCGGAGCACTTTGCCGAACTCGAGTCCAAGCTGAAGCCGCCGGTTGCGACCTTGGAGAATTTGATCAGTTCATTGGCCGATTCGACCGGACTCGTGAATGCTGAGCAACGTCTTCTGGATTTGGAGCATCTCCGAGTGATGTCTTCAAAACTGAGAGATTTGAAGAACCTGGCTGGAATGAAGAGTTACCTTGTCGAGCTCAATAACGTCGAGAAGATCGTCATCGACCCGGGCAAAGTGAAAAAATTGAAAACTGCTCTAGAGTTGAACAACTATTTGGCGTTTGTTAACAAATGGACAGAATCGGACTTTTACAAGCTTGAAGCACTGCGTAAAGAACTCTTGAATTTCGAAGCCGCCGCCAAGAATTTCAAGTCGGAAATTTCCAAGATTGAGAAGTTGAAACAATTTCAAAGCAAGTCTGAATTTATCAATCAACTTGTCGAAGAGAGCAAAGCACGCGAGGCTTTCGACAAAGTTGTGATCGGACAAGCGGATGAGGATGATCTTATCGACAACGTCAAAAAGTACCAGAATGCGACAGAGCTCGTGAAGAATTCCCAATCGACGCTTTCTGATGTGAATCAGCTGATCTCCGCCCGTCTTCGGACCGTTCCGACCACTCTGAAGCATTCGATCGGTCTGCCGAACGGAGTTCAGGACCTGCAAGCATTTCCCGCCGCTTTGGACGATAATTGGCTTCGAAAACACGGCAATATCAACGAGTCGATCAGCACAAATCTCAAAACGGCATTCAGAGTTTTGGATCGTTTCGATCTTGAGTTGGGCGGACTGGAAACATCATTGGGCGGAATCGCGGACACGGATCTCAATTCGGCCGAATCCGTCACTCAACTGTTAGCTCAGATGGCCGGTTCGGATGATTTGACGGGGAAGACGAACAAAGTGATGAAGTGCTATACTGCAAACACACTGAAGGCGATCCCCATCAGTGACATCGCAACTGCTCGCACCCCCATCGAAAAGCTGAATGCAAAGTTGGACAAGCTGAGCACGTTCGCCGAAGTGACGCGACTGGAAGATCTCAGCAAGTTCACCAAGGTAATTGACTTTCAAGGCAAAACGACGGACGCCGAGAAGGAGCAGGTGGCCAAAGTGATTCTGCAAGCGTTCAAGAATATGGAAGGAGACGTCAAAGCGATGATTGCATTGCTGGAAGAAGTACATTCTCAACTTGAATTACTTCAAAAATTACCGACTGAACTTCAACAATTGGCTCAGACAATCAGGACCAACTTCACGAAAATCGAAAGATATCACCAGAGTCTGATCAAGTCCAAGTTCCTGGAACTGTACAGTTGTCTCGGCGATGATGTCGGTGCGGACGGTGTGGTCGTGAAGGACATGATCCAAGGAATCCGCTCCCTTCGCGGTTACGGTCACAACGAGACGATGACATCCGCCGAAACCGCTCTGGACTCAATCGTTAAGTTATCCGGAGGAATGACGAGGGCTCGGAATTCGGGACAAGAGTTGAAAAAAGTGTCGGTCAAGGAGGCGATGGCTCTGAAATCTGCGGTGCCGAATGCTCAAGATCATGCTCAGAAGCTCGGATCGGCTGCTCAGGGACTCGCGAATATCGAAAAAGTTCTGAAGGTCAGAAGACAATTGGATAAGCTGCCGAACGACTTTGGATTCATCAAAGACGGAAAGATCAAGACGGAATTCGCATCGCTGAAGACATCGATCAGCCAAATGTTCAGCCAGATTGACACCTACAAAAGCAAGTTGAGCACATTGAATGTGACAAATCTGCACAGCTACACTCCGATGTTCGAAGAAGCGAAGAAGATCGAAAGTGTGCGACTGGATGTTCTGAAGATGAAAGAGGCAGTGGAGAGTCTGAAGGATCCGAGTCTCCAGCCGCAGATTGACGACACGGTGACCGCTCTGAACAGTCTAGAAACGCTCGATTTGGACTTTGCCAGCTACCATATCCAGGATGCGGTTCCGTCATTGACGGCGTTCGACCAGTTCCCTATGGAATTTGCGGGTGAACTCTCGAAGCTCACTGCGGGTGAACTCTCGAAGCTTTCTTCTACGATCGCTCCCAGTCTTCGCTCAGGCGAATGTGCAAGTGTGAAGGAGTTGCCCTACGTCAGGTAGTAAATTATTTTTAAAAAGTAAGATATAAGTGAACTAATTTTTTGCAGCTACGACTTCCTTGCAACGGCTTTTATGGCAATAATCGTTGGTGCCTTGATCATTTTGGGTTTGCAATCGGTATTCCGAAAAAAAATCGAAATTGAGTTTGGTGCGTCACCCACACGTTCACCTCTAAAATCACTAATTTGCAGAGCCAGGGAACTCGAATGAGCACGTATTTCGAGCACCCGAGCAGATGGTCAAGCGTCTACGCTTCCTGATACAGAACGGGAAGCACCCGCGCGCCTACGGTATCAATCTTAAAAAGATGATTGAAAAACTTGCTGCGGGCACGCAGACGACAACGGACAGCATGTCACAGTGGAGGTAAGATCGGGGAAAGAGAGCGACGACGAGTCGAGGAGTGATTATTTGCAGGCGAGAATCCACGCATTGTCACAGAGGAAGCTCGCATGTCAAATTGGAATTGCATGACTTTATTCATGCGAATTTCATGAGAATCGGAAGGCAAAATTACGTCATGGCGCAGGTGATAATTTTTATGAGATTTTCGTGGCGAGACTCGGCCTCACATTCAGATATTGCTTATCCGTTTTGCTAGGCAAACGCGCTCCGCTGCACTCAGTACTTCCCCTTTACCATTTTCGTTTTCAATTGCATTCCCCCGATTTTGCTTGAAGTTTCATTGAAAATGGTCGTTTTTCTCACTTTTCCTGTTTTATAATCGAACATTGAACACTTTAAATGATTTCTTAGAAGAACTACCGAATATTGACCGATTTTGCGAAAATTCGGGCTTTTCCGATTTCTCAATTCTGAAAAACGTTTAGAATGGCGATTTTGTGCATTTTCCCTTCCGTTGAAAGAAAAAACAGATTTGTGTCGGCAATTTTTGCTAAAAACCTGGGATTTTTGTGTTTTTCTGGTTTCTCTATCGAAATTTCTTGTCGATCTAATCGTTATTCGTGATATTTTTGGCTCCGAAAGATCTCCGAAAGGTTTTAATAAAACAGAAATAGGAAATAAGCATTTTTAATAAAATTTCAAGCAAAATCGGAAGGACGCATCCCAATTGTGTGTAGAATTTTGCTGGCCAGTGCCCGGTCTTAAAAATTGCGCTATATCGTTAGCCTTTTTTTTCGCAAATTTGACGAGTGTTACTTTAAGGCACCAATGGATGGATCCGAGGGACGGCACGCCAGAAGCAACGTTTTTAAGACTTCCACTATTGAGCCGCACTATGAGATGATCGAGGAGAAGGTTGTGAAGCGATGCGTCCAATTGTGCAATTTTGAAGAGGGCGGCCAAGTGAAATGCTCCGTCTACTACCCGCAAGAACTGAACCAGGAACAAACGTGGGGAGTGTACAAGGTGAAGACGGTCGAAATTCAAACCAATCTGGAACGGTTCACTGTCGACAGGCAACATTTCAGTCTGTACAAACTAGAAGTCAACAACACGTGAGTCACTTTTTCGTCACGGAACTTGAGCCCAAATATTTAGGATGAATTTTGTTTGAATCGTGAACAGAAAAGCGTGAAATTCTAAATTTTTCTGCAAATATAATATTTTTTTTTCTGCAAATATAATATTTTTATTTGAAATATTTTTGCAACGAAAGTTTCTCACTGACACTGGGTTTGAAAACTTTCGAAAAACTGGGAAATTATTGCATGAAATTTTGCGAGAATTTGGTTTTTTCTCAGACGGTGCATTGAGATTCGTTGACGGTTTGAAGTTTTCAGCAATACGAACACAAAGTTCGCCTTCGAAATCCTGCGCTACTTTGGCTGGCCCGACAAGAGCGCTCCGTTCTCGCCGATCCCCGGCGTCGAAATCGTCGAGTACCTGGAGCAAGACGACGAGACGGTGCTCGTGCACTGTTCCGCCGGAGTCGGCCGCACCGGAACCATCGTCGGCATCAAGAAAGGCGTCCACATGGCCTTCACGAGCGGTCTCCCAATGTTTGAGATATGTACGTTTTCAAAATTATTCAGGGTTTTCAAACTTTCATACTTTTTCCAGTAGTAATGGAGATCGTCACTCATAGATCAATGGCCATTCACACATGTGCGGAGATCTTCTACCTGACACTGTGTGTGACTACAAAATTATTAAAGGTGAGACAAAAGTGAAAGTGAAACGGTGCACCGTTTCCACCGCGGTGGTCTTTTTCTCTGAAATTCGAGGCATTACTTCGTGATAGCGAAAACCGAAAATCGTCAAATCGAGCGGGTCTCGTCACGAATTTACGAATTTTGTGACTATCTTCACTACCAGTGTGTACTTTCTATGGTCTTTCGATACATTTACGAAAACTTCGATGATTTTGAAAGTGAACGGTTTCTCAGTGATGGCTCAGTAATTGACATTTGCGTTTCACGCATGCAAGCCGTATGCCGTCCCAGTATTCGCTTTAGTCAAAAGAACATGCCTCGAAAACGTGAAAGGAGCGAAAAGTCGGTGAAAAAATTTATTTAATTTCAGATCAGGAGAGGGGAGGAATACTATCCGCTTCTCGACGAAATCACGTACTACTACCAACAAATTTTGCGCGGAGACGTTCAAACCGACGAAAACATCAACTACAAGTCCGAGAAACAGAGAGATTATGACATCGCGGCAAGGGACTTGTTTGTAGAAATGGCCAAGAGTGAGTACGAAGTGAGAAAAAAGGCGTTCGGAGGACCGCGACCGGAACTTGAGCCGAGGGTGCCGAAAGCCATAAAAACCACAAATGTGAAGGAGTCGACGGGAACCAAGGGGCAGAGCAAGGAGAATGATGAGAATGACTCCAAGGTGAAGAAGACAGATGAAGGACCAAAGGAGAAGGGCCCGAGGCAGAGCAAGAAGAATGATGAGAAGGACTCCAAGGTGAAGAAGACGGAGAAGTCGAAGAAGACAGATGAAGGACCAAAGGAGAAGGGCCCGAGGCAGAGCAAGAAGAATGATGAGAAGGACTCCAAGGTGAAGAAGACGGAGAAGTCGAAGAAGACAGATGAAGGACCAAAGGAGAAGGGCCCGAGGCAGAGCAAGAAGAATGATGAGAAGGACTCCAAGGTGAAGAAGACGGAGAAGTCGAAGAAGACAGACGAAGGACAAAAGGAGAAGGGCCCGAGGCAGAGCAAGAAGAATGATGAGAAGGACTCCAAGGTGAAGAAGACGGAGAAGTCGAAGAAGACAGACGAAGGACCAACGGAGAAGGGCCCGAATATGAGCACGGACAAGTCGAAGACGGCGGCTGGAGGAAAGAAGAAGGCGAGAAAGACTAAGTCGACAGAGAAGTCCAAGAAGAGTGCCGCGAAGTGAAAGCCTTCGAAAGGTTAATGTTTCATAACTCGATTTTAAAGTAGCACAGAGTTGCCCGATAAATAAAATGTTTGAAGTCAACTCTGTTTTGTCTTCTTTTACAAATGATTTGATTCAATTCGTACTTTCCTTAAAATGTTTCAGTTGGATCTCGATGAAAGTAAACAAGGAACAGCGGAAGATTCGATGAAAACCGAATTCTGAGATTTTAAGGAACCTTCTCAATTAATTGAAAAATCAGATTTATGAAGATAGGCCAAATTCTGCAATAATAGCGGAATAAACTAGCTACTTTCAAAATTTTTAAAAATTTCAATTTTCAGCGTAATTATTTTACAGGAAATTGTGAACACGTATTAAAAGGAAAAAGGTTACAGAAAATGGGGGTTAGAACAATATTTTTCAAACTAATTTTCGATATAATTTTATCTCATCGATATCCCGGCCACTGCTGTTGTCCCTGCGGTTGTCCGGGACCCATTTGGGGCGGTCCCATCTGCGGCGGTCCTCGCGCCATAAATTGAGGCGGCGGTCCGGGCGCTCTCATCGTCATTTGCGCATTCATTTGCATTCCCATTTGTGGGTTCATTTGAGGATTCATTTGTGGGTTCATCTGCGGATTCATCTGCGGATTCATGTACTGTGGTCCCGGCGGTCCGCCCACTGGTCCCGCTTGTTGTACGGGCGCTCTTTGGTAGTATCCGGAAGGTCCAGGCTGCGGAGGACCCATCATTGGCATCATCGGAGGTCCCGTTGGATGGTAATCCTGCGGAGGACCGTACGGCGGAGGCATCGGGGCGCCGAACTGGAACTTTTACAGGGTTAGGGACGGTTTTTCGTTGGTTGGTCATTCACTTTTTTTACGGTGCTGTTCTTGCTAATTTAGGCGCAGCTTTCAATAATTTAGGCGCTCCTTTCAATATTTAATATAGGCTGGTCGAACAGGCGCCTGTTCGATCAGCCTAATTTAATACATTGCAGATGTGATTTTTTTAAGGAAAAAAAGATGCCCACCGGTCTGCCCATCGGCACATTCGCCATTCTCATCATTTTCGCCTGCGGTCCTCCGTCGTCCATTCCGCCCTGCATCGAGTGATCGTGCATTCCTTGGTACGGCATCTGAAACTAATCAACACAGTTTTTCAGCTGAAAGAAACACGAAAAATTCAATTTTTGTGCTCAAACGTACATGATGCTGTTGCGGATGTTGCTGCTGCATCATCGGATGTTGGCCGTGCACCGGTCCCTCCTGAATCGGCGGTTGTCCCATTTGCGGCTGTCCCATTTGTCCGGGCGGTCCCATCATTTGCGACGGTCCGCCCATTTGTTGCTGGTTCATTTGAGGCTGTTGTTGGACGGGCACCTGATCGATGGGAATCTGTAGCGTGCAAAAAGGCTTGAAATGGTAACCGGTGTTAGTAAAGCAGACAATTTTGATATTGGAGTTAGTTTTGTATTAATTTATGACGTTCAACTTTTGAAGACATTTGACTAAGATGCACTCACAGTCATTTGCTGCTCTTTTTTCGCGTACGGAATCGGATATCTGTTGAAGACGTCGTCGGTTTCACGTGGTGGACGTTCCATTTTCTGAAATTTCTTTTTTTAGGGTAAAACTCCAGAAGTTTTAACTCAAAAAATTCGTAAAGAATTGAAAGACAAGGTAGATTACCCGGAAATAAATGTCGTTCATCGCATCCTCACAACTGAGCCGTTTCGTCGGATCCACCGTCAGTAATTTCACTAATAGACGGTACGGAGAACTTTGATGGTCGATTTTCCATTTGTCGAAATATCGGTGGAGACTGTTTGGGAATGTGGTGATCGGAGTGCTGAAAGTCTTCAGAAAATCATATAATACGATACATTTCTTCAAAATTCATACTGCTTTCATTAAATTTACACGTTTTTTTTTTTCCCAAGTTCATTCATTTTTCTATTGTTACTAGAGATGGGCGCGGTGCGGGAGCAAACCGAATTTTGCTCGAAAGTTTCGAACACGTTCCGGTGTACGCAATTTTGTGTCGCTCTCTGCGTATCTCGCATGGCACACTCTTTCGTCGGCTCTGTACACACCGGAACACGTTTGAAAGTTGTCGTGGCGCCACCAATCGGCGCCCATCTCTGATTGTTACGATAACTGACCCCTCGTTCCGTGCGTCGCTCAGCAGTCTCTGATGGTCCGGCATCTTTTTCATGTCCGGCCATTCGGCGTCCGACGGATATCCGAGCAGGTGGAAGATTCTGGAAAAAAATATCATTTTTTATTTTGTTTTTGCAAGCTATTAAAGGACCAGAGAACCGTCCGAGTTTATGTGTCTGTCTTCTGAATTGCCTCGCATTGCCATTAGTGCTTGAAGCAGAGAAAAAACGCGGAGCGAGGGAAATACCATTTGCGCGGTAGAAGAGAGAGGCGCAGACGGTAGACAGTTAAAGGCGCGTAGCATGAAGTTTATTTCTAAGCGCCTTTAACTGTCTACCGTCTGCGCCTCTCTCTTCTACCGCACAAATGGTATTTCTCTCGCCCCGCGTTTTTTCTCTACACAATTTCTCAATCAACGCCAATCGAATCGCTTGTGCTCACAATTGTTCAAAAATTCACCTTTTAACCTGGTCATAATGGTACGGATTCTGTGCTTTAATATCCTCCTCTTTACAGAAAAACAGCGGTTCGGCGGTCAAAAGTTCGGCGAAAATGCATCCGATCGCCCAAACGTCGATTGCCTGAATTTTTGAGCATTTTAGGCTAAAACTGGTCAAAAGTTGAAAAATTCCAGAAATGCTATACTTTTCCGGTTGAAAATTGACAATTTCTACTATACATGCGACTATCGATCTTTCAATGTATCTCTAGAAAACGAGCATACACAGGGGATGGGCCTATGACATGTCATCATGAGCCACTCGCGAAGAAAAATTGCCTACAATAAGTCTATCGTGAAAATTTCCGAATTCGCATATGATACAGTTCCCCGTGCACTTTGCCGGCCCGTTTTCTTTTTATAAGCTTCAAAATTATCAGTTGTAGATTAGTTTTTCGCAAAAAAAACTGACTTTTGTGTAATGTTTCGCTCCGAGCAGTAATTCTGGAGCTCTGTACCAAAAAGTGACGACGACCGGGTCGAGTTCGGCCATCGGTTTCAGCGGGTTCGCGTAGATTCTCGAAAACCCGAGATCCGCGATTTTAACTCTGAAAATCGTATCTTAACTCATTTTCAGCCGAAAACCGACCTGCCACGCATATCGGGCGGTCCGTCGCCCATCAAAAGAATATTCGCCGGTTTGAGGTCACGATGGAGCACCCAATTCGAGTGAAGATAGTGCATTCCTTGAAAAAAGTCATTTTTTGAGAAAATTGTTATAAAAACCTGATAAAATTTGGAATAAAATATTTTTGACCATATTTCGCGGCACCATAATCGGCACTTTTTTGTTTTTCGCCGTCCGATGGTGCTTGATGACGTGCCACAAATCGTGCTCCGCGTAATCCAACAATAGCCACACTTTTTTCTCGTTCGTCAGAAAAACGCGTTGAAGACAGATCAGGTTGGGGTGTCTAAAAAGAAAGTTTTACCCTTATCTCACCGCGCCAACTAAAACCGGTACCTCAACTCTCGGAAAAGAGCAATTTCTCTGCAGGCGGACATTGAAAATCCCTGCCCTTCGATCATTTTCAGCGCGTATTCCTTGTTCGGAAATCGGCCGTTCGGGTGTTTTGGCACCGCTTTGTACACTAATCCGTATGTTCCACGACCGATTTCCTGGAGAACAATATATGTTGGGGGGTTTCGGAATTTCTGGCAAGATTTTAATTCCTCGTATTTTGCAAGCGCGCTCTAGTGAGCATAGAAAAACCGCAAACTGTCGGCAGTTTGCGAGTGATTTTTGTGAATTTTTTGTTTCTGGTTGTCAGTTTCAATCGTAATGAACACATTCGCGAAGGAAACGGAAAAGATGAATCAGTATTTGTCCGGCGGCGCGCATCCGAAGTCCGGGAAGGTTCACAAGCAGCCGATAGTTCGCGGTTTTGCTGTTTACTGGAGCACGCTCGCAAAATGAGAGGGAAAATCAATGATCTCAACCTGTTATATGGGAAATTCAAGAAAAAATTGACACGCGACGTAAAATCTTCAAACTTTCCAGGTCAAAATACTCACTTTTGAATTTTCAAAATAAAAAAGGTCTTCGACGCGTTCTCGTTTGATCGCTAGTTCTTTTTTGAAATTTTCATCAATCATTCTGTAAAATTCACAATTTAAAAATTAAATTTTCAGCAACATTTCGGCTCAAAATGTGTTTTTTTTTCAACCAATCTAATCGATTGTCAAGCTCCGTCAGGAATACGGTGGACGATTGTGTGCAAACACGCTTCTGCGTACCCGGCACCACATTCTACGACTATCTTCGTCGCTTTTCGTCAGCACTTCCTCCTCACACATTCCGCTCGAGTTTTAGGCGAAACTCCACAATATTAGTGGGCGAAAAAATCAATAATCGACGAAAATCAAAGAAAACGCAGAACATGTGTGCGAACGGACCGTCCCATTACGTGTTTTAGGTGGTTTGTGCGGCGAGGCGAAGACGGACGGGATTCGGACACATATCAACGCACTGTTCACAATATTCGGGTGAGACGGACCCGTTCAGACGGTCTGGTACTTACCGAAACAGAAAAAAACGCTCGATTTCCCCCAAAAGTTAGAGGAAAAACTGTTTTTGTCGAGATTTCTCTCGAAAAATCGATAAAGTTTGGGGTCTGAGAGGGTTTTCCGGTTGAATAAAGTCGTTTTTCATCTCTCTCCATCTTTTTCTCTGTAATGTTGACCTTGTTCGTACCGAAAATTGTGACTTTTCCCGAATTTTCCGCGAAAAATCAATAAATCTCGGCCGACCCTCTAATTTGTTTGAACTTGTTCGGTTTTTGTGATTTTCTGGGCTGTTCTATGTACTTCTTCGAAAATCTTTGAATTTTTACGATTTCCTCTGTAATCCTATCCATAAACGTTATTCTTCGATTTTTCTCGGTCTTTCTCAGAATTTTCCTCATTTTTTCTCTCAATTTTCCCATTTTTCGCAGGCGCCAAAATGCAGACGGGCGATCATCAGATTCTGGCCGGAAATGGGAGGTAAATTTTTCAGTTTTTCACCCAAAACTAATTTTTACGAAATAAACTTGAACTCGGCGCCCAACACAAATCTCAAAGATATTACAGAACATTTGTGCCGAAGGCGTCCGGAGCACAAAATGCGTCGTTTGCGCCCAATTCGCACACGGTCCGAATGGTCGATCAGAACGGACACGCCAGGGTGATTTATTGCAATTTGTATCGAAAATGCCGGGGAAAAGTTCTGGCTAAGAAGACGTCTTAAAGCTATTTTCGTCATTCTGACCGTTTACATCTACTCGTATGATATGCCACGTGGCACTTTCCTACGGATGCCCGAAAAGTCGGCTGGATGGCCAGACCGAGTGATCAGTTGTCATCTAAAGTGCCTCAAACTCATTTCGGGACTAGTCCCAAACCGAAATCAGATGTTTGTGCCGAGAGGTTCGGCATCCGTGCCATCAAAATCAAATGACGGCATGGATTGATTCAAATCAACTACTTTCTTACAATATCTGAAATTTTCCCGTTTTCAGATGGTTCAAATGGCAGCGCCAAGCCGTCCAATCATTGGGAACGGAGGCGGTCCGCACGTGGTTCGTCAGATGAATTCTGGCAATGGAGGACAGCAGTTTCAGCAGAACTATGCACAGGGAGTACGTGACTTTTGAACCTGAGCCTGCTCGTTGGACTTTTGAACTAGTAGCACTAGTCTGATCGGACCCAAACTTGGCGGGCTTCTTGAACATGGATTGAAGTATGCTGGGACCAAGTTTCAGCCCGATCGGATTGTTTACAGTCAAGATATAGAAAAGCCCGGGATTTCGGTCAATGAGCCACATATTTCGGACTTCATTCCATGTCCAAGAAGCCAGACTGGCTCAAAAGTCCAAGAGAAGGGGCCGGCCAATTGGCGAGCCCTAATTTTTAGGAGATTTTTACAAAATTATCATTTTTGCAGGGTACGATAGCGAGTCGAAGTGTCGGTGGAATGCCAGTTCGGACGGTAGTTCAGGGAACACAACAACACGTTTATCAGAGTGAGTTTCCTAGAAATTACTTACCTGATGTCCGTTGGTCCGTGCTAAAATAAAGCTGCGAACAAATGCGCAGAAAATTTTTGCCAAAAGTCTGATAACCGCCATGCATTTTGCAGGGTCGAACGGCGGTCAAATAGTGCAACAACATCAGCAACGTACCGTGTACATGGCGGCTTCCGGCCAACAGAATGGCGGTCAGATCCGATACGTTCAGACGTCGCAAAACCAGCAACAACAGGTATTCGGCAGAAACCAAGTGCGTGCTCATCCGAAAATTAGCGGAGATTTCAGGCTGTGGGCCGCGTTCATCCGAATCAATCGATAATGCAGCAAAGGGTCGTACCGGGTCAGACGAGTCAGCCGCAAATGCATCAGAGACCGCCGATGCATCAAATGGCACGGCAAATGCAGCAAATACCCCATCCGGCCGCGCCCACTTCTCAACAGTTTTATGTGCCGACTGGAATGAATTTGGCCGTTCCGCTCAGAGAACCATCTCCTGAACCGGTAGGCATTTTGTGGAAAGGAATCAATTTTTTTTGGAGAACGCTTCTTTTTTGCAGATGCCAGTAAAAGTGGAAGAACCGGAAGTGCCGGCGGAGAGCTCGATTAAAAAAGAGGAGCCCGCGGAACCGGAAGACGCGCCCGACATTGATATTCAGGTAGGGATGAATTTGAGAATTGGTAGCATTCCGGTAAAGCGTTTGAAAGTTTTACGCTCTGTCTGATGAACAGTCATTCTGACGAAGAGCTATTGTAGATTCGAAATGTGGTGTGCAACTACACACTGCCCCTGCACATTGATCTTCGCAAACTGGCGATGAACACGCACAACGTGACGTACGAACGCGAAAAAGGAGTGATGATGAAGCAGAAACGGTCGCCCGGCTGCTACATCAAAGTGTACAGCTCGGGGAAAGTGTATATTGTCGGGTGCCGGAGGTGAGACACTTTTCAGAATGCGTTTTCTATTCTTCATGTTCTCTCCTTTTCAGTGAAGTGGATTGTAAAATTGCGGCCCGTTCGATCGCCCGACATATTCAACGAGTGATGGGGAAAACGCACGAGCGAGTCGTTATTCGCAATTATCGGGTTCGTTTAAAAAACTTGAACATGTAGTTTTTGGACCAATGTTTGCTGTTTCAAAATAATTTAAATCGATTTATTTCAAATAAACTGTTATCGGGTAATTCAGCAATGACAAGAAATGGAAAAAAAACAGTGCACGTGTTGCTTTTTTTTTCATTTTCTGACATCGCTGAATAACCGCATTAGTTTTATCACAACATTTCGCGAATATTTGGAATTTTAGGTGAACAACGTGCTGGCGACGGTCCGTTTGCCGTTCGGAATCAAAATCGAAGAAGTGGCCGCCCAATACCCGGCCCAATCCACCTACGAACCCGAATTGTCCGTCGGATTGGTCTGGAGATCAACGGCTCCGAAGGCGACGCTCCGAATTCACACCACCGGATCGATTACCATCACTGGAGGTACGTACCTTCTTTTTTTTTTTTAAATTATCTAAAGTGAATATACTTTATTTGTTCGCAGCCGCTTCCGAAAATGACGTGGTGGAAGTGCTGAGCATCGTCTATCCGATCGTCGCCAAATTCCAATGTCCGGAGAGAGCACGCGGAGGTGCCGCGGCTGCCCAACAGAAAAAGAGGAAAAGGAAGGCGCCGACGACTAGAGGGTAAGAGAATTGTTTCGTGAAAAAAAAAATGGTTTCGTTCTCTAATTTGATTTATTTTCAGACCGCCAATCAAACGTGAACGCTTCGACGACGCGAATTTCGGAAATTCGGGAGTCATTAATAATCAGGTACGGGTTTTTAAGGTTTTTCCTCCAAGTTTTCGTGTCTCTCCGAATTGCCTCTTATTGCCACACACACACACACTGTCCTAAACGGAACAGCGCGCCGTTAAAGTTGTGGCCGTGGCCGAGAAAACTCAGATGTGAAAACTCTTCCCTGCTGATAATATGACACCCTTGCACTTTGGCAATCTGTTAATTTGTGTGAATGCTTCACGACGTCTGAAGATTGTGCCGAATGCAAAAAATACGGAAAAGGGCACATGGCCTAGAAGTTTTCTAGGCAACTTCAACTGAGTTGAGACTCTGACAGTGAATGTGGCAATAAGAGGCAATTCGAAAGACAGACACATCAACTCGCAGGGTTTCCTGGTCCTTTAAGTGATCAAAGGAACCAATACTACTGGAATTTCAGCATTATTTCATATTCTCTTCAAAAATCCGTTTTCCAGGTCTATTTCTCCGACGAGGACGAGGATTTGTACGATGAGCTCGATTTGGATGAGTAGATCGAGAAATTCGCCGTCCACACCAAAAAATGTCATAATTATTCGCTCCGAACCCCCCAGTTTTTCAGTAGTTTTAGCCATAGTTGCCACGGGCCGGGCCGGGCCGGGCCGGGCCGGGCCGAAATTTCCAAAACTCCGGCCCGGCCCGGCCCGTCGGCCCGGCCCGGCCCGGCCCGGCCCGACCTGGCCCGGCCCGGTCGGCCCGGTTCAAAAAAAGCGGGAATTCAAAAATTTGAATTATTGATCGCATGAAGCCATTTTTTTGTAGAATTAGGGGTTTTTTTGCAAGCATCGAACATTGAAAAAAACAAATGTATTTCTCATAAAAAAATTCATAATAGCAAAAAAACAAAGAAGAAACACTAAAACTTTTAGTTCGAAAAATTTTTTTGTAATAACGAAAAAAATTTCCGCGAAAAATTTGAATTCCCGCCTTTTTGAACTGGCCGACCGGGCCGGGCCGGGCCGGCACTTCACCGACCCTGGCCCGGCCCGGGCCGGACTTTACCGGCCCGGCCCGGCCCGGCCCGGGCCGACCCGGGCCGGCCCGCATGGCCGGTCCGAAATCTGGCAAGTCTGGTTTTAGCCCCAGTTTTCCAGAAAAATTAAAAATTCATGCTTTATCCTCATTTCATTTTTCGCGGCCCCCTCTCAAAAATAAGCAGCTCAACACCGACAAAAATCTCCTCATTTCTCTCTTCACACACACACATAAAATTTATCATTTTTTTTTTGTAAAAATTCGCAAACTTCTCCACTTTTTCCTCCTGTTCCCCCCTGCTCTTTCCACTTGATTTCCAATCCACTTTGCGCGCTCTCTACTTCATGTCTTTTCTCGTATTTTTTTCCAAAAATAAAAAAAAAAGTCCCCTGTTTTACTAGACATATTGTCCCCCTCCGTACCCAGCAAAAAGGCAGCAGAAAAATTCCAGAAAAACGTTTTTCCTTAAAACTAACGAGTCTCCCTCTTTTCCATTTTCCACACCTAGACTATTTCCATATTTTCTTTGCTCTACATGTGATTTTACGTTTTTCTTCATCATCCAAATCTAGACTTTTCTACCCACCTTTTTCCTAATTATATCTTTACAGAAGCGTATTTTATATATATATGAAACATTTTCGTTGAGTTTCCGAGATACAATCACAAAACAGATATCCAAAGAGTTGGGACGCGGGCGAAGCACTGGATACCATGAAACCGGAAGAATAAATGGTCCCCAGTCGATGCAAAACTTCCTTTGGTGCCACGAGACGGTACAAACCCCCGTCCCAAGCCGTTTGGATGCCTGATCACAAAATAATTGGAAAAATGATGAAAATGTGGTAAGATAGAGCGATATTCATTAGATTCCATTGTCCTTTCGGGCCGTCGCACGGAACGCCTTCTCCTTTTCAAATTGCCGATTGTCGGTTCGATTCAGGAAATCCATTTTATTGAGATATCCACCTTTTCCGCGATTGTGAGATTCGAGATCTTCCTAAAAAAAAATTAAACGAATAGTTGTTTGGTTTTTTAAAATTAATCTTGAATAAAATTGCCACGGCCAACATTTAGATAATTTTTTTCAATAATAGCCCCCCTTCAATAAAGTACGGTAAAGTGGGTTGAGAACAGAAAATTTTCGCAAGAATACCTTGATATTCTGTTCAGTCTTGAAATTCCGCCAATCATGATCCGACTTCTCCAGCACTGACGTCTTCGACTTTTTCATCGATTTCACCGCATCCAGAAGGCCTACACGCTTTCTTGGCCCCGTATTTGGCACTTTTTCGCTTTTCTCACCAGTTTCTTCACTACTCTCACTGGCCACAGGTCTAGAACAATTTTTAGTTGAAAAATCTGATTTTTACGACATTTTTCTCACTTTTCTGGGTAAATTTTGGCCGAGGATGATGGTTCCGATCTGGAAAAAATTATTTAAAAATTTGAAAAACAAATTAGAAGGTATGTTTACGTTGTGGTTTTCGGGTACACTTTCTCCTCTTTCTTTTCCACGGCTCCAGAGCTCACAGTCGTCGGATCCAGGCCGGTGAGCTCGGCGAAAAGAGCATCGACATCCACGTCTTCCGCACTTTTCTCCGATTTTTCCTCGTTTTTCGCCTGTTTCGCCTCCTTTTTCAGCTCTTCCACGTCCTCCGGCTCCTCTTCGCCGCCCTCGACGTCATCGATCTGCTCGGGAGAATGGGCGATGAATGCGCGGTAACGGGGAACGCTTACTTCGTCTTGCGGATCGATTTCCGTGTCTTTTTCCGGGTCGTAGTCCTCGTCCGACGACGAATTGTACTCCACCTCGTCGTTTTTGTGCTCGGCAGCCATTTTCTGGGCTGAAAATGCGGAAAATTGCGAGAGAGACGAGGGTAATTGATGAAAACTACTGAAAAAGTGAAGAGTACGCGAACACCGAGAGATGCATTTCATTTTACGCCAATTTTCGATTCGCAGATTTCATGAGTTTTTGAGCGTTTCTTGCACAATTTCTGAGTGAAATCAACGAAAAATTAGTAAACTGACTTTTAAAACTAGTTTGTCTACAATTTTTCTTTGAAACTTGTCTGAACAGTGCACGAAATCTGCTGAAAATCAATTCGTCCGCAATTGCTCGTCTTTTACGGCAGGGCACTAATTGTCAACGGAGCGCGCTTGCATTATGATGACTTTGTTTGATTTTGCCGCGAAAACACCTGAGTTCTCATTGTTTTTCCATCGAAAATTCTTATTTTACACGGCAATTTTAATAATTCAGAGTCAAGATGAACGCGCACGACGAACTTCAGCGCACTTTGTAAGTTTCATGTCCCGAAATCCGTCAAAAACCGAAAATTCGCGTTCAGGAACCCGACATGCACCGGGACCTCGGTCATCGCCCTCCAATACAAGACCGGAGTGGTTGTGCTTACCGATCGCGTCGTTTCGTACGGAAAAATGGCCAGATACAAGGTACACATTGAAGTAACTCAAATTTCATCAATTTTTCGTTCAGAACGTCTCTCGTCAGTACAAAGTCAACGATAACGTGCTCATCGCGTTCGGCGGCGACCACGCCGATTTCCAGTGGCTCCAGAATGTGATCGAGCGTCAGGTGCTGCTCTGGAAGCGCTTCGATCAGGACGTCGGACCGAAGGCCCTTCACGGATACCTGACCAGCCTTCTTTACGGAAGGTACAGGCTGAAATCGCATTAAAATCATATAAAAACAGTTTTCCAGACGCTGCAAGATGAATCCAGTGTGGAACACGCTCGTTGTCGCCGGAGTTGAGGAGGAGGAGAAGAACAACAAGGAGACGAGCACCCCGTTCATCGGAGTCATCACCCAGAAGGTTCGGAATTATATAAATAAATGTCATGCTATGCACCTTCAACTGTCTACCGTCTGCGATTCTCTCTTCTTCGCTCGCCCAGGCCTGTATTCACTAGAAAAATTTTCTGAAAAAGTTCTAAAGAAATAAATTTCAGGGGTGTGCGTACCAAGTGAAGCACATCGCTACGGGACTCGGAGCGTTCCTGCTCAATCAGGCGGTTGAGGACGAGTGGAGAAAGAAGGGCGAGGATCTTTCGCTGCAGGAGGCGGAGGCGGTTCTCCGCAAATCGCTCGAACTGACGCTCTACCACGATTGCGTCGCCGACAACGATTTCGAAATCGGCCGTGTCGACGCGCAGGAGGGAGTTGTGCTCGGAAAAGAGGAGAAGGTCATCGGAAACTGGTCGATCGCCGAAACCAACTGCCAGTACGAATAAATTGGAATGTTCGCCGATTTTCTCTGATTTTTTATCCCGATTTTTCTTTTGAACTTTTAATTTATTCCTCTCGTTTTTCATATAACCGTCTGCGTGAACTCTACATAAATTTTGTACCAAATAGTTGCGCTTCGTCACTATTTCGCAACCATGACGAGTATGAGAATTGGCGGTATTAAACGTAGGGCTTTTGATGTATTTGGCTTTTAGAATGTGGGCTTTTTGTAGAAAAGCTATCAAAAATCTCAGTTACGCCATCGAGAGATCGGAGATCACCGGATCCGGGGGAACAGCCGACGTCGAAAAGTGCGCCCGCTTCTCCGGGGGCAAAACAGAAAAAAGAGAGTTATAAGAAGAAGATTATGAGAAAATATAATATGGACGAGAAGGAGTATGAGGAGGCCAGGTACAGGATTCTTTTTAACACTGTTTTTTTTTAGACGCCTGATTTGTTTCTAGAAAAACCGCGCAGAAACAGATGAAAGATTGGGAAGAGCACAAGAAAGATCAAGTGCTCGAGATTTACAAGACGAAGAGCACGTACGTATCGAAATCGGCAAAATCCGATGTGGTGGGATTATAAAGAAATGTGTATGATTATAAAGAAATGTGTATTACTTTCAGATGCATCCGAAAATGTCGCACAGCACAAAAGTGCTCAATCGGTTCGGAAAAACGATCGATGTGGAATTTGGGAAAATGAAAGAATACTATCTTTTCGATTTGAAACCCAACAAACAATTCGTCGAGATTCGCGCTGTGGTTTGTGGCGAAAAATCAGGCACTGGTGGCGCCGGTAAATTAACGAAAAGCGGCGCTTGAAATTAACAAATTTGGCTAAAATTCTCCAGAGCTGACCGCCCAATAGAGCGATACATTGGCGCGAAATTTGTGTTTTTGCCAGATAAGCCACGAAAAACCGATAATTTCTCATTTGTCTCTCGATACACCGCTTGTATAGGCTATTACGAATTTTTTAAGCGCAAGAGCGTTAAATTTGGTCAAGTCGCAAATCACATTTATCAGTTTGAAGGTTTTTGGCTAAAACTGCGTGGATTTTAGTTGCTTTTCGGTAATTTTCGCGGTTCGAGCGCTCAAAATGCTTGTATTTACGTGATTTATCATTCTAAAAATCAATTCTGTCGGAAAACGGTCAAGAAAGCGCAAAATGAAAAGTGCGGTTTCTAGACGGCGATCGGCGGCGAAGGCGAAAACGCAAAGTCCGCGAAAAATGCGCCAAAACGTCATTAATTCTGAGAATTCGTGTTTTTTCATGTCGAACAATCATTTTTCTTCGCCTTTGGCCACAAAAATCGGAGAAAACCTTCTCAATTCATGAAAACACCATTTTGCGCGCAAAGTTTAAGAAAAAACCCGGAAATCACGCGGATCTTGCTGGGATTTCCTTCAATTTTGGAGGCGTCACATAAAATCATGCTTTCCAAAAAAAATATGTTCAGGCTGCTCATGACCAACAACTGGACCCCCTACGCGCAAAACAGAAGGCAATGGTGGCGAATAACGAAAAGAAACAGGCGGATAAAACGAAATATGATCAGATGAAAAGGTGTATTTTTCTATTGAAAACGTCTAATAACTCGAAAGATTTCAGTATTTACGGGCGTCCGGAAGAGGAAAAAACGGGCCAGGAAGAGCCGGACGAAAAGGAAGAAGAAACTCCGGAGCCGGAAAAGTACAGTACGTGCTCAACTGAGAGCATTATGCCCTCGAAATTTTTTGCTCGAATTTTCTAGGCCATCGCTCAATTTGCATTGTTTTCCCTAATTTTTTGGAACAAAGATGAAAGATGAACCAAACTTTCATTGAATTAAAATTAAAACTTGAGAGGCGAATACGACGGACGAGAAAAGAAATGTGTTTCCGGAGGCGTGGTACCAATTGTCAATGTCCCGTACCCAAATGGAAAAAGGACGCAAGACTTATTGGGTTGCCACCGGATCTTGGTAAGCTTTGAAGCGCTGGAAATTTGTAAAAGTATTCCGTTTCAGCGAAGAATCCTCATTTGACGATGATCCAGAGGGAAAGTTTACGGTGACGGCTGAAAAACTGATTGAAACGTTGGAAGCGGGCGGAAAAGTCAAAGATTCTGGAGTGGTGGAGCCGAAGAAAAACGCGGCGAAAAAGGTGATGACGGACGGGTTGGCTGAAATGTTGGCGAGATATAATAAGACATGTGGCAGGTGAATAAAAATACAGAGAAAAGTTAGAAAACAAAATTCAGGGACATCTGTTTCACCAACACGCTCAAAGGAACTATTGAATTTTCGGGGAAAGCTTTCGTTTCAGCACCGGCCGCCGAAAAAACTGCTCAAAATTCAATTCAGCAGGAGCCGCCCACGGAGTCAGCTCATTTTTGAGATACAAAATTTACAACAACAACAAAAATTCAGAAGTGCTAATGAAATCACGTTCACTCCCACAATCATCGCGCACGTCTTCAAGGGAACTCGTCTGAGGCGTCAGTACGCAAAAAAGAACAAAGTGGAAAAATATGTGGAGGAGAGGAAGAATTATACAAGAGAAGCCGGCGAGGACACTAGCGGAGGGCTTTGATCACCTGGTTTTATCGCAATAAAGAGCTACATATGAAGCCTAAGCTTTTTTCTTTACTTCTAAGAAAAAATTAGAAAAAAAATGGGGAGAAAAGAACAAGCGACAGGTAGGGATTTAGGCCTCGAGGGCAGCGATTCTCTTCAGTTCGGCGGCTTTAGCCTTGGTATCCTTGGAGACGAACTCCGACGGGACGAGGTATCCGAAGACGTAGCGACGTCCGATCATCTCGCCGACGAAGAACCAGAAGACAACCTCGAGAGCGACGGCGGTGTAGACGAGTCCTTCCTGCACAAAAATTGAATTGAATTATTTCGAGTGAAAAACAAACGTTTTTCTCACCTTGACAGTCAGATTGACGTATTGCTTCGTCTGGATGAACTTTTGCACCTTGGCCCAGTCGGCCTTGATAGCCGGAAGATCGGCGGTTCTTGGCGGCGCCAGCTCGTGCTTTCCGACGGCCTTCAGAATGGCGAGACGGCGGGGGAACTGCTGGGCCTGGTGGCGGTAGAGAGTTCCGATCGTGTTGGCGATCTTCTCAAAGAAGCTCAGCTTGTGGGTCGCCATCGCTGCAAAAATTGGAATGGAAAACGAGATAACTGCGGAAAAGTTAGTAATTTTAACGGAATAAGTTATCTAGAAAACGAAAATTATAAAATTGTGAGAATATGAGGTCTGAAAGCTTTTTTTGTTCGGATTAGCAATAAGAACAGGGATAACCACGAAATTTCGATCAAAATCGCCCTCAAAAAAGCGGAAAAACGAGACGATTTTCCTAGCCGCCCGGGTAAAAAATTACAGTAACCCAACGGGTTTCGTTGCGAGACCCTTCCCCTCATTTGAACAGAAGTCCTCTAAAGCAGAAAAGAAAACGCGGGAGATTTAAGAAATTCAGGCGGACCGAAGAGTTGCTAAAAAATTTCCACTGGCTGTGCAATTGTGCGTCGCGGTGTTTGCAAAAATCGATGACCGTACCTCAGTCAAAAATTTGCCTCAACTGAATCATCTGTTCTCTTTGATTTTCATTCATTTTTAATTGATTTATTAGCTGAAAATATATTTAAATGTTCAAATACCGATAGAATCGTTCAAAATGATTAATTTCCCGCTTAAAATGCTGAAAAATGCATCTTCAGATGATAAACCTACGTCGATTCGTGCACACCTCGTGCCAAGTACAACGCGGACGTTCCGCGTTCTACAACATTCATCAGAAGGTAAAAATGATTAAAATCCTTCAAAAATGCCCAATAATCAATAATTTCAGGTCACAGACCCGGCCAAACAGGATCCCGATTATTTCGAGAAAAAGGCCAGAGAATTGCCGCTCGGTATGGCTTTTTCTTGAATTTTTTGCTAAAATTACGTCCAACTGCAATTTCAGACGAAAATTACATCGATGCGCTCACAAAGTTGTACTACGAAAAAATCGGGTCCGAACGGGAACTGGGACTGAAAGCCGCCGACAATTTGGTAAGACGTTTAAATTTTCTAGTGAAAAATATGCTTGAAATATTGTAGATTCTCGAAAAAACCGAATTCGGACTGCCGCGTATCGAAAAAACGAAAATTCGCGCGAAATACGACGACTTGGACGTGCTTTCCAACGCGCCGGAGGCTGTGAAAAAGATTTTCAGGTAAAAAGCCATGATGAATGCAAAAAATTCTAATTTTCAGTGTGGAAATGGCGACGCGACGGGAATTGTCGCAGGAATGGAAGGAATCACTCATCAAATCGGTCCGTCAGCACTCGCTCGATGAGAGCAGTCTGGAAATGAAGAGTTAGTGCGGAAAGACTGTAAAAACTCGATTTTCTCCAAGGAAAAGCATAAAATACACGTTTTTACACCGAAAATCTTCAATATTTGTGAAATTGAAAAAATTTCAGTCGCCTGGCTGACGGCACTAATTCGACACTGGTCACTTCTCGTCAATGACATTGGACAGGAGACGAAAAAGGTTCGTGGCGAGACCGAAAACGTTTGACAGACTATTAAAAATTAGAAAAAACAGTATCGAACCGCCCGAAACGCGATTGTTTTGAAAAACCATATTTCTGTGCGTTTGTGAGACTTTCAAGCTATGATTCTAGCTTCTATGAGATGTGACTGACAATTTTATGTATATTCAATTTTGCAGAAGCCCACATGGCTAACCCATCGAATTTGGCTGGTGATCAACGAGCGCCGAAAAGCTCTACGAATTCTGAGAGAACAAAACGAGTCGGCATTCGAACGGACCATTTCGGCCCTCAAAATCTCGTACCACGTGCCGAAACAGCCGCAACACGTCAAAACGAGAAAAGTACGGTTTTTTGGGCGAGGGCGAAAGGCAGAGAGAGACGCAGGCGCGAAGCTGTCTCTTTTGTTGGAAATTTTACGAAAAAAAAACGCATAGCTCGCATCATTTTCAGGCGTGGGCGGAGGCGCAACTGAAATTGAGAGTGGAGAACGAGAAGGAGAAGAGATTGGAGGAATTGCACGAAAAATATGACAAAGAAGTGGAGGAGCACAAGCGGGAGACCCAGGAGAAGAGGAAGGCGCTCAACGATGAACTCGACAAGGTACGTACTGATAATATACTTTTGCGTGTTTTCTGGTGATTTTCATCGAAATTTCTAGGATAAATGAGGATTTTTTAAAATCTAGCCTTCATTCTTGTTGCTCAAACTGTTTTCTCCCAAAAATCCGCACTTTTTTGCAGTTGGCGGCAGAAATGCGACGAATCGACGTGATCGAGGGAAAGGCGTTCGAAACGGTCGGAAAATACGAGCCGGCGCTGATTTCGTCGCTCACTGAGACGGTCATCCACTCGAATCTGTTCTACCATCCACCGCCGACAATGTCCGACAAATAATTTCGCATTTTTCGCAACCTTTTGTAGGCTAGAATCGTTTTTTGTTCCCGCTTGTTGTTATAAGATGCACTTTTGAATTTATTCTTATTTCTTGTAATTCGTTCTGCTACTTTTAACGGTTCTCCTACCGCTTTGACTCCCTTTTGGCATTTCGCTCTGTAATTTCCAAATATTGTTTCTAGATGTCACGACACCGAATGATCCGGAATATCAATTTGGAAGATGGTAATGTCTTGAATTGTTTAGGTTTAAAATATTCGAGAATTTGTCATTTAGAAATGGACGACGACTATGGTGACGATTACGACGACTACGAAGATGAGGAGGAGTCGGAAAGTTAGTTTAATAAATTCTAATCAATTATGGGGCTATTCAGCGTACAGGACAATTGATCCGCAATTAGGATTTTTTCACAAATCCGAATCAGCTCCGGTTTTGTGGAAATGTGAAGATACAAATGGGCTCGATTCTCCTCCTCCTCAAGTCGTTTTTCGAGTTTTCTCATTAAATCCGTGATTTCTCTTCATCTCCAAACAATGACACCTCTTTTTCATAAAACTCCGACGTCTCAATGAGGAAAAGGTCTTGAAAGGATGTCTTGTACACTTCCAACTCGACGAGACATCTGAGCACCTCCGAAACGTTTGACTTGTTAATGATCGCGCCCGTCCTTTCCGCGTCAATCTCATCTAAAACCGCTCTAATCAGCCGTGTTTCGATTTTCCGGAACAGGTCGCGCTTCCAGGTAACAATGCAGAGGTCGTAAACGTAGTACACGTTGTTTCCTGGCACCGCGATCTTGCGTCGGATCCAGTTTCGGTTGAGATAGTCGAAAATTGAATCGAAGACCGTCGACGAGAATTTGAATTTGATCCATTCGCCGGCGTAGAAGTCGAGAAGTCGCTCGCCGCACAAATCGGAGTATTTTGCCAGAACCGTCTGAACGTGGCGGACAATGTGCTCGGCGACGTCCTTGTAGAGCCGCTCATTGAGTTCGACGCTGTCGTAGAAGGGAACAGAGCCGAGGTAGTCGAAGATGGCGCTGAAAAAGAAGTTTTGACTTTAGCACAAAATTTGCACCAACATTTTAGTTGGCCGATGTTTGAAAGAATCATTGGATCTTGAGATATAAGTCTAAATAGGATTTTTGAGAAAAATGATGTACTACAACCCCATGTAACTTTTGTCACTCTATACAATGGTAATAGTAGTTTCAGTACTAATTAAATAGAAAAGTACTTTGGGTGCTTACCAGTAGAACTCCATGTACGTCTTCGTTGTCATCGCTCCCTGCTGATAAACGCCGGTAAACGATTTTTCAATAATCGTTAGTATGCTCGTGTTCAAGGCCATTAATTGGTTAATTGGAAAGGAATAGAGTAAGCAAGTGATTGACGAGAGATGGCGAGAAAGTTATAGAAGGAATGTGGGTGCGTGGCGGTTGCGTGGCGACTCGCGCGAGAAGAAGAGGCAGCTGAGCAGAATGCAATGACGGTGATGCAAAAATAATTCATACTTTGAAAAGTTGAAAAGCATACATCATTGACGAACAGATTGGAATTGATAAAAATTATATTGAACAACTCTACTTGCAATTAATTTCATTTTGAAGCATGTTATTTTTCAAGCTTTTCTCTTGAAAAACTGAAAAAATCCAAAATTTTATTGCAGAACAGTACACGTACGACCGCAATTCGCTGTCCGCCAACTACTACACGTACCTGACCGATTCCGGAAGAAACTCGCCGTCTCCCGCGGCCCCGCCCCCTTTCGTGGCGCCTGTCTCGTCGGCCACGCCAACTGCCGGTCCCTCGATCGTTCGGAATCAGACGGCGCCGACGCTGCACCAAAAGCCGCCGAAAAATGCGATTCCGAGCCGTCCGAGCACTCCGCAGACGGCGCAAGCATCGAAAAGAACGCAGCAAGTGAAGAATGTGAGCAGACAATTTAAATTACATTTAAAAAAAATAAAGCAAAATGCCTAAGCCCAATTTCAGTTGCAACACCAAGAAGCGGGCACACCGTCAGTGAGTCGCCCGTCCTCCGAAGTCGATCTGACCGCTTTCCGCCGAACTCAGCTGCAGAACATCGCGAAGGCGCCGTCCGTGCCGCGCAAAACGCCGAAACCGAGAGAAGTGGAGAAGGAGCTGATCAATTTGATCGTCGTCGGACACGTGGACGCCGGAAAGAGCACTCTGATGGGACACTTGTTGCACGATGTACGCTTTTTTTTTGAATTTGGAAGGAATTTGAAACTTACAACTGCTTTTTATTATTCAAAAAGCCGTCGGGTCCTAAAAAGCGTATCAATATTTGCAGTTGGAAGTGGTCGACACACGTACCATGGACAAATACAAGCACGAAGCGGCCCGCAGCGGAAAAGCCTCGTTCGCCTACGCGTGGGTTCTCGACGAGACGGAGGAGGAACGGTATGCACAGAAAATAGGCATTTTTCGAGCACAGCCATAGAGATGTTTAAACAATTGGGTTAAAGTGCAGAAAAATGCTATTAATATTCTTCCATTACAATTTTCAATAGCTCCTGGGACTTTCCTTGTGAAACAGAATTTTTTTTAGAACTTTTTTAAGTGTGAAATTTCTCATCAAATGAAAAAATGCAGTTGTCGTGATTCAGAGAGCGCGGAGTGACGATGGACATTGGACGGACGAGTTTCGAGACGGCGCACCGACGGATCGTGCTCCTGGACGCGCCGGGACACAAAGATTTCATTTCGAACATGATCACGGGCACTTCGCAGGCCGACGCGGCCATTCTCGTGGTCAACGCGACGACCGGCGAATTTGAGACGGGATTCGAGAACGGCGGACAGACGAAGGAACACTCACTCCTTCTCAGGAGTCTCGGTACAGTCTCGGTACGTCAAACTTTGAAAAAAGTCGATATTTCTGCAGGAGTGACACAATTGGTGGTGGCCGTGAACAAACTGGACACTGTCGAGTGGTCGCGTGACCGTTTCGAAGAGATCCGCACCAATTTGAGCGTATTTCTCAGCAGACAGGCCGGATTTTCAAAGCCGAAATTCGTGCCCGTTTCCGGATTCACGGGCGAGAATCTCGTGAAAAGGGTGCACGGGAAATGGTACGACGGACCGTGTCTTCTCGAATTAATCGGTGAGAAATTTGGGATTTTTTTTAATGAGTTGGAAATGTTCGTTTTTATTGTGTGAGAGAAAAAAGGCGTTTCGTACTAAAGTGTGAAACAAATGTGGAAAACTGTTTCAATGAAATTTGATAGTGACTTTTTAAAACAATACTGTTTTCATTGCAAATAAATTAAAATTGAAGGAAATAAAACAGAATTGGCTGTTATATTTTTTTAGTTAAAAAATTTGTCGTTCACTGTGCTGGGCTATTGGCCGCCCCTTGTTCTAGACTTTAGACCCACTTGCAACAATGCGATCGGCCCCAAACTGCAGACTTCCTTGACTTGGATCAAAGTAAACTGGCACCGAGTTTCGGGTTCGGATAATCCGATCGGTCTGAAACTTGAACCCAGAATACTTTGATCCAAGTCCAAGAAGCCTGCAAAGTTTGGGCCCGATCGCATCATTGCAAGTGGGTCAAAAGTCTAAGCCAAGGGCCGGCCAATTGCCCCTGGTTTCAACAGCAAATTTGGAGGCGAAACCATTTGGAAAGCATCAAACTTTGAAAACATTCGAATTTTTTGCAGACAGTTTCGTGGCTCCACAACCGCCGTCCGACGGACCACTTCGCATTGGAATCAGTGATATTTTGAAGGTTTCCTTGTTTTGTAAAAAAAATTCGGGAAAAACCCATATTTTACATGCAGGTCCAATCGAATCAATTGACGGTGAACGGAAAAATCGAGTCGGGCGAGGTGGAGAAGGACGATAAAGTGTACATTATGCCGAGTGTGACACCGGCTACTGTCAAAGGTGATTTTTTGTTAAAATTTACAGAATTTTTCAGCTAGAATTGGGAAAAATTGACTTCTTCTTGTGTGAGAAAGCATTGAAATTTGCACAACACGCTAAAATCTTTTTTTTTTCAATGTAACTTTTTGTAGCGTGTCTGTCGAATCAGTCGCAGGAGCATTGTGTGGCCGGAGACTTTGTCCTCCTGACCCTCCAGGGCACTTTCGAGCCCGAATCCGTCCAAACGGGCTCCGTCGTCGTCCGTGCCGGCCCGGACACCCTCATCCCGGCCAAGAAGTTCCTCGTTCGATTGGTCGTTTTTGAAATTGCCACGCCCATTATTAAGGTGAGCATTTTTTCGGAATTTTACCCGAACAATCCCAAACCAAATGAAAGTTACAGTGTTTTGTATTTTTAGGGAGCCCGAGCGGAACTCTACTCGCACGCATTGTGTGTTCCGTGCATATTCACCAAATTGACGCACACAATTAACAAATCGAATGGAGAAGTGCTCAAGCAGAGACCGAGGTGAGAGATTTTTATAGGAATTTTAATTTTAAAACAATGTTTGGGCGAGTTGCCTGCGGGTCCCGCCACGATTTGAAGAGTACGGTATCACCAAGTTCAGTTGTGTTAATCTTTTTAGGCTATTTGAGCCGACACAGCTGAACCTAGTGATACCGTTTCCCTCAAATGGTAGTGTAGATTTACGCCGCAACGCCTTCTGATGCTTTCTGTCCATGTCTTCAATAAAATATGACGTTTTTCATAAACTACCAGTTTCAATTAATAAACGAAATAGCGCGCTTTGAGTGGGAAAAAGTAGCTGAAATTTGAATAATTGTATTCAGATTCCTCGCCAAAAACACGTCGGCAGTGGTGGAAATCGAAACGGAGCACGACATTGCCGCGGAGCCGTTCACGAGCTGTCGGGCGCTCGGAAGGGTCACTTTCCGATCGGCGGGCAACACCATCGCCGCCGGAATCATTGAAAAAGTCATTTCTCCCCAATAATTTCCAGATTTCGCTGTATTTTTCCCCCAAAATCCCAAATTTTTCTAAAGGCCTCAATTCCTATTTCGACATTTTCTTTTTGTGATTTTTTTCCCAGCTAGGATTTCTCTTTCCTCTCTATTGCTCCCCCCGACTTTGTTTTCTTCCGCACCTAGAACCGAACAAATTAATATTACAAAAATATACAAAACGCGGTGAATTCGGGGGCACGGGAGGGCTGATAAAATTTTGGATAAAAATGGAAAAAAAGCCAAAATGGCAGAATGTTCTAGTGATTATTGTTTTTTCCGTCGATTTCCTTGTGAATCTCGATATTGTCCGATTCGCCGACGATTCCATCGATGGTGAACACTTCCAATGTCATTCCCTTCGAAAAATTCAATCTGGAAATGTAGAATGTATTTAAAAAATGTTTTGAAACAGGTACCTCATTTTTCCGTTAGTATCAGTAGAGATGGTCAATTTGACGGTCTGCTCTGTAACTGGTAGTGGAGCCAGAGCAGAGACGGGCGATCTGAAAAATTTAATATATAGACGACTTCATATTAACGTTAAAAAAAAGTGAACATTTCTGAAAACATCAACCGAACCTGATAGCCGAAGCATAGGATCCTGGGACCGGACGGCTCGGAATAAGGGGGCGTGGCTGCGTCGGCGGACGGTTTAGAAGTGAAGGAATACGGGTGAAGCTTCTGTTCGAATTAGTGATCGAAGTCTCGGTTTTTGGCGAATTTTTGCGCGGCGGGTAAGTCGGTGAGATACTGAAAAATTGCAAGTTTCTAGTTGTTTTAGAGAAATCCTCACCTCGGTCTGCACATTTTCTCCTGCGTTTTGCGCCAACTTCTCTCCAATTCCTCTTGACTGTATCCTCCGAAACGGTCCTCTTTCGGTTTGAAAGTGGGCGGAGTCTGCGTGTGTGTCGCCAGCTTTTTCTCCGGTTTCGGCTCGATTCTCGTCTCGGCGACACGCTTTTTAGTGGATTCCTAGAAAAAGGCACTTCTGTACTTTGCACAGAAACATTGCATTATTTCACATAAAAATAATTACCCTCTGTCTAACAACATCCTCGATTTGCTCATCGGAATAATCGTCGGCTATGAGTGTTTCGTGCGACGGAAACGTCCGAATCGACATGGAAGAAATCGAGGAAACGCAGGAGATGAACGACGAATCCGAGAGTTCCGAGATCGATTTGACACGTGGCAAACTGACGTCGGACGAGAAAACCGATTCGGAACCGTCCTCGGATTGCAAAGAGGAAGAGAGAACTCGACGACGGGCGCCGGCGATCAGAGGCAGTTCCGACGAGACCGAAGAGTCGCTGTTTCTGGAGCACACGGAGCTGTTGAGCGATGAGCACGGAGATGGCGATCTGAAGAAGTAGTTTTTTTAAATATAATTATAAATTTCCCAATATTTTTTCGCATTTGTTGACATGTAACAAACCTTTCGGTCACTTTCTCATGCACTTCGACCGGGTCCTTTTCTTTGCGGGCTCCATCACAGCGCACACTGCAATTGCCTCATTTTTATACTCCTCCGAATTTCTCTTAGCACAAACCTGAGTTTTCCGTTCGAATTCGTGATAATTGAGAAATCAATTGATGATTCGGCAAATTTGAGCATCTTTTTTTAACACTTTCGTTCTTTGTTGCCTAAAAACGTCACAAGCTAGATTTTACGAAGCATGCGGAGAGGAATTTTTTTTAAAATCAGGTGGAACATACACTATTTCAATTTATTAACAGCAAATCACAAAGAAACATAATTTAAAATCACTGAAATCGACTGAAATTTCGCTCAAAACAGTTTTCGAAACTGAAAGCAGATAACTGTAGACAGTCCTCTGCACATCACCGTCACGCACTTTTGCAGACTTGCGTTAAAAACCGATTTTATTGAAATCTTTCGCAAAAAAGTACAAATAATGGCAACCCAGTTGGAGAAACTTAACAAAAATACTACCTAAAGAGTCAGTAATAAATTAATGTTTTCTTAAACAGTCATCAAATCATCATCGATATAATACTAACGTCAAAAAATCAAAAGTTTTGAGGTCGAAGTCCGGTAAATGTTCCACGCTTTCCACGTTACCAATGGCGGTGACGCCGCTCAAATCGGTCCGTTGTACCCGTCGGGCGCCCAGTTTCAATAGCAGATTGAACAGGGATTTCTGGAAATTCATTGCATTTTTAGGTTGAGCAAATTCTGGAAATTCTTCTAGAAACGTCTGCCTTGTTTAAGATTATTGAAAGCAGCGACTAAAATAGAACATTTTTAGTCGCTGCTTTTCAATTCGCTTTTCAAACCTTTAACTCGGCTCCACAATTGTCCGTTCCCCGATCCGTACAAGTTGTGGCGTGTCGATAAAAAATCAATAATTGTCGATTATCGCTCAACGGCCGAACCGTCAGCAGTTGTAGATCACAGGGAAACGCCAATTTCGAGTTCTCCTCAATTTCTTCGATATCCTCCATTTTTGGAATCTTCTCGGAATTTAGCAGAATTGGCGGGTAAATGACACGTTGCAATGCTTGTTGAGCACGCGAACTGTGCACCGAATAGTGCGAATTGTCCGCTCTTACATTTTCATCAAAAATTAATTTGAACCTCATGTCCACTGGCTTCAAATCGATCGGAATCGCGTCGGCGCCCTGTCCGAGACCCTTTCCGTCGTCCTGATTCAGAATTCGATCGATATTTATTTCGACGGTGCCGTGCTCCATGAAACGGGCTCCATGCTCCACGTTTGATAATATTGACAATCTGGAAATTTGTTTTTCGAACAAATTTTTCTTTTTAGAGTCCTTTGTGCATTGTCAGTATTCTCACAGAGACCAGAGACCGCACCTTTTTCCATTTTTTTCCAAAACGGCTCCAGTCGGCATCGGATAATAATTGTTTTGTACGGGCAATTTATAAAAGTCCCTTTTCAGTAATTGCAGTCCGATACTGTCCGTAAAAGTGTTCGGCGCCTCCCAATTCGTCGCAATTCTCGTCATCAATTCCGTGTTTCGTTCTTTCGAAATATCGATCGACATCGAAATGTCCAATTCTTCGCCGGCCGGGCCTAAAAATCGGCTTTCTCGTACGACGCCCCGAAATTACGCCGGTTTTTCGGCCGACACATTGTTTCTCTTCGCACCTTCCACATTTTTGACACTTGTCCTCTGGAATACGGTATCCGTTGCCTGATAGATGGTTTCTCGTAACGGTCCGCTCACTTTAAGCCATTTAAAATCGACCATTTCCTGAAAGATCTTTCAGAAATTCCGTTTTCGGGCTGTTCGGACTCACTTTCGGATTCGTGTGCAATTTCATCAGATACGCTCCACCGGCGGCGTCTCGGTACTTGTGCCACGTCTGTTCGGCGGTAAATGTCGTTTTGGAACTCAAAAGTGTGACATTCTGTACAAAAATGTTCGATTGTGGTAGTTTTTGTGGCATTAATGTACCTGAAGTGAGCCTGAAGTTGGATTGTGATGAGTTTTGAGGAAAGGAGATTCGAGGCAAAGTTCAGAGGATAATGAGGAGGATGGGGAGATGGACCACATTCTGAAATCCGGGTTTACGGCAGATTTAATTTTTTTTTTGTCGGAGTTGTCTCTTTTTGCCGTTCGATAGCCAATTTTATGCAATTTTATGCCAATTGCTCTAAGACTCACTCTCCAAGCTGCCAATCTCCTTTCGCCTCAATTTTCGCGCTTTTCATTGTCTCTTCAGAGTTTCCTTTGACAATTTTCACCTTTATCATGCTCATCGGAGGTACGGTAGCTCGGAAAAAAAGCTGAAAAAAGTTGATCTGTCGAAACAAAAATCGATTACCAAAAACGAGTCCTTCTCCAATTTTCCTTTGATAAAATAGGGTTCCAGCTGAGTTTCCAGCATTTTTCCATCAATCGATAATTGAAGTTCCGGATGATTGACCCGAATTCCGTGGAGATCCGTTGTCGAAAAAAGAAGACTATTAAAAATTTTGATCATTTTTTCCTGAGAATTTTTCTGGAAGTCTAATAGTTGTTGGATTTCCACACCGTCATGGATTCGAGGGTAAATGTCCTAAAATCAAAAACAAATTTGCACTAACAATTAACACAAAATTTGAAGTCACCAATTCGCCTTTTCCGAGTTCCTCAATAACAGTTTTTGTGGAAATTATCGAAGAATGTAAGAGTTCGGAATAATTGTCCATTACGCTCACTTTTGAAGTTCCTGAACATTTTTGTTACAGTTTCAGAAGCTTTTGTTAAACAAGCTTTTTCACCGTTTTTCGAGAGTTTTCGAGACTTGCGTCTATGGTTTTTTTTTAAGTGAAAATAATCTTGAAAACCTCTTTATAAATCCTCCCCAAACCTGTGATAGCGTCGTGATGCTGGAAAAGTGACAAATTTCTTCTCGCCGCCTCCAATAATCCAATTTTTGTGTCGATTTTTCGTTGTTTCAGATTTCCACGTAGCATTGAGAGCATTATGTCGGCAGAACGGATGAGGGACTAAAAAACATTTTTTTAAAAGTCAAAAGCAGCGCCTAAGTTATCCAAAGCAGCGCCTAAGTTATCCAAAGCAGCGCCTAAGTTATCCAAAGCAGCGACTAAAATTATCAAAAGCAGCGACTAAATTATCAAAAGCAGCGACTAAATTATCAAAAGCAGCGACTAAATTATCAAAAGTAGTCGCTACTAGCGTTATTTCCCATTTTTTCACTTAATTTCAGCTATTTTCTTCAAGAGAATCCAACCTATTTTATACCCGCCAAAAAAAAAGCGTACATGAAGAAGTCGTCCCTGTCTCTTGAAAAACGGTCGCGTCGTGAAATATCCAGTCCAATAGTCGCCGAGCGCACACATGTACGGGAAAAAATCGCCGGAAAGCGTGGGCGGACGCGTCTCTTCCACTTTTTCGTTTTCCGAATGCCACTTTTCGAGCTCGTTGAAATAATCGTTGAATGTACCGAATCTGAAACGGAAAAAAAACATACAGAAATGGAACAAAAGTGTAGACAACCACACGTACCTAATTTCCGCTCTGTTCCCTTTGTTAATTTCGTCAAAAAGCGGCAAAAAATTGTCGTGATGTTGGTACCACTCCTGGAGCATGTCAAACCTGAAAGAACCCACTTTTTAGGCCTAAAATAGTTTTTGAAAACATTGTTTAGTTACCGAAAATCGTCTCCATGCATCATTAAAATCACGGGCGCCTTGTACATTTCAGCCATTTGTTCCAGCTGATTTAGAAGTGTATTGGCTCTGAAAATACACTGTTTAATGTAATTTTCGTAACAGACTAAAAAAACGAACTTTTCGGCCACGTTGCTTTTTGAAATATTGACGGGCGCGGGTCCGGGACACGCCCACTGGGTCATCCGTTTGAAATCGAATTCGCAGCAGTCGGAGGGTCCGGGACCGCACGAATTGAGGATGTCGTAGTGGGAGTACGGTAGCACGTGCGCCAGAATTTCATCCGATCCGGACGGGTCGAAGTACTGACGCCATCTGAACGGGACCGCCTGCTGTGATTGGAGCGTCTGTTTGAGACGGTGGTGGATTCGATTTATTACGGTACGCGACACGCCTGAAAACAGGATTACTGTAGGCTGCAGTACTGTAGCACGTCGTTTATCACCTGATTTTTTGAACAAGTACGGCACTGAATTCGAGTATCCGAACGGGTCATTCGACCAAATTGTACTCGGTTTTATGCCTGAAAAATTTCTCTCTTTCAATACACATTTTTTGGTGTCACCGAAATTCTCGTGAATGAATTGGAATCCTTCGACGATATTATCCACGGAAACGGGGAAATACGGGTTCGCCTCGTCGGTCATCACCCACGAACCGGTCGCCAATTCCAGACGGCCCTCCGATACCAATCTGCAATGTTTTTTTTTGGAATTCTACAATTTTTCCGGCACTTTTCACGGCGACCAAAAACGTAGAAAGGGGCGTGGGGCCTAGCGTGCACGGTTTATCACCATTTTGGCGCGAAATTCGAAATTTAACCCCATTTTTCATGTTTTTCGTCAAAAATTACCCAAATTTTGTGCGGGTTTCGACGATGTTATTGCATAACCTGTTGCGGACGAGGAGAGTATATAACCCTCTCCACCGCAACTCTTTCCATATTTCTCCAGCAACAATTACTCTTAACCCCAGCTTTCAGATATTCCCATTTGAACTCCCGCGCCCTCGCCATTTAGGAGCGTCTTGTGCGTACACTCGACCACACACTCGCGCCTCCGCCCTATTTAGGAGCGTCAACGACTACGGTTGTGCGTCGAGCGATGGGCCTAAACTGCTCGCCGATTATTGCATCACTCTTTTAGCGTTTACTGTCACCTTTTACCGTTACCCATCCTTTTTATGAACGACTTCGTGTCGCAGTCGATCCGAGATACGGCTTGACCCGACTCTCGGTCCGACAGACTCTATTGACCTTTTGATAATAATTCGAACACTAAATAAACGCTTTTATTATCTCTCCGCCTTCGCTTTGTACTTTCCCACTCTCCGTTCGCGACAAAATTGGTGCGCCGGCTAAAAACAAATTGTCCGGACAAAAAAGAGTGAAGGCGGAGGAGAGACGGAATTTGTAAAAACGTGCAAATACCCGAAAATATTTATCTGTCGAGCAACAAAAATTTCGCATTACTTCGTTGAAAACGTCGAAGAAAATTACCGAAAAAAATTACCGAAGAAAATTACAGAATGGCGAAACGTCGTTTCGGGATGCATGGAAAAGCCGCGTTCAACAGCGGAAAGAAAACAAGAATGAACGAGCTGCGCCGGGCGATAAAACGACGAGCGTCGGAAGACAACAACGACAAGGAAAACGACGGGCCCAGCCCGAACAAGCAAGTCGTGCCGGAGATAGAATGAGGAGACGAGGCAGACGTGACAGTGCTGTCCGAAAACAGCGTGGAATTTGTGGAGGCTATCAACTTGGTGCCGGAAGCAGTCCGTGAAGAGACAGTGTCGGCCTGCGAAGTTCTCGTCGTCGACAACAACAGGAACATCGAAAAAAGCGTCACTCAGGAAAGAGGTGAGGAATAAAACGGTATTAAAAAAAAAATTACAAATGTCCAAGTTACAGAGGGTGCAAAGATCAAGGGACATGTCTTTGGAACCAACCCGACCGACTGCGGATCGGCTACTTGGGCCGAACAGATCGTGCTCACCAAGAAGGCGGATACGACGCTCCACGTCATGTGCGACATCAAAGAACATCTAAACACGATCACAAAGACGCTGAGAGATCACAATGATCTGCTGCGCGTCCACCGCGAAGAAGATAAGGCTAAAAGGGAGATTTGGCGACATATCGTGAAGGAAGAAGTCCGTGAGTGGATAAGAAAAATAGAAAAGCGCACAATGGAGAAGATCGACGCCGCCCAGAGCACAGCGGACCATCATAAGGAAGACAACAACAACGCGGACAACAAAACGGAGAAGACAATCGAGAAACCGGAGCCACCAAAGAAATCGGACGGCAAAGGAAAAAGGGTGAGAGAAAGAGAACAGAAAATAGAACAAAAAAGAAACTTATAGCACCGATCGTGTCTATTCTGCGGAGACGAAAACCACGGAACCGAACTTTGCAACAAATACGCCACTCCGGTCACGCGAATGGCGCGGATGAGAGAACTCGGGAATTGTACAATTTGCTCCAGACGACACAAGGACGAATGCCACTTCACACTGATTCACTTCAGAAGATTGAGGATAATTTCACTGTGAGACAACTGCACGAATATCAAATCCGTGGATGCATCTTAAGACCCATCAATATCAAACAAACTAAGATACTTGATGCCATCCCGGTTGCGACGTTATTTGACGAGCAGCTTGCCTCTGTACCAATTTTTATCAAATGTGCTGACAACTCGACTAGAATCATCGTGTGTGAAGGAAATCACCGTGTCTCATCCGTCCTCCGTAGAGATCCAAGTGATGAATCCTTCAAGGTGGAAACTGTTACCATCTCTGAAGCCGACTTTGATGCAACATTTGAGAAAGCTGTCGACCTTCGTGGAGAGTCTGATGGGTTGAATCAAAAGTGCGGACTCGATGCAATCCCATGGATCGTCGCTTCGTTCGTACAACAAGTGTTCACCAGCGAGCGTCTTCGCACAGAGAATAGTTATTCGGCAAAAGATAGAGCAATGAATTTGTACGAGATTCTCAAGGCAAGAGTATCCGAGGAACAGCTAGATTTGTTGCGAGAGAATACCCGCATTCGAAACAAACTCTACGAACAGTTGGTCAAGGAGAAACTGGCTTTGAAATCCACACAGTCTCAGACTGAAAGATCTGGACTGTACCTGTTTCTGAGTGCACCAAACACACGGACTCTGTTCCTGAAGCATTTTTCCTACCTTCCCACTAAGGAAAAGTGTCACTCAAACATCTTCGCCGCTTCTTTGAGAAATGATTGTAAAACTGTGAAACTGATCCACGACTGTGCCAAAGAATACATTTCAAAAATGATGTTCCTGCAAAAGGTCAAAGATTTGAAGACTGGATTGGAAGATGAGGACAAGGATGTTGGGGAAACAAGTACGAGTGAAAAGAACCCACATGGTTTACAAGTATGGAAGAAGGTTTCTAGTGTGGAGGAAGGCGCCATCTTAATTGTCTCGAAAGAGATCCCAAAGCCGGAACAGTTGATTCTCAAAGATACCAGTATTGTGGTAATGGATCCACCTCAAACCGTTGATTTTGTGCTGAAGGCATCCAAGTTTGCTGACGGCAACGTCATGAGACGTGGAATGTTCCGGAAATCGGAATTCGTGGCCGTGGGCAAACTGTTCAAACATGGTGAACATTTTTGTACTTCGACAATTAACACAATGATCAGTCGGCTCACTGAATCAACTGAAAGCCGAAAACGCAAAACGTACACTCGACCACACACTCGCGCCTCCGCCCTATTTAGGAGCGTCAACGACTACGGTTGTGCGTCGAGCGATGGGCCTAAACTGCTCGCCGATTATTGCATCACTCTTTTAGCGTTTACTGTCACCTTTTACCGTTACCCATCCTTTTTATGAACGACTTCGTGTCGCAGTCGATCCGAGATACGGCTTGACCCGACTCTCGGTCCGACAGACACTATTGACCTTTTGATAATAATTCGAACACTAAATAAACGCTTTTATTATTTCTCCGCCTTCGCTTTGTACTTTTCCACTCTCCGTTCGCGACAATGTTAAACTAATCATCGCGCACTTTTTGAGCTTAAAACGAGCAGGTTTCATTCAGAAATGAATCAATTGAATCGATTTTCAAGTTTTGTGCTGAAAATGCGCGAATTTCAGTCATTCGTCGACACTTTTTGCCGTTTGAACGGTTAAAATGCTTGTATTAACTTGTGCTTAATCACATCCGACATTCATTTCGTCTCAAAACCGATCCAGATCGGCCGCTATGAAAATTCCGAAAATGCGGCGGCGATTGGCCGCGGAGGGCGTATTGCGAAATATGCCAAAAACGTCTCAAACGCGGCGTTTTCACGAAAATTTCAATGTTTTCTCTCTTTAATGTCTCTTCTTTCGTCGATATCAAACCGAAAATATCGAAAAAGTGCTCGAATTTCGGAAATTTTCAGAAAACGCGTCTCAGATTAAGCCACGCCCTTTTCTACACTTTTGGTCGCCGTGGCTTTTAAATTAATTTGAAGTGCGCAATTTCGGAGCCTCGTACAAAGCGCACACTCACTTTTTGACGTCTTCTTTCACTTCTGTCGTCTGCAATGACCACCAGCGCTCGAAAAACACAAACTCCGCCCACATGAACCGCATTTTCTCGTTTTTCATCATGAAATTGTGCATATTGTCGAGAATTTGATTAGTTCGTTTTGTGTAATTTTCAAATGTTTCCAGCCAACCTGAATTGAGCTGAATACTTTAAGAAACGTCTGGACATTTTCCCAAAAAATTACCTGGATCCACGTGTGTGAACGGAAGCACAAAAACTTTCAATTTTTCCTTTTTCCGATTTATTCGTTTTTCTGGCAACGGCTTCGAGTTTCCGACGACGACACTTTCAAACAAATCAAACGTCTGAAAAATCGATAATTTGGAAATTTTATTTGAATTGGAAAAATAGTTTAAAATACTGAATAAGATCGACGAACCAGCATCGGAGCAGGCTTTACTCAACACGGACAGTTCTTCACAGACCGACAGGCACCCCTTCGGCTGAAACGAAAGGTCTTCATGACCCCTCCAGAGCTGTCAATATGGGCGTGGCTTCGGCCAAATGGCCGTTTCACGAATTGAGCAGGTTTTCTCTGATTTTTGTGGTCAAAGGCGATGAAAAATGATTGTTCGACATGAAAACACACTAATTCTCACAGAATTAATGACGTTTTGGCGCATTTTTCGCGGACTTTGCTTTTTCGCCTTCGCCGCCTCCAACGAGAAAAAGGACTAGAACGCTACTATTTCCATTAGCTGGGTGAATAAATGAAATGAACTCGGATTCGTTCTTCCCGAATTGAACCGAAAAACTCACATTAAAATCGGTTTTCGCTTCTTTTGGCGGATTTTCGCACTTTTCCAAAAATGTTGTTGATTTCTCAGATACCATCGACACATTTTTTTCCGATTCATCATTTCTCAGCCGCATTTGAATTATTCGAAGCGAGCGGATTTCGTGGCGATTTTCGTGCTGAAAATTAAAGGTGTCGTGCACTAAAAACAGGATCATACAGTGCGTTGCAAGTTTATAAGGCCTTATGGGGCTATTCAGCGTATGTTTGTTTTCCGTTTTTTTCGTTTTTTTTACACCGCTGAATTGGGTTTTTTGACGTAAAAAAACGAAAAAAACGGAAAAAAACCATTTTTTTTCACAGCCTGAATAACCCCATTATGGGGCTATTCAGGGGATGAAAAAATGATTGTTTTCCGTTTCTTTCCCTATTCAACGATGTCAAAAAATGAAAAAAAAAACAGAAAGAAATGCATCGCTCGCAGCGTTTTTTTCCGGCGGGTCTCGCAGCGATTTCCCGGACGCGATGCATGCGGCTATTGTGAGAGACGTTTTATGAATGGATTTACGAAAATTGTTCTAATTTTTCAGCGAAATTACCACGTTTTCCCGCTATTTTGAACCGATTTTCACCGAAAAGCTCAATATTTTGAACGATATGACGAGGCACTCGAAATTATCAAAAAAACAAAAAGAATTCAAGCGAAATCGGTCGGAAATAGCGGTAAACGTGGCAATTTCGCATCAGTTACCATAACAGATAAAGAAGAACTGAAATTCCGTTGAAAATCGGTTGAAAATAGCGGGAAAACGTGGCAATTTCGCTGAAAAATTAGAAAAAAATTCCCCCCTTCTCGTAAATCCACTCATAAAACGTCTCTCACAGTAGCGGCATGCTTCGCGTCCGGAAAATCGCTGCGAGACCGGTCGGAAAAAAACGCTGCGAGCGATGCATTTCTTTCCGTTTTTTTTCCATTTGTCAAAGAAACGGTCAAAGAACGGTTGAGACCAAATTTGAAAAGTTACCTGAGACAATCGGTGATGATATGCGAGTAGAAATGTGAAAAAGATGGCAAAAACATAAATGACGACTGTTTTGGGATTCAGAAGCACCTTCCGTTTGGCCGATACCGCAAGTCGGTGCATTTTCGCTGAAATTTGGGATTTTTGCCGAGAAATGGAAGAGTTACCCGCTTCTCAAATGGCTATTATGGGACTATTCAGCGTATGTTTGTTTTCCGTTTTTTTTTTTCGTTTTTTTACATCGCTGAACTGGATTTTTGACGTAAAAAAACGAAAAAAAAACGGAAAACAATCTTTTTTTTTTCACAGCCTGAATAACCCCATTAGGTTCGATGAAGAGGAGGCACAAAAACGAAAGATTGGGATCCAAAACCAGAACTAAGAATCGCACGCTTTGAATTTCCACGCAGCTGAAAGTTCACGTTGTGTGCAATAAAGTGCGACTTTATGAAGACGGTTTGAGGGAAGAGCGATTACCAAAAAAAAAGTCTTAAAGTGTTGTAAAATGTATATAAAAGTGTGTTTTAATATGAAATGGATTCCCCGTACACTATCTTCTAAAGTTTGCCCAGCTGCCAACGGGGACCACGAACGCTTTTGTGGATAAACCGCCGAAATAGTGTCGGAAAACGGGGGGAGACGCCGAGAAAATGACAAATAATGGACAGAAAAGGCAGGAATTGGATACAAGAAGTTGTTTTGTACTTTTCTGCTTTTCTGGAAAAAAATTCACGAGAAAAAGGTGGTCAAGCGGATAGAAACGATGAAAGTTTGCTCACATAAAAATGCGAAAAGGGTCGGGCGGTGAACAATTCGAAACCGACAATAAAAGGTGTCGATTCGAAGCATTTCTTTGTCAATTCACAGAAAAGCGGACACTATCGCTATTGCTGTGCTATTATTATTATTATTATTATTATATGGTCATGAACTGGTTCATTAACAAGAAATTGCTTTGAGAAAAAAGTGTCATTCAACAAATAACATAAGCAGATACTAAATTAGCAGCCAAAGCAGCGCCGGGCTATGGACATTCACGGACATTCCTGCAATTTGTCGACTCTCGTGCTCGTACCAGGTATAAATTGAATGAACATGACCCATAGAAGTAAGTTGTTCGCGTCATCCAATTCCGATCCCATTATTATTCTGTACATAGTTGTACATGGTGTCTGGTTTAGATCTCCGTACTCGTTGTGTGACACCCTACTCTCCGCGTCAAAATTCTAATTTTCCATGTTGCACGTACAATTTGACGAATTTTTCTTTCCTGTTTCGTTGAATTTAGATGGTTTTTCAAATTCAATAGTCGTCGCTTTGTAATGTTGGGATTTTCAAAAATCACAAAATCAGGTGAAGAAAAAGATCGAATCCAAAATGGTTGTACTTTGAACACAATTTAGCATTGCAATCACCGAAAATTCAATTTATTTTTTTCAAACCGGCCAACTTTGTTTGGTCAGTGTCAAAACGATGTAATTACACAATACTAATCGCATTTTCCGCTGCGACAAAAGTTCAATACCGGAAGAGAAACAAATGAAGGCACAATTTATTAGGTCTGAAATCGGAAAGCTTTCAAAAATGAAGCGGAAAAGTTCAAAAAGTAGGAAAATTGTGAAAAGGACGAGATTTTCCCACGAGATGAAGTCCCCATGGGGTCTCCATAACAACTGAAATGGGAGAAAGAGGGAGCGAGAAAGAGAGAATTGGGAATAATGTAATATTTGGAAGGAAACCCCCCGAACACTAATGAGATGTTGGTCATTCGCGTCCGACCTTACGCTGATGGCACGTGAACTTTCTAACGGTTATGAGAATCGAAAAAGCGGTGAAGCTGGTACCGACCTGAAAAAAAAAATGAAATTGGAACGTCGTGTTCTTTGATTCGACTGCGGATATTCGAATTTCCTGTAAAAAATATATTTGTCACTATCACTATTTGTCGATTATCTTCAGTCAGAGATCTAAAATTCACGTTATTTTTCATCTTTTTCTCGTGCTTCCCGCCTCCAAAAACTCAATTTCAGACTCCCGCCGACAAAAAGAGTGCGGTGGAGCGCGTTTGCATTCTTTTGCCTCCGTACTTTCTCGTGATTGCACTTGTTTTTTCTGCGAAAATGACGTCTTCCGACGGTTTTTCGTACCAAACGCCTTCCGCAGACGCTGCGCAAAAATTGGAGCTGAATCAGGAGCAGTTGCACGCGCTGCTCAACAAATTATCAAGCGACGAGCAAAAGGAGTTGACGGAAATGATGAGAACGTGCACGAGCGAGGTGATTTATTCGAGATTTTTAACGTTTTTTAATATTATTTATTTTCAGGTGACGATGACACGTGGATTGCCGATCACGGGCGCCGTCTTGGGCAGTCTGTACTTTGCCCGAACCCGATTGCCGGCCCAATACCATTTCGGGCCCAAAGGATGGCCTTTTTATGCAATTATGGGCATTGCGTACGTTTTTTTGTTGTTAGAAATGCTTAAAACGTTATCTCAATTTTCAGCTCTCTGACCGCCTCGAATCTTCTGTTCATGGGCACTTGCCGTGATCGAATCAAGCCGAGAATTGATCAATTGTGGAGAAAAGTTAGTTTTTCCCTTGCTCTTCATCTAAAAATCCAATTTTCAGTACGATCTGGCCAAATCGACGACGAACTACGACGAAATTCGTCGTCAGAATCGTGGAGCCGCGCCAGGAGCCTTTCCGAGTGCAATTTCGGCGGAAGCTGCAGAGCCTCGAGCTGAGGTAGTCGAATTTTAATGAAAATTGCCTAAAAGTCGATAATTTCCAGACGCGCAACCCGTACGATTATACGTACTCGCTTCCGGAGGGTTCTTCCGCTTCCGGCGAATCGTTCACCACGTACAAGCCGTTGATCGGCGAGACTTCCGAGTTTTCGCAGGCTCCGGGCCGTCCACGCCGTCCGATTCCGTCCGCGACGTCGCCGTTCGCCGCCGACGACACCTTCATATCCGGTACGCCTTCTGGACCGTCTTCTGGAAAAGGCACCAACGACGGATACACTTTTTCGTGATTATTCATAATTTGTTCTGGTTTTTTCTTGTAACACCCAATTGCCTTTGATTATTTATCACTAGAATCGTTCGTTTTTAGTCAATGCTTCCTGGTTTCCGTTTTTATTGTATTTTTCTCTTTAAAAAAAGTGTGACTTATTGCAAATAGCCCAAGCACCCAAATAGCCAAAGAAGCGACAAAATTCGCATTTGCAGCACTTGCGCTGCTTTCGCTGAACTTTTTTGTTGTCGATTCTCTTGATATCTTTTCAATATTTGCTTATTTTCTTTCGTTTTAAAATTTCAGATATTGCAGCAATGGAGTCCGTGACAAAAGGTCGGAAAACCAAAAAGGTCGGAAGCCAAAAGATCGGAAAGTCGATCATTTGCACTTCCAATCGATTTTTAAATCTACATTTACTGTTGAAAAAAATGGTTCGACATTCGAATCAGAATTGGCAGCGAGCCAAGGATACACCCCTCCCCCCCAAAACAGTTTTCACTGCAACTGCGCACGCTGTTTGGGGGGCGTGTCCTTGGCTCGCTGCCAATTCTGATTCGAATGTCGAACCATTTTTTTTCAACAGTAGATGTAGATTTAAAAGTCGATTGGAAGTGCAAATAATCGACTGACGTCGTCTGCTGAGCAGTCGCTCGAACGGATCAGTTAACAACAACGTAGTTGATTTGTTTTGTATTCGTGCGATTATCCAAGCCAAACTATTTTTTAATTAATTTTTAAGGTAGTACTGACATTATCTATCAATTTATTGTATTTTGTGCTCTGACTTGCCTTCTCTTACTCGTTTTGTTCAATTTTTCAACTCGACAGTTGTACAAATTGCCGCTTAACGACACTCAGAAATAACGGCAACGCGCGCGGTTTATCGTAAATCTACATGAATTCCTTTAACCCAACATTTGAGTCCGTAACAAAAGGTCGGAAAACCAAAAGGGTCGTAAAGCCAAAAGGTCGGAAAAAAGTGACAAAAAGTTGGATTTCCGTTTTTGTTTTTCCGACCTTTTGTCACGGACTCCAGCAATGTAAAAAATCGCGAAACGCGTCAAGCAAACTCTTTGCGCACAACGCTTTGCGCTGACGCAAAACTCGCTTTTTGCTCTTATTTTGCTTGTTTTGTTTCACAACATCTCAATTTCTCGGTCAATTTCCTGTCAAAACTGATTATTTGTTGATTTCTTTTCGGACTTTGGAAAATTAGCCTCAAATTCATGTCGGCCCTTATTTTTCACTGAAAATGTTGGTTTTTTCCAGACTCTTCTGAATTTTCGCTCTTTCTCCGTCTTCGTTCAAATTTTTATTGTGTAACTTAACCTTCTGCGCATTTTACTGCTTTTTTTCAGCTCAAAAATGCCAAACTTCAACCTGGGACCGTTGCCGTCGAAAAATCCGGAAAACTTCTCGAAATTCGTCCCGAACAAAGATGTGAGTACATGTTTCGGCTATTTTCAACCAAAACCGTGTAAATTTCCAGTCGACGTTCAAAAAACTCGAAAAAATGCCGGTGCAACAGAGTGTGGAGGGCGAGAACAACGGCGAGTGCTACAAGATCAAAGGGCCGAAGACGCCGCTCGTGCTCACCCATTTGGTACGGGAATTTGAAGCGCGAGTAAGAGTGAATTCGAATTTTACGCGAAAAACAGTAATGGAACGGTTTTTTCTGCGAATATGTCATGTTTTCTGATGAAAAATTTTGAATTTTCAGATTGACGACTTGCCAAACGAGTCGGAATCAGAAGAGGAGCCGGAGGAGGAGCCGACGGCCGCCCCGAGCACTTCTGGAGCCTCGAAACGACAGCACGAAGAGTCGGAGGAGCCGGAGGAAGAGCAGCAGGAAGCCACGACTTCGGCGGTGACGACCCGCAAAAAATCACGCCGTCAGAATTGATATTCTCCCAAATGTTTCCTTGTGATTTTTGCCTTCCCCACTGCATCACTTTCCCCCCATAATTATGTGTATTTTTGTAAAATTTTACCTTGCCCTCGTTTTTCCGTTCCAAAAGATTCACTGAAAATGCCTAATAAAGAGTAACTTCTCTCGGAATTTCTAGAATTTTCTCAGGTTGCACGGTACCCTCGATTTTTCTGTTTCTTGCCTTTTCTCTGATGGAATTTTGCAATTTGCGCGAAAACTTTTGTATTTTTGATTTTTCTTGTTATAGTATCATTCTCCGTTGTTTTTTCCAACCAAAAATTGCCACGTTGGCATAGTCTGTGTGCGAAAAAGCTGAATTTTGTACATCTTTCCACACCTATCACATTCCATGAAGCTTGTAAAAAAACGGCACCTTCCATTCACAATATTGCATCACGCAGCCTGAAAAATTTTCTGATTTTCTGATTCAAACAATCTTTAAGTCACTTTTTAAAGTGTTTCTTATAGTCATCTTTAAAGGACAATTTATTAAAGCTGCTTCACAGAGAAAACATTAGCATTTTTTTGACTTTGATGAAAATGATTGGAATTGTGAGATTTAAGCCAGGCTGAGGTTTTCCAAGTATGGGGCTAACTTTATGAACAATTGTGTTAAAGGAGACTTGTCACTAAAAAGTAAGGAAAGTGCTCTGAGGTCCTAAATCAGACCCTAAAAATTTTAATATATTACAATATATGCAACAACCTAATGCAACTTCTAGCGCGCTGGCCAATGGTATACAGGGCGATCCATAAGTACGGATAGTGTCATATTTCAAAAGTATGGTTTGTTATTTAGAAAGTATGTTTTTTTTATTGCAAAAATGGTCCAGTGAATCCATTGAAGTATTGCGCACTTATTGAGCACAACATGTGTGACGATATTGAAGTTGACTTCCTGTTCCCTTTTGCAAAAGTGCATCCTAGACCGTGAATTGGTTGCGATTCGCGAATCGTAATTCGCAGTGATTCAAATCTCCTCCGTCTACAGTACTTCCTTCTCTCCGATCAATAGAAGAATACTCTCCCCCTCCACATCGTTTATCCTCCTTCTTTGTCTCTTTTCCGAGGCGGGGCGCGGCGCCATACAAAACTAGAAGATGTGTCCGTCTCTCTCTCTCTCTCTCTCTCTCTTCTTGTTCAGAAGAAAAAGAAGAAGGGGAGAGTGTATGTCCCGCCCATCTTTCCTTCGTCACACACACACACACACACACACAAAGAGAGCGACGACGAGAGGAGGAAATATATCGATCGATTTTATGTTCGCCAGTGTGTGTGTGTGTGTGTGTGTATCGAGGCGAGGCCGTTTCCCCCTATACCCCGCCCGGTCTTCTCTCCCTCTCGCTCCCTCTCTCTCTCTCTCGCTTTCTCTCTTTCTCTCGACGCGGGGGGCCCGGCGCCCCGTGTCATTTGAATGGTGGAAAGCGAGAGAGAGAAGGAGAGAGAGGGTACCACCACCACCACCATGAATTGCCATAATAAGGCTCCCAGAAGAAGAAGGGAGAGAGAGAGAGAGGAGAGAACAAGCTGACCACTCTCTCCCTCTCTCTCTCTTTCCTTCCTTCTCCCCCTTCTCCTTCTTCTTACCCCCCCTTAAAGACACAACACACTGCCTGCTGGCCAATCAAAAATGGTGTGGTGTTGGTGATGATGGGGAGGGGAGGAAAAAGAAGAAGAAAAAGGGGGGGGGGAGGAGAACGGAACCCCCCTCCGTTTTTCCTTTTTTCTAAGTCTCTTCCCGCTCTCTCTCTCTCCATGCCTTATGTTTTTTTGTGAATGAATGATAATAGAAATTAAAGTTCTTGGACCCTGTCTAGACTCGGACAAGCAATTTTTCGCGTATGCAGAATTTTTTGTACATTTTTTTTTGCTGTCCGCGTAACCTTGTTACTTACAAACCTGCCAAATTTACATCCTGAGCATGTTCATGAAATTAGTTTCGAATCCCAAATGTTTTGGACTAATTTCAAAAAATACGTTGTTCAGTTTTTCTCAAATTTTTTGTGTCAGTGTGTTGCAAAGTTTCATTGCATTGCAAGCATATCCTTTAAAAAAAAATCCTGAAAACTTCACACCAATTTTGCACGAAGCATCATAATCCTGTTTGAAAAAAAGATGCTTGAAATTTGATATCCATGCAATACGAACACACGACAACTTTGTTGCCATTCAGCACTTTTCACGTTGTTCGTGTACAAAGTTTCACAGAGTCTTATTGAAAGTGTGCAATTTTTGCTGGACTTCACGGATTTTTGTAAATATGATAAGAGTCGTAGACTTCACTATTTCGCGTATGACTCCCGTTCTGTAGAAGGCGTTCCGAATCCCAGAAATCACACTGGCCATTTTGTTAATCTGCCGCTTTCTTAAATTGTAGTGTTGCGAGCCTCGTCTAGTGAAAAATGTTCATGATCAGACATGACAATTGAACTAGTTCTTTTTTTTTTGTGAACTAACTTTTCAAAGTTGCTTTTTTTTTCCGACATGATTCAATCATTCCAGTTTCAAAGCGAATGCTTTGTATTTTCAGACTCAAACTTTCTTGTTACAGCTGAGTCTATGAACGTTTTTTTTTTACTTTTGAGTGTGGTACTATAAAATATGGAGATCATATTCTGATTGTAGCATTTAAATGTCACTGGAAACGAAGCTTTGTCAAAATTCACTATTCGGTCAGAAAATAAAATGATGGATTGATTTTCTAAAAGTTTGCAGAGACATTATTACGATCTGAAAATTTTCTCGCTATTTTGTAGTACCAGAATGTTCACTAACTTAGAAAGGGTCTGGAGAGCAGATCTACATGACTAGAAAGTGACTTTCGTAGGAATTCTGAAAATTCGTTGAAATTTATTTTATGCTACCGGGAAACGTTAAAGTAAATTAACTGTTCAGAAACTCCTATGATCTCCCAGGCTTACTTTGTTTTCCAGCGGTGAAACAAAGTTCAGCATTTTTTTTTGAATTCTAAAAGAACGTTCTCTGTTTTTACTTGGCGCTTAGAGCGTATTTCATTAAAAATTCCTGGAAAGTGTTCCGTTTCTCTGTCCGTCTCCGCATAGAGGTCTCCTCAAAACAGTCTACCCCCTTTGCAGTTGCCACCCAAACAGTGCATACGCAACGGACCATTCGCCCCCCTCTCTCAAATATGCATTGTCTCGCCTTCACGCTCAGCTGTTCCATTTTTTGCCGCCCAATTATGTTGCGAGCTCGTTTTAATTACGTAACGACACTTTTCGCTTCTTCTTTTTTTTGTATACCTGCATAGTTTTTTGTTAACGGTTTCAAGCGTGTAGCATATTAGGTAGCTATACAAGATGTACAGGATTTTCAAAAAAAAAAATGCTTTAAAAAAGCTGCTAACAAAAAAATCTCAAAGAAACGCAGGAGGAGAAACAAAACGACTCTCCCTGCGTTCCTATTAATTTTGCGCATTTCCCGACCCTCAAAGTTCATCCATTCTTTTTTCTCTGCGTCTCTTCGCCGTCTCGTACTCTCTCGCCTCCGTGTCCCGCCGCCGTCTTTGCTTTTTAAAAAAATATTGAAACGATGACTTGATAAGAATTTTCTAATCAGTTTTTCTCGTTATCATTCATTTGGCGGGAAATTTGAATTTTTTGCAGACACATCTCAGTCGGTTCGTGTGCGCCAAGCCGTTCCGAAGACACAAACGAGACGGTTTGCCGCCGATTTGTTGGTTAATGGTTGAGAGAATTGTACGCGGACCCTGAAATCGGCGAAAAATGCAAAATGTAACGTTTCTTGCAGAAAAAAAGTCGCCAAATCCAGTGAAAAGTATGCCGGGCGACGAGAATGCCGGTGCGACGGAAGCGCCACAAGAAGAGGTAGGCGAATTTGAAGAAATGCAATTTTTCTGTACAGCAATTGTGTTGCAATCGTTTTCATTCATATAATCGCCTTCAACCAATTCAATTCCCTGTGTCTAACATTTTTATTATCAGTAACTACCAGACCTTTTACAAGAATTTGCCTAAACAATTCCAATGAATGTAGAATTTTTCAAGTTTAAAATTTTTCCCATCTGAAAATCGAAAATCCAGTATTTACAGCCAACAACATCATCGGGAACATCATCAGCAGCAACGACAGCAGCAGCAGCAGCAGCAGCAGCAGGTGGAGGAGTACCAGAAGAGCACCAGGCGACGTCGTCGGATGAAAAAAGGGTAAAACGAGGGCGTCTTCTTTCTATTCTATCAATCGCTCTCTGCGTCTCCTCATTTCACACGTTTTCATTGCCTTCCGCAAGAGACGCCGCTCTATCGTTTTTCTCAAGGCGATCGCGTATTCGTGTCTGTGGAGCGAGCGAGCGAGCGAGCGAGGTCGGGCCGTTTGAATACATTCCGTCTGACTTCTCTCGCCCGCACTCTCCCTCTCTCTCCCTCTCTCTCTCGCATTCAAATAGGACGGGCAGGGTTGTCAAACGAGAGAAAGACGTGGCCTTCGTCGGCAGAGAAAGATCTCTCGCTTCTCTCGCTTCTCTTCGATTCGCACATTGTCTCGTTAGTTTGCGCGCGCACACACACACACACAACGAGATGGACGGGTCTCTCAGTCGACGACGAGGAGGCCTAGGACGGCCCCCTCTATACACACACACACAAGAGTCTCCTCGGGTCGGCGTGCTATTTCGCTCCTCCTCGTTCGGTTTTCGAAACGACCCCCCGCGACACACACCACGGCCAACAACGACGACGAATCGCATGACCAGGGGGGGCAACAAGCGGGCAGAGAGAGAGAGAGAGAGAGAGAACACTAATGATGGGGACGATGGGAAAAGCGGAACACGAACACAGAAACGGACAACCGATTATTGATTATGAGGATAATCGCCATTTGTTTTTTATTTGAGAAACGTTCAAGCTTGCATCGATGAAAGTTTTTTGATAATAGAGTGTTTCGACGGAAATTTTTGAGCTGTTCTATAGTGACATTGAAAAATACCCTAGACTCGATTTCCTTCAAACATTAGGATAATTGACATTGCCGTAATGGAAGGTACTTTGGGCCAGATTGAAAACTCTCAACAGAAATACTTGGATGCCCTTGAGAAAAAAACTATGAGGGCAGTGGACATCTTGCAACTTTCTCTATTCTCTAAAGACTAGCATACATCAATTTCCCTAAAAATTTGACCAGTTTACATTGTTTTAATAGAAGGTACTCTCGATCAGATTGAAAAGTTTGACGGGCTGAAAGTCTGAGAAGCCGAATTTTTTCCAAGACAATATTTGAATGAATGACCTTGAAAAAGAATGGTTTGCTTGAGAACACCGAGGGTTAATAGCGATGAGTTGAGTTTAGTTCTATAGCATTCTGGCACCATTTTTCTAGACTATCAACACTATTATACCTCTATTTCCTTTACATTTCGGTTAATTTTTCTTGACGTAATGGAAATCACCAGAGTGAAACTTCTAAATAGACACACTTTTTCTTGAAACAACATTCGGATGAATGACCTTGAGAGAGAAATTTCGACTTGAGGGTGCAGGCACCGAGATGTAATAGCGATGAATTGCGTTTAGTTGTATTGAGATTTTGAAACACTCAAGACAATTCCCCTAAAAATTTGGCTCATTTACACGCACTCTTGGACACTGCGAGAAGCAATATTCGAATGAACGACCTTGAGAACCGCGAAATTTGTAAATGTTCTCTAGTTTTTGGCCAGGAAATGCCGTCTAGCGCACCAGAGGCTTAAAACTGAAAAAGTTCCGTCCAAACTCTGATATCAGCGATTTTCACGAAAAAAAATTAACAAAAACTCACGAAAAGTACAAAACACACACACGCACGCACGCATACACGGGTGGTTTGACGAAAAGGAGTGAGTGACTGAAAAAGGAGACCTTCTTCTGCCTTCTCCTCCATCCATCTATCGCTTTTTCCTTCTTCTTTTTTTTTCGTTTCTCCATTTTTATGTGCTTCCTCCCATCGTCAAGCACATACGCCCCCACAGAACGACGGAACGATGGATGGGTGGATGGATGGATGGAGCGGAGGGCAACAAACAAACGCATTTTATAGCTTTTTGACAAAAAATTGTAGCTTGGGCGGGAATTTCACTTGTCCCAACGGTTTTCTCGCAATTTTTAGCCCTAGAAAGGTCTATGCGATTGCAAGCAACATTTCGGTTTTGTTCAATGTTTGTTCATCATAACAAGCGAGTACTGTAGAATTTAGCGATTCACCAGAGAAACAGTTCTGGAAAGATTTAGAAAAAACGGTCTTTAAAAAATCATGGTGGTACAGTAGGCTATGCTGTCGCAACTTTTGACAACACGTGCTGGTTCAGCATCGCCTACTGTATCATCATGGCTATTTTCAGATATTTTCTAAATCTTTCCTAACAGTACTTGCATAGTTACACCGAATAGAAAATAGTGAAAAATTTCGATTGAAATGAGAAGTAGAAAAGGTGAAACTTTCTTATTCGTAAATCAACTATTCCTCTCAATCTCTCGCTCGTATGCTATATGGCTGCTGGCTGGCTGTTGTCTCTTTCACTTTCACTCGGCCAAAAAGACCGATGATCAGTTGGACGGAAATACACACACATTGATGACGTCATGTCGGGGGGAGTCCCCCCCCTCCGAATCTTCCGACGGACAAGCGGGAGGGCGCGCGTGGGAAAATGTGATGGGCGAAGAACACGAAACACAATAATATGCGATGAGAGAAAAGAGAAATAGAGGTGATGAAGGAATAAACATCGAGTGGAGGGGAGAGAAATAGACGGACGAATGTGAAATGTGAAATGTGAAATGTGAAATTCGCTTTTCCCATTTCACATTTGAGCATCGTCATAGATGAGAGGAATAGGCTGACGAGGCGAATTTCGGAACGGAACTGAATTCTTCTAAAAAATTCTAAAAGAAAAAGCATCACCGAGAACCCCTCGAAAATATAAAAGAAATATGATCGCTAACAAGCTTCGCCGTACAAGTCAGACGTGCCCATTAGCAAGTCAGAAGAGAGGCGCCCAGGTGAATTCGTCTAGAAAATTCCCCAGGGAATTCGTTTCTCTCTAATTGGACAGAGCTTGATAATATTTATCACGCGCTAGAGCTCTGGCATTAGGTATTAGGCGTAGGAAAATGATAAACTTTTCGAGAAGATTAAAGGGCGCGAAAATTAGAGGCTAGAATGTGGTTTCGAAATGCTCCCATACCTATAATCATGCACCAGCCCGCCTATTCATACATATCTCGATATGAATTTCCGTAAATAGACGCGATAATCCTCCTTTGCTCGGTGCGCACGCACAGACACACAGACGTGTATAATCTGGGCGACGGCAAGAAAATGAGCTATTTCGGATATGAGCATGGGAAATTGTAGGAATCCAAATTTAGAAAAGTGTGTGAAATGAGGAGAACAATAAAAAGTGCATTTGACTCGCGGACATTCCGAAACTTTTAATAAATCTCGCTAGTTTTTTCAGGGTGAAAGTGCCGATCGATACGCTGCGTCAGTGGCCGAAGTGGCGGCAGGTGGCGGAGGAGCGAAAAAGGACGGAGCCCCACCGGTAACGCCTGGCGCCCAACCACCAGCACAACAACAACAACAACAACAACAACAACAACAGCATGCTCCCCTCCAACCACCTCCGGTCGGCCACGCAACAGTCCCGCCGAACAGTTTTGCTCCGCCGCCCGGAGCAGGACCGCATCCCGGAATGGGACCGCCGATGGATTGGCGACCGCCCGAGCACATGGCCGGCTACTACCCGTACCCGATGCCGCCACGTCATCATCCCGGATACCCGCCGCCGCCTCCGCACGCGTACGGTTATCCGCCGGCCGGAGCCCCTCCGTACGGATATCCGCCGCCGCCGCCGCCGCACATGATGCGACCGCCCGTCATGCCGCCCGGCGAAATGGTACGCATGCCGCCGGGACCGACGCCCACCGAATGGGCGGCACAACAAGCGGCCGCCGCGCGAGCGCCAGCAGTTCCGGCGCCAACGCCCAAAGACGGTCCGAATGGGAACCAGAATCAGAATCAGAATCCGGCGACGCCTTCCTCGTGCTCTCAACCGATTCCATCGCCCTCGGCCTCGTCGATCGCCGAAGAATCCCTGGACGGAAAACCGCCGGACACGAAAATGCCGCCGCCTCCGCCCGCGCAACAACAGCAAATGATGTCCCCGATGCCGCCGCACACGCCCGGAGCACCCCCGCAACAACAGCCACCGCCACAGGCGAGCGGTACGTTTTTGGAAGGGAACAGAACGAGGAAATATGGGCGGTATTGAACTTTTAGAACTCCAAATATAGTTTTCAAAGCGATAGTAAATTAATCTGCGAAAAATGCTCGCGTTTTGTGCCTTTGAGTTAAACAGCGCCTTTGGACCGTTTAAATGGCTGCTGTACCGATGTTAGAAACGATTTTTAGACCCGTGTCCGTATTGACTCATGTAAAAAATCCATACTTTTAAAATTACCGTAAGTACTGTATTAGAAAGGTATCTTTATTAGAAGAGCACCCGGCAAAGTGAGCTAGAACAGTTTCCAGTCGAAAAGTCCACACGGCCCCGGAAATTATCCCCCAAAAAGATAACGAACCGCCCGTTTCACGCACTACTAGTCAAGCTAATCAGCGCGTGCTCAGAAAAATCAGAGAAATAACGAGCTCCTCTCTCTCTCTCTTGGCACACGATCAAACGCTAAAAACTAGGAAAAAAGTGGAAAAAAGTGATATTTCAGCTGCGGCCACACCAGCGACGCCCGTCGACGCGCCAAAAGTGTCGGGAAAAGTGTTGAGCAAGGCGGAGCTGTTGGAGAAATTGGTGGGACCGGTGAACCATCACAATCCGATCCACGTGATGCACGAACGACGCGTCTTCTTCGAGCGGCTCATCGAGTTTTGCGAACGCAACGGAGATCCAATTACTATGGTCAGTTTTTGCGAAATTCCAAGTAAAAAAAGTGTGAAGAATTGTAGGTTCCACAAGTGTCGAAACAAAGCATCGACCTGCATCGGCTCTACATTGGTGTGCGCGGAAAGGGCGGTTTCCAGGCGGTCACGAAAGAAAAGTACTGGAAGAATCTGTGCACGGAGGCGAATCCGGACCTCGCGGAATCGTCGGCGGCCGGATATCAGCTGCGGAAGCACTATCAGAGACATCTGCTACTGCTCGAGTGCCGCGAAACGGGACGGAATCCCGACGACGAGGTCGCGTTTGCCGACAAAATGAAGCGGCAACGGAAGAGGGAGCCGACGGGCGGTGCGCAAGGAGGAGCAGCCGGAGCGTCGGGAGGAGCACAGGATCCGAAAGCGCCCGGAGCAAGTGGAGGAGCACCGCCAACGGGAGGAGCTCCAGGAGCACCGCCAGGAGCTTATCCAGGTGAGTAGCGATTTTTTAAAAACTGTTTTGATGAAAATTTGAAGAAAATAGCTTCAGAACTGTATTTTCCAGGTTTTAAACGTTGAAACGAGAGAAAATTTGAAGAATACAGCTTCAGGAGCGTTTTTTGGCGGTTTCTACCCATAAAACAAATGAGAATTTGAAAAAATAGCTTCAGAACCGTATTTTTGAAGTCGTTCACGTTGAAACGTTGAAAAGTGTGTGGCCGGGGACATGTACAGTACGCCAGTTAGACTAACAGATGTTCGCGCGCACGCCAAAAAACAACAAAACGCACCTGTTCGTCTCCTTTTTTGCATCGTTTCGACAGATTTGCGGAGTCGGCGTCGTTACTCTGAACACAAACTCATTTGATTTCTGGCTAGTCTACAATATCGGGCCTACCTTTTTTTACGAGCCGAGAGCAAGTCCCGCGCACTCTCGGCTCCGCGGGGCTCTGAGCCGGGGAGGAGAAGCAGCGAGGAGCTGTATATAATAATGAGGTAGGCGCCCCGCCCGACACAGACACACACACATGCACACACACACGGCTCCGCTATACACGTCGTCGTCGTCGTCGTTGACTCCAACCGGGCTCCGAGAGCTCCGAGAGCCGCTGAGGAGGAGACTATCACCTTGCCAGCAACGGCGAAAGACGCTCCGCCCACACTTTTTGGGTCTCGCCGCTTCTATTGTGTCTCTACGGACGAACCTTCTCCTCTTCAATCAGCTCTCTTCTTCATGTGCCTCTTTTTCTCTTTTTCTCTCTAGACGTCTCCGCGGCCGACGGCTCCATTGGCAACCATCATATGCATATGTGCATATCGACTTTTTCTTCCTCTCCTCTCCGCTTTTTCAGCAGCAGCCGGGGCGTTATCAGTTGGCGGCGGCTCTGTGGAGCACAGAGAAACTCTCTCTCTCTCTTTCTCTTTTTGCGCTCCGTTATCAGCAGACCCCCATACACACACACACACACACCTAGCGCCGTCTTCTTCATCTTCTCCTTCTTCTTCTTTTTGTCCAATTTTTCGCCATTCTCCCCTAGACTCCGCCCACTTTTCTTCTTCTTCTTCTTCTTCTTCTTCTTTTCCTCTTTCTCCAACTATGAGAAAGAGACACACTTTGACTGATTGCCTGACCGTTTTTGGGAGAGACGAGAAGAAACTGTTGACAACTATCTCTCCTCCAAATTTCTTTTTTTCTTGTGTAATGTTTACTTTCCATTCTCTCGCTTACTCGCCCTTAGTACTATGGCTGCTGACCATTACGAACGATTACGGTACATGACGCACCCGGTGGAAAGAAAGTTACAATCGTTTTGGTTTTTTTTTGAGGAAGAGAGAGAGAGAGAGAAAGAGAGAGCAATGTAGCAGAAGAAGAAAAAGAAGCGATTTTTGTTTAGATTTGATCCAATTTTTCCGCCCTCTCGCTATTTTTACGATTTGAAGAGGAAAGCAACAGCTACAGGCGAATTTTGCAATTCTTGGCGCAGTGCCAATAGGGAATCTAGATGAAACCACGGATTTTTGAGCTTTCTAGGCTTTGTTTTATCTACATATAATAGGCTGGCCCCGGCCTGAAATTTTGACCATTTAGACTAATCTGGTCCCGAAATATGTGGATGTGAGGCCGAAAATATTGGTCTTTCCGGCCTCTGATCCATATATTTTGAGACCAGATTGGTCTGAGACTCGGACCCAGTGTACTTCAATCCAAGTCCAATAAGCCTGCAAAGCTTGGGCCCGATCGGACTATTGCGAGTGGTCCAAAAGTCTAGGCTCTCAATTCTTGGCACAATGCCAATAGTGCGCTTTCTAGACAAAATTCAAACTCGGCGGCCAATTATCCCAAATTTGCTCTTTCTAAGCCCTATCTCTTTTAGCTCGAATCCCTCCACGTGTGCTCCATCGAAAGAGAGCCCAGGTGGGGGGGGAAGCCTAATCCGCTTATTATCTCCGCTCTTATTTCCTCCGTTTCCAATTCAATTTCCACATTGGACCACCCCGAGACTTACCTAGAGTATTATTATTATTATTATTGTTGTTATTATTATTCTTATACTTTTGGCAGTTCGCATTTGGATGATGAATAGACAGATACGCACACCTTAGCCGGGTCGGTGATAATAGGAAAAAGAGAAGCGAGAAGCGAGAAGAAGAAGAAGAGAGATATGATGAAAAGGAGACGGAAAAGGGACAAATATCCCATGATCATGACGTGGTTCTTCCCTCTCTCTCTCTCTCCTTCTTTCCATTTTCCGTGTCTCGGTACACATACACACACACTCACAGACAGAGAATTTTGGAGGCCACGCCCCCCTTTTGACACTTTTTGGCGGTTCCTTTCTCCCTCTTTTTTTTTGAAGGCTTTTGGCGGCGTGGTGACCTCAGACTCGCAACAAAAATTGCGTAGATCACGCCGCCCATTGCAAACGAAAAACGCATTTTTTTGACCTCGCCCCGCCCCGCCGAACACTTGTGGTGGAAAAATCGCAATTTCCGTCAACTTTTTTGTGAGTTTTTCAGCGATTTTACTAGTTTTTCGCGGTTCAATTTGAGAAAATTCAATGCTTCTCGAAAAACCCAAAAAATAGCGGAAATTTCGCCGATTCTTTTCAAAAATGTCTTAAATGTCAAAAACACCGAATTTAGACGAATTTTTGAGAGAAAAATTGTACACAAGCAGTTTTTAGCTGATTTTGTAAACATTTGTAATAGAAATTCGTCTGAAATCGGTTTTTTTCGTTAGAAAAATGACCCAGCTGAGAGATGTTCGCTCCGTGCGAGATCCGTCGAGGAAAAAATTCCTGTTACAAATCTTCTCTTCTAAACTTAAAAAAAAGTTCCTTAATTCGCCTCTTTTCAAGCTGAAAATTACTAAATACCATACCGAGTACATTTTTCCAGGAACAAAAGGTTACTCAATGGATTCTAGTGATTTCTACGTCATTTTTTGTGTAATTTGTCGCTTTCTAGGCTCAGCAAAAACTGTATTTCCGCTCTCTTTTCCTCCGTTCTCTCCGATTTTCCGACTCGTTTTTTTTTCTTCCGTTCGAATTCACAGTTCGTCTGTAGGGTTGGTGCCGTTCCGCTGCTCAAAGTGTCGACAAAAGGTGGCAAACGGCAAGCGGGTGGCGGCTCGTCGTCGTCGGGCGGCTCCTCAAAAGCCGCGGTGCCGGCCACTTCATCGCTGCCGGCCCATATACAGGCGCAGCTGGAGCGCGTGCCGACGCCCACGCAAATGCACCAGCACCCGGATCTGATGGCGGCGCCGCGGGTGAACGCGTCGGCCACGTGGTTTCCGCCGCCGCTTCCGCCCGGACAGTATCCATCTTCTTCGCATTATCTGCAAGTGCCCGGCAGTTCGGGAGCCGGCGGCACGTCTCCGGGAGCACCGCCCACGCAGCAGCAACAACAACAACAACAACAGCAGAGAAGTCCGTCCGGGTTCCCGCCCGGGTACGGATATCCGCCTCTGCCAATGAGCCGAAATGAAATGTTCTATCGGCGAGGCGCCTATTGGCCTTCTTATCCGCCAGGTAGACACGGTTTTGAAGCTGTTTTTTTTTCAAAAAGAATTAAAAAAGTGACACTGCAGCGGAATAGAACTCTATCGGCAACGGTTTCAATCGGAAAACGCCAAGAAAATTGAGTTCTATTACGTTGTAGCGCACCCACAACCAAAATCTTCAAATCCATCATCAAAAGAAAAAATTAATGTAACTATTTTCAGGAGTGCCCGGAAACGGTCAAGGACCACCAGGAGCACCGCCCGGCGGACCGCCACCACCACAATTCGCGATGGATCCCAACTATCACTACTATCAACAGCACGGAATGATGCCGCCGCCACACGCGTACCCTCCGCCGCCGCACATGAACGCATTCTCGCCGGGCGCCCAGTATCCGGGACACCAGAGGATGGCACCGCCGCCGCCTGGACAACCCGGAGCACCTCCAGGAGCACCTCGACCGCCGATGCCACAGCACATGCAGCAGCAGGAGCTCGACGAGCAGCAGCGGCAGTGGTACGCACAGCAGCACGCACATCACGCGCAACAGGCGGCTGCGGCTGCGGCGGCCCATGCTCACGCGCAGGCTCAGGCCGTCCATCAAGCCCAACAGGCGCAGGCCGCTCCGGCGACACCGGCTTCTCAACCGCCTGCAGCTCAGGCACCGACTTCTGGGGCCAATACGCAACCGGCCACGCCGTCAGCTTCCAATCAACCGCCGACGCCTGCTCCGCAAGATTCGGCTGCTCCAAGTGCTCCGCCGACAGCACCAACAGTGGCTCCTGGAGCTGGTGCTCAAAGTCAATCTGGAAGTAGAGCTCCGAGTGCCGGACCGGCTGCCACTCCGGACAGTAGCAGTCGACTCAGCGGAGGTGCCGACGCACCGTCTTCGGATGCTCCGACGCCTTCTGGAGAAGCGTCTGATGCTCCGGCCCCGTCGACGTCGGCTCCGCCACAACCACCTGCAGCCGCTCCGCCAGCTCCGCACCAAATCCCACCGCAAGGAATGGCTCCGCCGCCCGGATACCCCGGATACCCGGGATACCCGCCGCCGGGAGCGATGCGGCCGCCCGCAGGATTCGCGCCACCGCCCGGAGCACCCTACGGATACCCGGCCGGAGCACCGGCCCCACCCGGATACCATCCGAGTCATCCGAGTCATCCGAGTCATCCGAGCCATCCACACCACGCGCAGTTCTTGGCGTGGCAGCAACAGAGGCACTATCAGGCGCAACAGCAACAACAACAACAACAACAACAGCCGGGAGCACCGCCAGGAGCACCACGGCCTCCGTATCCGGGAGCATATCCGGGACAACCGGGACCCGGGGGACCGGGAGCACCGCCCGGAGTCAGAATCCCTCAAGGACCACCGCCGCCGCAAGGAGCACCGTCGCCCGGAGCCGGAGGAGCACAGAAACCGCAGAGATATGGAACGCGTGAGTTCTTTTCTGAAAAAAAAAACGCATCCCTTCTAACCGGTTCCCAGTTTCAGCAGCGCCACCAACACGTGCCGGAGGAGCGCCAACCCCGCAACCGCTCGCCGCCTCACTTCCAGTTCCACCGCAACCGCCCACGCAATCATCGCAACCGACTCCCGTCGCCGGCGGATACCTCGCAAGCACTCTGGCTTCGACCCCCTCGGCGCCGCCCCCGCAACAACAACAGTCTCAGACGGCTCAGTTGCTCGGAGCACCGCCCGCCGGAGCCCATCAATATCCGCCCGGAACTGTGGAAGCGCTGGCCGCTCAGGCTCAGGCGCACCTCAAAAAACGGAAAGTGTACGCGAGGGAGCTGATCAACGCGACGCCGCGCCGACTAATTATGGCTCTGAGGAGCGGACTCGACGCGGAAGCCATCTGGGCCATCAACGCGCTCAACGTTTTGCTCTACGACGACTCGAACCCGCAGCCCTCGCTTCAGCAAATGCCCGGATTGGTGAATGTGATTGTGGAGCACCTCTACGCCACCCTCTCCATTCTTTTCCCGACGGAATTCGAGCTCCGGGAGCCGGGAAAACCGATTATTCCGGTCGTGGAAGAGTTTTTGGACAAATGGCTGGTGAAGGAGGAGAAATCGCCGGTGGAGAAGATGCCGGTGGTGCCGAGGAAGGGAAGCGACAAGACCGCCACGTTTACCATGGTTCGTTTTGTGATAATTCCCGAAAAATTCAAATTCGCAAATTGAAAAAACCTGTCTAAAAGCTATTTTTCTATTAGCGACGCAATTTTTGTTCCACAATGTTCCATTTGCAGATGTCTCGGAACGGACTGCAAGTGCACTTCCGCGAAGAGACCATTCCGGCGGCTCTCCGCAAACGGATCAACCGGGAACACTCGGAAAAGCAGGCGGCCGAGCTCGCCGACCAATCGCTGAGTGTGGCGTACGTCGGCGAACGGAATACAATCGGATTGGGTGGAGGACTCGCCGAACGGATTGCCACGCGGCTGCGGGACAAGCTGGAACACGAGAAAACTCGGCCACGGCCTGTGTTCTCGAAATATTCGAATGATGACGATGATGCGAACGAGGATGAGGAGGAGAAAGTATTCGAGGAAAAAGTGATAAAACAGGAGGAAGGCGAGGAGGAAAAAGAACTGCTTTTGATGCGCGGAGCCCGGCCCGAAGAGCTCTCGGACTGCAAGCACGAGGTGGAATTGGCGTGGCCCCGACCGACGGCACTCTCTCCAAAGTCTCAGGCGATGGAGGAGTTGGCGCAACGAGCACTCGCACTTTCAAACATTCTCCGAGGATTCTCGTTCGTACCCGGATCCGACGTGTTGATGGCCAGAAATGAGGCATTGCTCTACATTCTCGGACGGTTTTTAAGGTATTTTTCCCTATTTCTTATTCTTCTCTCATCCTATTGCCTTTAGATTGAACGTCACGGAACGGAAGATCAGTTCGAAGCGGCCTGGAGTGATTCTCGACGCGGAGGAGCTCAAAAAAGAGCCGAAAGAGATGAGCACGGAGGAGAAAAAGGCAAAAGAGCGGTCGGTGCTGGACGAGATGGACGCGACGAGCTCGCAGGAGGCAGAGACGGCCAATCAGCTGCGCGACGACGCATTCGTGATGCTGACGCACATGAGCGTCTCGCTGAATCTGTTCGAACTGCCCGACACAATCGCCTATCCGATCTACGACGGACTCCTGCGATGGGCGGTCTCTCGCGTGCCTGAAGCCACCGATTCGAATCATCCGGTCCCGGTTTCACCGAGGTTTGTGAATGTTGTAAAAAGTTTAGGTTAAAAATGTGGACGATTTGCAGGGACTACTCGCTGGAAATAATGTGCAAAATGGTGGTGATCGAGCGCAACGTCGACATGTTCCTTTCGACCGGATGTTGGGCCCGCGTCGAGCAGTTTGTGCACATTCTCTCCCGGCTACTCACGATGAACGAGGAGACGCACTATCGGTGAGCGATTTTTAAAAATGTTTGTGGGAAAAATCTAGAAAATTGTCTGCAAAATCTTCGGCTCGGTCCCAGAAGCATGCAAGTCTGAAAATAAGAATTTACTGTCCTTTATAAAATAAAACTTTAATTGTGTTTCGCTGCAGAGAATTTGCGATCGTCATCCTGAATGCGCTGTGCCTGGCGTCGGAAGCGGTGTGCTACATTTGCGCAATGGAGACGTCCGCCATCTCGCACCTGATTCTCTTCATCGACTCGGCCGATCAGAACATGCACCAAGTGATGCAGGCGCACGGAATGAACGCCCTCCGCGACAATCCCGAACTGATGGGCACGTCGGTCGGAATGCTGCGGAGAGCCGCCTCGATGCTCAGACTGCTCGTCAAAGTACCGAAAGCGTATCGGGTTTTTATGAAACATCAGACACGTCTCTTGCAGTTCACTATGAGCCAATTGGTAGGCGTTTTAGTGTTTTTTTTTCACTTTTTTATAAGATCATTTTGCAGATGGACTCGCGAGTGGCTGGAATGGTGGCCGACACGTTGTTCGAAATTCAGGAATATGTGAAAGAGTTTGGAGAGGAAATACCCGAACCGCTGAAAATCACGTATTCTGAAGGTAAACCATTATCTTTATTCGGAATTTTCTAACGTTTTTCGAAGCCGTTTCCAGGATATCAACCCGATGCGACGGAAGATCAGAAGACGCCCGAAACGGCAGAAACAGAAGTGGCGACGACGTCGGAAGAGAAGGAGAATCGGCAGAAAGAGGAGGAGACGGTGAAGGAGAAGGAAGAAGAAGAGGGAGAAGGAGAAACGACGGTGGCGGTGGAGGCGGAGAAGACGAACGGAGGACCGTCCACTTCTGAATGCGTCCTCGAAAATGGACAGAAAGAGGTGGAGAATGGAGGCGGAGAGGAGGACGAATCGACGAGTAAAAAGGACGAGGAGAGTTGTGATGGGTACGAGTCGACGAGTGAATCCATCAAAATGGCACAGAAGAGGAGTGCACAGGCCGCCGCGCTCATCGATGAGGTTCGTGCAGAAAATCGGTCGATAAAAATAGACAATGACAATTTAGGCGCTGCTCTGTGCTTTTAATTTCGATTTTGAAACGCATTAATTGTTGAATTTTCAGCAATCCCAATCGCCGCCACCTTCGAAACGGACGTGTCTAACGAACGGATTCGACAAATCCAACAAATCGGTGACGACGAACGGATCGCTCGGCGATGCGGCTCAAAACGATGGAGCACTCACGACAGCCGTGGCCTAACACTGTCTTCTCTTCCATTTCCTCTTCAGTTTCGTTTTCCCCCCTCCAAAACCAACGTTCTCTTCCTCTTTCCGATCTACAATAGCCACATTTTTGCGATCTTTCCCATTCCCCCTCCAATCCTCATCAACCAACATCATCATCATCATATATATTTTTATCTCAAATTTGTTCTTTTCTGTGTGATAATGCGGGTCAGCTCTTGTTTTCAGTGAAATGCGTGTACTATATATCATTTTCCCCCCTCCCGAATCCAAAAAAAAATCAACGAAAAATAATTTTTTGCCGAAGAATTCACTTTTCTATTAAATTATCACGATGATTGCCGCCTTCTACCCCCCACATTTTTTGTCTGTTCCATTATTTGTCCCCTTAACTAATTTATTGTTGTCTCCCATCCATCTCAAAACGTTCTCCTCCAGTGATATTTGTCGCCGAAAATTTTTTAGGCCCGTCCATGCAAAATGCTCCCCCCAAACCCCCGAAAACCCTCAAATGTCTCAAAACGAAAAAATCATGAAATGTTCGGTTATTTTCAAATTTTAGCCCTTTCTGTCACGCGCACTCTCCCCCCACACAATCCCTTATTTGATTATGATTTGAATTTTTTTTTTGCCTATCATCACGATATACACAATACAATCTGTCTGTTTTTCTGGCCGCTCTTAAAAAGGAGAATGAATGAACATTCTGTAAATTAATGTGGATCTTTTATAACGTGTTCAACACGAAGAACGAGGCCGTGCCGAAACGGGGGATTTTTAGGAAAGTGTCGTCAAATGCGATGCACTGCGGACTGCACAATGTTTTGATCTACAGTAACCCCATCTTGTGTTCTCGGCGGGAAATGCTCAATTCCAGCCGTTTTGGCTCGAAATTCAGACGAAAATCAGTCATTTTTCCGTGTCGTTCAGTCGTTCTGTCTTTCCACAACATTTGTTATGAAATGAATTTCAAAAAATTTCTCAAAACAGAATGTTACTGTTTCAAAAACTTGTCTTCATTATTTGGCTTCATTTTTTTTTTTGCTTTTTCAATATACTCGCTGCTCGTACTCGGAAAAATAAATTGTACAAACTTTTAAAGCAAAACCAAGCTAATTTCATTAATTGTTTTCCCTGCAGTCAAATTCGAGATTCGTGATGCAGCAGCGTAAAATCAAGAGAAAAGAGCTGGAGAGACGGACGAACACGAAATGTTTCACGATCGGACTCCAACAGGCGACGAAGAGCTCACAGTGCTGGCGAAAGATTTATTTGGTAAAGCAATAAAGCTGGGCAAGTTTCCGCCTAGGCTCTTCGAATGCTTTTTGAGGCCTGGACGTTTGACCCACTTGCAATTATCTGATCGGATTCAATCTTTGCAGAATTCTTGGACATGAATTTAAGTATTTTGGCTCCAAATTTCAGACTGGTCGGATCATCTGGCACCGAGATATACTGATTTGAAGCCGAAAATACCGCAGTTTTGCAATAACCCGGCCTTTTCGGCCTCCGATCTACATATCTCGGGACTGGATAATCGGATCGGTCTCAAACTGGGACCCAATATACTTCAATCCAAGTCCAAGAAATTTGCAAAGTTTGAGCTCGATCGGAAAAGTCCAGCCTACGGCAGGTCTTCAGAAAGCCGGGGCCGGCCTTTTGCCCATCCCTGAAAAAAAGTAAAATTATTTCATTGCAATTATCATTAAATTTCAAGGCGGACAAAACGAAATTCGTGTTCCAAAACGAAACGCGACAACTGATCGGGAATCGGAGCGCGATGGCGGTGGTGTCGGAAATTTCGAAAGTGATTTATCGCGCGTGCATTCAAAACCTCGCCTGGGTTCGGTAAGTTTTGACCCAATTTTCAGAGAAAAATCTGGAAAAAGCACAGCTGTTCGTGCTCAATTTTTCCATTTCATCTAAAAAATTTTCAGCAACCAAATGCAAGCGCAACACTCTGGATTCCTGGATACTCATCAAATTTTGCTAGTTTTCCACGAATTTGCGGCGAACATTTTGAACGGAAAACTGTGGAACAAGCACGAATTCGAGTTCTATCATCCCACAATGGTCAGTTTTTTTCAAAATGTTCGAAAACAATTATTGTCTTACAGATGGAGCCGCTCATTTGGGCCTTCGAGGCGATGACGAAAATTTCGGTGCCGTACACGTCGATCCGGGCGGTCCGAAGTACTGAATTTCATTTTAGTTTTTGCAGAAATTTTCCGTATTATCTATTATTCTGGAAATCTCCCCAGGCCTGGGCAATTGGCCGGCTCAAAATTCTAGGGGAGAAAAACCAATATTTTTCAGTTTTGTCCCTGAAATTCCGTCAGTTCTTCCGCTCGCTGGGCGTAAAACTGACGCCGCTGGCGATTTTCGGCCTCGTGACCCAACTGATCTGCTTCATTTCGACCATTTGTCTGGACATGATCAGTCAGTATCTGCAGATTCATATTGACGGGATGAACGTGGTGATTATTGGGTATCGCGACGATTTTTACAAGTACTGGAACGATTGGGACTATTTGGAAGTGCCCAAAAGTTGGTTTTTTGTGAACATCAAGAAAAATTGCAATTTCTCTTCAGGCTACTATGAATTTTGTCGTCTGAACGGACTCACCTCGTTCCGAGAGACTGGATTCATTCGGGATCCGTACAAGTCGACCGTCTGGCATCAGGTACCAAGATAATCATTTTTTGAAGTCTAGAAAATTGACTTTCAGATTCTTTACTCTGAATACTTTCATCTGATGAGCCACGTGTTCGATTTCACGCTGATCAAAAAAATTCCGCATCCGACGGTGCTCCTTCTCCAGTCGTTCCTTGTCCGATTACAAATTCGAATGAGAAATTATGTGGTGGAGGATCGGCTGAAGTTTGCCGCTTCCTCAAATTTGTTATCAATCCCGTAAAATTTAGAAAGCTGTGCGATACGATTTTCAACGTTTCCGAAAGAACGGAGCCGCCCTTTTACAAGGAATCGATCCGGAAGGAGGACGCGCAGCAGAGAATGGCCGAACTCGTCGGAACGGTGCTCGGCGAGCTGCTCGTCGACGACGAAATGGGCATTTCGCTGTTTTGCGAGGCATGGGTACGGATGGAAGATTCGCTGCCTTTGACAAATATAGGCGCTGTTTTTAATAATTTAGTCGCTGATTTCGAGGCTACAACGTAATAGAACTCGCACAGAAAAGGACTGTTACGATATAGAACTCGCTGTTGTTTTTTAACGTTTTTTAACGGCGGGGTTATTCAGGCTGTGCAAAAAATTATTTTTTCCGTTTTTTTTTCCTTTTTTTACGTCAAAAAATCCAATTCAGCGATGTAAAAAAACGGGAAAAAAAAACGGAAAAAAAGCCTACTGATTTCCACATTTTGGTCGCTGCTAACTCTAATTCTATTTTTGAAGAACATCCGAGCAGCCACTAGCAATTGTGGATTTTTGCAAAATTGTTTTTTGTTTAGAAAACGTACACATTGACAATGTGCAAAAAGACGGACGTGCTGATCGAATTCAAAAAGTTTGGAAAAATCGCCAAAGAAAGTTGGTTGTTTTTTCTTCTATGAAACTATTGCATACTCTCTTTTCAGTCAACGACGAAACGTACCGAACGCTGGTCGGTTTGGAGATGAACTCGGACCAGAACAAGTGCGTTTTCCTGTTCATGTTCGCCCAGCTGCTCCGATTTGTGCTCCGATTCGCGATGCACACTGTCAGGTTGGCGTTCTTCTTTGTTCATTTGAAAAACATCGAGAAAAAATTGCAGAATGGCTCTGCGAGTGACGGTCGAGGATAGACGAATTTCTCATTTGCGGTACACTGGCCGAATAGAAATCGGACCGCGCGATTTCGGAAAAATGGACGAAAGAGCGCTGGCGATGGCTCAGGTTCCGCCCAAACAAAGTATTATCTTTTTCCTATTATGCTTCGTTAAAATTCAATTTTTTCAGCGCACTACTACTTCCAAAGTCCCGAATATTGACTCAAAACGACTGAATAACCTCTGTATTTTTTGTACATATCTTGTATTTATTTGCTCATTTCGTGTATGTTCCAACCGGTACTAACTCTATAACTGACGCCCGGTTTATAGTCAATATGTATGTCAATTTTTATTTTAAACGTTGATTAATATTCCACGATTCTCTCTCAAAAACTGGCAATTTTGGCAACAAATTTATTCAAAAGCATCCATGTGGGGGGAAAAATGTTCGTGTGCGGGGCTCTAACCGCTTGTGCTCGAGCTCGTCGTGCTCTTTGCCGATGCGCTTCTCGCCGTTTTCGTGTCGGATTTTTTTCGGCGCGCCGCCGGATTCTCGTCTCCGCCCACCGTGGGCTCGTCTTGCGAAGCGGGCACCGGCTGTTTTCCTTGGAAAGGTTTCGTGTTTCTCATGATGGAAATGCTCACTTTTCCCGACTTTTCCACCTTTAGATATGAGCCCTTGTTCTGGAAAAAACATTTATTTTTCGTTGTGAAGCAATTTCTCTTACATCCACTTCATTCTGATAGCGAGGCGCCGAGAAAATGGTGAGGAGATGGCGGTCGGCGTAGAATTTGAAGCCTTCCGGAATCATCTGAAAATGTTTCACTGTTGCAAATATTGCTAAAAACCTTTCGAACAACACTGCAGAGTTGTATCGATTACAGTTTGTCAAAACAAAAAATTCAGCAAACCTGATGCGCCCGAACAATCAGATCAATTTTGAGCCGATTACACACGTCGAGAACGGCGGCGTCGTTGAAAGTGCACGAGAGGCCACGCACCGCATTTTTGCCGAATATTGGCTCACTGCAATTTTTTGCATTGTCTACGTTGTAAAATTGCGAAAAATACGAATTTAGGCGCTGTATTTGCATTCAAAACAATATATCTCGGCTGCCGGTTGAGGTATTAAAAAAGTGCCAACTGAAAAAATGTAGGCAATGTTTCAAGGAACAGTTTTACAGTTGACATCGTTCTGATATCTCTATAGGCTGTGGAGATATAGCGTTTTGAATGCATGCGATTTTGAAATCGGACAAATCAGCACCTAAATTTGCATTTGCAGCCGCTTTTCGTCACTGCATTTGATAATTTAGACGCTGCGTTTGATATTTTTAATTTTACAACGTAAAAAATGGATACAGTACCTTCCGATCATCGGCATTGTGCCCCCTTCCAACGGATCCGACCACAACAAATCCTGCGCCAATCGACACGTGGCCACTTGCGTGATCGGGCGTTTCAGCTGAAAAATCACTTTTTTTTTAGAATGCGAGGGAATCAAAAGTGGAAATGTGTAATTTTTTCAAATTGCGAACCTTGCGAATGTCATCCAACGACTTGAGATCCGGCCCGATGCCTCCGTGCATGCACAAAATTTTATTTCCGACGAGACAGGCCAAAGGCATCCACGAGAACACCTCGTTGAACTTTTCCCACACTTCCGGTCCGTCCAAATCTCCGAATCGATTCGACAACTCCTCCTTAAAGAATTGAAAACAATTAAATGCTCTTTTCCATATTTATCGCGTATTTCTTTCAAATTTCTTTTTTTTTCTGTTCATCCAAAAAGTGATTAACTTCGTTTGACAATTCACAAGAATTGTTTATTAAACCGAAATTTTGGTTTGAATCAGGCTAAAATTCACCCTGAATCCGTAGGCAAAGTTGATGGCCCTGGTCTCGTGATTTCCACGCAGCAAAGTGTATTGTGTCGGATAGGCAACCTGAACTTTATTTTAGAAAACACTTTCTCTATTCGATTTTCATTAGCACCAAAAGAAAAAAGTGTCCAAAAATCTCATGGTTTGTTTGGAACCGAAAATATTCGAAAAGCTCATTGTATAATTTTTTCCACTAACAAAGACATTTTTTCGGGATTTTTAAGAAAGTATAGAACCGTCACTGGCACAGCGGACAACTAGAAGCAGACTGAGCACTTATTGCCAAGCTTAGCGTCCTGGAAGCAGATTCCAGAACGCGAAATTCCACAATCGCCCCCACCGTTTTTGCCGGCCAGAACACGGTCTCCCACGGCGCGAATGATTTCAATGGGGCGCACTTGCAACAGGCGGGTTGCGTCGATTTACGCGGAGGCCGATTAATGTATTTTCAACGGGAGTACGCGTTCTTTCCATCTTTTCTATACAATACACCTATTTTTTCGTACGCCTCACTGAGTCACAGCGTGGACATGAGACCAAAGGAGACTGCTGGCGCATCTTGCACTCACTTGGCGCACTATTGGATTTTTTGGTTTCGCAATTAAAATCTTTTTCTCGTTTTTATCTTTTAAAACATGTCGAAACGCAATTTTTCGTTAAATATTTGTTGCAAAAAACTCAAATTTAAATTTTTAGGACTCGTTGCGACAATTTCTGCAGTTGGAAAGGCGCGAAGCTGGTGGAAATTGCCGAGCGGCACGGAGTAGCGGTTAGAATAAAAAAGAACAGTTATTTTCTTCGCCGATAAATAATTTCAGGTTTTCCCCATCATTTTATCGGATTGCGGCGGACACGCGAATCGAAAAAACCACTAATCAACTGAAAACCAGGAATCTCCAGCGAACCTAGATTCGAATAATTAGAGCACTAGCTACGTTTTGGTAACAGAAATCTCGAATATCGTTGAGAATTAGCCGAGTTTTTCGATTTGAAGGTTTTAGCCTGGATTTTGATGTTTTTCGAATGGTTTTCGTAAACTGCTCAAGAAAACTAACCGCCGGAACCTGAATTTTGTGAAGAAAGATTCAGCGAACATTTTTATCGTTCGTTGGGCTCATGAAATGCAAAATGAGCTGAAATATAAAGGTTTGAAGTTTTGACGAAATGCGAAAAAGACGCTAAAAACATGAAAAACTCTAAATTCTGTAAAGAACGGTTTCCAATCAGTAAAATATTGTTTTCTAGACGTTTTTCAAGTCAAAAAGAAAGAAGTAAAGGTCGTAAACTCGAATTGAACTACATTTTTAGACCTGCAAATTTTCAAAAGTTACAACGACACTCCGCACTTTACGAGCGCACTGTGTTTAGCATTTGCGCCCTGGGAGACCGTGCAGAAAAGGAGTTTGTTTCGCAAATTTGCAAACCTTCAATCCGAACATGAGACAGATGCATTCCAACGAATGAGAGCCACGATCGACGTAGTCGCCCAGGAAAACCCATCTGAATCACTTTTTTGTTTCTGAACTATATCACTTTTTCGTCGAAATTTTATCGGATTGTCATTCAGAATTGACAAAATTAGCAACGCGTGAGTTGTTCCATAGAAAAATGTACCGCACATCGTTCTGTACATCTTTTTCTTCGAAACTAACTGATTCTGCGCGAATCCGCGTAGTTTCTTGTTGCCCTTCGAGTTGAGCAGACGCACGAGGTCGCAGTATTGTCCGTGGATGTCGCCGACAATCGTGCAGGGGGGCATCGACGTGGCGAGAATCGGTTCCGTCTTGAATATTTCCATCGCCATATCGATCACTTGAATTACTTCTCCTTTTGTGTATGGTTGCTGTCAATATTATCGCGTTTTTCAGTGTCATATTCAAGATATATTCAAAAAGTCATATTCAGCAATGTGATAAGAGGTTTTCTGAAATTCGCACCTCCCTGTAGTTTAACCAATTTTTGACAGAAAGATGTCTTTTCAGAAACTCTATTATGTCGATTTTCGTCTCGTCGCCCATTTTCGTATCTCTTGCAGTTTAGGGGCTGAAGTTTTGAACTTTCCTTCTTAAATAACGCCAACGAAAACTCACTTATTCTGCACAAAAATTTTCAAAATAAAGCGAACAGTTTGATAGTTCGCAAAAAATGTTCGAAAGAGCTAGAGCACGCGAAAAAATTTCGAAAAACCCCATAAGACAGGTTTAGTATATAAATTCAAAGTTCGCGGTGAAATTTAACAGAGAAAGTGGAGCGAAGAAACGATTTTGAAGACCAGGAAGTAGGGAAAAAGGACAAATATAATCTAACAATAACAATAAAAAAGAGAGGTCAGGAAAATTTGAAAAGTGAGTGTCTGAGAATGAAAAAAGGGAAAAAAGGTGGGCGTGGCCTATTCGTACAAATAATCGTTGCCTTCGGCGTCCCAGTCGAGAGCCAACTGTTCCAGACAACGCAGAGCTGCCTCTTGGATTTCATCGTCCTAAAATACATGTTTCCTTTTAAATTGTCAAATTCAAAGCGTACCTGACATCCAAGGCATTTTTTTGGATTGTGCTCCTCTCTTTTCACTGCCGATTTGAGCGATTCCGATGGTATTTTTGGGATGAACGTCGTGTAGGTGGTCACTGAAATTGTTTCCTAATTAGAACAAACTTGACACTATTTTTGGAGCACAAAAAATACGAGAAAAACAAGAGCCGGCCAATTGCTCAGCCCTGAGAAAAACTGATGAAAAAACATGTAAAGTTTTAACAACCTTTCTGTAATGCCTCCAATCGCTTCATTGTCTCCTGCATGTTACACGATATTCTGCAAAGAGAAATTGCGTTTCAGAAATTGTATTCTTCGTTCCTTTCACCAAGATATATTTAAAGAAAAACGTACTTTGACAGTTTCTCTTCTGCTTTGGCCAGCATTTCACTATCCGTAACATTTTCGGTCGCTATCTGAAATTTTGTAAAATGATAGCCAGCACAATAGAATTTTTTTTCAACTAAGTACAATTTTCGTTGTAAAAGGGTTGTATTAGCATGAATACACACGCAAAGATTAAAGTCACTAAAAGCATCACTAAAATTCATTAAAACCACTAAAATAATCACTAAAATCCTATTTTGCTCTCAAACACCGCTCACCTTCTGCTCCTGAATGCCGAACTGTTTCATGCGGTGATCTCTGAATATTCCAGTGATTCCCTCGAGAATCTGCTCCATCATCGCCTCCGTTTCCGATTCGTTCAGCATTTCGTCATCCTCCTCTTCTTCTTCCGATTCTTCTTCACTTTCGTATTCTTCTTCCTCTTCCTCCGTTTCAGCCACAATTTCCGCTTCTTTCTCTACCGGACGGCGCGGAGTGTATCTCACGCTCACAATCGAACTCTCTTCCGATGAAATCACGTCGTCCGTGTCCGTTTGGGCATCCTGAATCTTTGAGGGGAGCGTTGTACAAGTTTACTTTTATTGGCAATTTTTTGCAGTTTCAAGTTCAAAATAATAGTTATTCAACTGTAAAGTATGCGCTGGTTTTTTTAATCTCTATTCAAGGTAAGAACCTTGAAACTTTCGAATCCAAAACGACAAAATCGATATAATGTTCAAATTGCCAAGTTGAAGTGTCAAAACGAACCTTCATGGGAGTGCTCGTTTTGGCGGAAACGATCGGAAAGGCGGGCGACTGTTTCAACATCTTCTCCTCGTATTTCCGGCTCGATTCGAGCAGTGCCTTTTCGAGTTCGTCCTCCGATTCATCCTCAACTTCCTCTTCCTCTTTTTTCGACTGATCATTCACGACGCTCACATTTTGCAGACCTGGAACTGTGAAAAAGGCTTGAAACGTTCAAATTTTGTTAGATTGTTCTAAAAATATTTTAAACATTTCCAAAACTCGTCCGTACGTTCGAAAGTGAGCATTGGCACCCTCTGCACTCCGGGCGACTTCGGTCCCTTGCGCGTCGGCGTCAAAATGAGCGATTGAGTTGAGAAGTGAGAAGAATTGGCGGCGGATTCGTCGCGAATCAGTTGCGAAATGGCCGACGGACACATCGATTGACGGTTGTGTTTCAGGGGGGAGAAGAATTGCGAATTGTCGGCCGACGAGCACAGGTTGTCCGATCGGAAGCTGTGGAACGTCGTGTTGTCCGAGTCTCCGCCCACTTCCAGCTCGCCGTCCTCCTCGTCCGAGTCTTCGTCCGCATTCTGGACCGAATGGTAGCCTTCTCTTCAAATTTTGAAACTTTGACAGAAAAACTGTTTATTTTTCACGTACAAACTGTTGATGACGACGCCTATGTGTCCGGCCTCGGTGGTGTCCACAAATTCATAGTCGAACTGCAGCGGGAACAACGTCTTCAAATCTCTTCTCGAGCCAGAAGACGTCGATTTCACGAACGAGGACGGATCGGTCGAGTAGAACGGTCTGCAAGCATTGTATTAAAAGGTAGTTTTGTGAACGTTTTTGCATCATTCAATCAACGGAAAAAATTATCGCAGAGTTATGGAAAAATTGTTGGAGCACGAACAAGGGAAAGACGAACCCGTAGGCGAGAAGATTGTTCATTTTGGTGCGGTACTTCTCGGTGAGCACCTTGATCGCCTCGGAGACGTGTTTATCGTGCGCCGCCGACGGTTGAAGACAGCATTTCCAGGCCTCGAAGAGTACGCGCACGTCTTCCGATCCGTCCGAAGTGAGCCGGACCGAGTCGAGCAGTTGGGCGGTGCGTAGGCGGGATAAAGCTGTCGGGGCACGACTGCAAAGACTTCCGCAACGGTCATTTTGCTCAAAAATGTTTTTTTTCCCGAAAACCAACCCGGCACTAGCGTCGACAACGGCTCTCCAGCAGTCCTTCTGATGTTTCGTCAGCGATAAATGCGCAGAAACGGTCGGAGCACTTTTGAACGTTATTCCGGAGTCTGTGGTCGTGGCGGCGACCACAGAAAGCGACACCACGTACAACTGAAATTCAGCGGATGTTTTCCTCGTTTTTACATCGATGAATCAGTGTTTTGAACTCGAAAAACATTTAAAAGACATCTTCTTTTTTACCTTCACATCCAGCAAAGAACACGGACTTTTCACAATGTCCTGTGCGCTCGGCGTGTCGGACAACGTCGGAAATAGCGAGCGAAGGAAGTCGTCTGAAATTAGAAAACATCTTAAAATTAGAAGAGGAAAAACCCTAAATATGTACCAGTGAACAGCGGTTTTTGACGGATGAAAAGCCACAAAATGAGGCGCAGATATGGTTCATCGGCCAAATTTTCGGGCGCAAATCTAGTTTCCGGGTGAACGTGAAGTTCGGTGGACGGCATTTCGGAGATAATGTCGCGGGCGGCTCTGAAAATGTTTTTAAAAAAAAATATACCCGACCACCATAATTTTTGGCATTTTTAAATCGATTTTTACCGTTATTAGGTCTCTCCTTATTTTCTTTGTAAATTTCCTAGGCTATTGAAAAACTGACTCAAAAATCGACGATTTCACAAATTGGAATCGTCCGTTCGCCAAACCCATATCGTCCACAATACTGTCAATGCTCTGCAATTTTTGCAAACATTTATTTAATTTAGAACGAATTGTTCTCTCACAAATTCGATATCCAGTTGATAGTTGGTAAAGTCGAGAAGATGAATGGAGGATTCTGCAAAGTTCCGGTGTAAAAAGTGGAAAATTTTTGATAAAACGGACCAATCACGACTCGATCCGCCCACTTTTTCATCGTTTTCTCTTCAATCTCATTTTCGGGGCCTAAATCCGGCACAATCGAATCGGCTATCAATTGGGACAGTTTGTAGAGAAGTGGCTGGTGTTTCGGCTGAAGGATTTTCGTAATAAAATTAGAAAATTGATTGTTTTCAATGTTTTCAAAATGCATGTAAATAATGTGTTGGTTTTTGAGACAGTGCAAGACTCGGTTGTTTTTTTTTTAATTGTTGTTTAGAAACCTTGGCCAGTGCGTTCAAAATATTCGCACAAAGTTTCAGAAAAACGGAAACGATGAGCTTCTGAAATGCGATCGTCGATTGCTCTTCGGCGCGTTCGAACAGAGAAATTAATCTGAAAAAATTCAACATTGTCCGAAAATTCCAACGAAACACGCACTCAATCAACGAATTCTGATATTGTGAAGGCGTGGGCGGTTGGAAGCGCAAAATCGACGAAATCTGATCGTGCTCTTTCTGGAGACAACGGAAAAGTGTCGTCGGTGAGAGCGTATTCTGAAAATTGCACAATTTTAGAGCATAGAATGGAACAATGATATTCAGAATTCAAAAATAGCGCTTACGCTATTTTCGCCGCTGCTTTAGCTAATTTTAAATTTAAAATGTCATCTAGTTAAAAAACTGCATAAAAACTAACCTTATCACCGAAAGACTCGTTAAAACTTTCATTGGCCTTTCTGAGCGAGGCGGGCGATCCGAAAAGCATTGAAAATGAGTCGTTCAACACCATTCTGCAATTATTTATCAGAATTGTGGCTGGAAAACCAACGGAGCTGAGCAAAGAATTCATTCAAAATTGGCGCTGGTATTTTTAAATTCGTTGCGAGACCCGAGAAGGTACGAAACGTAATGCGCCTTTAAGCGAAACGTGGGAAATGTGGCTGAAAATGACGAGAGAATACTGTAACATAGAGAAAAATCGACGGGAAACGTGTGAGTTTTTAGAGAAAAATCCGAAAATTGAAAAGGAAAGTCGGCCCTCAGCCCTATATCTCAACAGTAAATAATCCGATCAGGCTCAAACTTGTACTTAATGTACTTCAATTCAAGTCCAAGACGTCTGCAAAGTTTGGGTCCGATCGCATTATTGAAAGTGCGTCAAGAGTCTAGTCCAATTGCCCAGCCATTCTTTTCAGTATTCTTAACAGAAAAAAATGCCGATTAGAAGAATTTCTACGAACAATTTCAGGAAAATGTCTAAACCTCTCTATGACATTCACAAGGAGTTCATTCAAATTTTCCCGCCGTTTTTGCAATTGGCTGCGTAGCGACTCATTTGCTTTTTTTCAATTGAATTAAAAAATTGGCATCCCGCCAATGTTCTATGGAGCGCATCTGCTAACGTAGTTTGAACTGAGAAGCATTTACTGAGAGACTACTGACAGAGTTTTTAATTTGCTTCGTTAAACAGAATATGTTTTGTTCAAAATTCACAAATGCTCTTTTCTACTTTCTTTTATCGTTCAAAATAATCCTCTTACATACTACATTTTCACCTTAGCAACGTTTGGTTTCCAAGGAAATTTCTGGCAGAATAAAATGGGAAAAGGGATCCCATTTTTATTGTGTTCCCAGGTAACCCCTATGATTACGAGGGGTCCGGGCACGAATAAAACGACACTTGCCACTTTTAATTTCTCAATTTCCGGGGAAGCTCCCAAGTAGAAAACTGTATATTAAAAGAAAAACGTTCTTAATTTAATTAAGTTTTTTCTTCTTCTCACTAGAGCGCACTTGCTCCGTAAAGTTGCCAATCAGAATCGATCAATAATCATCATAATCATAATCACGTCAGAGAAAATTAGAGAAAAAGAGAGTTCCATAGATATTGTACAGTTCGGGAACGAGGAGACGGAGAAAATAGTGTGGAAAATGAGGAGAAAACAGAGGAAAAGAGAGAGAAAGAGAGAGGAAAAGTTTGCGGCGGAGAGACACCTATACACGGCGGTGCGGACGGGCGCGCACCGCATACAATACAATATTTGCCCTCTTTCCTCTCTCTTTTTCCCCCTCTTCTCCCACTTTTCCACCTATCTGCACACCTTTCGTGTTGGCAAATTTTGACAGAATTTTACATTGATTTACAGTAATTTCTTGGAAGAAACTCGCTAAAAGCCTCAAATTAACAGAAATTTTCGGTAAATTTTGCCGTTTCAGCAGAAATGTATTCGAGAATTCACTATTTCTCTTTAATTAGCTGTTGTGCCACCGATTTATTTTCATAAAACTTTTGGTTAGAGACAGCCAGCTGGCACACACGTGTCTATGTTGTAGGCTTGCACAAACAAAATATGTACACGTGGCACATTTCACACGTAATTTTTTTAGCGAACAAAGTGTAATTTGAAAAGGAAGAAATTGGCTAGTATTTTTCTAATTTTTTCAGGTACTGAAAATCGTCATGTCGATTTCGGGCCTCTTTATCTTGGACCTCAAGGGAAATGTGAGTTTTGTTTTGTGACAATTGTGGGTTTTACAGTGTTTTCATCAAATATTATAAAGCAATCATAACGTTAATTAAACAAGTCAAATTGATCTTAAGCAACGAGAAAAACTGCGTTTTTTCGAGGCCATGCCAAAACAGCGGAATTCACGAAAACCGCGGATGCCAAAACCGCGGAAGCCAAAACCGCGGAAAAAAATGCCAAAACCGCGGAACCGTGCAGGCGCAATACTTGACGCGCATTTAAAGACTTTGGCGTTTATTGAATAGAAGGGATTGAAATTTAATAGCATCAAACATGACAATTTGCAGAAAATAACTTTAAAAATTTATTTTGACGTATAAAAAAAAGGCAGCAGTAAAGAAAAAAAGCAGTTTTGGGTAAAAAAAAGTCATCACCTTTTCGTTTGGTCGATTGAGACTAATCCGTTTGAAGTTTCCCCCCAAAAATGCGTTACTTGCAGTTTTTTTTCTGTAATTTTTGCTGTTCGATCGCTCAAGATGTTTGCTTTGTATTTATGCGATTTATCATTCTCAAAACCAATTTTGTGTGAAAACGGTCAGGAATGAGCAATATAAGGAGTGTGGTTTTCAGGCGGGGAAGACGAAAAAACGAAATACTTGGCGGAAGCCACGCCTATATTGTCAGCTCTGGAGGTGGCTACCCCTAGCCAGAACTGTTTGAATCGGAACCGTCCTAAATCAGAAGCTATCTGCATGTGGTTTTTGTTACGAAAAGTCGTGTTGATTCGAGACAGTTCTGGCTCGGGGTAGCCTCCTCTGGAGACCGTGAAAAAAAAAGATTAAAAAAATATTCTGCAAGTCCCAACTAAATGGGAAAACCCGGCAGGCACCACGAGCTTTTTCTATTCAGGACCACTTTTTCTATTCAGGACCACACATTCGCCGTGGAATTGCAGACAAAAGAAATATGCTGATGATATCTGTCAAAATAATTTTAAATATAACTCTCATTTCCAATTTTTTTTCAGAACTTACAAACTTCATTACTTTGTTTGATGCTATTAAATTTTCAATTCCTTCTATTCAATAAACGCCGAAATCTGAAAATGCGCGTCAAGTATTGCGCCTGCACGGTTCCGCGGTTTTGGCATTTTTTTCCGCGGTTTTGGCTTCCGCGGTTTTGGCATCCGCGGTTTTCGTGAATTCCGCTGTTTTGGCATGGCCTCGTTTTTTCTCGTTCGAAAAACTTGTTCTGTGCAATTGTGTGCAATGCGTCAGATTTGACGCGCAAACTCAAAAACGCCGGCTTGGAAGTTCTCAGGGGGGAAAAGCGGAAAAACAGAGCGATTTGAATTAGGAATTAAGTTGGAAGAGAAGTGTTTGTGAAAAAAATTCAAAAAATTCCGCTTTTCAGGTAGTAATCTCTCGCAACTATCGCGGAGATGTAGACATGACGTGCATCGAGAAATTCATGCCTCTTTTGGTGGAAAAAGAGGACGAAGGGACGGCGTCGCCTGTGCTCGTTCATCAGGGAATCAGCTACACGTACATAAAGTACATGAATGTGTATTGTACGTTTTTCAAGTATATAACACAATTTTAACGGAAAATAATGGTTTTAATCAAAAACGGCAGTAGCAGCAACGGCGTATTTTTAAACTATTTTTAAACTTTTCCTGAACATTAAAAAAATAGTTCTTCAGTGGTAACTGTCTCGAAAAAGAACACGAACGTGATTCTCGTGTTGTCGGCGCTCTACAAAATCGTCGAAGTGTTCTGCGAGTACTTCAAAACGCTCGAGGAAGAGGCGGTTCGCGACAATTTCGTAATCATCTACGAACTTTTCGACGAGATGCTCGATTTCGGATATCCACAAACCACCGAGAGCAAGATTCTTCAAGAGTGAGCTTTTTTACATTTTAAACATTTTAAAATTCATTCAAAATGTTTCAGATTCATTACTCAACAAGGAAATCGTCTGGAGACGGTCCGTCCTCCGATGGCCGTCACAAATGCCGTTTCGTGGAGATCTGAAGGCATCAAGTACCGCAAAAATGAAGTCTTTCTCGATGTCATCGAAAGTGTCAATATGCTGGTTTGTTTTTTTTAAGCATCGTTTATCCTCAAGTTACTGAAAAAGCAATGTAAAAGTTTTCTTACATTTTTTAAGCTGAAATTTTATTTACCCTATTCTTTTTTATATCATGCATTTAGCTAGCCAAATTCAGCAATGGGTAACAGAAATAAAATCGTTCTAATCCTTTTTCTCGCTAATAAAAAACCGAAAATTTACAAGAAAATTCGCATTTTTCCAGGCGAACGCCCAAGGAACAGTGCTGCGATCGGAGATTGTCGGCTCGATTCGTTTCCGTGTCGTTCTGTCCGGAATGCCCGAATTGCGACTCGGCCTCAACGACAAAGTGTTCTTCCAGCAGTCCGGCGCCAGTTCCAGTCAGTTTTTTCTAGATTGTGTTATGCAAAACGATGTAAAGAAAAACTATATCAATTTAATTCAATTTATCTTGAAACTGTAGTTTCACTTAATTACTTTTCTTGATTTCAGGACGCGGAAACGGCGGAAAAGGAGTCGAATTGGAGGACATCAAGTTCCATCAGTGCGTCCGTTTATCGCGATTCGATTCCGAACGGACCATCTCGTTCATTCCGCCCGACGGAGAGTTCGAACTGATGAGTTATCGATTGACGACGCAAGTGAAGCCGTTGATTTGGGTCGAGGCGTCTGTCGAGAGACACGCTCATTCGAGGGTCGAGTACATGGTCAAGGTACGGATTTTTGCGCTAACGGACAGATTCCCAATTTTCTGTAAAACTTAAAGTCATATAATCCGAATTTTCAGGCCAAATCGCAATTCAAACGTCAATCGGTGGCGAACCACGTGGAAGTGATCATTCCGGTGCCGTCGGACGTCAGTGCGCCGAAATTCAAAACGGGCGCCGGAACCGCCAAATACGTGCCCGAGCTCAACGCGATTGTGTGGAGCATTCGCAGTTTTCCGGGTTGGTTAACGAATCCTTTGCAAAAATCATTAAAAATTGTTCTCAGGCGGTCGCGAGTACATAATGCGGTCCTCGTTCATGCTGCCGTCGATAACTTCGGAAGAAGTGGAAGGACGTCCGCCGATCAATGTGAAATTCGAAATTCCGTACTACACCACTTCTGGTCTCCAGGTAAACACGTTTTTAAATAGTTTTCGGTGAAAAATTCATAAATTCAATTGCCAGGTGCGCTACTTGAAAATCATCGAAAAATCCGGCTACCAGGCACTTCCATGGGTCCGTTATGTCACTCAAAACGGAAATTACGAGCTCAGAATGACCTAACTCCATCGATTTTCACATTGTTTCGCTCTGAAAACGAAAAAACCAAAAATGTTGATCCCGATTTTCGTAAAACTTATTGCTCTTCCTCTCCCTTCGCCATTTGGTTACTTGGTTGCCTTACAAAAATCCTTGAATCAAAAAATCTAGTAATTTATTGATCCAACTGTGATATTCCTTTTTATGTGAAAAAAAATAATTCAAACTTCTATCGCATCCCCTGTCTGTCGCAATTTTCCCTGTTTTATGTGGTTTTCTTTCAATAAAATTGGTTTTAAAAAGAGCTTCCCGAGAATTTGTTCGAAATATTCTTTTTTTGCTGCGTCTCGCCCGTTCCCGTACTGTCTATTTAGCACCGTCTTTTTTTCTTTTTCCCTCCCCTTATCCTTTCGTCCTCCCGTCCGTTCGCCTGACGCATTCGTCATTTTCACGCCGGGCCGCACTTGTAGCCCACTCTCGCATTCTTCGTATTTTCTTTAATTTATGTATTCCTTTTCCACTCAATATGGAATTTTCATTAAAAAAAGTAAGGAAGATTGCATTGTAGGGCAGAATGTAATAATTGAAAAATTTTAGGCCAAAACGGATAACCGTTCGATTTAAGAAGGCAACTATGGACACGATGATGAGGTCAGTTAATATTTTCAGTTTAAGAGTTGAATTAAACAGAGAAAAGAAACGCGAGAAGACAGCATTGTTATTGGAGGCAACTTTTTGTTCGAAAACAACTCTCCAATTCAAGTAAGATTAATGTGTAAGGGATCGGTCATCCCTTATTAGGCACACACAGACCTCCCACGCGTTTCCTCCGCGCCTCCGAGCCCACGCACTCGCTGAAGCGACACACTCTAACTGGAATGCTTTCAGATTTGGTCGTCAGCCACCGATCAGCCTCGTCCGATCAATCACGCCACCACATGCAGTCTTTCCAGCACAGCCTTCTCCGAGACACTCTATAATTCCGTTTTATTGTATTTACGTGATCTTTGCGCCTCGTTCGGACCCCTAAATAAACGCGAAAATCCATCGAGCTAGTCATGCCTTTATTAAATCATTGTGAAGGCTCAGAGAAGAAACGCGAAGAAACGCAAAAGAGCCCGAGACGAGATTGCAGGCCAAAGCTTAAAAACTGAAGAAATCTTACCAACAAGTACGCATCAAGTTGTCGCCCGGATTAATTGTTGTGCTTGTTCGTTTATTCTTAATAGATAATAAAAATTGTTAATACTTTTTCTAAACCAAGAGTTTTTGTTCTGTCATCTTTGCAGTCTGCCACGTCATGAGCATTCCATCATCGTCCGAGAAGACAAAAATGTGATGAGATCAAATCAGAAAGCGGGCGCCGTGTGACCTTATGATCTCATCTTTCTTCCCCTCTGGCGCCCATTAATTTCCTAAACTTTTCCCGTCTCGAAAACCGTTTTCGCGTCACTTAACAGATCAATCAACACACACACACACACACAAAGCTACGGTTTTGACCTGATTCCTTTCATTTTTCTGTGAATTTTCTCGAAAATGACCAGGAAAATCGTTGCTTTTCTTCTACTCACTATCATCGTTTTTGGTAGGTTTTTAATAATAACACATTTATTCTCTTCAGCCACCTAGGAATAAAAAAATTATTTAAAAAAAAACAAAAAAAAATTAATAAAAATATTTTGTATTATTCTAAATGCTTCTTTCGCGCAAATCCTGTTATTGTCTCAATGAAAAAAAATGTAAAAACTAGAGTTTGAGAAGAAGAGAGATTCAAAAAATACGTTTTGACGTTTGTTTGAAGCAGCAATCATTCCAGGCAAAGACAGTCTGACGCCTTTGAAAGTCGGTTCCGCCACCAGTAACCGATTTTCATTGAAAGTTCTTATTTGTTTGATTAAACCAACTACTGTTATGCGCACCACGGTCTCCAGAGCTGACAATATAGGCGTGGCCTCGGCCAAATGGCGTTTTCATAAATTGAGCAGGTTTTCTCTGATTTTTGTGGTCAACGGCGATGAAAAATGATTGTTCGACATGAAAACACACTAATTCTCACAGAATTAATGACGTTTTGGCGCATTTTTCGTGGACTTTGATTTTTCGCCTTCGCCGCCGATCGCCGCCTAAAAACCGCACTTTTCATTTTGCGTTTTCTTTCATTTTGCGTTTTTCTCTCCCAGGACGCTAATGCTAAACACAGTGCGCTCGTAAATTGCGGAGTGTCGTTGTAACTTTTGAAAATTTGCAGGTCTAAAAATGCAGTTCAATTCGAGGAACCTTTATATTTCAGCTCATTTTGCATTTCATGAGCCCAACGAACGATAAAAATGTTCGCTGAATCTTTCTTCACAAAATTCAGGTTCCGGCGGTTAGTTTTCTTGAGCAGTTTTCGAAAACTAATCGAAAAACATCAAAATCCAGGCCAAAACCTTCAAATCGAAATAACTCGGCTAATTCTCAACGATATGTGAGATTTCTGTTACCAAAACGTAACTAGTGCTCTAATTATTCGAATCCAGGTTCCAGGCGTACAAAAAAATAGGTGTATTATACAGAAAACATGGAAAGAACGCGAACTCCCGTTGAAAATTAATTAATCGGCCGCCGCGTAAATCGACACAGCCCGCCTGTTGCAAGTGCGCCCCATTGAAATTATTCGCGCCGTGGGAGACCGTGCGTTTTCAGAAAGAATTGGTTTTGAGAATGATAAATCACGTAAATACAAGCATTTTGAGCGCTCGAACCGCGAAAACTACCGAAAGCAACTGAAATTCACGCAGTTTTAGCCAAAAACCTTCAAACGGATAAATGTGATTTGCGACTTGACCAAATTTAACGCTCTTGCGCTTAAAAAATTCGTAATAGCCTATACAATCGGTCTATCGAGAGACAAATGAGAAATTATCGATTTTTCGTGGCCAACCTGGCAAAAAACACAAATTTTGCTGTTAAAATTTGAATTTCGCGCCAATGTATCGCTCTATTGGGCGGGGCGCACTTGCACCCATTTTCAGCTCTGGAGACCGTGTTATGTGTCATTTTTTGGCATCAAAACGTTATTTTCAGAAGTGTTAGCCCACGGCGGCGGAGGCGGTGGCGGAGGAGGAGGTCATGGTGGAGGTGGAGGAGGACACGGAGGACACGGCGGGGACCATGGAGGACATGATCATGGAGGACACAATCATGGAGGACACGATCACGGATGGGGTGGTCACGGAGGAGATCACGACCACGGAGGCAATGGCGGAGGCGGCGGCGGATGGGGAGGAGGATACAGACCAGAGATGTTGGGAATTCCGTGTTCCGTGTTCCGTGTTCCGTGTTCCGCGTTTTTTTGCAATATTTTTTCCGTGTTCCGTGTTCCGTAAAAAAAAAAAATTTCCGTGTTCCGTGTTCCGTGTTCCGTAGAAATAAGTTTTTTCCGTTTTCCGTGTTCCGTGTTCCGTATAAACTATGTTTTCCGCGGAAAAATTCGATCACAAATTTTATGACGTTTTGTGGTCAAAATTTGAAAATGTTCGGATTCGGACCATATTCGTGAAAAGTGGATTCCATTTTCAGTCGTTTTTTTACTGTAGTTGTTTACTGTTGTGTTGTTGGTTTTGTTATTTTTATGAAATTTTCGGTAAAACTTTCACATGAGTCAAACAGCTGCCTTGTCAGTCAGATAATCGAATTAAACAAAACATTATTTTAAAAAAAATCACTGGAATTCTCTTGAAAACGCTTTTTTCCGTGTTCCGTAAAAAAAAAAATTTCCGTGTTCCGTGTTCCGTGTTCCGTAGAAATAAGTTTTTTCCGTTTTCCGTGTTCCGTGTTCCGTAAAAAAAAAAAATTTCCGTTTTCCGTGTTCCGTGTTCCGTAGAAAAAAAAATTTTCCGTTTTCCGTGTTCCGTGTTCCGTAGAGTAAAATTTTTATTCCCAACATCTCTGATACAGACCGTTCACCGGATTCGGAGGAGGCAACGGAGGGTCAGTCTTGTGAGACATTTTCATTATATTCATCTCCTAGAACTACCGTAATCCTACAGTAAGCTCATTTTCAGGTACTATGGCGGCGGCGGTGGCGGTGGCGGTCTTTTGTCGCGTCTTTTCGGTTTCCGTAGTCGCGGATATTACGGATATCCAAACTATTACGGAGGCGGCGGAGGATATTACGGTGGCCAGGGATACTGTAGAGGTAGTACCGTAATCCTTTTGTCGTAAGCTACCCTAACCCTTACAGTATCCCAATTCGTTGATTACGTCGGTCAAATGGCTCGTTTCTACTGCGATTGTCCGCCGTATCCGCCCGGTTATCAGTGGAACACGTGTAGTCCCCCCATCTATGCTGGACGATGACGGCTACATCATTTTCATGTATATGAATTTTTCTCAAATAGCGTGGCCGCACCCTACAATAAATAAATATTGTATCATTCTTAGCATTATTGGATTTTTTTCGATAAAATTTGAGAAATAAATAGCAACGGATCGAAGAGATGAAGTCACTTTTGCTCGTCATTGGAATTATTTGCTTCTACGGTAGACGGGGCAGCGTAAATTGAAAAATGAACTTTGCAGACTTCTTAGAGTTGGATTGAAAAGGCATTTTTTTTATGCGCAAGAAATTAAAATTTGGCCGTTTCATGTTTTCTTAAAAGTTTTAACTGCGTGAATTTCATTGGCCACCGGTTTGCGAAAACTTTAAAACTTTCAAAAATTGTATTGTTTTTATGCCGCATTAGTATCATTTTTTTTATCGATTTTGACAACAAAGAACAGGGGAAAAGTTTAGAGGGTTCGAAAAGAAAATCCGTAAATTTCAGCGAATGTCGAGAGTAAAATCAGCGTTTCTAAAAGAATGAAGGGACCTGTTCGCAGTCCATTCATACCGAAACTAATTGTGGAAGAGGTGAACAACGATCGCATAGCTTTCGCACAAACACACAAAACCGAGAAAATGCCGTCGGTGGTCAGTCTTTCTCATGCAATTTTTCACTTTTTGCTTCTTTTTTTTTGCAGATTTGGGACGATGAATTGGCTCAAAAAGCGGAGCGAATGCCTCAGGACTGTTCGGCTTTGAAGCCGGGCCCCGATTATCGCGTTTATCCGGATTATGTAAGACCTTTTCTGTTGTTTTTAGCACGGTCTCCCAGGGCGCAAATGTTAAACACAGTGCGCTCGTAAATTGCGGAGTGTCGTTGTAACTTTTGAAAATTTGCACGTCTAAAAATGCAGTTCAATTCGTGTTTACGACCTTTATTTCTTTCTTTTTGACTTGAAAAACGTCTAGAAAACAATATTTTACTGATTGGAAACCGTTCTTTACAGAATTTCGAGTTTTTCATGTTTTTAGCGTCTTTTTCGCATTTCGTCAAAACTTTAAACCTTTATTTCAGCTCATTTTGCATTTCATGAGCCCAACGAACGATAAAAATGTTCGCTGAATTTTTCTTCACAAAATTCAAGTTCCGGCGGTTAGTTTTCTTAAGCAGTTTTCGAAAACTATTCAAAAAACATCAAAATTCAGGCGAAAACCTTCAAATCGAAATAACTCGGCTAATTCTCAACGATATGTGAGATTTCTGTTATCAAAACGTAGCTAGTGCTTTAATTACTCAAATCCAGGTTCCAGGCGTACAAAAAATATCTGTATTGTATAGAAAACATGGGAAGAACGCGAACTCCCGTTGAAAATTAGTTAATCGGCCGCCGCTTAAATCGACACAACCCGCCTATTGCAAGTGCGCCCCATTGAAATCATTCGCGCCGTGGGAGACCGTGTTTAGTGCAAAGTTACGTAATCAATTTGTTTTCCATTCAGGCGGGAGCAGTGTCGAACGGCGGCGACGTGATGCGTGCTCTTGAGGCGAGCATTCAGGAGGAGCTCGAAAGGAATGCGTCGGCGACGTTTCCGAGTGTTCTGGCGTCTCGCGCTCGCACCGCCGACACTCTGTTCAAGTACGAGAAGATGAATCCGAAGCAGAAGAAGATCGGGTGTGCGCGAAGAAATTGCACCGCCGATTTCACGGAGGACATTCTGAAGCATCTCGAGCCGGCGGACAGGAAGCGGTTGGAGGGAGCACAGTACTCGTTCAACAACATTTGTCTGATCGGGCCAATGTGAGCTGTAAATTGTTATTTTTCTGATTTCCAAATAAATTTGTTCAGAGGAACTTCTTCGGGAAAATCGGCGTCCGGACTCTCCGCGACGACGGCTGCCAATCACTCATCGAAAAGAATCAACACTGCTCTCAGCGCTATTGTATTTTTTTCGATTATGACTGTGTTTTGAATAAATATGTCAAAAATCTGACTGTCCCATGAGATTATAAACTGCTTTCCTTCAAACCAAGCTCAAAACTACAAAAAGAAACGATGTTAGAAGAAATTGACTCAGAAAACATGTTTAGCAATTTTAAATTCTCGAAAAACCTGCAGAAGTACAAGGACGCGATCGAGGCGCACTCGAAAACCGACAATACCCTCTTTTTTACGTACAAAATCGGATGCGCCGCAGTTCAATTTGCTAATGGTTCTAGTGGTGAATTTTAACGTAACGATAATTCCTATTCTCTTCTACTTTTTACGTAATTCAAGGAACAGAAACAATCGGAACAAAGAACAGAAAAACTAAAACATCTAAAAAAAATGTCTAAAATGTCCGCATCACTCTCAAACGACTCGTTCGTTTTCGGGCGCTTCCGGTACGACTCCGTTGACCAGTGGGATTTTTCGAAGGAAATCCAGTAGTTTCTGTTTGAGCGAGGAGGAGGTCTGTGCCTCGGCGACGAGTTTCTTCGCCAGTTCCGAGTCCAGTTCGAGCGTGTTGAACATCCGTTCGCGGCCCCACAACACTGCGTACATTGCGCCGAAACTGACAAGCATTTGGATGGCCGCACACGTTCCCACGACGGAGCGCGCTGGTTTTGAGCCTGAAAAGTCGAAATATTGAAAAGATGCGAACATTACATTTTTTGTGAGGCTCCTACCTTCCCAGCCGAGCGTCAGGAACTCCAGGAGGTTGTTGACTGCGGGCAGTCCGTTTCTGACGGTGCCCTCTCGATTTAAGAGCACGTAATGGGCGAGGTAGGGCGTTGAGAGCATCGGAAGGGCCACTCCGGTCGTCAGTCCGATCGCAATCGAGTTGATCAGCAGACACGACGGGCACGGCGTCAGTTCGTTGTACACTTTCGGCGTGATTAGCATCTGGAATGAGAAAATTGGAAATTTACTGGAAAAAAGAGAAAGGTACCTGATAAAGCATGAAATAAGTGACGCCGGAAGAGTAGACGCCGAATACGTACGGCGATTTCGGGCATTTTCGGATCGCGTCGAAAAATTTCGTCTTCGAATCGTACAAAAACATTTCCGAGTTGATGCGTGTTGCTGAAATGTCCTTTTTCAAATCTGACAATTTAGATGTTCTCTTTTCTCTGCGCTTTGAGAGAATATATCTTTCTGTTTCCTCACTTCGAAAAAGGTTTCATAATTCATTCAACAATATTAGATTTTTTGAATTAGTTAGGCACTCAATTCGCTTCGAGAAACGCCCGTCTTAAAAGTAGATGCGCCTTTAAAGGTTCGCTCGCCGCGCGCGCGACCTTTTTCTCCGTTTGTCAACGCAAAAACAAACAATTTGGATTAGGATTAGACTGAAGATGCAATCTTATGCATTTTCTGAGAAACAGTAGAATTTTCCTTAGAGAAATGCCCAACAGTTGTGCGTACCAATCAGAGAAGAAGTGACACAATTGGCGATGAGTCCGGCATGAACTGGCCACGTGAGAGCCCTCCGTTCGTTGCGGAACGGCCACGAGGAGGAGAGTCTGCTCATCAAATGGGCCTGATCCGAAGAGGACATCGCCGAGAGGTTCTGCCAGAGAAATGACCGCGACGAGGGGTCCGTCGAGGCATCTCTGAACCGGAAATCGATTGAGACAACACGAAATTTCAAGAAAGGATTGCAATTTTCTACAGTTTCAAAACATTTTCCTTACTCTATTTTTTGCCGCTCTAACTCTAGTTAAACTTGGGAAAGTACCAGGGTTGTGTAAAAGGTCGGCCCAGCCTTTTGGCCCACTTGCAGGCTTCTTGGACTTGGATTGAAGTATCTTGAATCCAAGTTTCAGACCTATCCGATTATCTGACAACCCGGCTTTTCAGTATATCTCGGGACCGGATCATCGGATCGGGCTGAAACTTGGTCCCAATATACTTCAATCCAAGTCCAAGAAGCCTGTAAAGTTTTGGTCCGATCCGAATACTGTAACTGGGTCAAAAGTCCAAAGCCTTCGTAAAGCCTGGGCCGAAATGTGGAAAATTCTGTGGAAAATTCTGAAAAAAATCAGGATGATACTGTAGACTATGCTGAATCGAAGCGTGTTGTCAAAATTTGCAAAATAGGGTCTAATTTCAAAAAAATTACCGATTTGCGGCCACGAGACCCCTTTGCACCGCCTGTGTTTCCATTTTCGCAAAATTTTCCGAATTTTGCCATAACGCCAAGAATTGCGGACTTTCCGCGTTTTCGTTGCTCATCTGAAACGTCATTTATCCGGAAAACTCAAAAACGTTCAAAAAATATCACAAAGCTGTCAAAAAACCGGAGAACTGAAGAATAACCTGTTTTTGATCGAAAATTGCTTTATTTCGTCTTCGCTAACAATCGAATGAATTATTTGGATTGAAAAATTGGGAAAAAATATAGAGAAGCTATTGGATAATAAAATCACAATTTGAAACGAGACGAGTGGGCGGGGACTGGAAATTTGTGGAATTTCCCCAACTATATTTCACGTACAAAACATGGGCACACAATTATTGTTATTCGGGTGAAGTTGGCAGAGAATTGATTGAAAAATAAGGGGGGGGGGGAACAAATTAATTTAGGTTATAAAAATTGCATTTTTTTTAATGTTAACGGGTGAATGTGTCGAGCCGGGACGCACTATAATCGAGTCTGAAATTTTGGGAAGAAATTAAAAATCTGAAGAGATAATCATTGAAAAAAACAAAAGGGGTGTTAGTGCAGACATGCAATCGGGAATCGACAAAGACAGGGTTTTGTTTGTAAAAGTTGAAATTATACACATTTTTCGGTTAGCACTACTAGACTATTGACAAATGTGTTAAACCTGGACTATCACACGACAAACTACATCCTTTTTGACGGGGAAAAATACCTATTAGAATAGGAAAGTTGTAGAAGAAGTTGAACAGAAGAGAGAACGTGAGAGAGAGAAAGAGAGAAGGAGTGGAAGTGTGCTCGTTCACTGCGTTCCCGTCACTTCACTCACTATTTCCTCTGTTTCTTGCTCTTCCGTCACCGTCTTTTCCTCGCCGTTCTTTTTCGTCGTCTGCGCGAATAACCGTTCAACCTGCAACGTTTTTTTTGTTGTTGAGAAACTAGATTACGAGGAAAAAAGCGTTTATGTCGTTCTTTCAAGCAGACAGACGCCAGACGCCAAGACGTTCCGGACTAAAGAATCCGAAGAAACTGAAGGATCCAACGAGTGGACCTACAGCCATCGGTACCAATAATACCGGAAGCGCTTTCGTGCCCACCTTTTTCTCCTTCTTCTCCACAGACATCGCTTGTCCGGCATCACGATACGACCGTCTCAGGGGCACTCTCGTCATCGACGACGGCGGGTCTCGCGCCGAATTCGCTGCAAAACGGATAGAATAAACTTTTTTGCTCTCTTCGCTGTTTTCCCAGTAATTTGAGACATTTTGCAGGCTTTTCAGCAATTTTCAGTCGCATTCTTCATTCGAAGCATTGGATTTTTTTAAATCAGTTTTCACTTGGGCTGGGCCCGAGTCTTTAGCCCACTTGCAAAATGCCGATCGGACCCAAACTTTCGGAGCCATTTCTGCAGTCAAAACTCTCTCACGCTCGGAAATTGTTAAATTTTTTCTTTCTCTACGGCCCGGTTCTTCAAAACAAGCCAGGTTAGAGGTAGATATAAGGGTTTGTGTGGAAAGTTACAGCTTCACAACCTCCTGTCGCCCGTAGACATCTAACCAACTGAAAATTCGATCGGAATCGAGCCCAAGACTGATACTCGTGCAAAGTTTGGGTCGTATCGGAATTTTGCAAGTGGCCAGGGCCCCCGAAAATTATTGAAAAGCCCAGATTTCCAATTCGTACCCCTCTCCTCATTGCTCGCCGGCGCCTCTCTATTGTAGAGTCTCGTGGATTCGCGGGCCGTCTGCGAGCCGAACGCCTGCGGTTCCCGTGGCGTGGCGGAAGTGCTGGCGCCCTCGCCGCCCACGCTCATGTTCAGTCCCTCGCGCTCCGATTCCCTGTGCGTCCGGTGGCCTCCTCCTCCTCCTCCTCCTCCTCCTGCCATCGTCGTCGTCGTCGTCAGCACCGTCTCCTCGTCGTTACTCGATCCTTTCAGCATGCGACGGCGGGACGGCGACTGTTTTAGCGCTGAAAATCGGCGGAAATTAGGGGGAAAAGTTGGAAGAACTAAAAACCGTTCCCAAAAATTGCAGGTCTTTAAAGATTTCCGTTAAAAATTACATTGTTTTTCTCGTGAGCATGCCGGGAAAAATGTGGGTAACCAAGGAAAATGCGGATTTTCTCAAAAAGCAGGCAGAGCGGATAGACTTGTTCGGAAGAAGGGACAATTGCACGGTGAGCATTGAGCAGTAGCATTCTCGGGTCGAAATGTGCGCGGGGACAAATCACAAACCACCAATGAACGAAAAAGAATTGAAAAATTGAACGGAGCAGGGATTTTTTGAAAAATTTCCATAAATTTTTACCATTAAAAATAGATTGAAAATACGAAACGACACCTAATGTTGAGCAAAAGTTTTGGAGAAAATGTTGATTTGCAAAATTTCTCAAAACACATAAAAAATTCACCGAGATAACTGTGGACCAGAGTACGAAATTTCGCACTTCTCTTTTCGTCGGCTGTAATCGTTAATTGGGAGAGAGAGAGAGAGGGAGAGGGAGTGAGAAGGGAAAATAATAGGAGGAAATCGAAAGGAGCAGGAGAAGTTAGAGGTGGAGAGGGTAGAAGTTTTCAAATTCATTTTTAATCAGGGCTGGTCAAAAGGCCGGCTCAGGCTTTTGGACCACTTGTAATCATTTGTAATGAAGTTTGGTCCCGATCGGATCATTGCAAGTGGTTCAAAAGTCCAGGCCACAATTTGCCCAGCCCTGAAAAAATCACACTAGGTCGAACAATAGTCTAAATTTTTGAAAAAAAAATCAGGAGAGCAGAAAGAGAGTGAGAGTGTGGAAAGTGTGCTGAAAACGGAGCAATCAGATAGAGAAATGTGGTGCTGTATACATTTTTAATAAATCATCTAAAAATCACACTTTTCTACATCAAGTCAGCAGCCTGAAAGCGTTAAAAAAAAGTTAAAAATTTTTTTTCAAAAATTTCAGCCTAAACGCCACAATTCTTGGCTCAAAAATGCAGGAATTTCGACAGAGGGAAGACGGTTTTCGGGCAGTTGCAGGACGGATTTTCGATCGAGTTTCGGACATTTTTAGGAAAAAAAAATAGGGAAAAAACCAAGCCAAGTCGAAATTGATTTCATTCGAAAAGAGCAAAATAATGGATAGATATTAGCGATTGATTTTTTCGTTTTTTTTTCAGTGAAAAATAGAGAAAGAGATAGGAAGAACAAAGTGTGAGAAAGAGAAATACGAAAAAAAAAGTGCGTACCTGTTCCTTTTTTGAACACCTTTTCGGTCATGAAATTCAAAAATCGGGAGGCGTAAAAGTTGGGCCGGTGCACGGATATTGTGTCCTAAAATTACAATTTTTGAACCAAACAATCTAATTTTTATCAGACGTACTCCATCATGAAGAATCGCCTTCCACGTGTGCTCCATTTTTTTGAGCAGACGATAATTTTGAAGAATGTCAATTATACCTGGAAAAATTGGGAAAAATCGCCAGTTTTCTAACCGAAAATTGAATTCACCTAAATAAAGAACGAGGCGGTCGCCGTTGGAGTTGCGGGCGGGCACTCCGCCGTGCGGCACGTCGCCGTCTCCCTCCCACACGCTGAACTTCTCCTGGAGAACCTGGAAAAGCGATTCGGTTTGCGTTGATTGACAAGTTGCTTACAAAAGAGAGCAGGGGGCGAGAGAGAAGCGATTCGCGTGCGAGAAGGTAGAGACGCAGGCGCGAAACAGCGAACAACAACAACAAAACAGTTGCGCGCCTGCGTCTCTGCCCTTTCGCACGCCAATCGCTTCTCCCTCGCCCCCTGTTTTTCCCGGTTGAACCGCAAACTCGCCCAAATTTGGAAAACTATCGAACCCAGTTTTGAGTCAGGTTCAGGGTGGCGCGCCGGCTAACAAATACTGTTTCATCTTCCCAATTTTTTCGTGAACGTGTTCCTTGTCCTCGGAAAGAACAACCAAAATATGCAAGAAAATCTCGGGCTCACTAGGAAATTTCCAATTTTTGAGTAGCGATTGATTGCGGCGGCGGCGCGTCATTCAAACAGAAACTCGCTTCTTTTTCAATTCCAAAATTCCAACATTAGTCGAAAAAAAGAACCTTGTGCTCATCGGATTTTTCTCCGGAATTCGAAGAGCTCGCCTGCTGTCCGGAAGAAGATGCTGCGGCAGTCGAAGGTGGAGGCGGCGGAGCCACGAGTTCTCCGTTCTGCTCGGCGCGTTCTCTGATGCCCAACTCGACGTTGTGGATGCCCACGAGCAACGAGTAGTCCATGATTTTGAAACTTTCCATCACCTGCAAAAATACATATCATTGATAATTGAATACGTGATTTTGAGCGAACGTACCAAACAGTCTCTGGAAATGGATCTCATCAGTGCGTCCAACGCGATCGGATCGATAAAAATTCCGTCTTTGTGGCATTCGAGGAAATCGAGGTCTTTGAGTGTCGGATGCGGTTTCGCCCGCTCCGTCTTGTTCGCCATTCGTTTGTACGTCGACCCTTTCAGATCGTACTTTTCGTGCATTGTCACCGTCTGCGGCAGCAAGTTATTCATCACCAACAGTCGGATGTTCTTCCCGAGACTCTGCAAAGCGTTTTTGTGTAGAATAAGTGAAAATGTTTGAGCTCTGATGTAAAAACACATGTGTTTTTCAAAAATACCTGATAACAGAAGAGTCCGAAGAATTTAGGCAGCAATGTTCGTGGATTTTGGTTGAGATTCTGCAGAAAGTTGTAATATAAATTTGCAACGGCTGCAAAAGGCCTATTTTAAGTTTTATCAAGACAGATCGGACCGTATTCGGAAAACGGAAATTTTTTGAAAAGAACGGACCATATAATATCCGGGGAGGAGTTTCTGGAGGAAGTCGGCTTCTTTGTGCTGCACAGTCTTTATGATGAACTGATCGTCTTGCGACACGTAGAATATCGATCCGGAGGCGCCCGCGTTCGAGAGCTCTTTCAGTGGCTCCGTGCAGATTGAGCGCTGAACAATGATTCATTTCAAGAAAAGTTGAGAATAATGTAACTTACGAGAAAATCGGCGGGTTTGATGTGAAAAAGATTTCGGAAATATCGGAAAGCGATGGGCGCGTAGGTGCGGAAGCGGAAATCGCCGAACGAGTGCGACGGAGTGATCGAGGAGCCAGAGCTGCAACCAGAACTGAATTTCAGATTGATTCCTGTACTTTTCCGTGCAAACTTTTTTCAAAATTCGCGGCCGGGGGACTAGAAAACTCCACCCGCCGTGTTCTTCTCATCGTCTTCTTTGCTTTGTCAGCAAATTTGGGGACTGCAATCGCTACCGCAAACCACGTGAATGCAGTGCTAAATTGGAAAAAAAAAGTCGCGGTAGCGGCCGGCCTTTCACGGTGCTGCCCCCGAATCGGAACTTCCCGAATCAGAACCAATTAGCACTGAAAATAGTTCTGATTCGCGAAGCACCGCTTTCACGTGGGATTGCGGCAGAGCGCGATTGTAGAAAAATGCATTCCTGTGGGAAAACAAGAAAACTTCCGCTTCAAAAACCCTATAATTTTCGTGTTTTCCCCGGAATTTGTTCATATTAGAAAGAAAACTAGAGCCTCAATTTTTCGATTTTTGGCAACCAAACAAAAGAGAGAAGGAGCAAATACTTACGCCGGAAAAGAGACAATATCGACTTTTTCAAAGTCCTGGAGGAGAACGTCGCGATTCGGAAGCGATGCAAGACTTCCTAAAATAGTTATAAATGTTATTATAAATAAAATAAAAGGCTCTACCTATAGAATTGCTAATTCCCAGTTGAATCGCTTGCATAAGCGCATTTGTGGGCACTTTTTTGTAGGATACCTGCAAAATGCAGTTTTAATGAGAAAATAGCTATACTGAAACTTTACTGAAACACTTGTTTAGCAAATTCTTTTTTAAAACTAAGATTTTTTTTTCTTTTGAAAAAAATGTGCATTTTTTCGAACATCGATGAAGACCAGCGGGATTGTTTTACTGTTTTACTATGAGAACCATAGAAAATTCTAAGAAAACGTACAGCTCCTTGCTCGTCGATCCGCCGATGTCCGAGCTTCTCCTTCGTGTTCTGCGGCTCTCGGGACGTCAGATTTCCGAGTGTGCCGCTCGTTGTGTTCAACGGAAGATCCCTCGCCTCGTTGTCGGGACGCAGAATCGGCGCCTCCTGAAAACAATTCAAGAAATTTTTATACTTTTTCGTATCAAAAACTCTCAAAACGTACATTTCCCTCATTTTGCTCTTCTTCCAGCTGCTCCGGCGGCTTTTCCTCTGTAAAAACTTGTGTTTTATCGATTTTCCGCTGATTCATCCCAATTTTTTTCTTTTTCCGCCTACCTCGCTCCTCGTCACCGATGTTTTTGAAGGTGATCGTCGCCGCCGATCTCATGACCTGAAAATTGGAAAATTTCAGAGAAAGTAATAGAAATCCAGGGAGCATTCGATAAAAAATTAGAAATAAATGTTTCTAGACAATTTTAGTTGCGATAGAAAGCGAAAAAGCAATAAAATGAAAGATTTTGCTTTGGAAAAGAAGAAAAAGGGGAAAAGGTGAAGAAGCGGGGCGGAAGAGCCCCAGAGCTTTATTGTTTTTGCTCTCCCCCCTCTTTCTCTGCACTCTCTCTCGTCTTCCCGCGTTCTCTCGTCGGCGCGCGGCTTCTTCCAAACACAGAATTCATGGGAAAAGGCGAAGAGACGGGCGGTAGAGACGAAAAAAAAACGATGATGTGCTTTTTCCTCTTTTCGCCTCGATTTTTGTTATCTTTCGTGGCCAAGACAGACGAGAAGAGGGAGAAAAGACGAAGAGGGACGCAGAGAATCGAGAAACATTCGAAATTCGACCGAAAATGGGCTGAAATTGACGGGAATCGAGCGGAGATCCAAGAAATCCAATTATTCATTATTTAGTACGACACTCCGAAATTACGCACCGGGCTGCGGTTTAATTTGATGAAAATGTTGAAATTTCATCATTTTCAGAGTTATTTTCAGATAAATTATCGACTTTTAGCAGAAAGGAAGGCGCTAGAATTCATGCGTAAGCACTTGGAAATCCGATTTTTAGCTGAAAAGCTACTGAAAAAAGTGTTTGTCTGGGTTTATTCAACTTCCCGAGCATAGATACTTGTATTTTCAAACTATTGTCTATATTTTCAGAGAGATGCAACTTCCGAGCCTGAAAGCTTGAAATTTGCATGAAAATTCAACTGAAATTATAATTTTTAGCAAGAAGCCGCTTTAAATAACGTGGTTGAGAAGAAACCGAATGCGAAGACGATTCAAGAAACATGTGAAACAGAAGAAGAATTTGAAAATCCCCCCAAAAAAGTGTAAAAAAAGGGGGGGGGGGGGAATGGGTTAGAGTAGTTGGAGAAAAGAGCACAAGGCGGCTCTTCTCGCGTGTCTTTCTGCCCCTTTTCCTCGCGTTTTCCGAAAAAGAATGGCCGCCGACCGAAACTGGATCGATAGGAAAGAAGAGGAGAAAGAGAGCGAAAGCGGCCCCCTGAGAGGAAAAGAAAAAGGAAATCTGACGAGTAGGTGCGAGAAGAAAAAATTGAATCTTTTTCGGTTTCACTCGACACACTTTTAATCTTAATATAATTTATTCAGTTTGGAGAAGTTATAATGAAGGATTGAATAAAGCAGCAAAAATTGCTCACAAAAACGTTTTACTCGAAAAAAAGAAAGAAGCGAAACACTGAAATGTAAATGCAAATGTGCGCTCTCAATGACAACAAGCCGGTTTTGGGAGGAAAAAAGTGATGGCGGCGAAAATGTAGTCCTGGACGCCGGTCGGCAAATACGAGAACGGAATGAACCTGCAATTGTGAAACTTTAAAGACCATATTTTGCAACGGGCCTGGAATTCCGGGAAAATGAGGAAATTGGACCTGAAACTCAATTTTTCTAGCTTCAGCTACCGCAAACTTATTTTTTTTACTGTTTCTCATGCTCGGCAATAAATCACACGGTCTCCAGAGCTGACAATGGGCGGAAGTGCGCCCCGCCCAATAGAACGATACATTGGCGCGAAATTTTAATTTTAACAGCAAAATTTGTGTTTTTTGCCAGATTAGCCACGAAAAACCGATAATTTCTCATTAGTCTCTCGATAGACCGATTGTATAGGCTATTACGATTTTTTTAAGCGCAAGAGCGTCAAATTTGGTCAAGTCGCAAATCACATTTATCCGTTTGAACGTTTTTGGCTAAAACTGCGTGAATTTCAGTTGGTTTTCGGTAATTTTCGCGGTTCGAGCGCTCAAAATGCTTGTATTTACGTGATTTATTATTCTCAAAACCAATTCTGTCTGAAAACGGTCAAGAAAGCGCAAAATGAGAAGTGCGGTTTTTAGACGGCGATCGGCGGCGATAGCTAAAAAGCGAAGTCCGCGAAAAAAAAAACACAACGAACGACACTCCAAAATAACGCACTGCACTTTGTTTAACACAATTTTCGAAAAGCACTGACTGAAGATTGCCGTTCTCGCGCCAGTTTTCTCAATTGTCATTGAAAACTTACATGAGAATGCTGTCCCATCCGACTTGATACCGAGATCTTGGAAACTTCGAAGTGATCGCATGGAAATAGGCGTCGATTACGAGCGAAATTTGGGAAGACGCAATGGAATTCAGGAACAGTTGAGTCTTTTGACGTGCTGCAAGCAGTTTTGGATTAAAAAATTCGCATTTGACAGAAATTAACTCACAATCCTGAAAATATTGCTCTCCGTACTCTCCTTTGACTTCTTTTGGCGCCAACTTCCACGCTTCTTGAATTTCGGCCTAAAATTGAAAAAGAATAGCACTTTTTTTCTTCTTCCAAAAATTAGCTCACATCAATTTTCTGTCGATTAATGAGCGGCGTGTCGAAGAATCCCGGCTCGAGAATGTGGACGGAGACTCCGAACGGACGGAGCTCGTGTCTGATGACGTCACAGAATCCGGAGACTCCGTACTTGGACACTGTGTACGGAGCGATGCCCGGAAGGCCCACGCGCGCACAGATACTCGCCACCGTCACCACGCGGCCTCTGGAACAAGAACATTTCGTTTTTTTTTCCAAAGGAGTGATGGAGTTTTTGAAGAGATTTTACCTGGCTCTTTTCAATAATTTTTTGACGGCCTGAGTGGTTCGAACGGGTCCCCACAAGTTGATTTCAGCCACTTTCAGATAATCGTCAATGTCCAAAAAGTCGTCGTTGATGTGTTTTCCAGTGATTCCGGCGTTGTTCACCACTGCGTGAAGTCCCAAAAAACATTTTTTATTTCAAAATTTTGTTTGTTTTCCAATATATAAATTTCAGCCCTTGCACAAACCTCCATATTTTTCGCATTTCTCCTCAATCCTTTTTGCCGCATTTCGGACCGATTCGTCACTTGTCACGTCCATCAAAAACGCGTCAAAAGGCACATTTCCGGTGGATTTTTCTGCTTCCGAACTGAGACTTTCTATTCCCTGAAAAGAAGCGGGGGATTCACTTTCAATCGGACGAAAAAAAAATACCTGTTGAGTCAAGCATCCGGCAAACACTGGCATCCCAGCTTCCACGCATTTTAGAGCCAAACCACGGCCGAAACCTTCAAAAAAAAATCCTAAAAATTCGCTAAAAATCCGGAAACTCACCCGAATCGCATCCGGTAATGAAAACGGCTTTCTCGCTCAAATGCTCAATTTGAACGCGTTCCAAATAGTATCTGATCGTCAAAAAAAGGGCGAAAAGTGCGGCCAACCATAAAAAAGCTTGAAAAACGGTCAAAGACCCGACCCAATAGACCAGGCTGAGCATTTTCTGGTAAATTAGAGCTAAATCTGAAACTTTTCGAAGTTAGTTAGTGTTAGAACTAATTGTATACTAAACACTTGACAAAAACCCTAAAAAGTGGGTTGTTGACTCCGTTTTGCAGTGTATTTATACCTTTTTCGTACGGTCTGTGCTCCGTATCAGTCACATTCCGTGATAAGAATTGGGTAATGTTGATGGACGGCATCAGAGTACAGTTTAGGCGAGAATTTCCGGGCGAAAACTAGTAATTCGCGGTTTTCAATGACTTTTCGCTTGGTTTTTCGATTTTTGTTGCTTATTGGATTATACTTTCCCATTATAATACTCGATTAAATCTCTTTCCGTCTACTTTTCGCACTTTCTTCAGACCAGTTCCCACCGTAATCGGCGGTGGAAATTGTGAAGCACGAGAAAGAAGCGATACTCGTGCCGACCAGAGATGTTGGGAATAAAAATTTTACTCTACGGAACACGGAACACGGAAAATTTTTTTTTTACGGAACACGGAACACGGAAAACGGAAAAAACTTATTTCTACGGAACACGGAACACGGAAATTTTTTTTTACGGAACACGGAACACGGAAAAAATATTGAAAAAAACGCGGAACACGGAACACGGAAATTTTTTTTAACGGAACACGGAACACGGAAAAAATATTGAAAAAAACGCGGAACACGGAACACGGAACACGGAAAACGGAAAAAACTTATTTCTACGGAACGCGGAACACGGAACACGGAAATTTTTACGGAACACGGAACACGGAAAAAATATTGAAAAAAACGCGGAACACGGAACACGGAATTCCCAACATCTCTGGTGCCGACGCGTGGCACGTTTTTTTTTGAAATTTTTTTTGACGGAACACGGAAAACGGAAGACGGAAGAACATTTTTCTCACGGAAGACGGAACAAAAAAATCGTCAATGCAGAACCTTTTTCTCCGGTTTTTTTTTTTTTGAAAAAAATAACTAAACAACAAACATTTTGGATCTGGGTCACTGCCCGTGGAAATTCGCGTTCTTCGGGGCTAATAAATGACTTCTGAAAAGCTATTACTCTTTTACGGTAAGAAGAAAAATCCCGGAAGACGGAACAAAAAAACCACGGAAGACGGAAGACGGAAGACGGAATTCCGCTCAACATTGCTGGGTACAAGCATTCTAGAGGGGCCGGTAATTGAGTTAAAATTGAAGAACAAGGACAAAAGGAAGATATTTAGACAGTGAGATGGACCTAATAACCCGAAGGGCCCAATTAATAGAAACCTAATGAAACAGAACTAGGAGAGTGTGTGAGCATCACTGGGATCCTCAAAAATCTCAAAGGCCTGACAGGATGCCACTTTTTTGTGCAAACTGTCAGGTTTTTAGGGACGGTCCGCAACTTTTACCTAGTCTAGTATAAGGGCCCCCAGCAAAGTGAGCTACAGCAGTTTTAAGTCGATTTTAAAACGTTTCACACGATTGAAGACGAACCGCGTGCCATTCTAGTACAGTATTTACGGTATGTACAATATTGATGGTTTTCAGTTTGCCACACAATCAACAATTGCCACTACGAGCAATCCGAAACGACCAACTTTGTCTGTTGGAGTTGAGCGGAAGAACTGAACGGAAAAACACGCAAGAATTTGTATCTTTTTTAGAAAATTTTTTCATGGAATGTGATTAACTGACGAAATGTATAGCAAAGTGAACTGTGATCATAGAAAAATAATTGTAAATTTAACTTTTCATAAAAAAAAGTTATTCCTTCCGTCTTCCGTTAGCCCTCCTTTTTTCACGTAACAACTCGAATAACTTTTTTGTATGAAGCGCTAAATTTACAATTATTTTTCTATGAGCACAGCTCACTTTGCTATACATTTCGTCAGTTGATCACATTTCATGAAAAAATTTTCTAAAAAATATAAAAATTCTTCCGTTCAGTTCTTCCGCTCAACTCTGTTCGCCGTCCTCTCCTTTTTTACGAGCTCCTGCTGCTTTAAGCAGGTGTCTATTGCCTTCTCCAGGCTTCTCAGAATACTTTCTTGTCAGAATTCCACTATAACATTGTCGGGTGCTCGGAGAGCACCCACTCCGGTAAAAGTTCCACGCTATTTTCAAACAGAAAGAGATTGTGAAGAAACTGAATTAATTTTATAGAAATTCTTTAAAATTAATCTTGTAATTCTTTCATTCATTTTTATGCTTGCTGGCTGTTTCACAGCAAATTCTCTCTTGATTTTTATTGAAATCTCTGTCAAAATCCAACAAATGCCACTTTCTGCTAAACAAGGCGCAGTACGATGCTTCAAAAACCGGCGGGTGTCCTCAAACGCTAGCTGAGATATTAATTTATTTCTTTTCCGTCGTCACCTGTTTTTTCTGTAATTTCTCAATTATTGTGCTCAATTACGCTCTGCAATCGATTTTTCTTCGCAATTCCTCCATTTATCACCGTTTTTGAAGTTTTATAAAAAAAACCACAATAATTCGCACATTTTTTGCAGATGCGTACAAAACTGGACGGTCGCATCCGTACCCAGATCGAGAATGGCGTCTCGACCGGCCACAGATCCATGTTCGCAGTGGTTGGGGACAAAGCGAGAGACCAGGTGCCGATCCTCTACCACATTCTCTCCAAATCCACCGTCTCCGCCCGTCCGTCGGTTCTCTGGTGCTACAAAAAAGAGCTCTCGTTCTCCACTCATCGTCAGAAGCGGATGAAGAAGATGAAAAAGACGACGACGATCTCGGGAAGCCTTCCGGACGCCGATCCCTTCGACGTCTTCATCTCGTCCACACAAATCCGATATTGTTATTATAACGAGACGGAGAAGATCCTCGGAAATACGTTCGGAGTACTCGTCTTGCAGGTTTGTACGTTTTTTTGAGAGAAATTAAAGTAAATGAAAGCCATTAGTTCCGTTTCAGAAATTCAGCAAAATTGATTTGTTTTCTTCCAGGATTTCGAAGCGATGACTCCGAACGTGCTTGCTCGTACTATCGAGACGATCGAAGGCGGCGGAATGGTCATTTTGCTGATGCAGTCGGTCCGCTCGCTCCGTCAGTTGTACACCATCTCGATGGACGTGCACAACAGATACCGCACGGAGGCTCACAACGAGATCATCGCCCGCTTCAACGAGCGATTCATCCTCTCGCTCGCCTCCTGCTCCTCCATTCTGGCCCTGGACGATCAGTTGAGGGTCCTGCCCATTTCCAGCCACATCGAGAGTGTCGAACCCGTTCCCGCCGCTCAGAAAGTAAGAAAATGAAGAGAAATAGGGGAAAAATAGAAATTTTTATTTGTATACTATTTTTTTCCATGGAAAAACATGTCAATTCTAAATTTTAGAAAAGCTCATTCCAGAAAGAAAATTATCGTTTAGGCTCAAAAAATCTGGAAGATAAACTGAAAAATCCCCTAATTCCTTGAATTTCTGCAGAAAGCGCAAAGCGAATCGGACGCGGAGCTCTCCTCGCTGAAAGAAGCGATGAAAGAGACGAAGCCGATCGGGCCGCTGCTCGCGAGGGCCCGAACGGCCTGTCAGGCTAAGGCCCTTCTCCGCTTCCTGGACGTGATCACCGAGAAACAGTCGAAAGTGACGTGCTCGCTGACCGCCGGCCGTGGAAGAGGAAAATCGGCGGCCGTGGGACTGTCGCTCGCCGGAGCCATCGCCTTCGGATTTACGAATATCTTTGTGACGTCGCCGACTCCCGAGAATCTGAAGACGCTTTTTGAGTTCGTCGTCAAGGGATTCGACGCTTTAGACTACCAGGAACACACGGACTACGAACTCATTCAGTCCGCTAATCCGGACTTTAAGAACTGTTTGGTCCGCATCAACGTGTTCCGAGAGCATAAACAGACTATTCAGGTACGCCTTTAAAAAATCAATTTTTATTCAATCCCGAAAACACGATGTATTTACGGTTTCTCCTGTGTCTAGAAGTGTCGCTTCACTATTTTGGGAACTGGAACGAATTTCTGAAAAAATGCTCAATTTTTCGAATAGTACCATTGGGAAAGTGAACTTACGAAGGTCCGTAGAGACAAATATACGAGAACGAGTAATCATCCATTTTGACGTAATTTTCAATTTTTTCAGTACATCAGCCCGACGGACGTGCAAAAACTCGGCCAATGCGAACTGATTGTGATCGACGAGGCGGCCGCGATTCCTTTACCACTCGTCAAGGAACTCATCTCTGGTACACATTTCTTTTTGAAAAAAGAATCGGGGAAAATCGATCTTCATAAAAATTTTTGAAAAATTCCAGGACCGTACATCTCGTTTCTTTCGTCGACGATCAATGGATACGAAGGAACGGGCCGTTCGCTCTCGCTCAAACTCCTCCAACAACTGCGATCGCAGTCGGGTGGCGGAGAAGTGAAAGAGGGAAAAACGGCGACGAGCAAGGGACGGACTCTGCACGAAATGCACATGGAGGAGAGCATCCGCTACAAACCCGGAGACAAGGTTCGCAATTTGAATGAAAAATACAACATTTTCAGTTTTGGGAAAATGTGAAAAACATTTCAAAATGTGTCAAATTACTGGATACTCAGTTACTATGTATGGTACTTACTTACTTAATACTTGATGTCCGTCGGTTGAAGCTAATAAAGCTGCGGACAAATTCTCTCCATTTTGATCGGTCCAAGTCGTTTCCGCTACGAGCATTCCGGCTATTCTCCTGTCCGGTACGATGATTCCGGTTTTTGTTTGCATTTCCACAATATGAACCAGTTTTCCGTCACCTCGTCGCTCCACCGCTTCTCTCTTCTATCCTAGGCTCCGTTGAGTTCTTGGCCCATCTCGTAGGATTGCTTCTTGCCAAGTGTCCTGCCCGTCTAGCCTTCCTGGAACTGAGAAACTCTAGAATTTTCTGTACATAAAACCTATTTCGAATAGTTTTTAAGTTAATAAAACACAATTTGTAAATAAAAAAATACAGATCGAAAAGTGGCTGAACCGTCTGCTGTGTCTCGAGGCGGGAAGTACGCAGTTGAAGCTAGAGTGCGGGACTCCGCCCCCTTCGGACTGCGAACTGTACGTCGTCAACCGGGACACACTATTCTCGTTCCACGACGCCTCCGAAGCCTTTCTCCAGCAGGTCATGGCCATTTTCGTGTCGGCCCACTACAAGAACAGTCCCAACGATTTGCAGGTGAGTTTTAGCAAAATGTTTGTGGAAAAATCTCAATTTTAAAGATGCTCTCCGACGCGCCGGCGCACAATCTGTTCGTTCTGATGGCTCCGATCGATAAGACGCGAAAATCGCTGCCGGAAGTGTTGGCGGTGGTTCAGGTGTGTCTGGAAGGCCGTCTCGACTCGGACAAGATGGAAAACGGGCTGGAGCGGGGGAAACGAGCGGCCGGGGACCTTCTGCCGTGGACGGTCTCCCAACAATTCATGGACAAACAGTTCGGAACCCTTTCGGGTGGCCGCATCGTCCGAGTGGCCGTCCATCCAGACTACCAGTCGATGGGCTACGGTACTCGCGCCGTACAGCTCATCGAGCACTATTATCTCGGACTGGCCACTTCGTTGGACGAGGAGGAGAAGGTGGTCAAGAAGACCGAGATCAAACAGGTCAAGGTGGGCGCATTCATTTTAGAGAATTTTGTGTTATAATTGTTTTAATTTTAAGTTTCAATTTTCTTTAAAAACAAAGAGCGGCAATTTCAGGATGGCAACACCGTCGAACTGCTTGAAGAGCGAATTGAGCCTCGAGCCGATCTTCCGCCGCTTCTGCAACGTCTCGACGAGAGAAAACCTGAAAAATTGGACTATTTGGGTGAGAATATGATGCGGAAGCTATTTCCTTTAATTTCAAATCATTCAGGCGTCTCGTTCGGACTCACAGTTCCGCTGCTGAAATTCTGGAAGCGCACCGAGTTCGTGCCGGTCTATATTCGTCAGAATTCGAACGATATCACCGGAGAGCACACTTGCATTATGCTCAAAGGATTGGAGCATTCCACGGGCGATGGTCAGTTTTTTCAGAGTGAAAATCGACAAACATGAGGCTTAAAAATGACAAATGTTGACATAGATTACAATTTCCAGAGCGGAAAGTGCGCGAGTAGTGTAAAGCAGAGAATTTCCTATTCTTAGAACTCTAATTGATCCGAAAATAATTGATGTTGTGATGTTGGTCTCACAACGGTAAATGTAGGCGAGAAACACTTTGAACGCATCCGGATCGGCGTCCTCGATCACCACATCGGCGTCGTTGGCCTCACGAAATCGTCCGCTGGCGAGCATGGTTTTGAAGACTGGCGATGCGTTGGCTAACGTCTGTAATTCTTGTTTTCGTAATCTGGAACATTCTTAGCGGAAAAAACTGGATTGGAAATTTAAAAAATGCATCAAACTGACCATTTTGTGCGCGCGAGAAACTTGCGCTTTTCCTCGCCCACAATCAGCGTCACATCAGCCGTCAATTCGTCGGATTCGTCCCACTGTGCCTTTCGCTTCTGACGTATTCCCACCATCTTTATAATTTTCACACTGCACTCGATCGTCGGCTGATCGTTCGTCACGTACTTCTCGAGTAGCAAAGCGTTCGGAGCAAAGTGAAGGTGTCCGCAATCGAAATGATCCACGTCGTATTTGACGTCGATAGTATATCGAATCTCGAGTTCCTTATTTTGAAACATTTTTCAACGTAATAACGTCATCAAATTCAGAAGAGCCATCGGCCACGTGGCTTCCAGTGTACTGGCGCGAATTCCGTCGTCGTCTCATCCACCTCCTCTCCTTCGATTTCTGCTCTTTCCCGGCTCAAATGGCACTTTCTCTGCTCCAACTCAAAAATAAATCTGTCGAAGGTCAACTCGTGCGCCACGTCATCAATCGATCGGAACTCGGATCGTTCCTGTCGAATACGGATCTGCGGCGAATGAATCAGTACGGGCGGAACATGGTCGATTCGCACATTATCACCGACCTACTGCCGACCGTCGGAAAGCTGTACTTCGAGCAGAGATTGCCGCAGGAGGTAGGACATTTAAAATCTAAATAATTTTTTGAAAATCAATCTTGCAGTTGAAACTGGCGGTGACTCAATCGGCGATCCTTCTGGCGCGTGGACTCCAACACAAACAATTCGAGGATATTTCAAAAGAGTTGGACCTTCCGATTAATCAAATTTACGCGCTTCTCACGAAGGCGATCCGCCGAATCGGAGACTGGTTCGACGAGATTTGCGAGAGCGCCGTCAGGTGAGAAAAATAAATCAGTACTGGGCAAAAGATCGGCCCAATTTTGGGCCACTTGCAATAGTCTGATCGGGTAATATATATTGCAAGTGGGTCAAAAGTTCAGGACCCAACCCTGGAACAAATTATGAAAATGTTCGAATATCATCAATTTTTTGCAGAGAAACCCTGGACAAAGAGGCTGAAATTTCGTCGGCTTCCAAGCCCGTTTCCACCCTCAAAGACGTGGTCCCACTGGCCAATCTGGAGGATGAACTGGAAGGGGCGGCTCGGGAGATCAGAGCCCGACATGACAGGGACCGGAAGGCACTGCTCGCCGAGCTGGGAAATGAGCTCAAGAAGTACGAGATCACGCAGGACGAGCAGGAACTGGCGGAGGCCTACGACGCGGTCGGCATGAAATACGCCAACAAACTCGTCAGTGTCAAGAGCAAAAGGTGTGATTTTCCAAAATTTCTAGAAAACGTTTGCAAAAACATTCCAGAACCGCTGCCCAAGCGAAAATTCCGGACGCGAAGGATCCGCTGGAGAAGAAGACGAAAAAGAAGAAGCGATTCTCTTCCGGAGGACGTAACTAACTCCATTATTTTGTTGTTGTTGCAAAATCAGAAATGTTCTCTGATTCTTTATTGTTATTTTTTGAATTTTCCCACCTCAAAACTGTTATCATTTGTCTTTTACCCATTTGTTTCTGTTCTTCACCCCTTAACTCGCAAAGTGTTGTTATTTTTTGTTGATGAATCTGAAAAAGATCAGAAAGTGTGGAAGCAGGTACATTTAAGCATTTTATTCTCTTTTTTTTGAACATTTTTCTCAATTACTTTTTTTTTTGGCGATGTGTGGGAGTTTTATACAGAAAACGAGGGAAATCTAGCGAAGAGAAACCAAAGGGGACCGAGAAAATCGAATTTTTTTTTTGTTGAGGTTGGGCCAAAAATTGCCACGTGTCTACCGTACCCGCCGGTCAGATCTCGCATGCAATTATTGAGGATTTTTACAAACGAAAAAGTGTGCGTGTCGGGGAAAAATGCACCAGTAGCGGATTTATAGGAAAAAAATGGTTTTTTGGGGGGTGAGATTTTCTATTACTAACCGGCGTCGATATTTACAGATTTTACGATAATTCGTCAACTAACTGCTGGGCTGGGGGTTTTGGTGCCTATTAACAAATTATGAACGCAAAATTTTTGGAGGTTTGGGCGGAAATTTCTGAAAATAGAATCGATAATCAAATGACTGGGATCCAGGCGGTCGCGTCCGGCGGCAAATAGAACAACGTCGTTCGGGGCGGAGTGGAGGAGCCGGACGAGAATGTGGGCGGCGTGTAGACTTGCATTGAGAGCTGCAAAAAATTTGAGATTTTTTTTTCGAATTTTTTCGTCGAATATGATGCGAGTGCGGTTTTGACTGGATTTTTCTGCACTAGTCCGTGACAAAATGTCGGAAAACCAAAAAGGTCGGAAGCGAAAAGGTCGGAATGACTAAAGTTCGGAAAAAATGCCAAAAGGTTGGAAAAAAACGCCAAAAGATCGGAAAAAAATGACAAAAAGTCGGAAAAACGCCAAAAGGTTTGAAAAAAATTACAAAAGGTCTGAAAAAAATTACAAAAAGTCAAAAAACAGGTATTTTAGCAGTTTTTCCTTTGTCACTTTTTTCAGATTTTTTGGAATTTTTTTTGCAACGTTTTGGCGTTTTTTTTCTGACCTTTTGTCACTTTTTTCCGACCTTTTGGCTTTCCGACCTTTTTGGTTTTCCGACCTTTCGTCACGGACTCCAGTTTCGAGTGTTTTCGATAATTTCAGACCGAAATAGTTCAATGTTCAGACAGAGTTCAACAGAAAGAGGCACAAACCTGAAAAGCGACGCGGTCGATCATGTTGAGTGTCATGTGCCGTTCGTGGGCCATCAAGCAGACGGTGCTCTCGTCGATGACCCGGTAGAGGAGCATGAGGAAGTCGTACTTGGCCTGTCCGGTGACCAGAAGAGAAGAAGTCGTCGCCTGCGAGGTCGACGCCTCCGAGTCGGTGTCCGATCCGCTCGAGGACCACTGATCGTACGTGGCGCCGTTGAACGAGGTGCCAAAGTGCGAGTCCAGGTAGTTGCGGAGCTTGTTTTCTTGCGAGCACACGTCCGGGAAATCGATAAAGAAGCGCGAGCACATGTACCTGAAATCGTTGTTGATCGCGTTTATCATCAAGAAAGTCAATGAGACAACATTCACGCAAAAATTGTCGGATTGTCACTCACTTTTCCAACTTTCTCGTGTACCACGGCCGCGACGGTTTATAGCCGCGGACGATGAGGTGACAGTACTTGAGAAGGCCGCCTCCGCGAATTTCCTCCGGCTTTATGGTGTCGATGAGACGTTCTTGCAGATGGGTCATCGCCTAAATTTTTTATTTGAATTTTCTTGATGATAAATTGATCAAAATCGATCAAAAATAGCACTAAAAGTTTTTGAATGACTCTACATTATATTATAGGGGCACCGGACAGAAAGGGCGCGCTGAAATTTTCCACTGAAAACGTGGCCTAACTTTTCAAACTCGGCCCCGAGGTCGCTCAATTTGCACTGCAAAAAGAGTTTCTCAACAGAGCGCCATTTCTGTGCGGTGCCCCTACAATAGTAAAATGGTCTGGGCGACATACCTGCTGAACATCGCCGTACATGCTCTCGATGGTCACTCGTTTCTGTTCGCATCCCTCAAAATCGTCCAGCAATTGATCGAGATGGATTTGGAACGAGTCGACGGAGAATTCGAATTGTCGCCGCATTTTGTTCACGAATTTCAGCTCGATGCACCGGCCGAATTCGTTGTTCAGCGAGAACAACGACCACGTGTCACTGTCGGCGGAAACCTGCAAAGGAATGCGTAATTTTTGCGATTTCTTAGAGGTTTTTTTTCGATAAAAATGGATAGGAAAATTTAAGCAGCGCCCGGGCTAAAAAGACCCCTCATTTCTTCTATTGATTTCGAGCTAAAAAATGCGGGAAACCGAATAGAAGCGAATCAAAATCGCGAGTCAAACGCTTTAGACGCGGTCTTTTTAAAAATGTTATAATTTTCTGCGCCTTTAGCTTCTCAATGTGTTACCTTGATCATTTTTCTGATATAAACGTCCTTGAGCGTCTCGAAATCGAATTTCTCCTTTCCGATATTGTCGGGCATCAGTTCGCGGATGGTCATGAAGACGGCGTCGCGGATCGAGTCGAACATCACTCGTTCGGCGTTTTCGTCCGAATTTTCCGGCATTTGAATCGGAAAAATGAGATCGAGGTCCGCGTAACTGAAATCGTCCGAAGAGGCGACGAAAGAGGCGGCTCCACCGTTCAAACGCACGTTTTTCGCCGGCACTTGCACTCGTCTGCAACCGTTTTTTTTGTTGCGATTATCTCGGAAGACACGGAAACGTGGCAAGAGACAGAGCTGCTCTGCGCAAAATTTTCAATCGATTGCTTACCCCATGTACTGCCTCAAACACCGAATCAGATCGACGAGTTTTGTGGAGATTGTCGGGAAATTGCCGCGTCCGTGGATTTCAACGCGTTCTTCGAGCACGGCGCGTAGGCGACACATCTGAAATTCAGCAATTGGCTTTTCGCAAAAATTTCCCATCATAATTTGCAGATCCCCCCGCGATTCTGTGAATTCCAGCCATCAAATCGCTCATATTCGCTCGTTTTCCTCGCCTCATTAAGGCTGTGTTTGCGTCTCAGTTTCTGCGTCCGCCGACGAGAGAGTACGCGAAAAGAGGAGGGTACGAGAGAAACAGAGACATTCCATTCGACGTCATCGGCGAAGAGAAAAAGCTTGTTTTGGACGGCGAGGGAGGGCGTAAAAGTGTGTAAAACTGTTTGATCAGGTGGTTTTTAGACGAATGAGATTTTTGGTCGCGCTACGATAGCACAAGAGGCTAAATGTTTATGAGAACCGAGTAAAACTTTCAAACATTTTTTTGAAACAGTGATTAAATGTTTGTCGCTATTTTTTCCAGAATCCTATAATATCTAAAACTGTTTTGGATCCCCGATCGCTGATCCCTTTTCGGGGGGTGTAATTAATTAAAGTTGTAACGTTCCTCCATTTTTTTTAACTTTTTGGCGCCTACGGGGAAAAACCTGTTATTTTCGAGGAGCGACTGGTAGATTGGCAGCCAATGTTCACGAGGAAGTACGCTTTTTTTGGCGCGAAATTAATCGACTTGTTTTGCGATTTTTCTAGTGTCCCCCCTAAATAAGTTTATCGACGAGACTGAGTGTCTGGACCAAAAAAAAATTGCGGTTTCAACAAAAAATCAATAAAATACATGTGTAATCGAGCCCTTTTTTCAGCATCTTCTAGGTCCCGGTCACTACGGAAGTTAAAAAGTGAAAATTGACTTTTTCATTTAGAAATGTCGTGTGTGTGCCATTCGGACAACTATTACAGTTTCTGGAGAATTTCAAAACTGGGCCCGCTGAACATTTCTATACGAAAGCCCGTCTAACCTGTCCCTTGGTGAGAAGAGTGGTCCTCTGCGGATTGTAGGGCTCTTGCGGCTGTTGCTCGGCGAGTTGATGGCCATTCTGGTGATTTCCGTTTCCGTTTCCACGCATTCGGTTCGATGAGACGTGCGGTGCCAACTGCAAATTTCAGGTTTTTAAAAACGTTGCTTTTTAAGAGTGAGAAAACGCGAAAATTGCATTATCACTTTTGTGCTGGTTTATTTATGTTTGCATTCGATAAAAAAGTGGCGGGAAAAGAGATAGCGTCGATAAAAATGTTAAAATTATGCAAAAATGACAGCGAGCGCGAGCGAAAGTTGGGTAATTTTATGAAATGCTTCCCAAACCCAATCTTCGATATGTCCTTCCTATCTCCGCTAACAAAAACGTGTCAAAGGGAGGAGGGAGATTTGCCCGGCGCACGCGCATTTATTTGTCCAATTTTGCCAACTGTGGAACTTTCTTAAACGGACACTATTCGATTCTGTTTGTTTTTGGCAGCATCGCTTCGGTTTGGCACTGGACTTTGTAGAGTTCACACAATCACACACACACTGTGAGTCAGTCACAGTTTGCACACGAAAAAAGGTGTTCGAGCTGGGTTTTAGAGTTAAAAATGCGGAAATGAGGTGCATGTCCAACTCACACTTTTCTGAATGTTGCCGTGTTGATCATAGGAGATGAGGGTACGGTTACGACGCCCACGCATTTTCAAAAAGTAAGAATAATAATAATAATAATAATATTCAAGAATAGTCGTCTTCTTCTTTTACAAAACTGCGAGTGTTCCTTCTTCTTCCTCTTCTTCTTCTTAGGCTTCGCCCCTTTTTCGCTGCCCGCCAGTGCCCCGCCCACTTTTTCACGTCATTTTGTTTTCGGTCGTCACCAAAACGGGGGGGTTCCGTCCGTGGCGGCGCCGCCGGCGAAAGAGAGAGGGAACGAGAAGCGCAGAGAAACGAGACGGTGGCTATTTTTGCGTGGGGCTCTAGCTCTCCAATAAATGATGATGTCATTTTGGAGAGAAGAAGAAGAAGAAGAAAAAGAGGGAGGAGAAGAACGACGTCATCTGAATTCAGAAGAAGAAGAAGAAGGAGAAGAAGAAGAGGGAGAGCGAGGAGGGGAGTAATTTGCATTTAGCACCCCTTCGGGCCATATTTCTCTGATGACGTGAACGGACGGACGCATGCAGGAGCGATGACAAATTTTTTGTTCGTGTTGGGGGAAAAGAGAGAGAGAGAAGTGGCTCAATTTTCATTGGAAAATGACAAAGTTGAAGGCAACTACACTGCAGCATTTTGGGAAAAGAGATCCGATCCAAACTTTGCAGGCTTTTCGGCCTTGGACTGAAGTATGTTGGGTCCGAGTTTCAGACCGAGATATGTGGATCAGAGGATCGATTTTTTCACGACACTAACTAGGGAATGGCCCGCACTTACCTTCGGGGCTTTTGGAATATTCGAAAGAGAATTTTACGGAGAATCCGAATCTACTCTCCATTTTTGCTAGAGAAAAGCGAGAAAATCTGCCAGTTTCTGCCACATTTTCTAGCAAGTTCATCTTCGGTATCTCAAGAACCACGCGTCTGTTGCAAAAGTGGTCAACTGGTAAGTTAACGCAAATTATCTTGTGAATAACTTTGTAGTTGATCGTCTATTTTAAAAAAAATTAGTTTTCGAGTTATGAACTGTTTTCCTAGAGCGACAAGAAAAAAGCGAGGATAACTCGAAAACTAATTTTTTTAAAAATATACGATCAACTACAAAGTTATTCACGAGATAATTTTCGTTAACTTACTAGTTGACCACTTTTGCAACGGCGGCGTGGTTCTTGAGATACACGTCGCCGAAGATGAACTTGCTAGAAAATGTGGCAGAAACAGGCAGATTTTCTCGCCAGCCAGTGCTCTTTAGCAAAAATCGAGAGGAGCAGCGTCGGATTCTCCGTAAAATTCTCTTTGAGATTTTGGTTTTGAACACGTTTGTTTGTTGCTACAAAACACTGACCTGTCCGACAGTTTTCCTACGTCTTGGCATTGCACTTTAGCAAATTGTCAGTAGCGGCAAAAGTATAGAGTCGAAAAAGTTTTTCTCAATTCCGTCCCCTTCTTTTATACGTTTGCCTCGTTTCCTTCTCGATTCTTCCGGAAACTTTTGCCCATCGAAAGTGTTTCTCTTTCTCTCTCGTCGTCTGCCGTCTCTCACACACGACATACTCTCTCGTCGGACGAGAGAGTGTCCGAAATGGAGAGACGGCAGAGAAAAGTGAGAGAGAGAGAAAGAGGGGGAATGTTCGAGAAAGTGGAGGAGAATTAGTGGAGAAACAAAGGCGAAATTTCGGGAATCAAAACGTTCTCTGCGAAAAGAAGGAAGAGCGAAGCGAGTCATAACTCGCGAACGAGTAGAGATATCGAAAAGCGATCAACTGAAGTTTTATAGCCTAGACATGTATCTTCATTTTTGCAGTTGACAACTTTTTCGTATCTCTGCTCGCTAAGGAGATACAGGTCCTCAAGAAATCATTGACAAAGTGTAGTGTCGATAACTTTTTCGGGTGCTCAATCTAATGATGATTGCCCCGTCAAAACCCTCATTTAAAATGTTGTAAAAATCAAAAAATGCTCGGAAAGAGCCTCAACATTACTCATTTTGTGCTGCGGAGCTCGCGGAGCCTCACGAAAAGCTCATATTTTCGGGCCCGTCTAAGTGGGTGTTTCATAAGATTTTCTGCGCTTTTCCGGCCGCCTAATTAGACCCTCTTCTCATCTTTTTGCCGGAGAATGTGTAAGAAAAATGGGATTACTGTAGAAGTGGTGCTTTTTCAAAAAGTTATCGCGAAAATGTGCCGAGAACACGGAAGACGGAAAACGGAAGACAGTGCTGTTGAGACTGTACGGATTCACGATTACATACTCTTGCCCTTGACGGGCTATTCTGGTATTATAGCCACGCATTTTGTGGGTGGATAATATCTCTGAAAGAGACGAAATTCTGACGTCGAACATTCCAAAAAAGAGAAGGGGGATTTTCTCGCATTTTAGGGCTTTTTCGGGACAAAAATCGTCAATTATTTAGGGATGTGAAAGAGAAAAAAAGAGAGAGAGAGAAAGATGGACGTCTTCCAAAACCGAAAAGAAAAAAAGTTCATTGGAGCAAATTTTAATGCGAAAATTGTTAGTTTTTTAATACGAAAGCTCGCCACTGTTTTCAGCTCAAAACTTCCCAAACACGGACTTCCGCAAGAACAACATTATCGCGTTTATTCAGCATTTTTCCGTCTTTGCACAGGTGTTGTTTAACGAAAAATTTGGAAAACAAATATTATTATGGAAACGTGAGAGCATCCGTCAAAGTTTCGCGTGTTTAGAGCTCGAAGAAGGGAAGAATGTGTTTGAATTAATGGTACCGAGTGTTTAGATGAGAACGGAGGACAGCTGTGAGGAAGATCACAAACGACGTTTTTTTGGGGATTCTGGAGCATCTGGAGCACACTTTGATGAGTGCTCCAGATGCTCGAAGCGACCACGAGGATGCAACTGTTTTGTGAAACAGTAAACTATGAATTCCGGGGCAATTGAATTGGGTTCATCAATAAGTATCGATTTTTTTCTGGATTCTTTCAGATTTTCAACGTACTTTTTCTCGTTGAATCTCATCAAAAAATATACAGAATTGAGATAATTGAGGCAAATTTTCGATTCCAAAAGGAAACAATTCTGTAATTTTCACATAAAACGTTTTGAAATTGATGACGAAGCAGTTAAAATTTCATTTTTTATTCATTTCTAATCATTTTAATTAGTTTTGACACTGCCTGGTTCTGAAAAGATGGGGATAATTCAAAAAAAGGGGAAAATTGAAATGAGAAACTCTACAACGACGCTCCGGAATTACGCGTTACGCGCCTTGTTTAGCGCACATGAATTGCGCCAAGGGAATTTTTTATTAGAATGCTGGGGTTCCGAATTCGGGGCAATTGGGTTCATCAATAAGTATCGATTTTTTTCTGGATTTTTTCAGGTTTTCAACGTACTTTTTCTCGTTGAATCTCGTGAATTTAGGATGTCTCCGTACTTGCAAACGGGCCGGCTGATAACTCGCTTCAAAATAAAAGTTGTAAGTTTTACAAATGTACGCGCCGACCTAGAATGCATAAAGCGGCAAAAAACGCATTCTAGGTCGGCACAACTCTCATTTCGAAGCGAGTTATTTGCAAGTATGGCGAGATATGATTTTTGAAAGAAACACTCGCACAATAATCGCCCAAGAAAACATTTTGAAAGCGAAAACAATTTTCAGAGCCCTGAAACAATTCGCCGATTGATCGAACCAAAAAACGAGAATGTTTGTGACACATTCGATTCCGTTTTAATCCGATTTTGGACGCAAATATCATGAGATTCGCTCGTCTTTCCGAATTCGTCGTTGATCTATATTGTGTTCGGGCTGTACCGAGTGGAAAAGTGAATGAAATTTACATAACTCGGAGAAATAGTGTGAGAAATGAAGAGACACAGATGAAAAAACTTCCGTAATGCAATTCAATCGATAATTTCAATTACCCGCGTCAAACTTTCACCGTAACCTCACAATACTCGAAATATGTTGCCATGAAAGTTTGGTCTCGATTCGACCATGTGACTTTTGTGATGGCAACCAGACACACACACTCACACATAAAAATTACAGACAATTTCAGACAAACAAACCCCTTTCCCGCCGCTTATCACCCCACTTTTCATTGTCTTTTTGTTCTCCTTTTGTGTGTACTCTTTCGAGTTTATCAATGAAATTTAGAAACCACGTCATACGCTTTTCGTCTCGACTGACGAAATAAAATCGTTGCAATATCGAAAGAAGAAGAAAAAAAAAGAGAGAAAGTAAGGGCTAATAAAGTTTTTTTTGGAACAGTCGAAAGAAGAAATAAAACTCGCCTCCACAATTCCCTCGACTCTCTTCCACACGACCTTCTTTTTACCCATTTGAGAGTGCAATGTACGTTTTGGGCGCGCAAACTTTTTGAGATCTGAAATTTGAAAAAGTGTGAAACAACGACGTAAAAAGTGAGAGGAAATTGAGATTTTGCGAACAAACAATTATCGATTTCGTCGGACCAATAATGGTGTGGAAGTGTTAAAAAAAAAAAACATCAAAGAATGGTAGAGTTCAAAAACCGAAAAACGAAAGTAAACGCACCCGCTAACACCCTATTGACAGCTGATTTCGGCCATCTGATTCTGATGTTTTTTGGCGGTGAAACGTCCATTTTTCAATGATATAATAAATTTATCGGAAATGATAACGAAAATCTGGTGATTTTTAGGAGGATTACAAATTTGAACAATTCACCGTTTCAACAATGTTACAAAACAATTTTAGAGCTGCTTGGCAACAATGCATGCAAAGGCTCGACTCGGAGAAGATTCGAATTTTTCTATAAATTCTATTAAAATCGCTGCATTTTCGTGTACACAAAATGTGTGATAAGAAGAGTTTGCACGAGCAAAAGAATCTTGAAAAATAGGGTGGTTTCCCCGTAGCAATGGCTTTTCTGCGAGTTGTTTGTCTCTAGAACAATTTTGAAACCGCAACAAAAAAAAATTGCCAAGTGAAATGAATGCTCACACAAACGTGTTTTCCATCAAAAAAAAGGGGGAATCCGCCCACGCACAGACGCACATCAAGCACACAAAAGTTTGGAGGAAAAAAGCAAAACGTGTGGCATGGACAATATTAAAATAGGTCACACTGACCAGGAGTTGAGCGGAAGACGGAATTCCGCTCAACTACTACTGCCACGGAAACCTCCAGAGCATGTTTTTTTGAGCGCGAAAGATGTTCCCAACAAAAAAACTGACGAAAAAAAACGTGTGAAGGTGACAGTTGAATAGAAAACTTCTCCAATTCGATATCTAAATGAGAAAGAAAAACATTTGGGTGGGGGGAGACTTGTAAAAAGGAAAAGAATGGGCAATAAAATGGGGACAAAATGGAGGAGAAGAAGAAGAAGCCGATACTGAAATAGGTGTTCGAGTGTCAAAGCATTTTTCTAGATTCCAACTTCTAAAGCAAGTTTCTCGATTAATTTTTGAAAACAAACATATTTTGAAACTGAAATGTTTCGCCTCAAAAACCGGGCTCCGGGACATTTCGAAACCGGACATTTCGAAACCGCGACATTTCGAAACCAGACATTTCGAAACCGCGACATTTCGAAACCAGACATTTCGAAACCGCGACATTTCGAAACCGCGACATTTCGAAACCAGACATTTCGAAACCGCGACATTTCGAAACCAATTCAGTACAAGTATTTAAAAATTCAAAAAACCGCCAAATTCGCAGTATGGACAGTAATTTTTCGTATTGCTCAGTTAAAAAATGTGTTCTTTTTCTGCTGGAAATAGCTGTTTCACTGTTTTTTCGGCTTTGTTCTGTGTTTTTGTCGAACATTCTTATTGTTTTTCATGATCCGCTTGCTGGAAATCGTATTTCTTGTACACAATAATGTCGAAAAGAGCACTCCGCCCGTTATATCCGCACAACGGATTTACAATGAGACCAACTTCTCTACTTCTTCCGTCTTCTCCGCCTCTAACTTTTCGATCGTTCTGTTTCCGCAGAATTCCGTTGTTTTCGCGAATAATTTTGTCAAGTTATACCGTATAACTTATACGTTTGTGTTAGTATAAATAGTCCGAAATCATAATTAATTGCTAAAATACACTTAACATGCATTTCTACTGCGAATTTGGCGGTTTTTTGAATTCTTAAATACTTGTACTGAATTGGTTTCGAAATGTCGCGGTTTCGAAATGTCGCGGTTTCGAAATGTCTGGTTTCGAAATGTCGCGGTTTCGAAATGTCTGGTTTCGAAATGTCGCGGTTTCGAAATGTCTGGTTTCGAAATGTCGCGGTTTCGAAATGTCCGGTTTCGAAATGTCCCGGAGCCAAAAACCGACCGGTTCCGATCAGTTTCATCTGTTTTTATAGCGCAAAAAAGAAGCAGTAGACTGTGAACCATTGGCAAAACAAGT